GTACTAATTAACTAATTGTACTAATTAACTAATTGTACTAATTAACTAATTGTACTAATTAACTAATTGTACTAATTAACTAATTGTACTAATTAGCTACTTGTCCTATATAACTTGTCCTATTTAACTACTTGTCCTATTTAACTACTTGTCCTATTTAACTTGTCCTATTTAACTACTTGTACCAATTAACTACTTGTACTAATTAACTTCTTTGTAATCCAGTAGAATACTTTTTGCAGACAAATGAAAACGCCCGCACACCAGGATCGTTTTGATTGGGTGAACCAGCGGCGGGTTCCCGGCACGACCCTGGCTCTCGGCCAATCACAGCGCGTTGCTCGCGGAAAACTTTTCTTTCGGACACACACCAAAAATTAATGTATGGACAGTGGTTGTTGCGAGCGGTGCACGACCATAGTTAACTAGCAGCGCTCACTGTTCGGACGAACTAATTTTTTTTTTTTTTTTTGGTTTCTTTGGGTGAAATATAATTTATTAGTATTTTCCTCACTCTTTCTCTTTTCTGAAAAGTTAACTTTTAAAATCTACTTCTTACTTTTTCTTGTTTTAAAGAATCGTTAAGTCTTTAGATTACCAAAGTATCCACGATGGTTCTTCCAAGATTATTTAATACTGCTTCACGCAATGCTTTCACTGCTGCTAAGCGTAACTTCGTTTTCAACAGAGGTTTAGCTTCTGCTGCTCCTGTCGCCGGTAAGGTTAGGTATGTATCTTTTCCATTTTTCTGTCTTTTAGCATTTCTTCAATCAATTCGTCAATTGGCTTGATTCAATTCATGTTTGTTCTACTGGAATTGAATACTCTATTCAATTCTTGGGGTTGGGTTTGAGTTTGTTTTTTTAAAGTGGGTGGAAGTTACTGATCCCATCCACATTAGCCGCCCACTCTTTTGTTTCTACATGAATTGAATTCGAGGTTGGGCAAACTGGCCTCGGTGGCAGTCTGGTTGCCAATGGCTCCAGGCGCTGGCCGGGTTGGCTGAATCACACGGGGTTTCAGTGTACAGCGGGTGGGTCCCTTTGAAACTCCAGCTCTCCAATCAGATTTGTTTGGTTCGTTGAACGAGAGTGAGTGCGGGTGGACAAAAAAGTGAAAAAAAGTGAAAAAAAAAAAAAAAAAAAAAATTGAGATCCGGAAGTGATCAGTCGCACTCAATGCGCTCACCGACCAATGAAATTTTTGAAAAAAAAAGTTGAGCTTGACCTACCGCTGGCGCCAATTGAGATGAAGAAGGGTGTGGACGTTGTTGAATAGTAGTACTAACGATTTGTTTAGAGCCGTTATTGGTGCCGTTGTCGATGTTCAATTCGAAGAAGGTAACTTACCAGCCATTTTCAATGCCTTGACTTTGAAAAATGGTGAACAAAGCTTGGTTTTAGAAGTTGCTCAACATTTGGGTGAAAACACCGTCAGAACCATTGCTATGGATGGTACCGATGGTTTAGTCAGAGGTGCTGCCGTTACCGATACTGGTGCTCCAATTTCCGTTCCAGTTGGTAAAGAAACCTTGGGTCGTATTATCAATGTTGTTGGTGAACCAATTGATGAACAGGGTCCAATTAACACCAAACAAAGAAACCCAATTCACGCTGATCCACCAGCTTTCGTTGAACAATCCACTGCTGCTGAAGTTTTAGAAACTGGTATTAAAGTTGTCGATTTATTAGCTCCTTACGCTAGAGGTGGTAAAATTGGTTTATTCGGTGGTGCTGGTGTCGGTAAAACCGTTTTTATCCAAGAATTAATTAACAACATTGCTAAAGCTCATGGTGGTTACTCTGTTTTCACTGGTGTCGGTGAACGTACTAGAGAAGGTAATGATTTATACCGTGAAATGAAAGAAACTGGTGTCATTAACTTAGAAGGTGATTCTAAAGTCGCCTTGGTTTTCGGTCAAATGAATGAACCTCCTGGAGCTAGAGCTAGAGTTGCTTTAACCGGTTTAACCATTGCTGAATATTTCAGAGATGCTGAAGGTCAAGATGTCTTGCTTTTCGTCGATAACATTTTCAGATTTACCCAAGCTGGTTCTGAAGTTTCTGCTTTGTTAGGTCGTATTCCATCTGCCGTCGGTTATCAACCAACCTTAGCCACTGATATGGGTCTTTTACAAGAACGTATTACCACCACCAAAAAGGGTTCCGTTACCTCTGTCCAAGCTGTTTACGTCCCAGCTGATGATTTAACTGATCCTGCTCCAGCTACCACTTTCGCTCACTTGGATGCCACTACTGTCTTGTCTAGAGGTATTTCTGAATTGGGTATTTATCCAGCTGTCGATCCATTGGATTCTAAATCTAGATTATTAGATGTTGCCGTTGTTGGTAAAGAACATTATGATGTTGCTACCGGTGTTCAACAAACTTTACAAGCTTATAAATCTTTACAAGATATTATTGCTATTTTAGGTATGGATGAATTATCTGAACAAGATAAATTAACCGTCGAAAGAGCTCGTAAAGTTCAAAGATTCTTATCTCAACCTTTTGCCGTTGCCGAAGTTTTCACTGGTATTGAAGGTAAATTAGTTAGATTATCCGAAACCGTTAAATCTTTCAAAGAAGTTTTAGAGGGTAAATACGATCACTTACCAGAAAATGCTTTCTATATGGTTGGTGGTATCGAAGATGTTGTCGCTAAAGCTGAAAAATTAGCTGCTGAATCTAATTAAGCATACTATGAAACTACGAGTATTATGACATCTAGTGACTTGTGATTTACTCATTTGGGTCACTCAAAAAGAAAGAAATTATTTTTACGTTTTTACCTAGAACTCTGTTTAAAGAAAAAAAAAATTATTCATATTCATTATAATTTTATAAAAATTTATCTGATTATATTAATCTCTGTAAAATTAATTCAAATTTTTGTAGTTGTTCTCCATCTTTACATCGTCGTGGATGTTGAAAAAGTAGCTCGCGGTATTGAAAATTTTTGAGGACAGGTTTTCGCCTCCAAATAAAGAAAAAAAAAAATAGATCAGAATACTTGTATTGCAATTGACAGATTTAATAGGAAAATGGCATTCTCTTTAGCATCTGTATGTATTAAGCATTGGAGGTTCACCCAGCCTGGAGTTCTTTAGTTGATCCAATTACTAACTTAAACGCAATGTGGTGTGGGGATATACTTACACCATACAGCGCTTATTTTTATAAAGGCCTTATCATTTTTGGATGATCCCAGTTTAGACTGGAAAGCCATTATTACTGGCTTAACCATTGCTCAGTTTGCTTTTGAAAATTATTTAAGTTATAGACAATATCAAGTTTTAAAGAAAACTTCACCACCTCCCTCTTTGAAAGCTGAAATTAGTCAAGAAACCTTTAATAAATCCCAAGAGTATTCTAGAGCCAAAGCTAGATTTGGTTTCTTCACTCGTGGATTTGGTCTTGTTCAAAATCTTCTTACTATTAAATATGATATCATTCCAAAACTTTGGAATGCTAGTGGATTCGTTATGCAAAAATTAGCTCCAATCTTACCAAAAGCCATGAGCGGTATTATTACTCAATCTTATTTCTTTATGCATGTTACTCTTGTCTCTCAATTGCTTTTTTCGTTACCTTTGGAATATTATAGTCAATTCGTTTTGGAAGAAAAATATGGCTTCAATAAACTGACTATTGGTTTATGGATTACTGATACAATCAAGTCCTTGTTGTTAAGTATGACTTTTGGTCCTGCTATTGCGGTTGGGTTTTTAAAAATTATTGATTACTATGGTGACTCTTTCATTTTCTATACCTGTGGATTTGTCTTATTTGTTCAATTAGTTGGTATGACTATTTTCCCACTTTTCATTCAACCATTATTCAATAAATTCAGTCCTTTGGAAGATGGTGAATTGAAAACCGCTATTGAAAAATTGGCTTCAGAGCAAGAATTCCCATTAACCAAATTATATGTAATTGATGGCTCAAAGAGATCCTCCCATTCTAATGCTTATTTCACTGGTTTACCATGGAGTAAACAAATTGTTTTATATGACACCTTGATTAATCATTCAACCGTTGATGAAACGGTTGCTGTTTTGGCTCATGAAATCGGTCACTGGAAATTGAGCCACTTACCTCAATTGTTAGTTTTCTCCCAAACTCATGTTTTCTTATGTTTCTTAGTCTTTTCTGGATTTATCAAAAATAGCTCTTTATTCAAGTCTTTTGGTTTCTTTAATGTTCAACCAACCATCATTGGTTTCACTTTATTCAGTGATATCTTTTCTCCATTTGAATGTTTATCACAATTTGCCCTTAACTTATTAACCAGAAAAAACGAATATCAAGCCGATGCTTATGCCAAAAAATTTGGTTATTCTGAAGATTTAGCCAGAGCTTTGATCAAATTATTAAGTGAAAACTTATCTGCCATGGATGCTGATTGGTTATATTCTTCTTATCATCACTCTCATCCAATCTTAGCTGAAAGATTGAATGCAATTGGGTATGTTTCAAAAGAAAAGATTGCCCCTGAACCTGTTGATAAAAAAGAAGATTAGGCTAAAAGGCTTCTATATATATTCAAATTTAAATATATTTTGTTTACCCTGTATCTATTATATAAATTAAATACTATATATATTAAAAGAAAATTAAAAGAAAATCAACTACTGTAAGACGTAAATTTTTAGTTATAGAAATGAAAGAAACGGAGACTTCATGGAAACTCATTAATAATGGGATGAACGTTTGTATTGATTGTGTAAATCATTATAAGCATTTCTCATCTGAACAAAGCCTAAATGTATTTTACCAACAAAATGATCAGCTAAACGTCTATCATTATCCAAACGGGATAAATATGCACCACAACCTTCACATACTTGAAGCTTTTGCTGTGACGACTGTCCCACATTCTCAGCAATATTTCTAGCTGTCTTGGCCAACTCCTCCCGTTGCTCATATAGCACATTCAATTTTATGCTTTCCTGAAGACTTTTCAAAGTTTCTTGTTCCAACGTTAAATAATGAATCTCCTGCGTCATCAACCCAATCCTAGTATCGACTGCTTCGAGCTCCTTTGTTACTGCAGCAATCCTGGATTTCTCCTCCGGCGTATGTTTCAATCTATTCAGTGCAAGTGATATCGTATTATCCAAATCGTTAATAAACGTTTGCAAGTGCTTATAATATTCATACTCAAACTCAGGAAATCTTTCCCCTTTGCGTTTTGTGCGGTACTCGTAATCAAGTTTATGCTTTTCCAAATGTAATCGTGGACACGGACCCAAATCTTGCTTAGTTCCAATGAATAGTTCATGAGGACATGTTCCCACCAAGAAGCTCTTGCACACCCGATGACTCGTGAGTTCTGGTTCTCGACGAACAATCATTGGCGAAATCATCGCTTCTTTTCCCATGAGCTGCTCAAGCAACTTTCTTTGCTCCTCGGCCATTGTATCTTTCTCCTTCTATTAAATCCAATCCGTTAGCCTGGACCGTTTGACCGTTTTCCTGAAACCTTTTGAAGTTGAAAAAAAAAAATCTATTGATATCTCGAAGAACCCGTACATTTTATGAAAAGAGTGATGAGTCGGCGGGGCCCTGCACATAAGGAGAGCGGGCATGAATTGGGAAGACTTCCATTTCGTGGGGCCACAGCTATGAATTGAAAAGATATCACCTAATCTTTACAATTTTTGAAAGAGGGTAGCAAATACACTCAGTAACTAAAAAAGTATTTGGAACGCGGCTACAGCCAGCACATTGAGAGGTTTTTCTGGAGAGTAAAGAAGCAAAATTGGTTGAGTTCTGTTTGAAAATTGTGGTCAAATTAGCTATTGAATAAGTTTTTGCTGGTAAATTTATGGTTTATCTGTTTAGGTTCAACACTTCAATGGCACAATGAGGAAATATCAATTAATGGGACGCAAGAAGGTTGTCCTGAGAACAAGAGGATCCGTTGACTATGCGAGATATCACTTACTATCATTACCGTACGAAATACTCTTGCAAATACTAGATCAAATCAAAGACGATATCAGGGCATTGTTGAATCTTTCATTGTCTTGTTTCAAACTTAATACCATTATTAATAAAACCTACTTATATAAGAACCTCACTTTCAAAAATCCTTATCAATTTTCAAAGTTTAGCCAGTATCATTTGCCTATAGTTAAATCTTCATTTTCGAGAAAATTAGGTCTGGATGAATCCAGTTCCAAGATAAATTATATTCAGTCCGTACATTTGATAAATCCACCTCCTAAGGATTCTTCGAATTATAAAACCAGCATAGCTGGATCTTACGGAGTTGAAACAAATCATCGTACAGATAATCAACTAAACTACTCTCACTTTATTCAATCATTTATTTCCTTATTGAATGAAGCTTTTGGTCTTAAAACAATTCAAATAAGTGAAATTTCTCCTCATTTCACTTTCCCCGATGAAATCACTAATAATGATCATAATTACCTAACCCGTCATATCAAAAGACCCAAACCGAAAAGAGTTCTTCCTAATTTGATTCTCAAGGGCCAAACGGGATGGACTTTACCTTTTAAAGTGTCTCATATATCGTCAATTATTAACATTTATGACACTATCGAAAACCTATCCTTGTATAATTTTGTTATCAATGAATCCAAACTAATCGAATACTCAATCCAAAAACCTATAAGCATAATTACACTTACCCTCAATGCATGCTTATTTCTAGACTCTTCTTCTAAAAAGCAAAACTGCAAAAGAATCGCCCCTGATGTTTTCTCGCAAACCAGTTGTTTGCAACTCTTCAACATTCAAACAGTTCAAGATTTATCAGCTATAGATTTTGTGAAATTGAATTCAAAGCTACTATGTATTGTCATTGATTTTGACTCAAAAATCTTTTTTGAATTCAACTCTCAAGATAAGCATTTCAATTTTTCAAGATATAATAACTTCTTCAAATTAATTTGTTCAGGACAAGGTGGTTACTCTACTTTGCAAGAAATTGTTTTACTAAATTTTGATTTATTCGACTGCTATGGACATATTCATAACATACGTGAACCAACTCTTGATGAACAAGACGATAATTGGATTGAAACGCCTACAGACAAATTCCATCAGTTACTATCCCATCTTTCCCGAACCAAAAATTTAACTATAATCTTAAAAGAAACGGAATCGGTGGTACATAAATGTGTCAAGTGCGGTTTTACTACAGGTGATCGTGATGATCCATTCTCCGATGTTAAAACTATAGGGACTTTAAATCGGACAGAGTGGTCAATTCTACTAGACCCTTTGTTATCAGGGAATAAAAAATGTAATGTGAAAATTTTAGACCATTCATTGAATTCAGTATACACAAGACTTAGTGATCAATGAAGATCATTCGCAAAAAGCTTGAATGAAATATTTCATCAACATTGCAACCATAATACCCAATTCAAAATGTTTTAAACTATAGTTATCTAAAATGGAAGCAGCTATAACTGGTTAGTAAATCTTTCGGATATAATGGGCTTTAAGTATCGACGTACTTTTAATTCTCTGAAAACTTATCTGCAATCGCTTTATACAAATGCCTCAAAAACTTTGAAGCTTTGAAATAAAGTGTATGTATTGAGTCTGGCTCTTCTGATTCGTCGGTGAATGATGAGTAATCTGAAGATTCGTCGCTACTATCCTCCAAATCACTATACGTACAATTGTGAAATCCTCTAGAGTGATGAACTCTTGTTATTTCTTTTCCAGACATTATATCGATTACTCTTTCGATTTTTGGATCAGCAAAATAAGCATCACCATTCACATCCAAAATTTTATATGTACTTGTCAATTGATCGTTATCCAACGGAACAAATTTACCTCTTGAAGTCTTGACTCCATTTTCGATTAAATTTTCTGCCAAAGATTTTGGAGGGCCCTTGGAAATATCAAGATTATTATATGTGGGCTCGCATTCAGGTAAAGAGAATTTATGGGTCTTCAATCTTGTCTGAATTTGCTTTGCATTTTTTTTCATTGAATTAGCAACGTGTCTATAGTTTATTTCTGGAAGGATATCGTATTGTGACTTAAGTGACATGAAATCTTTCAAAAGCTTTACATCTCCGTTCTCCTCAAGCTTTACCAACCCATAATTATTTGGTTCTTGAGTAAATTCATACACGAGTCCTCCGGAGAAAACATCAATCATGTCTGTTGAGTAAAGGGCTTGGACTTCTTCAAAGGCTCTTGGGACTACTTCATTGCAGCCGTACCTAGAATATATTAGTATCCACTATAGATTTTTGTTTTTAACTAGAATGAATCGTACTATTACATACTCTGAAAAAAATACCGGTTTACTGTAGGTGCTATAGTCATCGACTAAAACATTATATCCACTTGAGTAAAAAGTTTGTTCTCCACACCATTGATATGAATTCACCCCATAGAAATCTACTGATTCCGCTGGACTGGTGTCAATACATTCTAAATAGTCAGAAAAAGAGATTCTGTACTGTAAATCATCTGCAGCAGAATATCCAACGGGGATAGACCTTGGTGAATTATATTCAATATACTGTTTGATATCTTTAATTAGGGCTTTCACATAAACAGGAGAATTCTAAATATCGTTAGTATACATCTTTGAATAAAAGTATCTGTGTGACATACTTTGGCAGACGTTTTGTCATTTATGATTTCATTTCCTGCAAAAAATCCTAAAGTATTATTATAGTATGAAAATTGCTCTATAACTTTAAAAACATTTTCAAGATATTCTTCGTTATATGAAACCCAAGGTTCGTACCTATTCAAATGGTGGCCCGGTAAAGGCGAATTAACATCTAATACTAGATAAATACCTGCAGTTGCTAGAATCGACATACAAACGTCATGATTTAAATCTGCATTGATTGAGTAAACCCTTATAGTCTATTTATGTTAGTTTGAAACCCCATATTAAAATAGAACTAAATACATACATTGATTCCCAAATCTTGAAATAAAAGTACATCTCTTGCACATTCGTTTGGATCTGATAAAGGATCTTTCGATTCAGAAACACCCGATGACCCCCCAGGCTGATAATCAACTCCTTTTATATAAAACTTTATGAGTTAGTAAATCACGGAGACTCTTAAGATATTCATAGTAGACGTACCGGCTCCTTTGTAACACTATCAACAAAGTACCGCCCATGGACAGTGATTGGATGCACATAGGCCCAAATTACTGGAAGTAAATATGCTAGCATCAAAAGCAAGCCTACAATAACCCTCGACATATTGAACTGAAAACTTGAAAGGAATTTCGTTGGTTCTTGGATTTCGGTTGGTTGAAGAGAGTAGTTTCTAAGCGGGTGATTTCAAAAAGGAAAAAGCAGCAAAAAAATTTCGCAGCTTTTTTTTTTCAATGATTTTCTGATTTCCACAAAGCCATAAAGAAGTTTTGAGATTTAAAAGAATTAGATGAAGTTGGAAAAGGTAACACACTCTCTAACTACTGGGAAGCTATGGAGCACTTGTAAATCATATGTTGTTGTGCTGAAAGGGCTTGTTATAGATTTGTCTGTTTTAACATATTTTTATGATTTTTTTAGAGAAAATCAGGTAAAATTGATGAATAAATATTTCCATTTTTTAGGGAAACATTTTAAATGTAATTTTTAACAAATTTGCTTGGAATTAAGACTTCCCATTATACCAAGCATTGTATTTATTGAACATGTCAAATGAAATCACAACCCAAGCATGAGTGATTTTTTACTACAGGAGAATTACGAAAATTCAATTGATGAGGATTTGTAGCTACTACGCCATCGGATAGAACGACGCATTTCAATCTCCCATGAACTCGGTGAATCTTTACAAAACGATATCCCCAGTTTCTCTCAAAGCTTTTGACTTGTTTTCATTTCGTATCCATCAAATTTGTGATTCTCATATGTAAAAAATTCTGCCACTAAGGCAACGTATTTGAGTACCATGGACTTTTAAAAAGATCCGGTGCTGCCCATTAATGGTGTGGATCGTTGTCTAGAGAATCGTTGGCGATAAAAAGTGGCCAAGTTCTTGGTGGTAGAGGATGTGGTGAAGGATATTTGCAGTATTTTCAAATGAGCGAGGTTGAGGACATTCAAGTAAATATGAGAAAGTAGGAGATCTGAGAGACAGATCTGAGAGACAGTCCCGAGGAAGCCTAGGATCTGTAGGGGGACCACAAAACAGAAATAATGGCTTTTACATAAATTTTTTATTTTTTTTTGAAAATGTTTTCAATATAAAAATGTATACGTGCATAAAACAAGCACAAAATTTTGACATGAAAGCGCCTGCGTAGCGTAATGGTTAACGCGTTTGACTTCTAATCAAAAGATTGCGGGTTCGACTCCCGCCGTGGGTTCTTCTTTGCGGTTTTAGCTCAGTTGGGAGAGCGTCAGACTGAAGAAAACTTCAGTCCAGTTAATCTGAAGGTCCTGTGTTCGATCCACAGAAATCGCATTCATTTTTTGCATCTTCTGGCATTGGAGATGTTCTTTGTTTTTTAATTAATGCCTGTTTAATATTAGATGAACTACAGTTTATCTTTACCTGAAAAGAAAACGATTAGCAATTAAATTTGGACATAAGATTAGTTATACAATTGGAACACTGAAGAATTGAAAATGATGGATGTAAATGACTTAAATCTCGAAATATTTCTCGATGGCAACCAACCCTCTACCACCATTAGCCCAACTTATATAGTTGGGGGAGTAATGCAAAACCTCAGAATATGCAGGGATCTTTTCTTTCACCGTCTTTTCATCGGTTATGAATCCATCATCTCCCCAGAAACATTGAACATTGACGCCCAACTTGTTAAATTTGGCCCTTTCATTAAATTTATTTTTATCGGCCTCGCTGATATCAATTATGTGGGGAACCCATTGGAAGCCAACATGGTATGGCTTATCCCAATCTAATTTGTTCAACTGAAACAGGTCAATTCCATCTAAGTCTTTGAAGACGTAGTTACCATTCTTGTCTATTGAAAAGCCATCAGGAATACCTTGACTATAGGCCTCATCATCAGTTGAATTATCATTTGTTTTCTCAGCATATACAATAACAGTCTTCACTGGGGTATCCTTGAAGTAATATTCATCTTTGTAAAGTTCAGAAACTGTATTCGAAAGATTGAAGTCTAGTTTACAATTTCTGTTTTTCGGAACATTGAGTTTAAATTCACCAGTTAATAATCCAAATGGATAATCATGACTTGATGATGAATTTTTGATAATATTAACTTGTATATATGAACTCAACGAATCAATATCTTCGGCTAATTTTGGATCCATTTCAGTATTGTAAGAATAGAGTGCCATTCCATCATTTAAGGATTCAACATCGACAGTAGTATTTAATTCCTTCAATGATGGTAAATCATTCAAAACATCTCTTACCAAAGGTATGTCGCGGGCACTCACTTTAACAATATTTCTAATAGGTTTATGATTCAAATCAACAGTTTCGATGAATCTCAATTTCAAAGGATTTGCTTGATCAAAAGGAGAAGTCAAGGCTATTTGAACAAATCCCAGGATTACTAACCAAGAAATAGCAATGATGAAAATTTTATTGAATTTGAAAATGAATGGTAAAAATGGTAATGCCCAAAGTATAGCAAAGCCCTTTATTATATCAAATATATAGCCTTGGACTTTTGACGATTCCTGAATAGACTTTATTAAACCATCCAAGAGTAAAAATCCTGTGTTGTAAATAATAATTGATGACAAAGGAGCAACAAGAAGAAACTGGATGGACCAGTCATAACTAAAATATTTAGAAAAACCATGGAATAAATGATTTTTGTTATGTCTTGGGTCATTAGATAATAACGAGGATGACAGTGATAAGTTACTAGTTTGGTCAAAATCTCCATCCAAATCATCAAAATGATCATCATTAGATCCATAATTAGAATGTCTATCCAATGAGCCTAGTAATGGACGAGCATCCTCAATTTCTAAATGTTTTTTGAATTTTGATTTAGACTTTTGAATACTCCAGCCCAAGAGACCAAAGAAACTTGCCAATGATTCGACTAAAAATAACAATAAGACTGGAAATTCTCCAGTATGATCATCTCCAATTTTATTATTCGAGATTTTAATTGTGGACCAAATCAATATAGCCCAATAGAAAATTGAAGTTTCAATAATAACAATCAATTTTTCATCATGATTTACCCCTTTATAGCTTTTGAAAAGCCAATTGAAACCATTTAATATAAGATAGTTAAGAATTAAAAACGTCGAAAATAAAGTCGACACCAATAACCCCGGTGAAGAATTAGGTAAAAATTCATTGACCTTCACCACAATACCATTTGTAATGCCATTTAATAAGAAAACCGAAGAACCGAATGAGAGAGGAAATTTGATGATATTAACAAAATTAATATCCCAATTTTTTCTATAAAAGGATATGAAGAAAAGAGGAATGGAAACTATTGGAACAATTATTAAAAAAACGATATTCATAGTAAGTAATTTAGAAACTGGAGCTGAGAAAAACCAGTTAAGGAAACTTGCATAAATGGAAAATTCATGGTTATATTGATTTTCAGTATTGTCGTAATTCAAATACTCGTCATCGATATCCAATTTTTGAGAAGTTATAGTTTTAGTGAAATCAATAGCATTGGATAACATATGCCACATGGATTTAATATTAACATTTTGAATACTATCGCCGGCAGTGTGATATAAATCTCTTGGTTTATAAAAAGCCAAATCAAGTCCTCTGATCAAACCCTTTTCTTTGTAGACCTTATAGTCAGTTTCACTACGGATGAGTCCATTGTTGAAACCTTGTTGGTAAAGGGAAGTTGCATGCGGGTACCTAACATTTTTGAAAAACTTAACAATTCCATTATCAGTACCCCTGAAGAGTACAGCTTTACCACCAGCCCCGGTACCTTCTAAGTTTAAGAAATACTTAATTTGTTTAAACCAAGGGTGATATAAGAAAGCAGTGGCTCCATATAAGCCGAACTCCTCATCGTTATTAAAATTGAGGATAATGGTACGCGAAGGTTGATCGACCATGGGGCTAGAATAGTAATTAAGTAAACCCAATAATGAAGCAACTCCAAAACCATCATCAGTGACCCCATAACTTGAAGGAACAGAATCAAAATGAGCACTAACCAAGTAAGCGGGTAATTCTTCATTAGAACCATTAATTCTAACGAGTAAATTATTACTTTCGTAATAATCAACACTATCGTAGTTCAAATATTTGGTCTTAAAGGCAACATTGTTAGTATAATTCAAATCATTATCGTATTCAATATACTGTTTATTTTCAATTAATGAATTGATCTCTTTTTCAATATAATCGTGAACATAATCATTACCTTCAGAAGCATAGGTATGTTTGAGTTTCGCAATTTTTTGTAATGATAACCAACTATCTTGTAAGATATTAGATTCCAATTCGTTTTCAGGCATTGAGACTGAGTAATCCAAACTATTATCAATCTTAGAAATGATTACTGTGGCAATGAAAGTCAAAAAAATGAAAAAGGTAAGGGTTGTCTTTCTATAACCAAACACTGACCTGAACGCCCGAATCAACACATTTGGACGGTTTGGTTTAATGGTTTGGTTCTCAACGTTGGGAGAAGGTTCACCCCCGTGATGATTTCTATTCTTATAAGAAACCCCATCGCTTGCACCGCTCGATTGTGCATTCTTGGATACGAAGGACCGAGGCGACGTAGGCTCCTGTCTGGAACTCGAAGCACCGATATCACTCATGTCGAATTACTGAAGTTATAAGTTCAAACCAAACTAAGATGACCTCGCTTATCAAACAAAACTTAATAATTTTGAGTCCAGAATACTGATACCAGATAATTGGGGGTTGTCAGGTGAAAGAGGACCTCGAGACACTTCAATATACAACTTCAATTAAGTTTAAAGCTGATTGTACAACAAAATAAAGAGCTGAAAGGGTATTGAAAACCAAAACAAAGCTCTCTGGTTATCAGCCAAAGGGAAAAAAGGGTCGAAATGGGAAAACATAAAAAAAAAGGAAGTCACGTGCACATCAGGAAAAAGCTCAAGACAAAACCGACTTGCTACTGAAAAATTACCTTCCACTTGAAGAAATCAGTGTTCAGGCAACAGGTTCACAAGTAAGACTACTAATACAAACAGAAGAATGCCAGAATTTGCTCCATTGAAGAATGACTTAATTCTTAGAGCAGCCAGGGGAGAAAAGGTTGAAAGACCTCCAATTTGGATCATGGTATGTAGTTGAGAGCAAGAATTATACGAGAGAACTACTAACAATCATTTAAAGAGACAAGCTGGGCGTTATTTGCCAGAGTACCACGAAGTCAAGGGCAAAAGAGACTTTTTTGAAACATGTCGCGATGCAGAGATTGCGTCTACCATCACGATTCAACCGGTTGACCACTTTGAAGGATTAATCGATGCTGCTATTATTTTCAGTGATATTTTGGTTATTCCTCAAGCTATGGGATTTGAAATCAATATGGTCGAAGGTAAGGGACCGGTATTTGTTGATCCACTAAGAAGCCCGGAAGATCTTTCCAGAGTTAATTTTAAACCGGATATTTTGAAGAGTTTAGATTGGGCTTTCAAATCTATTACTTTAACCAGAACAAAACTTAATGGCCGTGTTCCTTTACTAGGGTTCGTTGGTGCTCCATGGACTTTATTGGTTTACATGACTGAAGGCCAAGGGTCCAAAATGTTCAGATATGCTAAAGAATGGATTTATAATTATACAAAAGAATCCCATGAATTATTACAAGCTATAACTGATGCTTGTATTGAATTTTTAGCTCAACAAGTAGTTGCTGGGGCCCAAATGCTTCAAGTTTTCGAATCCTGGGCTGGTGAATTAGGTCCTTTCGAGTTTAATGAATTCTCTTTACCATATTTACGCCAAATTGCTCAAAAATTACCACAAAGATTATCTGAATTGGGAGTTAAAGAATCAATTCCTCTTACAGTTTTTGCTAAAGGTGCCTGGTACGCCTTAGACGATTTGTGTGAATCTGGTTATGACACTGTTTCCTTGGACTGGTTGTATAAACCAGAAGATGCCGTCAAGGTTGTTAACGGTAGAAGAATCACTTTACAAGGTAACTTGGATCCCGGTACCATTTATGGTTCCGATGAAGTTATTTCCCAAAAAGTTGAACAAATGATCAAAGGTTTCGGAGGTGGTAAACAGAACTACATCATTAACTTTGGTCATGGTACCCATCCATTCATGAAACCTGAAAAAATTGAACATTTCTTGAAAGAATGCCATAAATTTGGGTCCCAATAGTTTTTTTTTGATAGCAAATGAAAATGTATATATAGTATCCACCTTTCTCTTTTACTCTCACTATCACTTTGCCTTCCTCTTTTCATGACTTTTTCTAATGACGACTAGAATTCAAGTTTAATTAGTTATTTAAGATGTAGAAAGCAAAACAAGATCATAATTGCGAAATTTTCAATAAAAAAAAATTAAAAAAAGAATTGAAAAAATTTAGACTATCGAAACCTTTTAGTCACACAGCAATAAGATCGGCCGCTCGAGATATACGATGGATAAGTTAGCTCAATTAGATAGAGATGACTGCTATCTCTATGACTTACCGCAAAATGTTTTCGAATCTTTGAATTTGATGTACTTTGATTCCTCGACTACTCAAATCCAATCGCAACAACTTCCAGCAGCAGAATCTCCATTTAACAGCCCTGATCTCAAACGAATTGAAGAAAAGAAGATTTCTAATAGTAATGAATGCTCAACTTGCCTGATCAAGTTTCCTGGTGATTCATCCATTGACTCTAAAAGGTCTCATTATAAGTCAGATTTGCATAAATTCAATTTGAAGAGAAACATTGACGGTTCGCCACCAGTTAGTGAGCAAGAGTTTGACAAACTTTTGGAAGAACAGTCGATAGAAAGTCTCTCAGGGACAGATGATTCATCTTCAGATGAAGAACTGGATGAAGAATTTCAAGATAAAATGGATAATAAACTAGATGTAATCTTCGAAAAACTTTCAGTGCAAGACAAGTTACATCAAGACAACAATGAAGAAAATCCTATAAGTTACTTAAATACAAAGAGTCCATTCATTCTCTTTAGCTCCCCTTTCTTACCCCAAGATAAAGCATTTGGTGTCTATAAGTCATTCTTCCCTGAAAAAGATTTATTAACAGATCCCAAGTCCACAATTCTTTCATACTCAAAGAAACCAATAAATTCAAAATACCTGGCTCTATTTATGATTGGAGGTGGTCATTTTGCTGGGGCAATTATATCCCATGTTCGTAAAAACATCAAAGGAAATGCAAATGCCAAAGAGTCCAAACAAGAACAAGCAGTTGAAGTAATGGACTCGAAAACTTTCCATAGATATACTGTTAGAAGAAAGCAAGGTGGATCTCAAAGTGCCAGTGATAATGCTAGAGGTAAAGCAAACTCTGCTGGTTCTAGTATACGTAGATATAACGAACAAGCATTGATTCATGAAGTAAGAGAGCTTTTAGATTCTTGGAAGGGTTATTTGCAAAACTGTGAGACAATTTATATTAGAGCTAATGGTGCCTCTAACAGGAAAATATTAGTCGGTTATGATGGTTCAATTTTAAAAAATGAAGATCCTAGAATAAGAAGCTTTCCGTTTACAACTAAAAGAGCCACTAAGTCAGAATTGAAAAAAGCCTGGGTTCATCTATCATATTTAAGTATCGTGGACATACCTAAATCTAATGAAAAGTTAAGCAAGAAATTGCAAAATGAACGAGAAGGATTAAACAAATCTAAGAGACAAGGTACTCCTTCAAAATCTTCCACACCTGAAGCGGAGGAAGATTCTTCGCCCGAGGCTAAGCATTCGATAGAATTGATTAATCTATTAAAAAAATCGAGAGCACCAATGTTGATAAATTACATGAAAAAGAATAAATTGTCACCTAACTTTACGTTCGTCCCAGAATTCAAATACAAGCATAACCCAACTCCATTGCATTACGCAGCCGCCCATGGGCTTCATCACATGGTACAAGTATTATTGATAAACTTGAAGAGTGATCCTACAATCACCAACGAATTTGGTCGAACAGCTTGCGAATTAAGTGCAGACTATAATACAAGGAAGGTCTTTCAAACCTCCAGATTCAGCTTAGGTGAAGACTTTTGCGATTGGGGATCAGCAAAAGTTGGTAACCCCAAATCCAAGGAAGAATTTTTGAAAGAAGAAGAGCAAGCCAAAGAATTAGAAGCTTCAGAAAAGAAGAAATTACACGAAGAAGAATTGGCCAAGAAGACAGAACTTGAATTAAAGCAACCTTCTATATCATCAAGTGGTACATTAGGTGGAGGTCCTAACAAAGTATTAAGTCAAGTTTCAGAAACAAGTGGATTGACCGATGCACAGAAGATGAGATTAATGCGAGAACAAAGAGCAAGAGCGGCTGAAGCTAGAATTAAGAAAATGCAAGGAAATTAATTATAATCTCGTAACTTCATTATAACTTCTATTTATACAACTATTTATAGACTAATGCAATTTTAAAAGATTTTTTTTTTCATTGAACTAACGATTATGATTCAATTTCGGTAGGTTTTCCTGAGCTAAATTTAGTAAGAAGGAATGAAATTGGAGCGGTATTTTTATTTTGTAAAATTTTATCAATTACATCATCACCTGTCTTGATAGTTCTGGCTCGGTTCAAACTTTTCGGATCAAAGTGTTGATATTCAGCCAAAGCATTCCTAATGCTGAGTTTTTTTCTTTTTGGTTCTTCATCCACTTGTTTATAATCTAAAGCACTTATCCAGCCTGACGGATTACCCTCAACATCCAGTTCCTCTGAGTCACTATCTAATATAATATCCTGTAAGTTGTTACCATCCCCATTACATTGACATTCAAGCAAATCATGGGTATTACTAGTAGTTGAGTCATTGACAGTGAACAAATCCTTCAAATCGACAATGTCGAAGGAATTCAGCTTTGAATCAGTCTTACCATCGAGGAATTTATCACTCAAATTGTTTTTCATCAATTGACGTTGAAGGATTTTTTCATCAATGCACCCAGTAGTAAAGATCCTATAAATAAATACAGGTTTTGTCTGGCCATCACGATGAATTCGAGCCATTGCCTGTAAATCCACGGAAGGGTTCCAATCGTTATCAAATAAGACCAACCTCGAAGCCCCAATTAAGTTTAATCCCACACCTCCTGACTTTGCTGATAACAAGAAAACTGAAATATCGGGGGACTTATTGAATGTAGAAACTAGCGAATCACGAACCTTATTCGGTGTGGATCCATCTAAGCGTGAAAAAGTAATGTTTAATTTTTGAATTACTGATTGTAATAAATCCAAAGTTTGAGTATAATTTGAAACTAAAACGGTTTTCAAATTCAAACTTTTGAATTCAATCAATAACGGAATTAACAAATTAATTTTGGAGCTTGTGAAGTTAGACTTCAACTTACCAATGTCTATATTTAAGCTTTGTCTTTCATCATCAGCTTCAATTAAGTTTCGAAATAACTTATCATTTTCAATTAACGACGGTGAGTTGCAAATTTTTTTGAATAGAGTTATCAAGGAAAGTGAATTATTTGGATTCGAATTCACCTCATTAATTAAAGCATTAAAGTTTTTAGTCTTTATAATATAATTGAACAATTTCAACTGTAAATCAGTAGGAGGGCAAAAAAGAATCAAGTCAGTCTTATTTGGTAAATAATTGGAGATACTACTTGCTGTTCTTCGTAACATAAAGTTTTTAGTTAAACTAATTAGTTGTTCTGAAGCATCTTCACCTCTTTTGATTGTATCTTTATTTTTACAATTGATATCTCGAGATCTTTCAATTGGATTTATGAAATTTTTTTGAAACGATTGGAAACTCCCCAAAATATTTGGATTCACAAAATTAATTATATTATAAAACTCAACCAAATCGTTTTGAATGGGGGTACCAGTTAGTAAGATTTTCCGATCAATTTTGATATTTGTATTAAAAGCCTTGATGACTTTATTAGTACTATTTTTTAACCGATGACCTTCATCGCAGATTAATAAATCAAACGGAACAGTTTTCAATTCATCCTGACAGGTTAGTATTTTTTCATAACTCATTATAAGAACTTGATAAACTTTTGTTTTACCAAAACTGATAATATCCTGTTTATCTTTCGAAGTTGAACTACCCGGTTTATTATTTAGGGCGAGTATTCCAATTCTGTTCAAATCAAGCCATTTTTTAAACTCTTTCCGCCAATTATCAATGAGAGTTACTGGACATGCAATCAACACCTTTTTAATAATGGGAGATTTACTAACTGGATCAGGGTTTTGTTTTAGCAAAGTCCAAATCAACGAAATAGTCATTAGGGTTTTACCTAAAGACATTTCATCACATAACAAAGCCCCATTTCCTTTATAGTTTCTAAAACCTGATAAGCACTCATACAAGAAAATGATACCTTCACGCTGATGAGGTCGCAAATGCTTTGAAATAAGGGGATCAACAACCACGTCAACGTAGTTTGACGAATCAGGAGGAGGAGGAAGCACAAAGGCATCCTCTGATGTGGTCTCATATAGGGGAGCTCTTTTCCTTGATTCTGTAAGAGCGGAACTGGTTGAAGAAGAAAGACGAGACGTCAACGACGTTTGGAGTTTCTTATACGGACGAGCAGCAGTTTGGGAAACGGGTATTATAGAATCGTTTTCACTAAGGGAAGAAGTTCTAGAAGACGAAGACGCGGGTTGAAAGGATTGAAGGGACACTAGTTCGTCTTTTGAGGTGATCTCGTAATCAACCTCTGCTTCATAGGAGCCAAATTTAATTAGCCCGTCTATGTTAGAATTAGAAGTTTTCCCCATCAATTTGTGATTCCCGTTTCCGTGGGTATCGCCTTTCAAAGTGATTCCGGAGGAGCTCACCGCAATATAGCCGTCACCGTCCCATGATTTATTCTTCTTATTAGTATACTTTCTCCACTGAACAACGTAGTATTTGGAAGACAGGGACATTAGCAATGGCTTCTCCGAAGCTGATGACTGCAAAACAGTATTTGAAATCCTGGCCAACTTCGGCCTTTTCGGATTTGAGCCTGGCTGTGAAGCCACCCTAGCACCTGGACCGTTTGAACGAGATACACCAACGTAGCCGACCTCTTTGGTGGATGTTGAACTTGGATTGTTAGCACTAGCCGCCGATGAGCCAGAACTCAATAGACGCGGTGGTTTGAAAGGAGCATTGGGTACGGACCTCCTCATTTGCAATCTGTAGACTGACTGGACGGTGCTTTGACTCAGTAGAGTTTCCTGGAGATATCAATGGAGTAGTGGTCTTTAAAGAAGAAACAGCTCCTAGGAAGACGTGCTGATTCCGGAGATACTGTTTGTTTATTCTTTTTGGCTGCGCGTAAAACTAAAAAAACAAAAAAAAAAAAAAAAAAAAAAAAAAAAAAAAAAAAAGATCCAGAGAGTCTCTCGTGGTAGGCCCTGAACAATATAACGATTAGCATTTTAAGGTCAAAAGGTTGTACTTGGTATTAAATACACATAATATACAAGTGGAAGGCCACTGCTATGTAGAAAAAGAAACCATATATAGAAAACATATATAGAAAATGGCGAGTCATCGCGTGAAGGGGACAAGATCAAATAGAAAATGAACATAACGTGCCCGTATGAAATATTATTAGTAGAACTGAAGGGTTTAGAATGGCCTGAAACCAAATTGACCAACGCCAAATTAGCAAACCGCAACAAGGGGCCATTAACTGAAAACGCTACTGGAAGTGATCGGAGCAGCAGAGCCAATAGCAGTTTCGCCAAACAAATAGTAGTAAGCCCGGGATACGAAGAACACTATTTGAGAAGGGACATAGGAATAAAGACCGTAACCAACAAAAAAGGCAAACGAAAGAAGGAAAAGATGCAATGAAAGCGATTCATTCTTGGTTAACATATAATGAGGAAAGTGGTAGTAGTAAATCTCGTATAAACGTTTACTAGAGTAAGCCATGGTGTTAAATATGTAACGAGCGATAGACAAAGGAAAGAAAAAGGGCCCTGGAAGAACGAGAGGATTTGGAGTGGTTTATAAATACTCCAGTGATAATGCCTATTGTGTTAACCTAAAAGCTTTATATCTTTGAAATCCTTTATGAGATTCTTGCTTACAGCCTACATCTTATTTTTGTCTGCCTTTGTTCTTTTCTCCCTTAATTTTCAGTTTTGGGAGCGGACAAGACCCGTGCCCCCGGTAATCGCGAAGACCTCTCACAAAATTTTTAATCCATCACCATTAGTATAGGGCAGTCTTTGACGGAGGCCAGGAGATAAGAAGGATTGGTGCTAGCTAACTCGAAGATAGTTTACGGTGCTGGAAGTGGAAACAACATTAATGCATAAACAAGTCTTGGATATCATAGCCAGCCGACATGGCGAGTCGTCTGCCAGCGGATCAGCTGAGTCTTTGTTGCAAAAATCAGAGCTTGAAGTTGTGAAAAAATTTCTAATCCAAACGAAACCCCAACAGTTTGAGTCAGTGGATTCTTTGAAAAGGTTATATCCGTATGTATTGTCATCCTTGCTATACTCCAAAGGATTGGATACTTCACGCGTTATGGCCAGTGATACTTTTTCCATTTGGTTGGTTCGTTGCACTCAATTGAATAAACTTAGCGAAGAGGTTTCCGAATCGTTAAATGTTATATCGAGGGAGAACCTAAATGAGTTATTTGAATATATATCTGATTTTTTGCAAGAGGGTTTGAATCCTCTAGCAAACTCATTGACTTCTTTGTTATCCAAGCTTATCCAATACGTGAAATCATTCCGTGCGTGGGAAGATTGGTTTGAAATCATGACTTATTGGATTGATAAGTCAATGGAGTTGTCGTTGACTTCAAAGAACACTTACTTTTTGGTGGAAGCTTTGGTGAAAGAATTACCCCAATCTGATAGCATATACGTCAAACACCCTCAATTCGTTCGCAATTGTATTAATATAATGTGGTCTAATGCACTTGCCAACTCGGCATCTAAAGCTTTTGTATCGATATTTCAAAATAATACTTTTCACAATGAAAACAAGGTAGAAAAATGGGTTAATATGTGGAATAATTTAATAATGGATGGGTTATTAAATTCAAAACTTCGTAAAAATATCTTGATTTACTTGATGCCCCAACTATTCAATTGTTATCCAAATTCATATAATTGTTTTATTACCAAAAATTTCAAAATCGATCCTTCCAAATTATCTGAAACAGATATCGAAATAATTACAGGACTTATTCAAATAGGTATGAATTTATCGGTAATTTCAAATCCATTCAGTGATTCTACTTCTGATTTGTCGATTATTCCTTCGAATACTTTACTTCAATTCCTCACTCATCAAAATGAAAAATTTAGACTTGGTGCTTTCTCAATATTGATTGGTTCTAATAAAAGTTCTCAGATTGTACCTCGTTTCATCTACGATATAATTGTTAATTATTCAGTTATCGAAATTTTCTTGAAAGAATCAGAGTCTATAGAAATACGAAACGATTTCGTGTCGCTCTTGAGACATTTTATCATTAGAATTAATGATTCTTGCCTGTCAATTTCAAAGACCAAAGATAAAAATCAAGATAAATTAACCTTGATCGATAGTGGTCGTATATTTTTGGAACATGTTTTGAAAGTTATAACCATGTCAATACGACCTGCATCTTCATATTGTCAATTAGCTCTTTCTCTACAACTACTCAACGTCTTTGTCGAATTAGGCTTGGATGGTAAAGATAGAAGCGATCAAAAAATCAAAACTGTTAAGGCCCGTAAGAGGAAGGAAAATAATACTGATAATTCAAAAATTCGTCCGATCACAGTTAACATCTATACCCCAGAATTAATCCAGCTATTATTTAATAATATAACTAATAACTATGAAGACATAAGAAATTCAAGTGCTCTCCTATTATTAGATTGTCCCCATGAAAAGCTTCTTACAACAATTGGTGATGAAAATCAAATCGAATCCATCATTGAAAAGTCTTTAAATATTTTGTATGATTTAAAAGGTCGGAAAAGTGAAGGAGGTGCTAAAATTTTCCAATTTTTCACTCAATTATACGAATCAACTGGCCAATATGATAAATTGAATAGTATTTTAAATCTCCTCATTGAGAAATTAGACTCCGGTATAAAATTACTAGAGTCCAATACGTCATCTTTAACGAAACCAGAGAGAGTCCATGGTATTTTTACGGCCATTAGATTAATCTTAGAAAATGTTGATATCTCACAATGCTATTCCGAAGAATCTTTCAAACTCAAAGTATTCGAAATGATTATAGAGAAAGTTCTGATTCTTTGGGATATAACAAAACCAACTCTTTCAAATTCAAAGGATTCAGCAAGTAACAGTGGAGTTGATGCTGAAGATGAAGAATTTTCAATGACTTCAGAAGATCGCATTAGACTTCGATTTAGTTGGAAAGCAGTAAAAGAGTCAACAACCCTCTTGGGAACTATACTACAGGCATGCTTCTGCTCAAAGTCCAACTCCACAAAATTAGCCGATAACTTCTTTATCAAAAGTGCAAACATAATTATGGATCAATTGTCTTCTGTAAGTCACAGAGGTGCCTTCTCATCAATTTACCCAACATTTGTATCAGTATGTGAAATTTTCTTAAGAACAGATTCTTTGAAAAATTATCCTTCTTCTTGGTTAATATCAAGTATTGAGTTAATTCAATCAAAAAGTCAGTACATCTCGAGAAGATCTGGCGGCTTACCATATCTCATTACTGGTGTTCTTACTGCTGAAAAAGTGATGGGCGAATCATTGTCATCATCGATGGATATGACATTCAAAAATCTACTTCATATTGCTCAATTAGAGTATATTCCAAATGCAGATGAGAAAATGGATATACCTCAAGTTCATGCCTTTAATTGTATGAAACATATATTCATTGATTCTCAGTTAGCCAACAGAAGTAATGTTTATGTCAAAGAGGCCCTTAAATTGACATTATTCAACTTTAATAATGCCACCTGGGCAATCAGGAATTGTGCTATGATGTTATTCACAGCATTGCAGAATAGAGTTTTCGGTACAAAGAAACTAGGTGACTTTTTACCTTCAACTCCAGCCAGATCATTTTTTGCCAAATATGACGGTGTTGATAACATATTATATGATCTTCTCCATGAGGCAGTGAATAATAATGATGGAAAGTCCGATAAGTTCGAGGTAATATTCCCTATATTGACTATAATATCGAGATTGGAGAGCTCTGGTACTGATGAGACGTCTCGTTTTGAAAATCTTTTGATGGATAATTGCTTAGGTAACAATTATTGGAAAGTCCGGGAAATGGCTGCAAGACTGTTAGCTTCGATATTACACCCAAATGCTTTATTAAACACTGCCAGGAAATTAATGAGCGAATGCGAAGATAGTTGCAAATCATTTAATAAAGCTCATGGGAACTTATTAGCAATTTTGGAAATAATAAGAAGAATTAAAACAAGACTTCCAAACCATTGTGTTGATTCAGATTTCAAGGGACAGATTTGCTCAAAAGTTACTTTGTTTTTGATGTACCTGACAACGTTTTCATGGGTTACCTCCAAGACATACGTGGAGATCCTTCACGAATTATCCGAAGATAGCGAGCCAGAAAGAATGCCCCATGTTCTCTTGAATATTATAGGTAACTTTATTATTGGAAGTCTCCTATCAGCCAATGCTCATGATCGGTTAAACGGTAGCAGGCGCTTAACGTTAAGCTCCTTGACATCAGTATTATTGAATGGTTATAAGAAGATGAATATGTGCGATGAGATTATAGACTTGATAGCTCTATTGTTTTCATGTGTTGATGAATATGAAGTGCAGCTAGTAGCCATAAATTTTTGCAATGAAAACATTGACATGCTTATCAATAACTCCAATACGCCAACCTTGATGGATGAGTTATGGAATCTCGTTAATAATAAAGATTGTTGGAGCCACATTCGCTCACATGCTTTGGGTTTAGTACAAGTCTTTTCTACAAAAAACATATCTTTCCAAAAACATGAAAATGCAATTAATACATTGTATTCTTTCACATCCAAAGCCTATAGTGAAGATGTTAATTCTAGGGCTCTAGATGCTTTAGGCCCGGTAGTGGCTCAAATGGGATCCGAAAATACCAATCAATTCTTGGATCTTTGTGAAAATTTCATTGAAGATTCAACTCCCTTTACAATTCGATATTCCGCTGTACACGCAATCACTCAATTTGGTGTCATCTCCATTAAACAAGGAAAGTTTAATTTATATTCCGCAAGAGCCATTTGTATTATCCACAACTCTTTGAGCGACGATGACGAGGATATCAGAAACATAGCGGCCGATTCATATCGCTTGATCTTCGAAACTCCCTATAAACAAGTTCCTTCAATAATATCAAATTTATTATCTACCACTTTCCTAGAATTATTCCCTTCGGATATAACTGAAAGAGTTTTAGTTGACTATTTCATCCGCTCAAAGCCTGAAATTTCCTATAGAATCACTGAAACCGATCTACAAACTGACGACCTGCCATTTGATGTTGAAAGTTTGAACCTATACCGAGACGATATTTCAAAGAGATTGCAAATAATCAGATCCATTATAAAAGTAAACAACATTTCACCATTATCCGCACAATCATTGAATGCATTGAAAACCAAAATCTTAAATGATTTAGACTTGATCTATCTGTTTGCAATAAAGAGAGGTATGGATGGTTACGTTGGTTGGTCTAAAGACGATTTCGTCTTCACTTCCACTACAGAAACCGTTTTGGATGCAAAAATGTTTTTGAACTTGACTGATGACATTGACGTGGTGACTAAGCTCGAAAACGTAATGAATCTTTTGAAACTGCACGATTTGAATCTCTCTATTAAAAGGTTAACTAATTCTTGTAAATAGCTGCAAAATATAGACTAATAGACCTTTTGAACCTAACTTACCGTAGAAGATCGGGTAACCCCCCTTCCATTGAAGAGAATTTTTCTTTCTCCTCGCGACTCTATAAATACCCAGTTACTTCCAGTTCTTTTTTCAAACCCAATTTTTTCACTAATACGCCATGCCATTCTATGCTTGTGTGTTGCTGTACCATTCTACGATTGTATAGTGGTGCTACTGAAGACTTTTAATGGGTATGTTCAAATCATATACCGATACCAGATTATATTTTGCAGACTCGAGACTTGGGGGTTTAAGGATGAACAATTTATAACAACTACGAATTTCTTCACCTGAAACACCATGTGGAATAAAAATAAATCAGAGCTTTTTAACACTGACAAATCACCAAGTTTTCTCGAGTTGTATTATACTGGAACGGAATATCATGAAAAAGACGAAATACTAACAGTTCTCGTAGTTTTAACTTGTGTTATTATCATTTATAGACTTTTGCAATATACGGGTATAGATCCACACATTCATTTGTAGAATCTCCTTGGAGACGGCGAAACAACAGAACGCAGATGATATCTATGGTTGCAGTAGAAGGCTAAGATGAGCATCTGTCGGTTTTTTTTTTTTTTTTTTTTTTTGAGCAAAATATTTAAGACTATCGAGATGACTTCATTTGTAAGTAGACGTCAACCTCACCACCATGTCTGAAATAGATGAGTTTCCAGCAGTATGTGAGAGATGCTGTGGTCCTGATAAGCATATCAAGATGATCAGGCAGCCATTTGGAGAAGAGTGCAAGCTTTGCACTCGACCATTCACCGTATTCCGTTGGAACACTAGAGATTCCGGTAATAAATCAAAGAAAACAATCATTTGTCAAACATGTGCTAGATCGAAGAACTGTTGTCAATCTTGCATGCTAGATATCGCCTACTTGATTCCGTTGGAATTGAGAGACGCTGCTTTGAAGATGGCAGGAATAGATAATACATTAGCTATCGAACAAGGGTCTTCATCCAATAGGGAAGTTAAGGCGATCATGGCAGATAAAATGGAATCACGATTGAAAAAAGAAGATGAATCTGAAAATTGCGCTAAGGCCCGAGACATACTTACAAAGCTAGCTGAAAAGCTAAATGCCACTGAATCCAAGCTCAATAAAAAATCGAATCTAAATAAAAAGTCAGAAACCAGTGATATTAAGAACGTGGATGTATCTAAAATCTTATCCAAACTTCCCTTCGGTGGGCTGCTAAAGGAACCGTCAGATCCAAGTGTTACCTCCTTTTTCATTTTTGGAATAAATGCTGACGTTCCTCAATACACAATATCCGACTACTGTCATAAGTTTGGTAAAACGAAAAATATGACCATTGTGCATAATGCAAAATGTGGATTTATTTCTTTTACAAGCAGAAAATCAGCAGAAAGCTTCGCTCAAGCTATTCGAAACAACGGGTTGAATAAAGATAATAAAAAAGCTGGTCTTTTATTACTTGATAATAAATACCCTGTTAGAGTGACTTGGGGAAATCTTAAACCATTGGGTAGAACAAATGAAGAACATAAAAAGATAGGCTTGGTTGTACTCAAGGTGTTGAAGCAGTTGGCTGAGAAGAAGTAATGGTCATAGTATATATCATATTACAGTATATATCATATAATAGAATACTTAATATATAACGATGTAAATAGCACTAAGTCGTTTTTCGCGACTTCATTCTCAAAACAAACATCAAAATTTCCAGAGTGTTATGGATCAACACACTTTATTACTTCTTGTTCTTTTCCTTCCAGCGATACCCACATCATGAACTACGAGACAAAATTGTGCTTGAAGGTCGCGCTCCTTCTATTTCCTTTATTCGTGGCAATCATTAGGTTGATAGCCGTGCTTCCTGCGGTAGGCTCTTTTTCTGAACAGCCGCTCTTTTCCAAAAATGCTAAGTCTCTTTCTGATGTTCCATTATCCGTCAAAGGAGCAAATATAATGATATTACTTGGTTCAGGTGGACATACTGGAGAAATGCTTCGTATCTTATCTAATGTTGACATGTCGAACTTCAGCAGAACATGGGTGGTCTCTTCTGGTGATACTACCTCTCTTGAGAAAGGGAAAGCATTCGAAGAAGCTAATTTACTGAGTTCACACTATAAGGCTTCCTATGCATCGCTCCCAAGAGCAAGAAGTGTTGGTGAGTCTATCATCCTGTCTATTAAAAGTACTCTTCTATCCTTTTACGAAACCATCCGTACACTTAGGGCATTACCCCAATTACCATCGGTATTACTTTTAAACGGGCCTGGTACTAGTGTGCCTCTTGCATATATTTTATTTGGTATGAAATACTTCGGTCTTTGCAAAACTAGCATCATCTATATTGAATCCCTTGCTAGGGTTGACAGCCTAAGTGTGAGTGGCCTCTTGCTTCTTCCGATTTCTGATAGGTTCATTGTGCAATGGGAGGACTTATACTTGAAGTACCATCGTGCTGAATACTACGGTATGTTGATTTAGAACCTTAATTTTGCATAGATTAATATATTAGAATTTTTCACTGTCGTAATTGCGCAGACCAACTACAAAAAAAAAAAAAAAATAAGCTTAGACAGATCAAACGCGTCACCATCTCAACCAGACAAGAAGGCTTTCTTTTGATCTGGTGGACCCTGATATCACTTTGTCATTTGAAAGTTACCCTAAGAAGACTAAACTGCAATGCTAGTGACTGGAAATACTTTCCATGGCTCTATCGAGGAGTTTCCAAGCATTAGCATCGATAAGTTTAATACTCTGTCTGATATATTCATTTTGACTCATTCCCATTCTGACCACTTGGTGGGCTTGACAAACAAATCTTTTAATAGTGTTGTTTATTGCAGTGAAATGACGAAAAAAATCATTTCCGATGATATTAAATATTCCGATATTGTACATCTACTTCGACCACTAGAGTTCAACCGGCAATATAATTTTCTTATCCATGGAAACAAGATCAATATTGTTTTGATTCCTTCGTATCACTGCGCAGGGTCTAGTATGGTTCTTTTGACTGGAAACGGTAAGTCAATTCTATTTACTGGTGACATAAGAGCTGAAGATTGGTGGACTTCATCTTTGAGAAAAAATTCATATCTTTATCCATATACTACCTCTTTGAGAACTTTAGACAATATTTACTTTGATTCGACTTTTGCTTATAGAGGAGAACCTTTTATAGAAATGTTATCCAATGAAGATGGTATGGAAGCAGCTGCAAAATTAATTAGCCTTTATCCCTCTGATGACCCCGATGTTCAATTTTTCTTCACAGATAACACGCTTGGGTTTGATGAATGTTGGGCTAGTATAGCAGATTTAACACAAGGTGAGCTACATACGTCACTGAAAAATGGGAATCGCATGAAATTACTCGAAGAAGCAGGACAGAAGCCTACTAGAACTTATAGACAAGATATTCTGGCTGAAAAAATGAAAGTATTTCATGCTTGTGGGAAATTTCCAGACGATTGTCAGATTAAGTTCAAACCAAAATTTTCTGTCAGGATAAAGCAATGCATTGATTTCAATATCAGAGATTATGTTGCGTCATTTGTGCCCCTACTGCTTGGTACTCTAAGTTCATCTGAGAAAGAACACAATCTTTTGCTTCGAGATGAAACTGCAATGGGAAATCAAATCTATCATTTCAGAAATCGTGATTGGATTCTACCTAAAAATACTCAAGAACTTTTACCTGCTGATATAAAACTTGTGTTTTCTAGACACTCGTCATATTCAGAAATAAAGGAATTCATATCCCTTTTCACACCTAAACAAGTGTACCCATGCACAGAATCAAAGAATACCTGGATAAATGGGTTTTCAATGTCGCGAGTCTTTGGTTCGGTATGCTTATCGTCTTCATTCTCGTATGATCTCAAGAAACAAGTTGAATGGGGATCCATACCAAATTTGAATCTTACTCGGCCAGTAACGACAGTGAATAGATGGAGCATTTCACAATGCCAAAATGAGGAAGACTTTGTTAAAGGAATTCTCACTCGCCTGGGTGGTTCCATCAGGGAATACATGCATGACAAATTACAACTTTTAGGTGTTGGTGATCGGGGACTTTCGAAGCAAGAACGAAAAGATCGCAAGTTGCCCAAATTCATTGAAGGCCGTAGGGAAGAAAAATTCAAGATATTTATTGAAGAACAACAGCGTAAATACAATAAATATTTCAATGGTCCATTGAACAATTCAGATATCGGCAGTGACTATACTGATTCTTCATTGGATACGAGAGCCCAATCTGATTACCATATGAATTCCAGTTCTTCATCTTCCAGCAAATCTTCTAAATCTAGAAAGACTCAGGAAACCTGGTCTCCATCGCCAAAGATCTCATCTGTACAAAGAAAGTCCCGCCCGAGATTGAACCGAATTCACAAACCCAACAAAATAAGATCAAAATATCTTGATTGCTCTTTTGTTCATTCAAGTTTCAATTCTTTCGAAGTATCCATGGCTAGGGTTTCCTTTACTGGGAAACTTTCGATATCTGAAGCACCAGAGAAAGTTCCATCGGAATCTAAAACGTCCAGCCAAGAAAGCATCTACTACAAAACGGGAGTCTTGATAGATTATAATAGAGTAGATCAAGTTGCTGAGGAATTGAAAACCAATTCGTCTAATTGGTTTGGTTTTAATCTCCAGTCTACTGCTCCCTAGCAAAAAATGTAAATAACGTAAATCATTAATTCAATATATTATAATTATTATATACAAAAATCTAGTTGATTTTTTTTAAAGCTATAGTACAGTAAAACCAATAGGGAACCACCAAACCAATAGGAAACCCAGATCTTGAATGCAAAATGGTATTTAATTCTCTCTCCATTGATGAGAGCACTTAACACACTTATAAAAGGTGGTCATTGGTTCATCCGCAGACCTAATTTGTAATTGGAAAAAGTATGCTTTATTATTACCACAAGAGTCAATAGGACATTGTGCTGCGGTTTGATCAACATTCTCCCATGCTCCTTCACCTCCCAATACATCATCAACCTCTTTTCTAGCCAATTTCTTTCTATCGTACATCAGAACTCCATTAATTTTAAACTCGTAGGGACAAGTAGGACAATAAAATCTGTTACAGCCATCGTCACCCAGACCAATCAACAACATATTCGCACAGTACGGACAGAATGACAACATTGTCTCCCAAATACCTATTGAACTATTCTGAAATGCTTATTATGGATTATGGTATTTACCATAAGCTTGATTTCAGTAAAAAAAGAAAAAAAAAAAAAGCGAAGAGGTTGATGTAGATAAAACATCCGTGCATCTCAATTGAATTTTTCAACCGCTTTTGAACTTCTATCGTTTTTTTCTTTTTATATATAACAATTCTTCAATTGACTGTCAATTCAACAATATTTGATAAGAGATGGTTGAAACCAGGAGACTGCCTCTAAGGAAAGAGAATGGACCATCATCACCAAACTCATCCATTTTTTACACTCCTGGAAAGACAAGCTCTATATTCAATACGCCTACGCGCTCTGGCTCGAGGCTGCAGTTACAGCTTGAAATGACCAATTCAACAGTACTACTGCCTAGCAAGAGGGGGACAATGAATTTTACAAAAGGATCCCCAAGAAGAGAACTTCAGGAGGAAGCCAATGGTACTTCTGCTATTTTCAAGGCTCCGTCTCCGGTCAAGACGCCAAATGGAAGAGCTGGGTTACCTTCACCAAAAAGAAGAGGTATTTTCGATCTCGACAAATCAGCAAGAAAGAGAGCTTTTAAAAGCACTAGTGCTTACTCTCAGCTAATGAACGATGGGACGGATGATTTTGATTATCTTGAGGAGCAAGATCGTGAACTAGCAGGAAGAATTATACGGGAATCAAAACGCGCTAAAATTAATGATAAAGATGAAGAATCTGAAGAAGAATATATAAGGGCTTATGGAAGTGATGTTGAATTGGAAGAGGATCATACTGAAACACCTAAGACAAGAAGGCGAACACATGCCGAGAAGAAGAAAGATGTTCAACCTAAACCTAAACCACGCTCTAGAAGAAGGGCTACTGTGGATGAGGTCAAGAGCGAAGACCAAAATGAAAGTGATGAAGCGGAAGACATTGACGATGAAGAAGATTCGGATGTTGAAGTGGATGATGAAGATGTGGAAGATGAAGAAAATGCGGAAGATGAAGAAGAAGAAGAAGAAGAAGAAGAAGAAGAAGAAGAAGAAGAAGAAGAAGAAGAATTACAAGCAAGCCCAACAAGGTCTAGGAGACGGCAGAGAAATGATATAGGGCTTGATGAGGAGATAAGTCCTCGAAAGGTGGGTCGTCCAAGGACCCGTGAAATCAAAGAAAAACGAAGAGTGGGAAGACCAAGTAAAGCCGACAAGGTCATTAGTCAAGTCAAGAGTATTTTCCAAATGGACGATGATGCTTTCTTCCAAGAAAATAAAAGTCCTCAGAAAAAGGACTTGCTGAAAAGTCCTCAAAAGAGAGCAAATGTTCCTTTAGTCAATTTTAATAATACAGGTGATAGTAAATATTCCAAAATACCAGTTGTGAGCGGAATAACCCAAGAAAATGAAGCTAAGAAAGATAATGTTCCTTTTGAAGAAAACGACTTTCAAACCCGTTTCACTCCCATGCCTATTCCCGAACTCGACGAGAATGGAGAAATTATAGATAAAGAATACGTAGAAAAGTATTTCCCTCGTTCTAATCTCGAGTTGAAATTTAAAGGAAAATTAGCTGACGAAAGAGCCTTTTTCCTTGAAGGGTCAGAAGGATACTTTGAACAACATAACACTAGAGTCAAAGCCAGTGCTGGCTCGCTCAGTCAATCAGCTCCACATATCGAGTATGACGAGTTTTTACCTTACGTCAAACTTAGCGAATTAGTGAGAAAACAAGAAAGGGCCAACATTTGTGAATTACACCGACTGTTATATCATCAATGGTGCTTCGAGCTCACTCAATCTTTTAATTTAAACTTTTACGGGATTGGTTCAAAGATAAACTTAATACTCGATTTTGTTGAAAATTATTTAATTGACTGGTACGAGGAGATTTTTGATGATGACTATCCTGAAATATTAGTTGTAAATGGTTATAACCCAGCTACAAAATTGAAGACCATCATGCTTGATATAGCATCAGCTTTAATCCCACAAGAAACGAAGAAGGCAAATAATCTTAAATTTCCAAAGCATGTTTCAGAAACCGTTCCTTTCTTGATAGAATTCATGAATCAAAACAGGGAACCACCTACTGGAAAAAACAATATTATAAGGCCCAAGCTTATATTGACAATTCACAATATCGACGGGGAATCATTGAGAGATGAAAAGACACAAAGCTTGTTATCCCAGTTATGCTCACTCCCTGAAATATGGCTTATTTCTTCTGTCGATAATGTGAATGCCAGTTTATTATGGGATCTGTTCAGGTTGAAAAACTACAACTTTATTTGGCATGATTTGACCAACTACAATCCATATAGTATTGAGTTATCTTTCAAAGATATTCTTAGTGTTGGTAAATCCAAGAAGTTTGTTGGTAGTAAGGGTGCTAAATTTGTCTTGACCTCTTTGACGCCTAATGCTAGAAAACTTTATCAATTATTGATTAACAAGCAAATGGAAATTATGAAACATGCTACTCAGAATAAAGCAGGTCTTTCAAGCTTGAGAGGTAACATAAAATTTGCAATTGGTTTCAAAGAGTTCTATACAGCATGTACCGAAAATTTCGTCTTATCCCATGAAAATGCCTTCAGAACAATTCTTGGTGAATTCGTTGAACATAAGATGTGTACACTTACCAAGGATGATTCTGGGACGGAAGTTGTTTTTATTCCTTTTTCATTTGCTGAGATGGAACAATTGCTTAAAGAGAACGTGTTGCAATAATCGTCAATTCAAAGAGCCTTCATCCGATGAGAGTTTGTGTTTGATATACCTCGTCTACGATCGTAAAATGAAGCTTTCTGGGGTACCAAACTAGTTCCCCTTTCTATAACCACAGCGACAGTTGTTCCGGTGGTTAAATTAGCATTTGTCATATAGATTCTAAAAGCATATATTAAGTTTTTTTCATTTCCATTTATTGATGTATTATCGATCTGTTGTAGCCGTAAGGATATCTTCAAGATTTTAGTACCAATATCTCCTTGGTCCTCTAATGCCGGATCTTTGCAGTTGCACAGATACAGGCACACACGATAAGCTTGTCATATTTTACATACTTAGTATATCGAATATACTTTATATAAGGTGGAGCTAAACGGGCTAAGCATGATACGAAAATTGTTGGTGATCTCACTCATTTTTTTTTTGTCGTTTAATACGTTGCCTCTCATTCTTAATTTTTAAATTTTTTTCTCTCACTGTGTTTTTAAAAGGTTTCGTATTACTTTAATTGATTCAATTGATCCCATTTGACCTCCTTTTCCAATTCAGTTACCTCAAGATCGATCTTTGCAGTAGCGAAATAGTCAGTCTAATTTTTGTTTGAGAATAACTACGATTGATCATGGGGAAACTTTCAAAGCTCCCAGAGGGTACAAAGCTCCCGGTGGGAAGTCACGACGTCAAAATTTTGAAGTATCTTTCTGAAGGTGGATTTGCCCACATTTATAAAGTCGAGATTGAGCCAGTTGAAGAAGGATCTGAAATAGCTTGTTTGAAAAGGGTGATTGTGCCAGATAAGAATGGATTAAATCAATTAAGGAAAGAGGTTGATGTAATGAAGACATTACGCCACGCTCGCAATATTGTGAAATACTACGATTCCCATGCTGAAAGGTTGCCAGATGGAACTTATCAGGTATTAGTGTTGATGGAACTTTGTCCTAACAAGTCTTTATTAGATTATATGAATGATCGGATTAAAACAAAGCTCACTGAACCAGAAATTTTGAAGATAATGTTGGATATTTCCATAGGGGTATCCGAAATGCATAAGATCAAATTGATCCATAGAGATATAAAAATTGAAAATGTTCTTATAGATGCACATAATGATTTTAAACTTTGTGATTTTGGTTCCACTTGTTCTCCTTTGATGCCACCTAAAGATCAACAAGAATTCCAATTTTTATCCCATGATATCTTATATCAAACAACCCCGCAATATAGAGCTCCTGAAATGATAGATTTATATAGAAGGCTCCCCATCGATGATAAATCAGATATTTGGGCTTTAGGATGTTTTTTATATAAATTATGTTACTATACCACCCCCTTTGAAGCCAATGGTGATATCGCTATTCTTCATGCATCTTTTCAATTTTTACCAGCACCTGTGTTTTCGGGTGACTTGAAAAATTTAATTATCATCATGTTACAAGAGAATCCTATTTTTAGACCAAATATTATCCAGGTTATTATTCTTGTTGCTACTATGATGAAATTAGATTTTAAAGATTTGAAAATTGAAGATTTTTACAAAGCCGGTCCCTACAACTTCCATGCATTACATGAATATCAACGCCAAAAACAACAGGAATTGATTCAACAACAACAATTCTATTACCAACAACAACAACAACAATTACAACAAAACCAACAACTCGCCCAAACTCTGTCACAAAAGAGCAGCAGCACCAATTTAGTCGGAAATGTGCCTTCTGCTGATCCATCGAACCCAACCTACGCATATTCTTCTCCAGTTCAACAACCCGCACAAGCGGCTGCAGCACCAAACCTACAACCACAGACTCAAGAACAATCACTCGCATATCAACAACAGCAATCACAATTCCCTATTCAAGAACAATCGTTGGTTTCCCCTTATAAAGATAAATATCCTGTCTCGCAGCCTGCAGATCAGCCATCATTAAACCCAGAATTACAAGATGAGAAACTTGAACTTAATGAAAAACACAACGCAGAAGATTCCGATGATTTGGAAGGGTTGGAAGAGAACCTTGATAATGTAGAAGAAAGATATCCTTCTCTAGAGGACTTATTGGATACACCGCAAAGACCAAGGGATGATACTACCATATCGAATAAGAGTAAGTTGCTGTCGGAAAGTCCACCAGCATCTTCATCACCGGCTCCATCTATTAAACCACCTTCATATCCCGTGAAACCGATTATTTTACTGAGTCCCGAGATTAAAAAATTAAACCCCGAGGAACTTCAACAATATAATTATCAACATCAAGTATATCAGAGTCAATTCCAGTATTACCAGCAAGTGCAACAACAACAACAACAACAACAACAACAACATAATCAACAAAAGTTTCAAAAATCTCAAGAAAATCCAGCAGGTTTGCAATCACCGGTGCCACAGTATTCTTCGAAATCTTCTAAGAGTTCTCGGATCAGTGGGGAAGGATCGAAGACTCCTACTGCATTCGAATCCAAGGAAGCTTGGGAAAAGCTGCATTCTAAGATCGACAAGAGTGCTGAAAGATTGGCTGATGACATCTTTGCAGGTGGTACTAAATCGCCTGCAACGAAACCCCAAAAAACAAATCAAAGTGTCAAATCAGACCATTCAGTTGTCAGTGCAAAAACTGATATTTCTTATAGTTCTGATGAGGATAGAATGAAGCTATCAAAAAGTGAATCTCTGAACAAAGAAACCCAAAAATATCCAGACATTGAAAACAAAGAACAAGAAGTAGAAGAAACATTGGAGTATACTCCCACCGAAGTTGCACAACATAGCAAAGAGGAGCTAACTGAAGAAAACTTGTCTAAGGCTCAACCAAGTCAGTTGAAGGAAGAGGTTTCTCAGAAAGCCGATAATGAAATGAATAACTTTCCTAACTCAGTTTCTCGACCTATGCCTATACCTAATCAATCCCAATATATCAGTGCTCCTATGATCCCAACTATGAATTCGAACTCTTACACATCATCATCCAATCCATTTCCGATGACGTCAAAAGCACCTACAAATCAACAACAATCTCAACAACAACACCAACTTACTCAAGATACCACTCAAGGACCCAAACTTCCCGAAAGAAAGAACGCAAACCCTTGGAGTGACTTCACTAACAATCTGAAGTCATCGCCAATGACTAAAGTTTCTTCTCATCCTGGTACAATGAATGCCGTTCCTACTTTAAACAGCCAAAATAAATTCAATCATTTAAATGCAAATAATATCCATGATCAGTTTAATAATATGTCAATTTACGATGGCCAGAGACCAAAGAAATTTGATACTCCTACATTACCGAACAATCAGGCTGAGCCTAATTTGATCGACTTGGAGGTAGGATTAGATTCTTCCAGCTCTGCATCAGGCACACCAGGCGCCACTCCTCTAGCACTTCCCAAACAAAGAGATGCTAACAATAGACTAGAAAGTGAACCATCCCTATTGGACTTGAAAGACTTGGATGATAAACAAGCGAAAGCTCCTGAAAAGCCCCAGTTCAAGAAAAGAATTTCGTCTATACAGAATGCCTCAAATTTCAGCTTCCAAGAAGAGGTGATCGATTTTGCTTCTGACGATGAAAACCCAGAAAATAGTTCTAAAATGAACAGAATTTCTATAAGGAACTCTCTTAAAAAGCCTAAAGGTAGAAAATCAGGGGAGCATAAACGTACCGATAGCTCCAATGGGGAAGGTAGTAAAAAACGTATCTCATTCTTTGGGGGAAGTAGCTCAAACAATTCATAAGGCCACAACCATTCGTTTCATTATTACTAAAGCTACAATATAAATCTCATAATACACATCTCAATATCTTATAGCAAATGTCAATGTAGGTGAAGGTCCAATAGGCTGCAATTGTAAGAGTCGATTTGCATTTCTTCTGACTTCTTCGATGATATTCCAAGTCTTCGCATCCATGAAAAAAAAAAAAAAAAAAAAAAAAAAATCAATCGACTTCTTAAGATCTATTGGTACGAATAGCCTTACCTCAAATTAGAACAGAAATGGATGTTAAGAAAGTCCTAAGACAAGCTTTGTCCCAGCTTGTACTTTTAGTTCCAGCAGAAAAATTTACAACAGCTTTCGAATCGACCCCAGAGTTGAGATCCATCCAGGAACCTGTCTTGTATATATTAAGAGGTGAGTCTTCTCAACTACTTGTTAACCAAGACTATTCCTCTTTAATCTTGAATGAAGAATCAAAGAACATATTGAAGGAATTTCCATTCAAAAGTCTCGATGTGGTGCTAAAGGAGTTTGTGGATCGAGTAGTAAGAAACTTTGGAGACCATTTTCAAAACGAAGAGTTAGCTTCCATTCATTTACAATTGATTGCCATCTCATTATTACAAGTATTTATCCAGATAAATGTGACAGGCCCAAATATAGATTATAGCTCACGTGAATTGCTTTTCAATGATATTGACGAAACATTATTACAACTTGAGAGTGTTAAGCTATTAGCACTTGAAGGTCAAACTGCTTATGACTTAATGGTGGATCCTTTATTTTTGATTCTTGCAACATTGATTTTCGAACGTTTGTCTAATGTTGAATCAAAATTTTCGGTAATAGCCAAAAATAAAGACGTTAGTATTGACGATATAGCTACCGTTACTTCAAAATTTATTGAATCATTGAATGATGACCCCATCCAATCTTCTCTTCAATGGTGGAGAGCAAGATGCTCACAAGTTCACTTGTGTGTTTTAAATGAACCACCCAGTGTTTTATCTTCTTTGTCGTCCTTGTTGTTGAGTCCTTCAATAGTCAATTCATTATGCCCAGCTTCCGATAATAATCTTGAATTACAAAAGCATGTTCAGTTGTCTTATTTCTTAGAATGTGCCAGAAGTGGAATCCACGCAGGAACTGAACACTTATCAATCCCCTTTTTGGCCAAAGCTCGTAAAGTGTCAGAGCTTAGCTTTGTACTTTCTGGTGCTAAAGCGAAAAGAACAAAGTTCCAAAAGTTCCATACTTCTGCTTTAATTGTTTTGGCAAAAAGTAACAAAACTGCTTTATTTGATGTTGCAAAAGAAAACGAAGATTCTAATCCAGAAAGCTTGAACCTTAATGATGAAACTTTGTTGGAACGTCCTCAATTCGAATCTTTGGATGATCTCGAAATGGAAGATGATGGCCCAAGCTCAAAGAAATTGAAACTTGATGATTTAGCCGAAATTAGTAACGAAGACGAACAACTGGAAAAATTATTACCAATAGCATTGAGGCAAGAAGACATTCCCGAAGACTTGAGAGAGCTCGATCCAAACGAACAACCTGCTTTAAATGATCTTGATAATGTTCAGCTTTTATTAAGATTATGGACTATTAAGCAAACTTCTCCATCTGGAAATGCATTAGTCGAAGAGGAATTGGGAGCTTTGGTGGCTAGAATTTTATATTCAGATACCAAAAGTTCAAACTGGTCAATTTTTGCTAGAGCATTATGGGAAAGATCAGTTCTTGAAACTAATAAGGCCAGAACTATTGAAAGAGGTATTTTACAAATGACTTCCTTGGTAGAAGAAATTGGAATTAAGATTAAATCAAGAATGATTCCTCAAGCACAAGAAGATGGAGAAGTTCAAGCTACATCTGCATCTGCATCAAGACTTAGATTCATTCACCAATTACCATTCATGCCTCAATGGGCCATGGATGCAAGATTAGCTGAGAAATATATGTCTATTGGTGTTTTAAGATCTGCCATTGAAATTTATGAACGTTTGAATATGACTTGTGAAGCAGCATTATGTTATGCAGCTGTTGATAATGAAGCAGAGGCTGAAAAGATTCTTATGGAAAGAATCAAAAGCCATCCTGAAGACGCAAGAGCCATTAGTATATTAGGTGATATAAAACAAGATCCAGATTTATGGCTTAAATCTTGGGAAATTGGGAAATATTATAAAGCTAAGGCTTCATTATCCAGATATTTCTACAGCCCACCCCCAAGCTCTGGATTAACTAAAAATATTGAATTGGCTATCAAGAATATGAACGAATGTCTTACAGTTCACCCTCTTTCTTATGAGCATTGGTTTTTCTATGGTTGTTGCGGATTAGAAAGTCAACAGTTTGAGTTAGCAGCAGAAGCTTTCACAAGATGTGTTGCGCTTGACGATACCAATTCCCATGCATACTCCAATTTAGCTACTGCATTGCTTCATACTGATAAAATCAGACCTGCCTTCAATGCTTTAAAGAAGGCAATTAGAAGTGCTGGTGAAGGTAAGAAATCATGGAGAATCTATGAAAACTATTTAATTGTGGCAGCTAAATTGAATGAGTGGAATGATGTCTTATTAGCTGCCAAAGAAGTGTTACTGATTAAGAGTCAATCTGAAGGTGAATTATCCATTGACATTCCAGTTTTAGAAAAATTGGTTGAAGTTTTAGTTTCCACCGAATATCCTAAAGGGGAAAATGCTAGATTAACCCACTATCAATCATCATGTATTGATCTTATCTGCAATATGTTACCGAATGTGATAAATACATCTGCTAGATGTTGGAGACTTATATCAAGAGTGGAATTATGGCGTGGGAGACCTTGGTCAGCTCTTGAATGTCATGAAAAGGCATACAGAGCTGTATCACAACGTACAGAACTTGAAACCGATGAAACAGTTTGGAATGATGCCGTTGAAGCTTGTTCTGATCTTATTGCTGCATACGAATCATTAGGTGAGTTACCAGGGAAACACGATGCTGGTGATGTAGTTTGCAAAGATTGGAGGTATAAAGCCAGAACTACCGTTAGATCTTTGATGTCCAAGGGTAAAGCTATGTGGGAAGATTCTGAAGGATGGGAAAGATTACAAGGAATGAAGGAAGATTTGGTTAATTGAGTGTATATAGAAAAAAATATAAAGACTTCTTAAATTAAATTAGCTATGTACTAAGAGATGAGGTCATTGATGACGGGGAAAGTATCAAATACCAAAGAATTTAATCTGTTATGTGTTTTCAAAGAGGAGCTGTATCTTTTGTGAGATGAGCTTATAAGCACACTTGTATCATCTGTAATATTTTTATTTGACTTATCATCATTTTGTTCAAGATCAATCGGAAAAAAAAAAAGTAGTTTCCTTTGGCAAGATTGGTATTGGATAAGGATGAATGGAGGACAATGAAGGAATTCCAATAATGAGTAGAACTGAGTGAAAACATTGTGAAAGGAATGTCTACTGACATAAGAGTTGTCCAACCTCAAGCCGTATAAGAAGGAATAAAGAACAAAATGGGTTAATTTGTAGTCTAATATTGCATCTTTGAAAAATAGAACCAATACCACCAATTCGAAATAGCTGGCAATAGCCAATAAAGGCTCTTTTAAATAATTAAGAAAGGGCATCAAAGTTAGGGCAAAAGAAGTCGATCCGAGCAAATCGGCGAACAAATAGCTTGAGAGATTCATTAAAGAGTAAATCGTAAAGGGAACTACTTTCACTGGAGAAACCCTGTGACAACTTAGACTCAAGAGGGCGATTGCCAAAAGTTGGAAATTTTCAATGGTGATAAAGTTGATGAATTGTGGTTGTGTGGAAAGCTTCGAGTAATTGGTGAACGCCACTTGAATGTATTTATAAGAAACAAGCAGATATGTAAATACGGCTCCCCATAGAGAAACATAGTACCATACCTCTGAAGCCAAATACCGATTATTACCAGCAAGGAAAAAATACCGATAATACAACACAATTAAGGAACCTGACGCTGTTACAACATGTGAAGCCACCCAGGTGTACTTGAACAAATCAACCGAAGCCTGAACATCCACACTTCTGCGGTAAATGAGCCAGGTGACGTTTTTCAAATGACTTTGCAAAACTAAACACCCCTGCTGGGCTTGAACAAAGACCCTGCTAGTGTACTGTTGTATGAGCCTGATTTCCGGGGTGCACCGCCGGATATCCGTTATCACCTCACCCACCGAGACTGGCTTGACCTGGGGCATGTTATTAGCAAGGGATACTGTTGCAAAGGTTGACTTGCTGCAAAAAGTGATTTGTGGATGCAAAAAAAGACATTATATTCGCAAAAACACCTCCGTACATTCTACATAAACGATAATCGCACTACGCTTTCCTACGCCCTTCCTGGTGGTGTACGGGTGTATATCCAAATCCAGGTGTTCACACGCCCAACTGCGACCAAAACACCACTGATTTGGCTTAACAAGGCAGTGTCTGCTGGTTTTAAAAGGAAAGATACGCAGATTTTCAGTTAAAAAAGAGGTGGGCGCGTATTTCATTTGGAAAGAAGACAACTTAACAAAACCTCACCAGAGTTCATTACTTCTTCTTTTGAAGCTTGACCATTAGTTTAATTTTGGGAATTCAGTTTGTTGAGATTGCTTGATTTCCGTTGTTGTTTTTGTTTTTGATTAGCTTAACGATTCCTCGTCTAATATTCGAAAACAAGGTCAAGTTTGTATCCAAGTTTGTATCGATATTTTTGCTATTAATTTTTTAATTACTCCAGAGTTTTTGCATCCCAATCCCAGTTTGATCGTGGCACACGTCGTGTTTCCCTTTTCGTTCGGTGTTCTGTGCCTTGTTTCTGCTAATTAAAGCTGTTTGATCTTGATCCTTGAAATATAATTCTGGGTTCAATATAATTTAAAACAAACAAAAGAAAACAATACCAAAATCCCTGGTTTTTAAATTGTATTATAAATAAATAGATAAAGTGGTTTTAAAAAGGGCAACTTTCCAATATCGCATACTTTTTAGTCTCCAGTACTTCTTCCACTTAGAATTTTTTTTTTTTTCACGTATCTAGTTACTATACTGAAAAAAATAAAGGGATTACCTTTGTTTATTTTGTTCCCTGTTCCATCCCCAGTCTCATTTAGTCAGACCTCGAAATATTTGGTTTACTAGTTTTTACTGATTTTCATACCGATTTTCACTCTCAAAACACAAAGTTTTCCTCGTTTTATCGCTAACCACTCATACAAATAATAATTCTATACTCATAATGGTTGATGATAAATATATTGGATTGGCTCTTGCCATGTCCTCTTCTTTGGCCATTGGTACTTCCTTCATCATTACCAAAAAGGGTTTAATAGATGCATCCGCTAGAAATGGTAGTGATAATGTTCAAGGTTTTGAATATCTACAGAATCCAATTTGGTGGGCCGGTATGATTACCATGGCTGTTGGTGAAATTGCAAATTTCGCTGCTTATACTTTTGCTCCAGCCATTCTAGTAACTCCTTTAGGTGCATTATCAGTTATTATTGGTGCTGTTTTAGCCGCCATTTTCTTAAAAGAAGAATTGGGTACCTTGGGTAAAATGGGTTGTGCCATTTGTCTAATGGGTTCTGTTATTATTGTTCTTCATGCTCCTCCTGATAAAGAAATTGAAACCGTTGATGAAATATTGGGTTACGCAATGCAACCAGGTTTCTTATTTTATTCAGCCTTAGTAACTGCTTACTCATTATTCATGATTTATAAAATTGTTCCTAAATATGGTCATACTAATCCAATGATCTACCTTTCAATTTGTTCTTCAGTTGGTTCAATCTCAGTTATGTCAATCAAAGCTTTTGGTATTGCCTTAAAATTAACCTTGGGTGGTAATAATCAATTCACATATGTTTCAACTTATCTTTTCATTCTTGTTGTGGTCATCTGTATTGCTACCCAAATGAATTACTTCAATAAAGCTTTAGATCAGTTCGATACTTCAATTGTTAATCCTTTATACTATGTCACTTTCACAACATTCACTTTATTAGCCTCATTCATCCTTTTCAGAGGTTTTAATACTACTTCTGCTATCAACGTCATTTCCCTTTTGATCGGGTTTTTAATCATCTTTAGTGGTGTTTACTTATTAAATATTTCTAGAAAAGAAAACGATGGCAGAAATAGAGAAATTTTCGGCGTTCATAATGGAAAAGATATGGCTCCTCTAGATAATGGCATTGGAGGATTTTCTTCCATGAGAAGATCAATGCAAGTCAATAGATCGGTCGATTACGATAATGAAGAAACAGTCGGTTTAAGAAGATTTGATAGCTTCGAAATTGAAGATGAAGAAGAAGATGATAGACATCGCAGATAAACTTCTCCATACTAAACCCGAGTCTAGTGTTCACGTTTTCTTTCCCTTCTTCCCTCCTTGTACTCTGTACTCTGTTTGTATTCTACGCTGTACATTATATACGACTTTTAATCTTTATAGATGTAAATCCGTACACCTTTTTTTTTTTTTTTTTTTAGCTAACATACGTGATCCTTCTGTTATCGTAGAAGAGCTCCAACTACGTAGTAAAGAAGTTATAGTGAATTGAATAAAACCTTGCATCGAAACCACAGTTAAATTTTATTTATAATTGATTGGGTATTGAATTATGGGGGTTAGGTTATCACTTTTAGCTCCATCGGCGCCAACGGTGGCCATATCCTCCTACGTTGATATATTGAAAAATATGCAATATATTGAACTAATTAATAATTCGAGGTTCCTTAAGACAATCAAAGCAATAGATGATGAATCAGGAAACTTAATTGTTATCAAGATGTTAATTAAACCTTCTTCAAGCTTCACAATTAATTTGCATGACATCAATGAGTTATTGATAAAAGAAGCTTCCCTCCTATCACAGTATAATAATATATTACCATGGCATAAAATAATTGAAACGGACAGGGCAGGTTACCTAATACGACAATTAATGAAAACTAATTTATACGATAGATTATCAATTCGTCCCTTTTTGGAGCCAATAGAGAAATTATTCCTCGTTTTTCAGATGTTAAAAATTTTGGAATTATTGCATTCTACCTTAAATATTAATCATGGAGATCTAAAATCGGAAAACTTTCTAGTTACGTCTTGGAATTGGCTAATGCTAACTGATTTTGCTGGGTATACCAAACCAACATTTATACCAGAAGATAACCCAAATCAATATTCCTTTTATTTCGATAGCTCAGGCAGAAGAGTTTGTTATGTTGCACCAGAAAGATTCTATAACTCAAAAGAATCAAGTTCTGATTATCCCCCTGTGAAGTTTAGCGAAAATGGTAAGTTCAGTGGTAAAGATGGATTGACAGATGAAATGGATCTTTTTAGTTTAGGTTGTGTTATTGGTGAGTTGTATTCTGATGGGGAACCAACATTTACATTATCTCAACTATTTAAGTATATAAAGAATGAGTATTCTCCAGACTTATCCGGGATTCATGATACCGATATAAAAGAAATGGTGAAATCTTTAATAAGCTTGAATCCAAATGAAAGACCGTCCGTTGAATCTTTACTTACCAAAAGTAAAGGGAAGTGCTTTCCAGATTTTTTCTACGATTTCCTTTACGATTTCATGTATGATTTAAATAATAATGATTTATTCATAGTACCAGAGGATAATGATAATGTATCGATTAGTGATTTGAAAATCAACAAAATTTATGAAAATTTCGATAAGATTGCTCATCATCTTAAATTTGATTACGATTCAACAAGAATGGAAGACGTTGAACTAGATCATCTTATTCCTCTTAAATTTAATTTAAAAGGAATGCCACCAAATTATAGTATAAAACCTACTTCGTTCTTTGTCAATACTAATAAATCACAGGAGCATGCATCTTTGATAATCTTAAATTTTATCTTTTCATTGATCAAGACTTTGAAGCAACCAACATCAAAATTAAGAGCCTGTGAATTAATTGTGGTATTATCAGAGCGTGTGAACGATGAAGCTAAGTTAGATCGCTCAATTCCTTATCTTTGCCATTTATTGGATGAATATATTAATCAAGTTTCCAATAATGAACTCCATTATCAGCAAGAAAACCAACAACAGAAGCCAATCCAAGTAAACTTATCACAACACGTGAAATCTTCATCGAAAGTAGCTTGTTTTGCTCTTCCAGCTATTGCTACTTTGCTAGCTTCATGTTCTTATATTACTCCTGTCAACGTTCTAGTATTTCCTGAGTATCTACTTCCAATATTGGATAAATTAGTTCTGATTCCTGCAAGTAAAGAAGATGAAAGTGAACAGGCTTTGATAAAGATTACCCTTGCAACATGCTTACCAAATTTGGCTCAAACCTCAAAAAGATTCTGGATGATGTCGAAAACTTTCAAAAATAAAGCCATCAAAGACTATAAAAGTAGATTGATGATTCATTCAAATGTTGTAAGTAAAGGGTTGGTGAAGCCAGAAGATGATGAAGAATTACTAAATTCGTACAACACTTTCAACATTCCCAAAGAACAGCTTGACTCTGATTTTGAAAACTTGACATTCAGTTTGTTGACTGATCAAAATGTTAATGTGAAGATAAGTTTGGTGAGAAATATTTTACCATTATGTAAATTTTTTGGAATTGTTAAAACTAATGATACTATTCTTCCTTATTTGATAACCTATTTGAACGACTCAAACTATGAATTGAGATTGGCGTTTTTGTCTTCAATTTTTGAAATTGGGCCTTATGTGGGGGTTCTTTCATTTGAGCAATATTTGTTACCATTATTAATCCAGACTTTAGGGGATCAGGAACAACTTATTGTGCTAAAAGTGTTACAGATATTCCATCACTTCGTTAGTCATCGATTGATAAATCCAAAAACAGAGTTTAATGCATTGTCGATATATAGAGAGCTTTTGAAAAACTCCTTAAGTTTACTTTTGCATCCTAATGAATGGATTCGTCAATCAGTTTTGAATTTGGTTTTGAGTATAAATGAAAATTTATCTGATGCTGATCAATACTGCTTTCTTTATCCTTTGATCAAAAACTTTTTATCTTACGATATTGCAACTATTAACTGGAACACGTTATATCCGTGTTTGACCCGTCAGCTCTCAAGACAAGTGTACGATACTGCAAATACTTGGTGCATTAACGCTCTGTCAAGATCTTTATTCTGGCAACAGAGAACCTTTTCTGCGTTTACAGATCTCAATGGGAATAAAAAGAAAGCAATGAAGATTGTATCATACTCTAAGAATATGGGTAAATCAGTATATGTACCACAGGTCAATGGATCAACAGAGATTGGAGATAATGGTAGTATGAATGACAACTATCTGGATAATAGTATGGCAAACGTTCCGTTATCAGCAGAAGATAGACAATGGATATTGAAATTGAAGTCGGTAGGATTAGACGACAAAGATTTATGGAAAGTATTTGCACTTCGGGACTACATATCCCATGTGAGTAGAAATCATCATACTACTACAGGAGCAGCTCAAGATCTTGAATTAGTCAAGGAAGTGAATATTCCTCCACGGAACTTTTTTTTTGAAGTATGTTATAAAACCGAGCCAATAGCTAATAAATCACGTACAACTGAGGCAGATAGTGAAAACAGCGGGATTGACGATGCAATATCTATAAAATCACGTCGTGATTCGAATTCGTTGATAATTCCACAGTTTGGAAGAGTTAGGGCCTCTCTACAAATAGTAGAAGCTAACGTATTTGGAGAGTTAGAGCTCGGGCGTGATAGTGGGAATCACAAGTCAAATGGGTCTAGTTATCCACAAGTGCAACATCACCACCACACACATTCTAATAATAAACAAGAAACTCATAAAGTTTTCAGTATCAATAATCAGAAAATAATATCGAATAATCTGAGACATAGTTACAGTGGTTACAACCCATACATATTGAATTATTTACAACATGTTTCATTTGATCCTAGTTTAGATAATTTCCCAGAGTTTGGGAAAGTGGTTAAAGTGAGTGGTCGAGGAATCAATAATCAAATGAGTAAACACCAAGGTTTCAAACCACGAGGAGTTGTTGTTGCACATGTTAATAGCAACCAAGTATCGGATTATATAGATGGTATCAACGTTGTTACTACATGTCCTACATCCGAATTTTTTGTTACCGGATCAGAACTAGGATTTTTAAAGATTTGGGATACTTCAAAGTTGGAAAAAAACATCATATCCCGTACATCAATATTATCGACTAATGTTAAATCAGGGATTGTTGATATTCAATTCATGCCTAATAGGTTTATTATGGCCGTTAGTACCAAGGATGGTAAGATCAGAATATATCGAATTGATGTTTCGAGAGATAAACATAAAAAGATTGTCAAATATAATAAATTAGTGATTATTAGAACAGTTGAATATAATGATAATTGTGAAACAAGTTTTGGTGAAGACATGAGTGAGAATTTGAAGACCAAGACTTTTTTATCCAAATTACAATTTGTTATCACCAATACCAAAACATACTTGGTTGGTATTACCACCGGCTGCAAGATAGTTGGATATGATGTTATTAAGATGGAGAAAGAGTTTGAACTAAATAATCCCTTAAGACATGGAATACCGACTAGTTTTATTGTGGGGCATAATAAGATTTGGTTATTGGTTGGTACAAGTGATGGGATTCTTACATTATGGGATTTAAGGTTCAAAATCTTGATCAAGCTGTTTAGAGTAAGAAATGCCAATGAGGATTATCAAGGGAAATTTGCCATTAAGAAATTGGTCTTATTATCATCATCATTTAGTATTGAGAAGAATGAGCTGAAAAACCATGATCAAGTCAACACCTATTTTGCAATGATTGGAGGTAACAAAGAAGGGGATATAATAGTGTGGGAATTACCGAGTTTCCAATGTCGACAAGTATATAATTCATACGTGATCAATCCAAAAATCAAACAATACAAATTAGAAGAGATTGATGAAAACCATGAAATTACCATTGATGATATTTTTGCCGACTTGAATATCGATACCGATCAACTAGAAAACGGCGGCACAAGCAATATGGACAAAAGTATGACGGCTTTAAATTACTTTAGTAAGAATGGGAAACATTGCATCGAGGATTATTTTGTTAGTGCCACCTGGGATCGAAGGTTAATTGTTTGGAATACCACCAACGTTCAGGAATCGGTTGCTTTAGATAATCAAGATTGGGGGGTTAGTCGACAAATTGGATTTGTGAAACATCAAGTAAATCTGAATGTAACCAATATTAATGAAAAATTACAGGATGCAAAAACCGTTTCCAAATCAAGTTCCAAAGATAAACAAAACGACAAGCCAGCCAACGAGTTCCGCTACGACTTCGTAGGCCATATGGACGAAATCACCGACATTGACACCATCATTGCAAAGCCTTTTGATATGATAGTATCTGTTGATAGAAACGGGTACATTAATCTATATAAATAAGCACACTCTATATTTCTGCAATGTACTTCACAATACATAAACATGTCAACAAACAATGCCCAACTTCGTTAACTTGGACATTGTGACCATCTGTATAATTTATCCAATTACAAAAGAGAAAACCACTCAAAACCTTATTGAAAGCCAAATGCTTGCCCCCCCAAAAACCGTTTTGTTGCCAACGGTTTTACCGACAGTAAGCCTGCACACTACGCATAACGGTTTTCGCCGCCGCAAAAAGAAAGAAATAAGGCCCAAAGCGCAAAAAATAAACCATCTTGGTATTATTATTTACATCTACGAGATCGTAGTGATGAGCATACTGGTAGAGCCTGGTGATATGGCCGGAACATGCTGCCCACCCCAGCATCACCATGACCCCGGTTGAGCGAGGAATGGGACCGATCTACACTGTTTGAAAAGCCAAAAAAGACGTCATAGAAGCGCAGAAGCGCAATTTGTCTTTTTTTTTTTTTTTTTTTTTTTTTTTGTTTTTTTTGTTTTTTTGATTACCAGTACAAAGTACAAAGCACCAGAGGGTTGTAATGATGGGTTGAAACGAAGCGTAATGTGCTTTGTAGCACGCAGCACCCGCTTTTGGGGAGAGTTTCTCCTTTAACTCCAAACAGAAAACGTTCGTTCCCTCCTCTGTCGGATTTTGGGGAAGCAAACCAACCTTCACTTAGGCTCACTGGGATTATAATCTGGTGAGAGCCGCGTCTCAGAGCCGGTTCCACTTGATGATCGGTCGGGAACTGTGCCCAAGGACTCGGTCGATTTTTTGGTTAGGAAGGAAAAAAGCGCATCTTTTTCGGTGGGCCAAAAAAAAAAAAAAAAGTAGAAAAGTAGCAGATTTTGTTAGCTTCGCAACCGCAAAGCATTTGTTTCACAATCGGTTTGCTTGACTTTACCACCCAGCGATAGGGGAATGATGGTTTGTTGCAGTATAACGATTGACAGGAACAGCGTTTGAAAGATACATGAGTGCATCAAGCGGGTAAAAAGTAGCTGGTTACAGGTGTAAGTAGTGGTGCAATATAAGTTTTGTAGCCAATTTTTTTTCTTTTTCTGTTTCGTTTCCCTTCTTTTCTGTTTCGGCCGATTTCTTTTTTCGATTTTAGTTTTTGTATCTTTTCCCTATTAGCCAATTCTTTTTATATAAATACATTCAAAATATCCAGAACTTGTTTATTTAACCAGATTTGAAAGAACCAAAGCGAAATAATGACTTTTGATGATAAAAAGGGAATGCAAATTGCCCTCGAAGAAGCTAAAAAGGGTATGTCTTTTTGGGTTTGGACCATGTCTTAGAATGCTGGGATTTTACGCTTCAGAAAATACTAACGTCGCAACTAGGATACGAAGAAGGTGGTGTTCCTATTGGAGGAGCTTTAATCCACGAAGATGGAACCGTCTTGGGCCGTGGTCATAACATGCGTTTTCAAAAAAATAGTGCTACTCTTCATGGAGAAATATCTACTTTAGAAAATGCTGGACGTTTACAAGGTTCAGTTTATAAGCATTGTACGATGTATACCACGTTATCCCCCTGTGATATGTGTTCTGGTGCTTGTATAATGTACGGGGTGAAGAGAGTTGTTCTTGGTGAAAATAAAAATTTCCAAGGTGCTGAAGAATTATTAAAATCAAAAGGTATCGAAGTTATCAATTTACAAGACCCAGATTGCGAAGCATTAATGACTAAATTCATCAAAGAAAGACCTCATGACTGGTATGAAGATATTGGTGAATAACCTTCTTCACCCTTTGCTTCAAGTTTACGATTTACGATCCTGCTCCATTCTTGAATTACTTTGTTCTAAAAATTCTTCTTTCTTGTTTTTTTGCATATTACCTTAATGCTATTTGCTCTCATTGTTGCCTTGAATTCCTGTATTACTCCTTTTATACCTAATATTCTGGTTCATTCCGTTATTTTTTCATGTAGATTGTACTTAACAATTACAAACCTTTTGTCCCCCACAAATCGCAACCTTGTGTCAGTGGACTGGCCATATGTCCTTCTCCTCCACGTCTCGCATGCTTTGTGGTGCCCTTTCCCGTAAGCTTGGCTCTATTCTGTTCTTCGGAAGTCTTTTCTGACACTGTCCCTTTCGTCCTTTTGGTACATGGTCTTTTACCTTGATGTGAAGACTTCATCGGATTGCGTAAAGGTGCGGAATCTTTTTTTTTTTTTTTTTTTTTTTTGTGTGCTTTGCTTCTGGTGTCTGGGTGTGGATGCCAACCGCGGTACGGGTCCAGGATCTATTTCATCAAAAGAGAAAAAGAAGACACTGAAGGGCCCTAATCTTGTTGACCATTTATACGGTATAATGGATGCGATATCGGATTCGGTGTTTACTGACTTCACCACGGTGGATGAGTTCAGCGACGATCCATCGCTTCTTACGGTGATTCTCGATATAAGTCCCAAAGGTTGGTTCAATATTCGATCGAAGGTTACGCTTAATGATGTCACCAAATCTCTACTAGTCTTCTTGAATGCCCATTTATCGTTGAATAACTCGAATCAGGTTGCATTTATTACTAGTTCGCCGCAAGGATCCAGGTTTCTATATCCTAACCCAGAGAAAAACTACGATGAAAGAAGCAATGGTAGGGAACCTTCACCGGGATTGATAAATAAAGGAATGTATAGACAATTTAGAATAGTTGATGAAGCAGTTTTAATTGAATTAAATGAAGAAATAGAGAAAACGGCTGATTCGATCAGTTCAAATAACGCCAAATCCACATTATCTGGTGCAGTTAGTTTAGCATTAACTTATACAAATAGAATGCTTAACTTGGATCAATCAATTACTACCACCACTGCGTCCGCTATTAACTCCACCACTAATATGAATAACAACTCTTCTACCTCTGTAACAAACTCGGCATCAAACTCTTCCGTGACCGCTTCAGGTGGATCCGGTAGTTTAACCCAAATGAAACTGCGTATATTAATCATCTCAGCAAACGATGAAGATAATATAAATTATATTCCAATAATGAATACCATTTTTGCTGCTCAGAAAATGAAACTTTCAATTGATGTGGCCAAATTAGGTGAAAAAGATTCTTCCTACTTACAACAAGCTGCCGATGCTACTTCGGGGGTTTATCTACACATCGATCAACCTGAAGGTTTGATTCAGACTTTATGTACTGCATTTTTCATTGAACCTTCAATCAGACCTTTATTCATCTTACCAACTAATTCAAATGTTAATTATAGAGCCAGTTGTTTTGTCACCGGGAAATCTGTCGACTTGGGTTTGGTTTGTTCGGTTTGCTTATGTATCATGAGTTTAATTCCAAAAAATGGTAAGTGTCCTACTTGTCAAAGTAAGTTTGATGAAAAAATTTTACAACAATTGAGTAAACTTCCTCTGGTGGCTCCTAGAAAGAAAAGAAAAGTTGATTCTTAATTTCATTTTGCATCCTTGTATTATACACTTTTAATTCCATAATCAATAATTCGAAAATTGTACTCTTTAGGGTATCCATGTTTGTCAATCATATGTAGTCTTCTCTTCTTACGATCCATGCATTTTTTTTCACAATCAAAGCATTGGTATATCTTATGACCCTTCTCTCTTTGAATTACAAAGAATGGATTGTGATTCTCATCTATATGTATCTCTAGGATCTTCTCTGACGGAAACCTTTTATTACATTCTTTACATATAAAACTGTGCAATGTTAAAACATGGAGTTCGTACTCTTCACTATTGCTGAACCTTGGATGCACATACTGACATGGAGGTAAGCTGCACTCGATTGAAGCCATCAACGGTGTATCACCATCGTTAGCATGGTTGTCGTCGTCCTCAACCCTTGACCGTTTCAGCATCGGATTAGTCTATAACATGGGATGAAAGTCTCAAAAATCTTTCACTTTTTTTTTTCTCTAAGCTAAAGAAATATCTACCTGTTTAAGAGCACCATTGGCATGAACACCCTGAAAGCAGTACCAGATGACGGGGAATCTTACCGTGAAGGTCCTTTGGATGAAACGTTTGGCCAACACCCTGTTTTCCCCACTGGTCTTACCCAAGAAAGCTCTTTAGATAAATATACTACCTTACAAGTGCAGCAATACCTCCACCAAGTAAGACAAGAAGCCGTTAGTGACAGTTGTATTCACTACGTCAAAAGGGACAATACCACTCCGGAGAAACATCCAGAAGATGAATCTCCAACATACATCAACCCCGACTGGTCTCAGTCAGTGATGAAAAGCTTTCTACAACTAAAAGAATCAATAAAACATGCCGACTTTACCCAATCTTCAGACTTCCCTCCTGTTCCTCAGTCAGCAGCCAATTGGAGGTCTTTCGTGTTTCAAAACGACCCTCCTCCAATCGAGTACTTCTATGTAATGCTTGATCATCCAACAATCATCAAGTTGGTAGTATATTTCACTAAATGGATCAGTATCAACTCCCCCGAAACCCTTTCTAAATGGATATTTTCGGTATTTCTAAGACTTGACAATCCGCTTGAGTACACAGAATCATCCATAATAAGGGACCTTGGTAAAAAAGCTCGAAAGCTCTCTGATAAAGTAAGATCTCGAAATAACGATAACGATCATGATAGTGATGATAACATTGGCGATGCAAACGATAATTTCTCAGCACCCCCAGTAGCTTTATATACCATTGAGTTGATTCTCGTTGTGATCGGCGAATACTATGGCCAAAAAGACCTTCTTTTCCTATAGAGCTTTCTCCTTAGACCCACTCTCCATAAAATCGTAATTGATGTATGTGCACCTTACTATTTTTCGTTCAAAAAACTGAAAAAAAAAAAAAAAATCTCCAACCAAATACGAAACTTTCAGATATAGAGACAAGCTCAATCTATTACCAACCTATTACTTTCGTGAAGATGTCTGATATAGTTAAAAGAGAAGACTTAGTTGTTCCGTATGTTGTTTTGATTCGAAAAGAAACACAATCCTTCTGTTGATTGTGTGGAGATATATACTTAGTACTAACCGTTTTTAGATACCACCATGTTCCAGCCAAACCCCGTGGTAATGTTGGTGGATTGATGGAACAATCATTACCTATGGCGGCCATGTTCTTGAAGAATAAACTCTTATCGTGGTCAGCTTTGTTTTTAGCTATCCAATCATATTTATCTGAACCAAATAATAAACCAGATACTGATGAACAAGCTAGACAACCACCTTTATTAAGAGTAGTCTTTGCTTTGATTGCTTTAGTAACTTGTTACATTGAATTTATTTTCCCATCAGCTAATCCTCAAATCAAGAGAACTGCTGCTGGTAAAGTTGCCGAAACTGTGTCATCTAGTATCGCAGCTGCTACTTCAACTAAGTAATTAGCTTGATTAACTACTCTTCTATTCAATTCTCTAAAAAAAGATTCGATTATTAGTATATTATTAATTTTTTTGGGGATCTTTTCTAATTTCTTTCCGCTTTCTTTAGTTAAGTTTAATACAAGAAAATTAACAAGATCTATGTAAGGTATTTACAGAGGAATAAAATAACAATAATACAGTTCCATCAATAAAGTATGGAAGTAGAAACAAGAAATACAAAGTTCAACAAAACATGCCAGTCATAAAAAAAATCTAGTAACGTAGGATATATACATCTATTCTGAAGTATATTTATCCCAGTCAAATATAATACTGTCGGTACCTTTATAAGAAACAGAAACTCTCAGGGACTGGCTATTCCAGGCAATGTCACAAATCCCCAATTCCTTACTTTTCAGATCTTCATCATCGTTATCGGGCAATTCGAAAAAATAAACAGCTAAGCATCTTAACAAATTTTTCCTTTTCTTGGAATAGTGGGATATTTCAACATCCCATATCGATAATTTCCCAGAATCATCACCAACGGCTAACCATTTGCCGTTAGGTGATAACTTAACCGAAAAAATAAGATTGTTTGTAGTATTTAAAGTTTTCTCTTTATCTTCGAATTGAAAATTGGACGTATTTTTAAATAGTTTTGTACTGATTAAAGAAGATCCTTCAAAAGCATCCCATATGTTGACGGTACCATCCATCGATACACTTAATAAATGATTTCCCTTTGAATCATGACCAACATTTAACCAAAATAATCCAATTATTGGGGATTCATGATAATCAATATCAGAAATTTTATCCGATTTAACATTTAAATCGCGAGTTTCATTAGTAGACGAGCTATTCCAAATTTTAATGGTATAATCAAAGTCAGAAGCAGAAGCTAATAATTTCGATATACTATTGAATTTAAGAATAGATATATTATTATTATGACCAGATAAGTAACCTATTGGCACCACTGAATCTTGGGCTTGCATTTCACCAAAAGTGTTTGTTGAATTATTGATAGAATATATTTTGATGGATTTATTTGGTGTAGATAAGGCAAATCTCTGTTCACCAACCCAACAAGCATCTAAAAGTTCATTTGAAGTAGAAGGAACACTTGGTGGTCTTATCTGTTGAATCAAATTTAAATTATGACCATCCCATAAACAGACTTGATTATTGATATCTATAGAAAGTAAAAATTGACCATTTTCACTCCATTCAAGACTCAGGATTAAAACTGGTTGAGTTACTGCAGACTCATTGTTAGAGTCTAGATCATTAGACTGAAGTGCTTTAATAGTAGAATTATCAGCGATATTTTTCAATTTCCCATCAGGAGTCCAAGCCCTTAATTCACCATTGAGCCCCGTGGTAATGATTATATTACCTTGCGGCGACCACGATACTATAGTAACTTCGTTTTTAGTTGAATGTTCATCAGTCCCCGATGGAGACCCATTTGGAAGGTGTGGATGGGTGAGGGTTACTGATTCCAAAATAACATCCTTATTCAAAGCATTGATAACCGCAGTTGAATCCTCTTTACCAAATGCAAATACATCAGTTATTGGGTGCCAATCAGTTACTAAACTCTCTGAAAATCGTATTTTTGGATCGATAATCTTTGTTTCAAACTTGACCTCTTCCTCCTCCAATACTTCTTGTTCTCCTTCCTTCACTTCTTCATTTGCTTCGCTAGCATCTTTCATCTCAGTATCGTCATCTCCATCTTCTTTATTACTGATCGATCCATTCTCGTTATTCCCGTTCTCCTTGGCCTCCGACTTCAAAAGAAGCCTATCCTCATCCTTTTTCTCCGGCTCGTCCTTCTTCTTCTCTCCCTCTTGCTCTTCCTGTACTTGTCTTTGTTTATTAACTTCTTCTTGAAGCAATGCTCCAAATAACGATAGCTGATCAAACTTCTCGGGTGGTATACTGGCCTCGTCTTGCGCCACTGTGAACAATATCCCTTTCTGCACCAAATTCACTAAACATCCTGGCTCTATTTTCGAGATTATTTCAAGATTCTGATTATGTTCATAAGACAGACAATTCGAGTTCTTCTCTAGTGCGTACGCCGCTAGGTCATACCCTGACTCCAGGAGGTATCTCCATACCAAATAATTGAGCTCCATGCTAGTTAGTGACATCTTCTTGCTGTGAGTAACCGACCTGTATTCTGTATGTTAACCATATATTGTATAATGAAAAGAAAAAGTTGTAACTTTCAACCAGCCATATTCAACTTTTTTTTTTTTTTTTTGTTCATTTTTTTTTCCTTAATATATGTGCAGTACCGGTTCTCACCACCAATTTCTAAATCATTTTTTGAAGAACGACAAAGCAAAACAGTTGGGAAGAAATCAAGGCACTAGTTTGATTGCAATAGCTTCCAATTGACAGATTGACAGCAGAGAATGGATCATAAAGCATCGCATCGTCAGAGCAGAGCACCGTGGCTGACGTCGGCCAAGGCGCAGAAGAGCAGTAATCCATATGCCAACGCCAACACATCGGTGTTATCACCCAATGATATGAAGGTTAGAAACCGGGCCAATACTGGGGGTGGGTTGAAGGTGCCTAATCCGTACGGAGCAGGGTCGAACGTACAGAACAGGAAGAACTCCAGAAGATTGAGTATCCATGCTATGGCTATGCAAAATGGGAAGAGTGGAGCACCACCGTTTGATTTGCAAAATCTACCTCCGGTACCTAGTTTGAATAAGACTGTTACTCAGAACTCGGATAATGCGCTGATTGCTGAAAGCATCCAGGAAGAGCGTGGAGAGTTTGATGAGATTGAGGCCACCATCTTGAATAAGTTGTCTAACGGGACCGCTGGTGAGATCGATGATCATTATAAATTTTTGGTTAAGAAAAAGGCGCTTGTGACCAGGGACATTAAGGAAAACATTAACGAAAATCAAAAGAACATCTTAGAGCTTACTCATGATTTGAAGTCAACTCAAGAAGAGTTGATGAAACTAAGAGTAACTACTAAAGACTTGTATGAGGTGTTCAACGAGTTTAGGGAGTCTGCTAGAAGACGTCTTGACTTGGAACTCGAACCACAAAATAATAGTGCAAATACTAGTTATGAAAATGCCCCGAGCTCACTCAAAATACCCAAAAAGAGAAAAGATCGGTCTTCTGTTCTTGTTTTACAGAAAATGTGGGCAACTGAACTCCAGTCTTTGTTTAAACATGTTGAAGGGGCGTCGAAGTTCATCCAAGCCATACCGGGGAGACATGTTCTTGCTGAGAGTGGTAGGTGGCTAGAAGTGAATGTAGGGACTTGGAAAACAACTAAAGCCACCCATCTTTTCATTTTGAATGATTTGATGTTGATTGCTACTAAAAAAAGCTCATCAGGTCAAGATAGTGGAACTAGTGGTAAGAAACTTCAAGCTATACTTTGCTGGCCATTGCAAGAGATCAAGTTATCTGAAATTCAAGTTCCTCAACCAGTAAATTCCGGTAAAGAAGAAAATAAAGCTTATGCCATTAATGTTAGATCCAAATCCTTGAGCTATGTTTATAGAACTGATAGATATGATCATTTTTTGAAAATAATGGATGCTTATACTAAAGGCAGTAATGAAATTCTACAAAAAAATCGTTTATTGGATGCTCGCAAATCTATAAATCAATCAACTGATGGATCTGAAACAACAGATGAGAAAAGACAACTTCGAGAATCACTTCGTGGATCTGGGTTTATGGAACTGTCAAATATAGATGATAGTTCCCAAACAAGAACAAATAGTATAAAAAGACAAAGTGCAGATATTTTACTTCAAGATATTTCAGCTCGTGTTCATTCGAGAAATAGATCTCATGATTTTGGCAAAGGATTCAATCCAAATACTGCCACTGGTGATAAAAGTAAATTTTTCATTGATTTGAAAAGTATCGAAGATAAACTTGATGAAGTAGATGTTCATATAGCTCATAATAAATTTTATGAGTCAGTAGGTTTGATTAATCATATAGAGGGGAAACTCAATTCTATAGAGTCTTCGATTAGCCGTGGTAAAAATAATGGTATCGAAGAAGAAATAAAACTATTGATTGATGTTATTAAATTAAAAATCGGTAACAGGAAACTCAAGGTTCAACAATATCTTAATTTTGATTTACAACAGAATATCGCAAAACTCAGTAATGGTGAAATTTCTCAAATAATCGAGTTTTATCAAAATTTTGATCAATTAGATGAAGGAATATCTTCTTACTTACAAGCTATGTCTTCATATTTGTCAAGTACTATTGCCAAATTGGTCGTTGGAGTTCAAGGCTCTACTCGTATTGATATTGTCAATTATTTATCTAATTTGGTTATTATCCATGTGTCGATCATCAAAAGAGCTATAACGGTGTATAACCAGTGTATCAAACCAATCATCAAGCGCCATAAACAACAGGACGTTGATTCCAGTGGTTTTATAAGTTGGTGCATTGATGAAGTAGCCAAATTGGTTCTGTCAGTCAAAAAACATTTATATGGTACTCTTATAACTGTTACCAGTGACCCTGAATCAGATGAAAAAATCTACAAAATAAAGGATCCTCAATATTTCCAGGAATTCCTCGATGTTATTAGACCCCAATTAAACGATTTAAAGAGCGTTGGTGTCAACGTTGACTTTTTATTTGATGATATTCTTTCGTTACAGGAATAAGAGCTAAACGATAATTACGATTAGGTACTAATTATATTTTTTTTTTTTTTTTTTTATAATTTTTTTTTTCAAGATTCTTGTATATTTCAATTAAAATAACTGTCTATAATAAATATTAAATGGGATTTTGCAGATATGGACTTAGACAAATTTGTAGAATCAGAGCTTTTCATAATACAGATCTAAGTCATATTTACCTCTAAAAGCTTGACCACTTCTTTTTAGGAAAATAATTGCACCGGTGGCCACTAGCATGATACCCATCAATATGGAAAAAAGAATACCAGCGCCCAATGCATTTAAGAGAGGTTCTGCTATAAATGTAGCAATTGCAGCTAAGATTTGACGGCATAAATTATTCAATGCAACACCAGTAGCTCCTTTACCAGGTAAAATATCAACCAAATAGGTAACGGTTGTTCCGATGACCAACATTGAAGCAAACCCAAATAAGGCAGTTCCGATTAATGGAGTCACCCAGTGTTCCCCAAATTTTAAGCACCAACCAAATATCAAACAAGCGGGAGGGTATAAGACAACGGCTACCACAATATTCCACGATATTCTTGATTCTGGAACAATTTCTCCGTTGTGACTTTTTGAATATTTATTCAAAAGGTGATCCGTCCAGCGTCCACCAAAAATGGAACCAATGAAATAGGTGACTGAGTTAGGAATATACATTAGACCAATGATGATACTCGAGAAATTGTAGGGAGCACGAGCATATTCAAGAGAAATAGTCATGTTAAAGAAGTAAACAAGAGCAAAACAGATTGACGAATATGTGATAGTTAGCAAAACCGGAGGATAAGTTAAAAGCACAACGGAATGGGTTGGTCTAATTAAGTAGTCATAAACGAATACCCCAAGTTTCAAAGTATTAGAATCACCACCTGACACTTCTTCTTTCGATTGGGGTTTTTCATCTTGAGAGACATCGTGATTTAATTGATCTAATTGATGATGGAAACGTTGATCCTGATGACCTTTGGGTACATTAGATACGTTAGAAGCTCTTCTTGAAATAGTAGGCATGACGGGATCAACTGCTAATTCATAATCTTCATCTAAATCGAGATACGATTTTTGAGAACGAGAATTTTGACGGGACAAGTTAGAAGCAATTCGTTCAATATCTGCTTCGGTATAACTATGCTGAGAATTACGAGAAGAAACGGGATGGTGTTCAACTTTCCCATTTGCAGAATAAGCAGCTTCAGGATCATTTGGTTGAACAAAATCATCATTTTTTTCATCTAATAAATTTTCATTATCCAAATGTTCACGAATTGCTTCTCTTACGTGAAGGCCAGTTTTACAAGTTTCCGGAAGTACGGTAATGATGAGAATAAGACTTACTCCAATGAAAATGACCAAAGTGTACATGGTAGCTCTCCAACCAAAAGCTTGAGAAACAGCACCACCAATAATGGGAGATAAAAATGGACCCAAGAGAGGACCAAGATAGTAGACCCCCATTGCAGCACCACGCTCGTGAGGAGCAAACAAGTCACCGATGGTTCCAGCACCGACCGACTGAACTGCAGAACCACCACAACCACTCAAGAATCTCAAAATGATTAGACCGGCGATATTTGGTGATAGAGCCGACCCTAAGGTGAATGCAAAAAAAATAATATTTGAAATGATATAAACTGACCGTCTTCCATGTCTTTCACTAAATGAAGACCACCACAAGGGGAATATCCCCAAGGATAAAAGGTAAATCCCCACCGAGACATTAACAATCGACGTTGAAGTGTCTAGTTCATCAACGATATCATGGATAGCTGGTAACATGATCGAAGTACCCATTGGACCAGTGATTGCGGCAATTGCCACCACCACAACCAAGATATATTTAACGTTTTTTTTGTATTCACGGGGGTTATAGTATTCTGGTACAAGGGTCAAGAAGGCAAGAAGACCAGTTCTTTGAGAAACCGGAACTCTACTTGATGATCTGGAAAGCCTCGAAGAATGTCTACTAGCAGGAACATTCAGACCATATCGGCTTACTGCCGGGGTGTTGATACTCACGGGATCGTCAGCAGCTTCTAGTTCATCGTCATCCTCGTCTTCATCTTCACCGTGATGATTACTTCTATAAGCATTAACCTGATGAGTGGAGTTAATTGAAGTTTGAGAGCTGCGGAGCGACCCGGAGTCTGGATAAGTCCCCATGGCGTTATCAGAAGAGGACATTGCTTTTGGACCTGGTTCGGTTGATTTAACGTCTTCTCCATCGTTGGAGCCCGATTTCCCATCAACCATCGAATTTTGCTGATGAGTCATGTTATGCATGTGTTTTTATTCTCCACCTCAGTGATCAAAGAGCTAATAGCTAACTAGTCGTGATAATAGGCAAATGCTAACAGTTTGAAATAAGCTAAAAGCTAATCGTTTATAACGAATAAGTTAGAAGCAGAATAGAAAAACAGTATAATGTCTTGTGAAAGTTGGTGGATCAGCCAATGCACAAAATAGCTTGGTACAAGTCAGGGCTTTCTTGGTGTCTAGTTCACGAGGTAAACGCCAGTTGTTCAATCACTGAAAATTTTTCATAAGAACAGAAAGAGTCAGGAGTAGGTCACCGGTATAAGCTTGACACCTTGATGCATCACCCTAAAAAGTCATATGTACCGTTCAAAAAAGTTTAAAGCCGGTCAACTAAGTAATTTGGTGCGCAAGGCTCTATCCACCAACCGATCGGAACGTACAACGTCCAACTGTGCCGATACGTCAACTGTGAGGGCGAAGGGAAGGTCTAAGGTAATAGGGTAGCATAAGCTAAACGTCCAGAGGAAAAGGTGTTAAGGTGGATGCAAGGGATGTTGTTGTATGGGCGTACGCCAACAGAAAAGATGGAAACTAAGGATAGATAGATATAGACAATTAAAAGTATAAGACAATTAATAGAACAAGATAATTAATAGAACAAGATAATTAATAGAACAAGATAATTAATAGAACAAGAAGTATATTGGAAGTGTATAGGAAATGAGAACAATTATATAATTAAAAACATGAGATGGATAAGTATTGAGCTCATACAATAAAGGAATTGCAGAAAGCAGACATGTTGCAAAATCACCTGGTAATGGTCTTGAGACCCTAAGATCAGTATTGTAGTCGGGATTACTCCGTGAACAGAGCAATTTCATACATTTGCAAACAATAACCTAACAAAGAAGTCTATTCTTCATTGACAGCAATGCTTTGCTTATTGTGATGGAGTCTTTGATGGATCTTTTTGTATGGGATGGGTTTGTTGTACGGGTGTTTTTTCGTTGGGCTTCGCATGGTGATTCGGATGGTTAAGCTGGATTACCCATATACCAGGATGGGGTTATATATTGGTAGGTTTTTGGGTAAATCCAACAATTTATATAAATTTCAGACCGATTGAATAGTGTTTTGACTAACTGCTACTGATTGAAAGGTACTTTGAGCTTGAGCAATTGGATTGTGAATTGCATACTTGATTAATTAGTGTTTATTTTGCCGCCCATCTTAATCCTATAAAATGCTGTCTTTAAGACATACTTGGACTATATCCATTATAAGAACAGTAGTTCTCGGTTTTGTCTTTGTTTTAGGATGTTTGGCCACAGTTTTCACCCAAATGTGTGGGATTTATTTCTTCCAAAATGATCCAAGTCAAAAGCAAGCGGTTATTTCACTTACTAAAGTTCATTTTGTTACATTGCTTACATTTGTTACATCGTGGATAAACCCGTGTCAAATCTCAATTACCTACGATTCGGCATCAATACCAGAGAGCGATTCTTTTAAGGTTGATCCTAATGGTAATTTACTATCAATTCTTTGTCCGAATTCAGTATTCATTTCAAATCATCAAATTTATACCGATTGGTTATTTATCTGGTTTATTTCTTATACTGCTCGTTTAGCTGATTCTATCCATATCATACTAAAAGATTTATCTAAGATTCCGGTTCTTGGTTATGGTATGAAAAATTTTAATTTCATGTTCTTACTGAGAAAATGGGAAGCCGATAAAGTTAATTTAACAAACCAATTACTCACCATTGATGCTAATGCCAGAGGCCTTGGTCCTGCTAATAACGTGACCCATGTTGCCTCTACTAATGTGGCCCAACTGCTGGTTCAACATTGGCCAAAAGGTAATAGACCAGATCAAATATGGCCTTATCAAATCATTTTATTCCCTGAAGGTACGGTGAATTCTGCTCATACTAAACTTCGTTCAGAAAAATTTTGTGAAAAATTAGGTATTCCTAAATTAAATCACTGTTTAATGCCTAGAGTAAGAGGTTTGTTTTTAACTTTACGTAAATTAAGAGATACAGTCGAAGTTGTTTATGATTTAACTACTGGTTATAGTGATTTGCTTCCTACAGAATTCGGTGAAGATAAATTCACTTTAAAAGGTTTTTACCTTCTTGGTTATGGTCCAGCTAAAATAAATTATCATATTAGAGGTTTCAAAATTAAAGATATTCCTTTGGGTGAAGATACCGTGGATATCGACGATGTTAAAGATGAAGACTTGAAAAAATTCGAAGAATGGCTATTCAAAATCTGGTACGAAAAAGATTTATTACTTCTGAATTTTTATAAATACGGAACTTTTATTGACGTAACTAGTCAATCCACTAATACCGAAGCCAAATCAAAAGATCGAACCGTAACTGCGGATTTCAAATTGAAGAGTAACTTGGAAATTATCTACCCTTTTGCCACTTTAATTGCTGCCATCTTGATCCTTAGACTTGCTTGGGCTGCTACATTTTTTACTCTAAAACAGCTAAGTAACTAGATTGTTCTCTATATGCCTATGATTTCTTTTTTTTTTCATTTATATTTTTTTTCCATATATCTCCTCCCTTTTTTTCATCTAGCTATCACCTATAGATTTATCTGTTCCAGAGTCCTTAATATATAAAGTTTATGTCGTTCATTCACTGCAAAATTGTCGCAAAATCGTTTCGCAGTTACAATTTTTTTCCGATTTTCATCAAGTTTGTTTCATAATGACAGTTGTTTCAGACCAGTAAAGAGAGAATACCGAGCAGGAACCAAAGAGAGCCACGAAAGACCTATATAAGAAGAAGCGAATTGATTCAATGCTGTAGTTTTTTTGTTTGCATATCAACCTCAATGAACAATGATTGGGTTGCTTTTAAAAAAACTTCCCAAGTTAATACTCGTTCTCATTGTCTTCATCACAGTTTTCCTCTTAGGCTTTCTCCTTATTGGGTGCATGGATACCCCAAATACCTTCTCTGACGTCTACCTTGTTGAATTAAGGTTTAATGAAAGCGCTCCATTGGACTCGAATATCGAACGGGCACACAAAACCCTCAACAAAACTTCTGATTTATCTTCCTTGAGAATAAGCACCAGCTATTTGGCTATGTGCGTGGAGATAGGAGGAACTACCACATGCGCTAGCTCGTTCAACACCTCCAGCTTTGCTGGGGTGTCTGTCCAGAATACCAAATCAGAGGCTAATATTGATTTGCTACAAGTTGCACGAGTTTTTTCTTCCAACTGTCATCCTAGGTTATTGCTTGCAGTCTTGGGATTGACTGTAATTCTATTTTTTGTTATGATCTGGGCAGTAGTCCCATTCATTCCTGGTAAAATCTGGGCCAAAAGAATTAGCTGTGGCTTACTGGGACTAGATACTTTACTATGGGGGTTGGGTGCCATGCTACAGCACGAAGCAGTGACTAGTGCTAAAAAATTCATTACTGCTTCTTCTGCCTATCTGATCCAAATTAAATTAGGCACCAGAGCAGAAGCAATCTCTTGGACTTCTTTTTCATTTTTACTACTAACTTGCATTGGCACTTGTGCTTTGTATGCAAGGGACATGCTAGTAGCCAAAAACGGCCCGCCCTTAAACAAGCTATAATCTCTTTCAATACACATTCATCCGACCTTCCCCGTAAGTTAACAAATATTCCCTAAGACTTCACTGTAAGATAACGAATATACCCTAAGACTATAAAGTAGGAGCTTTTTGCAGCAAGAAATAAGGGTAGTGCAAGAGCCCAGCCTCGATCACATGATTTTCACGTGACAATCTCTAAAACAGACCAAGGCCGATTTCCACTTTTTTCAAAAATTTTCTCTTTTAACGCGAGTGAAGCGTAAACAGAGAATATCTGGAAAACTTTCATAGTTATAATTATTGCTTTAACAACCCATCTATAACTCATTCGAATCATTAGGTACTTTCTAAAAGGTGTTCTTATAGTATATTCTATTAGACATGACTTATACTGAGCAACTTGACACGTTTGTGTCTAGACTTAATGATGATAATGCAGATTATAAGACTGCTCATTCTGTTTTATCAGAATTATTAGATATGATTGAAACTTTTAATGGAGCAACTGAATACGAGTATTTCTTAAGTAATTTGGTTCCAGTTTTCATCAAAAAGTTGAATGAAGTTCCAATTGCTTTCACTAGTCAATCTCCGGAACATAAATTAAGAAATTCCGTATTAGAAATTATTCATCGTTCTATTATGAATGAAACTTTCCAACCTTTTTCAGAGCAAATATTGGATGTACTTGTTAAGATAATCGTTGATGAAAATGAAGATAATGGTGCTCTTTGTATGAAAATCATAACGAGTTTACACAAAGCATATAAGGCCAATTTAAGTGAAAAAGTTCAACCATTTGTTGATGTTATCAATAAAATATATGACAATATGCCTCAGACTGTCAATGAAGTTTTCTCTAATGATAAAAATCACAAAGATAATAATGATAATGAAAAAAATGATAATGACTCGACTAATAACCAAGAATTGGCTTCTAAAGAAATGTCTCCTCCATCATTCACCGAGGAAAACTCATCCAAAACTTTGAATAAAGCAATGTTTTCATTCAAAACATTGGCCGAATGTCCAATTACTATGGTTTCATTATATTCATCATACAGAAGTTTAGTTCAAACTTCTCTACCTGTTTTCTTACCAAAAATTATTAATATCTTAACTTTACAAGTGGAACAACAAAAAAATTTTAGGGAAGAAGCATCAAAAACTCCAATAACATCCATTTCTCCAGAAATTAAAAATAGACAAGCATATAGTGATTTCATTTTAGGTCAAGTAAAAGCTGCATCTTTCTTAGCATACGTTTTCATTAGAGGTTACGCTACTCAACATCTTAGTCAAGATCAAGCTAAAGTTGTGCCTGATGTAATACTTCGATTATTACAAGATTGTCCTGCTGAATTGTCTGTTGCTCGTAAAGAATTATTACATGCAACAAGACACATATTATCCACTTCTTTTAGAACTCAATTCATTCCTAAAATTGAATTACTTTTCGATGAGAAAATTTTAATCGGTGATGGGCTCACATCTTTTGAAACTTTGAGGCCTTTGGCATATTCGACAGTGGCAGATTTCATACACAATGTTAGAAATGAACTCACGCCTAAGCAAATATGGTCCACTGTAAGAATATATTGTGACCTTTTGAAAGATGACTCTTTGGCCTTAACTGTACAAATAATGAGTGCTAAATTGTTACTTAATTTAGTGGAACGTATTATGAAATTACCAAACAAATTAGAAGGTAGACAATTATTTATGATCATTGTTGATTCCTATGCTAAAAGATTTCACAGCTTGAACAGAAAATATGACTATATTTTAAAAAAGCATAAAGAATTCGAAAAGAAAAGAGCTGCTAAGGAATCTGAATCAAAGAAAGCTGTCGATAGATACTCTTCGAAAAAAATTCAAGAGTTTAAACTAGATTCTGAAGATATCGACATGTCAATCGAAGGACCAAAACCTGATGAAACTGCTATTAGTGACGAAAGTGACGATTCCAAATTTGATGATATCCCCATTGATTTATTCAACGTCGAAGAATACTCACCTGTATCCTCTTCACCTACAACCGTGACCTCAGACTTATTGAAAGATGCTCGTTATTTATTCCGTACTTTAATGACTTTTTTAAAATCTGTCATTTTTGGATTGAAAAGTTGTAACCCACCAGTCCCACCACAACCAACTCAATCTGATCCTAAGAACCCTGGCCAATATGTCAATTATGACAAGTGGAATGATTCTGCAAAAATAATATCTTATGAAGAAGTTAATATTTTACGTAATTTATTTAGAGGTGGTATAAGCTGTTTGAGATTTTTCTCAGTTTCTAAACCAAAGGTAAATGTTCCAAAGGCTAAAGCTTTTGATTTCTCGACTGGTGGGCCTAATTTACCTATTACATCTTCAAAAGAAGAAAAGGATTTGATGGAAATTTTCGCTACAATTTTTATTCATGTGGATCCGGCATCCTTCAATGAAATTGTGACTTTTGAATTGCCATTCATGTTTGATTCCATGCTTGAAAATGCAGCATTACTTCACTTGCCTCAATTCTTTTTGGCCAGTGAAATCACATCTGCAAACTTCTCTGGTATCTTGATCTCCTTCTTGAAATCAAAATTAGACCAGTTAGGAAAGGTTGAACTTGTGAAATCAAATATTTTAATAAGATTGTTCAAATTATGCTTCATGTCAGTAAATTTATTTCCCACTGCAAATGAAAGTGTTATTTTACCTCATTTGAACTATTTAATTTTAGAATCATTGAAATTAGCAACTAAGGCAGAAGAACCAATTGTTTATTCTTATTTGGTAAGAATTTTATTTAGAAGTATAAGCGGTGGTAGATTTGAAAACCTTTATAAAGAAATCATGCCAATTTTGCCAGTACTCTTGGAAGGTCTTAACAAGATGATTGCAAACTCTCGTCGTCCATACGAGCGTGATATTTATGTCGAATTATGTTTGACTGTTCCTGTCCGTCTTTCAGTTTTGGTTCCCCACTTAAACTATTTAACTCGTCCATTAGTTTTTGCATTGAATGGTTCTCAGGAACTAGTCAGCCAAGGTTTACGTACTTTTGAATTATGTGTTGACAATTTAACTGCTGAATATTTCGATCCAATGATCGAGCCGGTAATCGACGAAATAATGGCTGCATTATGGAAACATCTCGAGCCTGTTCCTTATCATCATCAACACTCCCATACTGCTATTAGAATTTTGGGTAAGCTTGGTGGAAGAAATCATAAACATTTTAAACCTTGTAACAATTTGGTTACCCAATCTGAATTAGATCAAGAAATCAAGGCTCTCTTCTCCATCCATGGGTTGAATGGAGAAGTCCCAGTTTCGATTACTCCTGGCGTCCAATCTGCTATAAAACTTCTTGAAGATCCTAGATTGAAAGTCCACTATAGAATCAGCGCTTTCAAATATTTATCTGGTATCTTGAAACTATTCATTGATACGACTCCAATTCCGGCTGATTATGGTGCTTATGTTCAAGACTGTGTGGAAAAGTTGAAATCAGAAAAAATAGATGAGAATATGGAACTTGAGGAATCTGATATCAAGGATGTTGCTAAATTAGACCGCCAGCAAAAGTTTTTTTGCCGCTTGTTGGAAATGCTCTTCTTCTCTATTTCGATTCCAGAAATTAAGGATGAAGCGCGTGAGCTCATTGATGGTATTACAACTCACTTCACTTTGCTTTATTTAGGTACTTCAATCATTAGTAAGGTGAAAAAAGAAAGAGCTTTTTTTGTGAATGACAACGAAGGAAAAGCTTATATCAACGAGACAGCCTACTTGAATGCTTTGAATTATGCTTTAAGCTTTTGGGATAAGGACGTAAGAAATATGGGTATTGAATCCATCAAGAAGGTCTACTCAGCTACTGTTCGTATTTTTGGGTCTGAAGAGGATGCCCTTTACTCTCCGTTGTTCCGCTCTATGTTCTATAAGTTTACCCATTGCTGCTATAACGATTTTTACCATACTAAATTGGGAGGTATTTTGGGTCTCAAAACAATGTTCGAAGATCTAGGAATACCTTCGAGTTGGTTTTTCAAACGTCAATTTGAATTAGTTAGGTCAGTTTTCTTCATTTTAAGAGATACTCCTGAAACTGCTCCATTCGAAGTTCGTGATTTAGCTAGAAGTCTCGTTTTAAAGGTTTTGCATGACTGTAATGTTGGTGTTTCAAAAGAAACAATTCTCGAAAAACCATTCCAAACTTTGGTCGGTGCTTTAGTGTACGACTTAGCAAGTGCTAATCCCCTCGTCAGAGAAGTTTCCCAGTCGTCCTTAAAAGTATTATCTGAAACAATTTCTGTTCCTATTGCTACAATAATGGGTCCATGCAAACAACTTCTTTTAACTCCTATATTTGGCAAACCATTGAGGGCCTTGCCATTTCCAATGCAAATCGGTAATATAGATGCTATAACTTTTTGTTTAAATCTCGATGAGACTTTCTTGACATTCAATGATGAATTGAATAGATTATTATTAGAGGCATTGGCGTTAGTTGACGCAGAAGACGAATCCTTAGCTAATGTTCACCGTCTTTACGAGTACAGAACATCCAAACAGCTCATAGAGCTCAGAGATGTTTGTATCAAATTACTTTCCTTGGCCCTAGCTAAACCTGATTTCTCCTTAGGCTCTTTGGCTGAGGCAAGAATTCGTATTTTGGGTGTGTTTTTCAAAGCTCTTTGTAATAAATCTACCGAAATCATAAATGCTGCTCATTTGGGATTAAAATCAAGTCTACAGGAAAACTCCAAGTTGCCAAAAGAATTATTGCAAAACGGTCTCCGTCCGATGTTGATGAACTTGTCGGACCACAAAAAATTAACTGTGCCTGGACTTGAAGCTCTTGCAAGATTATTAGAGTTATTGATTTCCTATTTCAGGGTGGAGATTGGTCGTAAGTTATTAGATCATTTGATGGCTTGGGCTCAAATCAATACTTTAAGACAAATCACCGGACAAGATTTGGAGAATAATCATACAGTACAGATCGTAATGGCTATATTGAACATATTCCACCTTCTTCCTGCAAAGGCTTATACCTTCATGGAAGAGATCATTGGAACCTTGCAGTACTTAGAAGGACATTTAGATCGTCATCAAAGCTCACCCTTTAGATTGCCTGTTTCAAAATTTTTGAATAGATTTGCCGAAAATTCATTAGAATACTATATGAAAAACTACAAGAACCGTAAATTAGGTAATATGTTGGCATATTTCGCCGGAATGAAAGATTGCGACAAAATCAGAGCAGTTTCCAAAGAAAAATTTCCAGAAATTTTAGAAGACCTCAAGAATGAACAACAGCATGACATCAAGGTCATCAAATTCGCTAATACTGTTGACCTCCTTGAAGCAATAACTAGGAATGATGCCGAATGGTTTGATGAACAAAAAGATACATTGCTGATTCTTTCTGCTTCAATCAAAGATATCATTGAAGTAAAAAACCAATCTCCATTGGTATCAAGTAGTCATTTCCAAGCAGATCAAGCTATTTCTAAACTTCAAGATGTTATTGCTAACTTTATGGAGCGAGTTCCAAAGGAAGCTGGTCTTTTATTTACCATTATTAATGGTCTTTTGTCGTTGAAAGTCAAAATAAATCCAGTTATTGAAGATTACCTTTTTAATAATGTTGTCAAGTCAAAGGATGTTGAACACCGTGGAATCTATCTCGAAAAGTGTATTGATTTTATCACAGAAGCTGACTCCAATTTGAAGGCTAAGATCTTTTTACTCAAGAGAGTTTTCAATGCTGTTCTTATTTATGAAGCTCAACGTGAAGGCGATCTACAAGCCTTATTCACCAACGATAGTACACCTGAATGGATGAATAAGGTGTGTAACGAGGTTTGGATGTCCACAAACGATATAATTACGGACTACACTTCAGGAAACATGGACAGCTATAGATATGAGTTATTGGAACTAACTGCAGTTCTCCTTAAATGGGCCCCTGAACTTATTAAGGATTTCCGTAAGCACATTGTCAAATTTAGTTGGAATTACATCAAGCTTGAAGATAATATAACAAAACAAGTCGCTTATGTAACCACTTCTTACTTCATTTCTGCTTACGAAACGCCTGCAGAATTAGCTACCCAAGTATTTGTCGCTTTATTGCGTACTCACCAAACCGATTCCAGACACCTAGTGAGAAGAGCTTTGGATATCTTGGCCCCTGTTATGCCTGGTAGAATGGATGATAAGCATTCGCCTCTAACCTGGTTGAAATGGCCACGCCGTGTTATTTCGGAAGATGGGTTCAATGTTACTCAAGTTTTGAATGTTTATCAGTTCATTGTTCAGCACCCCGATCTCTTCTTTATTGCACGTGAACATTTCGTTTCCAATATCATAACAGCAATGGGTAAATTAACAATCTTAGCTAATCCTGCCATTGAAAACCAGGTCCTTGCTATTGATTTAGCAGAATTAATTTTGAAATGGGAAAAGAAAGCAATGGAGACAAACGAACAATCGGAAAAAGACGAAGATGCAAACATGGAAGATGCTTCAGAAGCAGACGAAAGCGCCATTTCCAAAGCAGATGACTTCAGCACGTCCGCTAACTACAGCATCCCCTTTGGACAGCGTGAGGCTTGTGTTACTTTCTTAATCAGATATGTTTGTATAAGTCCTCAAAGAGCTTCAGAAAGTGAGCTCGGTCAAAAAGCGTTGGGTATATTATATGAATTGTTGAGCCCAGACCATTGGTCAGAAGTCTCAGTTAAGTTAACTTTTTTTGAAAAGTTTTTGTTATCCAATGACTTAAACTCGTCCAATTTGTTAGGTTACTGCTTGAATGCGTTAGAGGTTTTGGGAGTTGTTTTAGAATGGAAGAAACCGGAGTGGATAATTTCCACTCTTCCATACCTTCATAAGCTTCTTGAGAAATCAGTCAAGTCTGATAATCACGATATTCAAGAAGTGTTACAACGTGTTTTGAGAATTATTTTGCAGGCTATCAACTCCCAAAGCTCTGCCGAATCAGAAGAAGAAGAGGATGAAGAGATTAAAAGTTTTATTTCCTTGTTAACAACTACTGTTTCAGAAGATTTGGGGGAAACCCCGTCAGTTGCTGCTGGTGTTACTTTATCCTGGACTTTAGCCAACTATAGACCATCCACTTTGGATGCGTTACTTCCTTTGATAATGAGAACCTTTAGCAAACTTTGTAAAGACAACATTACAATCACTCATCAAGGATCTCAGTCATCACCCAAAGATAACTCCAATTCAGAATATGAAGCTAAAATGACAACGAGACTTTTGGAAAAAATTCTTAATTTATCTTCAATGAGAATTTCGAACCTTGGTGATCAAAGACGTATTTTTTTATCTTTATTGGCTCAGTTAATTGAACGTTCTTTGGATAAAGAGACCCTTGAAAAAATTATTAAAATTGTTAAAAGCTGGGTGTTTTCTAGAACTGACTTATTTCCAACAACGAAAGAGAAAGCAGCTATATTATCCAAAATGATGGTTTTCGAAATTAGAGGTGAACCTACCTTGTCTAAAGAGTTTTATCAAATTATTGTGGATATTTTTGAGGATGATACATTTAGTTGTACTGAATTAACCGTTCGTATGGAACAGCCATTTTTAGTTGGTACTCGATCTGCTGATGTTTCAATCCGTCGTAAGTTGATGTCTATCTTAAACAATAGTTTGGAGAATGATATTAGCAAACGTCTCTACTATGTTATTAGAGAACAAAACTGGGAATTTTTGGCGGATTACCCTTGGCTCAATCAAGCATTACAGTTATTGTATGGCTCATTTGACTTCAATAAAAAGATTGAGTTTGTTAAAGAAGAAAATAAATTACCTGCTTTAACAGCTTTCCCTTATGTCTCTCGAGACATAGATATAGATCATAAAAATGACAGTTTAGCTGAACTTATTGACACCCATAACGTATTCTTGAGGAAAGTATCAGAAGTTAAGGCCGGAACTATTTTAGACCCACTCATCGACATGTTCTATCAAAGTAGTGAAACTATACATAGATCTTGGGCCACGATTTTCCCAATTGCATTTTCATCTATTCCTCGTTCGGAGCATCTTGATTTCACAAGATTTATGGTCATTTTATTATCAAAGGACTACCACACACGTCAAATAGACAATAGACCCAATGTGATACAATCCCTATTAGAAGGTATCGCTAGATGTAATGAACTTCAATTGCCACCATTTGCTGTTGAATGTCTTGCGTCAAATTTCAACGCTTGGTCTCAAGGTATTCATATCCTCGAGAACATTGAACGTCAATCGATCAACGGAAATGCCGAAGTTCGTGAAGTTACTCAAGATGCACTTGCTAAGTTATATGCCTCTTTGAAAGAAGATGATATGTTTTATGGTCTCTGGAGAAGAAGAGCGAAATACTCAGAGACCATCACTGCTTTGTCTTACGAGCAGATTGGGGTTTGGGATAAAGCTCAACAGTTGTATGAGACTGCCCAAATCAAGGCAAGAAGTGGTGCATTACCTTATGGCCAATCTGAGTATGCTCTTTGGGAAGATCACTGGATATTATGTGCTGAAAAATTACAGCAATGGGATATTCTTACAGAATTAGCTAAGCATGAAGGATTTTCTGATCTTCTTTTAGAGTGTGGATGGAGAGTAGCAGACTGGAACACTGATAGAGAAACTTTAGATCAAACTGTAAAAAGTGTTATGGATGTTCCAACACCTCGTCGTCAAATATTTGAAACATTCCTTTGCTTACAAGGGTTCGGTCAAGAGAAAGAAACCTTACAGGATCTTTCAAGATTGTGTGACTCAGGAATTCAATTAGCTTTAAGAAAATGGCATGGTCTTTCTCAAAGGTTCAGTAATGCTCACATACCATTGTTACATACCTTTCAACAATATGTTGAGTTCATGGAGGCAAGTCAAGTTTACGCTAGTCTAGTCACCACGAATGCTCAAAACTTGGATGTGAAGTCACAAGAACTCAAACGTGTTTTACAAGTTTGGAGAGAAAGATTGCCCAATACCTGGGATGACATAAACATTTGGAATGATCTTGTCACCTGGCGTCAACATGCCTTCCAAGTAATCAATAAAGTTTATATGCCATTTATTCCAATCTTGCAACAATCGAATGCTGGTGGCAATGCTAATTCTTATGCGTATCGTGGATTTCATGAAATCGCTTGGGTGATAAACAGATTCGCTCATGTTGCAAGAAAGCATGGTATGTCTGAAGTTTGTATCAATCAACTCACTAAGATTTATCAATTACCAAATATTGAAATACAGGAAGCTTTCTTGAAATTGAAAGAACAAGTCAAATGCCACTACCAGAATCCTAATGAATTACACACTGGTCTTGACGTTATCAGCAACACTAATTTAGTCTATTTTGCCACTCAACAAAAAGCTGAATTTTTTACGTTGAAAGGTATGTTCTTGAACAAATTGAATCAAAAAGACGAAGCAAATAAAGCTTTTGCTACTTCTGTTCAAATAGATCTTAATTTACCTAAAGCTTGGGCTGAATGGGGTATGTTTAATGACCGCCGCTTCAAAGAAAATCCAAATGATATGGTTTATGCCAATAATGCTATCAGCTGTTATTTGCAAGCAGCAGGTCTTTATAAGAACGGAAAAACTAGGAAGTTGCTTGCCAGAATCCTTTGGCTCATAAGTTTAGATGATGCTTCTGGTACTTTGGCTCAAGCTTTTGATAATTTCCGTGGAGAAGTGCCAGTATGGTACTGGATAACTTTTATACCTCAATTACTTACATCTTTGTCTCATAAAGAAGCACGTTTGGTGAGACAAGTTTTGATCAGAATTGCAAAGAGTTATCCACAGGCTTTACACTTTCAACTCAGAACAACCAAGGAAGATTTTGCTGCTAAACAACGCCAGTTCATGGAAATTTCGCGTCAAAATTCTAATCGTATGGCGAACCAAGGACCTGGTTCTAGCGCTTCAGCTACTAGCAATGGTGATGAAAAGGCTCCTACAAGTAAAGATGGCGAAGCCCCTAAACTGGATGCTGCAGAATCTCCATCTACTAATGGTAAACCAGAAGTAGAAGAGAATGCAAATGATGGGGAACAAAAAGAAAAAACGGAACTGAATGAAAGTGATAGCACTGAGGCGAAAAAGACCGAAGAAACTACTGAAAAGTCAGATGATAAACAAGAAGATAAACCTGAAGTCAAGTCAGAAAAAGATATATCGGACGCTAAATCTGAAAATGAAGTTCACAGTGGAACTCCCAAACCACAATCTTCAGGAAATACTCCACAACCCGGCAAGCCTAGTATTCTCAATAGTGCTGCATTTAATGCAGTCCGTCAATCCTGGGAGCATGTTGAGGAAATTATGGGTATTTTGAAAACTGCTTACCCCTTATTAGCTCTTTCATTGGAGTCTTTGGTGGATCAAATCAACCAAAGGTTTAAGTGTACTGCTGACGAAGATGCTTATAGATTAGGAGTTGCTTTGCTCAATGATGGTGTTCAATACCTCAATCGCCTTGGAAACCCTAGAGATGATGCAAAATTACCTCCAGTTACCGAAGCTAATATTACAAGATTTGCAGAGACCGTTTTACCTAAGCAAATCCGAGCAGAATTTGAAAAGGATCTTGTCATTGGAAAGCCTAACTTGGAAACATATATTATTAAATTACGTAAATGGCGTGACCGTTTGGAAGACAAGTTAGATAGAAGATTTTCCGAAGTTAATCTTGAGAACTTATGCCCTCATTTGAGTGAATTCCATCATCAAAAGTTCGAGGATATCGAAGTTCCAGGTCAATATCTTTTGAATAAGGACAACAATTCTCACTTCGTTAAAATTGAAAGATTCCTTCCAACTATTGATTTAGCTCGTGGTACCAACGCTTGTTATAAGAGATTGAAAATTCGTGGCAATGATGGTAGCTTACATGCTTTCGCCGTGCAATTTCCAGCGGCCCGTCACTGTCGTCGTGAGGAATGTTTATTCCAGCTTTTCCGTATATTTGGAGATAGTTTGTCGAAGAAAGTTGAAACTCGTCGTCGTAATATTCAATTTACTTTACCAATCGCTGTTCCATTATCTCCTCATATTCGTATAATTAATGACGATTCCAGAGATATCAGCATGCAAAAGATTTATGAAGATTTCTGTCGCCGTAATGGTAAAAACCGTGATGAGCCATTCATCTACACTATCGAAAAATTGCGTGCTGCATTTGATCCAAGATTGCCTAAGCCCGATATTATGAGTATTAGGGTTGAAATTTTGAGTGCAATTCAATCGTTATTAGTTCCATCGACTGTTATGAAAAACTTTTTCATGGAGCTTTATCCACAATTTGAAGACTTTTGGTTATTCTCAAAACAATTCACTTCACAATATGCCTCGTTCATTTTCACTACCTACATGATGTGTGTAAATACAAGACAACCCCAAAAAATTCATATTAATAGGGGTTCAGGAAGTGTTTGGACTTCTGACATGTTACCTTGTAAAATTGGAAATAAAAATGCTTCTCTTGATGGTTCACAAGGTGGTAGACCAGCTCCATTATTTTATAATGCCGAAATGGTTCCATTCCGTTTAACTCCTAACGTCCAAAAATTAATTGGTGAAACTTCTTTGGAAGGTATATTGTCGGTTTATATTTTGGTAATAGCAAGAGCTTTGATTGAACCTGAATCAGACTTGGAGCAATATTTGACTTTGTTTGTTAGAGACGAGGTGATTTCTTGGTGTACTCAACAAGATCCTCCACGTCCTATTCCTCAAAATAACCAATTAAGAGAAATTGTTCGTATAAATGTTGATCTTATCATTAAAAGGGTTCTGTCTATGGATCATTCTTCTTCTGGTACATCCGTTAACACTCAAAATGTTTTAGAGTTGATTTCTCAAGCTGTCAATCCACGTAATTTGGCTGCTGCCGATACTTTATGGATGGCATACTTTTAAGCGACTGCTTAAAACTTTTTTTTATCTTTTTGTTTTATATTTTTGTTTTATTATTGTATTATTATTTGTTAGTTTGAATTTTTTGTTATATAAAATTTTTGTTTCTATTATATTTGTATATTTAAATGTTATACATGAGTATCTGTAGGTCATGGCATATAAATTTTACGTTGGACACTCATTATGAATAAAGGTAAATCATAATGAAGTGTCATATTATTCTTTCCATATGTTCGTCTATCGATTTTGTTGTTGAGCCTGTTCAAAGATCTAACACTTAAGAAGAAATTTATCAGAGCAACCAAGGCCCCAAGACCGTGAAGCCCCATTGAAACAGACGAGATTACTTGGATGTAAGTAGTTACATCCACTGCAGTTGTTTGTCCCAATGAACTGTCATAGGCATACAGTGTCATATTTGAAGCAGTTAAACACATTACAACCGACACTATACTGAGAATCAATCCTACTAATTCTATCAATGCTATTATAATCAAAAATTTAACCGAAGAAGAACTTGGAATTGTAGTTGCTCCTAAGGGAAGTAGACAAGAACATATAGAAAACTATAATTTGGTTAGCAACTTGGACCCAGGGAAATAGCAAGCAGAGAACAACATACCATGGCAAGAGAGTAAAGGGCCGAGCAAACGGCTATTGGAGGTCTATTATCAATACCGTCAAACGGAACTAAACAAAATATGGTTATATATTGCAAAAGTAGTAGTCCCATATATAGTTGGAAGAATTTTTCAGTTTTTTTGCGGTTATACACACTATCTAGAGACTGAATAACATTCTCATTATCCAACACAATGGGACGGTCATTTCTGATGGGGGTATCGAAGAGAAGGTTATGGGTATGGATATCTGACATGACGTTAATATTGCATGCTCTACAACAAAGATATTTGTGGATTCAGTAAAAATCATATTAAAGAAAAAAAAATGGATGCGAAAAGTCTAGCTGAATAAGGATAATGAAACTGGAACCACCAGCTGCAAGCAGCACAGCAGATCAGTTGGGTGTCGGAGGAAGAAAAGGGTTTTCGGGTCTCAGTTCAACCAAGTGGTGGTAAACCAGTCTTTCGAGCTTGGGGAAGATTTTTGGCGAGAGTTCGACACCTTCGCTGAGCCAAAACCCCCATGAACCCATCATATTGGCCATTAACATATCTGTGAAGAGACGGTCCCCAACCACAATGATCTCTCTATTGCTAATTCCGAATTTCTCAAAGTACGCTTTGATTTCTTCGTGGCACCCGGGCTTCTTGGTGGGATGTCTAAGCACAGTCACTCCGGTATCATTTTCAAGTTTCTTTGCTTGAGCGTAGTCCTTATCGTCATTAGTTCCAGCAGAGTTACTTACAATCAAAATATGTTCCTTCGGATAGCTTTCAAGTAATTTCTTCCAGGTTTCCTATTTGCTGTTAGTATCAACGTTACCGTAAAACGAATTTATCAAGACATACAGTATAGGCACCCCAAACCCTATCATCCTTATCTTTGGCAAAACAGTTGTCTTTATCCAAAACCACCCCTTTAATCGTAACCTCATCATGTCCTGGAATCTTAAATGGTAGACTCAAATCATTAAATGATTTGGCCGTTATGTGAGGTAAGCACAAGCTGGGATTATACGCTAAACGCGACACATTAAGAGTTGCACTAACATTAAACATCGTTCGTTTTGAATTCTGGAATGTGAAGTGAGGTAGTCTTTGAGTAAAAACCCTTATCATCAATCGTTATCTATGTTGACTTTCCACTGCTCTTCTATTCAGTAGCCTATTGCCTCGCTTTTAAGCGTTGTTTTTGGGAAATCCGCACGCTGCGAATAAAACAACAAAAATTTTTCAACTTTTATAGACTATAACTTGAATAGATCTAGATATTCTAATCTACTTTCTAGGCCGTGATAGTAATAGAGTACTCGACTCAGTGTTTAAGTTATGTCTGCCAGCTCAATTTTGGACAAGGAATCAGGAAGAAGATCAAGAGTGAGTAGAGGTGGAAGAACGGCTTCAGGAAGCAACCCCGGACAGCGTTCCAAAGGTTGGAAAAAGAAGCAGGATGTTGTGAATGGGTCTGGTCAGGAAGGAGAAGATGAAGACGAAGAGGAGTTTGACGAAACAAGACAGTGTTTGATTTGTGCAGAAAAGATTACTTATGCATCAGTATCACCATGCAATCATATTACTTGCCATGTTTGCACATTTAGACAACGGGCCCTTTATGAGAAGAAGGCATGTCTTGTGTGTAGAACAGAGAACGAAAGGGTGATATTCACTGAACAATTGGGTCAACAGTATTCGGATCTTGGTTCTAGGGATATTACTTCATCTAGTGAGAAGTACCAAATTGATTTCACTGCCGATTACGTTAAGAAAGATACTCTTGCTTTATTAGATTATGCATGCCCAACATGCCATGTTGTTTTCTCTGGCTTCAAGGAATTGAGTGAACATACAAAGTCGGAGCATAATAAGTACTATTGTATTGTATGTTCAAAGAACAAGAAGGCATTTATTTCAGAATTGACTACTTATACGTATAAACAATTACAAAAACATCTTAGTGAAGGTGACGGGAAAGGGTTCAAAGGTCATCCAGAATGTAAATTTTGCCGTGGTAAAAGATTCTACTCTGAAGATGAGTTGAATATACATATTAGAGATAAACATGAACGGTGTCACATGTGTGACCAAGATCATCCCAAAACAGCTGATTATTATAGAAATTATGACCATTTATACACTCATTTCAAAACTGAGCATTACGTTTGTTCTATACCCATTTGTGTTGAACAACGATTTGTTGTTTTCAGAGAAGAACTCGATTTGACAGCCCATTTATTAAAAGAACATGGTGGAATCACGGGAAGTAATGGTAAGGTTGTAATTGGCTCATCGGGTAGACTGTTCCAATCACAATTATCAACTTTTAACTCCAATTCGTCTTCTGGACCATCCAGAAGAAGAAATCAAAATCTGAGTTCAGACGATATAGCGGATTCTTACGAAACTAAAAAGATGAGACTAGAAGAAAGGGTGAAACATTATTTGAATTATAATAATGCAGCGATCAAAAGCTTTAGCGAATTGAATTCTAGTTATAGGTCAAAAAATATCACTGCTAGAGATCTTCTTACTAATTATAAGGAAATGTTCAAGAATATTAAACCGTCAGAACTCAGTATCATTCTTTACGAATTTAGAGAACTTTTCAATGAAAACTCCCAGCAGTATAAAGATTTACTATCGGTTACTACTGAATACGAAGGAAATGTTCAGCAACAAGAAAGCTACCCAGTTTTAGGTGGCTCTACTGAACATATTCCAACGTTAAATTCTTGGGGTTCAAATAATACCAAGAAAACAGGCACTTCAGAACTATTCCCTGCCCTTCCTAAACCTCAAAAGTCTTCCAGTCCTACAGTGAAGAACAACCAACCCATCAGATACACAACAATACTTAAAAAGCCAGGAAAGAAAGCTACATCTATCAATATTAATAATACCCAAGCATCTTCTGATTACAGGCCAAACTATTTAAGTTCGTTGAACAAGGCACCCCCAGTATCATCCTTACCTACGCTTGGCCTGTCTAATGGCTCCCGTTCAAGCTCCACCTCTAGCAGCCCAAGCATTAAATCGGCCAGTCTTACCCCTAGCTCGAGAACTGGTTCGTCCAGTCAATTGGACTCTTCCAAATTCCCTGCATTAGAGAAAAAGTCAACTAAAAAAGCTATTCCTCGAGTAAATCCAGTCAACGTTGACCCAGGTGACTGGGGTGGTACTAAAAGAGAACCTGAAAAACCTTCGGAAGATGTACTCGATTTGGGCATCCCGATTACAGATAAAAGAAAACAAAAAATGAAAAAGAAACAAGATCAAGTCTTGTTCAAAATGTAAACTCCTTACTTCAAATAACTCATTTCACTTGCTGATAAGCTTGTAATACCTAATTATATAGATACAATAAATACCAGGCTACCATCCTATATTAGAGTGTTTACAGTTTCAACAGACGTAAACTGTAAATTGTTTTGAGCTGAAAAAAAAAAAAGCTAAAGAATGATTAAGAAGGTTTATCGACCATCTTCTTTCAGTGAAATATCTCTGTCCAAACGAAAATGAACTCCAGAAGCTTGATGTTATTGACCAGAAATGCAAGGGTCTTTGCCAGATCTCCTGCTCTTTTGAGAAGAGCCTATTTGGCATCGAGACCAGTCTTTTCACACGGTCTTAGTCACGGTATTCGTCTCCATTCTTCACAATCAAATAACGACAAATCTGCTACTTTGAAAGCTGATGACCCACAATTAATGATTGCATTCACTTGCAAGAAATGTGACACCAGATCTTCCCACGCATTCTCCAGACAATCGTACTATAAAGGGACTGTGCTAATTCAGTGTCCAGGCTGCAAAAACCGCCATTTGATAGCAGATAACTTGAAGATTTTCAGGGACAACAAAGTTAACCTTGAGGATATTTTGAAGGAACAGGGCCAATCAGTCGCTACCACAACAGATGATTTGGCTTTTGAAGATATCCCAGAATCTCTAAGGGGTCTTATTGGCCACCATGCTAAAGACGCACCAGAGTCATACAGAAAGGACGAATCAGAGACTGACAAGGTCCACGAATTGCCAGGTCCTAAGAAGGAGTAAGAAGCCTGATAGAGAGTTTTTCTATTTGTTGCAAACTGACTGTGTATATCTCCAAATCCTCTATTTATTTAAACTGGGACGTGAAAACACCCAGACTCGCTTAATCGTAGGGCTCAAACCATCCACAATCTTTGCCTGAGCCCATTCTGCTGTATATAGTCGAATTCATATAATTCTTTTGACGTAGCATGAACTTATGTCATTCTGTAGGCTGTCGTGCAACTTTGGTTAAATTTTTTTTTTTCATCTCAATACTCTTTAAGCTAGATTTGAACAAAACCCATAAACCTTTATAGATTAGCTTGCCCAAGAGTACGATGTTTAGAAATAGCATAAGAAGTATCAGGCCATCCAGCTTAAGGGCTGTTACTCGTTTCAATGCTCTCGCCACTAGAGCTTATGCCACTGCTCCAGATAAAACGACCGATGCTTTCATTAAATATCAAGAAAAACTTGATCAAAAAGCAAAATCTTTAGGATTGAAAGATGCAGCAGAATTACAGGAAAAGCTCAAGGAAGATATAGAATTAAAGAAGAAAGAATTCAATGCCGTCGATCCATTGAAAGAACTCGAAGCGTACGAAAGAAAGAAGGCAGAAGAAATCCAAAAGAATAAGGATTCAAAAACTATCAAGGTTAGATCACCTGTCGACAAAGATGCCCCAGTGGCACCATATAAAACCCTTGATAGCTTCATAGATGTTGAGAAAGCAAAAGAATTGCCTGCTAAAGAATTACAATTCATATGGAGAGCTAGATTTCAAAATAAAGAAGGTAATTTCCATGCAGCCTTAAACAGTATCCAATTTGCTAAGATGTATGCTAATGCTTTCAAAAACCCAAGTTTCATCTTACCTTTACCAAAAACTGAGGACGGATACGAAATGCATTTCGTTCAATGGAGCTTTGTCGGTCCAAAGACCACTCATTGTATGTTAACGACTGTTGCTGAATACAAACTTCATAAAGAGTACGCTAAACCACATACCACGCTTATGTTTCATCAAGACTTAGCTGATAAAACTGATCTTGTCTTAATGAACGGTCAACTTGAAGCCGATGTCCCATTAACAATGGAAGAAGCCCAACTTTTGATATTAAATGTTCAAAGATTTTATGGTGGTCTTACTGATAAAGAAGGTTCTAAGAGAAAATTAGAATTATTAAGAGATTTCACTTCTGGTAATCCAAACTTCGATATGGATAAGCTTATCAATGAAGCAGCTTCTCTTGATTAAGCTTTAAGATATTGGTCTGGCTTTATCTATTCTATGTATATAACTTATAATTAAAAGACTACCTTCTATTTACCTGCCTAGTTTCATTATATCATCAATTATAGACCCCTGAGGCTTCTTCACATTCCGTTTACAAGTGGACTCTGTAGTCTTTTTGGAATTTCTACCATTTGCGGTCTTTGACGTCAGATTCCTGCTTGTTCCCTTTGTAGTTGGTTTGCGAGTACTTTGTTTCTTCTTTGGAACCTCATATTCCTCATCCTGTTCACTATCTATTTCATTCACTTCTACTTGAGAATCGTCCTCCTGATACGCATCGTGGTCACTATCATCATCATGATCATCAACTGCCATGGAAGACTTAGGGGCAGCTTTTCTTTTTGATGCCGTTGATCGAGTACTCAATCTTGCTTTCGTTTGTGTTTTCTTTCCTGCTTGTGTATCACCACTCTCTTCATTATCAATTTCCATTAATTCATCACTTTTTTTGGAATTGTAAGGCATCAGTCTTTTCGATGCCTCCTTATCGATCAGTTTTTTGAAATCGTGCTCCCGTTTGAATGTATTAAGAACATTTTTGAAAGCTAATCTCGAGTCACCATCTCCCTCCAAGTCGTCAAAATTGATATCAACTTTTGAAAGCAGCTTGATCGATGACTCTATGGAATTTTCAATATAATCAGATATTAATTGTTTGTCGTCTTGGTCAATACATTTTTTAGTCATATCAATTATTCCCTCTTCCGGTATGATTGACATGTTGGATTCTTCGAGGAAATCTTTCAAAAAATCTTTGATATTAGCTTTTGATATAACAGATGCAGCCAAATCTCTCTCATCTATTCCTAATTTTTTATCATTCAGAACAATCAGACTTACTTGATTGTATTTATTTCCTTTTTTTTTATAACAGTGTAAGACATCATTAACATTGGCTATCTTTCCCACAAACTTATTAGAAAAACGTCTAGCATTTTCAACTTCGTAATCACCAGAATACTCAACACGTAGTCTGACTAAAGGTAACGGATACTCAGGTTGTATATCATCTTCCAAGTCCTCAAATAACTCAGGGTTAGAGTCTCGATATTGCTGGTTTGCTTCTTCGATTAATTTTTCAACCTCTGATACCAAAAATTTAGAGATGTCATTTTTGGAAGCAGGACCAGGAACGAACCCCTCTCTCATTAAAGAGACTTCTTTCATCACAAAAGGACGAACCGTCTGGAGCTTGATGGGCTCCAAAGAATACTCTTTCTCTTTTATACTCAAGATAAAAACATGTTTTTCAGCAGTCTCTCCCTCGCTTAGAGCAGTTGCAATGGAGGAACCAGGTTGAAGAGTATCAAATCCAGTATCAGGATTGTAAACTGGATTTGGAATGCATTCATGTTCATGCCCCCACAAAACAAAGTTAAGAAAAGACGGAAGATAAGATTCAGGTAAGAAAGATGTGGCAGAATGCTGGTAATGGTTTTGATGAAGTGCTAGAAGATTAAACCATTGGTCTGTTTGAACGTTAGGTCTTAAGAACGTAACTTCGCCATCTCTGAAATTTCTGTGTAATCTTTCATCTTTGACGTTGTTCATTCCATATAGAGCTAACTTTGACTTACCCTTCTGTAAAAGAATCGGCATAACAGTTATCTTTTCATTGTCTGGAATTTTACCAAAGTAATTGATAAACCCAGAAACCGAGAGTAAGTCGAGAGGCAGTAGCAAACCTTCCCCTGTAGCATCATCATGATTACCACTTATAGCAAACACAGGAACTGACACGTTAATATTGGGGTCTTCATAATTCACAGTATTGAATCCACCATCTAACAAGTTGCTTGGATCACTGAGTAGTTCCAACTCACAAGGGCGATCTCCCAAGCAATTCAACCGCAATGACCGCATAACATGATATATCGATTTCTTCGAAGGCTTATTCACATGAAAAAGGTCACCACTCTGTAATATCATGTCTACATCCTTCGTTTTTGCAAGATATGTGATCTCTTGAAATGTTTTCCATCCATCATCTCCTCTAATAAGATCATTCTCGTTATAACCCACATGATTGTCGGTGGTGATGAGTATCCTTATGGTATCGGGGCCTTCCTCTATATTCTGAATCGGAGGCATGTTTAAGAATGTAGGTGTTCAATCAGAAATGTCTATTTCATACATGAACCCTAGTATAGTGTGCAAGAATTATGCGTAGTTGGGCCTTCTCAATTTTTTTTTTTTTTTCAGTTTGGTCTACATAATATCATCTAAATCAATAAGAAGAAGGGACCTATTAATACTGCCATTGAATTTGCAAACTTCATTTAAATCCAAGGGAGAATATCAACTAGTATGGATTATTCACCAACAGATCCCCTGGAATTGGAAGCTCGACAGCAGGATGAGCTTAGCAGTGTTGAGTCCATATATGGGGATATATTTAAGAACATCACTTCCTCTAAATTAATCTGGAATAAGAAGCCCAGTCCACATTTCCAAATCTATTTATCATCCTGTGAGAACCCAGACCACCCAGTTGTGTCGTTGACGCTTGATTTTTCTCTTACCCCTACATATCCCGTGACATCACCCATAATTAAAGTGCTAGATCCTAAAAATATAACTAAGTCTAGATTGAAGAAAATAGACGAAAAGATACATGAATTGATAAAAGAATATCAGGGTGAGGAAGTATGTTTTACAATAATATCAGAGGTAAAAGACATTATCGATGATTTTCAACAAACTACAGAGAAAGTTTTGTCTTTGGAAGAAGAACGAGAAAAACGTCTTCAAAATGAAAGACGTAAGCTAGAGGAGAAGGAAGCTGAACTAGAGTATGAACAAGAACTTGCTAAAGAACGCCAAAGCAAGGTATTGAATGAACAACTATCGAGGTATCATGATGAGTTCTATCAGGACTCATATAACTCTGCTTCCTTGGACGCCTCACAATCTGCCAGAAATAATGATGATTTGATTCCCCCAGATACCAGTGGGTGCTATATTTTTGCTAATCCAATCTGGGGTGATATTCCTAATAGTAAATCTACATTTAAATTTAAAGCTGTGCAAGGCTTTATTGCATATACTCAAAAGAATGATATACTTTCTTCCATTAGTAAACAGTATATTGTTAAACCGTACGTTTCTCAGGACATTCAACGCAAGTTCAATAATAAAAAGATCGAAGTGCTGTACATATTGACTCAAGTTACCATAGATAATCCATTTTGGTTGACTGATGACGGTATAACGGTTGTGAGACAATTTGAAAGGGATTTAGAGCAAATAAGACATCTTAACAATGAAAATATTTTCAAGCTTTATGGATACCAAATAGATAGAAAAGAATACGGCTGGGAAATAAATCTTTTATCTCAATTTTCTCAAACTGCTGAATACCTACATGATATGCTATCAACAGCTGAGTTTTTCAGTTGGGAATTGGCAAGGTCATGGCTTATACAATTACTTCCTGGAATAGAGTACTTACACAATTCTGGTCTCACTCATTACTTGATATGTCCTTTCACCGTATTGGTATGTGATGCAGAAGTTGACTACTACTATCAAAATTCAAATAAAGACATGTCGTATGACGACGATGACGGAGAACCAACTACGATTAAGGTTTTAAAACTTCTGCATCCTTCATACGGGTTTTCTTTATTGTCTATGCTAAATGAATATCCGAATATCGATCAACTGAAGTCCAAATCCGGTAAATATGGCTTCATGAAACACTTAATCCCTACCAATTGGATCGATCCAGAATTTCCCTGTGGCCCGAAATCAGACATATGGAACTTGGGTGTTCTATTTTTACGAATTATGATTAATTACAACACATTGACTAAACTCTATCCCAGACCTGAGGATTTTTTACGTAATTTCAATCCAGATGACTATGGTGAGGCTCGTGATCACGCTGAAATTGTTTATGACTTATTATCAAGAATGATCCAACCAAAAGCATCGAAACGTCCAAGTTTGCTAGAACTTAATGCCCTCAAATTTTTTAGAGATGGTATCCATTATGTGAATAATACTGAAACGAACCCGCGAATGATGTTTGACTCAACTACTCCGATATCACCTATACCGGATCATATAGACTCTTTCAGGGCTCCTTTAGGATCTACTCGCTACCAGACGGCTGCTATAGAAGCTAGTAGAAGGAATCTTTCCCCTGCATTGCCTTCCAGAAGACGTTATTCTAACCAAAACCAAAACCCGTATCTTGGTGATACACCCAGTGCAAATTCTGGAAATGCTATTGACTCTAGATATGAAAGAGAGTTTGAAGAAGTCAGCAAATTAGGTAAAGGTGGTTTTGGTGAAGTTGTGAAAGCAAGAAATAGAATGGAAGGAACATTTTACGCTATAAAGAAAGTAAAGCATAGGGCAAATAAGTTGGAGGTTATTCTCAGTGAGGTTCTTTCTTTGGCTAGATTGAACCATCAATATATAGTGAGATATTATGGTTGTTGGGTTGAGGAAGTAAACCCTGTGAATGATTCAGGAGCTATAGACTCGGACTCGTCTTCTGAAAGTGACTCTGATAGTGACTTTGAAAGTCCAATTGCAAGATCTTCCTCTGCTATGCGAGCTCATGATGATTCATTTCAAGTAGACTACTTAGCAAATTCGCTTGATGCACAACTTGATTATTCGGATAGTGATTTTGATGATCGAATTGTTTTTGCTAACTCATCGGATGGCAACCAGGCAGTTGAAAGTGATGAAGACAATACCAGCTGTGACGAGGATACTGAAGACGAGGATACCGAAGATGATGAAACAGATGAGTTCACCGATGAGGCATCCAGCAGTAAGACAACGAGATCGCACTTCATTAGACACAATAAAACGGAAATTAACAAACTCAGGGATTTACACCAAGCTAAATCAATCTTGTATATTCAAATGGAATTCTGTGAAAATAAGACCTTACTGGATCTAATAGAACAGGGTCTTCCTAAGAATCCAAACGAATATTGGAGACTTTTCCGTCAAATATTAGAAGCCGTGAGCTACATTCACAGCTCTGGGTTCATTCATCGTGACTTGAAACCAATGAACATTTTTATTGATAAATCGAATAACGTTAAAATTGGTGATTTCGGTTTGGCAAAGAATTCTCAATTCTCCAGTGCCATTCTGGATAATAATCAAGTTGCATCAACTGGAAATAAGGAGTTTTCTACAGTTGTTGGCACAGTTTTTTACACTGCTAAAGAAGTAGCAACAGGAGAGTATGATGAAAAGGTGGATATGTATTCCTTGGGGATTATATTTTTCGAAATGTGCTATCCATTATCTACTGGTATGGAAAGGGCCGCAACTTTAAACAATTTAAGATTGGCATCAATTGAATTCCCAAGTAATTTCACCGATTCAAAATACAAGGTGCAAAAGAAAATAATAAGATCATTGCTCAATCATAATCCAAAGGAAAGGCCTGGTGCCAACGACCTTTTGCAGACTGGATGGTTACCTGTCGAGTATGAAGATAGAATAATCAAGGAGGCTCTCAAAGCTTTATCCGACCCTGCCTCTCCATGGCAGCAAAAAGTTCGAGAAAGTCTTTTTTCGCAACCATATGTTTTAGCGAGAGATCTTATGTTTGATAGTCATGGTAGGCATTCACATATGCATCAACTAGAGCATTCCGTTAATGATTATTTGACTTTTAGTCAAATTGTCAGTGAGCTATCTAATATTTTCCAGAAGCATGGTGCAGTAGCTGACTATAGTTCTGGTATTTTGCTACCAAAGGCTTATAGCCAATCTCCAGGGCATTGCTATGAAGTATTAGACCGGAATGGTCAAGTTTTAACTTTGCCTTATGATCTTGTTTTACCAACTGCAAGATTTTTCAGCCGTACCAATATTTCTGTTTCGAAGTTATACCGACATCAATTTGTTTACAGACCGAACACAAGAGGGAGTGGAGCTCCAGAAAAATTCAGTGCTGTCAGTTTTGATATTTCAACCCATGATATATTAAGCAGAGCTGAAAATGAAGCAGAGTGTCTTAAGATAGTAGATGAAATACTAGAATCATTTCCGTGTTTTAAAGTTAAGAACTCGCAAACTTCTATCATGATTAATCATTGTGATATATTAAATAGTGTGACTGAATTTGCTTTTGGAAATTCCGTTAGAATAGATGGGAAAAGAAAAGAAGAGTTCTTCGTCAAATTGTCCCAATTACTGCATGGTAAATCACCAGAAGATATCAAAGCAAGCTTGAGAGAAGATTTTAAAATCCAACATACTGTTATCAAGGATCTTATAGATACATTTAATTTCACGGTAGATCCAGAAAAAGCGAAACCAAAGATTCAAAAGCTTATGGCTGATTCGCCTTTACTTGCAAAGATTGAGAAATCTATTGATCACTTATTACATGTTTTGAAAATCGCTACCAGTTTAGGAGTTCAAAGTACCATAAGGTTTAACCCGCTTAGTAATTATAGTAGTAATTATTACGCCGGAGGTCTTATGTTTCAAGTGTATCATAGAAACGATCAAAAGAAAATAGCTTTAGTTGGAACTGGTGGAAGGTACGACAACTTGATACGATCTTTATCAAATAGAGACTTGAATAAGTCGATAACTTCGCACGCCGTAGGGTTCCAAATAGGGGCTACTTACTTGTTTCAGCAGATGAAGAATACTAATAAGAAGACCAAATCGAGTTTACCAAATATGAAGAATAACTCCGAGTTCTCGAAAGTTAAATGGAGAAGGGTTAGATGTGATGTCTTGGTTACAAGCTTGACAGAAAGCTACATAGAGGAATCTGGATACGAACTAGTTAAAAGATTATGGGCAAACGATATAAGCAGTGATATATTTCACCCTACGTCCCAAGAAGACTTGATTCATAAAGCTCATATTGATGGGGCCAATTGGGTGGTAATAATAAAGCAGTCTAATTCGAAAGCCACTCGCAAAAAGAACAAGAAGTCATCAAATCAGTTCAAACCTTTAAGAGTGAAAGATGTCAGCAGTGGTAAAGATGTTGATATTGATTATCCTGAAGTGGTAGAATATTTATTGGGTGAGATTGAAGAACGTAATAACGAGGATAACTATGAGTATAACAGCAGCCCACTTAATAGTTCACATAGTGTTGAGCATAATAATGATGATTCAGAAATTGATGATAAATCGGCCATTAGCGGTGGACCTCTCTATAATATTGATATTGATCAAAAAGTTATCACAGTCAATAATGATGCCCCTAGAGGTCGTAAGAATAATAACAAGCGGGATAAATGGGAGATTGAAAACGATGCCAAAGTCGCTGGAGCAGAATTAGTCAAAAATTTATCTAATACACCAGTAGTAAGTGTTGATGCTAGGGATGATGTACTAGATATGATTCTGATAACTTCGTTAAAGCAATCCGATGAATGGATCAGAAAAGTTGTTTATTCAACAAACAATCTTCCGAAAAGCTTTGCTACAAACATCTACAATACATTAATTAAAGAAGCTGGTAAGGGAAACAAATGGGTAATAATTCATTCACCAAAGACCGATAAAACGGTCATAGTTGATCTAGAGCGTTAAATAATATCACAATGAAGAAAAAAAATAAATATGATTAAAAATGATTTATGTAAGAAGCAAGTAGTTATACCTGATGACTAACCGTAGAATTGAAAGAATAGAAAAAAACTTTTTCTAAACAAAAAATGATATCTAAAATATGACTTTTAGTTAAATAGGAAATTTAAATCAAAGGTTTAAAGATTGAGTGAATTTTTCTTTCCAATCCCAATATTCTTGTAATCTTAATTTTGAATAATTGGAATAATTGAAATCAATGTTGGAAATTTCACTTTGGATAGAAGCCCAAATACCCCAATAAAATCCTGGCATACCATAGTAGCTTATAATTTCATTTAATAAATCATGTATCAAACGGTCATTTTTATCACTGTTATTTGAATCTAACTCATTACTGAGATATCCACGACACCATTCGATTAGGAATGGGTTTGTAAAAGAGGCTTCAGGAATTGCCAGACGATCACAATCAAAGCCTTGGTATTCAGCCAAATGATTTGCTATATCAAAAGCTCTTGGAGCAGGCAACATATATTCATAATCAATGAATTGGATTGGATTTGAAAGGTCATCTTTTAATTTAATTGGTTCATCATTGAAGGATTTAGCTAAGTTAGCTTCCGAGTATTCATCAGAATTAGGGACAATAATATTACCTGAAAGCAAATCACAATGACTTGAGACAATTGGAGATTTAACTGATTCATTCAAGGTTGATTTTAACCAATCGAATTCTTTCTTGATATAAGATTTCAAATTTGATTTATCAACTTCATTTGTGTTATTATTTTCATTGAATGAGTCAATTAATCCTTGAGTGGTTGGGACATTTTTAATCCAATCTTCTATTAAATCCCAAATACTAGTTATTATTGCCTTTTTTGGATTATTATTTGGATCAAGTTTTTGTTTTTTATTTGAAGATTTTAATAATAAAGTGTAATTATTTAATTTTCCAACTCCATCATCGATATAATCACTTTTAATTTTATTATGCCAATTACCTAACTGTTGAGCAATTAGGGGGAATAATTTGGGATGTTTTAATTCATTATATTCTAAAGAGCGACCGGGTAAGAACCCATAAATTAAACCATTTGCAAAACGGGCGTGGATTGTAGGAGCCAAATGAAGAGAATTTAAAACCAAATGACTGACAAACTCACGGTGTCTATCGATGATTAAATTTGTACCTTGACCATAAACTCTCATTAAAACGGTATGATTGAAATGAGTGGTTGGATCGGTATAGTTACAAGAAAGCAACATGTTTGTTATACCTCCCGTCAATCTTTTAATGGTAATATTGGATTTATTATTCCAAGTGGTTGGGAATACTTTTGATAATAATTTTTTAATTTGGATATAATCACTATCAACGTTTTCCGACAAGTTTATTTGAAATTGAGGTAAGTAAATTGCATGGGTAGAGTAGTTATCTAGTATAGTTGAGATCTGAGCAGACTCCTCCTCCGAGGTAAGTGGAGGACTTAACGTAACATCCTTTTTATTTGAGCTAGTCAAGTCAGATAACGAGGGATTGTGTAAAGAGAAAAGTAAATTTTTATGCTTAATAGACATTTTAATGGATTTTGACTCCTTTCTTGGTACCAACTCGTTATCAGAGTCACTGGAGTCATTAGAAGAGTTGGTCATCGAGATCGAGGCTATTGAATTATCAGTGAACGAGGTCACCGGTATGCAATGCATATTACCAGCAGATATAAAGCAGTATACTGGAGAAGTGGACGTCATTTCCTTGGTTATTCTACTCTATTCTAAACTTAAACAACAAGACTCAACAACAAACAAGAAGCTTTAACCAACCAAGTTTGAAAAGACAAACGACAAATACAAAAAAAAAAAGAAAAGAATTAAATTTTAAGTAATATCTAAATCTGTTGACACGACACACGACAACTAAACCGATGACAGTGGACTGAGGCTGTATCACCAGGAGCACTTCAATACTAGTTGAAACCAAAAGCAATAAGGAAAACTGGGGTGTTTATTCAAAAGGGTCCGACCGTACTTCCAACTCAAATCAGATGGGAATCAAAGCAGATTTTATAGTATTTTTAAATTCAAAAAATGGGAATAGGCCAACTGTCACGTGACCGTTCAGAAAGTATCAACCAACAACAACTTTAACCAAGGAACAAGTCAGAAGACAATAAAATATCAGGGTAGTTAGAAGAAGTAATTGGATTGAGTAAGTGTAGTTGATGTTTTGGGGGCAGGTCAAGAAAAGTTGCTGTGGTTGACAATAGTTTGGTTCCGTCCGATTGCAAAGTCTTTTTATTGTGAAAAACAAAGGTTATCTACAAAGAAGTATTGTTAAAGGAATATATTGCTATGAACTAGGTTTATAATAGAGAAAACAAAGAAAGAATAGGGTAAATCACTCACCTCACACGAGCCAAATAATCTTTCGGAGGGGCTGATATCGAGGTTCCAGGACCCTTTGTTTTATACACTTTCTAATCTGTTGTAACCATCGTGATTGTCTTGTGATTGTTGATCTTGTTCGATAATGGTGTAAGGCTCGTAGGATTGGGGATGGGTTATACTAGGGAAATGTTTGCGATAAGAAGTATAAGCGATACAAATTCCAATCGAGCTACCAATGATGATATCAATAAAATGGTGACGATAGTCTTCGGTACGGCTTAATGCAATCAACATGGCCACTAGAGTAGGAGATGCTGCCACTATGCTTCTCCAACTACCCAGATGAGAGTTGGTGACTACTAATTGGCCAGCTAACCATAAGGAAAGATAAAGGAGTCCGGCAAAACTTAAACTCAGATGGCCAGACGGAGTTGTTCTGAAACCATCTTTCAATCGGTCGTAATCTGTAGTTGTGCAAACGTCAATTGCATTCACCAATATATTGACATCAGCATTGGAATCGGGGATGCATCTGGCAATGAAATCAGGTCTATGACGTCCAATGAAGTTTTTCAAAAGGTCAGTGACAACACTGGTTAAAAATACCGATACTAGTAAGCCAATAATCGAAACATATGTTACGTAGACCTTATTTTTTGGTTTGGTGATGATAATACTAACAATACCTATAATTGTCAAGGGACTCCAAACGGCATAGAAAAATAAAGCAGCGTTATTGACTCTTTCATGTTCAGCAAAGGGATGGTTGATTGTCACATCACTGATCACAAATTGTCTCTGGAATGGTTCAATCCAGTAAACCAAAAAGTATAATACAAATAATATCACAAGTAGTAAAAGCTCTGATATTCTCCATTCGAGTAATTGATTGAGGTACTGATACTTGGATAGCCCAAAGTCAACCCGATTGACCCGGTCATTGGTGTGGAAGTAGTTGATCACGTTGAAGAGTGACGTTGTTATTGCTTCTGCCATGGTCTAGGGTATCTTATAATGAAGTTGGTGTCGTGTTTTGTTTTGTTTTCAATTTTTTTATCTCTTCAAATTTTCCTTTGAAGGGTTCCTCCCAGTATTTCTAATTCTTATTCACCAAAGCAACTGCTGCTGCGATACTGACTCCACGTAGTCCTTTACTCTTCTTCCGGTAACTTCATCAGGGCACTCTTCAGCAGCTTGTATGACAGTTGAAGCTTTTCTCGAGGGTGCGGTACTAATTGCCTAAATCCCCAGCTGAGCTCATCCTAAACGTTGTAGTCTACGCATACAAACCCTGGTGACTTGTACTACATCACTGGTGGGTTTTATTCTGCCATTTGTTCTGGCTTGTGCTCTGGTTTTCCAGTAACTTAGCGATAAACATGTTGATAAAGATGGTATTCGACAATACTTGAATTTTTTTATAGTGCGGAAGTAGTTGTTGATTTTGAAAACATTTTCTAATCATGTTTTTCCCATCCCTGAACTCACCTTCTTATCAATCCATCCAATAATGAATAGTAGTATCTTTGCTAGCTCGGAAGATCCCTGGGAGAACGGTTGGGCTGCTCCTGAGGATGACAGCCGTGCTAAGAATACCGGGGACTCCTTACTTTATAGCAATCCTGATTCCAGTTATCTTACATCGTCTCAATTACTTAATAGTGAACCAACCACTAGTGATTCGGCGATTCCAGAGTCTTATAAGAGAGTTTATGGAGAGCTTGGGTCCAAGATCGAAACGGTTGACGATTTAAAACAAACTATTTTTGATAAGTTGATTAAAAGTGATATATTGACCAATTATCAAATCACTCGAATTATTGATATTTTATACGATTATAACTTGTTACCACCTTCAATTGAATCTAATTTCTACCAGATTCTTGGCTTGATTGCTTTGGAAATTGACTTGGCTGGTACAGGGGACTACGTCACTTTGCAATTCAAATTAAATACTAGATTACCGGATATTGCTGGTTCTATTATAGAGTTGTTGATTTCTAATGATAATACCGATAGTGAAGTTCCTCAAGTTGACGCAGAAGCAAATTTTATTGATCCTTTGACATCCCAGTTGAATGAAACTTCTATTAATGATAACGAGGAAGAAAATGAATGGAGCAGTCAACCAATTTCAAATACTAACAGTGTTGGTGCCACCAATAAAGAAACATCGATATTGTCCGATCCAATTCTAACTGACCATTCTTCAATCCAGCAGAAACAAACCAAGAATGAATTTGAAAGCTCTAATCCTGAGCCTATTGAATATAACGAGATTACAAAATATATCGATGAGATTAGAGACCGGTTTAAACCTTTAGTCAATACTCCAAATACAGTTAGAATCAAAGAAGTTCCAGAAAAAGAAGGATTACTATTCAAGCATATTAACTATATTATAACCCATGATTTAAAATTGGGATTGCATGGACCAGCAGGTACCAAAAAAGTCATTAGAAGATATAGTGATTTTGTTTGGTTACTAGAATATTTATTGAAAAAATACCCTTTTAGGGTTATACCTGGGTTACCACCCAAAAAGTTTTCTGGTATGTATTACAAAACTTTTTCCGCCACCCATTCTTTGGAGCAAAATACTAATTTACAATTCATTTAGTAGGATCATCTCCTGATTCTCAATTTTTACAAAGACGTCGTCGAGGCTTACATCGATTTTTAAATCAATTAGTTAAGCATCCAGTATTGAGACAAGAACCATTGGTGATAACTTTTTTAAGTGTCCCAACTGATTTGAATACTTGGAAAAAACAAGCTAGAATTGATTATTCATTAGAATTCAAAGGACAAAAAATCCTGACTAATTTCATCAATTCTATTTGGCCAACTATTGGGGAAGAATTTTTAAAGAATTGGAAAAATTGTGAGACTAATATTAATAAGTTGATAGAAATTTGGACTAAATTAGTTGTTCTAGTCGAAAGATACGAAAAAAGACAACAACAAATTGCATTTGATAATGGAAAATTTGTTGAAATGATTAATAAATTTAATGAATTAGACGATAATTTATATCCTCATAAAAACAATGAAAATACTGAAATAATTGCAAATAATAATAAAGATGATGTTAACTCTATAAATGATTCCTTACATTTTATTTCTGAATTTTTCAATAAATCAAATCAAGCATTGATTGATGAAAGTTACAATATAAATACTACAAATTTAGAAAAATTTAAAAATTATTTGGATTATTTATATTCATTACAAGAATTATTCGAACGTTCCAAAAAATTATCAATTAATAATATTAATAATTTACAAAATAAAATTCAAGAAAATGAACTAAAATATTCAAAATTGAATACTGATGATGTTGATATTAAGGGAAGCGAATTGGTTAAATTGAGACAAGTTATCATTAATGATAAACAAGAAATCTTTCAACAATTAAATAAGGATTGGCTAATTAAAAATTGCTGTTTTGAAGAATTTTTAATGTTTCAAGAAACCCAATTCTTAATTAGTGAAATTTGGATTGATTGGTGCAAAGGAAGATCAAACTTCCAATCAAAATTTTCTGAATTATTTGATAATTTAAATAATGAAATCTTAAATGACATGCCTTTAAGTAGATAGTTTTAATTCTTAGCATTTTAGCATTAATATATTCTTATGTACTATTTTGTAATTCATTTAAAATATTCTTCCATCTTGCTATAATCTCGTGTTCTCCCTTTGATTCCAAGTCATTATCAAAGTATTTCCGGTCCAATATCTTGGTAATAGCTAACTCTTGCTTGGCTTGTTCAAATAAGTCTGTTCTGATGTCCTTATAGCACCATATTCTCGAGAGTAATCTGCCAACTTCAATTCCCAATTGGGCCCCCTTGGGAAACGCTTCGTCAAACCCTTGCTGCAATCCAGACTCCTGCGCTTGCGTGAGCCCGTCAAGGTACCCCTGTTTGGTGTGGATTCTCTTCAAGTCTGCTGTCGACTGATCTTTCATCGAGTATTCCGCTTCATCGTCATCGGCCCAAACATCATCGTCTGTTTCTCGTGCTGTATCGTTTAGCCCTACCAGTGGCTCGTTTTGCTTGCATCCACAAGACCCATTCGGTTCTCCGCAGGCCATTCTAGCTTTCTCTCGTCCTTCCGTCCACGTTAGGCCTCCAAAACTATCCTTTTCGGTCCTTCTTCCCCGACAGCTCTGCTCTTCAAGTCGTTATAAAAATGTCGCGAGCAACCACGGCCTAACAAATATGTCGCGCGCTCCCGCAAATTTGTGGATAAGGAGTGGAAGTTAGCGCGCGACATTTTTCTTCTCATAGAAAAAAATTTAGAAAAAACTTCGTTTGACAACAACAGCAAATACGAAGGATCAATTCAATTTCCGAAAGACACGGACCCACACCATAAGCTGATACTTAGGGTGTTGATAATAAGTGACGGGCTGCTGATTTCTGTTGCTCTTATTGAAGGCGTATCTAATACTGTTGAAATCTAGTGGGTGGAAAGTGAATAAAAAAATTTTTTTTCTGTTCCTTTGAAAACTTTATCAAACTGGTGCTGGTAACCTAGAAAACATTCCATTCGTTAACATCACTACCTGCTTACACGTTTTATTATTTATAGCGGGAGAGTGGCAGGAATCTTTTCATTGGAAGGAAAACAATTGAAAAACCGATCAAATAGAAAAATAAATTGACAGTACGGTAACAATTTACAACGATTAGAATGGCTGAAAATATTATTACTCAAGTAAGTGAAGATTCTTACGATATCAATGCAGGAGGGTACGATGATAGTAATAGTAATATTGATTATAATTCCAAGATTCATTTAAACATTCGAGGATCAGAATTCACTATAACGAGAGATGAATTGATGAGTCTACCTGAGAGTATATTATTATGTCTTTTCCCCAATGGAGTATTTTTAGATGCTAACGGACAAGTAATTACGAATTTAACTGAAGAAGATGTTGTTTATGTAAATTTCGATCCTGAGTGTTTTGAATATATTATTAATTCTTTTAATGATGCTCAAAAGGATTTAAGTGATTTACCACCACCATCACCTCAAAGTAATCATAATTATCGTCATCAACAAGAAAATAATGCTAATTTTTTACAAAATAAACCGGCCATTATTGTTTTAAGAGAAGATTTAGATTATTATGTGATTCCTCCAGTTGCTGGTTTGACTGCTGATCAAATTAAAAGTTTAAAATTATCTGTGGGTAATAAATTAGTCGAAAATAAGCTAATTTTCTCTGGTTTGGGTTTCAATCCAAATTTACCTTCAAACGTTCACCAAAGTTTAGGTCCGGCAGAACAACATCTTTTCGATATGTTATGTACTTCTGGTTTTGATCATCTGGAGCTTTGGGGCAGTAGATCAACGGAACCTTCCAAATGTGTCATTCTGTCATTATCGTTAGTACGTCTAAAAACTGATCCTCCTACTCCTCCTGAATCTCCTTCTTTACAACCAGTCAGTTCCAATGCATCAACTAGTTCAAGATCAAGATCTCGTTTTTCTAATTTGGCTACAAGTGCTACTAGGGCTGCTTCCAGGTCCTTATCAAGAGCTAAAAAAAATTCTGATCCAAATCAAACTAAATTATTACTTTTTTGGAGGAAACCTGCCAGAAAATGCTGGTGGACTAATGAATCAGTCAATCTTGATATCGAAATACCTAATCTTGATAAACCTATAAGTGTTAAAGTTCATATAAGAAGAGTTTGGACTTTAGAATTATCAGTTATTGGCGTTCAATAAGTTTCTCCTTTTTTATTTATTCATCCATGCTTGGAACTACATCCACCTAATAGAGATCTTCCCCCTTCCCATTCGTTTATCCTATTTTCGTTCTTACTTCATGTCCAACTTCTTTTCTTCTTATTCCCTCTTTAATAATTAATTTTATTTCAAATCAAGTTTTAGTAGGTGTAGTACGCGTAACTAATTTTTTTTTTTTTTTTGCAAAAAAATCAATGGACGTAAAGTCGCTCGCGTCTTCAAGTCATCATCTTAAGAAGTTACTTCCTTTAAATACCATCGTTTGTCGGTATGACTTCAGTTCTAACCGGTAACAAGCCAAAGCTTGAGCAATACGAAAAGGAGAGATTACAACATACACCTTGGGTTGAAAAATACCGTCCCAAAAACTTAGACGATGTTGCTTCACAAGATCATGCAGTGAAAGTATTGAAGAAAACTTTACAATCAGCTAATCTACCACATATGTTGTTCTATGGACCCCCTGGTACAGGTAAGACGTCTACTGTTTTGGCATTGGCCAAACAATTGTATGGACCAAGTTTGTATAAATCAAGAGTATTAGAATTAAATGCATCGGATGAAAGAGGGATTTCGATTGTTAGACAGAAAATCAAAAATTTTGCCAGATCTACTATATCAAATGCTTCTAAAGATGATTTGGCTAATTATCCATGTCCTCCTTATAAAATCATTATATTAGATGAAGCTGATTCAATGACAAAAGATGCACAATCGGCTTTGAGAAGAACTATGGAAAATTATGCAAACGTTACAAGATTTTGTTTGATTTGTAATTATATTACCAGAATTATCGACCCATTAGCTTCAAGATGTTCCAAGTTCAGATTTAGATTATTGAATAATGATAATGCATTGAACAGATTAAAATACATCGTTAAGGAAGAAAATATAAATTTACAAAATGACGAAGTTTTAGATGAAGTTTTGAAAGTCTCAAATGGTGATTTACGTAAGGCAATCACCTTCTTACAATCTGCCACCAGGTTGTACTCGTCTTTAAGAAACTCTGATGAGGATGTGGAAATGGCCGATGATGATACCTCGGGAATAACGAAAAACTCCATCCATGAAATTGCTGGTGTTGTGGGTGATGACTTAATCGATCAAACCTTCGATATAATCGAATCAAGAAATACCTCACGTATAATTAACCATACCGATAGTCTCGTTTTACAAGGTTGGAGTGCTCAACAAGTTGTTGACCAACTACATGATAAATTCATTCTTAATGATTCCTTAAGCTCAATTGTGAAAAATAGATTATCCAAAATATTCTTCGAGACTGATAGAAAATTAAATAACGGTACAGATGAACACATTCAATTATTGAATTTGTTTTTACAAATCTCGAAAGAACTATAGCTCTCTCTAGGACTAGTAATGATTAAAAGTAGTTAATAAATGGAAAAATTATAATTATATATACACAGTAGGATGAAAAAAAAAAAAAAAAAAAAAAAAAAAAAAAAAAAAAGAGAAGTGAATAAACGTAGAAAGCGAATATGAATGCTTGAAGAACATTGAATGATTTAGTTATTCTGCGAGATATGATGATAAGAAAAAAGGAAAAAAGGCAGATAACACGGAAGAACTAAAAGAGCAATTCATAAATTATCATAAAGTCATCTCTATTGACGTGGTGGTTGCTGGTTATGCTGTTGCTGCTGCATCATATGGAATTGCTGATGTTGTGGGCCCATTTGTTGAATAGGAATGCCTGGTGGTGGTACTCCTGGTGGAAATCCAAAGGATTGCCCACTAGGTGGTGGTGCAAAATGTGGTCCATTGGGTGGTGGTCCGTTTGAAGGTGGTCCATTAGGTGGTGGTCCATTAGGTGGTGGGCCGTTGGGTGGTGGGCCGTTGGGTGGTGGGCCATTAGGTGGTCCATTTTGCATTGGAAATTGACCTGGTGGCATTTGCATTCCCGGTGGTGGCATGAATCCTGGGGGAAACATACCTGGGGGAGGACCCTGGAATTGCATATGGGATGCCGATGGACCAGACATTCCTGGAGGAGGACCTCCCATGTGTAATTCACCCTTTTGTTGAGGAGGCATTGGTCCACCTGGGAAACCATTTGGCCCGCTATGGGCATTGATTGGTATTGGGCCATTTGGACCGAATTCTCTAAACCAAGGTGGTGGAATAGGCTGATTGGGTTGGTGGTTTTCACTACCATAGCTAGCATCAGACTGAGTAGATTGACGACGACTTTGCTGTTGGACCTTTGTATGTTGAATTAAAGGACTTTGTTGGGGTGGTCCCTGGAAAACTCCTGGAATTTGCTCTTTTGAAGACAAAGCTGAAGGTTGGACTGGGGTAGCATTACCAGTGATTACTGGGGATTGTTGAACACTTCCCTTCGAGCTATGACCTTGTAAGGTATTCATCAAGCTAGCTGAAGATGCTTGAGGAGTGCCAGTCTGAGAGGCATTAGCTTCCTTTTTATTGAGTAAAGAAAGAAAAAACGAGTCGTTTGCATTGCCTCCAATTGGGATACCCTGAGAAATACTTTGTGGAGCTTGAGGTAAGCCGGGAGGTCCATGAGGTAAGCCTGGAGGGGGATGAGGTAAATTTTGCGATATCACCAGACTTGGGTGCTGGTTGAAAGGAGAAGCGACTGGGTTTTGTTCTGGAAGAGAAACATTAGTATTTGCACCAGATAATGTTGACTTAATCGAAGGTGGTGCTTGGGCTGCTGCTGGTGCCGGTGCCGGTGCCGGACCTGGTGCGGTTGCCGGTGCTGCTGGTGCAGCGGCCGGAGTGGAAGAAGCAGAAAAGAATCTTGAGCCAAACAGCAGTTTTTGATTTTGAGGTTGTTCTTTGGGTTGCGAAGGTGTTTCAGAAACAGGGGTATTAAAAAATGATGAAAATCTCGAGCTTTTAGTAGTCGTTTCATTATTTGCATTCACTGGAGTAGACACACTAGTATTTCTAGAAGATTTGTTTGAATTTTCGGATTTAGGTTTAACAAAAGAAAAGAAATTATCAACTTCGTTTCCAGCATTACCAGTAGATTGGGTTGTTTCTGATGAATTGTCTTCAAGTTCGCCATTTTTCTTACGTTCTTCATTTCTCATGGACATCTTCCATCTTTCAAAGTCCTCTACTGTTTGACCCATATTAATTTTTAATTCTTCACCAGTAAGATCAGCAGTATCCCATTCTGGTTCGACTTCATCGGCAGTTTCGCCTAATAATTGAGATATTTTATCTGGGGAAAGAGAATCCAAATCATTAGCTTTACCGAATCCAGTTGGTTTGCGTTCCCAATCTAAAGATTTGTTATTATTGTTGTTGTGCTTTCTATTGTTACTATTATGATTATTATGATGATTTCTCAAGTTAGTGTTATTAAAATCTTTTTCATTTTTACTTGAATTTCTTGCCTTCAATCTCCAAAATGACTTATCGGGTAATTCTGGTGAATTATCGTAGTTTTTAATTAAAGGTGAATTACTCAATTCAAATAAGTAATCCATTGAATAAACAAAATCCGGGTTTTTCGTCTTTGGTTTATACAAAAATTGCGGTGATTTACTAACAGGGCTTGCATTTGAAGATCTAGGCTCCAATTCTGGAGTTGATTCTTTTGCAGCATTAGCCATTGCAGAGTCCAAAAGTTTCGATAAAGCACTGCCTGGTTCTAGTCCATTAGACGTTGGGATCTGTAACTGAGAAGAACCACTGATCTCTTGACCACTTTCTTCACCTTTAGACACCTGGATAATAGAGGGATCATTCAACAAGGGATTCGATGACATTGGGTTAAATTGAATAATCTGATTAATGAAACAAGAATGAGCGGGGGGTAATATAAATCGTGTTTTTTTTTTTTTAGTTTTTGTTGTTTTTTTAAAGAGTTTTTATATGTTTTCACTGTAATTATCTTTTTTTTAACTTTTATACGCTTGTATAATCAGTCAATAATAATTCCAACGGTCACCAGTAGCTTGATGCAATTCAATGTCTTTAAATTGACACTTGGGAAATGAACACTCAAATTAGGACGTAATAAACAATTGAGTTCAAATGAAATTCAATCAATAAGTAAAAACTGATGTGTTTTACCAACTTACTGCCTATGAGACTATCAATTATCAACTATAGAGTATTCTGAATCTTATTCTTATGGTGTTCTCAGTTCATTCAACGATTTGTTCATTCAAATTTGCTTCTTTTTTTTCGTTCTCTTCTCACTATCTTTAAATTTTTTCAAAGGAAGCTTACGTGCGGGTAACCATTTTTGCAGAGAAAAGGTATAAACTACGAAGATTGGCCCGGAAATTTACATTGAATGGAGTATATCTTGATGAGTTTGATTTGGAATACAGGGCGAAACAGACGTTAATAGTAAGAATAAGTATGTAATAATACAGTAGAAAGATCACGATAATATGTAGTGAAAAATGAAAAAAAAGCGTGAAGAAACAAATCGTAGAGTTAGATTATAGAAAAAGGGAAAGAAAAACAGTTTAATCATTAAAATTATTAGAATGGTCACATAAAGGTATTGAGATCACATTGAAGGAGTGGTGGAAACCTGATAAAAGGGGTTTGCAAAATGGATAAATGAAGTAAATAAAAAAGAAAAAAAAATAACAAAAAAACGGGTGCAAAAACTCAGCTACTCAAGTAGGGGATATTCAATCTTGTTATTTCACGACACATGACGAACCAGTCAATTTCTCTTAGGAGTTTTGATTTCTTTTCCTTTTCTTTCAACTTCTCTTGTTCTTCCCATTTAAATAACTCGTACATGAAACGGAGGTTTGGTTGAATAACAATGTTTAATCTTCTGACTCTGACATAGAGATAGGCTTTCGGTAACGAGATGTTGAATCTTTTCATCACCTCTGCAATGCAGACAGTGGCTGATCTGGAGACTCCAACTCGACAATGAACCAAGATCTTCGAGTCTTTGTATACATCATTGATATAGTTGAGGATGTTTGGTAAGGTATGGGTAAGTTCATCGATTCCGTCATCTTGTAAGTTGTTGATTTTAACCACGGTATCGATTGAAGATATTTTGGAAGATGCTTTAATTTTTTTGAGGTTTGGTTGAATATTGTAAATTTCAATATTACCGTTATCAATTTCATCAATGATAATATCATGATTTTGTTGAAATTTATAATCATGTAACCAATCCAAACATTCACCAACCGAAATAACTTTAGAAATACCTAACTTTTGTAGTAATGTTAGGCTGTTGGCATGTTTCAAAGATCCAAGGTACAAATAAGGTAAGATTCTTGAAGGTAACGAGCCTTCAACGTCCTTCACCCAGTCATTGGATAGATACGTCGGTATCGAAAGGTCTTCATCTTCGCTTGAGCTATCATATGAAGAATCCGAGTCAAAATCATCACTATCATTTGCAATATAGCCCAACTTGTATTTGTTTGTATTTGATTCGGTACTTGATCCAGAATTTGTTGGGGTCAATAATAGTTCATTAATTTCAACATTGGTTAAATTCTCCATATTTCTGGACCAATTGGTATGTTTTTTGAAAGCTGGGTTTGAAGGAGATAATCTCTTCAATATTATTTCTAATTTTTTAAGTATACCAACATCACTATTGAATATATAAAATGGACGACCATATTCTAGATGGAGTTTTAGCATTGCTTCATCAAGAGAAACATATTTCAGATAGATGATATAACATAAGACTAATAGAGAGGATTCGGTATAACCATCGGAACAATAAATCAAGCATGATGAACTAACAAGATATAGTAATTTACAAGTATTAACGATTAACATTAAATTATCTTTTTTACAATCACCAAGACCAACGGAACCTGAAGGAGGAAATTCTATATTTGTTGATGAATTGAGGGAGTCATGGTTGAAGATTAACTGAGATAACTTAGTTGAACTTGGGAAATGAGCATCTTTATGACAATGGATGGATAATTTCCAATTAGATTTGGGGGGTGGTAAGATCGATAAGATGTCAAAAGGCTTAGAAGAATCATTTTTGGAAATAATTGAATTCTTAGGATCGAAATAAAGGTCTGAAAGATCGACTGGATCAATCTGCTTATTTTCATTTTGATAATAAGACTTTATTTGAAAATCCCAAATGTTACCAACCCACACATTGAAGGAGATTTTAGTAGCAGAAGACATTTTGGTAGTTTCTATTTTCTCTTTAAATTGATAATCATTATCCCAAGAAAGCACATCATTTGAATTAAGATTTGAATTGATTAGGTTTAATTGAGTCTTTTTATTAATTTCAAGATTTAATAAATTATCATCAATTTTGGTGATCAAAGATTTTTTTGAAATTTTAGATAAATTATCAAGAATGAAAACATTCGTTGGAATACTAGAATCATAATTTCGTTGAGCAATGTATAAGAGTCTAGCTAAAGATTTCTTTTTTGATTCGTCAAGCCCATAGATGATGAAATCAGAGCACAATGCCAATTTAGCCACTTGAATATGGAAATTTCTTAAAGAAACTCCCTTTTCTGGATCTAAGTTAAGGAAAGTTGGAACAAAACCTAATTTGAAACAATCTTTAGTGATTAAATCGATTAAATGTTGATTTTCTCCATCGAAAATGGAACTTATTATATCTGTGACTGAATGGATGACTTCTTGTTTAGAGGTTTGTATTCTAGTTAAGATTTCGTCAACGTTGATTGAATTTTTCAATGACTCCTCCATTTTTTTCGATGTCTTTATACACATCAAAAATCGGATATTTTGTGGTCTGAAGTTCATACTTTCGTCATGTCCCTTACTCTTTTGAACTTGCTGCTGGTATAAAAAAAACAGTTTCTGAGCAAAATTATCTTCGTGTAATCCATGCAACCAGGGAAACATTATACTGGTAGGGGGTAATTTTTTATTAAAATACCAGTCGAATATGGGATCGATTTGACTAGATTCAAGTATTTTGATTGGCAATTCTTCGTTTGAAACCAGCCTCAACTTCTGATAAAACTTGGATTTAGAATCAAGCGGCGACATATCTTCATCTATATCATCTTCTATAGGATGCGAATTTATTATATTCAACTTGGTGGTTTTACTACCAATATCCTCGCACACCTCACACATCTTATCAATATCATTGCAATTATGTTTGTTGAAAGTCTGTAACCTAGCCTTGAACCGATCACGCTCATATAACAAGTCATTTGAAGACGATGATGATCTCTTGGACGATTTCATCGAAACCGACTTACTGCCATCTCCCATAGGCGACGACACATATACCGTCGAGTCCTCACTCATCCCAGTGGGCAACGCCAATAGCCTGGGAACGATCAAATCATCGATGTTGCTGCTGGAACTCGTTGCAGCTTGGGCTTTCGATGTCGCCGTCATCGCTGATGACGTCGGCTTGGGCGTGGGCAGAGAAGGAGTCAGCATCGATATTATCAGTGGAGGCTCGGTAGAAGTCATTTGACCAGCTGTACTTGGAACCAATAAGCTATAACCTGTCAATCTTCTTCGTCCTTTCTGAAAAGTCTCTTATCTTTTTGACAACAAAAAATTCAAAAAAAAATTTTTTTTTTTTCTTCGGTGATTCTCAATCTGTGAAAGATAAGACCCCAGATAAGACACTGTAATTGGCTAAATACCCGATTTGGCAGGGTATTTCTAAGTAAATGTGTGGCTGTTTGCGGTGGCAAGCGATGCTGTGGTGCGTACTCGAGTTCGGACCTCGAATCCAGATCAATACCCTTGTTTTCTAGCCTAACAACCGATATCTGGGGTATCTGGTGATTATCATCGCTTGACGGGAAAACACTTTTGAGAGGGAAATCCGGGAGGGAGTACTTGGTGTCTGGGCGTTTTGGCGGTTTAGTTGGTGTCTGGGCGTTTGAAAAATGGTCGGATCACTTCCGGTGGTTTTGCCGGTGGTCGGAAGTTTCCCAGAAGTTCAAAACAGAAAAAAAACTTGAAAAAAAGTCGAAGTTGAAGAAATTTTACCAGCCCATCGATCCAAGGACGCCTACGAAGCAATCGACGGGGTTATCAGAGTACTTGTATAGGTTTGCCGGACAGGTGTTGGAAAAGCGAAGCATTGAAAGCCAGGTTTGGAAGAATCAAGTAAAAGTATAGATCTTGTAGAATGGCGTCGACTAGTGAGATAATTGGGCAATTGAATCAGGCCAGAGAGCTTGCGTTTACTAGTAAGGAGAGTTTCCCCCAGGTGTTAAGACATATATTTAACTTTGTTAATAATCCAAATATTGAAATACAGTTATGGTGTGCCAGATTCATGAAGGAATCATTTACCGTTGACGAAAGTCAATTATCAATAGGGGACAAGATTGACTTGGCCATTGATGCAATGGATTCATTAATCATATTATCTAACATTAAGAACTTGGATATATTCACATATGCTATTGACACTGCGATTGTGTTATATAAGTTAATCTTTCGTTATGTGGCCGATAATGATGGGTGTCAAGATATATGGAATAAATTAAACATGTTGAAAAAATCCTTGATAGATAAGTATTCTAATAATTTCCCATATGAGGAAAGTTTCAATGGCGAAATCAATCAAGTGAAGAACTTACATTCAAAATTAGAATTGTTAAAATTTGTTATATTAGTTATTGATTATCAATCAAAATCATCATCGAATATCAAGAATTTTTCGTTATTGAAAGTTAACCCTCATCATACTTTAATTAAACCTCAAGTTATTGAAGCTGAAAGTTACGCATTACTTGATTTAGTTTTAAAAGTATTTAATCAAGATATTTTAGTTCCTCCATTGGTAACTGCTACTCTTAATCATTTATCGATAATTTGTAAAAGGAAACCACAATTTTTATCAAAGATTTGTTCGATATTGGAAAATTTCGAATCAAATAATAAATTACAATCGAATTATCAATCAATTGAATCTTTTAAATTATCTAAAAAATACGTTGATAGAACTTTAAGAATTTTAATTAATCACTTATTAAGAAATCAATTGGTACCTCCACAATTCCAATCATCTTTAAATAAAAAATTATCTTCATTAATTAATCGTGGTGATGAAATAAGAAAGAAAAATATTCTTATTCCAAACGCTGATGATTCTAAAATTAAAAAGAGAAGTTTTGAAGGTTTTGCTAATCCAGTTAAAAAATTAAAACTAGATAAACCTGATTACAAAAACTTATATTGTTTAAATGAGCCTTCAAATGAATTAAATGGATTCGATTTATCGACTTTACCTCAAAATATTTTAATTTCAATGACTTTGGCTGCTTTAAATAAAATTCATACTAAAAAATTAAGTCTGGCTTTAGATATTATTGGTTCAAGGTATCTGGATGTTATAAATTCCATGTCTCCTCTGTTAAAACAAGCATTAGCTGCTGAACAACAGCAGCAGCTACAACAACAGCAGCAACAACAACAAGGGTTGCCAGATGTATACGATATTGATAAACTTGGTGGTGGGGAAAATGGAGAATCAGACGATGATGATGATGATGATAATGTGGGCAAAGATTATAATCCACAAACAGTATTCAGTTTACCACCACCAAAACCATTAAGTTTACAAGAGAAAAAGGATCATATTAATATTATTATCAAGAATTTTTTCAAATTATCCAATCGAGAAATTGTTGACATTGATAATACAAATAATACTGAAACTGATGAAGTAAATGGTTATAAGATAAATAAAGAATTATCAAGTATTGCCATTAAAAGTTGGAAGAAAAATAGTTGGTCAATTTTATTAACAAGATTAGCTACAAGAGGAATGAGAAATCAAGATAATGAAACAAACGAATTAAGTGATATGATAAGAAATTCAATTTTTGAATTTTTTTTGGATAATATTCATACTAGAATCGATTTAATTATTGAATGGTTAAATGAAGAATGGTATAGTGAAAAAGTTTTCCAAGAAGAAAAATATAAAGAATCCATTAAGCAACAAGTTTTGCAAGAATATGAAATTAAACCAAATAAAAATGATTATAATTATCAATTAAAATTAAATTCAAAATTAGATGAATTAAAAGTCGATACTCCAAATTATACTAAATGGGCAGGTAAAGTTTTAGATGCAATGATTCCGTTCTTAGAACCAAATGATCGTAAAATCTTCATTAGATTATTAAGTGATTTACCTTATTTGAATAATGAATTAGTGCAGAGAATTAAATCTTTATGTTTTGATCCAGTAAGAATTAAAATCGGGTTCCTATCTCTACAATTTCTAATCATGTATAGACCTCCAGTCAAACAGGATTGTATTAATATCTTAAAAGAGTTAAGTGAATCCGATCAAGATGATTTAAAAGATGAATCAAATAAATTACTAGCTAAATATACATAATTAATATACACCCTTACATAATCTACATACATCACTCTCCAACCCAGACATATACTTCTACATACCACAATCCCGACAGATCAGTTCTGGAACTAAAACAGGGCCCTTTATGGCCCTGGGTTCTTGATAGCGTTCTAGATGTAAACTTCCTAATCGGGATCCACCCCAAACTAACTCAAAACATCTGTGGTGCACGGGTGTGTGTTTGCGTGCTTATTTTGAATTAGTACCGCATCTCCTTACGGGAAGCAACAAGCACAGTACAACACTACAAGCACAGTACTCAAGCACAGGCACTGGAGTTGCTGACAGTCAGATACTGGCACTCAGTCGATACAAAGTTGCAACAAGTAGTGTCTTCCTCCAAAGTTGACGTAGGATCAAGTGCTGGCAAAGGTAAACAAAGCACATAACGAGCTAATTCGCGTAAGATGGTAAAATGCATAGACAGGCTAAAAATAACAGTGTTGAAATAAGATAACAATAGCTAGTGGAAACATAAGTAAAGCTTCGTTGTTACACGGGTGAGTTTAGGAAAAAGGATAAGATAGAGACCCATTAATAAAAGCTATACGAGATCTTGAAGAAGAGAAAGTTTTGGTACTAGTTTTAGCTTTATTCTTTTAAGTATACCTTAGCATCTCATTTATATTAAAAATTTTCAGTCCAGTCTTGTTGGCTATCTTATCATGATTTGTATTCCAGTGCAAAGAATCTAGAATTACGTTGAAATTATATAAAGTAAAATTGAAGATATAAAGTAAAATTGAAGATATAAAGAATTGAGATATAAAGAATTGAAATATAAAGAATCGGAATATAAAGAATCGGAATATAAAGTATTGAAATATAAAGTATTGAAATATAAAGTATTGAAGATAAGGTAATATAAAGTGATATTGAAATTATTAAAGATGGGGAAAAGAAAGAATAGAAACTCCATGAGTGCTTTTGCAGAACCAAGTAACTATTTCAATGCTAATAATCAAATTAATAAGTATCATCTTGATCATTCTACATTCGATTTAATGGATGTAGATCGATTTCATAATACTGATGGTAAAACGGTTTTTTCCTATGTCATGACTTGGATTCTTATGATTCTTTCTTGGGTCTTATTGGGAGTTGATATGTATACTTGTCTTACGATTTTGGTATTCCATAAATGGTCTAATGATAGTTATAAACCTTATGCTTATTCGGTAGCTAAATGGATTTTCACCGGTTGTATTATATTTGAATTTTGTTTACTTTTGTATCATTGGATTTGGGCAATTCATACTTATAGAACAAGAAATATTGCCTTGGCTTACGTTAATAAGATTTGTCGCTTAATGTATGTGGTAAGATCTTATAATTATCATTGTTTATTTCATAAGATTGAACAAGAAAACTTTTTCGATTGGGCTTGTTTCCTAACTTATCATGAAATCGATAATGCTCCCCAAATTTTGTTGGCTGACACTCCAAGGCAAGTTATTAATATCTTAACCTTGAGATATTATGCCACTAATGGTGAAACTTCCAATGATATCGTTTCAAATATTAAAGATATTGCTGATACTAATATTATTTTAAGTATCGTTCTTTCCTTCATGTTGTTATCAGTGGCTATTTGGTCAATTTTCTTTTTCAAATTCGTATTTGGTATGCTCTTATACATTCCGGTTAAGGCTAAGTTAAGAAATAAGAAATTTAAATCATTGAAAAAATATTGTTGTACCGTGGTTAATGATAATGTTAGAACCTTGGTTTTCACTAATCATAAACCTAAAAATGAATTACTTGAAAAAGGTATTCTTGATCTTAAAGATATTAATGCCAATCCTTTATTATCTTCATCAACTACTAATTTATCTACTTATAACCCTGATCAAAATAAATCTTCCGTGGATGGATTTCCTTATAGAGGTATTCCTCATTCAGGTTCTTCTTCTTCTTTAGTTCCAAAAAATTACCTGGATGATAATCAATCTTATCGTTATAATGATAATAAAAAATTATATAATATAGCTAAGAATGGCTCCTCAGTTAGAAATCCTTCTTATGAGTCGTTACCTCTTGATAATTTGAAATCAAGAAATATCCCTTATTCATCCTCTAATTTAAGAAATGTTTATTCAAATCCAAACAACTCATCGCATTCATTGAAAAATCCATTTGATGATTTCAATAAATCTTTGGAAAACTTAACCCAACCTCCAAAAGCTCAAACAACAACTAGAAAAGCTCCTCCTCCATTCGAACCTTCTAATGCATATCAACCAGTCAATCCTTTCCAGGATCCTAATTGGCGTAATGATTCTTTCGAGCAACCTCAAGTTACAGCTCTCAAAAACAAAGCTTCAATGAACACAATCAATTCTAACACCTATACCATTGACGATTCATCCTTCATGTCACAATCTAATCAACAACAAAGTAATCCTGTTTTACCCACTTCATTGGCCGAAACCAGGACGAACTCCCAATCATCCCTAACTTTCACGCAACCTGCAGTTCCAGCTCCATCAATCCCAAGGTCTACGTCAGTGCCAGTCGACCAACAAGCTAATCCATTCGAGTATGTACCATATGTGTCTAATACCGTTCATAATTTCCCTGAAGCTCAACCACTGTATCAATATCAAGAGTTTGGACCAAGATCAACTTCAATTTCGTCTTCTGAATTTCAAGAATCAAGAGGTTTGCTTCCAAGAACTTCTTCTCAAGGATCTAATATTTATAATAGTGAAACTGAAATACCAAGATCTGATTCTCATACTTCAGAATTATCATATCCTTTAAGACCATTAGAAGAAATTGATTCACCCATTCAAAGAGTTGCACCTTATGAAGCCCATGATTTAGATGACTCTTCTCCAATCACCCTTAAACAACTTGACAATCAAAGTGGTGAGAGAAATCTTAGTTCAAATTCTGACGATTCTGATTCTGATGTTGATGATTTGATACATCCAACCACAGCTACAAATCATGTATTGACATCTAAAGAGTCCAAGTCTACTCTTAATTACGACAAGTTCACTGAAATGTCTTCCGCTCCTTATCCAATACCAGATTCAGAAGACGAGTCAGACCTGGACAATGAGAACTTGCAGGCACCTCCGGCTCCTTATCCTGTCAGAGGAGTTTCGATGTTCGCCGAAGATGAAGTTGATGACAAAGATAAACGTAAATTGAGTGATTTGAGATAATCATTAGTTTTGCATCTTATATAACGTTTTATAAATAATTCCATCATTAATGCATCATGACCATTTACTCTTTCCTAGGATGTAGTTCAGAAAGCTTACAAAAGATTTTGTATTTAAGTTTAATAAACATAGAATTGTAAGAATTATGTACAAGAAATAAGGAACCAAAGTATGTGAAAGTTGGAAGTGAAAAGCCGCTTAATTATGGGATACACTCTTACGAGTTATTCTTTTTATTTGCTTCGTACTCCTTCTTTAATTTAGCTAATTCGTCATCAGCAATAGGAGGAATAGGAATGTCACTAAATTCATCTTTACTCAAAAAATTCCAAGTATAGCAGTAGATTGCAATAGGAATAGACCCAACAACAACCAAACCTACCATATTTTTCCAGAAATATGGTTCTCTAACCCTGATCAAAGCAGGACTCATTTGATAAGTATGAGGATTACGATAACGAGTGTGACCTTTTCTGCAGCGTGTTTTTGTTAGTATATTTTAATCAAAATAATAGCCATTCCGCTTTCAGACTATACATACGGAGGACCAATAACCATTTTTGCTTGCTAGAAGTATATTTAAAAGGACAAATATCAAGGCCTTTCCCATTTTAATGATATGATTTTACAAAAAAAAAGTAATGAAAAAAATGGAAACGGTTGTGACACGCCCCTTGTTAAAAGGTATAACCTCTGTTTTTGTTGCAATTTGTTGTAATTTTGCAAGCTACAAGTTTACTCTTAATGATTCCCTTGATGGTATATATATATATATGTGATAGTTAATGATACATGAATGCTTTTTAGTAGTGGTTTAATCTCCATAATGTGACTTTACCACCTTCATTACCAATAGCCAACATTTCGTTATTCGGAGAGAAAGCTGTAGCAGTGACTCTTCCTAAAGGAGTTCCACTAGTTGGCCAGTTTGAATAGACGGTACCGGAAGGTAAGTGGACTAATCTTAATGCATCTCTTTTAGCTCTGGATGATATACATAATAATTGACCATCAGGACTAAAAGTTAAGTTTGAAATAGAAGTGATTAAATTTTCAACTGTTTTGAAAGGTTTTGGAGATTTTTCGTCAACGAAAGTATTACGATCGTAAAGATTGACCAAACCGTTATTGGAGGCGGTAGCTAACCAACGGTCATTAGGGCCTCCAAGTTTAATTTTCACTATTCCAACGGCACCATCATCTTGCCATCTTCTTAATATTTTACCATGATGTTGGTTTTGTTTAATTTTCAAGTTGGCATTGGCATCTGGGTTTAATGAGTATTCCCAGATTTCACCAGCTGTATTTATGATTATAATGGTTGATTCGTCTTTGGAAAATTCGAAGTCGATGATGTTACCTTCAATTTTAAATCCTTTGATGAATTGACCAGTTGATCCATTCAATATATTACACCAGCCACTACTACCAGTTAAACCAATATAGGTACCCTTGCTAGAAATCTTAAAGTATTCCATAGATCTTTGGAATTGTTCTTGACCATACATTCTCGAAATTTTTTCAACGTCACCAGTATTCAAATCCCATTTTGTCATATAACGTCTTCTACCAGCAGCAAAAATCAAATTTTGATTGTGGTTATCCAAAGGAGAGAAATAACAGGTGGTGATTGGAGCGTTACGTAAATGTAATGAGGTTACCAAGTTATTGGCTTTCCCATCAATATGATAAATTCTTAAAGATCTATCAAATCCACCAGTTAATAATAAAGGATGAGATTGGTGAAATGATAAGGATTGTATACCAGATTTTGCCCTTTTCTGTTGATTTGCATCTGTTAATCTAGAAATAGATATTTTGTTAGGAGGTATTAACTTAGATTGTTTAGACATAATAAATTGTTGAGTACTTGACAAAATTTTCAAGATGGCATTAGTATCATTTTGCTTAGAATTCGACCCTTCATCATCCGACTGTATTTCATTATCAGAGTCAACTGTTTCGCTTTCACCTCGTAACTTATCAACCCATTCTGGTTTTGGATATATTTTCTCAAATTGTGATCTTAACCTTATTATATACGATTTACCAGAAATTGATGAATCATGCTCATGTTTTCTTAATTTCTTCAACCTATCGGATGAAGTTAATGACACATTTAGTCTTTCATCGTCACTATCTTCCCATGCATTGTCTTCTTCCATTTCTGCTTCAGACTCTTCCTGATCAATCTCCATCGCATCTTCGTCGTTTGTCTGTTGGTCTCCTGCATCATCAATAAAGAATAAATCGTTATCCTGTACGTTCTCTAAATCACTTTCATCTTCTTCTTCATCTGTATCCTTGAAAAACTTATCTGAATCTCCTTGCTCTTGCTCATCTTCATCAGAAGAATATTCATATAAATTTTCAACTTTTCTTAAATTGGTTTCAAATCCTTCCAAATCACCGAAAACCAACTTTTCTAAAGCAATCTCTTCTTCGTCTTTTGGTGGTATCACAACATCATCCCCGTTGAGGTTCTTAACTGTAGCCATGATCCTTAGTTTGTCTTATCAAATCAAGTCGTTTTAAAGAACTTTTGATAACTTTCCTCATCTCGAGACTTAAAAAAAAAAATTTTGAGCATCGCATTATGTGCACGCCAATGATATTTTACAACCAAAACTTGTTACTCCAAATGTAGTTCAAGAGCTAAATATGAGCCAAGGTAGAAGTTAGGGTCAAGTAATAGGTCTATTCATCATGAATGGAGAATGGTGGAGAGGCTACCGGTATATATAAAAGGGGAGTTCAAGCATAATATTGTTGAAATTTACGGAAAATAAGTTAAGAAATGTTACAATTAAGATATACAAAGATATTAATCTAAACTCTATGTAAGTGAAGAAGTTTATTTACATGGTTATTTCTTTACTGGTGTAAAAGAAAAAATGCAAGGAATAACTTTTTTTTTTGAATCTCTATTAATAATCCTAATTATTTCTTTAGTTCAGTTAAAAAATTAATGAAATACTTTTTGAATTCTCTTTGATCTAATTTAACCAAATTAGAACCTAAAGAATTGAGGGCATCTTGGCTCATACCCATATTATTTAAGTAATTAACTAAAAATGTCAAAAACTCTTGATTTTGTTGTCGTTGTTCATAAGTTTTCAATAAAATTGATAATTCTAATGCGATGTTTCTGAATTCTGCATCTTTTAAATCGAATTCTGGTTTAGAAAATGGTAATTCAAATGATAATTTAACGGAAGTATCCATCAAAAATTCATCGATACCTTCAATAGGTGGTAAAGTATTACAGTATTTGTCTTTTGAATCATTTAATTTTCCATTATTACCACCAATGACTGTAATCACATTAATTAATTGAGCAATAGCCAATTTACTAACGGAAGGTTGAGATAAATCATAAGCGTATTCAACAAAACTTGTCAATATTCTTGGGAAATTTTGTTTATTAGTTTCAGTGATTAAAAGGGATGTTTGATTATTAATAATGATAACACTAATGAATGTCATGAAAGATTTTTTCAAATTATACTTATCACGAACTAAATCAGGATATTCATCATTAATATTTAATAATTCATAAATTTTATTAATAACTGGAGATAATAAATCATTTAGTAATTGATAAATATTATCATTATTTTTAAATTGATGAATGATTTGACCAATAAAACTTAAAAAATCACTTAATTCATTAATTTTAAGATTTGGAGTAGCCATTATTAAACTAATTAATTTACTTAAGTGATTATTTGATTCATTTTGTAAAATTGGTAAAAATCTTGAAAATGAAAACCTTGAAGCTTCTCTAACAATTTCAAATTTGTTAAAATTTTCTAAAGTAATTAAAACAACCTGAGATGCATTGTTGATTTTATTAATTAAATCTGGAGAAAGTTCTGTTTCGAATCCACGAACAATTGTAGCAATTGCCATTAAGGAATGATGTGCTTGCAAAGGAATTAAAGGATTAATTAATTTATCTTCACTGGTAATACAGTTTTGTAAATTATCAAATAATGGTTGAAAAATCAAATCAATCAATTTATAAGTTAACTCTTTATTATTAATAATAGTAATTAATAAACCGATTGATTCGAATAAATATAATTGATTATTAAATTGCCCATTTTCAATAATTTCATCATCCTCATCTTTAGTTGGTAATTGGGCTTCAATAATTAACAATGGTTGAATTTTAATTAATAAATTCTCTAAAGTGATATCATCAATTAAAGGTTTAGTTTGTTTAATAAATTTAAAAAATAAATACCAAATTCTAATTCTAACTGCTTCTAAATTATTGAAAAGACCAAATTGATTGGTAAAACTTTCCAAAATTTTTAAAGAAACATCATTATTAATTGATCTTAAATTATAAAAACGAACGACAATTTCATAATAAAAGGATTGAATTTTTGGATGATTAATAATTAAAATTTTATCGTAGTTTTCAATTAATCTGATTAAGAAATTTTGGAAAAGTTGATAAGGTTTTGAAGTATAAATTTCATTTTTCGGTAAATTAATTAAATTATTTTTCAAAGATTCACCAAAATTATTTAATTCATAAAATCCTAATTCAATATTAATCCAATTATTTAAAGTGTCATTAGAGTTCGAAGGGTCATTACTAATATCGGAAAAATTTTTATTAAATAAGGATTGTTCAATAATCATTGGTAAAGTTTCAATATACAATTCAGGGGTTAAAACAGCAATTGTATCTTGAAAAGTTTTTAATTTTGATCTTATTTCATTAAATTGTTCATCAATTTCGAAACCGTCATCATCAGGATCAAATTTCATTTTCAAGATAACTTTATTTAATAAAGTTGATAATAAATCAATTGAGATTAATTGATTAATTTTTTTACAAAGTAATAAATAGTTTTGAATAAAGGTGAAAACTTGTTGAGAAATATCATCATATTCATGACTTAAAAACTCTAAAATTAATGGCCATAATTTTAAAAAAATCAAATTGATATTATTGAATAAACTTGAGTCATTTTCTAAAGCGATTATTAATTCTATACCAATCTGGTTTGATAATTTTGATAAATTTTCGATAAATTCTAAATCATCATCATTATTATTTTTAATAGAATCAATTATATTAGTTAAATCAAGTAAACTAATTAATTCAATTTTATTTGAAGGTTTCATTTTTTTAGAAATTAATTCAATTAAAGTAATACAACATTGATTTCTTTCATTTGGAAATTTTAAAAATTTCAAAATATTATTTAAATAGTCATTTGAAATAAACAAATTAATTTCCATCCATTCAATATATTGGCCAATAATTTTTAAAGTATTATTTAAAATATCATCATTAATTGAATCATTAAGTAAGATTTTATACCAACTTTCCACTAATTGATTCATATCATTTAATCTAATTGAATCCTTTAATAAATTATTACGATTTTGTAAGAAAGATGATCTTGAAATAAATTTATCACCAATTTCATAATGAATTGAAATTACAATTCTAGAATAATAATCTAAAATTAAAGGATTAGTAAAAGATTGACATAAATTTAATAAATCTTTCAAGAAATTTGGGTATAATTCTAAATAAGTGTAGCAAAATAATGAAGCAAATAAAGTAGATAATTTATTCTTTAAGTAAGCAGCATCATTTAAATTATTTGAAATGATTGAATTTAATATTTGAAATAATGTATTTTTTAAATTAATCAATTCGTCATTATTTAATTTTGACATATTTTCTTCAATAACCTGATAAATGAAAAATTTTAATCCATCATTAATATCATTATTTTCCCTCGATTTTAATAAGATATCAATACATGATTTATAACCTTCTTCAGTAGATTTGATTTGATTGATGAATTCATAAGCTTGATTTTTCAAATTTGGATCAGCAGTACCACTTAAGGCAATCTCTACTGCTTGTTGAATTTGTTGATCCATAAAAAAAAATTAACAACCAATTATGAGTCAAGGTATGAGTATAAAAATTGCAAAAAAAATAGCCGTTAGGAATAACACCTAAAATAATCAACGGACTTCGAAGGAAAGTAGAAAAAAATAATGCAAATGACTAAATTACAAGGATTAAAAGCACCCGTTAGTAAATGGATAGCTGATTATATTACAACTGGATGTAAAAGATATGATACCGTTGTGGAAAGAAAAATGAAAATTTTTTATTTTGATTTGGTAGTGTACAGATACCTCGAAAATTATTGGTGTATGGGTGTTCTTGAAAGATGTACGGGTGATGTTGAACGAGAATCGAAAACAAATATGTACGGGTGTTAATTTGTGGCGGTTACAGCACAAAAAGTACAGGTAACACTAAGAAGCGGCGGCTATCTATACCTCGAGGTGACCAACTAAAGCTGGAGTAATTGAGCTTGTGAAGGTATATCGTACAGTTGGGGCTTTCAAGGCCGGGTGGTAATGATTAGAGATTTGAGAATGAACTGGTAAAGAGATAGACTGGCAAAAAGATGAATTGATAAAGAGACGAATAGATAGACAAACACTGGAGGCGAAATCAAGTGAGTTGAGTATTTTGAAACAAAAAGACTGGAGGTGCGCACGACATCAAAGTGGTACCTCCGTACATTCTGGTAGATCACGTGATTATCATTTCTTGAAAAAAAGGGTTTAAACTCACGTAAACGCCCCGAGGGAAAAAATATAGCGAGAATCTGAGAAAAAAAAAAATAAAAAAATAATGAGTAAATCCAAAAAAGAAAAATAAGTGAATAACTCAAAAATAAGTAAATAACTCAAAAAAATAAATGAATAACTCAAAAAAAAAAATCAAATATAATAAAAATGAACCACATAAAACAAAACGAACAATTGAGCCAAAATATCATGAAGAAAAAAAAAAGTAAAAATAAAATAAAATACACACAAACGCAAACCCAAATGTGTATATTTGTACCTGCTGCGAGAAAGGAAAAATGTCCAAGCCCACAGTATGGAGGGCATCGACATGAGATTGATACATGACTTCAAACGCAGGCTTGGGAAAGTCAATGACTTACATCAAAGTAACATCACCACAGCAATCAATATGAGATTAATGAAGAAATGTTGTGAAGCAAATAGGCTGGCAGCAGATACGCATTAGCAAAACTCAAACAAGGAATAATGTGAGGCTAAACTAGTTCTGGTAGTTACCGAGCCAAATAACTAGAAAACAAAGAAGGATAAATCAACTCAAAAACAACAAACAAAAAGAAAATAGGTCGGTACTGTATCGGGGGTAGATTGGCAGTTGGCAGCAATAGCGAGTAGGCAATTCCAGAGGAGAGAATTGGTAAGCGAGTAGTGTTTAAACAGTGTGCTAGGTACAAATTAGTATACCGGCTCAAACAATACAAGGAGTAGTTGGGATATCGAGTCGGAGCAATTAGCATCAGATCATGTAGCAGCCACGTCGCAGTGCATCGGAACAATAGGATAATCCGACTACCGTATTTGACCAGAGATTACTGGAAGATCCAAATAGGGGTGGGTAAGTGGCATTTTGGCTACAGGGTTCTTACGAGCTTAAATGTAAGATATTGAAAATAAAACAAAAAATAAAAAAAGAAATGAAAAAAAAAAAAAAAAAGAAAAGGAAAACGAAGTTTAAACCAAAAAAATAAAAACCGTTAGCAAAGGGTTTCTCACAAAAGGTAAAAGATCATCATAGCCATCTTGCAATATTGCAAGGATATGCTATTAAGTAGCTGACAAGAATTGTTGATACAGTTACGAATGAATATTAGTTATTCGTTTCAATTTGGTTCGTTTGTAACTTTAATAATGTTTATATTTTTTTTTTTTTTTTATTTTTTTTTTTTTCTTTTTATTTTGTTGTTGTTGATTTTCCATGTCATAATTTTCCTTTATTATCTTGGTTTGACAGGTTAACGCGCGGCTCGGGTTTCGCATTTGCCTAATATCGCCCAGAGATTGTCAAGTAACGAAATAGGCGATTTGGCCAACTTGGATTGTTGTTCTATTGTTTTACAGAAGAGGACAATAGTCACACCGATGGCTATAATATCTTAGGGTTAAGGGTGGTGTATACAGAGCTTTTAGTAGTTGCACATTATACTTATACCAGATTAACGTAGGTACCTCAACGTTTCAATTGATAATTTTGTTTGTCCTTTGTTAAGTGAGGGTACCAGCTACCCTTAGGGAATGAATACGGCACTTGATGAATTTGATATCATGTTGGGCAATTGAAGACAAAAAAGAAAGCTTATCAAAATGTATATTTATTATGTAATAGGGAAACCCCCGATTAATCGAGAATAGCGTATTTTTGTAAGTGAGAAGGAATTGAATTGAAGAGATTTTTTTCAATCAACCATTTTTTACTGAAAATACGATCGCTATATTTATGTGCACTATCAGCTAAAAGAGTAACGACATTTGAATTTTCTGGTAATGATTTAGCAACTTCAATTGCTGCAACAACATTTAATGCACCAGTACCACCTAAATATAATCCTTCCTGATCTAATAATTTATACAACATTTCAATTGATTTTGAATCTTCAATTTTGATACTATAATCAATTAAATGTAAATCTGGTTTTAAATTTTCGGTAATTCTACCTTGACCGATTCCTTCAGTAAATGAAGAGCCACCTCTTTGTAAATCCTTACCTCCAGATTCAATATATGAATGTAATACACTTCCTGGAGGATCAGCTAAAACACATTGAGTTTTATTATTTGAAATTGTTTTAAGATATCTAGTCACCCCGGCAAATGTACCTCCAGTACCAGTTGAACAAGTCCAAGCATCAACTTTCCCATTTAATTGAGCCCATATTTCTGGACCAGTAGTTTCAATATGAGCCTGTCTATTAGCAATATTATCAAATTGATTTGTCCAAACACTATTTTCTAATTGTTCTGCATGTCTTTTAGCTTGATGATTATAATTATCAGGATTGTCATAAGGAACTGCTGGTACTGGGAAAACTTTTGCTCCTAATAATTTCAAAGTTTCAATCTTGGATTTAGATTGAGTGTTTGGCATATAAATAATACAGTCATATCCTCTTGATCTACAAACATGAGCTAATCCAATCCCAGTATTACCAGCAGTTCCTTCAATAATAGTTCCACCTGGTTTGATTAATCCTTTGGCTTCAGCATCCTTGATTATAAACAATGCAGCACGATCTTTGATTGATCCTCCGGGATTCATAAATTCTGCTTTAGCATAAATATTACGACCAATTTCTTTTGAAATCGTTGGTAATTTAAGTAAAGGAGTGTTACCGATTGCGTTGGAGATCCCGTTTTCCGAAGTTAACGGAATGAAGGGGGCCTTGAACTCCGGATTGGCAGAGATAGATATATTACGAAGCTGTTGTTTGAGTCCTCTGATCATTCTTGGTTGGTGAGTAGAGCATTAGCAGCAAACATTGATGGATTTTTCAAGCTAAACCCTAGCAGGAAAAAGCTCACTCAATTGCACGTGACGGGCGGTCGCAAAATTCGGATAATACACCCCTACACCAGACCCCTACACCAACGCCCGCACACCAGGAACCTCACAAGACCAACAATATTCGGTAATTTTTCGTTTAAACTAAATAAATCCCTTATTAATGTTTTGTCACACTCAAGTTTAAAAATTATTACGCAAGAGAATCTCATCTGGTAAATGATACAAAATACATTTTGGAAACAACAACACAATCTAACATTTAGAATTCGGTAGGACCCGAAACGACGCATGCCAACCAATGACACTTGCTACAAGGGTTTGGTCAATATTTTTTGGGAAGAGATCCATAATCAATCATCAACAAAAGAAGAAATAAAACCAGACACACAAAAAAGGGGTAAAAAAAAAAAGATGATGATTATATACCGAATAGCCGTTAACGAAACCACATTGAATATTCAAATCTGGAAATCCAGCAAAGGTTAATTGTGAGCATGAAAGAAATAAGGAAGAAAATAAAGTAAAATAAAAGGTAATAGAATGTATCAGGAGTATGTAGAATAATGAAAAAGGCAAAATCATAGACCAAACTTAAAACAGATTGAAATAAAAGGCTCAAATTCGTAAGTTAATTAGGTCGGGAGGGAGCCCGCGGCAATGAACCATCCCTGAAAAGGTAATTGCTGAGCCGGGCGCGAACCCTGCTGAGCACGGCACTCTAGTGCTAGCAGCAGGTCAAAAAATAAAAAAAAAGTCAAAAAAAGAAATGTGAGGTTTTGCCATGCATGCATGCATGCACGGATGCATGAACAGACAAAATCAGGCTCGCGATGTGGTATTACATTAAACCTTAAAAGAGATAGACTTGTGTAATTTTCGCAAAAGCATAATAAAAGCTTTTGAATGAAATCGTTTATTTTGTTGTATTATTTTATTTTGCATTATAATAGGTTTTTTTTTTTTTTTTTTTTCCTCTTTATTTTTTTAAAATAAATGTTTCATGTCATTGTTAACTCAAATCACTAACATCTCCCTTAAGATATATTTATATCAGGTAATTTTCCAACATCTTTCAATTAATCTTCAATTTCTTTGGCTCTATACAAGATGTTCTATTCACATACTCCAACATATAACAACATTAAACATCCACAACCACAACCAACCAAATTACCTAGTTTCAATGAATTATTAACTAGTATTCCATTACCAAATGATTTTTATCCACAACAACAACAACAACAACAACAACAATATCATAAATCACTCAGTTCTACTCCACCAACATCAACCACCAGTATAAGCAATTACTATCCAACTCCTCAATCGAGTACATCTAGTGCTAGTTCAAATCATTTCCAACCACAACCAATTCATTATATCCCATTACAAATACAGCCAATTCCTCAATATTACCCTCAAAAAAATACATCCAATGTGAGCGTATCACCTAAAACAGTACTTGATCAAAGTTTTGAAATCCCCACTCCACCACCATCATCAACGGATTATTCAATACGATCATTTACTCCAGAAACACCAACTACAAATAAGGATAAAGTTACCAAAAGAAAACATATTTGTAAAACCTGTACTAGATCATTTACCACTAGTGGACATTTAGCAAGACATAATAGAATTCACACTGGGGAAAGAAAACACATATGTCCCTGGCCAACTTGTGATGCTAGATTTGCAAGACAAGATAATTGTATGCAACATTATAAAACTCATACAAATGGTAAAAACAAAAGAAGTAAATTAAATTTTAAAAATTCTAACTTGTTGAGCAAGTAATTTCATTTCCTTTTTCTCTTTTCTTTATTACGTTTCTTTCATTTCTCTGGGTTTATAGTTTTGTCAATGTCAATGGTTCTTTTAATATTTTTCATTGTATTTATTGTTTTTATTGTTTATAAAACAATTTCAATTACCCCTAGGTAGATTGATTGTTCGCGGTAGCCTCCGAAGGCGCATTTATTTACGAGATTGGCCATTGATGACCAAACACACCACTTCATTTACAGCCTTGAGTAACTGAATAAATTCATTAACCAAATTATCAAATAACTGAATAACTCAATTGAACGAATATCTAGGCTGTTACCTTATCCAAATTTTAAGCTGACATTCCAGGGATAGTGTCTGCATCACGGTGTACATGGTACATGACAAGCTGTTACCGGCGTTGCATAGGGGGTGCGCTGAACAACCGAGCTCTGTACAGGCCGCGGCCCCAAATTCCCACACCCTCGCAGATCGTCAACCTTCAACTACGAGTACTAAACGCTAGATCATCGATGCATTAGTTAGAGCAAAGTCTGGTTACCTGAGCACCTCCCGCGCACGGCATTTTAGCTACTCACTACCCTGTACAGGTTACATTGGTAATCTCTGCACTGGTGATATTTCCATTTGTGTGCATTGAAAGGGTTCAGTTGGCTGGACAACTCGGCCTTGGGATCCGGGCTGGGATCAGGGTTTGTTTGATCCGCAGCACGTGATTCTGTTTACGAAAAAATAACATAAATCCTTCCTAGCAACTTACGTAATCAGGAATGTGCCTTAATTCTCCTCTAGACCCTTCATTTCGCCGCAACTGATAAGCAATGTCCAATCACTTGAGCTTATATATATTTATTGTTGTATTGTATTATTGTATTATTGTATTATTTTTTTAAAATCTATGTATCATCATGGATGTTACTGAAGAAGGCAGTACCATTTAGTTCATGGTCAAAATGATAAACCAAACCATTTATAAGTAGTTTGTTCAATTGGAAAGAAGTAGATCCATCATTCTCATCGTTTATACCGCCAATTACAACGTCTTCGGCGTTGCCGCGATTTAAATTGATCATTTTGAGAATTAAATCGTTGATATAATGAGAAATGCAGATGGTAATTTTATTATGGAACGGGATATTGTAAAACTTACAATCGTTGGGACAAGACTCGGCGTCAAAGTATAGTTCTTCGTCAATGGGGTCTTTATCGTCTTCGAAATCCGCTTCTTCGTAATTCTTATAATTTAAGCATTTAAACGGAATTGAAAAGTGATTTTGGTGGAAATCCCAACTTATATTTTTCAACGGTTTCGCATTTATTAAAAAATCTCCGATTAATTCATCAAATGTCAATCTTGAACTTAATTTAGTGGAAATAACACTAATTAAATTGCAAGTTATCAAATCTTTATATAGTTCAGTTTTGAAATTATAGTACTTGTGATGGATTAGGAATTCATCCAATAACCCCAAGTATTTAGTACAATGAGCGCACTTACATCCGTTCCACATAAGCACATTCATTGCCGGTTCATAACAGGATAAACTGGTGACTAAATTAGGGTAAAATAAGTTAATTCCCTGTTGATTAGTTAAAAAATTGGGTAATATTTTGCCGTATAACTTTTCTCTTCTCAAGTAGTTCCCCTCGTATCCGTCATTTATAATTCCCTCGTTATTGGGATTATGACGTATTGATAAGTTGGTCAATTTAGTTTGGTTGAAGAGTTTCCTAATGTAATTGAAAATGGTTATATCCCATTTTTCGTTATTTTCATGATTAGTCAACTTGGCATCGGTATTTTGAATGATTAGTACCGTATCAAGACTAGGGTATTCGAATTGACTCAAATCGTAGCACGTTTGTTGACATTGTAATTCATTACATCCAATTGACAATTGTAATTGTTTGATATTATCAAAATTGATAAACGGTAATTCATGGGGATAATGCGAATGGTAATAATTGAATTTTTGCAATTTGAATTTAAATGGCTTAATTCCAAAACACTCATTGAAATATTTTATTACTTGTCCGTATAATACTTCATCGTTTATAATGATTAAACTATCCAAAGATAATTTCCCAAAATCATAGTAGTGGAAATCACTTTTCTCCTTAAATGTAATCATCAACTCCCGTTCATTACCCCGAAGTAAATTGAAATCTTCAATACTATCGATAATAACCGATTCTAACTTGAATTCACTAACTAGTTTCTTATACTTGATCAACTTTCTCAATCTATGATTCGTATAGATTTTTTTCAAGTTACTCTTTAAACTGGACAAAACTTCAAATAACTTGTTCATTTCCTTAATGGTATCAATCTTATACTTATGGTCATCAATATAAATCTCCTCGATATACTCTGCTAACTCATGGTTTACGCTAATGGCCAAAATCAAAGCAGTTATTCGTACTTTTAATAATTTTTCATGAGTTTCATAATCATTTGATGTCGATTGAAACCCATACAATACCGTCTCGTTACTATCAAGATAGTCGATCTTATAATGTTTAGCCTCCCTAGGTTTGGCAACCAATATTGGATCGATCTGAATCGAAATTTTCCTGTAAAGTTTTTTCAATCCCGGTTGATAAAATTGATAATTAGTTAACATCAAATTAATCACATCTTGTTGCGGTAAATACCCAATTACCCGCTCAATCACCCGGCTAGGCAACTCACTAAACTCAACCATACTCAACGGCTCCTTCTTTCTAGTCAGTATATTTTCAACTATGGCCAACCCAACATTTCTAAAAAGCACCTCTGGATGGATGGGTAGGTGTCTGGGTCACATGATACCGCGTCACATGACCTCCGTTCTACAAATTTTTATTAATCGTAAATTACATATATTGAAATGAATATTAAATGATATAAACTTTTAATGGAATAATTCGCTGTTTAGTAGGAATAGCTTACTCATCTTTGATCCCTAAAATGGCTCTACCAGTATAATATAATGGACCAATGGTGGAAACAGTAAACATGGCATAAAATCCCCAGACTAATGGCTTGGAAAATCTACCTCTGTACCATAATCTTTGGTTGGAGTTTTGGTATTGTCTTTGTAATTTGATAATTCTTTGTGGATCCATCTTGATGTTAAAGAATAGCTAGCAGATTATAAAAGATACAAGTCTTTTGGAATTTATCAGTTCATTTTTTTTTCCTTTCGAAGAGAACAAAAAAAAGGTAAATTATTGGTCAAACTATTTTGGCCGTGCACACACGACCCAGTTATCAATCACTATATCCATCGTAGTCTTCACCGTCACCATAGTCTTCACCGTCACCGTAGTCTTCACCGTCACCATAGTCTTCATTATCGTCGTAGCCATCACCATCGTAGTCGTCGTATTCATTGTATCCATCGCTGTTCCCTCCGTTTTGGAAACTTTCAGGACCGCTCTCATATTCATCTTCACTAGGTACTTGAAGAGCTCCATCGTTGCCGGATATATTAGAATTGTCTTCTTCGTCACTAGATATCAGTATGCTAACAGGCCGCCTTGGACCTTCGTCTTCGTCACTGGATATACGGATACTCGCAGGTCTACTGGGACCTTCTTCTTCGTCACTCGATATGTGAATAACACCCCGTCTCTGTATAGGTCTGTCGTCGTCAGAATCATCGTAGGCTGCCTGTTGCATGTCATGTTCATGTTCTTGCAGTAAAAGGTCCCTTAATCTTCCATCCACGAAAGGTTCAGAATCCCGAGTTTGCACTGATTCATCATCATCATCAAATCCTCTCCAACTAGTTCCCCCACTAACCGAGTTATTATCTCCTGATGATAAATAATCATTTTCGCTATCGTTGAGATCATTTGAAATTGCCGCCATGTCTCGTTCATCTATGAAACTATCTTGGGAATCATATTCATTTGGTTCTCCTTCATCGTCATCCTCTCCATGTCTACCTCCGTATAACACAATTTCTTCTTCATCTTCATTATAAGCATCACCATCTTCAGAATCATAATAAGCATCATCTCGAGGTATACGAAACCGACTACCACAATGTAAACAGCTGGACCCGTGTGCTTCCCAATGACAATTCCCACATCTAGGTACCCCATCGGATCGATCGATTAACGTTAACGTTGATTTAAATGCATCGCCAAATAACCTCTTATTTGCAAAATCATCTTCGTACTCTTCTAGCATACTCGTTTGATGTCTTAATCGTGGTTTGGTATCTTCTTTACTTAATTCAAGCATCATTTGAAATATATTCTTACTTATTTGCTTTAATTGAAGATTGATCACTGGAGCATATTCAAAATCTTTCCTACATGTCGGACAATTCACCTTATTCTCAAACCATGACTTTAAGCATCCATAACAGAATGAATGTCCACATGATGCTAGAAATGGAACATGCATTATCTCTGAGCAAATTGCACACTCTAAAGTATCGGTGATTGAGTCTAGTAGACTCACCTTCTTATCATTTCCCATAGCTCCCCATAACTCACTATTCTCGCCCTTCAGCATATTAACCTCTATTCGTATAACCAAGGTACTGGAAGTATGTGATCCATCTACTGAGACCGTTTTATTTCTGGTGATGTTGTGTGCACGGCCAAAAAAAATTTACATCTTATTGCAAAAATTATATAAAAGATCTATCATTAATATGTGTATATATATTTATAGGTATAAGTATATACATGATCTATAAGCGTCTCTCGTCAGTTTCGTTTAAGCTTTTGTTGATCCAGTCATTGAAAAATCCAAACATATCTTTGATCTTACTAGTTAGATCTAGTTTATCTTGTTCTAATCTTAATTCAACATCACCAATAAAACCATGTAGTCTATCGATAAGTTGTTTCAAATCTTCGTTGGATGATTGATCCTTTTTTGATTTCTGTACCAACTTTCTCTCAATGTGTCGACAGTTATGGGATAAAAATGGGCTCAATATATTACCATCAATTGGGAAGTTATTAATTTGTTCAATCATCTTGCTAAACTCTCCATTATTCATGTGATTTCTCAAACCAATGTTAAGAGCAAACATTTTTTGTTTATCCGTCATGTCATCTTGATCAATACTTGACAATAATTGACTGGTTTCTTCGTATAAGTATTTATTCATCATGATTCTCGATAAGAAGATCTTATGTTTGACACTTAAATTATTGCTGTTAACAAATCTCACCAAATCATCTTTTGAAACTCTTGATAACTGTAAATTAAGCACATCTAAATCAAATTTATGTTTGTATAATCTTGTTGTCCATAGTAAAGAGTAAATCATATTTCTTTTTTGCTTTCCACATCTTCTAAAAGTATTTTCTAACATTTTATAATCAGGCTTAATACCCTTTCTTAATATATCTTGGAACCCTTTATTTATTCTGAATTCAATTTGTCTTTCGTGTTGTAAAACTCTTCCGTTTAACGGATCAATTGCCCATTTAAGATCACTCCATTCTGATTGGTCGTATTTCTTAGTGTTGATTTCAGGTAATTTCAAATTATATGGAGTTAAACGAGATTCTATTTTACTGATTTGACATTTCTCTAAGATTAATGCTTTTGATTCTAATGATAACTTAGAATTGTGCGTTACCCATTTTTGAAATCCCTCATCAAAGTTCACCGCATGGTAAGGATATGTTTGAACAAAGGTTTTATAAACTTTGAATAAGAAATCATGATTAAATGTTAGCCCATTCTCTTGTTCCATGGTTGATGTACTGGTGATGAAATTGATTAGCGTCAAGAAATTCTCTGATCTGACATAAAAATTGATAAGAATATTTAAAAATTCATCATTGAATGGGATGTCATCCTTTTTCATCTTGATTATAATGAACTGAATCATCTTAATGTTTGAATGCTTAGCAAAAAAGGTTAATATTTCGTTATAAAACTTAGTTAAATCTTTGACATCATTAATTGAGTTACAAATTTCATCAATCTTGAGCAAATCATGTTGAGTTATTGGTTTCTTTGGATTTACTGGATCACGCTTGATAATTTCATTTTGTAATTTTGTTGATTGTATTAAGTAATGGTCATTTAATGATTTGGATTCAATATATTGATGAATTTTCGAAACCTCTTCGTTTGTACCAAACTTATAGTTTTCTTTTAAAATTAAGTCAATGGTGGATATATTTGGGTTCTCACAGTTATTTGACTTTATCCAAATATCAAAGATCGAATTGATGTTTTCAAAGAGAGAATCAACTTTAATGAATTGATAAATAACGACCTCTAAAAGTCTAGAACTCAAACTTTTCAGGATTCCAATCAAGCTCAGAAACAAATTTTTAGCAAATTCAACCTCATAGTTAATTATAAATCCACTCATTATATAACTTAAAGTTTTGGACGAATAAGTTGAGTTCTTCAAGTACATATATAGAAATCTTTGTAGTCTAGTTAGATCATTCATATGATAACATAGCCAAATATAATTCTCTTGAAAATACTGATCATTCAAATATCGACACTCATGTATTCGACATATTTCGTATAAATCGGGTAAATCAGAGTATATCCGTCGGTGAGTTCGAACTTTATCAAGCTCCTTGATTCCTTTGAATCTAGGGGTCTCTATCACTTCATCTTTTTCCAAATTCTCAACTTTTTCGTTTGCTTTGGATATGATTTCGTTTAGAATATTTACAGGTAATTCATATCTATGCAATTTGATCAAGTCAAGAATCAGTTTGAAATCGTCTTGCCGAAGAAAGCCAGCTATCTTATGATGCAAATGGGGATGATCCTTCTTTTTTTGGTCGTCAATTGAAAGTTGAGTTGGTATACTTAAAGTTTGCGATATTTCATGAGCATAAACTGCTGATGGGGGTAAAGTATTGAATTTTTTATTATCATCTTTTGAACCTTGACTTTCATATTCTTCCTGCAACGTTACCAAACTATTAAAGATCTGTGAGGGTATTGTTTTACCCGTCTTCATCAACCAATGAGTATAAGATGCATCTAATAATTGGGAATTCGTGCAAAACGGATGAACTGAAGACCTGAAAACTGGTCTTTTTGAAGGATGCTTGAAATTCCTTATGTTGAATATCAAGTTCTGACATGTCCTTTTGAAAGGGTTAACTGCAGACATGCTGTATCATGGATATGAATAAATATGCAAAAATCGATAAGGAATCAACTAAAGAAATGAATAAATTAACTTGGAAACAAAAAAAAAAAAAAACCAAAGAACGTAAAAACTTAACTGTAGTGAATGCGATACCTATTGAATTAACAACAAGTAGGGGGAAGCCAATTCGGCAAGGTTGAGGTCTTAAACAGTCTAAAAGTATATAAAATCTATTCAGTTCACCTTGATGATGCCATTTTTTCAGTACTATTTTTTTTTTTTTTCGTTTTTTCCATCCAATGTCTGTAATGCGATTCGTAACATAAAAGATCCGGACACCAGATAAAAAGATTCTAATAAATCATGCCCTCGGTACTAATTCTGAAAAACTGGAGTAGAAGTTAAGGCCAACTACTTCATTTTGAAAGGAATTAGAGGTTAATAGAATGTCGTTAGGTCCTCAAGGTCGAGCATTGATGAGTATTGGGACGTACCATAACCAGGTGCCTCAAGATTTGGATCTTTTGATTCATGATTTGAGATTCCCACTGCCAGATACAACGATTAATAAGGTTTTAGGGTATTTATATCATTATGTTCCATACGTGAAGTATGAGCATAATTTGAAACTTGTTATTGCGAGTTTCTTAAATAATCCGCTTTGTTTTGGTAATCCTGTTCCATCATTTGAACAGAATTATTTAATAATTGAAGTTTTCAAACTCATTACTGATAAGAAATTGAAAATATCCAAACCCACCTTATCTATTAAAGCTTGGTATGATATAATATTGACAGAGGTTGTGAATTTTGCTTCTTATAAGCCCATTGAAAATAGTTGGAAAGTGTTACCTATTTTATCTGGGTTGATATTATCAAATGAGTTGAGAGATCAGTTGTATACTGTGCATAATCCAATTGAGTATAAATTCTACTTCAAAGACTGGGACAGTAAAGCCAATCGTTTGTTCAAGAAATGTTTGGGATATAACCTTTCCCAGTACCAAAATAACGATATTACTTATTTGAGTTTAATTGGTTTGGCGGTAGTTTATAAAAAAAATGAAAATGTTTTTGATTATACTGGCAATATCTCAAGTCATTTCATTGTTAGAAAACTAATCCAATTAGTATTTGATGACGTTACAAGTTCTGCAACTCATAATTTGTTCTTCAGTCTAAATTCCAACGACCCTGACTTGGATAACTTGATCCTGGAACAAATCATCCAAAAACCAGTGGTTAAACATTTGAATAAGTTTTCTTTTCTACTTGAAAGCTATCTAAAGAAATTACCCATAAACGAGCAATCATTTCAATTGGTAGAGTCGGTGTTAGTAATGATGAAAAATTTCAATCAAAGATTGTCTATTGCCACTTCACAGCATCCTATTCTTAATACGAATCCTTCCAAAATCAATCCCAATGATCCCTTAAGCTCAAAATTCTGGTTTTTCATGAAAAGTTTATTATTTGCAGAAGTGATTATATTTCAAGGAATCATGACACGATTCCTCATTACCCAGAACAATTTCTGGATTGACCCTTTCAATAGGGTGTCTTTGAAATCGAAACTTGAACTCGAATACAAACAAATCTCTTTTAAAATTATGCATAGCTTGTACTATTTGAATTTCATTTTACTTTCAATCGGTCAAGGGGGGTTTGATAATTATAATTTCATCTACTATTTGACATTGGAAATTGTCTTGAAAAATAATCGTGGAAATGATTTTGAAAACTTTACCAGGTTTTTGATTGGTAATTACAATGAAGTGAATTTACATGCCCAAGTTTTGAATACAAATTACCTTACCCGTTGTAAAGTTTCGTTTGTGTTAGGATTATGGGAAAATTATTTACAACAAGATCACTCCAAAAACTCTGGCTTTATTAATAACGAAATTTTCCAAATTTGTTTGGGTATAGTTAAAAATCCAACTATTGAAGATTTTGAATTGATTGAAATCTCTCATTCGGTACTTCTAATATGTTTTTCAAAAACTGATGATACAGATTATCAACTAAGAAAAACATTTGACTATATCGAACTTTTGCTTCACCAATTTCCTCAAATTTTGTCGGCTAACCAATTAAGCATCGCTATTGAAACCTTGGGTAAGAAAATACTAGCAAACCCTATAAAACCGCCTGCAAATTTTGAATTCCACAATTCTGCGGAATACTTTTTGGATTTTTTGAACTTAAAGTGCTCCAGTACCATCCCTGGTGTTCATATCAAAAAACCTGACGATACTGCAACGTTCAGCTCGGCTCAACCAATTGTAGAAATTGATGCCGCATCGACCTTAAGTCACATCGACGAAAAGAAACACCCTTCAACTGATATAGTTGATCGTAATAAAATGAAAAAACCAAAGGACAGATTAAAAGTTGATCTTATAAACACTGGCCAACCCAAAAAACAGTATCAATTCACTCAACGTACAATTCCAAACACTTCTAGGGAAGCAATAATCATTTCTTTTTTTAACATAATCCCATACTTTCCGTTATCCATCTTTATTCATTGGTTGAACAAAATATGGGATTTGGTTCTTAGTAGTAACCCCGAAGAGCAAGAGTTTTTGGGACAAAGATTATGGAAGGTATTGAGTGAAAATTTGGACTTGAACAGGTCTGAATTAGCGTACAGATGGTGGTATGAAGAGAAGAATGCTGTGCAGCATAATCCCTTAAAACTTTGAGTTCTCAATCTCCCTTAATATCATATATAGTTTCAAATTAACGATACTGATGTTATTTGTTAGATGTAAATTTGCAGCTTTTTCTGTCTATTACTTATGTAAGAAAGTGACCCTGCGGTACGGTGCTTTTTTTTTTTTTTCTTTTGATACATCTGCAGCTCATCTCAAATAAGCTTCATTCAAATACTTTTCAGTCTTGATTCTATAGGTACTAACAATGGCTAGAAAGAAGTCTGCTGCTAAAAGAGCTAGAGAAGAAGCTTTAAAAGCGGAAGTTGCTTCAGCTCCAGCAATCGAAGAAAAACAGGAGGTGGAAAAACCAACTAAAGAAAAATCAACTAAAGAAACTCAAGAAGTATCTGATGATGACGATGAAGACCTGGAATCGTCCGAAGAAGAAGATGAATATGGACAACTCATAACAGACAATGTTGAAACAGGTATCAACAAAGTTCTTGAAGCGCTTAAAAATGATCCAAAGAAGTTGCTTGATCCAAATCTTAAGTTTTTCGATGATCCTGAAAAGAACTCTGCTTTGAAGGAAAAGATAAATAAGGAAAAACCCATGTATTTAAAAGATTATCACAGACAAAACTTGTTATCCGGTGACTTCAAGCATGAAGACGATGAAAATGAATATGGAACTGTTGACGGTGAAAAACCATTCGTGGTAACCGAAAGGGAAGAAAGAAATCAATTATTATCTGATATTAAGAGTGCATTCAATGATGATGAGGACGATGATGGAAGTGACGATGATTTTTTGAAGAAGAAAGAGTCGAAGAAAGACGATATTGAGAAACCTAAAACAGTCTTACCTGATCCTGAAAAGAATCAAGAAGCTTTCTTAAACGCTTTTCTTGATAACCAAGCTTGGATACCTAAGAAAAATGACAAAGTATTAGATCTCGATAAAATAGATAATGATGATGAAGAAGATTTTGATAATGCAGTTGAAGATTTCGAAAAAGCTTATAACTTCAGATATGAAGATCCAAATGCTGCAGAAATTGTTTCGTATGCTCGTAATCAAGCCACTTTAAGAAGATCAAATACCAATTCACGTAAAAGACAAAGAGATAAAAAGATTGAATTGAAAGAAAAAGAAAATCAAGAAAAAGAAGAATTGTTAAAGAAGAAAAAGACTCAAAAAATGAATAAAGTCTTAGATAGATTAACAAAAATTAAAGAGGCTGTCGGTGAAGAAGTCAGTGATGAAACCATACAAAAAGTATTTGGTAACTCTCTTCTAGATGAAGATTTTGATGATGCTGATTGGGATAGTAAGATGGCCCAAATATTTGACGAGCAATATTACGGAAATGAAGATTCTAAACCTGAATGGGGTGAAGATGATGAGATAATGGGAGATTTCCACAAAGAAAATAAAGAAGACTCGGATCAAGCTGAAGATGAAGAACAATCCCAAGAAGATTTAGATGGTGAACCTCCTAAGAAGAAGTCCAAGAAAGAAAAACTTAAGGAAAAGAAATCTTCTAAAAAGGAAAAACAATCACTTAAAGAAAAAGCCCAACAAATAGTTGAATCCAATGCTGTCAAGATCTTGGATGAAGTTGAAGATGAAAGAGGCCGTTCTCAGGATAAAGAAGAAGTCAGATTCAAGTATCGTGATGTTTCACCAGAAACCTTTGGTTTAAGTACTAGAGATATTATTTTAGCCGATGACAAACAATTAAATTCATTCATTGGTATCAAGAAATTTGCGCCTTATAGATCAAAAGAACAAGCATTGAAGGATAAAAGAAAGTATGCCAAAAAGAAACATTTACAAGATTGGAGAAAAGAGGTTTTCCATGACAAGAATGGTCCTAGGTTTCAAGATGGAGAAAAAGAAAATGAAATTTGGATTCCAATTGAAAATGAAGAAACTTCCAAATCTACCAAGAAGACTAAAAAAAGAAAGAATAAACATTAATAGAGTACATGTATTAATCTAATATATTTTAAATTATTGATCTTCTATTGTATTGTAAACGACATCGTCTTCTTCGTGAATTTTCTCATGTTCGAAGAAGTCAGAACCAAGTTCAATCAAGCCTGTCTCTGCAACGTAGTCTGTCCAATGAGTGAGCATTTCGTTTAACTTACCTGACTCTTCTTTAGCAAGGTCTTTTGTCTCTCCTGGGTCTGCTTTGATATCGAATAACTGCCATTCGGAATCACCAAATGGCTTTGGTATATAAACCGCCTTATACTTACCTTTTCTAATCGCTTGTTGACCAAAAAGTTCCCAGCCAGTTACCGTATCTTCAGAGTGAATATGATCTTGCTTTCCTCTCAAATAGCTAACCCATGATTTCCCTCTAGGTGTATGGACCTTTCTTCCCTTATACTCATTACCTGGATGTTGAATTCCAGCAAGCTCCAAAACAGTAGGCAAGATGTCCATAACCGTAGTGAACTCATGAGCCACTTTCCCTTCAAAATTGGAATTATTTATTAAGGGTGGATAATGAAGTATTAAGGGACAGACAATAGCCCCTTCGGTAGCCCACATCTTGTACATGGAATGTGGAGCAGTGGCTGCTTGAGCCCATTGATCATTATAGTAGACAAAAGAATCTTTCCTGCCAATGTTACTAAGATCATTATTATAATGATTTTCAATTGCAGTTCTAATTCTCAAAATCCTTAGAGGTAATGCTTCCATCAACATACCTTCTGCTCCATTATCTGACATGAATAGAATAAAGGTATTTTCCAATTCGCTTGACTTCTCCAATGCATCCAAAACCTTTCCAATGTTCCTGTCTAAAATTTCCACCATGGCAGCATAGACTTCCATAATTCTAGATTCCTTGGCTCTTTCATCGTCATCTATATCTGACCACCTTTTATGGATAGTTTTGATGGGATGAGGAGTTCCATCTGGTATCACGCCTGCTTTAAGAGCACTTTCTAATCTGCGCTTTCTTAACTCTTCTGGACCATCATCATATCTACCCTTATACTTTTTAATTACCTCTTCTGGCGCCTGATATGGCCAATGAGGAGCAGTGTAAGTCAAACAGCCAAAAAACGGTCTATCGCCTCTCTTCTCGTGACTAAGGAATTCAAGACCCTTTTCGGTGAAGTAGTCGGTTGAATAATAATCATCGGGTAATTCCTTTTCAGCATCTACTTCCCGATCATCCTCTGCATACAAAAATGGCATGAATTTGACAGGACCCTCCTTGTCCTTTGGTATATATTTATAATGATTACCAGCACCAGGTAATAAAGTAAAAGATTTTTCAAAGCCTCTTGTAAATGGCCAATATTCTTTCAAAAGACCTAAATGCCATTTCCCAGAAATAAAAGTATAGTATCCACCATCGTTTAAGATTTCTGGTAAACTTACTACTCGATCATTTAAATACCCTTCGTATCCCGGTTTACCTTCAAATTTATCAGGATGACGCATCGCAAATTCTGCCATTTGTCCCAATCCCGCAATATGGTTATCATTACCAGTGAAAAGCATTGAACGGGTCGGACTGCAAGCTGAAGCAGTATGAAAATCAGTGAATCTTGCTGACTTTTCTGATAATCTTTTCAAATTTGGAGTATCGATCTCCCCTCCGAATGGACTGGTGTCAGTGAAACCTAAATCATCAGCAACAACAATCAAGAAGTTTGGCCTTACACCCATTATTAAATTAATTTAAGTATAGATAAGGTATAGTTGTTTTATTTTATCATTTTGAGGATGTTGCTCTAATTTATACTGCAAATTTGTCAAAAAAATGGAGAAAATTGCAGCATTTTATTGAGAGCCACACTTCTGAGTTCAGTGAGAAAGTGAGAAATTTCTGAAATCTTACATTTTTTGAAGATGCAAATTAATTTTATATATTTATTATATCAGTTACAATTTTCTATAAAGTGGACAGGTTATTGTATGACAAGGATTCGAGGAAAGGAAACAGTTTTGGAAGAACTAAAATTACAAAATAAAAATAAAGTTAGAAATAAATAAAAAAAACATGAAGAATTTAAAATGGAAAAAACTGAAAAATTTATGGAAGATTGCAAGATGTGAAAATTGATAAACAGCTATAGATGTTTAATCAGTAAAGTAAGAAGTACTCATTGAACTAGCTAATCATATTTATTAGGGAAACTAATAATTGATTTGGCAGCTTCTTTTGTTCTTGTTTTAAGCCCTAAACTTTTAATTGATCTTCTTGAACTAACCTGATTACTTCCAGGATAATTTCCGACATCTAATTTTCTTAACCAAATTTTTGAAAAGATCGTTGAACAAATGACAATGAAAAACATAACACCTAAGATACCGAAAAACCAAGCTAAACCAGAATCTGAATTTTCACCAGGAACATGAACGTTCATACCGAACAAACCTGTAACTAAGTTCAAAGGAACCAACATGGTACCAATTAATGTGACTTTAGATAACATTTCAGTGACCTTATTATTAGAATTAAAAGATTCAACTTGTAATTGAGCCAAATAATTTGAATGAGATCTACTGAAAATTTTTTCATAAGCTAATAAATTTTGAAACATGGTAACAACATGATCTTGAATATCACCTAAGTATAAAGCAATATCTGCTCTTGGTTGGGCTCTACCATGTTGGTTTTGAAATTGCTGATATTGTGAGCTTAAAAGGTTTGGGTTGGCACCAGGGTTTGGACCAAATGAAACTCCAGAATTGGAGAATGGTGCAGGAGTAGCATTACCACTACCACTACCACTATTCAAATTAGCTAAATTCAAATGAGATTGTATAGTATGGGATTGTGCCTCATCTTGACATCTTTTAGCAAACATTTTAATAACATCTGCTTTGCCGGATAAAAGTCTCATAAGAGTCATGACTTTTCTTCTAGATTCCCCAATTCTTTGCAACATATTACTAAAATCTAATTCTCTTGCCACAAACACAGAGTCTTCGATTGCGTCAGCTTCATATTCGATACCGGTAATAACAGGAGCAAAACTATCAGTGATATCATCAATTAATGCATAACATAACCAATCTGCACTAACATCAACATAATCTCTTAATTGTCTAACTCTTCTTCTGACATTAGCAGGATGTAAAATAGGAGAGAAATGGAAAGTAAGAACACCATCTCTGAAAACCACAATATAAACATTGATTGGTTCTAAATAATCTTCAGATTCCTTGTCAGGTTCAAAAGTATGGAAACAAACAAAATAATAACTTCTGAATAATTCAACTTTTTCACGAGTTTCTTGCATTCTAATATCTTCAGCGGTTAAAGGATGAATACCAAAAGCTTTAGCCAACATTTTCATTTCAGAATCAGTTGGACAAACACAATCCAACCACCAAGTTCCTTCACCATTTCTGAAAAGTTCACGAACACTTTGACCAGGTTCAACAAGAGAAGGAATATCGGGAGCATGAATTGTTTCTTCTGATTCAGAACTGAAAAAGGAAAAACGATCAGGTAAAATCGATTCACTATCATTAATTCTAGTACCACCAAATTTAACATTATCAGATGAATTATCGTCAACATTAAAATTATGAAATTCAGTGGGAGACGTTTTTTCATCATATTCATCATTTACGGTTGAAGAATCCGATTGATTACGAATTGTTTTGATTGATTCATTATCACGAGATTCAGTATTTTTGGATTTCATCTTTTTAATTAAATTTTTAGGAGTATATTTCAATGCAACATTACTTGGTTTTGACATTCTTGATTTTGAAGAAATTGAACCAGTGGTACGAGCATCTTTTTGATTTGAGCTAACTCTCATTGCAGTTCGATCGGCAATCATTTGTTGTTGATCTTTCATTAATTGTTCTTCTTCACGTTCATCTTTAATAAATTCTTCAATTTCATCAAAATCAATTCCTTTAATACGAACGTGTTCTCTTAACATTGGGAAACAAACATCTTCTTCTGTTTCTTGAGAAGATCTTGAAGCATGGGAATCGGCTTCACTATCAATAGAAGATCTTGATGCTCTTCTTTCTCTCTTATAATTTTGGTTTTCACTTGTTGAAGTATCATTAGTTTTAATCTTCATCATTGGTGAAGCAATATCGTTTTCTAAGTTATCAACAACGGAATCATTTCTTTGTTTTGATCTTTTATGACCAGAAGGTTGGGCTGGCTTTAATAAAATCCCACCCGAAGAAGCCCCACCTATATTATGAATTTCATCCATTTCGCCATCTTTTGGGTTAACGAAAGATTTAACTTGATCAGAAAATGAGCGGGATCTTGACTTCCTTCTTCCGCCACTTTTCCTGGGAAGATTAGCAATATTGGGAGAGACTTGAGCCCTTGAATTTGTTGTTGGATTAGTACTAGAATGATTTTTATGAATAGACGATGGGTGCAACATGAAAGGCTGGGAGTCATCGTCCTCTTGGCCTTGATTCAAATAAAAATCTTTACGTAAGTTATTCATATACATATGACTGGCCACTTTTGGTTGAACTGGATAAGGTTCAATTTGATTACTCGAGGAATTTCTAGTTAATCTTGGATCAAAATTATATCTTTCTGTAGTATCATTAGGCGAAGTCCCCGGTGAAACATCATATTGACGAGAAGCCGCATCCACAAAGTGTTCTGGTTGTTGATTATCCTTATTATCAACCGTATCCTCTTCATCATCATCAATAGCACTTTGAGTAGGGTTACGGATGGGTAACGAACTAGCCTGATGTCTATGATCATTCAAGACCTCATCAGTATTAGCAACTCCATGAAGAATGTCTCTGCTTGGAGAAACAGAGCGATTACTTTCCATATCAGACATGTTTCAAATAAAAAAAAAAAAAACTTAAAAGTATAAAGTATAAACTAGTATAAAGAGAATATGAAATTAAATTAGCTGGAGTAAATGATATGAATTAAGCAAGCAGAGAAAGGCGTGCAATCATAGTTTCAGCCACCTAATCAACTTTTTATTTGTTTCAAATAAAACTTCACCAAATAATCTTGAACAACAAAATTAACCTTCTGTTTTTTGTTTTACTTGCTCTCTAGTTAATCAGTTATTAGACAAACAGCTAACGGAAAGTACTCATAAATGGGGTGCCTTCTCAAATCGTCAGCTAAGCGGTGATTATCAAACAGTACTGAAGCATAGATTCTTTCAAAAAGAAGTAAATGAAGGAGGAAAACGTTGATGATAATTCCAATTCTCGTTTTATGCCTCATTTTCCTTTTTTTTTTTTTGTTTTGTTAGGCATTTCTTTGTTTCTGCCCGTCATTTTAGATGAAATTTTTTTTTTTTTTTTTTTTTTCTCTCAACTGATGAGGCTAACAAAAGCCTAATAAAAAGGCCTAATAGAAGGCCCTAAGGCGAAAAAGAAGTTCTACATTAAGCTGAGACTAAAATTAGCTTTTATTAAATAGATATATATAGATTTAGACCCAGTCAACAGGATTCTGTAAGACTTGGAGTAGCTTAGCCTCTCTGGTGCCTTGTTCTGGGTGATGGTCGTAAACCCAGCTGGCCGTGGCCGGAAGAGACATTAAAATACTTTCTACTCTTGAACCTGGAGTAGCCAATCCAAATTGGGTACCTCTATCTAGGACCAAATTAAATTCTACGTAACGGCCCCTTCTAATTTGTTGCCATTTTTTTTCATCTTCGGTGAAAGGATCATCTTTATGTTTAGCTACCAAAGGAGCATAAGAAGGTAAGTAAGCATTGAAACAAGATTCAATAATGTATAATATATCATCAGCAGGTCTATCGTCAAAATCATCGAAAAAAATACCACCAATACCTCTTGTTTCTTGTCTATGCTTGATATAGAAATATTCATCACACCATTTTTTATATTTAGGATATAAGGATAAATCAAATTTATCTAAGGCATCTTTATGTTGTTGGTGGAAATGTTTAGCATCTTCTTCATATAAATAAGAAGGAGTTAAATCTGCACCACCACCAAACCACCAAGCTTGGACTTCACCAGATTCAGGATCGGAAGTTTCAAAATACCTATAATTAGCATGAGATGTTGGAGCATGGGGATTATGAGGATGTATAACCAATGATAATCCACAAGCAAAGAAATTAGTACTACCATCAGCATCACATCCTTTTAAATTTGAGTGATCAGCCTTCATTCTAGCAACGGCTGCTGCTGGTAATTTACCATGAACAATCGATATGTTCACTCCTCCTTTTTCAAATGTAGTTCCATCTTGTAATACCATCGATTGGCCGCCTCCACCGTTATTGTCTCTTATCCAACTATCAGTATGAAAAGTTACACTATCAAGCTCTGCTAATCCATCAGTAATCTCTTTTTGTTTTTGTCTGATCAAGGCCTCCATACGGTCCCTGATGGGGAGGGTTTTATCGTGGATTTGTTCAAAGCTTACCGTCACCATGGTCAATTATACTATTATGTCTTAAACTCAACTTCTTCTTCTATATTTCCAATCCTATTTATACAAATTGGTTAAAATACTGCCATATCGAATGATTTTTCAATTGGCCATACTTTTTTGGCATTTTCCTACGCCCGTACCTCTATACGTTCACGTCAGTTGATTGCAAATTGACTAACTATGATTGAACCTCTTCGTACATCCTACTCGTACATCTTATATATCGTTGATCGTATACTAGAATCTTATGGAACTTCCACTGGTTAATGCTGACTATTGTCTTTTTATTTGGATTTAATGAGTGGTATTGATCTAGTCGTAAAAATTAATCTTTGTAATAATATCTAATATACCTGCTAGTATATCTGCTGATATATCAACATATCTGCCTACCTACCTGCAAACATGTCTGCAAATATATTAGCTAAAATATCTGCAAATATATTAGCTAAAATATCTGCAAATATATAAGCTAAAATATTTGTTAATTAATGATTATTTAGTGACAATGGTATTTGCTAAGATTTTTTAATAGTAAATGCCGTGCTATTGATGTATGTTTGGCTTCTGCTACGATGCTTCGTACAACCATCTCCGTAACCTAATTATAAAGTAAATACTCGTCTATTCCAGCTATAGGAGTACTGGTTGTTACTTGAATTTCGCAATAATTTAACATTATTTCCAATTTTCTTCATTTTTGCAATCTTCTCCCCAAACCGACTTGAAATATCTGATATTTTACTAAGAATACATGATTTATTACATTAATCAAGAGTTTCATTTTAAATACACATAATGTGAAATATTTAATATTATTATATTATTAAAGACAGGAAAATCTTATGGAAAAATAGCCTTGTCGAGGTAGTAATCTATATTATACTGAATCAGTGGCGTATTTGAACTATGACAAGTTCTATCTTTTTTAGTAAACAAATGGCCGTGACTTACATAATGAAATTAATATATATATACACATAAAATTTATAAAATTAGATATTAAATAGTAAAAAATCAAAGCTGAAAAAAAATTAATCATAAAATTAAAGAAGAAGTAAAAGAATTTGAAATGAATGAATGATTACGTTGTCTTTGCCTTCTTCTTCTCTCTATTACCTTTTGGAACTCTAGCAGCCCAGTATAAAATAACAGTAAGAATCATGTTGATAACAATAAAAGCAACAAAGATACCAAAGTTTCTCCATCTTTCACTATAGTATGAATTAATAGTTGCTAAATAATCATTGGTTGAGGCCATTGCACAGAATTTACATTCATCAGTAGCACTCTTATCAATCAAATAACCACCAGCTTGCTTCATATATGCTTCCATATATTCTCCACAAGTTTTACCTTGAGCAGGAGCAAATCTTAAGACTTCAGTATCAGAACATTCAATATTAGTATTTGCTAAACCAGCACTTAAAACCCCTTGAATTAAATAGGTAAATGGATTAGCTCTATACATGAAAATCCAAAATCCTGGTAAGAAATCTGGTCCTGCTAAAACACCACAGAAATTTAAACACATAGTAAATAATAAAGTAGCTAAATTAGCAGCGTTATCAGCAAGTTCATTGAAAGACATACATAAATGACCCAAAGTAGTGGAGTAAACAAAGAAAAAGGTCAAGAATAACCAAACCAAAGCACCACGTTCGTTAACTTGATCAGCAGGTTCAGCATTTCTATATAAACCAACTGGATAATACCAACAGAAATAAGAAATAGTACCAATGACAAATTGGAAAGGAACTTCAGAAGTAAGTTGAGCAGTGATAAATGCAAACCAACTAAAAGTTCTAGAAGGTGCTTCTCTGACTTCATAAACATCTCTTTGTCTAACGAAATAAGGTAACATTTGTTGAATTAAAGTATTAAGAGGAATCATAAACATGAAAATAGCAAACATTTGATTTTGTAAACCTTGCATAGATTTACCAGCTTTGAAAAATGAAAACCCATTGAAAATAGCTGATGAAATAACCAAGAAGAATTTAGAATAAATATAAATTGGAGTTCTCCAATTTTGTTGAATAGCTCTTTTACTAACAATTAAATATTGTTGCCAAATTGGAGCAGCATACTTTTTATGAGATTCTGGAGATTCATCTTTTGGTAATTTAACTAATTCAGTTTCCATATTAGTTAATTCTTGTCTAGTTTCTTGATATTCAGTAGAATTTTTCCAAACTTCATAATAATCTTGATTAGCATGAGAACCTGGAGCAGCACCAACAACTTCCAACATCCATTCAGCTGGATTTGCTTCTTTTGGACAAGGATGAGCACCGTATTTTTCAAAATAATTAATCAAAACATTACAATTTTCACCTAAATCACCAAAGTAAACTGTTTGACCACCTTTTTGTAAAAATAATAAACGATCAAATTCTTTTAATAATAAAGCAGAAGGTTGATGAATAGTACATAAAATAGCTTGACCATTATCAGCTAATTTTCTCATTAATTTACAAATTGACCAAGCAGTTTGAGAATCTAAACCAGAAGTTGGTTCATCCAAGAATAATAATAATTTAGGTTTAGCAACTAATTCAACACCGATAGTTAATCTTTTACGTTGTTCAACATTTAAACCTTCACCAGCAACACCAACCAAAGCATCAGCATAACTAGTCATTTCTAATAAATCAATGACATATTCAACATAAGCATCTTTTTCAGCTTTACTAACAGAACTTGGTTGTCTTAAATAAGCACTAAATCTAAAAGCTTCACGAACAGTAGAAGCTGGTAAATGTAAATCTTGTTGTTGAACATAACCAATAGATCTTTGAAAAGAAGAATCTAAAGAGTGACCATTAACCATTCTAACCCCGTCAGTAATAACACCAGTGGTAACACGTTCAGATAAACAATTTAATAAAGTTGTTTTACCAGCACCAGAGGAACCCATTAAAGCAGTTAATTGACCGGGTTTAACCCAACCATCAACATGATTTAAGATAACACGATCTTCTGATTTAATTTTAACTTGATAAGTTAAATCTTTCCAATGGAAAATATTTTTCGAAGAAGGGATTTGATTAACAGAAGAAGAAGAAGAATTAGCAGCAGAAGCAGCAATGGCTTCTTTTTCATCATTGAAACTAGGTTTTTCATTAGTTAATTGATTTTCAACATCAATAGTAGTTGGTCTTTGTTTATTAGCTTCATTTTTATGTTTTTTCAAAGAGCCTCTTAAAAACAAAATAATTTCACCCTTTTGCATTGAACCTTTATTAAATTCAATTGAACCAATATAAACAAAAAGTAAAACAATAACAAAAGCCCAAGTGATACCAAAGTTTCTCCATTTATGACTATTATAATAAGAGTAATTTTCAGCAATATAACGAGTACCTTCAACAACATTTGAACCAGCAACTGAACCAACTGAACTACAGACTCTATTTTCACCAGAAACAGAATCATATGGACCACCAGTAGGAACAAAACTAGTACAAGTGAATTGACGGCCACTAAATTCATTAGCCATTAAAGATTCGAAAACATAGGCCACTGGATTAATGTAATTAATCCATCTTGACCAACCCAACATATTAGGAGTTGGAATAACAAACCCAGTGTAAATAACCATAGCCAATAAAATAACGGTAGCACAAGTCATAGCACTAGCCAAAGTAGTAGTAAAACCAGAAAGAGTACGGAAGAAATGACTCATGACAAGAGTACACAGTAAACACATTAACCAATAAAAGAAAAATCTTCCAGGTTCTCTTCTAAGATTAACCATAAAATAAAAGACAAAATTGAAAGAAACCGACATACAAAGTTTTGTTGGTAATTCAGTAATGATACCAGCTAGAGCATCAGCAGAAGGACGATATAAAGCATATTTTTTGTGTTTTTCCACAATTGGTCTACCTTCAAAACAAGCCATAATTTCTAATAAAGAAGCAAAAGCATTAAATAAGACCGCAAAGAATAAAGAAGCACCACGATAATAAAACGAACCAGTTGTTTGTTTTAGATTATAAAAAACCGAAGAAAGAATCAACCCCATAACTGCTTGACCAAAAATCGAAAAAATAGTAATTGAAGGATCACCTTTCACTCTCAAGAAGTTTCTATACATGATATATCTAACTTGCATGAAGAATGAAACAGTATAAGGAGATTTTGGAGAAACATGATTAGCTTGTCTAGCAATATGAGATTGTTTATAAGTATCTTTAATATTATTTTGTTCGACATCAACAAAATATTGATCAATTTCCCCGGTTAATTTTTTATATTGAGGAGAATTTCTCCAATAATTTTCAAATTCTTTAGCAGTATGAGGAACTTTATTTTCAAAACCGGGTCTGACAATTCTTTCAGCAGGATTGGTTAAAGAAGTAAGATAATCGGCGGTAGTTTGTCTTTGAGGACAATCATAACCCATTTCCAAAAAGAAATCTTTTGCTTCAGAAGCTTTACCAAAGAAAATTTGGTAACCTTCGTATAAAACCACGACGTTATCAAACAAATCATATGCATCTTGAGAACATTGATAGATAGCAATCAAGGGAGTAGCTTCCAAGATGGCAGCCGAAGTTTTCAAAGCACGAATGAATTCAAGAGCGGTAGCGGAATCCAAACCTCTAGTAGCATTATCCCAACATTGTAAATTAGCACCACTTAAAGAAACTTCAGCAATAGAAACTCTTTTACGTTCACCACCAGAAACCCCTCTAACGAAATCGTTACCAACGTTAGTATTTCTAGTATGCGATAACCCGTAGGTGGCCATATAAACACTAGCCATATGAGTGGCGTATTCTTCTCTTGAAACATCACCTCTGTTTTGGGGAGTTCTTAATCTAGCGGCAAAATCCAAGGTATCACCAACGCTTAAATGAGGGAAATGAGTATCGGTTTCAGCACTATAAACCACGTCCCCACGATGATATTTATTAATATCATCGGGGCTTAAACCATCGTAGGTAATTTTTGAGTTTGGATCAATATTAAAACCATAAGTGTTAGCGGCAATGGTTTTCAACAAGGTTGAACAACCAGAACCTGGTCTCCCTAAAACCACGGTGACTTCCCCGGGTCTCATGATAGCATCCATTTTTTTCAAGATATCGAAATATCTGGATTCGTCTTGTTTTTGTAAACTTCTTAATGCAGAACCACCCAATTTAAACAAAGCATTGGCCACGGTTGGTTGATAATCGGAATCAGCAGCAACCCCATAAGCTCTTAAATCACGATAAGCTATCCCCAATTTACTTGGTTTATAATAATCCGGATCGGTATCGTATAACTTACGTAAATTTTTGACCCAAAATTTAGCATTAAAATTTTCAGAATCAGGATTTAACAGTTCATCGATTTCTTCATTTTTAAACGGAGTTACACCAGGCACTTCTGACATATGACTCAAATACTTAATCAAAGATTGACTATCTTTGATTGAAGATTGGTGACTAAGAGTTTTAGCCAATTGTTGAATTTCTGGAACTGCATCATCAAATCCATGATACTCATTGATTGATTCTTCATCTGAATGATATGTCTTTTGATTAGTGGGGTTCGAGTCCTTCCCCGAATTCGAAGAATACGACGATGTCATACTTTCAGATAATACTCAGATAATCAGTTAATTAATGGAAAATTTTGACCATCTGTAAACGGCTATCAACCTATTTAAATAAACTAAGATTCAATTACGGTATTAACGCTTTTAATCGACTCAATCCGGTTTTATTATTAGTTGAAATTTTTCTTTTGTTTATTTACCTGGCATCGTTTGAATCATTGTTTATTGTTCAGTTATCTAGGGCTGGTCCACAATCAGGACAATTACAACTACAACTACATCCAGCATCCAGCCGACCAGATGACAGCATTCAATCAACCAGTTGACCAATCCACCGTTAACCAGTTAACAAGCTAACCAGTGAACAAGTTTTCCCAGTTATTCAGTTATTCAGGTTAATCCATAAGATTTTCACAGAGGCGGAACGGAGATTTATTTTTGCTGCCGCCTCCGCCGGATCGGAACCTGGCCCTGGGGGGCCTCCATTCCGACACTGGCACCGAGCGCACGGCGGGATTCGGAACCTGCTTTTCCCCAGCGAACTCCCGCCATTCCGAATACGAAAAGAATTTTAAACTATTCGTCAGTGGCGTATGACTAATCGGGCTGTATTATCTCCTCCTGGTATCTCCTTCTTCTGTGCTGATGTTGTACTGGCTATACTGGTTTATTGTACGTTTCTTGTACTGGATGGTTTCTTGTACTGGATGGTTTATTGTACTGGGTGGTTTATTGTACTGGATGGTTTATTGTACTGGATGGTTTGTTGTACTGGATGGTTTGTTGTATGGAGAGGACACCGGGGCTAGTTCGGGTTTAAGGGGTAGTGGACCCCTATGCCGCGCACGACACAGACCCCCTCTGACGAAAAAGAAAACACATCCACGTGACATACACCCGTAAACCGCCATCTCACAAGGAAGCCAAAACAAGCTTTTGTAAACAATTAGTCGGATCTTTAATTTAACGTAAGATTGTATTATTGGCTGTTCAATTGATTGTACATTGCTGAAGTGTATATTGCTGAAGTGAAATGATTTTTTTGAATGTAGATGAATTGTAGATAACTTTATGAGTCATGGATTATTTATAGCACTACGGAAGTGCGAGATATGGATGGAAGATGGAAGTACCTGATAAGGATGACGGAGGTACTTCTTGCGGTAGTATTGAGCTTGATATACTGCGGGTTATATTGTGAAATGATTTTAGACTACTAGTAAGCACGAGTTAAATTGTTTATTGTTGAGATGTGCGAATTTGCAGCCAGTGTTCTGGTATGATCATGTCAAATCACACTTTCGAATGATAAGGCTGCACGACAAGTAGTTGTACTGTAACTGCCTGAAATGTAACTGACTTTGATTGACTCCCCTCAAAGACGTATCGAATTTCTACATAAGGCAACCTTGGACGCCGATGGACTAATTCACACAACGTTTTCTCTGACTCATTGCAAATCAGTGTGATTGAGCATTTCCAAGGATTCCCACTATCATCAAATTGATCTTCGAAGTACCGCTCACTTGGTTTCCCTATATATAAGAAAGCAAAGACCACCCAAGGCTTTGCAAAACCAACCTGATAACCGATAAATATAGTACCACTGCAGTGACCGTAATACCCTGTAGTGACCGTAATACCCTGTAGTGACCGTAGTACCCTGTAAACGTGCATTAGATTACCTCAACTAGTTGAGCAGGGAGTGAATTTGCAGCCAAAAAAAAGTCCCAGCGGTACGGGGGTCCCATCGAGTCGAAACCTGGTCTCCGCGCACGACCAGATCAAACACGAATCGAAATCAAAACAAGCCGGCGTCTAATTCATCAACTACTCTTGGTCAATTGATATTCTACTTAGTCAATTACACTTACTTACCATGGAGGAGAGTGAAACGGTGACGCCCAATGCGGTGTTGGAGTTCATCCATAATTTAACCTCGATAAATGACTCCCATTTGATCCAGACATCTGCTACCAATGAATATTTAACTAATTATTTATCAAATTATACTCCAGATTCTTTATACCTACTTAAATTTAATGACGATGGGTATCATTTATCAAATGATTTACAATCTTTCGAGGGCGATTTGACTAAATTGACCAATTTAATCATATTAATCAAACAAAAGGGTCAATTAATATCAAAAACTTCATTAATTGATCAAATTAATATAATTAATATCCCAATGGCTAAACTTTTAAATGAAGAAGAAAAAGATTCAAATAATGAATCGTTTGAAAAATTAAGATTCTTAATAAACCTTGGGATCTCTCCATATTTCGACTTATTAACAAATAATTCAAATAATGAATCTTCTTTTAATATAACCAAGAAAAAATTTAATGAATTATCGCTATCTTTACAACATTTACAACAAAAGATTCAAATTCCTGATTTAATCATATCCACCCATCCAAAAATTGTTCAACTTTTAAATTCGGATAAAATTAATGAAGAAGAAGAAGAAGAAGAATCTTTAATTCATGATACGGTTTTTTTAAATGAATTAACTAATATTGTTAATAATTGGATTAAACAAATTCAATCAATTACAAATTTAAATCATAATCCTTTAGATGGTGATTCCATCTTAGAAGAAATTCAATTTTGGAAATCAATGGAATTAGCTCTTTTATCAATAAATCAACAAATTTTATCTTCGGAAGTTAAAAACTCAATTAAATTTTTGAATGAATCGAAAAGATTTCACATAACTCTTAGTTTCCAAAATGATATTGGTTTAAATGATAAATTAAACGAAACTAAAATTTATAATTCTTTATTAAAAGATTTACCAATTGATGATTTAATTCATATTTCAAATAATTTAAATGATTCTTCAAATTTAATTAAATTCGAATCAGTCATTATAAATATCTTTAATCATTTGAAAAAATTGAAAAATTTGAATTCTTTCCCAATTATTAGATCAATCGAATTAATTGAATTAGTTTTAAATGATTTAACTAAAAATTTTTATAAAATTTTATCTAATTATTCCTTAATGACAATTGACTTTAATCAATTTAGTAAAATTTATAATAATTCAATTTTAAAAATCTTTAATTTAATTGATTCAAATATTAAATTCATGATTAATTTAATAAGAGAATTATTAAGAAAAAGACAAGAAAAATTTATAATTGTTAAAATCAATCAAGATTCTTTTAATGAATTACGTGATAAAATTCAATATTTAATGAATTTTAGGTTAAAACATGAAAATTTATTAACTACCCTATCAAATTTATTGCCTTCAAATATTGATTTTTCAAATAAAATCATCGATACTTATAATAAAGTTATTATTCCCATAAATCCTTTAGATTTATCAAATCATGGTAAATTAATTTGGAATCAAAATGAAAATACTTACTTGGAATGTTTCAACAATTTAGAAAATTTAATAATTGATAAATTAAACTCAATTTTTAATAATTGTAACAATTTCAATGATTTTATTTCAATTTTTAATAAATTCAAAAAATTTAATACAATTAATAATTCAAATAATCTTCTTTCGTTAATTAGTGATGAACTTAAATTAAAAATATTATCCATTGTTAATAAAGAATTTGAAAAATTAGTTGAATTAAATTTGAAAAAACAAAATCAAATTATATCCTTTTTCAATTCGAAAGAATTTAATGATCCAATAATTTCAAAAATAATTTGGAATTTAAGTTTAACTAATAAATTGAATAATTATTTAATTTATCTTAAACTTCTTCTAGGTTCAAATTGGAATAAATATTCTTTAGGTAATAAGCTTGATTTAGGAATTTCAAGTTTAATTGATAATTTGAACCCTGATAAAATTTTTAATAAATGGTTAGATGATTTAATGTCTTTGAGTTCTAAAAATAATTATAAATTCAATTTTAGTGGTCCAATCATAAAAATTGATGATCAAAATAATGAGTCTTTAGATTTGATTGTTAATTTTGATTCAAATTTAATTAATTTATCAAACCAGTTAAATCATTTAAGCTCTTTTGGTTTCAAAATTCCAGTTAATCTATTAATTCAATTTAAAAAAATTAATAGACTACACCCATTTATTGTTACTTTAATTGAACATATCGAAATATTAAAAACAACTTCAGATATTGAATTAGAACAAACAAATTATGGTAAAAAATTCGGATTCTTATTAGATTATCAAAAACAAATAATTTTATTACATTTAAAAGAAGTTCTTTCCATTGATTGGATTCATATATCTCAAGCTTATGATTTGCAAAATATTTCTAATGATTCAAAAGAAAATGATTCAATTGATATCAAAAATGAGGATATAATAGAAATTAAATCTTTGAATAATTTAACAATTTTCCAAGACGAAATTTATAAATTGTATTCTCAATCAAATAAAATTTTAAGATTCTATCAATTCTTATATAATGATAAATTACCCAATTTGTTGACTTGTGATTTTAATCAATTTGAAATTAATAAAGTAATCGATTCAATTCAATCAAAGATTATTAAATTAAGTTATGAAAACTTTAATGATTTTGAGAAATTCATACAGATAATAAATGGTGATATTCAAAATGTTTTGATTGAAAAATGTCAACAAAAATTAAATTCTTTTAATGAAGCTTTAATATCTAGTGATTCATCAGACGTTTTGCCTAAAGGAAATCATTCAATTCTATTTCAAAACCAATCATTCATATTATCCCCTCCTTTAGAAGATACTAAACAAGCTTGGTATTCAGAATTTAACAAATTTTTTGATATAATTGAAAATCAATCAAGAATCCAAATTGATGGTAAGATTGAAAAATTCAAAATCACCTCCAATAGCTCAATTACTGTTGATATACTCCGCAACTTGAAAATTATAGATGAGCTCATGAATAATAGTTTATCATACTTTGAGAAATGGCTTGTTTTGGAAAACCTATGGGATTTGGATTTAAATACCGATGATGAATTTAACAAGTTGTTCGGCAATGTCGTGGAACCAATTACAATCAATGATTGGTTACAAGTTTTTAACAAGATTATTAACTTGAGATCCTTATTTGATAGACCTGAAAATTTCTTCACCATCAACAACTATTTACAAATTGATTTTGCTAAAGTACAATCAAGAACTGTAATGAAATTTGATAACTTTCAAAATACTTTATTAAATAAATTTGCTCTGTCATTCCAAATTGATTTGATCAATTTTAATAATGATTTATTGAATGCTCGAAACTTATTAGAACCAACTTTGAATATTCAAATGATGACTCCTAAATTAATAACAGTACTTGAAAATCATTTCCATTACAAAACCAGCATAAATAGCATTCAAGAAAAAATTTCAAGTTTCAACAAAGGTCAAACATTACTTCAAAAAAGAAAATTCAAAGTTCCTCAAGATTGGATATTCGTTGAACAACTCGAAAACAATTTTTCTATTGTGAAAACATTACTAGAAAGAAAGGATAAAATTATTGAAGCCAATAATGAAATTATAGTCTCTAAAGTAAAATCCGAGGCAATTAAAATGAATGAAGAGATTAAAAAATTGATAGGCGACTGGTTTAATAAAAAACCAATTTCTGGTAATTTGAATCCTTCGAATGCTATAACAAACTTGATTGCATTTGAAGATAAAGTCGGCCATTTGGACAAAAGTAAAACATCAGTCTTGAAAATTTCTTCAAATTTGAAAATTCCAATTGAAATTGAGGAAGATTTGTTTGACATTGTTGATGAAATTGAGGATCTTAAATCTGTTTGGTCTTCTATAAACACATTATGGGAAGACTTAGAGAGAGTCAAATCTTCGAAATGGTCAGAAGTTCAACCAAGAATCTTAAGACGCCAATTAGATGATGTCTTGATGAACTCTCGCTCATTACCAACTAAAGTCCGTCAATACGCCGCATTTGATGAGATACAGAACCTTATCAAATCTTACTTGAAAAACTTTTCTTTCATTAATGATTTGAAAAGTGATGCTATGAAAAAACATCATTGGAAACAATTACTAGACCTGGTGGGCTTCGAAGATTTGATTGTCGAGAGTTTAAAGGTCGGTGACGTATTCAATTTGAATTTCCAATTAAATGAAACTATTATCAAATCGATTTTGGTCCAGGCTAATAATGAGCAAACTATCGAAGATAACTTACTTCTCATCAAAAAAGAATGGTCAACGATTACCTTCGAAATGTTCAACTACGAGAATAAATGTCGTTTGATCAAAAATTGGGATAAATTGTTTGATCAATGTGATAGTGATTTAAATACCTTAGCGAGTATGAAAAATTCTCCTTACTATAGTAACTTCGAGCAAAAAATCATTTCCTTGGAAGACCAATTGAACAGATTATTTATCTTGTTAGATACATGGATCGATGTCCAACGACAATGGGTTTATCTCGATGGTGTATTCGGGAATAAAAATAACGATATGAAGAATTTATTGCCAGTTGAGTCGACAAGATTCACAAATATTACCTATGAATTCTTCGGAATTCTAAAGAAGGCGAACAAATATAACTTAGTCTTGGATGTATTGTTAATCAGTGATATACAGCCAGTTATGGACAAATTTTTAGAAAGTCTTGTCAAAGTTAGAAAATCTTTAACTGACTATCTTGAGAAACAAAGAGAACTATTTCCTAGATTTTACTTCGTCGGGAACGAAGATCTATTGGAGATTATTGGTAGTGCCATTGATATCAACCGTATAAACAAACACTTTAAGAAGATGTTTTCGGGTATTAACTCTGTTGATTACCAAAATGAAAGCTCTACAATAGTTGCTATCAATAGTGAACAGGAAGAAAAGCTTCAATTATCTACCCCTGTATCTTTGATCAAATATCCTAGGCTAAATGAATGGTTAAGAGAGTTAGAATTAGAGATCAAGTTTACACTTTCAAAATCAGTAAAGGATTGTTTGAAAGATTTTACTGAATGTTTCAAGAACGATCAGTTTGACGGTTTAAGAGAATGCATAAAGCTCTATAGCACCCAGGTATTAACTCTTACTCTTCAAATTTTTTTCACATCAACTACTGAAAAAGCTATCTCGGACAATTCTTTAACTAAAACTGTTGAAGCATATGGAAGATTGATCAACGTGATGTCGACTCTTATATCATCAAACTCGTTTGAAAATAAAGAAAGAAAGAAGCTCGAGTGCTTAGTTATTGAAATGCTTCATGAAAGAGACATTTTATCATCTTTGCATAGTACAAGTACCCAAGAAGAATTGCAGTCTATTTGGAATGTTCAACAATTGTTTTATTATAATACCGATTCCACTGACCTCGTTACTAACTTAAAAATAAAACAAGCTGGTGCTGAGTTTACATATGGATATGAATATTTGGGGATTCCAGATAAACTTGCTTATACTCCATTGATAGATAAATGCTTCTTAGCCATGACTCAAGCTTTAGATCAAAGATTGGGAGGATCTCCATTTGGTCCTGCTGGTACAGGTAAAACAGAATCGGTTAAAGCCCTAGGAAATAACTTGGGTAAAATGGTATTAGTATTTTGTTGCGACGAAGCTTTTGATTTTCAATCAATGGGAAGAATCTTCTTAGGTTTATGTAAAGTGGGTTGTTGGGGCTGTTTTGATGAGTTCAATAGGTTAGATTCGAGGATTCTTAGTGCAGTCTCATCCCAAATTGAAAACATTGAACTTGGATTAAGTGGAAAAAGTGAACAAATAGAAATCTCAGGTAAGAGTTTAACTGTCAACCCTGAAACAGGTATTTTTGTGACTATGAATCCTGGTTATGTTGGTAGATACGAGTTACCAGAAAATTTGAAAAAACTTTTTAGAAATTTTTCCATGGAAAAGGCTGATAGTGAAATCATTGCTGATGTATTACTAACATCTCAAGGATTTGTTAATTCAAGAAAATTAGCTTCCATTGTTGTCCCATTTTTTATCGGTATAGAGGAAAATACATCCAAGCAATCTCATTACGACTTCGGGTTAAGAACTTTGAAGAGTACTTTGAATAAATGTGGACTGATAATGAGATCGTTGCCCTCCAACACGTCGGATTCATTATTATTTGAATCCAAATTAGTCCTCCAGAGTATCAGAGAGACAATTGCTCCAAAATTAATTAAAGAGGATGAAGTGGTATTACTTGACTTGATTGACGAGTTTTTCCCCAATGTATCGTACGATAACCTTGATCATACCAATCTAATGACTGAACTAGACACTATTGCCAAGAGAGATGGTCTTACAGTAACTGAAAATTGGGCCAATAAATGTTTGCAATTGTCCCAGATGCAAAGCAACCACCACGGCTTAATGTTAGTAGGTTCTGCTGGTTCAGGAAAGTCCGTTATATATAAGCTGGTCCTAGAAGCATTATCTAAATTAGATGGAACTGATTATTTAACTTTTGTTATTGATTGTAAAGTTATTTCGAAAGATGAAATTTATGGTTATTTAGATGTTGTGACAAGAGATTGGACGGACGGTTTATTTACCAGTATCTTAAGAAGGATCAAAAGTAATTTGAGAGGTGAGTTGTCTAAAAGAATATGGATCGTGTTTGACGGTGATATTGATCCTGAATGGGCAGAAAATTTAAACAGTGTTTTAGATGATAACAAGTTATTAACCTTGCCAAATGGTGAAAGGCTCGAATTACCTCCTAACATCAGACTATTGTTTGAAGTAAACAGCTTGAAATATACTACATTGGCAACTATTAGTAGATGTGGTATGATTTGGTTTGATTCGTCATTAGTATCTACAAATGCGTTGTTCCAAAAATTCACTCACGAGCTCTCTACTGTTGCTATAGATTTGAATGAAGAACATCTTAACGATATTTCCAATACTGAAATCATTGATATCCAAGAATCATTGGCTGCTGATATTCTCAATATAACTAGTTCAAACTTATTTTCAAGAGTGGCAGCTGAAGCTGAAAATTTAAACCATATTATGCCTTTCACAATTCATAGGGTTATTGGTGCTTTCTGCACCTTGCTAAAGGTTTACTGTCGTCGTTTTGTCACTTATAGAGCAGTAAATAAAACCATTCCCATCGACGGTAGCGAGAAATATATAAAAATGGCAATTATTTTATCATTTATTTGGTCTTTTGCTGGTGGAAGTTCATTAAGTGACCGTGAAGAGTTCGGGAGATCCATTTCTTTATTCGAAGAATTCAATGGAATAGACGAGTTACCTGATAAGGATTGTGCATTTATTGATTATGATATATCTTTGCCGGAGTGTCAATGGGTTAGCTGGAGTAGGATCGTTGGAGTGAAAGATTTAGAACCTCAACATATAACTAATCCAAATACGGTGGTTCCGACCTTAGATACCGTCAGACACGAGTCATTAATATATTCTGTTTTAAATGAACATAAAACATTATTGCTTTGCGGTCCACCTGGTTCCGGTAAGACAATGACTTTATTGGAAGCTTTAAGAAAGTCTCCTAACCTTGACGTCTTACCTTTGAACTTTTCCAAAGACACCACTCCAAAGTCAATGATGACCTCTTTAGAGCAATATTGTCATTATAAGAAAACAAATAGTGGTGTCGTCCTTACGCCTAAAGTGAATGGTAAATGGGTAGTGGTATTCTGCGACGAAATAAACTTGCCAGGAGTTGATAAGTACGGTACTCAGAGAGTCATTTCACTTTTGCGACAAATGGTGGAGAATGGAGGGTTCTGGAAAGTCAAGGATAAGCAATGGGTGACATTATCTAATGTTCAATTTGTTGGTGCCTGTAATTCTCCTAATGACCCAGGCCGTCATCCTCTATCAGACCGTTTACTTCGTCATGTTAGTTTGATTATGGTTGATTACCCAGGTAAAAATTCTTTGAGACAAATTTACCAGTCCTTTACTTTGGCTGTTCTTAAATGTGCCCCCGACCTCCGTACTTATAGTTCATCGGTGACAGATGCTATGATCGAGATATATCAAAAAACCAAGGACAAGCTAACCTCAGAATTGCAGGATCATTATATATACTCTCCTCGTGAATTGACAAGATGGACAAGAGGTATATTGGAAGCTCTTAGGGCAGTGGAGTATCAATCCTTAGATGACCTTATCAGGTTGTGGTATCATGAAGGTTTGAGACTATTTTATGATAGACTAGTGAAGGACGACGAACGTGATTGGACAAAGACCATATTCAAGCAAACAATTGAGCAATTTTTCCCGAACATAGATGTTGATAATGTTACAAGAGAACCTGTTCTCTATTCTAATTGGTTGACTTCGAAGTATGAGCCGGTAGATGAAGTTGAGTTAAGGTCTTTCGTCTCCGAGAGGTTGAGGGTCTTTAGCGATGAGGAGATTGACGTGAACTTGGTGCTTTATGGGGATTTGTTAGACCATTCTTTAAGAATTGATAGAGTTTTAAGACAACCTCAAGGCCATATGATTTTGGTTGGACCCTGCACAAGTGGAAAAACAACTTTAGCAAAATTTGTTGCCTGGATCAACGGTTTGAAAATAATTCAATTAAATGTTAGCAGAAAGTACACGCTTGAAGATTTTGATGCTACACTCAGATCTATACTTTTAAGATGTGCAAATGGTGAAAAGGTATGTTTCCTTATAGATGAATCAAGTATTCTTGAAACTTCATTTATTGAACGAATGAATACTCTCTTAGCTAATGCTGAGATTCCAGGTTTATTTGAAGGAGATGACTACAATCATCTTATGAATTTATGCACAGAACAATCTCATAGTCAAGGTTTATTATTAGACTCAAACGAAGAATTGTATGAATGGTTCACCAAACAAATTTCAGAGAATTTGCATGTGGTCTTTACAATAAGTGACATGCAAAATTCTAACAAACCACAAGTGATATCTTCACCCGCATTATTCAATAGATGTGTTTTGAGTTGGATGGGTGATTGGTCGAATAATTCTTTGTTTGAAATTGGATCTCGCTTAATTGAACCCGTTCCCCTTGACTTATCAAGCTATTCAATTCCTGAATCTTATGATAGTGACATCTTTTCTGACATCACTGGATTCAGAGATGTTATTGTGGAAGTGGTCATTTATTTCCATCGTGTCGTCATAGATTATGAAAGTACCTTGAATCATTTCAAGACTCCGAGTCAGTTCATGGCCTTAATCAAAAACTTCATTGAAATATTCACAAACAAGCAGTATGAATTAGAAGAAAACCAAAGACACATTAGTATCGGTCTTGATAAATTGAGAGAAACGGTAATTCAAGTCAATGAATTAAAGCATCATCTTTCGAAGAAAAAAGAGTATTTGGCGTTAAAAGACCAGGAAGCAAAAACTATGTTGAATAAAATGCTTACCGACCAAAATGAGGCCGAACGTAAGCAAGAATTCTCTGTTGCCACGCAAGAGGAATTGAGTAAGCAAGAAGTTGAAATTGAAATGAGAAGATCAGAAGTAATGAAAGATTTAGAATTAGCTGAACCTGCTGTTATTGAAGCACAGCGAGGAGTTCAGAACATCAAAAAGCAACATCTTACAGAAATTAGGAGTATGTCAAACCCTCCAGCTGCTGTCAAAATGACAATGGAAGCTGTTTGTATATTGATTGGTTACGAGGTATCTAGTTGGAGAGATGTTCAACTAATTGTCCGTCGTGATGATTTTATTGCTAATATCGTCTCATTTGACAATCTGCTGCAATTGACTCCAGATGTTAGAAGATATATGGATAAAGTCTATCTCTCTAGGGAAGGGTTTAACTTTGAAACAGTTAACCGTGCCAGTAAAGCTTGTGGTCCCCTTTTACAATGGGTTCAAGCTCAAATGGCATATTCAAGTATATTAGAAAGTGTTGGTCCTTTAAGAGATGAAGTCATTGCTTTGGAAGCACAAACAAAGAATACCAAAGCTCAATTAATTGCTGTGGATGAAATGATTCATGAGCTTGAAGATAGTATCGAAAAATACAAGGATAGCTATAGTGGCCTCATTAGAGAAGCTGAAAATATTAAGCTCGAAATGAGCTCTGTTGAAAAGAAAGTCAATAGAAGTATGAAGTTGATAGATAATTTAACAAGTGAAAGATATAGATGGAAATCCAGTATAGATAAATTCGGAATCGAAAGAGAAAGATTAATTGGTAACTCTCTATTAGCTGCTGCTTTTCTAGTCTACGCCGGAACCTTCGATCAAAAGGGTCGTGAATTATTGATTTCAGAATGGAAACTGAAATTGACGAATGCAAACATCCCATTCGATAATTCATTGTCAGTTTCCGGATATTTGGCAAATGGTGGTGAAATCTTGAGGTGGCAAAACAGTGGATTGACCAATGATACACTCAATTTTGAAAACTTCACTATCATGAAATCAACAAAAATTCCATTAATTATTGATCCTTCATCACTGATAGTGAATGTGATCACCGAATCAAATCTTCCTAAAAAAACCACTGTTACAAGTTTCTTGAATGAATCTTTTGTGAAACAACTTGAAAACTCTTTGAGATTCGGTGGAATAATTTTGATCAAAGATGCCGAATATTATGATCCTATACTCGATCCGGTTCTTAGGCACGAAGTTCATAGAAATGGGGGTCGTATGGTTGTGAAGTTAGGTGATCAAGAAATTGATTTTTCTGAAAATTTTAAATTAATTTTATTCACAAAAGACTCTCTGATTGCTTTATCATCATTTGTTGCTGCAAGAACCTCGGTGGTAAATTTCACAGTAACTAGTGGTAGTCTTGAAGATCAAATCTTAAATACTACTTTACAGTTCATAAGACCAGATATCCAAGAAAAGAGAAATCAATTGGTGAGTTCGAAAGGTGAATACAAGGTTCGTCTCTATAACCTTGAGGAAGAGCTTTTAGCCTCTTTGAGTGATACTTCAGGCAATATTCTAGATAATGACTACGTTGTCGAGACTTTGGAAAGATTGAAGGCAGAGGCCACAGAGATAGATTATAAGATCAGCGAATCGGATGAGATTATGGCAACAGTTGACGAAGTCAGAAACAAGTATGATGATGTTGCCAAACATTCAGTAAAAATTTTCAATGTCTTGAAGAGCTTAACTTCATTCAATAAATTTTATGCTTTTTCTTTAGATACTTATACTTCAATTTTCACCTCTGTTTTAAAGAGCAGAGTCAAGAACTTAGAAATTGAAGAATTTATCAAAGAGCTTTATAAAGAGACCTTCAGTGTGGTTATTCCTTCATTATGTTACTCTGATAAAATCAGTTTTTCGTTAGGCTTGTTACTCAGTTTTCAAAGATTAGAAATTGGTCAACAATTTGCCAATACGCTTTTGACCATTTGCAAAGCAATTATTAATAAAAACTATGATAAAGATATTAAAAAGATTCTCATGGAAAGCATTGCTAGCTTTGACAAAGGATCAATGTTTGAAAGTGAGGAAGAAATTGAAAGCGTTTTTGTTCAGAATCCAGAAAATGAAACCTTAAATGTGTTGAAACCGTTAATACAATCGTTGAGAAAATGTAATACCGAAAGGAAAGATGCCTTTATGGATGCTTTTATAGAATTATGTTCCTTTTTATTTACTGGCTCTGTTCCATTCAGTTCTAAATATGAGCTCAAGGACTGGGTAAAGGAAAATTGGAAGCCAATTCTTTTGGCATCTCCCGAAGGATACGACGCCACATTTAAAGTTGAGCAACTTGCTAAGGAGCTAAATGAAAAGTTAGTTATTGTTTCTATGGGGTCCAAGGAAGGTGTTGAGATTGCCAACAAGGAAATTGATCAAGCTATGAAAAAGAATAATTGGGTATTAATACAAAACATTCAAATGTCCACCAGCTGGTTGAATTTCTTAGAGAAAAAGATTGAAAATGTTTCTATTGAATCGGGATTCAGGATTTTCATGACGTGTAATTTATTGTCTAATAACATTCCAATTGGCTTAATCAATTCTTCCAAAGTATTGACGTTTGAAAACCAACCAGGATTAAAGAATGTTGTGTCTGAAACTTTTAAATCAATTCCAAATGAATTAATGAAGATTGAAGTTAGTGAATTTAGACATGTTTGCTTCTTATTGGTTTGGTATCACAGTGTCATCCAAGAAAGACTTAGATATTCACCAATTTCTTTTACTCAACAGTACGATATAAATGATTCTGATTTCACTGCTGGACTAACTGTGATCAAAAAATTATTTGAACCATTGATTTCAAAAGGAAGAACCAACGTTGATCCAAATACTATTCCATGGCATGAACTACAATATTTGATTGGTGAGATTACTTATGGTGGTAAGATCAATGTCAAAAGTGACTTTGATTACTTTGTTAATTTGAGTAAAGCTTTATTCAAGGTGGAATCTTTTGAAAATGATTTCAATTTGATTGATAATGAATTATCTAATAAGCACAATATAAAATTGAAATGCCCTGAAGGTATTAGTACCGAGGCTTACACAACATGGATATTCAAATTACCTAATAAGACACCATTAAGCTGGATTGGATTAGAAGAAGAAGTTGACGTTTTGGTCCGTGAAAGTGAGGGCCAAAATGTTGCATCAAAAGCGATTGAGTTTATTTAATGTGAAATGTTAACCAGAAAAAACACTAAAAACAAAAAAAAAAAAGATAGCATAGTATTTAAGCATATATTTTTAACGAAACTTATAGAATGATAAATCTAAAACATGTAGTTCTACAAAAGGTGAAGTAATAAGCAGTCGATATATTTTACAATGCGTATTTTTTTTTTATTAAGGTTTAAATACAAAAATTAGAAAGAAAAATTCATAAGAAACTAATATACTAAATTTAATCGATTAATTATTTGAAATAAGTAATCAACTAAATAATTTATTCGTCTTCTTCTAAAGTTTGAGCGGCAATACGATCTAAATCTCTTTGACCGTTTTCAGAGATTCTTCTACCACCTTTAGCAGATTTTTCTAAGACACCAATTTTTTCTAAAGATTGTAAGACTCTTCTGTTAATAGAACCAGAAGCGTCAGCGTGTCTGTGAGGTCTGAAACCTCTGTTGATGGCACCACCGTATAATTTGTTTAATTTACCAACACCAACTTGTTTTCTTAAGTAAATGTGTCTGGCGGCAGAAGCAGCTCTTTTGTAGTACCAAGTTTCAGCTTCTTGAGGTGGTAATTCATTACCGGCAGAAGTTTTGACAAGGTCAACGTAACCTGGAACTTCTAATTTACCTTGACGTTGCAAGAATTGGGCGTAAGCGTTGATGAAATCTTGAGCTGGAACGTCTCTAAATAATCGTTAGTATTAGTTCAAAAATTTGCATAAACTCTCAGATCCATGTGTAATGACTCGACAATATGAAACAAGACTCTACTTGATCAACTTCTCCATCTTAATATGACTGTCTACTGAATTTGGGACTTGGTCTGGCACTTTCAGTCACTCATAACTTAAATCATGCCTTCTTCCTCTCATCTCGACATCTTCGGCCAAACAACCCTCCATTCTGTAATCTCTTATTCTTGTTTCTCTTCCTTTCGTACTTTTCATTTTTTTTTTCATTTTTTCATCAGATTTTTCACTTTCCGATATCGATCTCTTCAAATCTTAATCAAGCCGTTCTCTCGTTCATTTCATACATCTGATCATTCACATCTCCAAGCTCTTGCGATTAAAACATACCTGACGGAAACACCTGGCATTTTGTCTATGGATTTATATGGAACAAGTATATAAAAGCTTCAACTAAAATTTTCTAGTTTTTTTTTTCTCTCAACAACCCTCACTAATTTTTTTTCCTGGTGGATTTCTCAGTGCACTTTGTTTTGGTGATGGAGTAGATTTTTTTTCGCAGTTTAGCCTTGAAAGCCCACCTAACCTGCAAAATCGCCAGTGCGCGAGCGCGAGTTAGGGCATGTGCTCAGATATACGCGGGCACGCCGGCGGTTTACGCGTGGACCCGAGGGAAAGCAGTCACTGAAGTCACGTGCTTTAAATTGTCCAGAAATTGTGACTTTGATAAGGGCATGGCTGCAATTTTAATAAACTACTTGAATAGGTCTAATTGAATAAGTTTATTTAAATAAGAATGTATCTATAGATGGCTAAGCCCAGAGACTGCTCAACGGCTTGCGATTGAGACAATACTGTTCCATTTCCTTGAGAGAGGATTCTATGAGCCAGAACGATGTAGAAGAGTCGATGGAGGTTTGATTTTCATCGTAGTTTTTAAGTTCCGTCATGTCCCAGTTTCTAGGCATAGTCCCCGGAAGCGTATTAATGGAGGAGGGTGCAGCGTAGGTGAGTTGAAGGTATTCTCTCTTTCTGTATAATGGGTCACCAAAAAAGGAAGAAGGAAGTTTATAGGTGGATGCAGATGCTAAATTGGATTTAGCTAATTGTCTAGAGAGTTCATTAGCAGTTTTCGTAAAGTATATTTCAAGTTGTTTTTCGAAAAAATTTCTAATTTCTCCATTTTGTATAATACTCCAGCCTTTCTCCACACTGAGTTTGTTAATGTTCAAGTATAGTTCATGAGGATCGTCACGAGGGGAGGCAATATGATTGATAAAAGATGTAGCATTGTGATAAGCGTATAAGTTTGCAATCTCCATGACCTGAGAATATTCATAATGTAAGTCGGTGACTCCAAAACATTTGACAATGTATTCTGCAATATCCATGTTTTCTCCACTAAGTGAGTCTACTAATTTATCAACAACAGTTAACGAAAAGGACTCCTTTTTTCTCGGAATTGATTCATTCAACATTTCCAGATCTAAATACCCAGATAAAGGTGAAAGGAGTTTTATATCAAATCCAAAATGTTTCAATTTTGGCATTTGTGAAAGTCCTGTAAATAAACTCTTAAATCTTGCTTGGTAGGTTTTGGAATCACATATGGTCCAGCCAGTTCTTGTATCTAAAACTCCGCTTCTTCTATCAGCCATCCGTATATTAAAATTAGTCAAATTAATGAAATGCGATTGAAATGATTCTAAAACTGTTAGAACACTTTCATATATCAAACAACAAGATTCATTGACGTAAAGATTCAATTCTTTGAGTCTGTTCGCTTTCTTATGGCTGAATAGCTCTTGCACCAATTCACAGCATTGGTCAAAGCTATAGTTTGGCTCTAACTGATTGAAATCGCAAAATAGGTTTAATCTTTCGATTTTTGTTAATAAATTAACAACCCCATGTACATTAATCAAAGTACTAAGACTAATTGATAACATGTTGAGACATTCGAGATTATTGTACGCATCGATATCAATTGGCACTGAATTGGACTCAGTGACGGCTCTATCCAAAATTTTCAAACATTCAATTCGAGGAAATAATCGAACTTCACCACTTCTTAAGACATCGTTACCACATTCAAGTGTCTTTACGTAATTACAGCAGGATATCAATTCACGATATCTACTTTTGGGAAACCGTTCACCAACAACACCCAGTTTGTAACTTGATTTTGCTAAATCAGCTTTAGAACATTCAGTAAAATTAGTGTTCAAAATTTCCTTCATAAACATTCGTTCATAAGTTTTGGCATCCGAAAACATTTCAAACCCCCCAGGATTTTCCAATAGAGTATCAACTTCATTACACCTAACCAAACTGAGATATTCAAAAAGAATTGGTGCTAATTTGACCCGAAAATATACGCAAGTACTAGATAAAGAAATCAAGTCATCATACACTTCGGCAACCCCATACTTGTAGCGGTTATTGCTGAACAAATACTGGGGAATATCTGATCTGAATCGGTTCTGGGTAAAATCAATGGTTTTGTAGGTTAAATGGAAAATGATCTCATGTAGTATTTCGTTTGGCAAAGACGTTAAGGAAAGTTTTTCATTGAAACCGATTGTTTTTGACTGGTTGATTGCTTCAAATTCGATCAGTTCACCGATTTCTCCCTTACCAGCAGCGAATAAATTCATTCAAGACGTTAACCAAGTATATCTTAGTCTTAAGATGACTAATAGTCATCAATCTCAAGCCAGACTCAAAGCAAAGACTTAAAAGACAATCATCCTGCATATCTTAAAAGCGAATATTTCACTACAAAATACAAAGACTAAGGACTCTATAAGAAACCCATATTAACTTATATTTCATATATTATACATTAAACACAAATTACAGAGTTTATTAAAGGGGGATGAGGTTATATATTCATTAAAATTAAAGATAAATGATGATAAAAGATTTAAAAGTAGAAAAATAATTAACAATAAAGAGCTAATTAACTTATACTTTGAAACCTCTTGATCTTCTTCTACCTCTAGCTCTTTCGAATTTAGTACCAGTAGATAAGATTCTTGGAGCTTTGTGGGAGTGAGGACCGAAACCAAAGTGTCTAACGGCTTCTCTGGCATTTCTTGGACCTCTGACAATCAAAGTGTTTTGACCTTTTGGAGATCTTAAAGCTAATTGATCCAAGGTGATAGCTTCACCACCATTTTTCAAGATGGTAGCTTTAGCACCAGCGGTGAATCTTAAAGCAGCAACGGTAGCTTTTGGGAATTTTAATAATCTGTTATCGTCAGTAACGGTACCGACAACAACAATGGTTTTTTCAGAAGCACCTTTTTGGTTTAAAGCACGAGCAATTCTGGAAACAGAAACTGGTGGTCTGTTAATCTTAGATAAGAATAAAGATCTTAAGATAACTTTGTTGAATGGAGCATCAGTACGACCTAATTAAAATAAGTTAGTATATGTAAAAAGGTTTCGAAAAACTTCTGCTCAGAAGACGCACGATAACACATTTAATAAAAATGATTATGCACTCGCAGAACATAAAGACATCTCCACCATCCTCTTTCATTCTCGAATCACCGAGGAGAGATTGGCTTTCATTGGGAGATGCTTCAATTTTTGTTTGGAATGTGTCAACTCAAGAATGCGTTGTTGCAGCACGACATGAAAATTCGGAAAGTGCTTCACTTTTACTTGTAGTATTGCTACCCAACCGAAAAATCACAACATATTCGTTCATATCTCCATGAACTAAATGATAAGTCAGTCTTTTCAAAGACTTGCACCGATATCCAGGAACGGTCACGACGTGCTTGCACCAACACTATCCTTCAGTCGACACTCATCAAACTGTTCTTTAATCTATTATTCCCACCATTAAGTCTTTCATTTCCCTTCATTTCATCGAATTTGTGAGTCCCGAATCTCAGTTCTCATCAAATGTGATTAAAATGCCATCTTCATTAAGAGAGCTGAAGCTTGCAATGCAAGCTTCAACCCACTTTGAGCATGTTTTCTTTAAATTTTCAATGTATACATACGAGCTAAGAAAGAGTATAATTTGACTAATAACTTCAAGTAAACGTTATCAGATTTTGGAGCGGTTCTGTGACCGGATCTAACGTGTTGTTTGGTGGTGTGATCTCTACCCATTTTGAATTGTTGACCTTGCTAGCTGAAGAAGAGAAGTAGGAAGTTAATGATTTTTTTTTTTTTTCAACAGAAAACCTGAGTATTAATTTCCTCACTGTGCGATGAAGTGAAAATTTTGTGTGCAACCAAACAATTTTTCTTTTTTTGCCTCGTTTTTTTGCAAAGCTGAAAAAGTTTGCGAGTGAGGGCAGAAGCCCTAAACTATCAGCACATGACAGATCATGTGATTGGAAAGAACACCCGTACCCCTTCTCTATTAGATACGGTAAGCACTTTGTATGACTGTTATCAAAAGACTGATTTTGCCCCAAACTCTAACATTCCAGACCGACTTGACAGACCAGTGGTAGTACATTAAGTGATTTAAGGGAGAGACTGAAAAAGGGACAGTCAACCAGCCGAAGCATATTCATAGTAAATCTGTCAAGAATGACTCAATTGACTCCAATAAAGGGGTTTACAAATACTCCCGTATCAAGAACTATTTGCATTCTGATTACGGTGATAGCGTTGAGTCTATCGATATTCCAATTAAAGCACTACTTCCAGTTATCAGTAGATCCCTTTTTGATAGAATACTCTCAATACTGGAGGGTTTTGATCTATCAATTTGCGGTGATTAATGAATCTGATTATATGCTAACAATCATACTATGGTTTCATTTCAAAAATTTGGAAAGATTCTATGGGTCAAGGAAATACTTATCTTTGACTACGATCTTTGCATTGTACAATTCGCTTATTTGTGTTGTTTTAATGAGTCTAGGTCAGTTACTTATTAATTTATTTTATTTCATTATCGACACCTATATCTTGAGAAATAATACTGTACCTTCCTTTGATTATCGTGATACTGTATTCAACCAAATAGTTCCTGGTCCTTTAGGTGTATTATCATCACTTTATATGTGCTATGGATCCTATGTTCCAGTATCATATCATTTCAAGATCCTTTTATCGAATCCTTTTAAAGGAGAAACAACTAATGACCCAAGCACTACTAACAATGGCAATATGGAGCTCACTTTAACCAATCACTTTCAAATTCATATCATTTACACCTTACTTCTTTTAAACAATGGATTTGCATCCATAATTCCTTGCTTGGTTGGAATTGGTATTGGGAAATTATACAGTGAAGATCTATTGCCTGGGGCTGGAACATGGTTATTACCATTCCCTTTGGTTAAATTATTCATAAGCCCACGGAAATCCTTGAATTCTCTAGCCACTTATGTCAATACTGGATTCAGAGGTGGTTATAGAGCAGTGGGGTCAAATGATTCCAATCCTTCTAATCTAACACAAGATAATAATAATAATGCTCATAATGAAAATGAAGATGACCAAGAAGAAACTTTAGATGAAATAAGGAGTAATGAAAGCCAACATGAAATTAGAGCAGAAACTCCCGTACGACCTTTTGGAAGTCAATTACTTGATACGTTTAGGTCTTAATGTCTTTAGCATCAATATTTATATATTTACGCCTACTGCTTTTCAAATAAAAAAAAAAGTTCTTGGTCATTAATGTATTATGTGAATCGATCACTGAGATGTAATGCTGATCTAAAGTTTATATACAAATTAGACTAAATTTTTAAGTTTTTTGTACCTTCTTCAGCAGATTTTAAATTTCTTCTTCTTTCAACATCCCAATTGTATAGTCTTGCGGTATTTACTTCCATAGTAGTGATGTTTTCCTTAAGAAATTCTAAATCTTCTTTGACTAACTTAAGTTGAGTTTGATTACTATTTAATCTAGTATTTAACAATTCAACTGCTTCATCAAGAGGGTATTCCAACATTACATCTGCACCTAACCATAAGAAAACTGAATCTAAGTTTTCGGCGTCAATACTAGCCCTGGTGTATAAAGTATCATTTAGTTCATAGTTTGTTTCAATGATTTTATCTTCTTCATCTTCATCGTTTTTCTTCTCGTTAATATAGTTTATAATATCCAAATTTTTTTCGATATCTGGTATTTTGATTTTTAAGTCTCCCAATTGTTGTCTTTTAGATAATTCCATATACTTGTATTGTTGCAAACGTTCTTGAAACATACTCATCACTTTTTCAAACTCTTCATCTGGATTCTTGATAACATTTTCAACTTTATCTATAAATGGAGCCTCTGGAATACCACGAGGATTTGTGTTTTTAGGTCTTTAATTCTTAGTTAGTATAATGATTTTTAGACTATTTATCTGAAGGCAGGCTTACACCAATGAACATACTTAAGAAACTCAGCCATTGCTGTTATTATAATACTTTATTGATTGGAAAAGCTAACAGATCAAAATGCATTGACGTTCTGTTGAACGAAGTTATATCGCGACATCTCAAATGAAAAAAAAAATAGAATAAAAATGTCGTGAAATGTCTCTCTTCTACTAGAGTCTTTTACTGCAAAAAGTTGTAAGAATCCCCGTTTTGATTAAGTCTATAGGGCAACCAAGAAATATACTCACTATAATAAAGAGGTAAGTCTATTGGATAGTGTCATTTATAAATCAGGTATTATTAATAAAGTTTTTCTTTATTTCAGCTTAATTTTTACAAAATGTGCAAACAATCTGCATAATTGTACTCATTTAACAAGTACATTGTCATTTATCATAAACAAACACTATATAAAAGATCAGAGTTGCATTAAACAATTTACTTACTTCCATAGCAACTAGCATCTTGTTTTTTACGAGCATCATGGACATTAGAAGCCTCTTCAGCAGCTTTGACACCAGAAAGAAGCATAGCACCAAAAGTTGGACCCATTCTGTTGGAACCGTCAACTTCTGCAAGCTCCATACCACCAATGATTAAGCCAGGAATGATTTCTCTGGTACCTTTAACGATGGCATCTTCAGCTCTGTTCATATCAAGACCTCTCATTTCACCTAGTTCAAAGTGGTTTGGAGTACCCTTTGGTTTCAAATCTTGTAAACGTTTAGCACTAAAAGCACCAAAAGGACCATCATGACCCGTGAATGAAAGAATGACTGGGGCATTGATTGTGTTTGGGTCCATACAAGATTGAGTATCATGATTTAAAGCAACCAAGGTCCAGTTAGTGACAACACCAGCAACCCTCAATTCACCAGTAGATGGATCAGTACGAGTAATTAAGTCCTCGACAGCAGTAGCATTGAATAACTTGATATTTGGAAATTGTAAAACTTTAGATAATAAAGTAGAAATAAGTAATGATGCATGCTTAACAACAACATAATTTTCTTCTTCTTCATATGGTACTCCAATTTCTTCTAAAAATTTTTCAGCTGGACGTCTAGCAACTAAAGCACTCATTAAAGCACCGGAAACATGGCAACCACCACCAGCTGCAACATTAGCTTCCATAAGAGCAATCTTTAAGTCTGGTCTGGTTTTACCAAGAGTATAAGCAGCAGATAAACCAGCAGAACCAGCACCAATAATAACAACATCACAATCCGCATATTCATCCAAGTCTTTGAAGTAACGTCTAGTCATTTCACGGGAAACAGTGGATTCTCTAATTGGTGCAAAAGAGAATTTTTCCCAATCAGCAAAGCTGATCTTACCATCCTTATATTGAGCATCCAAATTGACCTGTTTTGATTGATCTTTAAGAGTAAAAGCAGGAATTGAGGCAAGAGGAGTTTCGATCAGAGTTGGTGGAATCATTTTCGATATTTTATTTGGTCTAAGACTAAAATAGTACTAGAATAGTTTACTTATCTGAAATCTAAGTTTTCTACAGAATTAGTTGCCCTTTATATACAATTCACAAGAGCTCTATCTGCTCAAATAATTTGCAATCGTAGCAATTACCCATACTCTGACAAACCTTTGATATCAAGACAATCAAGTCCCTACCAACTCTAAATTAGCATCCCCCCACCAAAGTATACTGCATTTTGGCAGCAAAAACGACTGCTGCTTATGCGCGCACTTGCAAAACTTCTAAATGCATATTTGGAGGTTGCAAATTCTCTCAGTTTGATAAGCCCTAAGCGCATACTTGCCCATTTACTAGGGGAAGGGTAATTACAATTACTGTGAAGTCAGTTTTTGGGGCCTAACAAGTAACCAGTGTTTGGGGAGGATAACCCAACAAAGGCTTGACTTGTTTAGTTGCTCTAAAGGTAAATGAAAAGCTTTCCTACAGGATAAGTTTTGTAATGCAGTTGAAAAGTCTATGAATTATACAATGCCTAGAATAGTAAAGATGGGTTTAGAGACCGACAGCTGTATTAGTATTGGAGAAAAACGGCCGGAATCATGTATAATGATCTAGGGATAAAGAGATCTTTACCGTATTTTGCTATGCACATAAAAGGAAGCGAATAGAGTTATTTTCCCATTTATCAAGTTTGACCAAACAGCAAGGGAGTCTGATGAAGCCCAGGAGTTAATTAGTTATTAGTACGGGATAACAGATTGATTATCTACTTTTTTGACTGAACCCCTTGAAGTATCTCTCTCTAAAATTTTTAATATGGTTTACTTTCAAACCATTGACGGTTTCACCTTTATAATCATCACCTCTTTTAACATAAACCAAGAGTCTTCTAGACCATTTATTGAATTCTTGTTCCAAATTATAAACCAATTCTAATTTTTCATGCTGAGGTAAATTATGAACTTGGAAATCATCATTTGCAGTTGGCATCCAAAATGCTAAACGACCACCCACGGGTAATCTAAATGCAGCAAAATTTAATAAATCTTCTAATAAGTTTGATAATTCGTAAGCTTTTTTGGGTGGAATGTAATCTTTCCTTAAATGGGCTTTTTCACCATCAATTATAACTTTCTCTCTTCTTGCAGCTTTTTCAGGATTATTAATTCCACAAACTTTAAGACCCTCCCTAACACCGTAGGGTGGATCACAGACGATTGTATTTATTACGAAATCAGAACGGACTGCATTATTAGTGAAATCCATGGTGAGTGCATCAATAAAATTTAAAGATGTATTATATTGTTTGAAATTAGATTTTATATTGCACTGTTCACTTTTCCCTTTAATCATACGAGCGTCGATATCAGATCCAAGAGCTAAACCACCAAAGTTGGCAGCAGCAACCAAGAAGGAACCTGTTCCAGTGAATGGATCATAAACAATCTTGCCTGGACCAACTTGACCAATATTACAACTGACCAATGATAATTCGGCATCAAATGAGGTTGTACCAATATATTTTCTACGTTTCAAATCGTATTTATCTAAAACGTTGGCCGATCTAGCACTTAATTGAATTTCTCTACCAAACCATAAGTTAATTGGGGTTGTTGCCTTTTCGTTACCAGATACATGATACTCTTCTAGAACACTGAATATGACATCGGGGTTCTTCATACGAATTGGTCCCTCAAATGCTAAATATGAAAATGACTCAATGATTTCACATTTTTGCCTATTAGATCTGGATCCCATATAGGTAACAAAATCAAATTTAAATGAAACTTGTTTGTAGTCTTCAAACTTATCCCGTGATCTCTTTTGAACATCCTCATGTAAGTCTTCATAAGTGGACCCTTGACCCCACAACTCATATATTCCTTTAGCAAGAATAGAACGCTCTAAAATCTTACGAGCCTCTTCATCGTTATTTAACTTTACTATTAAAAATGGGTTAGTCTCATCGTGATGAGATATGTCGAGCTTGATCCCATGATAATCCGCCAAAGACTCAAGCTCCGCTTGTCTGAAGTTCGGATATGCCTGTGCAAATGCTATTATATACTCCCTCATAATGAAAATGATATCCAGTCTCTTTAACCCTGTCTATTCTTATTCAATGATTAACTGAATCTCTTCACTCAAAATTTTTTTTTTTGTTCTTTTTTTCCTTTCCATCTCCGATGCCGACTCCAGAATGGGGACATAACTCTTCAATTTGCAAGATATCTTTCCCGAAAGTAGCTCCAAACCAAACAGAAACCGGTTTTCGTAATCAGCTCCTTCAAATACAACTCCTTTATTCCAGTGGTAGCTTAACATTGGGAGTCTGCTAATTTAGCAGCAAATTCAATCGAAAACCTCCGTACAGTTTTCAACCTCGAAGAGATTATGGTATTCACACACGACCAGCCAGCCGCCGATGGCGCTACCCTTTTTTCGAGTGGACAAAAAAAATCACCAACTTCTATTACTTTTTCTTTTACTTTATCCTATCCAAGTATTTCGAATCCATCCTTTCCAGTTCCAAGACTTCCAGATTGTGAGTTCATTTCGATCATTTACTGAGCCAATTCAATTTTCCATTAGTTTGTACGATTGATTTTTGGTTTTTGAGTGATTAATTTGATTTTACAATATATTCCATCCAGTGTATCCTTCTATTCTCTGAATAGGTTGAGAGTTAATTAAACTTTAATTCTCAATTGAAATTGTGTTTTTGAATTGTTTTGTTAACACTAGGATACTTTTCGTTGTATTTTTTTTGATTTTTTTTTTTTTTTTTTTTAAGTTTGAAGTGGAATTTGTCAGCTTTATTAAACTAACTTTTCAATATAATCCCTTGTATTGAACCGTTACATAGATTGTTTAGTTTTATACGTTTCCATATCTTCAATAAACTCAGATTGATTAAAGAGTCATCAAATTAGTTTACAGTCGTAATCTGTTTATAAAGTTTTTCTTTTGATACTTAGTATTTTAAATAGATTGATCCATTTCCTTTCATTTCCTTTAGTTGGATTCAATTGTGTGTACCAAATAATCATCTAATCAGTTAAAATGTCTGCTTACGACGACGACGAAGCTCTCTTCGAAGATATCTATGGTGATGACGAACAACCAACCACCACTACTACTGCTGCAGAAGGCTCCAAAGACTCTCTGGCTTCTGATAAAAACGAGACTGACAAGCCTGCAGAAGCAGACGCTTCTGCCCCTGATGCTGCAAATAAAAATGAAACTCCTCAATCTTCATCTATACCCTTAGCGGCCCCTTCTATTCCTCCAATTCCTAATATTCCATCAAATCCACTGCAAGACCCATCTTCTACACAACAACCTATTGATCCGCTGCAAAATCCTCAATTATTCCAACAATTCCAACAGTTCCAACAACAGCAACAACAGCAACAACAGCAACAACAGCAGCAACAACAACCAGTAGCACAGCAGCAACCTGTTCAAATGGCGCCATCCACCTTGGGTAAGGAAAGTGGTAAAATGTTCATTGGTGGTCTCAACTGGGAAACTGATGAAGAAAAATTGAAAAGTTACTTTTCGCAATTCGGTAATGTTGTTGAACAAACTATTATGAGAGATGCTGCTACTGGTAGATCTCGTGGGTTTGCCTTCTTGTCATTTGACAATCCAAGTTCTGTTGATGCAGTTATTCTGAAAGAACATATTTTGGATGGTAAGTTGATTGATCCTAAAAGAGCCATTGCAAGAGAAGAACAAGATAAAGTTGGTAAAATCTTTGTTGGTGGTATCGATCCTATGGTCACTGAAAAAGAGTTTAACGAATTTTTCTCTCAATTCGGGCACATTGTAGATGCTCAATTAATGATTGATAAAGATTCTGGTAGATCAAGAGGTTTTGGGTTCATTACTTATGACTCTGCTGATGCTTGTGATAGAGTTACTGTTAATAAGTATTTGTCCTTAAGAGGTAAGGCTATGGAAGTTAAAAAAGCTGAACCTAGAAATATTCATAATAGAAATGAAATGCAAGCAAGACAAAATAGAACCCAACCATCTATGCAATATCCTTACGGTTCTCAATATGGTGCTCAATATGGTCAAATGCAAGTACCTGGTGCTCAAAATGCCGCTTATGGCCAGACTATCAATGGTATGAGTCCAGAGATGATGCAAGAATATTGGCAAAGAATGCAACAGTGGTACATGTTTCAACAACAACAACAGGGCCAAGATGGTGCTTCTACTGAGGGTCAAAATGATGATAATGCACATCAACCAGATCAACCAGACCAACAACCTCTCAATCCTCAACAACAAGCTCCGGTAGAGCCTCAAGAACAAGAACAAGAGAGACCAAAACAACCTTCCAAGTCTAACTCCCAATCAAATTCTTATTCAGATTCTAACTCTAATTCCGGAAATCATAATGGCCGTGGATACGGCCATCATGGAAATGGTAATGGTAATGGGAATGGGTACTCTTTCAGAGAAAAAAGAAATTATAACAGTGTTCCAAGAGGTCCTAGACGTGGTGTTCCATCCGGTCCAGGTGGAGGAAGAGGGGGAGGTAGAGGTGGCTACCAAAATAGAAGCCGTGGTTACCATCCTTACAGTAGAGGTGGAAGAAGAAGCTAGGCGTGTTTTCTGAAATCTCAATACGACAACTTGAAAATCCAAAAAATCGAATAAAAAGATAAATAGTTTTCAAAAACGAAAAAAAATATACAAACTAAAGGTTGTAAAAATGTTTAAATATAGTAATATTATATGTTCTCTCTATATAAATATCTAAAATACAAATTCTTATGAATGAATATTAGGTTTGAAAATGATTTACTTACGTTTCTTAGTAGGACGGGCATTTTTTGCTCTTCTCTTTTCCTTGAGTTGTCTTGCCTTTCTAATATCCTCAGTAGATTTCAATTCTTGTTTTTGACCTGGCCTGTTGAAACCCTTCACTTGGACACCAGAATCAAGAGCCTTTTCAACCTTCTTCTTTTGTTTATGATAGTCATCTCTATACTTATCTGGTCTTTTAGGTGCTTCTACCTTCTTGTGCTTGAATTTTCTATTGTCAGTATTAGATGCATCTCTGGACTCATTTGATCCAGCTCTTACAGACAGAATATTTCTATTTTTCTTCCATTCGTCAAATTTACCAGAACGGTAGGTAGCTGGTATTCTTTGGCCACTTTCACCAATGATGTATTTCTTATCAGTAGATTGAGAGTTGACATAATTACCTTTCTTTTTATCCCATCTCATAACTTGTTTGTTTGCCTTAAGTTGTTCATCATCTCCCAAATCAAATGTTGCGCTTGCTGCATCATTAGCAAATGAAGAGCTTAAATTAAGTTGCTGATCTTGAATGACTGAAGCAGGAGCATAGTGGCTCATAAAAAATTGGGGATCCTTAAATGATTTCTTTTCCTTCTTTTTCTTATCGTATAATTCATCAGCATCTTCGAAAGCATTTTGAATTTCATCTTCGTCAGCTCCAACCATTTGATTTGCAGAGTATCCAATTTCACCTTCGTCACCCTTTAAAATTTCATTCTCAATACCATGAGTTAAACCGGCTATTCTTTCTTTCTCTAACAATTCCTTTCTTTCTTTAGCTCTTCTCTGTATAGGAGCAATTTGTTTTCTTCTTTTATGCATGAAATTAACCAAACTATCTTCTTCTCTTTCACGACCTTTCTTTGAAAATTCAAAGACAGTTTCCTTAACATTTCTATTCATAAGCTTAGCTAAGAATTTTTCCTTTTCTTTTTCTAAGTTTGGACCAAACAATAAATGTTGTTCATCCCAGGAACCAGTCTCCATAATTTCTTTAGATCTTTTCAACGATTCTTGGGAAGCAGCTTGTCTGGTACGATAATACAATTTTTCACCTTTAGTTGAAACATCTTTAATCATTCTTAATTCATAGTGATTTCTCAATAGGTTCTCGAACAACTCAACAAAAGTTTCAAGTTCTAATCTGGGAACGGAACCTAAAACCAATCTATCAGTATATGAAACCTTAGGCTCGACATAACTGTCACCTTTAGTCTTTTTCAATACCTCGCACTTGGCTTCATGCATTGAAGTTAAATAGACTTTCTTACCTAAAAATAATTCCAAATCAAGTAAATATGGTAATTCTTTTTCATTGACAATTGAATATGCCCAACCTTTGTTACCAGCTCTAGCAGTTCTACCAACTCTATGAATAAAAATCTTAGAAGAACTTGGTAAAGTAAAATTGATAACGTTTGCCAAAACTGGGATATCGATACCACGAGCAGCAACATCAGTCACAACTAATATATGGGTGAGACCAATTCTAAATTGATATAATTGATTCTTTCTTGCATGCTGATCTAATGAACCGTAAATAAAAGATACTAAGTAACCGGCATCTCTCAACAACGTTGTTATATATTCCACATGATGTTTAGTAGGAACGAAAACAATAGTAGAGTGAGGTGATGGTAAAGCATTAGCTGGAGGTAATCTTTCCTTTTTAAACTTCTTTCTTTTTTTAGAATTACTATCATCATCCTCGTCATCGGAATCAGCAGTCCTTTTGTTCATATCTGTTAACTTTTTCAATTGCTCTGGGGTTCCCAAGGGCATTTTGATAACTTCTTGTAAAACATAAAGCAAATTAGCTTCTCTTTCTGATTTTTTCGTGGTGAAAAATGCCATCTGTAATTGTTCTGAAATTTTTGATTCTGCATCTAATCTAACCAAAACTGGGTTGGTCAATCCTGCTTTAGCAAAATCTATTAAAGATCTAGGTAAGGTGGCAGAGAATAACAAAGATTGTCTTGATGAAGGCAATGCGGCAATCAATTCATTTAATTGTTCTGCAAAACCCATTTCGAATAATCTATCAGCTTCATCAAAGACAATATATTCGACCGTTTTCAAATCAAGTTCCATCTCAACCTTTAAATGCAAGAAACGACCCGGAGTGGCAACAATGATATCAGGATTTGTCATCATTGATGAAAATTGTTCTTCTAAAGAATCACCACCGATTAAGACGATGGATCTCAAATCAGTACCTTTACTGAATTCCTTGACTTGCTTGAAAGTTTGTAAAGCCAACTCTCTTGAGGGAGATAAGATAATGGCTCTAGCACCAACTTTAGGACTATGACTTTTTAATTTTTCAACAACTGGTAAAGTAAATGCAGCAGTTTTACCGGACCCAGTTCTTGCCATACCGACAACATCTCTATTTTCCATCACCAATGGGATAGTTTTACGTTGAATAGGAGTTGGCTGTCTAAAACCTTTCTTTGATATATTTGTCAATAAGAATTTTGAAAACCCAAATGATTGAAATGAACCATTCTTAGCCTTTTTGGCTTGGGGATTATTAAATGCAAAATATGAGGACATGTCTTTAGCTTCATTCGAATCATCTTCATCATCGCTTAATTCCAAAGAAGGGAAGGCCTGCTTGGGTTGAGCTTTCTTGTTATTTGTCTTTTGTTTCTTCTTTGTTTGTTTATCATCTTCACCTTCATCATCACTGGAGATGACATCTTGAATATCTTCATTGTCAGAAAAGTCACTTTCAGATTGGGATTCTGGGTCAGAATCAGCTGCGTCTAAGGCCAAGGAGCCAGCAATATCATAATCTTCTTCGTCGGACATTCTTCAACTAACCTTTATCTTACGTAGCTATGCTAACAATCTAATAGAGGTATTTGAATTTTTTTTTTCAAGCATCTCATCCCCCAGAATATTTTTTTTTTTTTTTTTTTTTTTTTTTTAGCGAGAGCTGCTGCCAAAAACTAATATTGGTAGATCAGTCCTAATATATCATAAACTTACACACGTACTACAGCTAGAATACTATTACGTACGATTACCATAGAAATTGGTATATTGAATCAAAGGGTAACTAATATACATGATGGAGGAGAACTGAAGAAAATGACCAGAGGATAAATCTAAATTAAGAATGGAAGGTTTAAGCCAAGATATTATCGAATTCATCCATACTTTCTAGTTCGTCCTGTTGGCTGACTTTCCTCAAGACTTCTTTCTTGGAGGACTCTTGCACGTAACCATCTAGCAATAGTTCATCTAGAATATTGTATGCTCTGTTAAAACCAAAGATAATATCCAACTCACAAACATTACCGTATAGTTTGTCCATCTGTTCAACAAAACGATGTATGACCTCTAAAGCCAACAATTCGTTATCCGAGGAATCAATACCCGTGATGAAAAAAAGAGAGGCATAACGACGGTAGACGATTTTCATATCTTTGTATTCTAAAACATTGCACATTTTGGCTCTTCTGGATAAAATTAAGGTCGTAAGCTCCCTCATCATCTTAGACTTTTCCTTCTGCGGTATGGTTTGGTACCATTTGGATAACCTGACTTTACCTTGTCTTGATAATAAGAATAAAAATTGAACAGCCATATTCAGTATACGTTTATTCAACCAACTAGCAATTCGAAGATGATGAATTCGGAATTAGTGAAGCCAATTCAACAGTGATAACAATGACGATCTCGCGATACACGTATAGAAGATCAAAAAGAGAATAATTCCAGCTGATCAATCAACCTTTGACAATTGAATTCGTGTTTATTTTCAATTTGATTTTTTCCCACGGAAAAGTCGTGGAAAAACACAAGATTTGTGTTGATTGCAAAATAAGTTTAAAAGGACATTAATTGAACTCTATAAGCCAGTACATAATATATAAAAGGATAAAAGAAATGGAAATGAATACATAAATAAGAATATAGACAAGAAAAAACAGAAAAGAAAAGTTAGAGAAATATGGAATGGGAGGTAAAAAAAAAAATGAAAAAGATAAAGGTCATATGCAAGAAGTGAAAGGAATCATTCCAAAGTACTAATGGTCGATCTTAAAAAGTCTAAATGTTCATTAATTTCTTCACACAATTCTGTTCTGTCGACATTTTGATAAAGTTTGACATCAATTTTCAATTCACAAAGTAAGAATTTCATATTAGTCCATTGAGTTGTTTCAAAATCAATACCAGTACGAAGCTTCATACCAGTACCATATAATCTAATTCTTCCACCCTTTTTATTAAAAATTTTTTTAGATTTTTTCAATTCCCAAGGATCTAATTTAGGATAGTTTGCATGTACAAACAAAATCCTAGGACCCTTTTGTAACAATAAATCTTTTGATATCATTTTATCTCTTTCTTCTGGAGATTTTGTTGCTAAGATTTTATTTTTTTCATTAATTTCGAAATCCTCAACAGGATCATACTGACCCATACCAGTGCCTTGGAAATTATGATCAGAATCGAAATAACCAAAAGCATTTAAGAATTTTGCCACTTGATAAAAAGGTTTACCAAGGGCAACGGTAGCGGCAAGGAAGGTTTCTTTATCGCCTTCACCATCCGAGCCTTGAGAGAAAAGAGGATAGAAATGAGTTGGACCATATAAATTATAGTATAATGCAAGGATTAATGCTTTTGTATGAGTTTTCTTAGAAATCATTAATTGGCCCGATTCCGAAGTTGGATCAGGAATTGCACCTTGACGTTGATGCAAAGGAGTTTTAGATAAATCGATTTTCTCATTATTATTAAAATATTCAGAATTTTGTGGGATATCTTTATAAAGACCCTCGTATTCATTATAGATTGGTAGTAATTCAGAATTACTAATTTTTCGACCAGCAATTTGATAATAATCAGGAGAAGTAGCTCTTTTCCAAAAATCCGGCCACACAATGAGACCATTTGATAAAAAAGGTTCCTTTTTAAACAAAGAATCGGGCAAATGAACCGGAATGTTATCACTGTCCAATAATAAGACATTTTCAAAACTCAGAACTAAAATAGCTAAAGCTTTATATTGGAAACCTTTAAATTCAAATTTATCAACATAAGAAGATTGACGATGAGGTTCTAAACCAGAAAGAACATGAGGTAAGTAAATACAACGAGCATTTAAAGCTGGGAAAACTCTTGCACATAAATCAGGTTCATATTCATCTAATTTAGGAACAAGAACTTCGATAGGTAATTCCGAGCCCATTGCACGAATTGATTTAATTGAAAGAAGAGTAAGCCAATTGAATTTCCCACCACCAACAAAGACAATCCCATCTCCTTTGAATAATTGATCCGGGGCATTTTCAGGTAAATGATCAATTACATATTTATGAGATTTTACCATTGATTCAAGTTCACTATCACTTAATTGAAGAAAACGAGAAAGATATTCTTCAGTGAACACCGGGTCTTCATTATTTCCCGGCCTGGTATCATATCTAGCATGATAAATTCTTTCCTTTGTTAAATAGTTTTGTAAAGATTTAATTTTTGGTTTACCTTCATATAAAATTTTGAAAACTTTATTGAAAAATTCATAACCATTGGTTAATTTACCATTATTTGGGTCAATTTTTTTCTGAGAGTCACTTATTAATCGAAGTTTTGTATCTGAAGTATCATCATCTGAATCGATTTCGTTATTAGAATCATTAGAATCATTATTAGTATCAATAATTTCATTATTTGAATTGGCATAGGAAATGGTTTTCCTTCTGAAGGAGGCAATTAATGAATCGGGTAAAGTCCATACCCAAGAAGTATGTTCTGGATTACTTATTTTTGAATTTGAAGATGCAGAAGAAGTATTATCATCGAATAAATATGAATCGAATGAATTAAAATGATGGAAACTCAAAAAAATCACCAATAAAATTAAGATTGATAAGACGAATGAAAACCTATGACGGCGGCGAGGAGTTAACATTCTTATCAAACTATTAAACCCTCCCATTTATGCTGAAAATTGAAATCTGATTATCAGTTAACCATTGACAATCGAAAGGACGCGTTTCTCTTTGAGAGTTACCACCGAATAACCACAAGAAATAAATAAAAATGCAGAGCTTCTACCACTATAAGCTGATATATGCAACCCAGAAAATGTGCTTATACAACTGGTTCTTAAAGAGCTAGTTGTCTTGTTTTTGGTTTCAATGTTCTTTTTTTTTTTTTTTTTTTTTTTCGCCCAACGGTTTTTTCACGCCTTTACATCGGGTATCCGCTGATTATGCTATTGTTATATAGGTACACTATGTCTATTTAAAGCTAGTATGAGTTGATTATATCTAGAATATGACGGGTGCAACTCAAGAAACTGTCGGTGAAGTCTTCGTTTGGGTTGCAACTACATTTATTTTGCAAACGGAGTTGAGCCAGTTGAGGACATTGTAGATAAGGAGCATGATAATAGCCAATATCACCAAACCACCAAAGATCATTTGGAGTTAGAAATAACAGAATTGCCAAAGAATGGATCGGGGCATCGCCCCATCTTTCATAGAAAAACCCTCCTGTTTGATCTAGATAATTGAAAAAATGATTATATTGATCATTATCAAAGATTGATAAATCGGCAATTTCAAAATTTGACCAAAAATGGCATTCATTATAAGAGGTTAATGTATCGTCATTTTGAACAAATTCCAAGAGGGGAGGATTGTAGTCGATATTTTCTTTAATGAATTGTTTAAAATGAAACCATAAAGAAGGAATTGTTTTGGAATATTCAAAGATTGTCATTGTAAAACCATATTTTTTATTATTCAGCTTCATGAATTGGAAAACATCATAATTTATATCACAATAGAGTTTAATTCCCGGTTCTAATCTCCAATAATACTGATATTTGGCAACCAATTCATGCCGATAGAAAAATCCCAGATAATATCTACACATAAAACGATAAGATTCACTCAAAGCATAAAGAACATTTTCATTAGCCATCGATTCCCGCTGTTCAGCTGCAAATGTTTGGTTGACCCAATCTGGATAGGACCATTGTTCCGGAGGGATCTGGCCAAAATTGAGCCGACCCCGAGGAATGTAATCCACAATCGTGTTAACAAAGTCAACACTGAAAGGTTTATCATTTAAAAAAGTCCAATCGTACCCGTAACGGTGGTTGAACCGATCTTGCACACTCTGGATGGTTTCCAATAATTCATAAACATCCTGATTACGACAAAGCACCAAAAATGTAGCATTTTGTAAATTCGTCAGAGCATTCTTATTTATCACCAAAGGATTAGCCAATATACCTGGAAGTGACTGCTCAATATACTCTAAAATACCGTCTGGCTGATAAACAAAAGCACCATCTTCAACTACTTCTGCAATCAGATCCGCTTGCTCTTCGTGTTTCCTATACAAGCAATAGAACACCACCCCCAATGCAAGCACCACCAAATGAAATCTCATCGCTATCTACCCGGTCAACAAAGATGCTTGCTTTAAAATTTATCGATCTAATTAGTGCACCACCCACACCCTTACCATGCCCACACCCTTACAGTCCATGCCCACACCCTTACAGTCCATACGCTTACTCACAGTCCATACGCTTACACCTTACACATTCACAGTCCACGTTCTAAGCACTCCATAACCGATAAGCTAACCGTCAAACGTGGTTTGCGTGGGCCCAAGTCCTATTCTTAGAGCAAGAAGGCGGTGTCAGTTTAGCAAGAATAAGGGTCCACTCTCCTCTTGTACCTCGTGTTCTTCACAATGCTTTTGACACGATGAGCTTTCGTCTAAGCTTAAACCTAGTCAGACTGGTGAACTGGTGGGAAGTACCCCATGTCTAAGATGGGTCCCGGTGGAGCACCCGTGCACCACCCACTAACAACACGAACAAAAAAAAAAAGGCTAAAAACGAAAAAAAAAAAGGATTCAATGAGCGAAAAAGAAAGAAAAGAAGGACCTGATGAGAAAAAAAACAAAGCAAGAGAATCATAACTACCACTCTTCCTGTTTAAAAGAACATTCTATTACTTCAGCTAAGTTCTAGCTACCATTTGCATATTCACCAGTAATTAGGGAAGCAAACCGATACTGTCTCGTTGTTTCCAGCAGTTTTTCCTCTGTTTTTACTTTTGATTCTAACTATTTTTTTTTTTTTTTTTTGTTAGTATATTATCTAATTAATAATTAATTTTTCAGCTAAACCGTATGCGGCTAGATAACAACCCGTATACCACGACAAGAGATTAAATAGCACCGGGATTCCTAGGATTAATGATAAAGGTGCCACCATGGATCATGTATTAACGATACCCCAGGCGGTGGCGGAAAATAAAGAAAAGACTGATTCAAATAATGTACATACAAGCCAACTAGCCACGTCTAATAGTGAGGAAGAATCCATAACAACCACCACCACCAATGATCAGCCGCTAGTGACTGGGCGGAAGGCAGCACGGTCGTTACGGTTGTTTCGAGGAGATGCTATTGATTTGGGGGAGTTGATTGATTTAGAGAAGAAGCAAGAAGAAGACCAACAAGATAAATTGACATCACCCATAAAACCAGAAGTACCCCATACTCCCGACCCCCAAGGAGAAAAAACCCCAGTATCATCAGCAACGTACTTCCCGCATACTCCAGCCGAAGACGAAACCAATAAGGGAGTGGCTAGTTCGATATCCACCCCAAACCCAACCATAACCATTAAAGACCATGACCAATCCACCACTCTTGAATATCTACCAAATGAAAATTTGACCACAGAAGTGACCCAGCGATTAACGGCAGACGTGGAATTCGATCACTCGCATAATGGAGAAATCACCAAGATCCAACGAGGATTAGAAGATTTTACCATGAAGCCAGGTAAAAATAAGAAAAATGTCAAATTTGATAAACAAGTATTCCCCTTAGCGGTCGAGCTAAGACCGTTTAAGAATAAAGTTGGAGGACACACCGCGATATTTCGATTTAGTCGGAAAGCAGTTTGTAAAGCATTAATGAACCGAGAAAACTTATGGTACGAAGCGGTGGAATTTAGACATCCCGAGTTATTAAAGTATATGCCTAAATATATCGGAGTCTTAAACGTTCGCTATTCCAGTATTATAAATGAAGAACAAGAAGAATCACCACCCACTCCCATGTCCTCACCCAAAATGGCTGCTGAAAACCAAGAAGATGATCTACCACCAGAAGTGGTGCTTGATGATAATCGACATATGATTCCCGAATTACTATGGAAACAGTACAGTCCGCTGATACACGAGTATCTTGAAGATAACCATAAAGAAGAAGATGCTAATTTGGGCTCAACATCCATTAATACTGATTTACAAGCCCAAGTAATACAAGAAGTGTTTCCAACAACCAACGATGAAATGTTCACTATGGATGAAGATATCGCTCCGGTGAATATGAAAAAACATACCCGATTCGAACGGTTTATCTTATTAGAAGATCTAACCGCCGATATGAATAAACCATGTGCATTGGATTTGAAAATGGGGACTAGACAATACGGAGTAGAAGCAAATGAAAGAAAACAAAAGCTGCAAAGATTAAAGTGCAAACAAACCACTAGCAGAAAATTAGGGGTTCGAGTATGTGGATTACAAGTATGGGAACTGCAAAAACAAAAATTTTTCACCAAGGATAAATACTTTGGACGTCAAATTGCCAGAGGTTTCCAATTTGCCAAAATATTGGCAAAATATCTATACGATGGTTATACCACCCATAGCATCCTAATCAAAATCCCCGGAATAATCAATCAGCTACAAGAGCTATACCAATTCTTCATAAACCTAGACGGTTATAGAATGTATGGTCTGTCAATCTTATTAATGTACGATGGTAACCTTGATAACAACTCCTCAGTTAAGGTTCGAATAATCGATTTTGCTCAACTGGTGATAAAAGAACTGAATCTCAAAGGTATCAGTCTTCCTCCAAAATTCCCAAACCTACCCGATATGGGTTACCTAAGAGGACTAACTTCTTTAATCACCTACTTCAAGTTGATTTTTAAATTATTGAGTGGGTACGCTTTTGTCGACCCGCAAAACGCAGCCTCCGTCCTACGCTCCAACCACTACAAAACTACCTGCAAGTGGTTGGACGACTACGATAACCTCATGGAAGACGATCCGTTCAACACTACCTATCCTGAATACGACGATGATGATGATATAAGTGAGTAGATTTAATTTAATTACATCATTTTTTTTTAGCAGTTTTTTTTGTTTTTTTTTTGTTTTTTTTTTGTTTTTTTTTTGTTTTTTTTTCTTTTTTTTTTCTTCTTTGTAGCGCGCATGGTCCGCACACACGACCCCACCAAAAATTTAAATGCCTCAAAACAGGGTTTGTTCATTTGAAACAACCAACCTAATTATAATAGTAACCATTATCAACAATCGAGGGATATGGTCATGATATCACCAATAAAGCCACCAGATTCAGATTCTAAGGTACCCATTGTAGATCCACCCCTTGGATAATAGAAATCCCTCGCTGCTCTACAACCTACCCTCGATCTCCCCATTGGAAAACCGGATTTCCCAATACTGCAATACGTCAAAGACTAAAATTTAACTAGAGGAAAAAGCTAAAGAAAAAAAAAAAAAAAAAAAAAAAAAAAAAAAAAAAAAAACCGCTAAAAGGCACCAACATATATAAACTCGAAATTCCTCTGCTCTGTCTCTTCTCTTTTCTTTCTTTACTGATTATATATTTTCTATTGCTGCTACTAGGTTTATATTCTAATCACATCGGTCATCTCAAAGGTATCATTATATCTGGCTTGATTCAAGTGCTGTCAAAGTGCTTGTATTAACTCGTTTTTTTTTTTTTTTTCTCTGTCCCTCCACTCACTAGAATGAAGTAAAAGATGCCTTTTTTAACTAAGAAAAAATCAACATCCTCTACTTCGTCTGCGTCTTCAGCAGGAAATTACACTAGTCAACCTAGCTCATCATTTGTTAAGTTTGACGAAAAGAAAGATTACGTTCGTCGTTGTTCAATTAAAGGTTCATGTGGAGACGGCTCAAAACATTGTCCTACGTCAGTCTCATTCTGTTTAGGGTCTAAGCATTAATTTTGATTTTTCTTTGTTTGTCTTTATATTCAGTTCTAATGTATTATTTACTCGGGTTACCTACAATTTTTGGTTATAATTGTTATATTCAATAAAAAAGTTTACTGTTTAAGTTGCGGGAATTAATTTTTGCTGTAAAATTTTTGCTGTAAAAAATTAACAAGTAAAAAATTCGCAGACAAAAAGAGAAGTTTGAAGGTTAAAAGGTTAGCAAAAAAAGGTTAACAAAAAACGTTAACAAAAGAAGTTTAAACAAACTAAAAGGAAGATCGTGTTGCGACACAATCTGGGCACGCACACGCCCCGCTTGTACTAGGCTACAAATTTGAAATTATTCTACCAATTAATTGTTGGAATAATTGTAGAGTCGAAATTTAATCATGACTTGATCATTCAATTTCAACTGAACACATTATTCTCTTCTTGTTCTGTCAGGCTAGAGAGTACGCACACACTAGGAGCTTTGTAAGGTCGGCATGTACGATCAATGTAAGTACCTGAATTAGCATAAAGAAGAAGTAAGTACTTGTTTGAGAGCACCGCTGCGAGACGGTGGTTTTATACTGAGGGAAAAAAAACCGAAAACTAGGCTCGTGGTCGTGCACCGGGACCGGGGGGAGTTTGGGGCTAGGATTTACGCTGAGGAAGGGTAATTTCCAGTACCTCGCCGGCTGAAACAAAATAAACCCCAACTAGTTAAAATACTTCATCTTGTTCAGTCAACTACTTTATCTTATTCAGTCAACTACTTTATCTTATTCAGCTTGGTCAACTACTCAACCGCCACCATGTCAGATTCACCCGCATCGTCCAGTGCCACCGGCTCGAACACTTTTGAAAAACAACGCGATTTGCTTTTACAGGAAATCACCACCAACTTGGATTCGGTGGTTAATAATTTGGAAATCTTAAATCGTAACTTGAACACTAGTGTTCAAGTTGGTAAAGAATTCGACAACGTTGGTAGATTATGGAATTTATTTTATGATGGAATTAATGATTTACAAAAAAGACAATCTACTGATGAATCCTCCCCACCCTCGTAAAGTCCGATTTATGATAGGGTGGAGGATCGGATTCAATACCCGGGAATGCTTATTTAAACTGGTGATTCTTTTATTGAATTTTAATTTTTTTCAAGATTTTGTAATTGTCAGGTATGAAAGCTATCATTTATAACGGGAATCGTGATATAGAGTATACCACTACCCACGAGATTCCTAAAATTAACCATCCAACTGAAGTTAAAATAAAAATCGATTATTGCGGAATATGCGGTTCTGATTTACATGAATACTTGGACGGTCCCATTTTCATGGCCCCCGAGAAAAATTCAATTACAAATGCTCCTTCCAAAGGTCAAATTATGGGCCATGAAATGTCCGGAACCATTGTGGAAGTCGGCGACCGCGTTGAAAACTTACTGATTGGCCAATCGGTGGTGGTGGAGGCATTGAGCTCTTGTAATGATAAATTCCGGTATAATAATCAATCTTCTAAATGCTCGGCTTGTATCGATGGTATTTATAATAATTGTGACGAAATTGCCTTCAATGGTTTGGGATTATGTGATGGTGGATTCAGTGAATACGCTATAGTGGGTCAAGAACATGTTGTTCCCTACGATCATACTAAGATTCCTGCCTCAATTGCCGCTTTGGCTGAACCGCTTAGTGTTTCATGGCACGCAGTAAGATCTTCAGGATTTAATTCGAATTTTCAAGCTTTAGTATTAGGCGCGGGTCCAATTGGTTTAGCTACGATTCTTGCTTTAAAAGCTCAGGTGGATAATTTAAATCAAATTGTTGTCATGGAACCAGCTTTGGCTCGTCGTAAATTAGCTGAAAAATTCGGAGTCACCACGTTTGATCCTTCTTCTTATTCTGCTAACGACGTTGACGAAATCGTTACTCATTTGAAAAAATTATCTCCTGACGGGTTCGGTTTCCATCGTTCGTTTGATTGTTCCGGTATTCCTTTAACTTTTAATGTGGCTTTGAATGCTTTAAGAACCGGGGGGAAAACTACTCAATTGGCTATTTGGCCAAATAGACCAATTGATTTTTATCCAATGTCAGTGGTTTTACATTCTACTTCCATCACCGGTTCGTTAAGTTACATAAGAAAAGATTTCGAACAAGTATTGGAGGCTCTCAGTAAAAATACAATTCCTTTACAAGATGCAAAACAACTCATTACTGCAGTGGTTTCGATCGATAAAGGTATCGAAAAGGGGTGGCTCGAACTATTAGCCAATAAAAATAAGCATATCAAAATCTTAATCACTCCAAAAGAAAATATGGAAATGATTACAAGTATTCAAAATAAAGTTGAATAATTAAATATATTAAATGCATGTTATTTACGTGTTAAATTCTTATGTAATGAATCTATCTTAACCCGTTTACTTAATCCAACTCGACTTGGTAATCTAGCCTGGTTGATTCTTGAGCACATTTCTTTCAAGGAAACATTCTTTCGCTTTTTCGTATTCACAACTTTCTCCTGAAAATCTGGTGATTTTTCGAATTTGCATCCATCCCTTGATTTCTCCTCGGCCGTAAATCTTCCTGCAAGATCTATTTCATCGCTTATTTCCGGCCCGGCACAACTCTCTTTAGATCCATCTATGCCTTCTTTAGATTCATCTATGCTTTCTTTAGATTCATCTATGCTTACTTTAGATTCATCTATGCTTACTTTAGATTCATCTATGCTTTCTTTAGATTCATCTATGCTTTCTTTAGATTCATCTATACTTTCTTTAGATTCATCTATACTTTCTTTAGATTGATCGACTTTTTCATAATGATCAACGACTTTAGATTGGACAGCTTCTTTAGATTTATCAGTTTCTTCAGATGCAGACTCATCTGAAGTCTCTGGCTGTGCCTCATGTGAATCACGAATTTCTCCCGGATCCTTGGTCGTACTGTAAAGATCATCATCTTCAATCACAATTGCTTGTTCCCGAGAATTACTCGAGGTTTTGTTGCCTATCCTTTCATCTACAACCTCATTTAAGGATTGGGTCTCGTCAATTACTTCGTAATACTCCTCATTGGGTCTGCTATAAGGTTGCTCATCTACCTCATGCATTGCATACTCACCTACCTCATGCACTGGCCCATATTCATGCTCTGTATTGTAATGACTTTGTGAACTATGAACAAAAACCTCTTCGTTTCCTAGTTGCGAGTCATAAAAATATTCTTGTGATTCAACACCTGGCGATTCGTATTGAGATTGGGAACGTAATTGCTGTGATGCCTTTTCAAAATTGGGGATTGAGTCAGCTGGGTCAACAGTATCAAATGTTTCATCAACTGGTACCCGTGAAGTAGAATATCTTGAAGAAAAATTCGAAGAAATTGTAGGCGATAAAAATTCCGGCTCCTCTTCACTATTTGCAATTTCATCGGCTTCATCCTCTACATCATGTCGAATAACAAATCTTGGGGGCTCCTGAGAGATATTAGTGATTTCTGAAATTGACATTTTATTCCTAATGAAATTTTCATCCGAATTGCTTTTTGCCCTCTCCAAGCCAGTTGGATTAGTATCTTTTGCATTCTCATCACTATTCAATTGATCTTCACCGTTTTCCACGGGAATACATTCGTTCTCAGTAGATGGTTTAGCTGATCCCGCAGCTTCTACTTCATGCAAACAGGTATCTGAACCCTTTATAGGAGAAACAGAGTCATGTTGGCTCATCCTCTGCAGCCCATTTGGTGTCGAAGAGAGAGATTGAGAAGAGACTAGCTTCTTCAAATCAACCAATCCACAAGAGGCACCCGAGTATTTATCTAATTTAGAGCCGGACTTTGAAATATTGGCATCTATTTCCCCTAAGGGCACCCTATTACCACTGGATTGAAGTTGGCGGTTGCGACGTGATCTACCCACAATATCCAAAAAATCCAAATCATCCAGCGTATTTTTCAAGCCATACACATGGAACGTCGAAGGTCGTTTTTTCATTTTCGGCTGGTCGTTATTGGGTGTGGTCCCAGCAGAACCTGGTCTTGCAACAGACGAAGCTTTGAATAAGTTTGAAATCAGATCAGTTTGGGCGGCTCGGCTATTCGTACGATTTTGGAAAAGAGAGGGCTTTGGTGGTGACCTCACATCCCACAAGTTATCGTCAAACCTTCCCATTGGGCTGCTGATATTGGTTAGGCTCCTTGAAAAGTAAATCTATTTAGTTGCAAGATCTGTTTTTCTTTTTTTTTTTTTTTTTTTTTGAAAAGCTTCTGTTTGTTCCACTCAGGGTGTGTACCCACCACCGTAACGCGTAGTAAGAATATCAACACTTTTCAAAAGGCTACACCTACTACTTCTCTTCTTCATTGACCCGTTCATTACGTGGAACGTTAATCACTACTAGATTATGCTTTGCAGTATGTTTTTTATTGAGGACTATCCGTAATTGTCATATTTGTTGATTGTTTGAAACGGTCATGATATGATATCCGATTTACTTTAGATACACGAACTAGACTTTTGAACAAGTTGCAAACTTGGTATGTTTTTGAAAAGTTTATTGAAAGGATCTTATCCTCGTGATTACACCTCTATTGACTAGTTGGCTCTTAGTGATTGAGGAGCATTCCAAAGTTATTCTGGTTCAGAGAACTTTTTTTTTTTAAAAGCACTCAAAACTTAAACTGTTCCTTGAGTTCCAAAGTTTTCTTTTACGTTATAATATCCAAACTTTAGCCAGTAGAGCTACGAGCAAAAACCTCCGTACATCTAGTATTTAGTTAGGGCAAAAAATTGGCTAAGCTAATGAGAGAATCAAGTAAAAGGGTAGTTGTTCTGGGATTGGAAAAGTTCATCTTGATTGAGGGGTTGAATAAGTGCTGAATGCATTTAGTCAATAGTGTCGCGGCCATATAATTCAAGGATGGGTATTTCTCTAAGATCAATAATTGATCTTAGGGTTGACAAGGCTTTACAATCGGAGAAATGTCCAAATGGATAAATTCTCAAGAAATGCCGGTACCACATCCCGGATAGGATTATTCAATGGTTCAGTATTGGAAACAGTAGCGGACCAGAGGGCGAAAGAGCTTTAGACTTAGTTGACCCCTTTTTATAGTCAAGAGAGGACTGGTGATTTCGGTGATGCAGCTGGTCCATTGATTCGGTATTACGAAAGATTGTCTATTATTTTCATTTTCAGCGGTTTTTCTTTTCAAAAGACAATAAAATAAACTATGAAAAGAATGGGGATCAAGCCCATGGTAAAAGCGTGCATACTGGAGTTTGGAGTCTTTGGAAATCTTTTATTGGAACACCCACACACCGAGAGAATAACTTTATATGGGAGACTACTGGGGGCTAATCAAAGATAGAGTTGTTAGTAATGGGGTGCTTAAGATTGAGGGGACAACCTGTCACAAGAATTCAATATTGAATAACGGTTTAAATGGTCAATTCAGGCTGTCCCTGAGGATAGATCAGTGTATGCTACTTTGCATATGCGATGAGTTTAAAATTTAGATCTCGGTGTTGAAAGATTGTGATCTTTCAAACGTGAATTGGTAAAACCCGGATTTATAGTTTATGAAGTTTCTAAGAATCGACGAATGAGGTTTTTCGATAATACGGAAAGTGCCAATGGCATAATGTTAAGATAGTTTCGTGAATGACGGGTCTTTCGTTTTTGTATGTATGGTTTTTTTTTGAAAACAAAAGCATAAAACAATACTAACTATAAATACACATTAATTCATCTATATACACCTATAAGATGTAATACCTAAATGTAGTATTAAACAAATATCTATTAAAAAATACAATTGTATATAGAATTAAATGGCTAGAAGGACGTTTTTTACATGATAATACATTTGGCACAACCAGATTTTTCTTGAACTTCAGGGGTTTTGGTTGATTGTTCGGTTCTTTTGTTGGCAGTTTCAGCTTGTTCCTTTTTAGGTTCTTCCTTTGTTGGCTCTTGAGCTGGTTTAACCGATAACTTAGATGCAGTTTTAGCAAAAGTTTGACCTTGAACTTTAGCAATTCTTTTTTCTAAATCGCTTGGTTGTCTTGAACCGTCAGCACCGGCAAAAGTACCAGCCCCGTAAGGAGAACCCCCATGGACTTCTTCCATGTTGGCCATATCTTCAAAAGCAGCGTAACCAGTTGGAACATAAATCATACCATGGTGAACCAAGAAACTCAACATATTTCTAATGGTGACTTCTTGACCACCACCTAAAGTCCCGGTGGAAACGAAAAACCCGGCTGGCTTACCTTGTAAAGCACCTTGAGCCCATAAACCACCAGTGGCATCAAAAAATGCACTGAATTGTGCTGGAGCATTACCATAACGGGTTGGACATCCAAAAAGGAAAGCGTCATATTTAGTCAAGGTTTCTGAATCGGCAATTGGAATCTCAGAGTCCTTTGGTGGGGCATTGATCATTTGAAGAACATTATCAGAAAGGGTTTCTTGCACTTGGAAAATGTCTACAGTGTCAGCTAATTTGGATTCAATCACCCCTTGTTGGATTGATTTGGCCAAGGTGTTAATATGGCCGTAAGTTGAGTAAGTTATAATTGCAACCTTCATTCTTGAATAAGAAACCAAACAAAAAAAAAAAAGAATCAAAATCTCAATGTCAAAATTATGAACAAAAACTGGAGATTACATCTTATTTAAAACATTTAAACGATGCTAGCCATCACACAAACTAGCTACTACCACTACACGAACGGCAGGTACTCATCGGCACCAACGCAAAACAAAATAAAATTAAAAATACAACAGAAAACGAAAGAAAACAAAAGAAACAAGCATGGCAAAAAGAAAAAGCAAGAGTAACACAACCTTGCAATTAGTACAAATTACATCTCAATTACTCAATTCACATACTTTGAATAGCTTGCCAACCCAGCCAATTTGGTAATAATTACTAACCCGATCATTTGATAAATATTACTAAAAAAATTAGTAAATGTACTGTCGCACTCTGAGATTAGTAAAAGCTTAGTTGTTTTTATTAGTGTTTTTTTTTTTTTTTTTTTTTTTTTCAGTTTTGCTTGCATTTGACTGTGCGAATCTCGTTAAACTACGTCGTTCTAAGAAGGGTTCAGAAAGAACCCACGATATATATAAGTAGGTTGAATTCCTGGTGGATTCATTTTTTTTGCTCTTTTGCTATAACCAAATACCCACACATTCACAATGGCTCCAAAAGTTGCAATTATTATCTACTCCTTGTACCACCACATCGCCACCTTAGCTGAAGCTGAGAAAAAAGGTATTGAAGCTGCCGGTGGTCAAGCTGACATTTTCCAAGTTCCAGAAACTTTGAGTGAAGATGTCTTGAAAGCTTTACACGCTCCAGCCAAACCAGACTACCCAATTGCTACTAATGACACTTTGGTTAACTACGATGCTTACTTACTCGGTATTCCAACCCGTTACGGTAACTACCCAGCTCAATTCAAAGCTTTCTGGGATGCCACTGGTGGTTTATGGGCTCAAGGTGCTTTACAAGGTAAAGTTGCCGGTGTTTTCGTTTCCTCTGGTACCTTAGGTGGTGGTCAAGAAACCACTGCCATCAACTCTTTATCCTGTCTTGTTCACCACGGTATCACTTATGTTCCATTAGGTTACAAGAATGTTTTTGCCCAATTTGCTAACATTGAAGAAGTCAGAGGTGGTTCTGCTTGGGGTGCTGGTACTTTTGCCGGTGCCGACGGTTCCAGACAACCATCTAAAACCGAATTGGATGTTGCCGAAATCCAAGGTAAAACCTTCTTCGAAACTGCCTCCAAATTATTTTAAATTGGTATGTCCATATGATCTCTTCAATTCTTTAAATATTACGAGTAGAATATAAATTTATGTTTTTTTTTTTTTTCTTTTTGCAAATGGCTGCACCTCCGTACATATCGCCATTTTCGTAGCCGCTCGTATTTGGCTGTGAAACCACCCTTATCGCTTCTTCTTCTTCAGTATGCCAGTCCAGTCCAAGTTATTCGGTAGCTTGCCGCCTTTGAAGTTCACTTATCGTATGAAATCCCCCTCGCGCTTCTTATCCGTATAGATAACTAACGTATCAGCCATTAACGAGATTGATGATGATCAATCGACTATAACCAACACATCGGTTAGAAATGACCATGTTGACGCCAATACTACAAACGTAACTAGTTTTCTTGAGGGGTCGGGGTTGTCTTGCTCTAAATGCCATCTATGTTTTGATAAATTATCTTACCTTGCGATTCATAATAAGCTAATTCACACCCATTCAATCCAATTCTTCTGTCCAATTGAAGAGTGCAACACCCCGTGTGATTCAATTGGTCAGTTGACAAGTCATTGCAATCGTCACCAGTCCATACATCATTTGCAATGTCCCCAATGCCAGAAAGGGTTCAAGGATCCCAGAGTGTTCCAGATGCACATTTCAATTCATCTAATCGAATTAGAGGAAGAAGTAATCAGTTTGAAAGTCCCCGAATTCATTGAAACTGATACTGGGAATGATTATGAATCCCTCTTGGCTCAATTGGACTCGCTTTTTACTAAACATGTTTATGATTTGAAATCTTGGAATCATCAAGGTAAATTCAATTGCCCCTCATGTGACATGTTTTTTACAAGTAAATTAAGATTATCATTGCATAAATGTATTGAAAATTAACTATGGAGCTATACGATTGACATCCCAAACATCTTCAATTGTTTCTCTAGTATAAGTATATCTATCATGTAATCTACTAACACGACCTTGCCAAAATTCAATTTCCAATGGTACTATTCTAACTCCTCCCCAATATTCAGGACATGGAATCTCATCGTCTTTCAAGTCTTTAAATTTGTCCTGATAAAATTGATCTAATTTATCTAATTCGTTTCTTTCAGATATTTTTTGAGACTGTGGTGAAGCCCAGGCTCCAATTTTCGATCCACGAGGTCTAGTATTAAAATAACGTTCACTGGTTTCTCTTGTGACAAATTCCATTAATCCTTCCACTCTAACTTGTCTTTGAATATGAGGCCAGAAAAATGTTAATGATGCCCATTTATTAGTAGCAAGATCTTGACTCTTCTTCAGTTTATCCCAGTTGGAATAGATGATGAATCCATGATGATCCAATTCTTTCAATAAAACTACTCTTGAACTAACTCTTCCCAGTGGTAGTCTTGCAGTACTAAAATTAGTCAGTTCTGGTAAAGTTGAACTACCAGCTGGAAGATTACTCTTTGCTTCTTCAAACCATTGGTGGAATTGTTCGATTGGATCTGGGGTTATATCCGCATCATTCAACTTACCTTTATCATACTGATAGGTTTCTGGTGCAAATATAATTGGTTTATCGGTTTCTCCATGAGTTGATTCACTTACCATATCGTTAACGTTATGTGTCTTAATTTGTGCTTGTAATGCGGTACTGGAAAATTGACGAAATGAAAGTCTTGATATTAATCTGGAATTAGTCTTAATACACCTGAACATAAATCAATGGCAGTTATCCTCCTTATATGTGTGGAGGTGGTATGACAAAATTTCGATTTTTTCATTTTTTTTTTCTTCTCTCTGCCTCTTAGTCACTCCATATTTTTGCTCACCTGCGAAATTATCCTACTTGCAGCAAGTAAAATGAATGCAAAAAAATATCTATTAATCTATAAATTATACTTACTCATCATCACTTTCATCAAATCCGAATCCAAATGAAAACCCAACAGATTCTTGTTTTTCATCAGTGAGTTTCGTCCACATTTCACTTTTCCCGGTCTTTTTCATTAACTCGTTTTTCTCTAATTTGACTAATTTTTCTAAACCAGCCTCAAGTTCTTGTTTGTTGTCACCTAAGATCATTAATTGACTAAAAAGTTCAAATATTGGCATTGGAGGGAGTTTTTCACTGGTGATCTCTCCACAATCTTCTTCTTGTAAGTGAGGGTCTAATGATTCGAATATAGAAGTGTATTCTCTCAATTTTGATAATGTTTCATTATTTATATCCTTATCTGATTTGAGAATCTCATCCATAACTAATTTAACATTTTTAGGTTTAAATCCACTTATTTGACCATGTTTATTCTTTAAAAAATTTAAAACTTTACATAACTGGGATTGTGGAACGAAATTTTGAGTTAAAGCAATGGAATCATCAAGGTTAATAACTGAATGCCACCAACCAGCTGGAACATACATACATTCACCAGGAAACGTTATACCAATTTGACATGATTCTATTTTTAAAGAATCATTGAAGAATCCCGATATAACCCATTCTGCAATACCCACTGGTGATGTTACTTCACTTTCTTCTTCGTCGGTACCAACTCCCGGTGGAGTTGTTCCGGGAGGCAACATTACCCATAATTTGCGTCCCGATATAGCTGCATTCCAAGCAGAAGTACTATTCGGGTCTTTGTGGAAGGTGGAACCAGATCTTTTGGGCCCAATGATAAGCCAGGCATAATCTGGACGACAGGGTTTACTTGAAAAATGATTAAAAGTTTTGAAAAAATCTGGTTGGAAAATTTTTGGAGGAGCGTATTCTTGCTTTAAAGATTTCATTGCCATACTATTGCAATCAAATAAGTATAAAGGACTTTCATCTTTATTGTTGGCAAGATATTCCGAGTATAACTTCAATGGCCATTGAACCACTTCTTGTCTAAATTTGACTTCAGGAAACCTTTCCAATAATTGATTCAAAGTCCAAACTGGCCATCTATTTTCATTTTCATTAGTTAATATAAACGGCTTGTTTGACCAATTCTCATTAAACTCATTCAAAGTTAATTGAGATTCAGCTAATCTGGCAATACGACCACTTGGTAGCAAAGTATGATCGAAATCTCCATTTAAAGAATCTTGATGGTATACTGATTCCTCTTTAATGATTTTGCTGAATAAAGTACTATAATCGACTTTTGAACATTGAAATGGACGATATAAAATATCCGAGCATAATAAATTGTCCTTTAGTTGTAATTTTGCTTCTTTTGACTCTTCAAGTCTTAAAAGGGTACAACGCCATGAACCTTTCCAAGGTAGTGTTTCTGATTGCTGATTGATTCTTTCCCCTTCAAGCACTTTATGGGTGTTCAACTTACGCCAGATCTCTTCATCATATAAATATGCATACATTATTCTTGAAGTATGACTTAATCTCATCAATGATTTTGGATCTTGAATATAAGAAAACATCTCCATTAGCAATTCTTCAGGGAATCTCTCGAAATCACCCATTTGTTGTGATTTAGAAGGCTTGAAATCGATTGAATTGGCTAACAATGAGTTCCCACCTGGCTTCACATTAAGTGGATGTCTCGCAGATACTGAAAATAGCGATACTGATCTGTTATTGTCTGGGTATGATTTGCGGGCCCTTTTCACCAAGGGCCCCTCAGCTGAATCCATACTATGTACTGGGCTCATCGTGGGATGCTAAAGCTATTGAAAACGAGTATTTTATTTAAACGGCTCAGCAAATTTAAGAGATGGGTTATGATCATAAATTTTTCACTTTTTTCGTTTGGTTGTTAAAGGTGGAACCATAGAAAATTACACAGAACACCATCGCATTTCTTTTTTTCTTGCTTCATTGATGGGTGTATGGGTGTGATCCCAGTAATACAAGCAATGGTTAGTTTACTAATATTAAATACATGAAGATAAAGATATATACAAGAATCCAGTGAATGAAGAGTAAGTTTAGAAGTGTGTGTGATTAGGTGGGTTTGGTTTTTTTTTACTTTTTAGGATGCTTGACATGTTGAGAATCGAATGGAAGAGGTTCTTCTCTCATGGGGATTGACAGACTGGCAGGCTTCTTCTTTGATTTACCTGGCTCCAGAGAAAGATATAAGATTCTATGATCAACAGGATCTAAATTCGATTGAGGAGGTTCGATGTATTCTTGTAATTGCTTCTTCTTTTCCTTTAAGAAAGTTCTAATTTCAGCAAAACAGTGCATACACATGAAATGGGATCTTTTAACGTGGCCACAGGCTGGACATCTAACTATATTGTTTAAAGGTTGGATTTGTTTATCTCCTGGAGCGTATAATTTTTGTCTTCTCTTTCTATAAGAAGGATGTTGTTTTGGGGCAGCTCTTAAAATCATTCCGTTATCAATCATGAATGGGCTTTCTTCGGATTCGAGTTGTTTCTTCAATTCCTCCAATCTAGAATCAGTCTCGGTTTGTCCAGTTAAAAATTGGGGTAATTTGATGCTGATTGATGGTAATGATAAACTTTCACAAGCACCAGTCCAGCCAAGTACTCTTGATCCCAAACTAGACGAGTGTGTTATGGAAGACACTATGCTATGGGTGTGTCTGCATGATATGGATGCCATCTTGCTGCTGTTGTATACCTTCAGTTATATCCTTCAAGTTTAATGGTTAAGTTTAAAGAGAACTTTGATGGATTTTTCAGTTTTTTTTTTTCCAGTGTTTGTGTGGTGCACACCCCGAGGAGTCGTGTCCAGAAGTCCCAAACCAATTCTGTCTGTGGACAAGTCAACGCGTTAAGATCAAAGCGAGAAAGAAAACAAGCTATACAAATAAACGAAGACTGAGCTGGTATCTTCATACTCTTTTATTAACAAGACGGTAGATAAAACATGTCCGAAGAACATATAGTGCAACCAAAGAAGTATGTTGGTTTTGATACCATCACTACTCAAATTGAAAATCGATTATTGAAAAGAGGATTTCAATTTAATATCATGGCAGTTGGTAGAAGTGGTTTAGGTAAGTCGACATTACTTAATACGTTATTTTCATCACCATTAGCACAATCTCATGGTAGAAGATCAGTTAATGAACCAATTGAAAAAACCACCGAGGTTAAGATTAGTGACCATGTATTGGTTGAAAATAATGTTCGTTTGAATATTAATGTTATTGATACTCCAGGATTTGGTGATCAAATTAATAATGAAAAATGTTGGGAACCGTTAGTTAAGTATATTAAAGAACAACACTCTCAATATTTAAGAAAAGAATTAACTGCTCAAAGAGAAAGACAAATTCAAGATACAAGAGTTCATTGTATATTATATTTTATTCAACCAAATGGTGAAAAATTGAAGCAATTGGATATTCAAGCTTTGAAAAAATTGAGTGAAATTGCTAACGTAGTACCAATTATTGCTAAAAGTGATAGTTTAACTTTAGATGAAAGAGCTGAATTTAAAAAACTATTACAAAATGAATTTATTAAATATAATTTTAATATTTATCCTTATGATAGTGAAGATTTATACGAAGATGAAAGACAATTGAATGAAGATATTAAATCTTTAATTCCCTTTGCTATTGTTGGATCAGATCGTGAAATTCAAGTTAATGGTGAATTGGTTAAAGGTCGTAAAACAAAATGGGGTGCAATCAATGTTGAAGATGTTTCTCAATGTGAATTTGTTTTCTTAAGAGATTTCTTAACAAGAACTCATTTACAAGATTTAATTGAAACAACTAGCTTGGTTCATTATGAAACTTTTAGACTGAAACAATTAATTGCATTAAAAGAAAATGCATCAAATCCAAATAGACAACTGGGAGCTACTTTGGGTTCTAGTAACCAACAAGCTCAAGTTCCTAACGGTACCCATAACACTGCTGCTGCTTACTAGATCTTTAGTTCTTTATATTTTTTTTTATAATTCATTAATATAGGCTGTTTTACTAACAAAATAAACTCACTAACAAAAATAAAAAAAGTTTTAAAAAAAAAAATAAAACGAGGCATGATAAGACTCCACACACGCACCGAAGCCCTTTTAAGGTCTCTGATAACACCCCCTTAGACAACTAAAAGTTTTGATATTCTTATTAACATGGATTTCTTTTAGTGTAGAAACATCAATGCCAACTGCTTTCATTACTCTTTTAACCAGTGAACCTTACGTAGCTGGTGCGTTAGTACTTGCTCAAACCCTTAAGAATGAGCTTCATACAAAACATAAATTAGCTATATTACTTGATCCAACCGGGATTTCTCCTAAATCGCTAGAATTAATTAAACTGATCTATGATGATATTATTCCAATTGATGATAAGCTAATCAATGGATCTTTAAAAGAAGTGATTGCGAAATTGGGTAGAGATGAGTTAAATGTTACCTTCACTAAAATATTATTATGGAATCAAATACAATATTCCAAATTAGTTTATCTTGATAGTGATACTCTACCATTGAAGAATTTGGATCATTTGTTTGAGTTGTATAAAGATACAGAAGCTCATGAAATCGTGGCTAGTCCAGATATTGGCTGGCCAGACATTTTTAATAGTGGATTATTAATTCTAACCCCAGATGAGCAAATTCATAAAGAATTGGTTCTGTTTTCGGGTATTCAGGATGCTTCCTTTGATGGTGCTGATCAAGGTTTGTTGAACGAATTTTTCCATTTAAAACCCAAAGAATCAAATTCAACTTCTAAGAAATGGATCCGTTTACCTTTTGTATACAATGTAACCCCTTCAGATAATTATCAATACTTACCGGCTTTAACCCGCTTCTTCAAAGATATAAACTTGTTACATTTCATTGGCCAATTCAAACCATGGCATACCAAAGTGAATTCTTCAACTCTGGAATCAGATTCTAGATTACACGCTTTATGGTGGGAAAAATTTAATAAATACTATACTGAAGAATCCGATCGTATTGGTTTATTGAATATCAACCTTGCTCAAGGTGAAGCTCATAAATTAAATTTCGGTAAATTGATCAATTCCTGGGATACTAATGATACTCCGAGTCAACTCATCGAACCCTTTGATCAAACCACCTTGGAGGACGATTCCCAGCCTTCAAAAATCTTTCCTTGGGAACATAGAGAAGAAAAGAAACCAACTAGGATTTTCCATAAAGTTAACGAAGATCCTCCAATTAGAAAACCCCCAATTCTCAAGTCTTCTCGAAAATCAGGAACTTCTACTTCTACTTCTGCTTCTACTTCTGCTTCTACCTCCGCCTTGAAAAGTAACTATGAATTTAATAAAAATCAAGACAACGACTTTGATCCAGAAAAATCATTGGATGAAATCTCCAAATTACCAATCAAGTTATTATCGAAGAAGGGAGAATCCGAATCGAAAAAATGACTCTGAATTCCAACTATACTTCCACCCTCTTACATGTGTCTTTGAATTCCTTCTTTCTTTAGATATTCTTTTGCCTTCGTGTTTTAATTATTGTTTTCGACTAATCTTTAATATATAATCTTTATTAAGCAAGTTTTGCAACTAAAATCAGTGTCGTGTAGAGACAAGTATCAACATATAATATTGGAATATAACTTGAAATCGGTCTTGTCATCAGAGACTAGCATCGGACATCTTACGTGCCATATTCAGACATTCGACTACTTTGAAATGGTTATCCACCAATGTATGAGCTTGAAAATTGTGGTGTCTTCTCTGTGTATGTACGGATGTGAATCAATTCCGCCATTTCTTGATAAGAAAATTTTCAGATCTATCAAATATTAAAAAGACTTCGTGAAGTTAAGAAATCTCATTGCTCGAGTACAATGAAGTCGTTGCTTTCAAGAGGAGCCATTCCTCGGGCATTGCGTCTTAGAATACCGAATCAGCTCAGAATGAAATCGGTTAAATCGACTCCGGCGAGATCAACTTCTAGTCTTGCGCTATTTGGGGGAATACTTATAAGCGGTTTGGCGACTTTCGGTGCTTACAAACTCGGACAACACCAAACTCTTCTTAATGTTCCAGCAGACGTGTTCCCTCAAGGTTCCACTACTAAGCTCGGTGATATCAGTCCACCCACATATTGTACCGATGAAGAGCTTTCCACAGCCATTGGTGAAGTGAAAAAAATGATTGGTGGTCATAAAGTATTTAATACCCCGGTGGAGATTGAATCTCACGGAACCAGTGAGTTCACCACCCATGCTCCGAAGCCCCATCAACGCCCGAAGTATGTTGTATACCCAGAACTGACTGAAGACGTTGTTTCAATCATGAAAATTATGTATGAGTATAATGTGCCTGTTGTACCATTCAGTGGAGGAACTTCTTTGGAGGGACATTTTTTCTCTACAAGAAGTCAATCGGTGGTGGTTGATACCACTAAGATGAAGAAAGTCATTGCAATTCATGAAGATGATTTGGATGCGGTTGTTGAAGCGGGAGTTAATTGGCAAGATTTGAATCAGCTTTTAGAACCGCATAATTTAATCTTTGGGCCCGATTGTGGACCGAGTGCCTTAATTGGAGGTATGGTCAGCACCAATGCGTCCGGGATAAATGCAGCAAGATACGGCTCGATGGTATCGAATGTTGTCTCATTGACGGTTGTATTGGCCGATGGTACCGTTATTAAGACCAAACAAAGACCAAGGAAATCGAGTGCAGGGTATAACTTGGCTGGATTAATCGTTGGAAGTGAAGGAACCTTAGGGATTGTCACTGAAGCTACGGTTAAACTACACGTAAAACCGGTTAAGGAAACAGTTTGTGTAGGACAATTTGCAACAGTTAGTGATGCTACTAATGCCGTGGCTCAGATATACCGTAAGGGATTGAATCCAAACGCTATCGAGCTATTAGATAAAGATATGATGCATTGTATTAATTATAGTGGATATTTCACCAGAGAGTGGTTAGAAGTCCCAACTATTTTTTTCAAAATAGGAGGAATTAATGATATAGTTGTTAAAGAGCAAGTTAAAGAAATTGAAAAAATCACTTCGAAGAACAATTGCCATGATTTTCTCTATGCCAAAAATGATGAAGAGAAGGAAGAATTGTTTTCAGCAAGAAAGAATGCATTTTTCGCTATATTAGACTATGGTAGAAATGAAATTGATCCCAATGTCAGATTGTGGGTAACTGATATGGCAGTTCCATTATCCAAACTCCCACCAGTTTTAGCTAAATTAGAAAAAATGGTTAGAAGTAGTGGGTTACAAAGTATTCTATTAGGACATGTTGGTGATAGTAATATTCACTTTGATATATTCTACACTGAGGAAACCAAAAACAAATGTGAAAAGATCATCAACGAAATGATGCTCCTTGGTTTGGCTAACGAAGGAACCTCCAGTGGTGAACACGGAATCGGTAATGGTAAAAGAAGATATTTAGAATTGGAACTAGGTACCGAAACAGTTGATCTAATGAGAAGAGTCAAATTCGCCTTGGATCCTAAAAGAATATTAAACCCCGATAAGATCTTCAAAATAGACCCCCAAGATGACGGTGAGTATTAGATTATGTTTATAGAGATAATATACTTCATTTGACTGCAAGTTACCCAAATCGGATATACCTCTAGACAAAGAAAGTGTCTCCATTGTCTTCGGAGAACTCCATCTCCACCTAAAATAACTTACCTGTAGCTAAAACAACCTACAAACAACTAGTACCATGAACAATTGATAACAAAATCAGCAGGCCAATGAAAATCGAGTCTGGAAGCTCAATGAATAAGACTTTGTTTGAGTTCCTGATACTTCTAAGTGCATAAGGGGGGTTGTTTAAATCAAACCCGAGTATCCCCCACCTCAAGTCCCTAACTAACCCCAGAACCTTGATCTTATGAAGATCCTTCTCTTCGCCTACTGACATTCGCCCCATGTCAGTATCTTGATGTTACGTTGTAAGACGAGAATACTCCCCATTGTGTGATTGTCGTGTGCACTTAATTTCAATTACATCACCCTTCTCCTTCTCCTTCCAGCTCTTCAGTAGGCCAAGCACCACCCAGCGCCATCCGCGTGAGTTCCCAGTGGTGTATCGTCCCATCCACTTGAACCCGGTCGAAGAGACTCGAATAGATAAGCAGCTTTGGGTCTTTTAATTAATTAAGATTAACCCAAATTTTAGTCCATTGAGTAATTTCGGTGAGAAAAAAAAATTAACTTACTGAGAATTATCCGCTTGTTGCTACAACTTCTTCTTCTTCTTCTTCTTATCACTTCCAGAAGACTAGCATAGGATCCATTCTAATCCTTTATCTGTACCTTGCGTATTAGTTAACCACTTTTGGCTGTCGGTTAATCCAGAAAATCATCCCTTGCCCTCTGTGTTTCGTTACGGATTTCATTCTTTGATCTTGTCAGATAACACTGAAAATTCCCATCCCAACGATAAAGCTAAATCTGTCTTTGCTTGATTCGTATATCCCGCTTCCCGCTTACCACAAGTTACTATTTATCGCTGGTACTATATAAGTAGCGTCGAACGTGCCTTCTTATCAGTGATTTACATCCCAGCGCTCATCGCTTCCTTAGTGCTATAAGTGGTTTATAAACTTTTGTTGCTGCTACTGCTGCTACTGCTGCTACTGCTGCTTCAAGTCGCTCCATCGCCTGTCCCTTTCCTTCTTTCCTTGTTAAGTTGTTGGCCTGGTTGGTTGATCAGTTGTTCAGGCTATTCTTTTTTTTGGGCTCTTTGTCTTTGTTCGTTTCCGCTTTTATCTTGTCTGAACCGATTATCAGCACAGAAAAATAAGAGAAACAAAAAAAAAACTATACTTGCGAGACCCTCCATTCACGACTTTCTCAGTTTTCACCCCTAATCTTATCATCTTATCTGAGATCTCAGTCTGCTTGTTTGTCTTACAACACTGGAATTTTTGGTCCGGCTTATAATGACCAGTATGTCTTTCGGTACAGACCATATAGAATCCAGACTTGATTCGTTGGCAATCAATAATCACTCCAATACAAATAATAATGGTAACGATGAAAGTATTTATAATAATAATAATAATAAAACTCCGGTTATAAGTCCCTCGAACTCGTTCAATGCCAATATGAAGACGTCTCCTACAAACTCGGGAGGATCCCGTCAATATCAGTACCACAACCTCAAGCCAAAAACATCCCTTCTATCGAGTTCGTTGGCTAACGAGCGTAAATCCAATCAAACTATAGGCTTTAACGTGGGTATGGGCTTGGGATTCCTGGCTTTGAACAATAATAGTAATACGTCTCCATCATCGACAAACTCTAATCACTCGTCCATGTTAACCTCTCCTCTTAATAAAAATACTTTTAGTATAGACGAGGGCTTGAGTGATCACCCAGAACCAGAGTTACTTGCCTCTTCTGTTGGTAAAGAAGTCGACGGTAGATTGATACCGTCGTCTTCAACCATATCTTTATTGTCTTTGAATAATAATTCGGGAGCTAATAAATCAAATAATGACCAACAGTCTTATCTTCCTTCTCCAAAAGGCGATTTTTCCAACCAACTGCAATTCCATAATCAGATCACCCAACATCCTCAACCTCAAGCTTTCATTGATCGTAAAAATTCTTATAATAATATTGCCAGTCGAAATTCCATAACTCATTTAAATCAAATTAGATTACAACCTTATCAAAAATTTACATCTCCTCCTCCTATACAACAATCTGTTCCCCAGCATCAACAAAATGATTTCATTTCATTCCAACCTCATGATACTTTCTCGCAAAGTATTCCAATCAATAATAAGAGCAATAATCCTCTAATAGTGCCGGACTCTCCTAACTTAGATCCTACTTCTTTGGGAGGCTCCCCTTCCAGATTCTGGCTATCATCTCAAACTCCTCCGCGGTCCTTAGCAGGCTCGTTTTCGAGAAATTCCAGAACTCAATTATCTCAAATGCTGCAGCAATTTCACAACCAACCGCACAATCAACAAAATCAAATCTACTTTCAACAATTCTACAGAACTCAATCTCCAATGCCTAATTCTAATAATAATGCAAAGAATTTTACTTTCACTGCTAATGCAAAAGCAATTGATATCGAAAGACAGAACGGTGATGTTTCTCCAAGCCTTAATCCAGTGCAGACTCCTTCTGAAGACCCTCCAATGACTCCGTTATACCTCAACGCAAATGGCCACGATAGCAAGGCCGAAGCTACTGGTTACTTTGACAGTTTGCATCTTGAAGCGACTCCATCCAATGATCAAGATGAGAGTAGTAGTGATGACGAAGTTGAATCAAACGGCCATTCAGAAACCCAGGCTCGTCCTGATGTCATCATGAATTGATTGATTTAATGATTTTTTTTATGCTTTTTTTTTATTTTTTTATTTTATTTTATTTTTTTTTTAACTCTTGAACTCTTATTCTGGTTCTATATTTAATCAACTTCAAAGTTCAATAGTATATGCATTTGTAGCCTTTACAGAAGATTTTGCAGTATCTTATCACGAATATAATGAGATGTCGCACGACCAAAATTGGGATACTGTAAATTTTGAGTTAATGGCAAAATCCACTAGACCTAACAGTAGATCATAGATCATGTCAACTTACGAAGGTATGTGGTGGTTCTACTTTCTATTCGAGTAATATCGACTAACCGACTACAAAAGACGACCATAATATAGCAACTACGACCAATCGTCGTAATAATAATCAACGAAATGGCCGACAACATCAAACGCTTGCATCAGTAATTGATACATTTTTAACATCAGATACCCAAAGTTCTAATGAGCCAGTAAGGGAGGCGTATACAAGTGCGTTGAGGTTAATGAACGATGAAGAAGGTTCATCAATGGCATCAAGATTACTTGAACTAATCCAAGATCGATCTGACGAGGATTTTGGGCTTTTCAATAAAGAGGAGGCTGGAGTATCACAAGAGTTCTTGGATTCTTTACCAAGAGTTAAAGTCAATGATTTAGAAAATAAGGATACAGCAGATTGTTCTATATGTACAAATAGATTTATTGATGACGATTATCCATTGGTTGTTCGTTTACCATGTGATGCACAAACTGTTGTTAGTGGGAAAAAGGCTAAAGGTCATATTTTTGATTTGGAATGTATTGCACCTTGGTTGAAAGTGAGTCCTACATGTCCATTATGTAGATTTGATGTACTTAAGGCGGATAAAAGAAGAAGAGAAAAATTAGAAGAAGAATTGAAAAAAGCACAAGAAGAGGATGAGGAGGAAGAAGACGACGATTGGGATGTTTACGGTTAGACTAGATATTAATAAAAGTAAAAAAAAAATCATCATTAATTAAGAATGTTTATATACAGAGGGATGTAGAACGAAATGAAACAAAAAGGACTATAAACAAGGATTAATTTTTTTATTTCTTTGCGTCTTGATCGAAAAATTTCTTAAAATCTTCAGATTTTAATATTTGTTGAACCTTAGCAGATATAGGATCATCAAGATCAGCATAAGCTTCAGGTAATTTCAAGTCTTCACTGGTTAATTTATCTAATTTATCAACAAAGTCTAATCCTTCTCTAGTATGAATGGATGCCTTATATTCAACACCTTCAATTGCGTATTTATTTATGAAGGATAACCATAATTCAATGACTTCTGGATTGGCATCAAATGCAGTTAATTTACATTGATAGGTTACTCTATGGAAATTTTCTTTTGATTTAGCTTGAGCAAAGGGTGATCTAATAACTGTATATAATCTTCTTTCAGTTTTCAATGGTTGGACATTTTTACATGGAATACCTAAATAAAATGCAGCTCTTCCAGCAAATTCAGAAGCTCTGGTTAAACTTTCTTGATCAAAACTCTTGAACTTGATTTGAGCTGCTTGATGCCCATGGGTTTGTGGAAGTGTTATTGGTTTATATTTTAATAACTCAACATTTATTGGCATTGGTCTACCACTTAAAGGATCTATATTTTCACTCGATAAGTATTTAGGAGCATACTCAAACTCGTCATTCAATAAGCTTTCCTGATATGCTTGTTCTTCTATTTGTTCCAATTGCTTTTTGGCAATATGCTCTTGGGGTGAATCAAACTTCTTTGCTGATTCTGCTGCCTTGTTACAAAGACCACTGAAACTAGAGAATCCTCGCTTTGGAACGCAGAATCCCAACATTCTGCTTCTTGGTAACACGCCTCTTATCATCTTCACGTCTGTTGCTTAACAATTATATATCAAAAGCCACTGGGTCCTTTGCAGTATTAAAGCTCTACTTTCCATTGAACAAATTTTTTCACTGGTTTTTGATATTGATTTTGGTGCACGACTGGGCTTTGGGTCTTTTTTTTTTTTTTTTTTTTTGGTTTCTCAGCGAATGCGACAACCTGCAGGACATGGTGAAATGACTGAAAAATTATTGATTTGAAGATGAGCTAACCATTGGACTTCAAAGAATACCCACTGGACGGCAGTTAACTATTTACAACGAGTGGCTCTTGCAGGATGGGGAAATCAAGTAAAGACAAGAGAGATCTTTATTACAGGCGGGCCAAAGAAGAAGGGTGGAGAGCACGTTCAGCATTCAAGTTACTTCAGTTGAACGATCAATTCCAGCTTTTCAATGGAGTTAAAAGAGTAGTGGACTTGTGTGCAGCTCCAGGGTCATGGTCCCAGGTGTTGAGTCGAGAATTAAAGGCACCAGAGAACCCAGAGGATGTTAAGATTGTTTCTGTTGACTTGCAACCAATGACTCCAATCGATGGGGTTACAACGATACAAGCAGATATCACTCATCCCAAAACTCTACAGAAGATACTTGAAATTTTTGGAGGGGAGCCAGCAGATTTTGTTTGTAGTGATGGTGCACCTGATGTTACTGGTTTACATGATTTGGATGAGTATATACAAGCACAATTAATTCTTTCTGCATTACAATTAACTACTTGTATTTTGAAAGAAGGTGGGACATTTGTGGCCAAAATTTTTAGAGGTAGAGATATTGACTTATTATACAGTCAGCTCAGCTACTTGTTTGAAAAAGTCATTTGTGCCAAACCTAGATCTTCAAGGGGCACATCATTAGAGGCTTTTGTTGTATGTTTGGGTTATAAACCTAGACCTGGATGGAATCCTAAATTGGAATTAACCAAATCCACCGAAGAGTTCTTTCAAGATGCCGATATTGGCAAAAGCTATAATCTTGAGTATTTGGATTTGCCAGATCCGGAAGAAAGACTCATTGCAAAGTTTGTTGCATGTGGGGACTTGAACGATGTTGATTCGGATGCTACGTATACTTTAGATGCAAATTTCAAAAAAATGGCATTAGACCCGGTTCAAATGCCAACTGCTCCTCCTTATAAAAAAGCATTAGAAATGAAAAGAAGGGGAGAGTTGGTTAGACGTTAGAATATTTTCTGTTTATGTACTTTAGTTTCAGTTCGCTTATTTATTTATATATATATTTATATCTTTATTAACTACATACAATTATTAGATACATACTTATGTATTGAGTTACAACAGAAACAACTATCTAATTTTCCTCTTTTTCTTCACCTTTAACCAAAGCATCTGGTTTCAAGGTTGGGAATAATAAAACTTCTCTAATAGTATTAGAGTTGGTCAAGAACATGGCCAATCTATCAATACCACAACCCCAACCAGCAGTTGGTGGTAAACCATATTCTAAAGCATTACAGAAGACTTCATCAACCATTTGAGCTTCGTCATCACCTTGAGCTTTTTGTCTGGCTTGTTCTTCGAATCTTTGTCTTTGATCAAATGGATCATTCAATTCGGTATAAGCGTTAGCAATTTCTTTAGTAGCAACGAAAACTTCGAATCTTTCACATAAACCAGGGATTTTTCTATCCTTTTTGGCTAATGGCGACATCATTTGAGGATGACCAAAGATAAAAGTTGGGTTAATGGAAGCATCTTCTAATTCACCAACTAATTTATCTAACATTCTAGCGTTAGTTAAAGGAGGAGAGCAATCTAATTTGTTATCAATTAAGATTTGTTTCAAGAATTTAGCAGTTTCTTCAGTGTGTAATTGATCTCCAGATGGGAATTTAACATTATAAACTTTTTCTAATTCTTCAATCATATTAATTCTCTTCCAAGGTCTAGAGAAATCTAAGGTTAATTCTTCACCTTGTGGGCCATCAGGATGATATTTGACTTTATAATCACCGGTAATTTCTTTAACCATTTCAGAAAATAATAATTCAGTCATATCCATTAAATCATAGACATCAGCATAAGCTTGATAGAATTCACAAGTGGTGAATTCAGGGTTATGGGTCATATCAATACCTTCATTTCTAAATTGACGACCAATTTCGTAAACTCTGTCCATACCACCAACAACTAATTCTTTTAAGAATAATTCTGGAGCAATTCTCATGAACATATCCATATTTAAATCGTTATGATGAGTAATGAAAGGCTTGGCGGTAGCACCACCAGCGATAACGTTTAAAATTGGAGTTTCAACTTCAGTAAAATCCCTTGAATCCAAGAATTTACGAATGTAACTAATAATTTTAGATCTAACTTTAAAACGATCTCTAACGTCATCGTTAACAATTAAATCTAAGTAACGTTTTCTATATCTAGCTTCTTGATCTTTGAAACCATAATGTTCGGTAGGTAACATATGTAAACAAGGAGTTAATAATTGAATGGCAGTTGAAAAAACAGAAAGTTCCCCTTCACCACCTTTAGCAGGAGCAGTTCTACCTGGATAACCGGTAACACCAATGATATCACCTCTTCTTAAGTATTCATGCATTTGTTCGTATAATTCAACAGATTCGACATCTTGAGCTTGGGCCATAATTTGAACTTGAACACCATCACCTTTTAAAACATAAAATTTCAATTTAGAACCAGCTTCTCTTTTGGTCATAATTCTACCAGTGATTTTGACTTCAACATCTTTTAAAGTTTCACCTCTTTTCAAATAACCGTATTTATTCAAGAACTCTGGCACAGTAATATTAAGACTAAACTTGTGAGGGTATGGGTTGAAAGATCCTGGATTAGCATCATGTTCTTTTCTCAATTCGTCAATTTGACGAGATCTGATTTCGTAATACTGATTTGGGTTCAAATCAGCCAATTGGTCCTTTTTCTTGGAAACTTTAGGAGCAGAAGCAGCAGTTTTAGCAGCTTTTTCTGCTCTTTTAGCTTCAACTGCTCTTTGCTTTTGTCTTTTTTTCAATTCAGTTTTAGAAACTTGTTCTCCAGTAACATCGTCCAAATAAGTTTTGGCAACTTGCTCGGTAACTTCTTTAACAGCGTCAGACATCCTTGCTTATCCTTGAATTCTAATAGCAAAAGAAAAAGGTGGTTCTTATCTTCAAATCACCGATGACTTGGGTCCTTTTTTCAGAGTTTTCAACAAAAAATTTTTCGACTCAAAAAACTGATTATGTAATAAACACCAAAAGCTTATGTAATGGCCAAAAAGGAAAATTGTTCAACGATGAAAAAAAAAAGTGAAAATTTAAGCTGATGGCTCCCATACAAGAAGGATTAGACTACAGTGAGTTAAGATGCCATCGAGACAAAGCGGAAAGAGTTACAAGAAGCCAAGTGCCACTGTACTTCAGATCGAGGCCAGTGCATTGTTTTCCATCATCAAACACACCTCGGAAAACTATCCATCGTTATACTCGGGGGCATTATTAGGGTTTGAAGATGATTCTGGGTTATTAGATATCACCCATGCTTATCCATATCCATATCCAGATCAGTATGAAGGAGGGTCGTTACGTTCCAAGAGCGGAAACAGATATCAACAAGAGATCTTGGATACATTAAAGGAATTAGATCATGGGATTGAATTTCAAGGATGGTTTCAATCAACCGTTAGTGGAAGTTATGCCACCAACCAATTAGTTGATTCCTTAGCACAACAACAGTTGAGTAATAATAATGCATTTGTATTGATTCACAATATGGCCTCGATTAACAAGGAGATTGAATTGAAAGCCATTAGATTAACTGAAAATTTTATTGGAGCTTATATTGATGGAAGATGGAAAACCAAGGATTTAGAAAATAACAAATTATCATTTTTAAATATTTTCGAAGAAATTCCAATCAAGATTCATAATCAACACTTAGTTAATTTATATTTATCAAACTTAGAAGAAAAAGATATTAAATCGCAAGAAGAATTTGAATTATTCAATTTAAATTCAAACCAAAATTCCACTGCTCAATTATTAGAAAGTTTATATAGTCAAATTGATTCCTATAATTTCGACCAAACCAATTTTAATTATTATCAAAGACAATTACAAAAAGAACATTCTAAAATTACTGCATGGAAACAACAAAGAAAATTAGATAATTTCGAAAGACAAAAGCGTGGAGAAGCCGAATTGGATCTTGACGAATGGCAATCCGTTTTCAGATTACCAAATGGTCCTTCAAGATATAATAATATCTTATACTCTCATACTATTGACGAATTGGCTGATGATCTTTTGAAAAAATGCGATGAAGAATTAACTAAAAGTTGTGCTATTGAAAGAAAATTAACTGCTCAAGATTAATCTGTAAATTATATATTAAATTAAGTTGTTATTTAGTTGTTATTCAACTATTGTAAGTTGTAAGTTGTAAGTTAAAGTATCCATTTATCCTAACGCACTTATGACCGATTTTTTTGCTCTCAGCTGATCCCTTTAGAAAAAAGATCAAAGCTGATTTTTGATAACAAGCAACTACTTTCTTTAATCAGTATGGGTAAGCCAAAGGTATGTATAAGGAAGATCTGGATCGGATCCTGAATGGTACTAACCGGCTATTTAGTATATTTTATTAGTCAGACACGGAGAAAGTGAAGGAAATTGTGATAAATCAGTTAATAGATTTACACCAAATCATATAGTGGCCCTTACGGAACAGGGACATATTCAAGCTTTAAGAGCAGGACAGGTGTTGAAAGACTTTCTACAACAAGAAATCTTATCGGATGTTTGTAAGAAAGTTCGGAATCCAAAAAGTATAATGTTTTATACGTCACCGTATTTAAGAGCACGACAAACGTGTAATAATATAATTGAAGGAATTAAAGATTTACCCGGAGTAGAATATAACATCCATGAAGAGCCCCGAATGAGAGAACAGGATTTTGGGAATTTCCAAAGCACTCCAGAAGAAATGGAATCAATTTGGGAAGAACGAGCTCATTATGGGCATTTTTTCTATAGAATCCCCCACGGAGAAAGTGCTGCTGATGTTTATGATCGTATTGCTAGCTTTAACGAGACGCTATTTCGACAATTCCAGCAAGACGATTTCCCCAACATTTTGATCTTGGTTACCCACGGAATATGGGCAAGAGTGTTTTTAATGAAATGGTTTCGTTGGTCTTACGAAGAATTTGAATCCTTAAGAAATATCCCCCATTGCCAGTATCTAATCATGAAACGTTGTGAAGAAAACGGCAAGTTCTGCTTGAAAACTCCTTTGAAAACTTGGGATGAGTTACCAGAATCAGATATCGATGATGAAGAAGTACAAAAAGAGTTTAAAGATGAAGTTACCTTCAATACCAAGGGGAAAATTCATAATCCTGAAGACATGGATATCTCTTCCATCTTGCGAGCTCAGAAAAACGCCATCAAGGCTTCTAGAAGTAAAGATCGGGAAATCAAAAAACAATTTGAGTCAATTAAACATGGCTCCAATTACTCTGATAAAATAAAGTCCCGGTTTAAACTAGAAAACCAAAGCGTAGCCAACAGCGTCGAAGACCTATCGAAGTGACCGCGTCGAAGACCTATCGAAGTGACCGCGTCGAAGACCTATCGAAGTAGTCTCCGTAAACAGTCTATAGTACATTATTTATTCATAAATCATATATTTATCATTATCCTATTCGTATATTCATATTCATATCATGGATCATGTCATGGCTGCAACATGGTGGAGGGACTACCATCACCTCATTCACCCTCGGAACAGGCTGATCCACCGGCGAAAAACTCCGTACCAATACCATCAACTGACGGAGCGTGAGCGAACTAAAAAAAAGGGTGAATGCCCCCGGTGCCCAATTGCTGCCGAAATATATATATAGGCCAGTCAATTCCCATAATTCCACTGGAAACTACTCTTTTTTTCTTTATATATCTTGATATATTTTGATACTTTCATCTCCATATATATATAATAATAATACAATTGCAAAATGGCTCGTCAATTCTTTGTTGGTGGTAACTACAAAATGAACGGTACTACCGAATCAATTACTTCGATTATTGATACTTTAAATAAGGCTGAATTACCAGCTAACGTTGAAGTTGTTATTGCTCCACCAGCACCATACTTGGCCTTGGCTGTTGCTCAAAATAAACAAAAAACCGTTGAAGTTTCTGCTCAAAACGTTTACACCAAGACCTCTGGTGCATTCACTGGTGAAATTTCTCCAGATCAAGTTAAAGACTTGGGTGCTACTTGGACTTTGACCGGACACTCTGAAAGAAGAACCATTTTCAAAGAAAGCGATGAATTCATTGCTGAAAAGACCAAATTTGCTTTGGAAAGAGGATTATCGGTTATTTTCTGTATTGGGGAAACTTTGGAAGAACGTAAATCTGGTATTACTCTTGAAGTGTGTGCTAGACAATTGGATGCTTTATCCAAGATTGTTTCTGATTGGACCCATGTTGTTGTTGCTTACGAACCGGTTTGGGCCATTGGTACTGGTTTGGCTGCTACTTCTGATGATGCTCAAGATACTCACAAACAAATTAGAGCTCATCTTGCTAAAACCATTGGTGAAAAACAAGCCTCTGAAGTTAGAATCTTATACGGGGGTTCTGCCAACGGTAAGAATGCTCCAGACTTCAAAGACAAGGCCGATGTCGATGGTTTCTTGGTTGGTGGTGCTTCCTTAAAACCTTTGGAATTCATTGACATTGTCAAAAGTAGATTGTAAGTAGTCAATTGAGTTTGTAATGATTTAAAATGATTAAAAATATACATTTATCCTAGTATTCGTTATGATGTAATGTTTCGGGCCAATGGACTTGGTGTATCTCCGAACCACTAAACCTCCGAGGCTCCGGGTCTCCTTCACCAATATCTTCATTACCTTCGTTACTTCATTACCTTCGTTACTACATTACCTTCAATACCTTCCCTAACAAGTTCAATATCTTGGCTACATCGTCATTACATGTTGATTTCCGGATCGTACATACATTGCTGCAAATTTTGACCTTTTTTCACAGAATTGCGAATCTATAAACCTAGCGATGCTTGCAAATTTCGATCCAACACCAGGCCAGCATGAGCTCTATCCCAGTTTCTCGCCTCACAGATCTTATTGAAGATATCGTTCAAATACCCTATATACTCTTCTTGCTTACCGTTTGTGAAAAATTGGTCGATTCCGAAATCAGTCTCAACCAATATTTGCTCATCGTCAACCACCTCCATTAACCCATGTAGTAAATCAGACTTGTTCTCGGTTCCATTAATGTAATCCGACATCAGAAAAAATAACCTTTGCGGTGATGTCTTATACTGCTTGATCCATTGTTCAGCTTGTTGAATCGATCCCGTGTAGGAATGTAAAATTATACTGGGGATCTGTTGATATTCCCCCAGTTTTACAATTTCAAATAATGGACCTGGTGCTTTTACACAATGCAACGAAATGGGTTTCCGATACTCGTTGGCTAGTTGTAATTGCCTTTCCATGATCTTTTTTTGGTGTTCTATACTGGTTTTACTCATGGTTAATTTATTTACCTGCTGCTCAGGTATTGGCACTTGCTGATTCCCATAGTACCCATTACTTGGGATTCTAAATAACTTATCTAATCCTAATTCTCCTACACCAACCACCAGATACTTTTTGAGCTTTGTAGCCATCTTGTTTAAATACTCTTCTAGATTTATCGGTTCAGGTAATACTTCTAGTAACTCCTCTGATGGTGCCGGTTTTAAAACTGAGTAATAATGCTCTTTTTTACTCTGCTTTGGCTCATCACTAAATAAATGAGAATACCACGGATGTATTCCAAAATATGGCACGACTGGATTAGTTGTCCCGTCCAATCTCTCTGCTATTTGGTCAATTATCTCAATGTCAAGATGGTTCGTTGACATTAAACTGAAAAATCCCCCTTTGTTCAACCGTTCTTCATGTCTTATGGTATCGACAATCGGCTCGATCTGCTCCTCAGTACACTCAGTACTAAGATGACAATGACTATCCCCTAGTATTAGATCACTCGACATGCTAGTTTGCTTTCTCTTAAGAAAAGGTGGTGCCATTCTGCTGTACCTTATGTTAGTTGATTTTTGTCTAGGAAAACATCCGTACATCTCCGTGCCACTTTCTTTCCTTTTCTTTTGGCAACTTTACAGAACCGTGTGGAAAGTTCATAGAAATGTTGCTACTTAATTGGAACATCACAGCAAGACACCATTATATTCATATATATATATCTATCTAAATCGGTCTAGATATCAAAAGTCTAGTGGATTTCTTATACATTACCCAATTTTGATTTGAATGACTGTCATAATCGCATCTTTGTATGTTGAAAAATCATGTCCCAATTTTTTTAAAAGATTTCAAATTTACTAACCAATTGACTTCAATCTAGGTTTTTGCCTTATACGGTGCAATTTGAGGTTGGCCCTCAAGCTGTTTTCGATGCCGATATTGCTGAAAAAGATGCAACGGCATCCTCTTTACAGTCAAAGGCTAAACAGAGATCAAATTCAGCTCATAGTGGATCGCCAATTCCCCAAGGTATTCCTCAAGGAATTCCGAATCAAAGCTCAATATTACCATCTTTAAGTATTGCCAATTCTCAATTACATTCTCCTGCTAACTCGTCTCCGAAAACAAGCGATCGCCGATTATCAAATGATTCGCGTGGTTATGAAAAGCAATCGAATCCTGGAGGTCAATCTCCTGCATTATCAAGTAGTGATGTCGAACAGTTTTTCTATCTGCATCACAAATCAAAGAAATCTTCTGGTGATAATGCCCCTCAAAATCCTTTAACTGACAATTTAAATGAAAAATTGGCTTCTCATTATATTCAACCCCGTTCCCGTTATAATCAACAAGTTCCTTCTCTGGTTGTGGACCCCAAAAATAAAAAGGATGATGATATTGGATTTTCTGGTTTGAAAATTAGCAGATCAAAAACTGATTTACCAAATTTGAACTCTTCAACAAGCTCTTTCACTAATTTAATTGGTGGTATGACCCCTAGCACTCCTGCAACTTCCTCCAAACCAAGATCCGCATTATCAAGAGCAAACTTCACTTTACATGGTAATAGTAGTCATAATTCTTTAGCTATTGCTGAAGAAGAAGAAGAAGAAGAAGAAAAAGGTAAACATGATTCAAGAAAATCTTCCACCGATCAAAAGCCAACCAATCCAAATAATGAAGATTTGGATGATTGGAAAAATAACTTTAATGACGTTGCTCATGGTAGATCCGAAACAAAATTAGCTCCATTTGGTGGATTTTCGAATGCTAATTTAGAATCTGGTTTTTCAAATCAGCAAAATATTTTCGAAACAGCTCCTTGGAAAATTGTTTTAACTGATAAAGGAAATGGGTCATTAACTAAAGCCGTTCGTTTATCAGTTGAAAGTGGAAAGATTCATAATCGTAAATGGGTTGGTACTTTATCAATGCCTAGTGATGTCGTTCCATCTCATGTTATTGATAACATTGCTCAAAACTTAAGAGATGAATTTAACAGTGAAGCCGTTTTCCCTAATGATATCACTTTCCAAGGTCATTATAAATCTTTTTGTAAACAAATTCTTTGGCCCTCATTACACTATCAAATTCCTGATGATCCAAAATCAAAAGCTTTTGAAGATCATTCTTGGGGCCACTACAAACTTTTGAATCAATTAGTTGCTGATAAAGTGGTTGAAGTTTATAAAAAGGAAAATGGCCATTTGGATCCAAATGACCCAGAAAATATTATATGGGTTCACGATTATCATTTATTATTAGCCCCTCAAATGATTCGTGAACAGTTACCCAACGCTAAGATCGGATTCTTCTTACACGTTTCATTCCCATCTTCAGAAGTTTTCCGTTGCTTTGCTCAACGTACTGCTTTATTGAAAGGTATTTTGGGTGCGAATTGTGTTTCTTTCCAAAATCAAGAATACGTCAGACATTTCTTGCAAACCTGCAATCGTCTTTTACTAGCTGATACTAATGAATTCGGAATTACATATGATGGTAAATTTACTAGCATTACCACTATTCCAGTTGGTATAGATGCCAATTCCTTAAGTCAAGCTATAATGAGTAATGAAGTCAACGAATGGAGAAAATTAATTAGAGAAAGATGGAGTGACCAAAATTTGATTGTCTGTAGAGATAAATTGGACAAATTAAGAGGTATCAAACAAAAATTACTAGCTTATGAAAAATTTTTACTTGAAAATCCTGAATTTGTCGATACCACTGTTTTAATTGAGATTTGTATTGGTAGTTCTCATGATTCTTCTTATGAAAGTGAAATCATGCAAATTGTGGCAAGAATTAATTCACTCCCAGAAAACATATCAGTTTCCCAACCAGTTGTTTTATTACAAAAAGATATTGATTTTGAACAATATTTGGCCTTACAATGTGAAGCAGAAGTTTTTGTGGTCTCCTCCATGAGAGAAGGTATGAATTTAACCTGTCACGAGTTTATTATTGCAACAACTGAAAAGAAATCTCCCTTAATGTTATCTGAGTTTACAGGATCTTCTCAATTGTTAGACCATAGTGGTAAAGGTGCTATTTTAATTAATCCTTGGGACATTAAAAAATTTGCTGAAATGTTTAAATATGCTTTGACTATGAATCCAGCAGAAAAATTAGAGCGCTGGAGAAATTGCCATGATACGGTTGTAACTCATGATTCTAAGGCTTGGGTTGTGAGCTGCATTGATAGTATAAATGAAGCTTGGGATCGTGACCAATGTCGCCACTTGAGCAGTTTGACTCCTTTTACAAGAGATGTTTTTGAAAATTTCTATAATGATCAACAAACAGGGACAGGTAAAAACATTTACTTCTTGAATTTGGAAACTCCATCTGCTATAAGCCCCACTAATATAAATGATCTTAACAAGGTAGCTGCTGGAGTTAGTGATCCAAGCAAAACTCCATTCTCCGAGCCTAATAAAATTTCTAAGCTTTTAAATGGGCTTTTATCAGATCCTAGAAATCAAGTTTACCTCATCAGTTTTATGAAGAGGAAAGATTTAGAGGCGTTGTATAGAACGGTTCCAAACTTAGGTTTGATAGCTGAGAATGGTGGTTATATTAAACTTATTGGTTCTGCCAGATGGGTTTCAATTGTTGATGAAAATGAATTAAAGTATTGGATGCCTCAAGTTAGACAATTGATTGAAGCAAAAGCAGAAAGATTAATAGGATCACATTGTGAAGTGGAAGATTGTACAGTCAGATTCCATCCAGGTACTTCCATAAAAGAAGATCGTGAAAGAAGTTTGGATACCATGGGTGATACTATTCAACATATAAATGATGTGTTTGGAGATAGAGATGGAGTTCATGCTGCATTAATCAAAAATGTAGTTGTTGTTCAACAAGACCATCTTTGTTTAAAAGCTTTGAAGTTCATTGTATCATATTATAATCATAAATCATCCGGTACACCATCGAAAGAATTGATTGAAGAATACCAAGTTAAACGAGTACCTTCCTCGGTACCAACTACTCCAAGTGCTGAGCACCATCCAGATGATCCAATAATTTCGCCAATTGCATCACCAGCCAATCCAAACTTCCCACGTAATTCACCATTTGGGAAAGTTTCCTCTAAGAGTCCGGTGTCATCAGTATTTTTCAGCGGAGGATCTACTAGGATCGATGATCCAAGTTTTGAGTATGTAAATAATTTAAAAGAGACAGGAGAAGTGGATAACGTCTTGACTATTACTGTGTTAGGAGCCGATACCGATGTTAGGACTTCGGCATATTACAGAGTTGCAGGTAAAAACGAACTTTTAGGTATTTTATCTAATACGGATGCCGCATGAATAAGAGTTATATAGAAACATTTGAATAAAATGTATATAAAAAAAATTAATACATACATATAGATATACTGTACATTCGTTAGGCCATCAAAACTATTTAAAATTGTTTATCTTTATAGCTAGTAGCAATCATATTATTTAATTCATCGAAGGTATCCAATAAGGCTTTATCTTCATCTTCATCCATTGGATTAATTTTGTTCCAGTAATGCACCAAGAATTCATCTTCACTAACAAAGTTTGAGTCTTTAGGTCGGTTGACGGTCCATAAGGTTTCTTTAGATCTTTTATAAGTTTCACGGTCGTCTTCCATTCTCATTAAGATTTGCTTTTTGGTAAGAAGGTTTGTATCTGGTTTAGTAGTTGGGGGTTTCGTATTAGGTTTGTTAATTCTAACATTGAATAATTCGTCTTCTTCTAATGGGGCATCTAAGTATTCGCCATGTTTTAGTAATCTAAGTCTTTCATATTGGCTTTGTTTCTTCTTTTTAATAAGCAACTCCCAAGTAAGTATTAATGGGTCAATATTATTAGAAGGTTCGTCTTCTAATTCTACTTCTGGGTAAGGAATATTTAAATCCAAATTTTTCAAGTCATCTGCATTGAATTGATTTTGGATCGAATTATATTTGAGTTCATAATCATCGTAATCGATTTTGAATGTTTTAGAAATGTTTTTCAAACTGGTATAGATATTGTGCAAACTTGTTATATTGGACCCTGGTAAAACTTTTAATAAAATTCGAGGTAAGGAGTTTTTAACGCTATGAATATAAGGATAATTGTAGTGTGACTTTGGTTGTTCTGAAACAGCAGTAGATTCGTGAATCAACACTTCAATGAATTGAAATATGGTTGATTTAGTATTTAATTCAACTGCATCATCGTTTATTGAATCGATTATTGAGTGAAATAAGTAGTCTTCACTTTCAGCATTTTTCAAAGCAAAATGAGCAGCTCGGGTCAAGTTTTGAAGAGAAGGGGTTAAGCTTCTTAGTATCTGGTTAAGCTTAGTGCTTGCCTCAAAGGAGTCCATGTTACCAGCGTTTTATTAATCGTGGTTGTTATGCAAATTATCAGCTGGAGTTTTTCAAATAGAGTACTCAGTTAGCTCGAGATTTGTAGATGTACGGGTCTTGCTCCTGAACAAATAGGCGAACAGTTTGCAGCAGGATCATATATATACATATATATACATATATATATATATATGGAAAGATATCTGACCAATCAACAAGGACAAGAGTATATAAATGTACTGAAGAAGAGAGAGCAACGAAGAGTCACCTATGCGTTAACCTGATATTTACTTCTTGTATGTAACTAGGAAATAAAACTACGACGTAAAAGTAGGACATAAAGCAGGACATAAAGCCGGACATAAACTAGGACAAAGTACGAAATGACAGTAGGACATTAGAGTAGGACATTTCAAAAAGGAATTAGGTTATAAGACCCTTCTACCAAGGGTCCAGAGTTTTATTCACAGCACTTGTAACATCTATTCAAGGTTGGCTCGCATCCCCATCATACAATTATTGTGCAAAAACATACAAAAATGACAAAAACATACACCAGGACAACCCAGATATGCATTAAATACAAACTAGAATACCACCAAACACTACAAACCGAAAACCATTCATTTTTGGTTGCAAATTCAGGTTATTCATTCTCAGATTTACTCCCATCAGGCGATATTGCAGGTTGCACACACCCAACCTGCACATCCATTACATAAGCCTACGATTGAGCAAAAAAAATTTTTTTGTGAGTAACTGAGTTGGTGAGGTTTAAAAGAAGAAGATAATTACTTTCTTTCTTGCTTAGAAGAAACCTTTATAGATATACACGCCAAAATGGGTAAATCCGGTAAAGGTAAAGGTGGTAAAAACAGAAGAAGAGGTAAGAATGTTAACGGGGGTCAAAAGAGAGAATTGATCTATAAAGAAGAAGGACAAGAATACGCTCAAATCACCAAGATGTTAGGTAATGGTAGATTAGAAGTTAGTTGTTTTGATGGAATTAAAAGAATGGGACATATTAGAGGTAAATTAAGAAAGAAGGTTTGGATGGGACAAGGGGATATTATTTTAGTTTCCTTGAGAGATTTCCAAGATGATCAATGTGATGTTGTTCATAAGTATAACTCTGATGAAGCCAGAACCTTGAAGAATGTTGGTGAATTACCAGAAAACGCTAAAATCAATGAAACTGATACATTTGGTGCTGATGAAGATGAAGATGTTAATTTCGAATTTGGTGAAGATGATGATGAAGAAGAAGAAGAAGGATCCGATTTAGATATTGATGATATTTAAGCTGAATCCGTTTATGCATTTACTTTTTATTTAACTTCTTTTATACAGTGTATTTTATAGTTTCTTGTTTAGTATTTTAATTTATAAATTTTACAAAAAACCAATGTAACTTATTTTAATTCATTAGACGTAAGAAATTAGAAAACTAAGATTATATTAAATATTACAAAAGCTATAAACAAATCTAGTTAACTAAAGCAGAAGCAGTAGCAGATTCGTATTTCCAGTTTGGAGGTAAGACAGCAACGGTTCTGTAGTATCTAGCTAATCTGTGAATTCTGGATTCGATTAAAATTAATCTGAATTTAGAATCTTTATCTTTTCTGTTTCTTTCCAAGTGTTTTCTGACGGAAACAGCCTTTTTAATTAAAAAGTATAAATCTTCTGGGATTTCTGGAGCTAAACCGTTAGATTTTAAGATTCTTAAAATCTTGTTACCGGAAACAACTTTAGTTTGGGAAACACCGTGAGCATCTCTTAATAAGACACCAATTTGAGATGGAGTGAAACCTTTTCTGGCGTACTTGATAACTTGTTCAACAACTTCATCAGAAGTTAATTTGAACCATGATGGAGCGTTTCTAGAGTATGGGGTAGCAGAAGAAGAAATACCTTTACCCTAATACGAGTTAGTATAGATTCTTTACCTAGAAACGAACCTCGTTCATTCCCCGATAAACCTTACAATAAAAAGTGGTATCGACCAGTCATAACCGCATTGGCACTATCCTGACATCAAGTATCAAAAGCGAAACTTCAAATCTCAAAGGATTCAAAAACTCTTGATAAGACTCAAAATATCCAGCCCATGCAACCGTATCGATCCAGCATATGTTCATTCACTAACTTCCTATCTGTCCACACTTATTATTGAAAGCTGAAAGTATTGTATACATACGGATGAGTGTAATCTAGCCATTTTTGTTGTTTGATAAAGAAGAAGAAGAAGCTCTGAAACTAAAAATTTTTCACCGGCTCCTTTAAGTAATGAAACTTTTTTTTTTTTCAGCGATGAAGTATTTGTGCACGCGCACGTCCGTTCCAAACTTTTTTTTTTCTTTCTTCTTTCAGCGCCGGTACAACAGTTACACTACATCCACAGTACAGCAAAGCGTAAATATGAGCATTGACTTTTAGACTCGCGCACGTCCTTTCTTTATACAAACAAAGATTGCAAAAACTACTGCAATTGGTCTTCCATGTCCTCAAAGTCTTCCTCCTCCTGGAACTCGAGGAGCTTGGAAACCCCGGCTTTTTCCCGAAACTGTTCCACGGCCCCGGCGTACAACATCTGGTTGGCCAGGGATGTGGGGGGTCTCCAATAGACAAGCACCAACGGATTCTTCAATCTTCCATCTGGCAACTTGAACGGATAGGATAAAAGAACGTAACGGGGGCTGTTATCGGGTAAATCTTCCACGAGTTCCTCGATCGACTCGTAGACGGTGGCCCCGTCTTCCTTCCTGATATCATAGGATTCTTTATCAATGGTATCTTTCCCGAGAAATGGTTAGTATAATCGTAATTACCAACGCAATTGGGGGATATCTAATACATACATATAATGGCTTGCATTTTAGTAGCTCTGCCACTGGCAAATCGAAACTTTCGAAGATCCGATAATGTTTCGGATGAAAACCCGTATAACGAACTCTGCTGCGGTGTTAGTAGTCTTGCCAATGGACCATCCATGTATCAGATACGTACCATCTTAAAGCGAAGGACTTGGGGAGGTTTGATTAAAAGTTAATTGGAAAATCATGAACAAATAGACCGAGAGGTCGTGTAGCAGGGGCCACAAATAATTACTACTCCCGAAAAAGACATAATTGTAAACAAAACTCGCTCAAATCAATCTCGATGAAATACAACAAGTCTATTGATTTGGAAAGCACAGAACGGGTCAATACATCAACAGTTGGACTTGATTTGGTGAGAAGTATATAATGTTTAAGACATCACAATACTTTTGACTCGATTTTTTCTTCTTTCCATTTTGTTAGCGCCCTCGTTTTCTTTTGTTTTTTAATAATTAACCTTGGATTAAGGTATCCAACTTGGTAGTGAAATCACACAATCTTACCCCCTATCCCTCATTTGTCTGACTTGAAGGAAGCAGCAGCCCATCGTTTCTCGTCTCATTGCTCTTGGTGTTGTCACTTTGCAACCAGAAGACTATAAAAACGCTTAATAAGCTCTTTTTTTAGTTTGACTTAGCAACAAGCTCATACATTCTTTTCATCACTAAAGATCCCAATTAACAACCTAGTTTGTTCCTTGTGTCTCGATTTCCGTGTTTCAGTCGGTTTTGGTTAGTTGGAAGCGTACTTTCTTGCTTCTTGTACCTAACGACACCTGAATTGAACAAAGATTCACTGACTTATTCGTTTTTTAATTTTTCTTTAACTGTTTTACTATCAAAATCGCCTTTGCAACTGGTTATTATTGACGGTTTTAATCATTGTTTCTTATTTAATACTTTTCCATTATTGTTCCCTTTCGATCTCACTTTTTAACTTATTTCATTATATTTTCGAGTTTCCCTCATTAAAGTATAAGCTTCAAACTTCTCCCACTCCGTTTCCCTTACCACCAAAATCTCCATTGTTCAAATTTCGCTCTTGTCCTCCCGTCTAGTGTCAACCCAATTGAACAAGCTCATCATCCACATATTTTTTCCCCTTTGATTCATTTGCAAGCTTCGCTAAGGAAAGAAATTACAAAACTAAATTTAACAAAAAAAAAAAATCCATTAAAAAAGAAAAAAAAAAAAAAAAATTAAACAAAACGAAAAGGAAGAAGATTCATCCTCGAAATATCATAGAACCTTTTGCCCTTGATTTTTCGTCTCCTGTTTTCTTTTTCACCAATTCACTGACTTTCAACTTCCTGACCCCTTTTTTTCATTCTATTCTCCTCGAGTTTTTCCATTCGAATACAAATTCCAATTCCGTCATCTCATACCTCCATCTTTCTAAGTTTATCATATTCCAATCTTCACCATGCCGAGAAACAGAATAAACGTTCCTCTTATCGAATTCTTAAAGAGTACGTATCTCTACTTTCCAATTCTTTCCAATTTCTTCTGTTACTAACAATTGACTTTTTAGACCGTATATATCTCGGAGCTTATGATTTCACTCCTCCTGATACTAATGACCTTGTTTATTTCACAGTAGAAGATGTCTTGGCTTATAACCCTTTCCATCTTGATTTTGGTCCTTTACACATTGGAAGTTTATACAGATTTGCAGTCATTTTACATAATATTTTGAATGAAGAATCAAATCAGGGTAAAGCAATTGTTTTTTATTCAAGTACTTCTCCTAAAGAAAGAGCCAATGCTGCTTGTCTTCTCTGTTGTTATATGGTATTAGTTCAATCTTGGTCTCCTCATCAAGTTTTACAACCAATTTCTCAAGTTGATCCTCCTTTGCAACCTTTCCGTGATGCTGGTTATTCAAATGCTGATTTTGAAATAACTATTCAAGATGTGGTTTACGGGATGTGGAGAGCAAAAGAAAGAGGTATGATTGTTTTAACAAAATTTAATCTAGAAGAATATGAACAATATGAAAGAGTGGAAGAAGGTGATTTTAATGTAATTTCAAAAGATTTCATTGCTTTTGCCTCGCCAAAACAAAATTCAAGAAGAAATGGATTGAATGAGCCTTTCCGTAAAGTTTTAAATTATTTTATGATGAATAATGTTGACTTGGTTGTTCGTCTTAATTCTCATCTTTATGATTCTTCAGAATTTACTAAAAGAAATATTCAACATATCGATATGATTTTTGAAGATGGTACTTGTCCAAGTTTAGAATATGTTCAAAAATTCATTGGTGCTGCTGAATGTGTTATTCAAAAAGGTGGTAAAGTTGCAGTTCATTGTAAAGCTGGTTTAGGTCGTACTGGTTGTTTAATTGGTGCTCATCTTATTTATACTCATGGTTTTACTGCTAATGAATGTATAGCTTATATGAGAATGATGAGACCTGGGATGGTTGTTGGTCCTCAACAACATTGGTTATATTTACATCAAAATGATTTTAGAGACTGGAGACATACTATGTGTTTGGATGATAGACCCGATGAAATGATAGGTGGGTTATATCCTTTAACTTCTTATGAAGAATTAAAAGCAAGATTAAAACAAGAAGCAAAACAACGTAAAATCCAACATCAACAACAAATTAATTCTTCAATGAGTCATATTGATTCTTCTTTCAATACACCAATTAGAAGACGTAAGATTAGTGGTGCTCTAGCTGCTAAAATTCAAACAGCAGTGCCAGTGGAATCTCCTGGTCAACCAAGAAAATATCAAGATCAAGATGAGAATTCGGGCGTAGTGGAAGTTATTAATAATTCTGATGAAGAAGATGTTGACGATGATGATAACGTTGAAAATGATGATATTATAATTGGTAATGGTACCGAAAGTATGGTTCAAGAAATTCCAAGTCCTTCTCCTCCTTCGCCGCCTCCTTCAAATTTACCTCAAGTTAAAACTCCTAAAACCTCTCATTCTGCCAATACTTCTACTCCTTATGATGTTGAAGCTGAAATTCATAACGCCGATGGTACTGTACTAAATAGCTCTCCGAAACGAGAGTCAAGTATTCCAAATTCTAATGATTGGAAAGTTTTACGATCTATTTCAACAAATAGTGCTTCTAATCAACCTTGTCATCTCACTAAAACTACTACAACAACAACTACAAGAACTGTTAGTACGACACTATCGTCTTCACCGCGACAGTCTTCTGGATCAGCTAATGGAAGTGGTGTTAAAACTCCAAAGTCTAGATCCGGTAGTCGACCATCGTCTGGAATGATCGTTTCTAGTGGTAAAGTTGGTATAACAAGTCCTGGTCATGGTCATTCCCATAGTCAATCTCATCTGCATAATCCTCATAGTCATCATAATGTTCATAATGTTCATGGATCTCGAGTTCAATCATCCGGAATTCGCAAAGTCAGTAGTGGGGTCAGTCCCCGAAAATATTAAAGGTATTTTCAATAACTTAATGGCTCAAGGTTTAATCATGTAAATTAGAATATTCAACTTGTTCTACTTCTCCAATTTTTCATCTTAAAAATTCTTGTTTTATCCCTCTTGTTCCTGGCAATTGTGATTAAAACTGGGAGTTTTTTCTATTCCTTCTCTTTCGTCTGTCTTTCCTGTTCTCTCTTTTTTTTCATATCGTTTCGAATATTGTTTACTTCTTTTTTTTTGGTTTTATTTCAGCTCCATTTGTTTTTATTTTATGTTCTCTATCTTTTTGTTTTTATTTAGGCTGTCTATGTTTTTCTTTTAAATTTGTCTTTCTTGCATTAAAATGTCTATTTTGACAATCATCAATTATTTTATATATCATTGCTTATGTATTATTATATAGAGTGATAAGTATATACTTATTTTCCTTATTTTCTAATTTGTATTCTACTGTAGATCACTGGTCTTCGTAAGCAGCTTCAATAACTTCAAAGTCACCATCATTCACATATTTAAACGCAAGTATGTCATAGTCACTAAAGATTAAATCTTTCAAGTTGGCATCATCTATAGGAATCCATTGGTTATCGTACGGTGAGCTTTTATCTTTTGGAATTGCAATACTAATATCGTTTTTAGTGACCGACTTTCTGTTATCATCGCCACCCTCTTCTAATTTGACATCACCATCGTCATCAATAAGTTCTGACTTAGGAACTTCTATATCGTCTTCATTTATTTCGTTATCGTACGAAGCATCATCCTTATCTTCCAATAACAAGCCACCTGAATTGTTGATCGCGTCTATTAATTGGGTAATGAAGTGATCAACCGTGATTGTTGACTTATTTGGAAAAGTAAATGGTAATGTATAAGTGCTTCTATGCCTCTTAAATTTCAATATAGTCAATTGGTTTGCTGATTGGTTTCTCGATAGCTTGGGTGCCTAAGTTCAATCATATTAGTAAAGAATCTTGAATATTAGATTGATCGCAACTTGAACTAAATCAAGCCAGATGCTTAAACATACCATGTTCTTTTAATCTATTTGTCTTGTTGTAATAGTAGTGATCAGAGAAAGGGCCTCCATTTATCAAAGCTTTTGATAAAAAGCTACCAAAGAAGTCTTCTGCGAGAAACTGAAAAAAACGAAAAAAATATAAAGTATCTGAAAACCATTATCAAACTATCCTTATTTATCTATGTACATACCAGTTAGTGAGCTCTTACTGAGCCCGACTCATAGGTCGCTGGTATTGGCTCTATATAAATCATTGTTACGCAATATAAGGCACCTTCCTGTTCCTCATCAGACCTCGAATCAAATCGAGCATCCTCATCGAGAAATAAATAGAGAATTGCAAAAACTTAGAAATGACCCAGCATCATACCGAAAACTTTTGAAAACAGAACTTGAGTACTCCCTCCAGGAAGAGTTTAGGACGGGAGTGCCGCATAATCAATTCATTGGTGACATTCTTTATAAGAGACTCAAACGGGGGGTTGATCTTGACGAAGCACTTCTGGCTGTGAAAGAATCCAATGAGGTGAAGAATTGGTTAGTTTTACTAGAGAAATTAGTTCATTATAGACTCAAGAGGTTCCGTGATCAAGTATGGAGAGGTCAGAACGTTGAAAAGATGAGTAAGATCAACGAAAGAAGAAATCACAATAAATCCGGTCTCAGACATGTATCGATAAAAGGGCCCAATAAGAGACCAAAAAACTATAATAAGCTAAATCCAAATGAGAAATTGGATAGGCTCGCTTCCACCCTAGACGAATCGAGGGCTAACTCGTGGATGGTTCTTTGCCGATTTTTAAAACTTTCACAACAACAGTCATTAATACCGAACCCATTTCTTCTACCTAATGTCACCCGAGATTATAATGTTAAGACCGATGATTTGTTTTCACCTTCTCAGATCTTACCTGGATCGACGAAGATGTCGATCATGAAGCAAGCATATGACATGGAGTACGTTAATGGTATAATCAAACCAAGTTTAGAGTATGATATCAATAAAAGACATTATCTTGAGAAACTACAACAAATTGTTAATGAAAAGGGCCCTCAGCTAGTGAGAGTTCGTATGAATACTGCAGGAGAGGTCGCAATACCAATAGTCAATATCCCAACTAACAACACTGATAAACTACGGGAAATAGCATTGGATACTAAATGGCTGGTTGCATTATATAATACCGAGAGAGTTTGGAATTCGCTGAGAAACGAATCTTTAAGTAAATGTGGTCAAATATTCCTGGACGGAAGTGTTGCAGTGAAGAGGAGTGGTGGTTTTGGCTTAGATGAAAGAATATTCCCGAGATGGTATTACGATGATCTCGTTGAAGGTGAAGCAATCTGGGAGTTCATCATTAATAAAGCTGGGAATGACCGGGTAAAATCAAATGACCAAAAAGAATATGAATCAATTTTACAATCTTGGATGGAACCACTTGATATTACACCTATTGTCCTCAAATCCAAATTCAATCAATTGAGAAGTAGACATTCTGATCGAAAAACACTAAACCAGGCCCAAGAGGAAAACCAGCATAAGCAAAATTCCCATTATGATTTGCAAGTGAGAAGACTCAATGGAATCACGGATTCTCTAGAGAAAAATCGAGTATTCAAGCATTCAGAAATTGTTAACCCGGATAAGGTTACTAAAACTTACAATGAGTATTTAGAAAAGGCAAAGACTCCAACCAAAAAAACATTTCCTTCTGGAATACCAGTTTTAGAACGAATTGGTATGGGTAAAACTTTGGGTGATTACATTGATGAACAAGATTATCATAATTTCAAATTTGGGAAAACCTTCAAACCAAGATTCAAACTTTAATACTTTGTAAATAGTTCTACATATACAGTCAGGTAAGCTTTCATTTGTAAAGGGTTAGGCAAAAAATATATATAATATGAATATAAATCAAGGTCGTTAAAATTAAAACATCAAGAAATTTGACAGAATTGAGTCATATATGAAAACACAAGCCATGAATAAACAAACTTAATGCACATAGGAAGAAAAAGCAGAAGTCAACAAAATCGTTAAAGCGTAGCAAAGAGTCTAATCAAATAAAAATAGCAAATATATGAGGCAATTTTTCATTTTAATCATAAGAACTTCAGGACTAGACGACATAACCACCGAAGCTTTTATTGGTTGTTACATAACCTTCCACTGCGTTGGTATCTGTTTCGTCTTCGGAATCAAGATCATCACCGTGAACTCCACCCTCTTTCTCAACAATTTCGAAATCTTCAATCAATTTAATAAGTTCACTGGTATCCTTATCATCTTCAGAAACTGAAAGACCGTTCATCATTGTGATTACTTCTCCAAGAGTCTTTCCTTGTTCCTTCAATTCCCGATGTTTAGCAAGAACTTCTTCAAGGCAGGTGATAGTATTCTCGTACCAAGATCTGATAGCAGGAAATGGAGGTGCTACCATTATATCTTTTCGAGCAAAAACTGCTTCCAGACTTAACTGGTTTCTGTAAAAAAGTGAAGCTTGGTAATGTTCTTTGCAGCAATATTGGGAGAGATATGTATTGGGTAAAATCATCGATGGTTTCCTATTATATATCTGATATTTAGTCGTTGATGTTGCTGAAGCGCCTGGAGACGCAAATGCCGGCAGTGTCGAAGCCGATCCATTGCTTATCACAGACAGGCGGCGGACATTCTGCTTGGGAGACTTATTGCAAGTGATGTACCCACATTGGTGCTCGATATTACGTTCTTCAATGATTTCGTCATAGATCTGTGGGGTTAAAAATCTGGACAAAAACTTTAACAATTGCAAATCAACAAAATGATCTAGTAATAATTCAGTAATTAATAACAGAAGGCGTGATGCTTCACCCGGTGACAAAGTATCTTTATTGGCTAGTCCGGTTATATGGGGAAGAAACGATTCAACTGTAAGTAACTCCATTCTGGATCAGACTACCAAGTGAGATCATGCAATAGTACGCAATATAGCTGTGACAATTCGTTTGGGAAAAACAACCTGGGGGTATTTAAGAAAGTTTTCAAGTGACTCAAGGCTAACTACCGAAGATTATAATAGATTGGTGGTGAAGCTTAGATTCAGCTGCTTTTACAATCAAAACAAAGTGCTGCATCGTTCATTCTGGTTTTCAATTTCACCCGTACATCTTGTATGTACGGAGGTGTTAAATTGATCACGTGCAAGAGATAAAAAATACACATTTGCAAAGAGTGGAATTCAAATCAAACAAACAATAACCGATTGATTGATTCATCACGGTCTTGCAAGAGGTTATATATATGAAAACTAACAAGTCCATTTATGGCTCGATCCAAACCATCTAGTGCTAGCGGGGCCAGTTCGAATGCTGCGGGCGGTAGTACGTCTGGACTCGAGAGCAGAGATAAAGAATGGCCGACTTCAAGTCCTAGCTTAACTTCAGTGAATGTCAATCATCGGTCTACATCCAGGCTTTCCAGTACTTCTATGGAGCATCCTAGATCCCGGTCCAGGTCGAGGTCGAGGTCGAGGTCCAGTTCGTTTCCAAGATCCCGATCTTCTACAGCGAGTTCTTTTCTTGCTTATATTTCTAATGGAACCTATGGTACGGGATCAGTTAGTAGGGCTGCTAGTGTCAGTACTTCCAGGAATCGAAATAGAATATTTTCTTTGTTTCGGCTTTTGATGGTTGAGCTAAACCTTCCTTCAGAAAACAAACATGGCCTCACCAAGACTAACTCGATGCAAAACAGTAATGCTGATGCGGACATGTCATACGAACAGGTATTAAACTTGCTAAAAGTTCCTCTAGTTTTGGAAAAATTCATGATTTTTGGTTGTTTGGTATGTCTCAATTCATTTTTAACGTTGTTTACTTTGGTACCACTTAAGATTTGCATTATGGTTTATAGACTGGTTAGGAAATTTATAATTCATTACAGATCACTGGGACAGTTAAGCTATTCAATAATTTCAGATGGCTTACGTTTTGTGAAGCGTGACTTGATTACTATTTCCCTAATCATATCAACTGTGCTTATACTATCATTACCAAATTTAGATATCTCAAGAATGTATCACGACGTTAGAGGACAGGCCCATATCAAACTTTATGTCATGTTTGGTGTTCTAGAAGTGGGTGATAAATTATGCTCTTCGATCGGTCAAGACATCTTCAATATTTTATATGGAATTCCCTTATTAGCATTCAAAGATATTTCAACTGACAGTAATCGGGTAAACCAACTCAAACTTACTATATTTTATTTTCTTGCATTAGCATATTTATCTTTCCATTCTTATATATGCATTTATCAAACTGTTTCACTAAATGTTGCTGCAAATTCTTATTCTAATGCCTTACTTGCTCTTTTACTCTCTAATCAATTTGCAGAATTGAAATCTTCCGTTTTCAAAAAATTTGAACGTGAAGGCTTATTTCAAATTACTATGGCTGATTTGACTGAAAGATTTCAATTGACTTTGATGCTTGGTGTTATTGCTTTGCGAAACTTATTACAATTAAACACTACTCACCTTGGTTTGATACCTAATAGTTGGACTAGTTGGAATAAATGGATCGGTGCTATATTTGGACCAAGTATCGTCGTATTAGGTAGTGAAATTTTGGTTGATTGGTTAAAACATTGTTACATTACCAAATTTAATAGGGTGAGACCTAGGATTTACAGAAATTTTTTATTTGTTTTAACTTTAGATTATCTTGAAGTTTTTAAGGGTCCTTCCAATGCAAATTTATCGAATGAACTATCTGACTATATTGTGTTAACCAAAAGAATTGGTATACCCTTGTTAGCATATATTGTCTGTTTTCTCAGAATGACATTACCTGATTTGAAATCTTTATTCATTTACAGAGACTCTTCGATTACTTATTCAATAGTTGTTACATTCAGTCTTTTCTCAATATCATTCTTCACATTATTATTCATTCGTTTGATGCTCGGGTTAGCTTTATTAAAATGGGCCAATCGTATAAAACACAACCATCAAGCATACCAAGCACATTTGAAATCTCAGCAACAATATACTGTTCAGCAAGAAAGTGTGCTCTCCCCTACTGATAATCCACACTTATATACTCCAGGAAGACAGATTGCGGATAGTGTAACACCTAACCAATCATCGGTGGCATCGAAGGACTCGAACGTCGACGAAATAGGTGTTTTCAAGTCGTCCACAAATGCTCTAAGACCGCCCCGAACTTCTACCGGAGCATCCTCTCAGCCTAAACCAAGTGTGTCAGCATCCCCCAAAACTGCAGCAAAATCGCCATCATTTCTGAGTCATGGATTATCACTACTCGATTTGAATCTTCCATCGCGTACTCCGTCACCGATTGATCCGTTATTGGTTGCGGGAAATAACACGATGGATGAGTCTGCTGTTATTGACGAAGATCCACTATCAACAAATTCAACAAGTCAACAAATGCAAGAGGGTGTTGATTTGTCCTTTAGATCCCAAATTGATATGTCATTTTTACCTGGAGTCCCAAACACAGAACCTTCAACTATAAACCCAACTACTAGGTCATATTTATATGACTTTGGAGAAAAGGTCCCACCAACCGTTGAAGAACGACGTAATAGACAGTTAATGAAAGTGCTGAAAAATCAGGATAGACTGATGGAGCTGAGTAGTGATGATGAGGTATTGGGGAAAGTGAGGCGATACGAAATGTCTAGTAAAAGAATATGGTGAAACAAAAATGATTTGATACCATAACAGATTTTATTTTTGAACTATATACAAGTATTTAATTATTATCTGGAAAGGACTACACTCTAATAAATTAATTTTTAATATTTCTAATCGGGGAATAAGTCGTACTTCGTCTCGGAAAATGAAACAAATCATTTTTGTTTCATAAGTTGATCTTTCATCAATTTATTAATGTAATGCATAGTTTCTGGTCTAGGTTTTTTCAAACGGGAACAATAAGCCAAAACAGTGGTTAATAAAGCCAAAGCACCAGCTTGATGAGCAGCAGCCAAGGGAATAGGAACTAAGTAAATTAAGGTTGATATACCCAAAGTGACTTGTAAAGTAAGGAATCCCATAACGGCGTGAAACATTTTAGCGGCATGACGAGGAATGATTGCTTTACGTCTATTAGCATAGAGATGGAAGACTGTTAATGCAGTGAAAGTAGTAGTGGCAAGAATACGATGAATAAGTTGAACGGTTGTTGGATTCTCTAATAAGTTTCTCCACCATAAATCAGAATGATCATCTTTTCTACTAAATATAGGAGAAAACAATTCATTTTTACTAGGAATGTAGTCCTCGCCCATAAGAGGGAAAGTATTGTAGATTAGACCAGCATCTAAACCAGCAACCATACCACCACTCATTGCCGTGATGAAAGTAAGGGCGAGTAATGCACCGGCATAGAGTTTAACTCTTTTCAATGCTGGACTATTTAGTTTTTCAAAAACAGTATTCAAATTATTAATGACGGAGGAGTCAGAAGATGTTTTAATTTGTTTTAACCACTTATTTTCATTTAAAATTTCAAAAGCAGTCCATAAGACTCCCAAGTAAAGTAAGAATGCAGCACCTAAATGAGTAGTCAATCTATATTGAGAAACGGTTGGTTTTGAATTTCTTTCAGCCAAACCTTCTTCATCCAAGCCTGATTTCACCATCCACCAACCAATAGCACCTTGTAAACCAAGTAAAGCAGTTAATCCAACCACTTTCCATTTGACATGAGAGCTGAATTTACGAGTTTTCCAGAAATACAATGCTGGTAAAATAAATAACATACCAATGGTTCTTCCAAGTAAACGATGGCCCCATTCCATACTGAAAATGAACTTGAATTCGTCTAAGGTAATATGAGAGTTAAGTTGCTTGAACTCAGGAGACTCTTTATACTTATTAAACTCTTCTTCCCATTCAACTTCATTTAAAGGAGGGATAGTCCCAGTGACTGGTTTCCATTCCGTAATGGAAAGACCCGATTCAGTTAACCTGGTAAGTCCTCCCACAACAACAATACTGAAAACTAACCCAGAAGTCCCTATAAGCCAATAACCCACGGACTTATCTGAAATCACTGGATCAACTTTAGGATTTTGTTTTACTGAAGCCTTTAAAGCATCGGAAATTGAAGCCTTCGGAAACGTAGAAGCTGCACCGGTAGTACCCACAGTAGTATAAGAACGGGTACTTGAGCGAATATTATTCAAAAACCTGCTGAAAGTAAAGCTTCTTGACTTCAATATAGGAGCAATAGAAAGTCTAGATACTTTTGATCTATGTAAGGTATTTAACACCAATGAATTTTGAGTGAAAAAAAACCGTGTTTTGCAAAGCATTTTAAATCACCAGCCAGTCTTAATTAAACCAGGACAGCGAATTTTCCAACAGTAATAAGATACAGAGTTGTTTTAAGTTTTCTATCGAAATTTTTCACTTCATGATTGGTATCTGATGATTTTTTTTTCCGTACAGGCGTATAAGCAAATTAAACCCAAAGCCCATTGGATGGTGTACGGGTGCATACTGCTAGTGGTGAAAAATGACATACATTCCTTTTGTGGTTATCATGTCGCGGATGTGCGTAGAGAAATGACAAAACACGATTTTAGCAGCCAATTCTATGGAACAAGGAGAATGAAAAGCTAGTTTAAAAGCAGTAGGGTCACTGCAGGATATAACTACAAGAATGCCGGTCACTAAACGAGAGGAAGATGCAAGAGTCGGAATGTTGGTGTTGGGAAATGACGAAGTATACCAGCTTTCGGACAGTGCTGAATATACTGAAGAGGATTTGTTGGCGAATGCCATGTACTTATTCATTGTGCTCGTGTTCATTACTAGTGTGGTTGCTGTTATTTCCTTTGGTATAAGAGAGTATACCATATCTTTGAAGAAGATAGGCAGCTCAGCCACTGATAAGAAGGTACTAGCAGCAGGGTGGTCACCCGTGGAGGAGGAAGAGGAAGCCGAAGAGGAGGAAGAGGGAGTCAAAGAGGAGGCAGAGGAAGAGTTTGCACCGATTCTGGAGATCTCTGAAGATTCGAATACCAAGAAAGACATTGAACAATTCAGACCAACCGGTACTGGGCTAATACAAGAGCGAACAATCGATGGATATGATCAGATAATTGATACTAGTCTGTATAAACAGGAGGGATACGGTTCTTCCGACCAAGAGATAAGTAGTGAAGAACGAATTGAAGTAATGATTTCGTCAAACATCAGTGGGGGCACATTTGATGAAATACTAGAACAAGATTACACAAGGAGCTTAAAAGAGGTGACAAAGAAGAAGTATACGATTAGTGAAATGCAAAAAATTTTTGAACAAAACAATCGAATAACGTTATATTATCAAAGAGCCCAAAGATACGGAACACCAATCATATTATCGGAAGTGCTTAAGTATACAAATAAGATACCCAAGTATGAATTTGCAAATGCCTGGGAAGCCGATAAAATGATTAGTGAAATACGGAGTAAAATGATGAATAATTTGCAACTCGAGGCCTTTGATAAGAACATGATTGTTTTGCAATTGATTAGTATTGGGAGTTCTAATGAAGTTCTCGATAATGAAAACTATTATTTATTATCGTTTAACGAGTTAATTGAAAATATAATTGATACTGGAGCCATAATTGATATACTTAACGAATTAGAAGGAATAATTCGAACCAATTTAATCGAAATGATATTAATTTATTGTTGGAGTCATTGGAATTTCAAAGTTAATAATAAAAGATTACAACAGGCAATTCATGAACGATATCAAAGATGGAAATTTGAAAATTATATTATTTCCAATCATCATATAATATTTCGAATATTATGTAATTTTAAAATTGGACTTTCATCGATTAAATTTAAAAACGATCGAAATCTAATTAAAGAATACGAATTCAGGTTACAATTACTTTTCCGAGAATGTATTAAGACAAGTTACTGTAACGAGTTTATGATTTTCATTCCAATGTTAGCCCAAGCAGTTGACATTTCAATTAATCAAAATATTAAATATTTCTTTTATGATTTACTCAAAATAATCATCACCGTTCATGATAAATGTTGTATGAAAGAGTATTTACAAGAATCAAAGAATACCAATTTAAAAGCATTATTACAACACGGAATCTGGTATAAGCATGATGCCAATCTACAAAAAAAAGTAAGAGAAATATACCAATATCTAATTGAAATCTTCGATACCGATAACTCGGTTATAAATAACCTTTCAAACTGGTTTAAAGAAATCGACGGTGGTAAAAAATTTGTTGCTTCCAGTGCCAAATTGAACTCTGATCCATACAATCACTTACTGCAAGCACCGACTCCTGGCTCCTGGACCGTTCATTGATCAATTCCACAATCAGTGCACCAGAGCCTTCATGTGAAATGAAGGCCAAATGAGGGGCTGGGTCAAAGCCGTGGTCATGGTGCAATGAAATTCAATTGAAGCGAAAAAAGTCTGATAGCCAAGTCAGTCGAATTAAATTCTCCAGAAAACAGCTTGTGTTGTTGTACTTGTTGTTGTTGTTGTTGTTGTTGTTGTTGTTATTGCGGAGTAGGTATCGATTTCACAGTCTTTTCGCAACTGTCTGGATATACCATGGCTATATAGAAAGAGAGTAGGTGAGTACCACACAGTAGGTAGAAGAATAGACGGTCTACAAAGTAAGAGTCCAGCTAGCACAGCTCTGAGTGTAGTGGTGGGTTCAAACAAAACTGGAGAAGAGGTGGTTGTAGAGGGAGTTGATGAAGCAAAGGAATAAAATTGCAAAATCATAAGAAATCGAAGTGAGCGAACAAGGAAATTTTGACAACCAACCCGAAAAAAGAGCGAGGGCATCATCATTCGTATATATAAATGTATGGAAATATATAAATATATGTAAAGAGTAGACTAAAAATTAAGTATATTGGTAATAAACTAGTACTTTATAAAACAGAATGTCAGGACTTGAATTAGCAGCTGCAGCCGTGTTAGGAAGTCAATTACTTGATGCCAAATATCATGTTAAAGATGATGTTTTATTGATTAGAAAAGTTGTTGCTTCCGCAGTACCATTTTTAATTAACTGTTATAGAGGACGAGCCAGTTATTGGTATTATTTTGAAAAAACTGTTTTCAAGTATCCCAATAATTTGGCAGTTTCATTCCCCCGTCCGTTGAAAGACGGACCAAGTGCTAAGATTGATGAAAATGGATATGCTATTTATGATGATCAATTTCATTTGGAGCAATATACTTATAAAGAATTATATGATATGATATTACGTTTGAGTTATATTTTAAAATTTGATTATGGGGTTACTGCAGAACAAACGATTGCGGTTGATTGTATGAATAAACCATTATTTATTATACTTTGGTTTGCATTATGGAATATTGGAGCAGTTCCAGCATTTCTTAATTTTAATACTAAAGATAAACCATTGGTTCATTGCTTGAAAATTGCTAATGTCAGCCAAGTTTTCATTGATCCAGATTGTCAAGAACCAATTAAAGATACCGAATCTTTAATTAATGAAGAATTACCAAATGTTAAATTACATTATATGAATGAAGTTGAATTATTGAAAGTCTTGTCCGATAAAACAAGACCAAAACATCGGGCTCCGGATCACACAAGAAGACCAGAAGATTCTGATCACTCTTGCTGTGCTTTGATTTATACTTCTGGTACCACTGGATTTCCAAAAGCTGGGATTATGTCCTGGAGGAAAGCTTTTATGGCTGCTGCATTTTTTGGTTATATTATGAAGATTAAGAAAAATTCAAATATTCTAACTGCAATGCCATTATACCATTCTACTGCTGCTATGTTGGGAGTTTGTCCTGCTTTATTAAGTGGTGCTTGTGTTTCGGTATCTCAAAAATTTAGTGCTACTACTTTTTGGACTCAAGCTAAATTATCTGGAGCCACTCATATTCAATACGTTGGTGAAGTTTGTCGTTATTTACTTAATTCCAAACCCCATCCTGATCAACGAGCTCATAATGTTACTATTGCTTACGGTAATGGATTACGTCGTGATATTTGGCCTGATTTTAAAGAAAGATTTCATATTCAAGGTATTGGTGAATTTTATGCTTCTACTGAATCTCCAATTGCTACTACTAATCTTCAATACGGTGAATTTGGTATTGGTGCTTGTCGTAAATATGGTGCCCTTATTAATTTAATTACTTCTTTACAGCAAAGATTGGTTAAAATGGATCCTGAAGATGATAATGAGATATATCGTGATCCAAAAACCGGATTGGCTATACTTGCAGATAGAAATGAACCAGGGGAATTGTTGATGAAGATTTTGAATGCTAAAAATTCCGAACAAACTTTCCAAGGTTATTATGGTAATAAGAAGGCCACTAATTCTAAGATTGTCCATGATGTTTTCAAGAAGGGAGATGCTTGGTTTCGCTCAGGAGATTTATTGAAGATGGATGATGATGGATTATTATATTTTGTTGATCGTTTAGGAGATACTTTCCGTTGGAAATCAGAAAATGTTAGTGCATCCGAAGTTGAAAATGAATTGGCTGGTACTAAAGTTGTTAATCAATCGGTTGTTGTTGGGGTTCGAGTACCAAATCATGAAGGTAGAGCTGGTTTTGCAGTTATTGATCCTAAAGATGAGTATTTGGATACTACTAAACATGAAGAAGTCTTGGCTAAAATATATGATCATGTTAACCATTCATTACCCAAGTATGCTGTACCACAATTTATTAAAATTAGTAGAGAAATTCAAGCTAGTCATAATCATAAAGTGCCAAAGAATCAATTTAAGAATTTGAAATTACCAAAGGGAGAACTGGGTAAAGATTTAATTTACTGGTTAAATGGAGATCGATATGAAGAATTGACTGAAGATTCCTGGCTGAAGATTATGAGCGGAGCATCTAAATTATGAGTAAGTTTTTTTAATTCTATTTATAAGTATGTATTACAATTATAAACGTTTGATTTTAAGTAGGTTAAAATTGTATTAAATTATTTAATCATAAGAGATTCATTATTGTTTATCAGAAATGGCAACAACACCAGGTAATTCTTTACCTTCCAATAATTCCAAAGAAGCACCACCACCAGTAGAAACATGAGATAATTTTTCAACAACCCCGAATTTTTTAGCAACGGTAGCAGTATCACCCCCACCAATAATGACGGTGTTACCAGCTTCGGCAGATTTAACGGTAGCGTCTAATAAGGCTTTAGTACCAGCGGCGAATTTTTCAAATTCGAAAACCCCTGGAGGACCATTCCAAACAATGGTTTTAGCTTCAGCAACGGTTTGAGTAAATAATTCTCTTGATTTTGGACCGGCATCAAGACCCATCCATTTATCTGGAATACCTTCTTCTTGAGTGGCAGTAGAAGTATTAGCATCTTTATCAAATTTATCAGCAGTGACAAAATCAATTGGTAAAACAATTTTAACCCCATTCTTTTTAGCCTTGGCCACTAAATGTTCAACATTCTTAGAACCGGCTTCATCGAAAAGAGAGTCACCAATTGGCATATTATCCAAGATTTTTTTGAAAGTGAAGGCCATACCACCACCAACAATCAATAAGTTGACTTTATCTAATAAGTTATCAATTAATTGGATCTTATCACTAACTTTAGCCCCACCCAAGATGGCCAAAAATGGTCTGGTTGGGTTTTCCAAAGCTTTGGCAAAGTATTCCAATTCCTTGGCCATCAAGAACCCAGCGGCTCTTTGAGGTAAATTGAATCCAACCATTGATGAATGAGCTCTGTGAGCAGTACCAAAAGCATCGTTAACGTAAACGTCGGCCAAGGCAGTCAATTGGCTTCTGAATTTTTCAACATCTTCTTTAGAAGCCTTAACTTTTTCACCATCAACTTTACGGGATCCTTCTTCTTCAATATGGAAACGCAAGTTTTCTAATAAGAAAACTTCCCCGTTAGATCCACCATTGACGGCAGCCTCAACTTCACCACCAACACAATCGTTCAAAAAGTTAACTTTTTGACCCAATAATTTTTCCAATTCACTGGCAACTGGGGCTAACGAGTATTTACCAACACGTTCCCCATTTGGTCTACCCAAATGCGAGGCCAATACCACGGCCTTTGGCTTCTTTTCCAAAACATACTTAATGGTTGGTAAAGCAGCAACAATACGTTGATTGTTAGTAATGGTGCTTCCATCTAATGGAACATTGAAGTCAACTCTGATGAAAACCCTTTTACCGGCAACATCCAAATCCTTGACAGATAATTTATTAGAAAGAGACATGATATATCGTAAATAGTATCGAATAGTATCGAATAATATCGAATAGTAATATTGTTCTAACTGCTTCCTCTACAATTTCCAAAGCGATCCTTCCATTTAAGTACCTCCAGTTTCACACCACGTTATGTCCACTAAACCTACGCTCCTGCACAATGCCCGCGCTACCAAAAAAACTCCGAGCGACCGCCAGAACCTGCTGCCCGGCGGATGGGCCTGTTCCGTAGACCGGTACCTCCCCAATCAGCTGATCCAATCATTCCACTCCACCATTGACCCTGGACCATTGACCATTGACCATTGATCCTTGGTGGAGCATGGGGTGACGATGGTGTAGCGTGGGCCAGCTGGCTCAGTTGGCTGATGATTTACCGTTTGTCAGTCAACAATCAGTAGTCAGTACTTGGTGGTTATCAGCTTATTACTTTAGTGAGAGGGATAACTTACTGGCTTACTTTTGCAAGTCAGTAGCGGTATTGGTCTAGTTTCTGTAGCTACCGGTATATCTACTGGTCCAGCTACCGGTATATCTACTGGTCTATCAATTTATTAATTAAATCTATTAATTCAACTATTAATCTAACTATAATCTAACTATAATAACTATAATCTTGATCTGGTATAAGGGTTCCTGTGATCCGGTCGTGTGCGCGAAGCGATGTCGCGGAGGGTGGTAAAATGTCGTTTGCGATGTCGCGGAATTTTCCAGAAGCGATGCTCTTCATTTATATATTCGATCATCTATTCATTCATCTATAATCATTGGTCTATATTCATTGATCTATATTCTTTTGCATCTAGTGAGAATAACAACAGGTGAGTATGGAAAAACTCTTACAGTGGTCTATAGCCCAGCAAACCGGGGACAAGGAATCGGCAGAAAAGATCGGACAACCCGATCCAAAGTTATTGGAACAACTCTTTGGCGGAGGAGGCCCAGATGAACCGGCCCTCATGAAACAATCAATAATGGTGGTGGAAAACCCAGAAGCTACTTTGGAAAATAAACAAATTGCCTTTGACAACTTCGAAATGCTCATTGAAAACTTGGATAACGCAAATAATATCGAAAATTTGAAATTATGGACTTCAATAATTAACCAATTATCCCCAGAAGTTGACGATTCTCTTAAAATATACGCTGCATCCATCATCGGAACCGCAGTCCAAAATAACCCTAATTCTCAAGAGGATTTCTTGAAGTATTGTCCTCAAGGTTTAAGTAAATTAATCGAATTATCCAATAGCGACAATCTTGATTTACAACATAAATGTTTATTTGCCATTGCTTCGTTCATTCGTAATTACGAACCAGGTTATTTTCAATTTGATTCCTTGAATGGTTGGTCGCTCATTTCCTCTAAATTATCCGATTTATCAAACCATAAAACAAATTTAAGAGTGTTATCAATCTTATCCTCTATTCTTTCTACTGGTCTTAATGATGAAAAAATTAGCCAAATCTCTAATCTCAAATTGATCCACCATCTTGTGTCAAACTTACACCATGAAGGCCACATTGGTTGCATCGATAAAACTCTCAATATAATCTCTCAATTGGCCTCGCTCAATTACAAATTTAGCAAAAATGAAATTAACGATTTGGCTACCGGGTTGGATAACGTTGAAGTATTGAAAAATGAAATCTCAGAAGATGATTATAATTTTGCAAAGCAAGTAGTTCATTGAAAGTTTTTTCTTCGATATATTTTTGTTCTATTTACTAACGATTTTATGATTTTGTATAGTACTTTTATTACCAAAGAATATCTCAAGTTGTTATAGTTAGTGTTTAGTTTCTTGTCTTATATTAATCATTAACTATATCATTAGCATTAGTAGCGGTAAATACTTTTCTCATTGCATTATCACTGGTGGGCGGAACTAGGTTCTTCCCATTTATCGTACCCAATGATTCATGCGTACAATACCTCTTATAAATATCGGTTACTGATCGATATATCCCGTACACTTCTTCACTTTTAGCCTGCGTCATGAATTTAAATTGTCGTATTGATTCAATAAATGTCAGCCTAGGATCGTTTCCGGATTTAACCCGTCCTAAATTAGCAATCGACTCATTTCTTTCATATTTATCATAAAGTGCTTGACTGATTGTATAACTAAACGATACTAGCCAATCAATGGCTTCAGCATTCCCCCTTATTGGGAACACATTCACCTCATAGTTCACTTGCAACTCATTTATCATATACTCAACTTGACTAACATTCAATCGGTCATTCTCCTTCGGGGTATACTTTGAGTTTCCTCCTTCATTCAATCGATTCATCACCGCCTTTTTATACTCTCTTTCTGCAAAATTCTTTAACTTATTCAAATACTGATCGTATCCTTCAATAATTAATATTATATGTATTTCCTTCGTAGCCCCCTCTTGTCTTAATCTATTTTCACATTTTGCTAAATCTCGTCCAAAGTTATCATTTTGTATCATGTCTATAATCTCTTCTGCCTTATAATACATCACTCCTATCGATTCAACAATCTCTTTTGTTTCACATGGTATAAATATATCCTTATTTGAGTCATAATCCGCTTCAACTCGCCTTTTCCAACTTATAAATGGTACATTATCGTAATTATGTCTAACCTCTCCCAATCTATTCGTCAATTGTTCGTGACAATACTCCTTCTTGAATTTCTGCTCATATAATGTAAGTGGAATGTTCACTATCATTTCCTTCAATAATTCTTCCTTCGTACGCGTAACCTTATTCACTCGGTTCAAATCTTTAGCTGAATATTTGGGGAGATTGCTAGTATCAACAATTTTCCCGCGTGCCATAGGCTTGGACGCAGCCCTTGTTTGGCTAGCCTTCTTGGGCGTGGGTTTCGTTGGTGATGAGGACGACTCAGATATCGGATCTGACAATTCAATTGGGTAAACCGAACGCAAATCAAACGTTTGAGCACGCTTTATGGAACTGGGTTTGGGAACCGTGCGCTGTGACGGTTGTGACGACTCAAGCGGATCCAATTCATCATTTGCTATTGATTCTGAGATATCATCACTCGAAACATTTATCAAGTTAGCCCGATTAAAAGCTATGGGCAATTTTCTCTTTAGCAGTATTTCTGAGCTTTCCAGAACCGTATCCTTACCTAAAGATCCTTTTGACAGTTTATCTCTTGCGCTCGATACTGGCCTTGGAACTACCGGCTCACCGGTTGACTTAGTCATTTGCCTCTTGGGTGAATGAACAGAATTTCTCGAGTCTTCTTCGGACTCACTACTAAAAACAAGCCTTTCTAACACATTTCTTTTCTCTTTCGATCTGATCAGAGGCTGGTCTACTCGTAACACTTCAGCCTCTTCCATTGTACTTTCCTGATTCACAAATAGTGATGTCGGTGACAGCCTAAGGTGTTGTTCTTGGGACTTGGGCACGCGCTTACTATCAACCAACTCTATATTTGAAGAGTCAAAACTTAGTGCAATGGGCAGATGATTTCCTGGATCATAAGTGTCCTCAGTCTTACGAAAACCACCTCGTTTTCCGCCATCTTCACTGAGTCTAAAGTATTCTAGTTAGTAAGTCTATGCTTTATTCTGGGGTAGTCTTTCCATTAACATTAACATACATCTCTATTATGCTTTGATCTTTTGCTATCAGGGTTTCTTCATCTGAAATGTTTATGATCTCAACACTTTGATTCGCCATTCTATCTCTCCATCACTGGCTGTTCTTTTGATTCGCCTAATGATTCTGGTATTGATACTAAGTAGGTGAGAAGCTTTGAAAAATAAACAAAGGGGAAAAAAAACGGTAGTAGGAAAAGATCAAAAAAACTGAGACTTGAGTGAACAACAAAGTGAAAATTCATTAACTTCTCCAAGAACCTAATCCTTTTTGTTGGTTAAGTGAGTCAAAATAGGCTTAATCTTTTTGGCAATTGAAGATTGCATTATAAGATAAACAAATTTAAGTTGGTTTGAACCTGTGTTTCCATTACGTCAAATAGTTTAAAATGGCTCGTAGAAGGTCCACAAGTATAAATTACGAAACCCATAAGTCACCGAATGATCATAGGAGACAGAAGGAGTCGATCACTGAATTGAAGCATGTGTACACTAGTATCAAGTACGACTGGCCTCAGGTTTTAGATGGAAACACCAGTCCGATAGAAATGGCTATTTCACTTCTTGATGATACTTCGGTTGGGTTGGCACACAGAAAGCATGAGTTTGAAAGACTATCTGAAGAGACAAGAGAAGCATTGAGAAACGTTGTGAATGAAAATCATGAAATATTTAATAATAGTATCGGATCATATCATGTATTGTTAAGTACATTGGATGATTCGAAAAATGATTCTGCACAAATCAAAGAGATGTTGGAATCATCAACGAGAGATATCCAGGATAGATCGGATGTATTGAATGACTTGGATCAAACTTCAATGAGATATGCTGAAATGATTGAAATATTGGATGCTATGGAAGAATTGAACTCAATTCCTCAAAAAATTGAACAACTTATAGTTGATAAAAAAATTCATCAAATTTATGATGTGATTTCTAATGGATATCAATTAGCAGCAAAATATAATTTGTGGTCTATTTCGGCAATGCAATCTAATAAAAATTTCTTAGATCTGCAATCGAATAACTTATATGATATGATTGTGGAAGAATTGCAAAATGAGATTTATTTGAAAAACACTACACTAGTTGATAGTACTGATGGTTCGAATCCTGATCGTCACTTCTTCTCATGGCAGAGCTTGGTCCAATCAACTAATCCACAGCTTTCTTCTTTTAGAACATTAGTTACTCTGTCTAATAATCTTGAACAGTACATTTACAATTCGGCAAATTTAGATATTTTTGAAGTATCCGATGCTTTCAGTGAAACAGCTATTAATTTCGTTCAATTCCAATTACCTAAAATTCATAATCATTATTCGAACACCGATAATGAAATTGATTACTCTATCTTGCTTGAAGCAAACCTGAATTCCAATTCTGAATCATTTCATTATATTTATAGATTATTGAGTACAGCTCATAAATTGAATAGACTTCAGTCAGTTTTGGCAGTTTTGTTAGGTACTCATCAACAAGAATTGCATGGTTTAATCAATAGAACTACCGAAGAATGCAAATCAAAAAATATTGCTCAATTGAATAAGTTGTCTAAAATTCAAAATTTTGAATATTCAATAACAACAGATATTATAGGTGGTAATACTTTTAACGATGCTTCGGTTTCGATCTTGAGTAACTTATTCGGATCCATCTTCATAAAATGTTTAATTGTTCTCCAAAAACATAAAATTGTTAGTAATATAGTTGATAAAATAGAATCATCACAAAGCTTACCTGGAGTAAGCGGGGCAAGAACATCTTATATGAGAGAAACTGGTGTATACTCTTTCAAAAGTATATGGGACATCGTAAGAAAAGAATTACAATCATTGATGATCAATTATATTTACGATAATCATGCTCCCGTATTCAATACTGTTGAGTCGTTATCTAGTCAACATAATGACCTACATGAGATTTTAGCTAAAAAACAGGTTTTCAAATTTGAAGATGTATCGAGTCATTCAGTTAAAGCAACTGAGGATATGACAAATGTTTTAAGTAATATGTTTCCTGGGTTTTCTATATCAGACTCTAAGAATAAGGAGGGATTATCTGTTCTTGAGCTTGATACACCCTATATCAAAAATGAAACCTTTAATGCATTGGTAGAAGTACTTGTTCCTAAAAATATATTCAACATGAGAATTATTCTTGAATTTTTCTTAATATTCACCGCAGGTTCACAAAGATTGTTCTTGAATTTTGCTGATGAACCTCAGGAAGGTCAAGAATTTGACCAAAGTTCACTCTTTTTCTTCAGATCATTTATGAGAGAGTCCTTCTTGAGTAAGATTGATCAAACTTTAGATCAGTCCTTTAAGGAATTCGTAGAAGATGAAGATGCTGCTGGTGATGGTTCCGTAGTGGTTCACACAAGACACACTCCTAGGGCAGGAGCATTATATGGTGGTGGTTTAAAATGTGAATTAATTCCACTTGATTCAGCTATTCAAGGTTCTAATAATATTATTAACATTAATTCGAGCAACCACTCTGCTGCAAAAATTTACCGCAATGCTTTAGATTTCAAAAGGGTTTTCGTTAATGCCTGTTCCACGTTAAATACTTCATTAACATATAGAGAAGATATAAGTTCGACAGTCTTAAAATTTCTTAAAAAGTTTTCCAATGCTTACAACAATTTTTACAAAGAATTATTATCTCAAGAAGAATTAACTGTTTATGAGCAGCCAACATCCACTAATGGTACTGGAAGCAGCTCTAAACCTCTTCTGATGCTTCAGAAATGGCTAGGTAATACAGCACTTACTGAAATGTCATCATTGATTTTACAACAAAGATCAAATCCTGATGACCTCGATGCTTTGATAAATAAGGAAGTTGAGATAATGCTATTTAATACTGAAAGTAAAACATCAATTTTCAATCTTTCTAAAGATGATTTCCTCGATGATGATTCATTCAATCAAGTCTGCTACCTTTTTTTGACTACCTCCTGGATTTTGAAATGGCTTCCATCCATGAGAAAAGAGTCCAATTATGCTATCTATAATGACAATACTGATACGGTTAGACTTTCAACTATTGATAAATTGAAGCATGACTGGTCTTTTTTGGAAAATGGTAGATCAAATTATACAGCTCTGGACGAAACGCAACACGTTTATTTGGCGTTGAATTCAGATAAGATAAATGAATTTCAGGATATAATTGAGAACTTTATGATGATCAGAGATAAAACATTGTTAGCATTGAGGTATGATCTTAGAGTCAAGGCAGTATATTTCCTTGGTAAATCTTTCAAAGAAACTGATTGGCTCCCAACAACTGAACCTGGTGACTCTGATCAATGTATTGGTCAATATAATAAGGAGGTGTTCTCTGTTGATAATAGATTGAATAATGTATTGGATGATTTAGAAAGAGAAGGTGTTTTCGTTGGATTGGCTAATTTTATTAATAAATTATTGATTCAAGGCTCTGAAATTGTTAAAAAGATTAATAACAATGGTATTAAGAGAATTGTGTTAAACATTTTCACTTTGCAACAAATGCTCAAGAGTATATTGAATACCCCGGAAAGGATCAACTTTACTAAAGCCTCAAGATATTTTGAATTATTCACCCTTAAAGAACAAATTTTCATTGGAGAATTGAAGAAAAATGAATTACAATTTAGCAGGGGAGAATTTTTGAATCTTGCAAGATTGATTTATAGTGAAAAATTAGCCGATGGAAATGGAAGTGCCTTCAATAAGTCTAAGCATAAGGATTTGGTTGAGAAGATCAACAGTACTTTCAATTAATTAGAATGTAATCTATGTAATATATATCAATCATTCCATCTGAATGGAAAAAACTACACGAAAATTGTAAAAATTTCACGATATCATATTAAAAATTAGTATAAAAAAGGTCGTAATCCATTATGAACAAGTAAATTTTTTGGCTTCTAGGAGCAATGGAATGCACCATTCGCCCCAACTGGCTTCAAAGCATATGTATCTGATAACCGTTCAAAGAAGAATCTCCCGAGACCTAAACCAATAACGACTGCAAAAAAATATGTTAATGTGTAAGTCATACATGCCAACATAAGAGCAAATCCAAATAAGTCAGGTAAGATACAAAGAATTAACCTAATAGCATCTCTGACCAAAGATGAAGCTAAGGGAACTTTAGTAGGATATCCATTGGCATGAGGACCTTCTCCACTGACGTTTTCATTACGTTCAAGATTCGACACGCTTTTCTGAAGACTGTTATTATTAGACTCTATTTCGGTTTCTCCGCCACAACACGAGTTGGGAGCTTTATTAGCAGATCCCATCAATGCATTCGAGGCGCCTGTAGATTCACCAGGATGACAGTCAAGGTAGGAAGGGTTCTTCCAAATCCTTTGTTCCAAATAATTTCTAGCGAATTCAATACCTCTTACCAAAAATGCAACAAAGAATAGTAATACAAAAATCCCAAAAGCTTCTCCAGCATTTTTGGCATGTAATCCTTTGAAAAGAACTGGATAATCTTTATAGTTGGTGGTGAAATACATATGCATACTCATCCCACTGTGGTCCATGTCCATCATCAGACTTGAGGACAGAGACATTGAGCCCATTGTGGAATGGGACATTGAGTCCATTGTAGAGGATGCCATTGCCATCGAAGAGGAGCCCATGTCCATTGAAGAAGAACCCATATCCATATTGTCTGACCTTATTCTATTAAGCTTATTTTAACCCGAGCGATGCTTTGTTAAACCCGATGGCTGAAGTGAAAAATAATGGGCCTTGCTTTAATGTTAGAACTAAGGAAAACACTCAAATTAAATATAATTTTGAAAATAAAACTACTTATTGGCTTATCTTTTAAATCTACTACATGAGCAAATATTGACCTTTTAAATAGTAACTCAAATCGCCTTTTAATAGTTGAGTATATAAGTATTTCGATATGAGCAAATTGACATTACTTTTTTGGTAAGTGAAAGGCCTCACAAAATGAGCTACTTTTTTTTCTCAATTCCGATCTCAACAGAATTCCTTCAGCTAATCATAAAACAGTTACTTTATCAGGTTACTGTCACATATATTTGACTTTTATAAAAGTTTAAAAAACTTAAGCAGAGCTTACTTTAAATGACAAAAGAAAAAAAAAAAAAAAAAAAAAATCGGAAAAAAAAAAAGACAAAGGCCTATTCAAGCATGTAATTATGCGAGAAGGAGCTTTGTGAAGTCATTATTTCGTTGTATTATATGACTGGAGGGTGTGTGATTCAGCTTGGTCAACTTGTGGATTGGGGCCTTTATCCTCCACGTAACGGCATCGCTTTTGTAAATCATTTGTAAGAATATGTTGATCTAACCAGGTACCAGCAACAAATCTTAATCCACAAGCAGCACAAGTTCCTGGTACTGGCAACTTGTCACCCAAAGTATGTGCCGATTTACCCTTAGGATCATCGAAATTAAAGTGTAAATGGAGTAAATGCTTCTTATAATCATAAGGTCTATTGAAATAACCAGTTTTATGTTTGCACATTGATTTGGGGAACACACATTGAAACCTTCCAATTTCATTATGGATTCTCATATGTCTTTTCATATCTCGACTGATATACTTGTCACACACTACGCATACTGCACCTCGCATGGTTCGGTTCTTTTTAACTGATTTATCCTTGCCAATTGCGTTTCCTGCTAGAGCAGCACCCAGTGCTGCACCTGAACCGGAACCAATTGAGCTAACACTATTCACACTTTGGTTAGAATTGGTACGTTCAAAACCTGGTCTAATCAAACCTAAATGGGCTCCATTTGGTTTACTGTTGTTGGACATCTCCAGTGATGACTGCATAATTGGGATATAATTCGAAAACTGGTCCAGACCAGCTTGTCCCATTTGAGCAGATACTTTCGACATTGTGCTTCTATTACCACTTGAATTGGCAAAAGAACTTCTTTGAGACTTTGGATTAACATCAAAATTAAACCCACTTAAATCAGGATGATTTTCATCATTGAATCTAGTTGCTTCGAGGTTCAAGTCATTATAATCAAAATTATTAAAGCCTTTAAAATTATTTAAGTATTGTTGATTATTATCAAAGTTCCCACTATTTTGAAATTGATTACCTTGAGTATTGTAATATCCAACGTTTGTTTCAATTTTATCACCGGATCCAACCTTTTGATCAATATCATCAATATAATAATTATTATCGCTAAAATCACCTTCATTAAAGCTTGCACTGCTATTACTCCCTATATTTCTCAGATTTTGAGGAGAATCTGTATTAGCACTGAAATATTCATTTTGTTGGTAATCATAATCACTTATTTGTGGTATACCGTTAAGTGCATCATTTGTATCATTTTGAAGTAAGTTACTAGCAGTTAGGTTATTAACCTCTTGTTTATTTTCATCTTCTTTCCCCTTATTTTTATTATCGAATTCAAAGTATCCAGTATTATTCGATCCTGGAGGTTTCATCAAAGGAGTAACATTATCTTGTAAAGCAGTTAAACCATGATCATTATCTTCATAATTAAATCCTAAATCTGGTTCCAAAATTTGTAAATTATTATAATTTTGTTCGAAACTAGAGTCGGAATGGGTTGAAAAATCCTGGATATGTTTTAAAATTGTGTTTTTATTTTTTATATTATCTAAAGGTAAATGGAATCCTGGTTTTTTCGATTTTTTAGCTTCTGATTCTTTCTTTTCATGGGATTTTATTTCAATTTTCTCATCACCACTAGCGTTACTTTTAACATTATTATCATCATTAGGCGTAGTGTTAGTGGTTGATGATTTACTGAATAAGGATGGAGTCAAAGATTTGTTGGTTGGAGTTTTCTCATTAGAAGGTTGTTTTGAAGGAGGCTGAACTTGAATTGGAATGGGAGCCATATTATTATTATTATTATTTTTATTATTATTGAATCCAAATTCATAGTCATTATTGAATCCAAAAAATTGGCCATAATCAGGGGGGTAGTTATTGTTTTTCTCATCTTGATTATTAGAATTGCTGTGAGGTTCAATTGGCTCATTTGTTTCTCTGCTAGGAGGTGATTTTGAATTTGAAGTGCTATTTTGATAGTTCGGTAAACCCAAGTTTGGGGGATCATTGTTATCATTTGAGTGACTGTAGGAACGATAAAGATGTGATTTTGATAAAGGAGCGGAATTTTGACGTATTGGTCTTGGAGGAGAAACCATATGTAGGTGCTTATTTAAAGGTTTATTCTTAGGATTATTCATAATACTTGTACTCAACTTACGTTTACTAGAATGATGAGTGGAATCATTAGGATTATTACTTTGATATGATTGATCTTGGGGTTGTGAATGGGGTAATTGGTTATTGTTAGCAAAAGAATCAAGGAAACCAAACTCAGTTGAAGGGGCAGAACTAGAGTAATTAAAGTAGTCGGCACCATTAGAGCTAGTTGCTGGTACTGATATAGGACCGTAAGCATATTCATCAGGGATGCCAAAGGGGAATTGATTAAGCTGGTAATTTTGTGGTTGCTGTTGTTGTGGAGGTGGTTGCTGTTGGTGTGGAGGTGGTTGCTGTTGGTGTGGAGGAGGTTGTTGTTGTTGTTGTTGTTGTTGTTGTTGTTGTTGTTGTTGTTGTTGATGATGATGATGATGATGATGATGTTGTTGTTGTTGTTGTTGTTGTTGTTGTTGTTGTTGTTGTATAAAATCATTATAGGTAGGTATAGTTGACGCGGACTGTGATTGATTGAATAGATGCTGTTGCAATTGGACAAATCTCGAATGGTAATCCTGTTTTGGTTTTGTTTCATTCAGATATTGGTTATTTGAAGTCGTATCGTAATTATTTAAAAGTGTGGGGTCATTATAGTTATTATCAAAGTTACGAGATTGATCATATTCGAATTGATTTTGATAGTTTGAGCTTGGAGAATCATTTGAAAACTCCCAATTAGATTGTTGGGGTTGATAAATGTTTGGATCATAATTGGTGTCATTATTATTATTACTGTTATTATTGAATGGAGCATCTGGATTGGCTCTATGAGGCTGACCCATGATGAAATCTGCTGGATTTATGAAAGAAGAACCTGGATTAGTTCCTTGTTTTGTCGGATTATTATTATGATTGTGTTGTGTTATATCAAACATATTCTTTAACGATTCTGATCTCTATTCAATTCTTTTTTTATATAAACAAAACCAGAATTGAAATATTAAAAGACCAAAATATCCTGATGAGAATTCAAAAGTCTTAAAAGATGGTGAAATGAGTTGAGTGAGGTTTGGATTTGGGAAACAATTAGCAAAATTTCTGCATCCAGTTATCAATACTTGGAATCCAACTGAATTGAGCACGACTAGTCTGGTCAATGGACTTAAAAAATTAAAGAAAGATTGTATTCCTACCTACTTTCGAATAGAATTCCTCAAGAATTATAGAAAATATTAGCGGCGGGTAAACGATTCAAGCCTTGGGCGTCTAAACCTTCCTGATGGAACTGGGGGTAAAATAAGATTTATTCACTCAACGGTACTCCGCAACAGTATAAGCCAATAAAAAAACGATTATACTCTTTAAGTAATGGGTTATAAGTGTGTTGTAAGACGTCAATAGAAAGGAAAAGAGTAGATAGTAAGAAAGGGAATTAGGAAATAACTGAATTGATTGCTCACTAAAAAAGACAAAAAAAAAAAAAAAAAAAAACAGAAAATGTCGGTGTTCGGATTAAAAGACAACTGAATTTCCCCGTGACCAAGCAGGACACCCGTACATCGGGGGAATACGAATATTCAGTAGTCAAAGTCCATATTCAATATTCAGCTCCATATTCAATTCAGTATTCAATTTGAACGGTGGCCATAGAGGCCATGTCCTTGAAGTACTGAATATGGGCGGCCACGTAGTATGACACAAGATATGGGAACAAGATCATTTTAGCAAAAACGATGCGTACCCCTGCTTTCAGAGGACTCATTTACGGTGATAAACAAGTTGACACTGGAAGCAACTTGTGATTGCAACGGTACCTGGTAGGAAAAGCAGTAATGATGAAACCAAGGGATATATCTAAGTAGTTATTGGCGAATTATGATAATCTTGCTTATGGAAACCCATATGCGACTACTCCTATCAATTTGTCATACTGAAAGCATCACTGGGTGGCTTTATTGAAAACATTTTTGTCCTTAATTTAGATCAGAATAAAGGGTGTTGGTAAGCATTAGTATAATTCAGATTATTCCTATTGCACCACGTATAAGTAGGAGTATGTCAAAAATTCCTGCGCTATTAGCGATGTCCGAAATGATTTCGCAACTGTTTATTGCTTTTCCAGTAACCAGTCGAAGGTTTTGATGAGTTTTAACTATATAGGGGTCCTATTTGTGCTTTTCACAATAGATACCGGGCTTGGGTTCCCCTGTATATTCTCCATGCAAGGTTTATCCTTGTTAAAGACGCTGGCTCGCTTAACCTCAATAGTATAAAAGTACGAGGATTATGGATTGTGCTTTTGGCGTCCGCTTTTGGTATCCTAGCTGTACAACCAGGTGAGGTGAAGTGTCCTTTTTTATAAGGCTTGCCTTGATACAAATAATCTTTAATTCAAAATAAAGCTCCTTTTCCAGATATGAAAAGTCGGGATCAAAAGAAATGCTGAAAAACAAAATGGTGGTTAAAGCTTACATTTGCATGTGCAAGTTTTGTGCTTCTTACATCTCTTTACATTCTAGTACCTGGTATCTCAGCAAAGGGTTCAGTGTTGCAAAAAATGCTAAAACCAGATAACGACGACGGTCAAAACAAAAGCAAAGCTACTGCGAACCGGGATACTTTGATGGAAAAGCCTTTATGGAAAAAGAAAGAAATGGATGGCCCGCAACTTGCAGATACCAGGCTTCAAGGGCAAAATATTACTAATATTACTTTAAAATATGGATTGATTTACTAATAACAATTTCTGTTTAGTTTTTTTTTTTGCAATTATCGCTCCTGGAAAAAAAAAATTTCAAAATCAAATAAGCTTTTTCAATTCAATGGACAAACTTAATATTTGATTGTTGACTCAGTTACAAGAGGAGTATTGCTACTTGAACGTTTACTGTTTGGAATGTAAAGTGGAAGTAGTTTAAGCTTGGTTGCAACCAAAGGGGGGTGGTGGGGGGTGGTGGGGCCCGTGCACCAGTTATCATCCGCTGTCCCGCAGCAAGGGAAAACCTCCTCCAGAAAAAAAAAATTAGTAAGCTCTTCTTGTAATACGTTAGTAGCTTCTTCTTTATATTGAAAGATGAGTGCCTTAATTCTTGGATCAACTGGTTTGGTTGGTAATGAAATCTTGCAGCAAGTTAATAAAGCTAATTTCATTGAGAAATTGGTTACTGTTAGTCGTAAGAGACCCCAGTTAACTAGTGATAAATTAACAGCAATTGTAGACAACGATTCAACCAAATGGCCAGAGTTGATTAAAAAGCAACAGGATTTAAAGATTGGTTTTAGTGCATTTGGAACAACCAGATCAGCTGCTGGATCAGCTGAAAACTTTGTTAAGATTGATCATGGAGTTAATTATGAATGTGCAAAAGCAGCAAAAGAAGCTGGAGTTGAAACTTATGTATTGATTTCGAGTGTTGGATCGAATTCCAAATCCTCGTTTTTATATTTGAAGACCAAGGGACAACTCGAAGAAGACATTCTTGGTTTAGATTTCCCCAAAACCATTATCTTAAGACCAGGAGTCTTATTAGGAGAGAGACAAGCTGCTAAAAATTTTGGAAATAATTTTGCAGCTTCTATTGGAGGTTTAGCCCGAAAGTTTAATTTATCCTTAGGGATGAATCCAATCAGCGGAGAAGAAGTTGCCAAGGCTGCTATCCATTTATCCCAAAATGCCAAAGATAAGGTTGAAATTATTGAAGCTAGTGATTTACTAAAATTAGTTAAAGAATTGAAATAAATAGTAAAAATGTTTATTTAATTAAATTTTATAAAGAACTGAATATATTATTCGATAAAGGGGCATTTTTTATTAACATCATCAGTTAAAATATGATCATTTAACCAATCTTTACCAATAAATCTAACCCCACAAACACAAGTACCCCAATGATCTAATTTATCACTTAAATTATGTAATTTTTTAATTTCACCAACATCAAATTTAAAATGTCTATTTAATAAATGTTTTTTATAATCATAAGGTCTATTAAATCTACCTGATTTATGACGACATTGATTTTTAGGAAATTTACAAGTAAATCTTGAAATTGATTGATGAGTTCTCATATGTCTTGACATATCTCTAGTAATTCTTTTACCACACACATTACAAAATCGATGATCAACAAAAGTAGATTCAACCATGGGGACAACCATGGAAGAGTTAGAATTAACCATAGTAGTCATATCGGGATATTGTTGAAAATTATTATGAGAATTATAAAATTGTTGATGAATTAAATTATCATTAGGATGAATTATTGGTTGACTAAACAGACGATATTTAGCGTCTTGATGTTGGGGTAATAAATTATTATATTCAATAGTTGGCATTGATTGACTTTTATTTTTGAGATAATCATTTTCAATCATCGTTGGTTGATTATAAGAATAAGTTTGAAGGTTTATATTAAATGGAGAATTAATTAATGTATCATGAGTTTCATTAGAAGAAGGGATTATATTATCAACTTGCTGTTGATTTTGTTGATAATATTCTGGTGATTGTTCATTCTGATTTGATATTATCCTTTTCATTTTTTGATAATCAGAATTGAAGGTTCCTTTTAATTCAATTGGTATATTATCTTGATAATTGAGTAATTCCATTTAGTAAGTATAGTGATAAAGAAAGAAAGAATAAACAAAAAAAAAAAGAGACACCTTGCCAAAATCAAGCAAAACAATTTGGTTAAATAAACCAAACTGGTTTTAATTATAATCGTGAAAAACCCGTAATAATTAAAGATCTTTAATAGATACAAGAGGAAACTTCATAAAATAAAGTTTTTGATAAAGTTTATGAAGAATATGTGACGCACGAGAACTCCCTTCAAATAGGCGATTCAAAAGAAACTGGCCATTAAAGATAGCAAATAAACAACTTGAAAAACAAAAAAACAAAAAAANNNAAAAAAAAAAAAGAATAGCATAATGAATTGACAGAATTAAGAACAAAGAAAGTTTGTAAGCGAGAATAATTTCAAACCAGACCCTCAAGGAGCTGATACCCTGTTAGGTCTGGACTGGTTTAAAGGCGTACATACATTGTTGAAATACCAAAGAAAATTTTTTTAAAACCTGAACCAAAAATAAAAATAATTCAATCACATGTAGAAATTCGATTTTGCATAGACGTACCAAGTACGCCAGTTTCTTCATTACTTTTGCATACAGCGCTGATGTAATTACAATAACCTTTTCCCACTATTTCCTATTTCCTCTACCCACCACTGGATAAATGCTCTATACACCTCTCTCTAAACCCTATATTCTGCCCTCTATACAATTTATACACCACGGTCTATCGCTGCAATAGAAGCTATTGAAATGCCATTGCTATTGTTAAAGCCTAACGTTTAACTCTAAATTAACTGAAGGAACAGACTGGTTTTGTGTTTTTTGCAGCACTCGCATGTGATGCGGACCAGTGCATCACCTTTAAGGGCAATAACAAAGTTAACTTAATCGGTTATTCAATAGAGTATATTAGCATTATTGTTTTGATTGTTGTGCTGACTATTGTATTGGTTATGTATTGGTTATGTATTGGTTATGTATTTGATTGTCTGTATTATATTGGTCGTAGTTATTGTAGGGGTAATGCCAGTGTGAAGGGGTCTATGCACAATTGAATCACAATACAGAAAAAGCAGGGAATTACTAAATACGACAATAAACTAGGTTGACAAGCGAAAGTAGCAAAACCGTGAATTTCAGTTGAGGATAAGTTTCTAGAAGGCTACCCTGACTGGACTAGGTAATGTTTCGAGAAGATTTACGTTCTAGTGGGCTTTGGTCAACATATTGCCCTGATAGCTGACCCGAATTGTACAGTGGTGACAACTATTTTGAAATTTGAAGCAGGTTTTCTTGTCAGTTTAGCTATTTCCATAATCAAGTATAACCGAAGAATTCCCTCAATGATCTTTGTAGATGGCTTTTCGATTAAGCAATTCTCTCTTTGCATTCAAGCAATTCTTTACATTTAAGCTTTTCCCTTGCACCTTTAAGCATTTGTTTTGATTTATTTATTTTGATTCAAAAAAGCATTTATTTTGATTCAAAAAAGCATTTATTTTTTTTGATTCAAAAATTTATTTTGATTCAAAAATCATTTATTTTGATAATGCATTTTGAGTCCATAAGCTGATAATGTATTTCTTTTAGTCAATAAGCTGATAATGTACTTCGCTGTCTTGTAGAAAATTAATGTCCGCCGAATGACGGGGCTAATCCCGCGGTTCTCCCCACGGAGCCCGCCCGGCGTGCGCTGATTGGTGGACTTAATCCCCCGCGTAAACACCAGTACGTGTACTTTGCAGCATGGCGTGGAATAAGAAAAAACCCTGCCGGTTACCCGCACATTCTAATTAATTTTTGGTTTTTGTTTTTTTATTTTATTTTCTGTGAACGTCGTGCGCCGGCTCGTCTCTGCGCGCAGTTCACTGCTAAACTTTTCACTCGAGTGAAAAAAAAAAATTTTTCAGTTCTTCATATTCTCTAGTTACTCTTTTCTTCATCATTAACCATGGGTGCCTACAAATATTTGGAAGAATTACAAAGAAAAAAACAATCTGATGTCTCTCGTTTCTTATTGAGAGTCAGATGTTGGGAATACAGACAAAAAACTGTTATCCACAGAGCCTCTAGACCATCTAGACCAGACAAGGCTAGAAGATTAGGTTATAAAGCTAAACAAGGTTTTGTTATCTTCCGTATTAGAGTTAGAAGAGGTGGTAGAAAGAGACCAGTTCCAAAAGGTGCCACTTACGGTAAACCAACCAACCAAGGTGTTAACCAATTGAAATACCAAAGATCTTTAAGAGCTACTGCTGAAGAACGTGTTGGTAGACGTGCTGCTAACTTGAGAGTCTTGAACTCTTACTGGGTTAACCAAGATTCTACTTACAAATACTTTGAAGTCATTTTGGTCGATCCTTCCCACAAGGCCATCAGAAGAGACCCAAGATACAACTGGATTGTTAACCCAGTTCATAAACACAGAGAAGCCAGAGGTCTTACTTCTACTGGTAAAAAATCAAGAGGTATCAACAAAGGTCACTTATTCAACAACACCAAAGCCGGTCGTCGTCACACCTGGAAAAGACAAAACACTTTGTCTTTATGGAGATACAGATCTTAAGCTATGTAAATTATTTAAATTTGTATTTTGCATTTTTTAATTTCCTCAAAAATGTTTATTGTGTATATATTGAATGAATAAACGTTTGTGAACTTCATATTTATTGTACTAATAACCCCAGTAAATTATTAAGTCATACTAATAAGTCATAATAAGTTGTAATGAGTAAAGTAATAAGTCAAGTCAATAATAGTATTGACTCTGAAGTTGACTCTTATTAAGGCCCGCACAAATTGAAATTCGTCATACAAAAAAAAAAAAAAATGTTCACTAATAAAGGAGAACAAAAAAAAAATTCATTTTTATTTCAACCTCTTTGATTCTAGTTATAAAAGATAATTCATTGGTTTGATACAATTGAATCTTCTCTTCCATCTCTTTTCCTTCCATTGAATCAAAATGTCTGATTATACTAAAACCGCCATTTTATCTGTTTACGATAAAACTGGTTTATTAGATTTAGCTAAAGGCTTGGTTGCTCAAAATGTTCGTATTTTAGCTTCTGGTGGTACTGCTAGAATGGTTCGTGATGCTGGATTCCCAGTTGAAGATGTTTCGACCATCACCCATGCTCCCGAAATGTTGGGTGGTAGAGTTAAAACTTTACATCCTGCTGTTCACGGGGGGATTTTAGCTAGAAATCAAAAATCTGATGAAGATGATTTAACTGCTCAAGGTATTTCTAAAGTTGATTACGTTGTTTGTAACTTATATCCTTTCAAGGAAACCGTTTCTAAAGTTGCCGTTACTATTGATGAAGCTGTAGAAGAAATTGACATTGGTGGGGTTACCTTATTAAGAGCTGCTGCCAAAAATCACGCTAGAGTCACTATTTTATCTGATCCAAAAGATTACGCTGGTTTCTTACAAGAATTAAAATCAGGGGAAATCTCTGCTGAAGCTAGAAATAGATACGCTTTAAAAGCTTTTGAACATACTGCTGATTATGATGTTGCTATTTCTGATTTTTTCAGAAAACAATATTCAGAAAATATCTCTCAATTACCTTTAAGATATGGGGCTAATCCTCATCAAAAACCTGCTCAAGCTTTTGTTCCTCAAGGTGAATTACCTTTTAAAGTTTTGGGGGGTTCTCCAGGTTATATTAACTTATTAGATGCTTTAAATTCTTGGCCTTTAGTTAAAGAATTATCTGCTTCTTTAAATTTACCTGCTGCTGCTTCCTTTAAGCATGTTTCTCCTGCTGGTGCAGCTGTTGGTTTACCTTTATCTGATGTTGAAAAACAAATTTATTTTGTCCAAGATATTGAAAATTTATCTCCTTTAGCTAATGCTTATGCTAGAGCTAGGGGTGCTGATAGAATGTCTTCTTTTGGTGATTGGGTTGCTTTATCCAATATTGTTGATTTACCAACTGCTCAAATCATTTCAAAAGAAGTTTCTGATGGGGTTATTGCTCCAGGTTATTCTGATGAAGCTTTGGCTATTTTAAGAAAAAAGAAAGGTGGTAAATATTGCATTTTACAAATTGATCCAAATTTCAATCCTGAACCTTTAGAATCAAGACAAGTTTATGGTATCACTTTACAACAAAAACGTAATGATGCCATTATTAAAGGCTCTTCTTTTAAAGAATTTGTTTCTCAAAATAAAAATTTAACTGAACAAGGTGCTATTGACTTAACTGTTGCCACCATTGCATTGAAATATACTCAATCTAATTCTGTTTGTTATGCTAAAAATGGTATGGTTATTGGTTTAGGTGCTGGTCAACAATCTCGTATCCACTGTACCAGATTAGCTGGTGATAAAGCCGATAACTGGTGGTTTAGACAACATCCAAGAGTCTTGGGTTTCAAATGGGCTAAAGGTGTTAAAAGACCAGAAAAATCTAACGCTATCGATTTATTTGTCACTGGTCAAATTCCAACCACTGAACCAGAAAAATCTGAATATGAATCTAAATTTGCAGAATTACCTGAACCTTTCACTAAAGCCGAAAGAGATGAATGGTCTGCTAAATTAAATGATGTTGCTTTGTCTTCTGATGCTTTCTTCCCATTCCCTGATAACGTTTACAGAGCTGTTAGATCCGGGGTTAAATTCATCGCCGCTCCTTCTGGTTCTGTCATGGATAAAGCCGTCTTTGGTGCTGCCGATTCCCATGATCTCGTCTACGTCGAAAATCCAATCCGTTTATTCCATCACTAGAATTCTTATTTCCATTCTTCATTATGTTTTTTACTTGTTTGACTTTTCATTTCATGTTTTCCCCTATTATCCTCCCTCATCACTTTCCCCCTTACTCCTTCATCTCATCATCCCACTAAATCTATTTATCAATTAATATATATACTTATATATACCTACTTTGTAGATAATCTTTAAACTAAACTGAAAAAAAAAAAGTAGTGCACTTTTTGCAATACTCAACCTCGAAGAACACGTCAACTTACAGAAGTGAAAATAGAGACCACAAAATGTGAGAATGAAAAATTATCTTTTGAACCAAAATTGTATAGTGGAAACTTGAAAGCCAATTACTTTTGATAAGTATATACCGAGGTGTTTTATAGAGATAATTCATCATCACCGTGATACAGCGTTAGCAAACATACTGATCACATCATGGCGTTGGAATATAATTACGATGAGGAAGGAGAAACTTGGCCATTTTTCGTAATGGCTGTCCTTACCTTTATTTTGGTTCCACTTACGATAAAATGGATTAGAAAAGCAGTGAGCTCGAATGATCCATTAACTCAAAATAAGAAAGTTAAGGGATCGATTGTGGAAGACCATAAGACTTTACAAATTGATAATTTTGATAAAATCAAGAAGTTTCAATCCAAAAAAAAATCAGCTAAAATTTTCAATAAAACTTTGCTTGTATTGATCATTGGATGGGCATTGGTGATCTATATTGCTTTGTATTATACTAAAGAGGCCAACTTACAAGGATCTTTTGATCCTTATACTATATTGGATGTTTCAATTACTGCTTCTGAACGTGAAATTAAAAGTCGTTATAGAAAATTATCTTTGAAATTTCATCCGGATAAACTCCCTCAAGATGTCACTCAAGCAGCAAGAGAAGAAATGGAAACTGCTTTTATTAAAATCAATTTGGCTTACAAAGCTTTAACTGATGAGGTTACTAAATCAAATTTTCAAAAATATGGCCATCCTGATGGTCCTCAAGACGTGAGTCATGGTATTGCCATTCCTAAATTTTTGGTTGAAGGTTATTATTCTCCTTTTATGGTGGTTCTTTATTTCTTCTTAATTGGTGTCTTATTACCAACAATTGTTGGTGTTTGGTGGAATAATGTTAAAAGTCATACTAAAAGAGGTATTCATGTTGAAACTGCTGCAATGTTTGTTCGTAAATTAGCTGATAGAAACCCAGGTAAAGTTATGACTCCATATGATTTATTGGATTGGCTTCTTGCTTCTAATGAAATTCAAACTGAATTTAAACATTTGGGTCCTAATCAAATTAGAGATTTAATTTCAAAATATTTATTCCGTAATGATAAAGATCTTGATGCTAAACTTCAAAACGAAAAATTAAAATTAATTTCAGTCTTACCAAAATTATTAAATGGGTTTATTGAAATTGCAGCTGCTTTTAGAGGTGTGGACATTATTATTGCTGCCACTGATTTACAAAAAGCCATTGTTCAAGCTGTTAGACCAACTGGTAGATATCAAGAATTATTACAATTGCCTTATGTTGACGCGAAAGTTATCAGTCAACAACCAATTAAAAAACTTGGTAAGTTATTGACGTTATCAGAAGAAGAAGCTGGGAAAGTTTTAGGTATTACCGATTCAACAAAATTGAAAAAGGCTTTAGAAGTTGCATCTCACATTCCACAGTTTAGAATCTTAGAAGCTGAATTTAAGGTTCCTGGTGATGAAATTGTTCCTCCAAAGGCTAGTTCTCATTTGTCAATTAAATTTTTAATTAAATCTCCTAAACTCAAATCTTGTCCTGATATCCCTGATGAAAGATTAGTTGACGAAGAAACAATGGATTACTTAAGAGATCCTTTGAAAATAAATGAAGAACAACCACTTTTACCATTTACTTATTCTCCTTATTTCCCAAATAATATTCGTAACGCATGGAATGGGTTCATAATTGCTCAAAAGGATACTAAATTAGTTGAAGGTAGTACCATTGCGAGATTAGAAAATGCCGATTTGAGTAATATAGAAATTAGTCAAGACCAATGGATCTCTGGTAAAGAAGGCGATGTTGCTATAGGTACTTTTAAAATCCCATTTACTAATCCAACCCCAGCATCTCCTGGTAAGTATCATTTTAGATTAATCTTGAAAAATAATGGTTACTTTGGTAGTGATGTCGATATTCCATTAGTCATGGAAGTTGAAAATCCACCTCCACCAAAGATTGATGCTGCTAAATTGAAAGCCAAACTTGAAGGCACAGAAGAATCAGACGATGAAAGTGATATATCTGATCCTGAAGAAGATTCTCTTGCTGGTGCATTAGCAGCTTTGAATGGAGGTAATGTTAAAAAATCGGTTAAAGAAGATGAAGACTCGGATGAAAGCGACAATGAAAGTGTTTTCACCGATATTAATACTGACACTGAAGACGAAGGTAATTAAAATCACCAGTGTTTTCCAACCCTACCACCCCTTTAGATTATTTCAAATTTGTTATAAATTGTACCATAAATTCAGCAATGATTTATTGCATTCTTTACATAAATAAGTAGGAAATGCTGTAGTTTTTTCATTATTTATATTCGTTTCACTAATATATACATATATATACATACCTTGTTACAATATAATACATTATATAGATAAGCTTAAAATAACAGCATCAGGATTTGATAAACCTTGTTCTTTATAATAATCTTTGAGGATTTCATCATCTTTTGTAAAACCTTTTTTCAAATACCAATCAATGGCGTGTTTATTATCAACATGAACATGAATTACAATCTGATGAATGAATTTTTCCTTAGTTTTGTCAATAACATATTGCAATAAACGGGATCCAATACCTAAATCTCTATAAGCTTTCAAAACAGCAAAGCTTTCGATATAAACAGCATTAGGTATGATGTTTGTCTGGTTGGAGGTCTGTTGAGATGCCTCATGGTTTGGATTCTTATAAGATGTATTAATGGCTTTAGCCTTAACTGCACCAACTGGTAATTCAGCATAGTAACCAAGTTGAACAATTTGGTCCTTATTCAACGAATCCTTATACCAATTCTCACCGTATCTGGTTGGCAAAACAACCTCATTGATTTTCTTGAAAGTTCCTATATTATTGACAGTTAAACTATCCAATGCTATTATATCTCTACCCATCTCTGCAATTCTAATTGGAAGAAGAAGTAGAGTGAAAAATCTTTTGCAAAAAAACTTCAATAGAAAAAAGCTTCAATTTTGCAAACTCCACGAACCTCTGCCCTCTCTTCAACATTACCAATGCCTCTGCCGACAATTGATCTTCGCTCGACTTCGTCTAATTCCGTCCTTGATCCAGATATAAACCACGTTATACTAATCATATGCCATTATAATGTGGAGTGGAAAATGACCCATTGACCTCTCGTCACGTGACACTCCCAAATCAAAAAAAAAAAATTAAAAAACTCCCCCAAAAATTACAAAATGGTTCCATCCTCTTTTATCGTATAACTGATCCTTCCAGCAACGACTAAACGAAGCAGGAATTGCAATTGGAACATTTAAACCGTTGTTCTACTTTCACACTGGGCCTTTTTTTCGCTTTACTTTTGAAAAATCTTACAATGATTTCCACCATTTTGATTATATTAGCAGTGGTATACTTTCTCAAGAACCTTCTTGTTGATGTCAAGGTCTCCAATCCGTTAGAAAACAGCGGAGAGGGAGATCCCACCATTGTCAGCGGGAAGTTCACCCCCAAGCTGTTGGTCAAGTATAACGGGAGTGACGATCCTAAAATCTTCATGGCAGTGAAGGGTAATGTCTACGATGTTACCAACGGGGCTGCCTTCTACGGACCAGGAGGACCTTACGAAAACTTTGCCGGTAGAGACGCCTCTCGTGGATTGGCACTCAATTCCTTCGATCCAAGTGTCTTAACTCCTCTTGACCAGCCTCTTGATACTTTGAACAACCTTAGTGCTACCGAAAAGGAATCGTTGGAAAGCTGGGAAGAACATTTTGAAAATAAATACCGTCTAGTCGGAACTCTTCATAACGAAACCGAGCTTGAGGCCACTTCCGAACCCACCAAAGAGAAATCTAGCTAAGTCGCCTATATAAACCTTATAATATTTATTTCACAACCATTTACTGTAGCTTTTAAGAGTAATAGAGGGTAGTGTACTTGTGCGCTGAAAATTCACTTAAAAAAATGAAAAAAAAAAAAAGGGAAGAAAGTGAAAGGAACCACAAGTCTTCAGTGAAAGCATCTGGAACAGGGTTCTATACACGCATCATATATCGCTTGGATAAGATAGGTCGACTTGTGAATTTGAAAAGACCGATCTGAAAGAACAAAAAAAGACACAGGTTTCGTACATCGATTCCAGATAATCTTCAATTTTCAGCATCCTACCATGAGTTACCGTGGTGGAAGAGGTAGAGGTGGATACCACTACAATAACAATAATAACAACCATAGTAACTTTAATAACAATAACAACAGCCACAACAACTTTAATAATAACAACTATAACAACTTCAATAACCAAGGCAATTACAACAATTTCAATAATCAGAATAGAAACAACTTTAGTCAACAGAACATAAATCAATTTGCCAATAGTAATGCCGTACCCATTGAGATTCTTGGATGGAATGGGGCTACTCCCGATGAATGTATCAAGTTTATTTCCAGAAAATGTAAGATCAGTGTTTCGAATTACGAAGTGGATCCTAATTCTGGGATATTGAAAGGTTACGTCAAGACTAATAAAGATGCAGATACCTTATTATCGTGGTCTGGAGTTAAGTTTGCAGGGCAGCCATTGAAGATGACAAAATCCACTAGTGCCGATTCGTTCTCCAATAAAGCCGGGGGAGGGGTCGCCGGACAATCAAGTAATGCCATTGAAACTATTACTCAATTTTTAAAATCTCGTTATCAGCCAGACGTTAAACTTCTTAATCTTCTGGCAGTGCAACAAGATGGATCCTTATCAGCAAATGGGTTTTTCGCTTCTATCTCAACAACTTCCAAGTTTTTCCCTGCCTTGATGAAAATAGCCGGGGAATTGAAACTCGATGTTGTAAGCGTGGATTTGTCTGGTAATAACTTGAATGATTTAACTACCATTTCAACATTGGCCCATACTTTCCCCTTGTTAAAAAACTTGGCCTTACTGCATAACAATTTTCAACGTTCAAAGCTGTTTGAAGTTTGGAGACATAAATTGAATTTCTTACGTGAACTCGTTCTCATTGGTAACCCTATCTTGAATAACCCCAACGAGGCTTCCATTCTTAAACAAGAGCTTATGAAATCTTTCCCGAGACTTATTGTTTTAAATGGTGAAATAATAAGAAATGAAGAAGTTTTAAATAACCTTTTAACTTTCCCATTCGATGCCCCACAAGCAATGTTCTTCCAGGATGATGAAGTTCAAAATTTATCAACTAATTTCGTGGCTAATTTCATAAAATTGTGGGATTCTAATAGGCAAGATCTTTTGATGCTATATCAAAATGAATCGCAATTCTCAATGCAAGTTGACTCAGGACACCCACATACTACCGAAGTTTCTTCAAATAATAGAGCTCCTTCTAATTATCAATCAGGTCCTGATTTTGGTTATTACTTATCGGAATCCCGTAACTTGACCAGAGTCTCATCTACAAAATCACGATTTTCAAGAGTTGCCTTGGGACCTGAACAAATTTTTAAATCTTTTTCTCAACTCCCTAAAACTCGTCATGATCTTATGGCAAAGCCTGAACTTTATAGTATGGAATCATATCGCTTTCCACAACTCAATGGAATTATCATCACTTTCCATGGTGTGTTTGATGAAGTTGCGACTCCTGATCTAGAATCAAATAATCCTCCTTCTGGTCCTAGTAGGTACCGTTATGGATCAAAAAATAAAAAGGCGGCGTTAACTCCAAAAAGTTTTGATCGTACCTTTGTTGTTATTCCAGGTCCAAATGGTAGCATGATCGTTGCCAGTGATCTTTTATCTATTAGAGCATTCACTGGACCAGAAGCTTGGGTTAGCACGAGAGAATCCCAACCTACATCTCAACCTGCTCCTGTTCCTACTCCTGGACCCACTCCTGGACCAACTCCTGGACCCACTCCCGTCCCTGCTCCAGCTCCTAACGCTGGAATTCCTACCCCTACCCCTACAGTAGCCGATTTACCCCCAGAAGTAAAAGCAAATTTGAATCCTCAACAACAAGAAATTCTTGTCAGGATATTACTCGAAACTAAACTCAATATGCAATATGCTGTCATGCTCTGTGAACAAAGTAATTGGGACTATCAACAGTGCTTAATCAATTTCAAAAACTCGGTGGCATCACTTCCACCAGATGCTTATGCTGCATAAACCAATTGTAATTTCCATTTTAAAAGTAACCAACTCTCTGTATTCTTAAATAGATAATCCAAACATTTTGTATCTGTATATACTTTGTAAAAATATAGCATCATCAACTTTAACATATTTGTAGAGATTTTGCAACTTAAATCTGTCTGAAAAAAGCGAAAATCGCGTCAAACTTGAAAAAAAGGCAAAAACGAACAGACTCGCAGTAAAACATCTAACCCATTATTGAAGCCAAACCTTACTCTGATATTAGCAGAGGCAATACCAGGAATGATGCTGTCTTATAATATTGCAATGGTATCCGATTTCTTCTACCCTCAACCTGGAGGTGTGGAATTCCATGTCTATCATTTATCTCAAAAACTAATCGATTTGGGACATTCTGTAATAATCATAACACATGATTATGGAGGAAGAAATGGGATAAGAATATTGACTAATGGTTTGAAAGTATATTATGTTCCCTTTTTTCAAGTCTACAGAAGCTCTACTTTTCCAACCGTGTTTCTGGCGTTCCCTATTTTAAGAAACATCTTCATAAGAGAACAGATAGATATTGTGCATGGCCATGGTTCTTTGTCAAGTTTATGCCATGAAGCTATACTACATGGGAGGACGATGGGGATGAAGACTGTTTTCACTGATCATTCGTTGTTTGGATTTGCTGATGTTGGATCAATCCTAGGAAATAAGCTACTCAAATTTACGTTAAGTGATGTTGGCCATGTCATTTGTGTGAGCCATACATGCAAGGAGAACACTGTTTTAAGAGCCTCTATTGATCCATTCAATGTTTCTGTCATTCCCAATGCTGTGATATCAAAAGATTTTCAACCAAAAAGCTCAGATTTAAAAACAGATAACAAAAAGCTGAAAACAGTCACAATTGTAGTAATATCAAGACTATTTCCTAATAAAGGTGCTGATCTTTTAACTGCAATAATCCCAAGAATCTGCTTAGCAAAACCAGAAGTTCGATTTTTAATCGCTGGTGATGGTCCAAAGTTTCTTGATTTAGAGCAAATGAGAGAAAAGTACTTTTTACAAGAAAGAGTCACGTTAATGGGGGCGGTTAAACACGAAGAAGTTAAAGATGTTATGATACAAGGTGAAATTTATCTCCATCCTTCATTGACCGAAGCATTTGGTACTGTCATTGTGGAGGCTGCCTCGTGTGGATTGTTTGTTGTGACTACAAAAGTTGGTGGTATACCTGAGGTTTTACCAAACCATATGACAAATTTTGCTAACCCAGAGGAAGATTCTTTAGTCGATGCTACATTGAAGGCCATTGATCTTATTCAATCAGGGAAAATTGACACCTCAAAGTTTCATGGCCAAGTTGCTAAAATGTATAGTTGGGAAAACATTGCAAAACGTACTGAAAATGTATACAATTCATTAGACTTGAAGAAGTTGAATCAACCACTACTAACAAGACTACGTAAGTACTACTGCTGTGGTTTCATTGCAGGTAAACTATTCGTTCTTTGTGTTGTTGTTGATATTTTCCTATTCATACTACTCGAGTGGTTCTACCCAGCTGAGCACATAGACCTTGCTACGAAATGGCCCAAAAAGAATAAACACAAAAAGTTGAATGGACCAGATGACCTCGATATCGATATCGACTGATCTAGATTTAAATCACGACGAACTTTAATGACTACTTTTGCATATATCAATAATATTATTAATGAATTTAAATTAGAATTAAATATTAGAAATACACAGTAATTCGTGGAGATAAATTACACGAGCTTTTGTTGATCAAGAATTCACTGAAGTAGAGATGTAGGAAGTTAAACATATGCGAAGTGAATTGGAGCATAAGGACTCAAGAAAAAGTGAATTAGTTGAATGATGAAGTGATTGAATTATTTCTTTCATGCTGATACTGTTTTTTCTTTTCTTCCATTAATGCATTTACATATCTGGGGATGTTAACTTTTGGTCTCCATACACCAGCACGAGCAGGAACTTGAACTGGTTGAGACTCATTAACTATACTTCGTATCATAGAAGCCGAATTACGAAAATCTTTTGATTTTTCATTTGTTTGATTTGGATTTGGTGATGTAGCAGCAGATGGCGGAGGTGAACCCACATTTGGTAAAATTTGTTGATCTAACCATTTTAGATCATCATTTTCAGGGTCGTTTTGGGAATGATCAGTGAATTGATTATATTTAATATTAACCATTTTTCTCAATAACAAGACTTCTTCAATCAACGCCATTTCATCAGTGAATTTTTTTTCAGCTTGCATATTTTCGAATTTTCCGACGAGATGGCTTGTTTCAAATACTTGATTAGATTTCAAAATTTCCTGAATTTCGAGCTCTAGTTCTTTATTAGATTTTAATAACGAGTCGTAATTTTTCTTCATATTTTCGTGGTCTTTCTTCAAAACCGACATTTCATTCTTCAATTTTTCGATATATTCTTTAGATTTTGCATCAGTTGAAGCCATATTTTTTTCTAGTAGTTTAACATTGAGTTGTAAATCTTGAATTCTGCTATCTTTTTCCATTAGCTTATTTGTTAAATCAGAGTATTTCAATTCAATTGATCTTTTATGCTTTAGTTCTTTACCATCATCTGGAGGAGGAGAGTGAGAGCTCATATCATTTACTGCGTCATAGATGCTTTGGGCTTGTTTTGAATAAACCTCATGTTTTGTTTTAAGTAAATTTCTATTCTTGGTCAAGTCTTCTAAGATGGAATCTAAAGTGCACCAACTTTCAACGTCATGATCGAACTCAAAAATATCCTTATATAAATCAACATCAACAACTGAAGTATCATCATCATGAATTGAGAAATCTTCGAATTCTAGCTTTTTAACTATTCTTGATAATGAATTGAAAGGATTGCAAATATCATCAATTGATAATATTTTGGTATCGGAAATCGTTAAATCTTTCGAAGCATCAGATGCATCATTTAAATCAATCAATAATGATTTTGCGTCTTCAGTTATATCAGTACTTAATTCAAAAATTAATTGAATTTTGTCGTAAATTTCTTGGATCAATTCATCTGGTTCATAAGGTTGTTGGAAATGACGATCTAAATAATTTAATATATATCTTGTTAATGTAATTTCCTCGGATGATTCGTGAGCCACGCTCAATGCTGAAATCTTGAAAAGAGATAAATTCTGGAAAATTATTGAATAAGTATCATTAACGAAGTTTAATTTCAATAAATCATGGCAATCTTGAATAAAACTTTTCAAATAAGAGACTGGAACATTATCAACATCACCTTCTTTTACATGATTAATTGAAATCATTAAGTTTTGATTTAATAAGCTGAGAATCTCTTTAAATGAAATGATATTATTAACATAATGTTTTGTTGCATAATTATACTCCCATAAATGAGCAATTGATTGTAAAAAGGAAAATAATAATTTTAAATGAAGTTTAATATTCGATAAATTACTCAATTGATATTCAATTTCAGATGAGTTTAAATTTTCCAAACTATCTAACATTATTGAAGTATAAGCAACATTTAAGTTGATATTGAATAAGACTTCATAACCACGTTTAAGATTTAAATTCGTTGAGATTAAAGAACTATCAAATTGTTGTAATAAATCTAATTTTGTTTGAGCAACTTTCAAAGAGATTTTATCATTTGTTGAAGAAGATTTATATTTTTTAATTTGTAATTTCAAAGAGTCTAATTGCAGATTTAATTCATCCAACATAACCTCATGATAATCTGAGCTGAATGTACTATTTCTATCACTTTGAGAAGAGGCTGATACTTTATATTCAGAAACTTTTGATTCAAGATACTTATTTTTCCTTTCCAAATCAGAAATTAGTAATTTATCATTTTGAATAACATCCAGTAAAGATTTGATATCATTTCTTAAATTTATTTCAATTTGTGATTGACTTTCTTCTAAACTTTTATCTAATTCATGAATTTCATTTAATTCATTAACAGTATCATTTAAAGATTTAATTTGATTTTGTAATTGTTCATTTTTACTAGTTAAATGTTCAATAATTTTTTCCAGTTCTAATGCAGAATCTAATTGAGTTTGTAAAGAATTTATAGTTAATTGGGCGGCTTCAAAATTTGATAATAATTGATCATAATTATTTAATTTATCATTATTCAGACCATTTTCCAGTTTTAATGCATTTAATTGATCTTCAAAATTTTTTTTGTTTTCATTAGTTAATTGATTTAAATTTGATAATGCTGATTCTAATTGTTTATTTCTTGAAACAATTAATTGGAAATCTTGTTTTGAAATATTTTCAATATTTGAATTTTCTTTATTTTCATCATTAACTTGAGATTTTATGGCTTCTTCTAATTGTTTATTCAATTCTAATTCTTCATGAACTAGATCATAATCTTTTTTCAAGTCATTATATTTATCATTTAAATTTTTTAAATCTTGTTGTAATTGGCTATTTTGCTCATTTAAATAATCTTTATCTATGGAAACCATTTCAAAATTTGATTCTAATTTGGATGCAAGCATTTGTTTTTGAGTCAATTCATCTTTTAATTGATCAACTGTTTGTTTATATTCTTTTATATCTTCAGTGGTATTTTTCAATTTGAATTGTAGTTTATCAATTACTCGATGTAAATCTGATATATTTGTAGAAGCATTATGCAATATTGGAGAAGAGATTGGAGTTGGATCGGGTAGACCTAAGAAAGCAGGTCTTACGAAAATACCATAATTTTGATCAGATTTTTCACAATCAAAGTATCTAATACCATTAACACTTCCATCATTTTTACCAATTGAAGCGTCAAGTTCAATACCTATCCAAGTTCCGGGGGAGAATTTTGTTTTACCAACAAACTTCACCACCCCGGGTTCACCTTTAACAGAAAGGGATGATCCAACTGAAGGTAATGTCATTTAGTATTTTTTCGGATAGAGAAAGGTGAAATATCAAAACTTCTCGAAAGAAACCACCTATATATGCAAACGTGAATCAAAAAAACTGACAACAGCGGTGGAAATATCTAACAACAGCGGTGAAACGCAGCTATCTAACAACAGCGATAAAACGCAGATAAAGAACAAGGGTTGAAAGTCAGGGAAGTGGTAACTGGAATTTTTCACCAGGGAGTTATTATTGGTTGTATGGACAAAGTAAGAGAACGGAGAATGAGGCTGAAAGATTCAGTAAAGGAGAATAGTTGACAGATGCAAAAAATACAAATGCCAATCGTAAAAGAAGCAAAATAAATCTGGGTAAAAAAGGAAAAACAGAAGTAGAAAGAGAAAGAAGGTGGATGTAACGATAATTTAGTTGATGATGACAATTGATGATAAACTTTTTAAACGATTAGCGTTAGACTAAAATAAATATTAACGCATGGTTAGAAATGAAAAATAAACAAAGCAAATTGCAGAAGAAGAGACTATTAAGAATACAAAATCGGAATCCGTTGGACAATAGAAGACTGTCACCAAACAAAGATTCGACGACTATAGGACAAGAATGCGTGGGTCAATTGATTGTTCAATTGATAGTATTAGATAAACAGAGGTAGCAGCAGTGTTAGAGTAGATGGACAAGAAGATGAAGAAGAAGAAGAAGATGATGAAGAAGAGAAGTAGAGAAGTTGGAGTTGAAGCAGCCGCCCATTTTTTTGTTTATTTACGCGAAAGTTACGCGAGCGCTAACAAACCTTGATCTAATGATGGATCCTGTGATAGAGATCCAGTTACTCAAGTGGATGGGTGCTGGTGTTGTGAGTTGTATCTAGACCCCTGTCAGCCGGTGCATGGCTAACCAGGCATTCCGTGGATGTCTGGAATGTTGGATACGGGCGTCCGATGATGTCTGGGGACGAAAGATGCGTTTAGGATTATGTGCTTGGATTATGTGTTTGGATTATGTGGATTATGTGCTTGTGATTTCGGATCGTTTGGCTGGTGCCCTCCGACCCTCCAGATCGACTATTACTAGGACTGCATTGGTCCAGGATTGCATTTGCATTGGTTAAGTTGGATATTTAGGTTTATATGGGGGTGGAATTGGGTGTTTTCTCATTTTTCAATGGATTTTTTTTTTTGATTGGAACGAAAACATCAACACCAACTTCTTTTCCATTACCAATGTCTGCTCCAGGAACAAGCTCGGGACCCCAGAAAAGAGGGTTGGGTAACTTGAAGGTGGAACTTCTCAATGAACAAAAACAAGAAATCAGAGAAGCGTTCTCGTTGTTTGATATGAATAATGACGGGTGTTTGGATTATCACGAATTGAAAGTGGCTTTCAGAGCATTGGGGTTTGAACTATCCAAAAGAGAGGTTTTGGATATCATCCACGAATACGACACCGACGACCGGAACTTGATCACCTACGAGAGCTTCTTTCAAGCAGGTACGTACTTTGACAATTGACTTTTCCAGGGCCCTTTGAATATTAACATTTTTTTTAGTTGGAGAAAAAATCCTTAATAGGGATCCTTTGGACGAGATTCGTCGGGCTTTCAAGTTGTTTGACGATGACGGCACCGGTAAGATAAGTTTGAGAAACTTGAGGAGAGTAGCCAAAGAACTAGGTGAAAATTTAACTGATGATGAATTAAGAGCTATGATTGACGAATTCGATTTAGATGAAGACGGTGAGAGTATGTATTATCGATCGTGTTTGCAAGACACCTACTAACTTTCTTTCTAGTCAATGAACAAGAGTTCATCAATATCTGTACAGAATAACCTCCTTTGCATTACCAATTGTATACTAGTATCTCTTCAATTCTGTAATATTTCCTTTTCTATATTAATATATATCGACACCCAGACACCAGCGTATGTATGGGTCTTTTTCTTGCTTTTCCCAAAAAAAAAAAGAAGAATAAGTAGTGCACGCACCACGTACCATAGAAAAAAAACTGAAAATTTTTTGAAAATTTACTTCAAAAGTTCAATCTTTAACCATTGCCAGAGGTTATACACTAGTAGGAATAGCTAAAGATGTCATGGAATACTGCTAAAAAAAGGTTCCAAGCCGATTTGGAAAAAATGTCCAATCGTGCCAGGGGGAAATACTTGAATGATTTGAAGAAAATGCAATTACCAACTTTTGAAACCGCTCTCCGTCCTATACCCCAAAATGAAAGAAGAACTGATCTTAAAGATATTGGATTTGCACCAGGAGATTTTGCATATATAACGGAAGGTCCACATAAGGGTACTATTTCAACTGTGCTTCAATATACTAGTGAATTCGATCAAGTTTACTTATCTTCGGTAACTTCCAAAAAAATTATTCCAAAAGAAAATTGGGTACCAAATCAATCTTCACATCTTATGGATTATCCAGAACCAATTTCAGCCAAAGATATCAAAGTGGCCGCGAAGGATAAAGACGAAAAGGGGAACGTTTATTACGTTGTTGCCGATGATATTGTTCAAAAAGATAAATATTATGATTCAAGATATTATAGATGGTTACCAAAAAGATTTATCAAACATCACGATGCAATTGAAATTCCATGGCCAAATCCTCCTCAAGAACAAAAACCAGGGGCTTTATCAACAAGCCCAGAAGTTGCCAAAGAAAAAACATGGGAATTACAATCAATTGTAAAATCTCCTTTCCCTTCAAAAGTTTTGAAAGAATTAAGAAATCCTTATAGTCAATACAAAAAGAAGGCTCTTAGTGATATTCAAGCAAGAAAATTAAATGCCCCCGAAATGCCATTATCAAAAGAACAAAAAATCTATTTAGCTAAAAAAGCTGCTGAACCTAAAAAACAATTACAAAGATTATCTCCAGAAATTCAAGATTTTATTGGTGAAAAAATTGCCAATCATGTTAATAAAATTGATAACCCATACCTTTTGGCTCACTTGGATGCATTATCCAATGTTAAAATTCCTGATTTTGCTAAAACCATGTCTAAAATTGAAGAATCAGAAAAACGTCAACAAAATCAATCATAATCAATTCATTTCATTACTTGTAAGTAAAATAGACTCACGGTTGTCTCATGTATATATACTCCTATAAATTAATGATACATATTTAATTTTTTTTTTGTAAACTACAGTTATCTTAACGTAAATAAATTTATTTTATTTTATAAAGTATAATAGAATCAAAATAAACTTACAATTTTTCATAGTCTATTTTACCTTCCAACTTCTTAACATCAGCAACTTTTCTGACCGCTTTCATTAAATCATTTTGAACAATGTAATCTCTTTCATCTCTAATTGCGAAAAAACCAGCTTCAGTTATAACATTTCTTATATCTGCACCATTAAACCCATCACTCATTTTAACTGCAGCTTCGAAATCAAATTCTCCTTGTTTAGCAACAGTTGAAGTATGAATTTTAAAAATATCTAAACGACCAGTTTCATTTGGTAAACCAATTTCAATTTTTCTATCTAATCTACCAGCTCTTAGTAAAGCAGGATCTAAAGTATCTGGTCTATTAGTTGCCATAATAACTTTGGTTGAACCCAAAGTATCGAACCCATCCATTTGATTTAATAATTCCATTAATGTTCTTTGAATTTCACGATCAGCAGAAGTACCTTCACTAAATCTTCTACCACCAATAGCATCAATTTCATCCATGAAAATAATACATGGTTCATGTTCTTTAGCGTATGCAAACATTTCTCTAATCAACCTAGCTGATTCACCAATATATTTATCTACAATGGCTGATGCAGGACTGAATATAAAATTAGCTCCAATTGTGGCAGCAACTGCTTTTGCTAATAAGGTTTTACCAGTACCGGGAGGTCCATATAATAAAACCCCCTTTGGTGATTTAATACCAACTCTAGTAAATAATTCTGGATTTTTCAATGGTAATTCAATAACTTCTCTTAATTCTCTAATTTGATCAGTTAAACCACCAATACCATTAAAGGAAATCTCACCCGGTTCAAATGTAGTCATATTATACACCAATGGGTCAACTTCTCTTGGTAAAATCCTCATTATAGTTAAGGTAGTCATATCTAAAGAAACTCGAACTCCATTCTTCAAATTTTCTCTTTTAATAGTATTACGACATCCAACAATATATCTTGGTCCACTTGATGCTTTAACTATAAATCTTTCTTCGTCCAATTGCTTCAAAACTTCTCCAATGATTTGTCCAACCGATTGTAATGCTTTAATATCATTTTCAGTCTTATCGTAGTCTTTATCTAAATCTCGTATAGTTAATCTTAAATCTTTCAATCTAGCATCCCATTTTCTATGCTCCACTAACTTATCCTTGAATTTAGATAATGCTCTTTCTCTTTCTGGATCCGCTGGTGCTGATTGAGCTTGTTCACCCGATTGTTCGTCGTTTTGTAAAGCTGCTAAAAGTGGATCGTTTTCTTCGGCACTCATACTTATTTTCTCAACTGATTAACTTATCTGGCTCCCAATTGTCAATTAGTCTTTCTTCACTCGATCAATTAATGGAAAAACACTCGAATTATCAAGCTAATGCTGTTAATATCGCTAAATACTTGCCAATCACGCTGGTGTTCACTGATTTCTCACTGTTTTTTCCTTTGGCAGTGGCAAAATGAGAGTAGTTGAAGAGACGGTAAAGAAACGACCAGCCAAAGGGTACTGCACATATAACGACATCAACGAAGAGTCAAAAAAAAAAAAAAAAAAAAAAAAAAAGCTTATGAAGCCATTGGAAGAGAAGACCAACCAATTCGAATTGATTCCCAGAGTATAATGGAGTTCCACGCGGTAGTATTGTGTGGGCCAGGAAGGGCTTTGACGCCGTTTTCGCAGCTCAGGTCGACCGGGGTGTGCAAGGCGTTGTTGCCTGTTGCCAATAGACCAATGTTTGAATATGTATTAGATTGGTGTGAAAAGGCATTTTTCCCCAAGATTACATTAGTGACCGACGAAGAGAGTTACGAGGAGATGAATTCTGCATTAGAGAACTATAAGTTGGCGAAAACCAATAAGAAAAAGATTGAGAGCGAGGCTGAGATTGTTGGATCAACTGAAGAAGTATTTCAGTACGCAACTTCGATTGATATCGTTTCTAATATTGCAAGTTCCAGCGGAGAAATATTGAGTTATTTGAAGAACTCTAACAAATTACAAGGGTTTGAAAACTTTGTTATCTTGCCCTGTGATTTCATTACCAATTTACCACCCCAGGTCTTGATTGAAGCTTATAGAAATAAATCAGATCAAGATATTGGATTAGCAGTGCATTATAAGAACTCATTGGATATAGAGGATAAGAAGAACACCATATTTCCTAAAAACTATACTGTATACACTGAATTAGAAGATGGACAACAACAATTATTAGATATTTATTCTAAAGAAGATACTGATTTTCATAAAGCATTAAAATTAAGAACACAAATGAGTTGGAGATACCCCAATAGTACTGTTGGTACCAAATTACTTAATAGTTCCATATACTTTGGATCTTGTAAACAAATATTTGAAATTTTCGAAAGAAACCAATTAAAATTTAGTGAACAGTATTTCAGAACCAGAACCATATCGAAGATATTTCGTGATTTAGCAAGAAGATCGTGGAGACATTCCTCATTGAAAGAGTCGATCAGCTTCTTGATTGTACCACAACAAGCTACTTTTTTCAGATCGAATAATTTACCAGTTTTGATGGAAGCAAATCGCTATTTTATGAAATTACAAGCACAGGCAAAAGGCCAACAAGCAGCAAAGGAAAAGCCAATTGCAAATGTTGGTAATGACTCATTAATTGGAGCAGAAACTGAATTGGGAGAAAAAACCAATGTTAAAAGAACAGTTGTTGGACCAAATTGTTGGATTGGTAAACGAGTTAAATTAACTGGATGTTTAATTTTAAATGATGTTAGAATTGAAGACGATGTTCAATTGGAAAACTGCATAATTGGACATCATGTAATTATACAACCTAAGGCTAAATTAATTAATTGTAATGTTGAATCAACTTATCAAGTTTCAAAAGGTACTCAAGCTAAGGGAGATACTTTATTATGTTTCACATTGGAGGGTTTGGTTGATCAGAATGCAGATGCCAGTGATCTTTCACTGGAAGCAGTATCAAGTACCGAAGGTGATGAGTCCGACCTGGATGATGATTTTGATGATGAATACGTTGATAATGCAGATGGGTTATTTGCATATTAGAAAATGCATTTTTATAAAGTTTATAAAATAACATTACTTTATACTATAAAAAATTATGTAAAATTTATATAAAAAAGAGCCAACAAAAATAACCATTAACATCATAACTATAAGGAAAGAGATTCATGAATAAATATAAGTATGCAAATAAAACAAGTTTGAAATGAAAATAAGATGATGATTAATTAATCTCGTCATCATGATGTTCTTTATCTTCAGAGATATACTCTGTTTTCATCAGATTACCGGATAAAAGTTTTCTTTTCTTTTTAGCAATGCCGCCGTCAAGATTTTTCTTTGTATTCAAATCTTCCGAATCACGATCAGTTTCGTAATCCGACAGGCCAGTTGATTCTTCCAGTGAGCAGTTTCGTTCATTTTGTAATCGGTATTTCTTCTTGAATGAATCATTTTTTTTATTTTTCTTCAAGTTATTTCTAAATTTATGCCCATGGGTAACCGATAATGCAGGAAAACTTGGTCTAAAACGGTAGCTAGTGGAAAAATCTTGACTTAATGCAAAATCGTAATCGGTGGGGATATTAAAAGCATCCGATTCAGTTGATGCTATCTCATTGTTTGATGTCACCTCATTAGATATTGGTTCTGTTGTTGAGCTAGAGATCAAGTTATTTTTATTCATATTAATGATCTCAGCTCTTTTGGTTAATGCCCAGTTCTCAATATCCTCTCCATTACTTATATTATTCAATAAATCATCTAAGCATTCTAGGTATCCCTTATTTAAAAAAACATTATTAGAATTATTTGAAAGTCGATACAAAGTAGCAACTGATTTGGCAGCATTGGCAAACTCCATCTTCTGGTGTTTCGTATCCTTATTGCCCGTCAGAATTGATGAGTTATACAACGATGCCACCGACTTGGCTGCATTCTTGAACTCGGTAGTTAGTTCTCTATTCAATTCATTAATGGAGGTTTCATCAATTGGTTTGGTTGGAGGTAGGTCCGTCGACAAATTAGATAAGTCCATCTTCCTTCGTATACAGCGTCTTGCAGTGGCTCTGGATGCTCCCTACTCTTATAATAACACTATTGTCTAACAAAAAAACGTTCAATACCAATATAAACCAATGATCTATGGATCCCTGTGGATTCAAAACGCTCTCTTTTAAAATTTTTTGTGTGTCTCTGCTCACTGGTCTTGTGCGATAACCGATAACGGCCGGAAATAGCCCGGAAATGCCCAGCTACTGCAGACCAACGCACGTGACTGATTTTGAAATCCGGCCAGGTCAAAAAGAAAAAGAGTAGACTTCCACGTATAGCGAACAGAAACGAACCAACTATTCAAGTCAACAGGGATTATAGGTTAAACATGGTTAAATCTACTATAATCTACCGTTACGATGGTGCGTATTACATATAGAGTTAGTCTGGGGATGGTTTTACTAACCCGAATTTAGCACTCCCGTTATGTGGATCGGTCGACGACAATAATGATCCAGCCTTGATGGAACAAAAGAAGAAGTGTAAGTTGATAATTAGTCGAATCACTCCTAATAGTGAACCGCAAGCTACCATTGAGTCCGGGGCTTTCAACATTCACTACTTGATCTCCAATTCGATTATTTATTTAAGTATTTGTGATAAATCCTATCCAAGAACATTAGCATTTTCATATTTATCAGAAGTATCCCACGAATTTCAAAACTCCCACGGTCAAGAGGCATTGAGCAATGGTGCAAGACCATTTGGGTTCAGTTCATTTGATAATTTCTTGAGTAAAACCAAGAAGATTTACCAAGATCAAAGAGCTCAATCGAATATTGATAAATTGAATACTGATCTTGCTGATGTTAAGAAAGTTATGACTAAAAATATTGAAGACTTATTATACAGAGGAGACTCTTTGGATAAAATGAGCGATTTATCCTCAAGTTTAAGAAACGATTCTATCAAATACCGTAAAAAGGCCCAAAGAATCAACTTTGAAGCCATGATTAGACAATACATTCCAGTTGTTGGGGCTGGATTATTCTTTGTATTTTTAGTTTGGTACATTTTCTTAAGATCTTAATTCACTTTCAATTCTTCTTCTCTTTTCCACATATCATCTTAATAAATAATACTTCAATGTAGATACTTCAATGTAGATACTTCAATGTAGGTACTTCAATGTAGATACTTCAATGTAGATACTTCAATGTAGATACTTCAATGTAGATACTTCAATGTAGATACTTCAATGTAGATATTTCAATGTAGATATTTCATAAGACTGATACTCCATAGAAAAAAAAAATCGTATCGCGTTAACTTCTAATAACTTCAACCTACTTCTAAGTTTACAGCTCTCCATGAGTGATCCAGGAAGGGCAGCTAGCCCAATTAAGAGACCGTTGGTATTGGATCGTAAAACATCATCCGCAGGCTTACTACCCCAATCAAAACCACAGGCTAATAACTATGCTAGTGATCCTACAACTGCCATTAACTTTGAAAATGCTGATCTAAATAAACCAATTGATGAACAAGGTAAGCAACTGACAAGTAGCTCTAATAGCTTGATTTCTCCTATAATACATACCAGTGATGATATTTTATCCGAACAATTGGATGATGAAGATGAAGATGAACACGATCTTCTGAATATATTACAAGATTTGATGATTAATGAACAGTATAAGATAAAGATTGATTCAATGAACAATAAGAAGAATGACTTCCAAAATTGGAACATCTTTAATAAGCCCTTGACCATTGAAGACATTTTAGCTAGGTACATCAATATTGATAAAACGAGTGATGATGCAGGTAAATTTCACGATAAATTTAAGCAATTTTTCATATTATCAACTGCAGGAAAACCAATATATTCGATGAATGGATCGGATGATATCGTGATTGGATACATGGGTTTAATAACCACGATAGTATCGACATTCCAGGAAAATATGAAGGAGGATTTTAAATCAATAAAGTATGGAAACAATTTAAAGCTTTCAGTATTGAACAAAGATCCATTGTTATTTGTATCAATAACCAAGTTGAACTATGAAATAATACCATCGTTAGAATCTCAAAACGATGATTATCATCTAATAAGACAATTGAATACATTGTATAACTATGTGTTATCGATATTATCCAAAACAACCATCACAAAAAACTTTAATAATCGAATGAATTATGATTTAAGAAAAATCTTGACTCCACTTGATTTCAGTAATTTTGATAATTTATGTATGAAGCTAACTTACGGGCTTTCGACTAAAGAACCGAATAAGTACGATTCAGGATTCGAATTTTTCATCAGTGAATTATTAGGGTCTAATTTACAAAGCACCAAAATAAGTCATACTGCTAGAAGCAAGTTGAACTCCATCTTATTAGGCTGTAAGAAATTAAAAGCCAAAGAGGAATCAGATACTTCATCGATTTTCAATCTACAAGAGAAACAAGAGCAGTATATAAGCGGAGACTTATTATTTTCATTATTAACATTTGGAACTGATAAGATATTAACCATGATGAGGCCTCGAAATCATCAACTAACAAATGATGATATCCAAACGCTTTTATTAACTATACAATCTACACCATTGAATCAAGAAAAAAACGAATCTCTGGAAGATTTGTGGATACCATTATGTATGCCTAATTTCAATAGCAATGGATTCTTATACGTTTTCGTTAAAAAATTCGATTTAGCGGAATACTTGTTGGTAGATGGGAAAAATATCGAACCACAAATCATTACGATTATATTGATAAGTGGCAATAAAAACAGTTTCTTTCAAATGAAGGAAATTTCGGATCATATAATATACAAAATCATCAAGAATGAAATCTTTCGGAATAAATTAAGTGACGAACTAATGAATAGTTGTAATTTAAAAATCTTCAAGAACGAAGAGGATCAATTCATCAAGCATTTCATATATAAACTGAAGTTGCATAAACAGTTTTTCATGAGTGATGCTTTGACCAAATCTGACGATCTAGACGTGAATCAAATACTACAATTAGTTTATTTCTATTCAATTTTAATCAAGACAAAGTCATCAAGCATCAAAACAATCACGGTGAAGAATAAGAAACTTACATATTTGAGATGGCAATTGAACAATCAAACCATCACTGGGTTCATGTTATCTGACCAGCAATATGAGTTCTACTGTTTGAGTGACGAACTGATCAAGTCGCAACAAGTGATTAATCAGAGTTTGAAAATCATAAAATGGTGTGAAAAAAATTATGAAAGACTATTTATTGGAGAAGGCGTTTGTTTTTAAAGTGATTTTATTTAAGTATTGCTTGTTCAGCATTCTTGAAAACCTCATTCAATTTATCCACATGAGTTTTATGTAATTTTTCAAAAGTTGAAACTAATTTATTATCGGAATCAGATAAGTTATTTTTTTTGGAGTATTTACTTAACTTATTTTTAATATCTGATCTTATTGAATTAAGAGATGAATTTTTGTTACCAGTTTTAAATTTTTCTAATTCGTTTTTCAAAACTTTTATATTTTCCTTTTTCATTTCGGTTGTCACTGGGGGTAATGGGATATTTAAAGTTTGTTTATTTGAAGGATCGATTTGAGGATTCATATTTAGGTTAGAACTTAATATACTATTAATAATGGATGATGTATATTGAGGATCGAAAACAGTTATTACAAATTTTCTCCCTTTAATTGAAGTTTGGGCTAAATTTATAAATGGTTGATCACCATCATCAGTATTAATAGTCAATTTATCAAAAATTGATGGATTTGTTTTACCTAATTTAGTTTCATTAGCAGTTTTGGTGAAAAGTTCGATTATTTTATTGAAACGAGTTTCAATTTCTTTCAAATCCAAGATTTCTTTTAAATTTGGGGTATCATTGGAATCTTCTTCAACTTCCTTGGATTTCTTACTAGGTTTCCCTCCTCCCTTTTTAGCTTTTGCTAATTGAACGGAAGTGGTATGGAAATTAGCATGTTTCACCGGCAATCTAATAACCGGCGTACGAATGACGTTTCTTAAAAGCACCGATCTGAACATTGGAGGGCCTGAATTGGTTTCTAAAGTATACCCGTTTAATATCAAACCGTTTATAATGAGAAAATTTTCAACCTTGTCGTGCCTTGGAAAAATTGCAGCAATTACCTGCCATTCCCATCCTAATAGATCTGCTAACTAAACGATGAATCTCAAAAGAATCGACTCCTGGATGAGTCGACGAATCTTCGGTGGATCTTGGACTGATCTTGGGGAATCTCCAATCACCAATGAATCAGTAGTACGCTCCCCGAGTTAACTCCAGTAGGTCCGACCAAACGAACACAATATCTTCTCACGGTCTGGCCAGTGGGTCCAATTACTAATTTGTGGAGTATCTCCAACCTTTCTGATATTTCTGATGGCACGGAGTTTCACTTTCAACCGTTGAACCAAACAAACTCCGGAGTAGCTAGCGCTCTCGGCACAACGTCTTTCATCCGAAGGACTCTGGCCGCGTAAGGCTGATTATTCATTGAATAACTGACTGAGAAGAGCTGGGGCCTGCACACAACCCCCTCCTCAGGGTATAAATAAGAAGAAATCTCCTGAGATGCTGGTTTCAATTGTGGGAGAACAACATCAAAATGTCCAAGTTCTACGAATTAACCCCCCTCGACAAAGCCGGTAAGCCCTTCCCATTCAGTGACTTGAAGGGTAAGGTGGTATTGATTGTGAATGTTGCTTCCAAATGTGGGTTCACTCCTCAATATAAAGAGTTGGAAGAATTGAATAAGAAATACGCCGATAAAGGATTGCAAGTGATTGGATTCCCATGTAACCAATTCGCATCGCAAGAACCAGGTAGCTCTGAGGAAATTGCTTCTTTCTGCTCTTTGAACTACGGGGTCACTTTCCCAGTATTAAAGAAAATCGATGTCAATGGTGACAAGGCCGATGACGTCTACAAGTACTTGAAGGGAGAAAAATCCGGGTTATTGGGATTGACCAGAATCAAGTGGAACTTCGAAAAGTTCTTGGTTGACAAGGAAGGTAACGTTGTAGAAAGATACTCCAGTATTGCCAAACCTGCCAGTATTGCTCCTAAAATCGAAGAGTTACTTAAGTAATAATGTATACTAATGTATTTTTTAACGTAAAAGAAGAAACCTGTACATCCACAAACCAAACACCCGTACACCCAATAAAACAAACACCCGCACATCCAAAAATGACAAACCCCCCGGGTACCGTAATCACGTGACAGGAAAACACCCACACACCACACTTCCCTAAGCGGTAAAAGATAAAGAAGCTTATCGAAATGTTGGGTTATCTCGAATTGGTCTGCAACACTACTCCATCCCCTATTTTATTCTGTGGTGTTCTTTCAAAGTGAGGTCATTTTTGGAATTCTGTCACATTCTTTGACTCACAGTGGAGATCTCACTTACGTCTGGTTTGGTTATATATACTACTCCTTTCCCAGTTTATTATAGGGCATTAGTTCATTATCGGTTATTTTATTTACGCTCTCTATCGCCCAGTTCACTCTCATCTCTTTAACGTCCATCTGTTCAATACGGTATTACTGGAGATCTTATCGGTTGCCTGGTTTTTCCCATTGCATTGATCTTACGATCTTATTAGACTCTTAGCTGTGCTTTTTCATTTTTTCTATATATATATATTTTTTTTTTTGTTGTTTTTTTGGTTTTAGCTTGTATTTAATTTTCATTTCTATTTAATAACTTTTCTGGTTGGTCTTTTATATATATTTCACGTTATAATGACTTCTGTTATATCTCCATTGATTCTTGATGAATCCCGCAGTGCAAATACCGTTACGAAATCGTTTAATGCTAAATTTGATGACTATGAAGCTTATGAATCTTCTAAATACTTATTGAAGAATACTTACCAGTACGTTGAGCCAATTGAAAATGGCTCTTTTGGTAAAGTGACCTTGGCTTATAATATCCATACCAAGACTAAAGTTGCCATGAAGTCGATCTACAAGTCGCATAAGGAGTTGAGATTGATGGCGCTCAATGAAATCACCCATTTGAAGACGTTGGGCAGAGCCAATGCTAACATCTGTCAGTTGTTGGATCATTTTGAATCGAGAGATTTCATCCATTTAATCTTAGAATACTGCCCAAATGGCGATTTATATGAATTGATCCATAGTGCAAATAAATTGGCCAATGTTGAAATTTGGACTTTGGCAAAAGAAATTTATAATGGGTTGAACTATGCTCATTCTTTAGGCATATACCATCGCGATATTAAACCAGAAAACATCTTGTTTGATTCAATCGGTCAAGTTAAAATTTGTGATTGGGGGTTGGCTACTAATAAAAGATTCAGTAGTGATTTCGATATCGGTACGGAAAAATACATGGCTCCTGAAGTCTTCGCTCACTCAAGTCCTCTTTTCCAAAATAAAATTGAATACGATGTTTTATTTGCAGATTATTGGTCGGTTGGAATCACCTTATTGACCGCTCTATTTGGTAATGCTCCTTTTAAACCAATTCCAAATGACTCTAATTATAAATCTTTAGAATCGGATTATAATTTCAAAAAATTTGTTTTTTATAATCAACATGATATCTTATACGATATTTATCCAATGATGAATTCAAATTGTTTTGAAATTTTCATGAATATCTTAAATATCGGTGGTCTAGAAGATGATTTATCTCAATATCAATCTAAAATTCATCAAAGAAACTTTGATCAATTCATTCTTGATTTAGAAAAAAATTGGAATAAAGGTTTAACCGTTGATGATGAATTATTCTATCTTGATGATGATCAAGATGAATTACTTTTCGATGATGACGTGATTCATAATGATGACGTTTTCAAATTAGATGAACAAATCTCCGATACTAGTAATTCTCAAATAAATTATTACGTGAACGGTAATTTATCAAATGAATCGAATGACTCAAATGACTCGAAAAATTTAAGTAATATTAATGTACCTTCTTTGGTGGATTCTTCTTTACAATCAAAGTCTTGGTATGATTTGGATGAAGAAGATGAAGATAATGAATTCGAAATCTTCTTCAAAACCTTATCATTGAAAAATGATAGTAAATAATCTAATGAATAGTAACGAATATAAGGCATATACTTAGTTATCAGTGTAATTGATGGGATTGTCTCCGGTTCTCCGTTGAAGGCATCTTAGAGAAACATTCCGGTCCCGGTACCGGGGACCGGTACCGCAACGGCGGCCGGTCCCCAGGTTTGGCACGACCCCCCTCTTACTATTGACTCATAGTAATTGAACACTAGGGAAAAAAATCCTGCATAAATCGCATCGACGAATTTTTCACCTTTACGTCCCCCCGTCCAGTTCTAGTATATATAGTTAGTCAAGTATCTCTCAATTGGCTAGAGTTTTCATTCTTTTTCTTTTTCTTCATCAAACAAATTCAATTCTAAATTAATCATGTCTTTCAGAAACGCTTCCCTTCGTATGGCTCGTACTGCTTCTAGCCGTGCCTCTAGACAAATTGCTTCTAAAAGAGCTTTATCTGCTTTAGCTAACGCTGCTCGTCCAGTTGTTTCTAAACAATCTATGGCTCCAACTGCTATTCGTGGTGTTAAATCTATTAACTTTGGTGGTACTGAAGAAATTGTCCACGAACGTGCTGACTGGCCAAGAGAAAAATTATTAGAATACTTCAAAGACGATACTTTTGCTTTGATTGGTTATGGTTCTCAAGGTTACGGTCAAGGTTTAAACTTGAGAGACAATGGTTTAAATGTTATCATTGGTGTTAGAAAAAACGGTGCTTCTTGGAAAGCTGCCATTGAAGATGGTTGGGTTCCAGGTGAAAACTTGTTTGAAGTTAATGAAGCTATCAATAAGGGTACTTATATTATGAACTTATTATCTGATGCTGCTCAATCTGAAACTTGGAACACTATTAAACCTTTAATCACTCCAGGTAAAACTTTATACTTTTCTCATGGTTTCTCTCCAGTTTTCAAAGATTTAACTCATGTTGAACCACCAAAAGATGTTGATGTCATTTTAGCTGCTCCAAAAGGTTCTGGTAGAACTGTCAGAACTTTATTCAAAGAAGGTAGAGGTATCAACTCTTCTTATGCCGTCTGGAATGATATCACTGGTAAAGCTGAAGAAAAAGCTATTGCTTTAGCTGTTGCCATTGGTTCTGGTTACGTTTACCAAACCACTTTTGAAAGAGAAGTCAACTCTGATTTATATGGTGAAAGAGGTTGTTTAATGGGTGGTATCCACGGTATGTTCTTAGCTCAGTATGAAGTTTTAAGAGAAAATGGTCACACTCCATCTGAAGCTTTCAATGAAACCGTTGAAGAAGCTACTCAATCTTTATACCCATTAATTGGTAAATACGGTATGGACTACATGTACGATGCTTGTTCCACCACTGCTAGAAGAGGTGCTTTAGATTGGTACCCAAGATTCAAAGATGCTTTGAAACCAGTTTTCAATGAATTATACGAATCCGTTAAAAACGGTTCTGAAACTCAAAGATCTTTGGACTTCAATGGTTCTCCAGACTACCGTGAAAACTTAGAAAAAGAATTAGAAATCATTAGAAATATGGAAATTTGGAAAGTCGGTAAAGAAGTTAGAAAATTACGTCCAGAAAACCAATAGATTATTTCTATTTGATTAAATTTTTTCTGTTTTTTCTACCTTGTTATTATTATCCAAACTTATTCATCCATGGTCTTTCTTGAATGACTTCAGTGAATAATGTATTATTTCAATTCTCTATTTTTTTACTATTCTTTTGTTATGAAACGATATTTATTTTTACACTAACATTATGATAATTTATTACCTTTTATTTTTATCTACTTGGGTTTGGTTTTACAAAACTTATTTCTCTACTTTTTATATATATTAGCATATAGAAGCTTCCAGTTTGTTGAATAAACAAGTTTCTTAATTAATATCATTTATTCAATTCATCCAGTAGATCCGTACATTTTGCAACTCAGAAAGCTCAACCCTTTGAGTTACGGGGAAGAGAAAGCGCGGAAAATGAATAAATAAAAAAAAAAAGCAGTCACGAAGCGGCACAAGCCCTATGTGTTTGCACGTGCGTGGTTTTTGGCACAGTCCATCAGCAGTTGGTGGTTAGTGCTCGGAAGTCGTTTCCTTGAACAAAACGCATGACTTTACGCATACAAATACCACGATATCCGGGCCCCGGTATAGGCTTCGCACCAGTATTCTTAAGAATTCTATTGAATCGGCGAGAAACGAGGGAGGAAAAAAAAATTTCACTGGGTGCGCTCGATAGCTCTTCAACTTATATTGGTACAATTTTTCACTTACGTTTTTCCTGGGTTTTTCTTTTCCTTCTATATACATTAATACAGAAAAATGGCTGTTGGTAAAAATAAGAGATTGTCGAAAGGTAAAAAAGGTTTGAAGAAGAGAGCTGTTGATCCATTCAGTAAAAAAGAATGGTACGATATCAAAGCCCCATCCACTTTTGAAAACAGAAACGTTGGTAAAACTTTAATTAACAAATCTACTGGTTTAAAAAACGCTGCCGATGGTTTGAAAGGTCGTGTTGTTGAAGTTTGTTTAGCTGATTTACAAGGTACTGAAGATCACTCTTACAGAAAAGTTAAATTGAGAGTTGATGAAGTTCAAGGTAAAAACTTATTAACCAACTTCCACGGTTTAGAATTTACTTCTGATAAATTAAGATCTTTAGTCAGAAAATGGCAATCATTAGTTGAAGCTAATGTCACTGTTAAAACTGCTGATGATTATGTTTTAAGAATTTTTGCTATTGCATTCACTAAAAGACAAGCTAACCAAGTTAAAAAGACTACTTATGCCAAATCTTCTAAATTAAGTGATGTTAGAAAAAAGATGATTGAAATTATGCAAAGAGAAGTTTCCAATGTTACTTTATCTCAATTAACTTCTAAATTAATTCCAGAAGTTATTGGTCGTGAAATTGAAAAATCAACTCAAACTATCTTACCTTTACAAAACATTCACATCAGAAAAGTTAAATTATTAAAACAACCAAAATTTGACTTGGGTGCTTTAATGTCTTTACACGGTGAAGCTACCACTGATGATAAAGGTAAAAAAGTTTCCTCTGGTTTCAAAGATGTCGTTTTAGAATCCGTTTAATTTATTTCTTCCACTTTTACATCATCTAAAACCAAAACCATTCCCATTTCCATTCACATCAAAAAACCATTTTCCTATTATAAAAACTGTATTTTTAATTATCCTAATTTTTCAATCGTCTTCATGACCAGGTTTTTTTAGGACGTACATCTACTGGTATATATATAATTATTATCTTCCGGGGGTTGATTTTTTATTATCTAAGTTTCATGTCACGAGAAATAATCTTGTATATTTGCAAATTTTAATGACACGTCGTTTTATTTCTTTAGTACCTTATAGTATCGATATTGTAGTTCTGGATCTTGTGATCTAGCGTAGACCCCTTAATTAATTCGTATCAAAGTATCACTACACAACCATTTGCTTCGTTTACAATACCTGTTACCAAGCAAGTAGGTTATGTTGAAGTTAATTCGTTTAATTAGACTGGACAGGTTAGTTGGGTGTTGTCGTATAGATTAAACCGGCTGCTGTGAAGTCGTAACCGAATAACCCATTAGCAAGACAACGAGAAAATCGTTGGCATAAAACCCGTACCGTTATTCTACCATCACTCGTATACCGAAGATATTAACCAACACAAAATCATTTCTTTTTAAAAATATCTAAATGAAATTGCTAATACTAGGTTTATAACTTAAAGTTGACTAATAAGAATAATATATTCAATTGAAAGAGTTATTGGGTGTTTAATCTCCAAAAAGTAAAATGAATATTGACGTAGATGATGACGATGCATGGTCTTACAGTTTTCCCCCATCCACCGAGTCCTTACCTATACTGAAAGATGCCAATAATGAAAAGGACCAGCAAACTACATCTAAACAACCAAACGGACTGGCTGAAAAAGAAAAGAGCATGCAAGATAAACCTCTAAGCTCCGAATCGAAAGTGTCTACGAAAAGTGATTTTAAAGTTCAAAGTAATCCGAAAATTGATGATGGCTCAATTGATGAAAAAGCTACTTCCAACGGTAGTGAGGCCAAAGACATTGGCTCAATTGGTAATGCTGATAATGGCGATAATGAAATTAATGATAGTAATGACAATAATGACAATGCTTCGGGATCGTCTTCTGACCTGTCCAATAATAGAAATCCCGATATCAAAAGACGGAGAGAACAACTCAAAGCATTTGCACCCGGCTCGTCCACAAATTCTTCGCTATCCTCAATGTCTCTACAGTCCCCATTTCTTGTAAAATCAGTACCCGCAAATCCTTACACAACTCGTGAAGATGCCAACTCAATACTATCTAAAGAAAGCAAACCAAATTCCTTAGGTGAAAAAGATAAACAAAAGGATCAAATCATTTCACCTAAATCTGCAGCAATGGAGAATATGAGATATGCTATGCAACTGCAAGCTTCTGATGCTACTATAAATGGGAATACTGATCAAAGACCATCAATTGATACCGAAAGTTTGAAAAGTAAAACAACTCCCGATTTGAGTAAGGCTGATGGTGCTTTCCAAAGTCCGGTTTCTCCAAAGATAATAAGCTATAGAAAATCAAGCAACAACCATGCCAACACAGATTCTGTAGCTAGTATCGAGGAATTACTCGATAAAGAGGAAAAATATGACGTCAAGCTATATACCAAAGAAAAATTCAAAGATACAAATTATAGGTATGCTATTATGAAAAGGAATACCGACTTTCATCAACTCTTCAGAAATTTGGACCTTACGGATAGATTATTGGATGATTTTGCTTGTGCATTAAGCCGGGAAATTCTATTACAAGGAAGAATCTACATCAGTGAGCACAATATTTGCTTTAACTCCAACTTGCTTGGGTGGGTGACCAACTTAGCTATACCAATGGACGATATCATACGATTTGAAAAGAAAACCACAGCTGGATTATTTCCTAATGGTATAATGATTCAAACTAAAACTGAAAAACATAGCTTTGCTAGTTTTCTTTCAAGAGATATGACATTTGATTTCATGGTGAGCGTATGGGAAGGCACAACTGGTAAATCATTAAAATCAGTAAATGATATTCTCAGTGCAACATCTGATAATGAAAATGTGCAATCTGATCCTAGCCATCGAAGAGTTTCTTCGGAAAGTGGAAAAAAATTTGATGCCTATATGCTATCTGTGGATGATGACGCTGATCATAATAATCAAGACGGTGACGGTGAAATCAATGACAGCGAAGATGTTAGCTTAGACGACTCTGATAATGATGATTTATCGGATGGTAGCTCTGATATGATTCCAGATTCCACCTCAACAAGTCCTCATAAATCAATAGCTGACTCTAAGGGGGGATTAGTAACAGTTGATACAAAAGTTTTGAAATTTAAGCCAGACTGTGGCTATACTAATATGGGACCTGAAATTCATACACCAACATCTTTTGAAAATCATAATAGAGAAACTAATGAAGTTGACTTATGCAATGAAATAATCAATGCCCCTGTAGGTATCGTATATGATATTCTATTTGGTAGTAGCAGTACTTCATTTCATAAAAAATTCTTGGAAGATCACGATGCTAGTGAAATATCTGATTATGATAAATTCCATCCAATGGAAAGTGATCCAACTAAACTCGAAAGAAAGTATTTTTATAAGAGGGCTCTTAATTACTCAGTTGGTCCTAAATCAACCAAATGTGAAGTAAGTGAAATTATTGAACACCTTAATTTCACTGATTATATTTCAATGAAGTCAGTGGTTGCAACACCCGATGTTCCTCTGGGTAATTCCTTCACAGTTGTTACGAGGTATTGTTTCACTTGGGGACCGGATAATACCACGAACCTCAAAATATCTTATTATATAAATTGGACAGGTCGATCATGGATCAAAAGTCTTATTGAAAAGTCCACAGCTGCAGGCCAAGAGAGTAGTGTTAAAGATTTGTTAACTACCTTGAAAGTAGAAATTGAACAAAATACTTATATGGTGGATGGTCCAACAATCGTCAAGCCAACTACGCAAGAAGATGCTTCCCAAGAGCCCAAAAAGGTGGTTAGATCAAAATCAGCTAAGAAATCACTCGCAGGTAATAAAATTCACACTTCAATGTCCCAATTCTCCTTCCGTGAATTTGTTAAGAATAATATCGTCTTGGTTTGCTATTTTATATTTTCATTCCTTGTAATGATACTATTATTGCAATTGCAAATATTTAGAATAACAAATGAAAACACTAACTTAATCAAAAGCCAATTACTACTTAGCTCCCATTTGTTACTTACTCTTGATGCAATCAAAAGTAAAAAAATAGATTATGATGGCAAAGTCCAGGATTTAACAAAGGATAACGAGGAACTATGGGAATGGGTCAAAACAAAAAGAGGAGGTAAGAACCTCAGTCACTTGGAAAAAGCTGAATATCTAGCATTTCAATTGAACTCACTATACAACTTAGATTCTCCTGAAGAGTCGGGTAGTTTATCTAAAACCGTCAAGCAAGCGATTTTTGATACGATGAACCTGATCAAGGGAAGTGACGATAACGGACCTCTTGACGGATTAATCTAATTATGATCAAAACACAGTTTAAGCATATAAACACTAAAAGCAAAACAGGTTTGAGGAATTATAAAAAATTTATTGTTTTGTATAACTTGATATATAATCATAATATATATATTTGAATATGTACGAGTAATTCCCACAAAGGGCTAATAAACTATTTACAGTATAGATATTTTCAAAGAATCAATTAGCAAATTCGTAATTTTCCGTCAACGTCTTCCATTTCAGTTCGTTCAATCACATCGACATCTTCAATAGTATGTACAACAATTTCAGTATTATCAGTATTTAATTCAAAAATGAAGAGACCCGAAATCACTCTTTCCAATTTCTTTTCTTCTTTAGTAAGACCTATTAAACCAGTTGTTAAATTTGATAGCAAATTTTTAATTGAAGTCAGTGACTGTTGAAAAGGTTTTGATTCATCTGAAGCCACGGGAATATCAGGGTTATTATTGGAGTTAAGAAACTTCAGAGTATCGAATTTAGACCAGCTATGAGAACCCAATTTAGCATCTGAAGTAGAATGGAAATTTTTACCTTCATCGATATTTTCATTTGTTGAAAGATGATGGCAGCCTTCAGGACAAGTCGTCCATCTCACATGAATCTTTGTTGTTTGCGGATATACATAATGATAAGTGGAATCTGTATCTTCTGATGAAACATTAGTTCGAATTGATTGAATATGAAGTTTCACTTTTGGGTTTAAAACTAATGAGCTTAAGATCAATTGTAACGTTTTACAAGTAGTATAATAAGAAACATGGCCCTTAATGTTTGGTAAATAGGAATTAAGCTCGGCAAAATGGGTTGGGCATATCCTTAATAAAACATTGGATGATATTAAATGCTTTGGAATTGATTTTGTAAAAATGTTAGGCACATTCAACTTTATTTCGTCTATCATCGATCCTAAATTGGCCTTTTTATTTTGATCATCAGGATCATATCCTGAGTTATTCGGTTTCATATCTGAAAATGACATTAGTGTTCCTGAATCTGTCCTTGATACATTCGATAATGCTAGTGATTTAGGTATAGAAATATATGAATTGTGATTGGGTCTTTGAGGCAAGACCAACGCAGAGCTGCTTGGTGAATACGGACGAACATTAGTATGGTTTCGGATGAGAACGTTTCCTCGACCCATAAGAGATTTTCCTCTATGTAGTAACTTAACCATGGTGTAATTTGATATCTACCTTCAATTCATGCAAGTAATCATTTAATGGAATTTCTTGAAATCGCTGGGAATAACACTTGCTCAAATCGGTACTTTAAAATACCAGCTTCGAATAAAGACCCGCTTATAGTCTGTATTATGCCTGGATATGTTATTACGAGAAGATTAGTATCTAGATGATATTACAAAATCATCAGGTATTTATTCTTCATGAGGATTGTTCAAAGTCCTGCACATACCATTTTTTTTTTGTTAGTGGATTAGGATTCATCTACGATTTCTGATTTTAGGATCTACAAGTCAATTGAATGTTTGGGAGAGTTAAATACTCGATTGGGTGTACTTGGTGACCCCAAAGGATACATTTTGGCATCAATATAAGGATGTTAAAATTTGCAACCAGATCTAGGTTTCTACAGGTAAACGAGATATTATTCAAACAGAATAGACTTAAGATATAATTATACACATAGAGAAAGAAAGTTTTTCAACCAGATCAACTAGCTTAGTTCTTGTCAGCTTCCAATGGGGTCAAACGTAAGTAAGGTTTGATGATTCTGAATTTAGGGAATAAAGTCTTAGCTTCTTCGTTAGAAACAGATGGGTGGACAATAACATCATCACCTGGAACCCAGTTAATTGGGGTGGTAATTCTGTGTTTATCACCAGTTTGTAAAGAGTCAACAACTCTTAAGACTTCAGCAGTGTTTCTACCAGTAGAAGCTGGGTAAGCTAAGATTAATCTAATTTTTTTAGATGGATCAATGATGAAAACAGATCTGATGGTGAATTGAACACCTTTGTCATCAACGTTGGTGGCATCTTGGTAGTCAATCATATCATAAGCGTGAGCAACTTTTCTTTCTGGATCAGCAATGATTGGGAAGTTTAATTTAGAACCGGTAACTTCATCAATATCTTTAATCCAAGCTTTGTGAGAATCAGTGTTGTTAGCAGATAAACCAATTAACTTAACACCTCTTTTAGCGAATTCTGGTTCTAATTTAGCAAAAGCACCCAATTCAGTAGTACAGACTGGAGTGAAATCATCTGGGTGAGAGAATAAGACAGCCCATGAATTACCAAGGAATTCGTGGAAAGAAATTGGACCGTTAGAAGTTTCAGCAGTGAAATCTGGAGCAGTGGAACCTAATCTTAAAGTAGAAGACATTTTAAAGTTTATTAAAGTATTTATCGAAAGAAAAAGAAAACAATTGATCAATCTGGTGGGAATACATACCTAGTTATATATTGAAAATTAATTTAGTCCCGCACCCAAAATTGATGCAACTTATAATTTGCACATATCACGTGTTTTCGTCCACATAAATTACCTATTGCGAAATCAGTCTACAATGGTTCTGCAATTATTCTACTAGACCGGTATGGCATTGGTTGTGGGTTGAGGAAAGGGTTGTATATTTAGTCAATTGGTTTTCAGTCAGTGTAAGTTAATTGGTGGGAATAATGTCTTCTTTATCGTAGGCTTCAGCATCTACATCGACCCCGAAATCATTTAATGTTTCTCCCATTTCGTTCATCCATTCCTTACGGCTGAGATTAAGTCTTGGATCTAATCTTCTTCTCAAGGGGCCGAGATCCTGGGGCCTAATAGTATGGTCATCGGTTAGGAGATCATCGAAATCAGGCTGGTTGTTTATCACGCTGATTTCTTGGTGGCCTCCATCTGGAGGCCAAGGTAATCCTAATTGATCTTCTTCTACGTATTCATTTGGAGGGAAAACGTAACCATTACCTCTTGGACCACCCAATGGCATTAACCACATCCAGGGGTATCCACACGCTTGGATGAGATTGGACCATAATCCGTAGTCGTAGGGGAATACTATGTCATCCATTGTAAAAGATTTAGGAACCAAGGATTCTTGGTTGTCGTTATGTTCCTCTTGTTGAAGCTGGTGTTCATGTAATTCAAACGACGTTTGGGTCTCTTCCAACTCATCTAATTCGTCTTCCTTTTGGGCCAATTCATCATAGTATCTACTATCATGATTCCAAGATGTTAACTCGGGCAAAGGTTTTTTATACAATTTAAAGTAATTTTGACGAATTTGTGCCCACATTCTTTCACTATAGAACTGTTGTTCGATCCTTTCCTTTTCCCAAACTTCAATCTGGGTCATTCCTTTAAAAATTAAATTAATAATACATCTTCCTAATAAAATGGTAATTGTTGCAAATACAAATAAATCAATTGGTAATAAGAAAATCACCGCAAACATTTCCCTCTTGTCAATTAAATAAGATGGCAAGTTACGATCTTCATAATATTGAACCAATCTTTTAAATAATTCAATCAATAACCACCCTGTAGTGACAACTACACTAACAACAAAGCGGAGAAAATGGGGGAAGTTTTCATGTCCAACACAGTTATTAGTCCAGGGACAGTGGTGGTCCATCTTCAAAACACACTGATTACAGCTTCGACAATGATGGGTTCTCTCTGGCTTATAATTTTCACACTTCTTACACCATCTTCTCCATTCTCCAACTTTAGGGTTGAAATTCTTAGGAGGAGTACCTGGATTTTTCCAAATCGCAATCAAATAAGTTATCCAAATCACACTCACATAAGCTTGGAACTTTATTTGATCTGCTTTATCCATATGGTGTCTAAGGACAAACCAATGGGATCCATACGATAATACTGAAATAAGTACGCACGGTATCTATATATGTTAGTATCCCAAACCAAATCTTCCTTCCGGCCCTTTTCAACATACCGCAATACCAACCCATGGCCATTGAAACTCAACTGCCATTTCCTGTATCGATACTAAGATAAAGCCAGTAGCTCTTTGGCCATTAGCTGTTCTTATTCACGCGTACCTCAAATTCGGTATACGGTGCACGGGTCTCACGGTTTTCAGAACCTTTTTTTCTATGGGTGGCGATTTAAAAAAAAAAAGAACGATTGATTATCACCAACAGTTTACATCAATTCAGATTCTAGTTTCCCCCATTGACCGAGCCATCGTTGGTATCTTACATCCGTGATATATAACAAATAAACAAAGCAGCAGTATGTCCTCCATCGGTACCGGGTACGACTTGTCGAATAGTGTTTTCTCCCCCGACGGTAGAAATTTTCAAGTTGAATATGCCATGAAGGCAGTTGAAAATGGTGGTACATCAATTGGTATCAAATGTAAAGACGGGATAGTCTTAGCCGTTGAAAAAATCATAAATTCCAAGTTATTGGTTCCTGGAAAGAACAAACGTATTCAAACAATTGATAAACATATTGGTGTTGCTTATTCTGGGTTATTACCTGATGGACGTCATTTTGTTAACAGAGGTAGAGATGAAGCCCAATCCTTTAGAAATATATATAAAACCCCTGTTTCGGTTCCCCATTTAATGGATAGATTGGGGATTTATGTTCAAAACTATACTTGTTATAACTCCGTTAGACCTTTTGGTATTGTTGCTATAGTTGGTGGTATCGATGATAATGGATCGCATTTATATATGATTGAACCTAGTGGTACTTCCTGGGGTTACACCGGTGCTGCTACTGGTAAAGGAAGACAAACTGCTAAATCAGAATTAGAAAAATTGAATTTTGAAGAACTAACAATTAAAGATGCAGTCAAACATGCTGCTAGAATCATTCACCAAGCTCATGAAGATAACAAGGATAAAGATTATGAATTGGAAATCAGTTGGTGTTCTAAACAAGAAACTAACGGTAGACATGAATCCATCCCAGAAGATTTATTGAAAGAAGCTATAAAATTTGCCCAAGAAGATGATGAAGATGATGAAGACGAAGAAATGAGTTAGTTTCCCTCATTATTAAAAATTCCCTTTTAATATACATACATTGCAAAATGCTTAGTTTTCGTGGGTTTCCCCTTGTAGCCAATTCTCCTGTCGTTGTAATAACAATATTGACCATTTGATGCGCGTACTAGAACTAGAAAAGAGGTTGGTCCTCAGATTTTTTTTTTTTTTTTTTAAAAAAAAAGTAAACAAAATCTCCTATAACTATAACAGCTTTCCTTCCTTTGAACTTAGACTGAATTGTCTTTTAAGTGTATCATATTAATGCTCCTTGTGTGATCATGTCCATCAATACAGAGGGCAGTGTTTTTAATCTAAGCGATGGGGCCCCAAATGAGTTGACGCCGCGCCAACAGCATGATCTCAAAGATGGTGATAAGATAGTTGGTGGTTCTGATGGTAGTACCAGCTTTGAACGAGCCAGCACCGAAGAGAGTCTGACGGGCGAATTGAGACCGGCCGATAATCAACCAAGTTCCAAGTCGTCTCCATTTCAATTTTCTAATTCAACATCGCCAAACCGTCTTCCCACACCAAACTCAAATACTGTTTCAGGTTCTGAATCAACATCTACAGTTACAGAGGAGGTGGTTCCAAAAGGATTCCCATCAATTGGTGAGATGACAGAAGATCCCATACAGGAATCAACCCAATACTCATTAAATAGCCAACAGCATTCTCCTCGTGATAAACAAGCCAATGAAAGTAACCAGGATGATGATGGTTCTGCCAAGGACTCAAAGAGCTTTGATCAGTATCCTCTTCACACATCTACTCAAAAGTCCTTCGATATGATGTATCCTAGTATGAATTCAGATATAACCCAAGAGTCTAGCGCATTCATAACGAATCCCGATATCGACAACTCCTCGGATAATAAAGAGAATTTACAAGCATTTACAGATAGCATAGATGATATCGATGATATCGAAAGCTCCGAGGATGAAAGGCACGATAGCATGGAAAATGATATTCTTAGTTGGAAAAAATCCTTAGCTGACATGAAACGAGTGGGTATCGAAAAAGATAGTTCTATATTTTCAATAAGAGTTCCAAATAGTCCTCAGAATAATAGTATTATCTTCAATCCTCAAAAATCGTCCTTGAATAGCTCACCACTTTTGAAAAAGCATTCCAAAAGTCATCTTGGACTGCCTCATACTGGATCAGTAGTGTCAACAGACTATGTAGGTACTCAGTTTATGGCTGACGAGAAGCTGCCCAGTCAGTCGAATCGTTTGACTTCAATTGATAAATCTCCCGAAACAAAAATCCAGTCTCCTCATGAACCATTTATTAATTTTAATAAGCATTTGACCTACGAAAACAATCTGTCCCACAAACATTCATCTCCATCTAGTGGTGTGAATCTGCCGTTAACATTCCCACCATTAACAAGCGATAAACTAGACGAACTGCCGTCGAATCTCTTCAACATTTCCAATGTGAATGGCCTAAAGACTCAAAATGAAACAAATTTACCTCAAAAAGAAGCCATGGAGCCAGTGAAATCTCTTAATAAAAAGCCTAATCCTTTGAAAGAAAGTGATCGTTTTAATGCGACAGTTGATTCATTAGATAGTACCAGATTCAATGAAACCCAAGCACAATTAGACCGTGATATTGATATAGACGATAGTTCTAAAGAAACTGCCAAACTTGAAAGACTTCGGGCTAGGACTAATGATTCTCCTTGGAAAAGATTGAGGGCCCCTTCTAATCTCGGCTTGACTGACCAATTGACTCCTGATCAATCCAAATTCCCTTTAAACAAAACTGCAATTCTGATGACCCCTTCCTTTAATAAGCCAGGCGAATTCTCGAGTAATGCTTCTAATGCCTCCACTATCAATGAGTTACATAAACAAATTACTGGCTACAAAATTCAAATAAAGTTTTTCAAGCAGTTTCTTCAAAGCTTGATAGATAAAACTCGTCAACAAGATAAGGAGGAATTGGATTTGACCGAATTGACTCACTTCCAGGATAATTTTAATGGTTTTTCACCTACCGATAATCAAAATACTTTACAGAATAACCAGCGTAATGAAGAACAAATTAATAAGCTACAAAACGATTATGATAATCTATCTCGTCATTATGATGAAATTTATAAATTGAACGAAGACTTATACTCCAACCTCGAAGAATTCCAATATAAACTACAAGATAAAGACTTTCAATTACTGACCTTAAATAAAAATTTTGACAATTGCATTGGGATTGCTCATGACATCATTCAATTATTGATTAATGATCCTGTGACTGATGAAGTTTCCCGAATTGCATTGATTAGATCACTCGATGACCACAGTGGAATAGCTGATTTAGATATGAAACTTCATGTTATCAGATTAGAGTTGAATAAAAAATTTGACAATAATGAAAACTTGAAGCTGACAATTTCTTCTGCTGATCAAAAGAGTATTGCGTCTCCCAAAGCTAATAATAATGAACAGATAATCCAAGACTTAATGCATTTATTAAGTTCCTTACAAGAAGAATTCGATGCTAAAAATTATGAAGTTTCGCAGCTACAAGAGGACATAAAGAAGGAAACAGCTGAATCCAATATCCTTAGGAAAAACCAGCGGGCAATCCAGGAAAAGTTCAATCACTTGTGCCAATTATTGGATAAAGATAAGTCGTCAAGAATGAATGCATACGGCGATGAAGTTGACAAACTTCGAGAAGAAAACATTCATCTCACCAAAATCAATAAAACAATGGATGCCAAGTTTGATGAGTACGAACGTATTATAGACCAATTGGAAAAAGAAGTAAATGAATTCAAAGAATACTCTACTCGAAGAGAATCCATAGAAAATACCTCTGTTAAGACAGACTTCCATGAAGATGTATATCTACTTCATAAAGAATTCAATGCTCTTCAAAACGAGTTTAATTCATTAACGGCAGATCACCGTAAATTGCAAGATGATTCGTCGAAGACTATTTCTGCACTCACCAACCAGCTTAGTGCAAAACAAAATGAAAGTCAAAATTTGAGGGCAAATGTCATGGTCAACGATAAGTTAAAAGAAGAACTCGATCTTTCTGTTGAGAAACAAAGGATTTTGAAAGCAGAAAAGATTCGACTTGCTTATAAGATCGAATCACTAACTGAGGAGAAATCGAAATTACAAAACACTGTTCAAAGCTTAACGGATAAAGTCACTACCTTGACGGTAGCAGATACAGATAATGAGAAGACAAGTAATGAAGCCAACGACAGATTTATCAAGATGGTCAATATTCTTGAATACCAATTTGATGCACTCATTCTGTTTGATGTTTACGAGTTTCAGAAATTACTCAAATCATTTAATAAGATTGCAGATGATTCTTCATTAAAAGAACCTAAAAAGAAAATTGAAAATTTGTCCAGAAAAATCAACAAGAGTAGTCAATCTAAACAAAATGGTGAAAACTCCTTTTGGTCGTCTTCTGAAATTGGCCTGATCAGAGACTATCACAAGTCAATCTTCGAATATTTTGCCAGAGCGGTGGATATCATTGTAAATGATCATGTCAGACTATTATTAAGAGAAAATGATGCTAAGTCTAAATCTGACACTTATATTCAAAAGCTTCACGAAAGAATCGACCAGCTTAATGTCATAAATGACAATCTTTCGAAACAAATCGATAATTGCGACTCTAAGGACAATACAAGCGAATATGGCTCTCTCAATAATACCATGACATCACCTAGGTCCAAAATGAGAATAGAAGAGCTCTCAAACCGCTGGAAAGCAGAAAGAGAAGCCAGAGTCTACGAAAGTAAGGAATCAAAGAGGCGCTTGAAGGAACTAGAAGATGAAAATGCCCGTCTTAGAGAACTAGTAGATCGTAAATAGTAGATAATTCAATCTTTTGCATTCATTTAAAATACACAAAGTATAATGGTAGTGTGCACGTCTCAGCATCAACAACTGAAGAAAAAAAATTTTTTTTTTTCAACGCGGACAGTCAAATAAAACAGTATAAGCTTAATTTTTCAGTTCAGTTCTTTTAGCTATAATTATACAAAGATGTCTGAATTTGAAGATATTGATATCAACTTGGATGAGCTTGACTTCTCCGATTTGGAGGAAAGGTATGCTGTTAACCCGCACTTCGGTTTAGACAACTACGTTGTCGTTGATGGTGCACCAATTGCACCAGAATCAAAAGCCGACAAATTGACTCTTGTTTTGAAAAAGTTATTCAAGACTGTTGGTAATGTTGTTGAAGGTGATGAAGGTGTGTACATGCCTATCGAAGATGGCAAGACCAAAGGGTTTTTGTTTGTCCAATTCGAAAGTGCTGAACAAGCTGATGCTGCCGTTAAACAATTAAACGGTAGAATGTTGGATCAAAAACATAGATTATTAGTTAACAGATTAACTGATATTGAAAAATTTGGTGCAGAAGGTAATATCAAAGATGAATTTGAAGAACCAGAAATTCCACCTTTCGAAGATCACGGTTATTTGAAATCATGGTTACAAGATGAAAGAGGCCGTGATCAAATTGCTTTACATTTTTCTGAAACTGTTGGTGTTTACTGGAATAAGAAACAAAATGATCCAGAAGAAGTTATTGAACCAAGAAAGAACTTCACCACTAAATATGCCAAGTTTACTCCAAAAGGTACTTATTTATTTTCTGTTCACCCACAAGGTGTTCAAGCTTGGGGTGGTGCTGATTTTGGTAGAATCAATAAATTCATCCATAATCAAGTTCGTTTAGTTGATTTCTCGCCAAATGAAAATTTCATGGTTACTTTATCGCCAACTCCAATTTCATTTCCTGAAGATCCTGCAGAGCAACAAGGTTTCCCATTTGGTCCAGAAAGTGCTGGTCATAAATTAGTTATTTGGAATTTACATAGTGGTGAACCTGCCAGAACTTTTGCATTACCTCCACATTTGGAAAATCAAAAAGAAATGCCATGGCCATTAGTTAAATGGTCGCACGATGATAAATACTGTGCTCGTCAAGGTCCAGGTGCTTTAGCTATTTATGATTCCTCTAACTTCCAATTATTAGATAAAAAATTGGTTAAAATTGATGATATCGTTGATTTTGAATGGGCTCCAGCTGGTGTCCACCTTAGTGATTCTAAAACCGAAGGTGGTGAACACGTCTTATCTTATTGGACTCCTGAAAGTTCTAATCAAACTGCTAGAGTTGCTCTTATGCAAATTCCATCAAGAAGAGTCATTAGAACTATTAACTTGTTCCAAGTTTCAGATTGTAAAATGCATTGGCAAGACCAAGGTAGATTCTTATGTGTTAAAGTTGATCGTCATACTAAATCTCGTAAGACTTTCTTTTCTAATTTGGAATTTTTCAGACTTACCGAAAGAGATATTCCAGTTGAAAAATTAGAATTAAAAGATATTGTTATTAATTTTGCATGGGAACCAAAGTCAGAGAGATTTATTACTATTTCTAGATTAGATAACGGTGATAATAATCCAGCCATTCCAAGAAATACTGTTTCTTTCTATGGCCCAGAAGTCGCTAAGAACAAAGCTACCAAATATAAAGTTTTCAAATCAGTTACTGATAAACATTCTAACACTGTTGTTTGGTCACCTCAAGGTAGATTTGTTGTTGTTGCTACCATTGCTAAATCAAGTGGTGAATTAGACTTCTATGATACTAATTTTGAAGAAGATAAGAAATCTTTGAATAACGTTAAATTATTAAAGACTGAAAAATTCTCCGGTATTACCAATCTTTCTTGGGACCCATCTGGTAGATTCCTTGCTGCTTGGTCTTCTTCTTGGGCTCATACCATTGAAAACGGTTATAAATTATACGAATTCACTGGTAACATGTTAAGAGATGAAACCATTGATCACTTCAAAGAATTTATTTGGAGACCAAGACCAGAATCCTTACTTACTGCAAACGATAGAAAGAAGGTCAAGAAGAACTTGCGTGAATACAGTGCTCAATTCGATGAAGCTGATGCTATGGAAGCTGATGCTGCCACTAGAGAAGCTATCTTACTCCGTAGACAACTCTTAGAAGAATGGAGAAGTTATAGATCGAAATATGCCAACAGATCTCAAGAAGAAAACGAAGTTGAAGCTCAAATCATTGAAGAAATTAAAGAAGAAATCATCGAAGAAAAAGAAGAAATTGTTGAATCTATTTAAGTATCTTCCTCCAAATTACCTTAAAAATTTTTTTGTAACATATAGTATATCAATATAATTTGTCTAACGTAACTTATAATCTTTGTTTTCGTATTTACATGTTCGATTTCTTTCATTATATCTTTTTATTGAAGACTATATATACACGTTTATAAGAAAAACTAAACAAAGCTGAAGAATGCAAACAAAAAAGCTCGAATAAATAAATAAGTATAAAGGGAAATCATTAGTATCTATGCTGATTTGGTACGTAATTGGATTCCATGCCATTTGGAAATTTCATCTTTCAAAACTTCATTGACTAATCTATGTTGCTTAATCATTGGAATACCCTTGAATTTTTCACTTTCAACCAAAATAGCAAACATGGATCCACATCCACCTGAAACGTCCTTAACTTGTAACGCTTTTGGCAGGAAACTGTCTTGTAGCATGGAGTAAATCTTTTTTTCATATTCATCCATCACTGGTTCTTCCACCAGAGAGTAGAATCGAGTAGCAACAGTTGGCAATCTGAAGGCTGGCACCCTTAAGGCTGGTCTGAAAGCAGCGGACGCTCTTGGAGTGAATGACTTAAGCATCATGTGTGTAGTTGGTATACTTAATAAAGAGAAGGTTAGATCTATGATGAAGAATTCAATATTATTAATGCGTACTCGACTGGCTGAAATGCTCTCAACCGGAAATGAGAATTTTTCAGTGGAGTCCGGCCAGGAATCTTATACAACAACATTACCATAGCTCCCTCGGACCAGAGGTCTTGGATGCCCTTTTCTATTTAAGCTTATTCAAGTCTTTAAGGTGGCTGAACAGGTAGTTTGAGCTTCTAATGGTGGCACTTATTGGGTCAGTAGAGAAATAATCCTGCAAAAACATCCATACCGCACTAAATTTATACTGAATCGATACCAGAATCAATGAAAAGCATGAATCACTGATCATTGATTCAAGGATTGACTTAATTAACGCAACCGAACATGTCCCATGATGCTCTCAGGGTAGTTGTGTGTGGAGATGAATGTGTTGGGAAATCTTCAATTATTGCATCATTGGTGAAGGAGAAGTTTATACCGAAGCTACCTCGAACAATTCCACCCATTACCATTTCCAAGGAAGACTACGTGAACAGTTATGATGAGTACATTTCGAGTCCAGAGAAGAAAATAGATAGGACTAGAAGCTCTAATAGAGAAGGAAGTCGGAAAGTTCTGTCATCGATACCTCAGATAACGGTGATAGTTGATACTACAGCTTCTGATTCAACCACGCTCCAAAGGGAATTAAAACTTGCCGACGTTTTATTGTTGGTCTATTCCGACCATTACACATATGAAAGAATCTCATTACATTGGATGACTTTATTCAGATCCATGGGGGTCAATTTGCCGATTATTGTTTGTGCAAATAAATGTGATCTTATTCAAAAAAGCAGTGCACATGAATCCAATTCGCTTAAAAGCCGAAATGCTGACGAGTTCATACCCTTGATCAAGGAGTTTAAAGAGATTGAAGCGTGTGTTCGGTGTAGCGCTAAAGATAATATTAATGTTGTTGAAGCGTTTTATTTATGTCAAAGAGCGATCACTCACCCGATTTCACCTTTGTTTGATTCAAAAGAACGTAATTTGAAGCCGGCTGCGGTGATAGCATTGAAGCGGGTATTTTTCCTTTGTGATAAAGATCAAGATGGTTATTTGAATTTTGAAGAATTTTCGAGTTTACATAAAAAGTGTTTTGGATATGACACCACTCTTCAAGAGTACCTATCGATAGGAAAGGCAGTTGATAAGAAGATATATCCTGATGTCGATTCAAATGGAGAAAGTAAAGGGCTATCTGAAGATGCCTTCATAATGTTAAACAAAATGTATGCTGAAAATGGTAGACATGAGACCATTTGGGGCATATTAAGAACTTTCCATTATACCGATTCATTATCCTTGAGTGATCGTTTCATTTTCCCCAAATTTGATGTCAATACAAATTCAAGTGTTGAGTTGAGTCCTACTGGATATAGATTCTTGGTTGATTTGTTTTTGAAATTTGACAAAGACAACGATGGTGGGTTGAATGAAGAAGAGTTGAATAATTTATTTATTCCCACTCCAGGAATCCCCAGATTATGGCAAGAGTCGCAATTCCCATCTTCAATTGTGTGTAATGAAGAAGGTTATGTTTCATTACAAGGTTGGTTAGCACAGTGGAATCTCACCACCTTTTTAGATCATAAAACTACACTAGAATACCTTGCTTATTTGGGTTTCGATGAAGATAGCTCAGTGAAGGCTTTAAAAGTAACCAAACCGAGAAAACTCCGACAAAAACAAGGTAAGCTCTATCGTCAAGCAGTCAATGATCGGAATGTGTTCAATTGCTTCTTACTAGGAGCACCCAAGTCAGGTAAGACTTCGTTACTCGAGCTGTTTTTAAGAGGCACCTATAGTGATGTCTATTCTCCTACCATCAAACCAAGAATTTGTGCTAAGGATATAGAATTAAGGGGTGGTAAGCAGTGTTACCTAATCTTGGAGGAACTTGGTGAATTAGAGCCTGCAATCCTTGAAAACAAAAAGAAGCTCGACCAATGCGATGTCATCTGTTATACTTACGACTCTTCTGATCCCGAGTCTTTCCAATATTTGGTTGAGCTTCGTGAAAAGTATTCGTCTTTGTTAGATGATATTCCCTCAGTGTTTGTCGCCTTGAAAGCTGATCTCGATAAACAGCAGCAGCGGTCAGACGTCCAGCCTGAAAACTACACTCGCGACTTATTTCTAAACTCACCATTACATATCTGTTCTGCCTGGACTACTTCATTGCACGAACTCTTCATCCAGTTGGTGGATGCTGCAAAAGGGCCCAGCACTGCGACCCCTGGTCTAGAAACAGAGCCGGAGACCCCCGACCTCGAGAACATAAAGCACTTGGTCATGGCTGGAAGTGCAATCACTCTAATGGCCGCCGTCTCTGTTTGGATCTGGAGAAGCTCTGTCCAAAGCTCTCGAGCCTAAGAGATGGATTTTTCAGTGCACTAACAAAAAAAAAAAAAAGAAAAAGAAAAAGAGCAGAGTTTGAAAAAAAAAAAAAGGGCATCTCAAGATATTAAAAAAAAAAATTCAAATCAAGCCCTTTGGTACTATTTTCAATAATATAAACTATATATATACTAATAAACGAGGAGATGTCTGATAATAAAGAAGAATACAAGCCGGTTACCGTGGAAAAGCCAATACCCAATACTTTTGATTTGGGGAACTTGGCTACTTTTGATCCAAACCCATTAGATAATGCTCAGTTGAAAGATCCAAAGCAAAGAGAAGAATATTTAGCAACAAGAACCAGAGACAACGTACAATTGTTGATCAACCAGATCTTATCCCTTCCGGTTAAAACCACCACTGATAGTAATAGTGCCACTGGGCAAAATTCCAACTTGACCTTAATACAATTACCCGAACCAACCACCCTTTTACCAAGAGAAAAAGCCATTCCAAAAGCCAAACCTCCTACCAAATGGGAGCAATTTGCTGCTAGAAAGGGTATCAAGGCTAAGGCCAAGGACGGTAAGATGGTTTACGATGAAGCCAGTGGTGAATGGGTTCCTAAATGGGGTTATAAAGGTAAAAATAAACAATTGGATAACCAGTGGTTGGTTGAGGTTGATGATAAAGTTAAGAACACCGAAAATGAATTGATTGACCCAAGAACCTTAAGCCGTGCCGAAAGAAAGAAGTTGGTTAAGAAAAATGAATTACAACATAAACGTAACTTGAAAAATCAATCTGCCTAAGTCTTTTAACGAATTAAATAAATTGTATAGTTATAACTCTTCACTTCATCATTCCATATTTCAATATATATGTATATTCTATTATTTTGTACTGGTTGTTTTAATACTGCAAAAATTTTGGTGGTTATATGGGTGCACGGGCCTTTTTTTGCTAAAAACGAAAGCAGGAAAAATATGAAAATTAAAACAAGCCGTTCAATTCCTTGATTGAGCTCTTTAAATCTTTGAATACTTCTAAGGAATCTTAAAGGTGTAATTCATGAGACAGATATAAGGGGAACCACTCGCTTTACCAGTTGAATTGAAAAATTTAGATAGCTACAACTATAACCATGACTGAAGAGTATAATCCGAAGCAGTATCTTCCTACCATTGACGTAAGTTTTAATCAAATACCGATGTTTGCAATCAGTATACTAACTGGGAAATTTAGGCCATACTAAGTGTTGCTGATCTAGAGAAAATCACGGTGAAAAAGATTCGAAATGCATTACAGGAACTCTTTGGGATTAACTTGCAGCCCCATAAACAAGATATCAGTGATATAATTATGGAAAGATACTTTGATCTTCTCGAGAAAAGAAAGAACAAAGTGGAACCTCCTCCATTATCAAAAGAAGATATAGAACGACAAGATGCCTTGATGGCTAGCCAATTGCTGAAATCGACCATAAGAGGACCAGTGACTAGAGGAAGCGGTAAAGCAACCCCCAGGAAACCAAGGGCGAAGAAGAACGCTGCCGGTGAAAAGAAACGTAAGGCCCCTAATAACGGTTTCAACCAGGCATTATACTTATCGCAAGATTTGCAAAATCTTTTCGGGGTCGAATCGCTTCCCAGACCCCAAATAGTCAAACAAATGTGGACCTACATCAAGGATAATAATCTCCAAAACCCAAACGATCGAAGACAAATCTTGTGTAACGATACTCTTTACAAAATCTTCAAGAAGAAAACCGTTGGTATCTTTGAAATGAATAAATTACTTACTTCTCATATCTTCAAACCAGACGAAATCGGTGATACCAAATCAGTCGGGGAACTACAAGCAAAACCTCCTCCTCCTCCCTCATCGAAACCCAACGGGAAGAAGTCTGCAGACTATGTCGACGAAGAGGATGACGACGACGATGACGACCAAGAACTAGGTGACCCTGATGAAGATGATTCAGAAGAATCCGATGAGGATGCTGATTGAAAAAAAAAAAAAGAAAATAATCAGAAACTTGAACATTTGGGTAATCTCTCTCTCATCTCCTGTAATATATATCTTCATCCTTACTCCACTGGTATTGGTGACTCTTGTAGTAACTAGCTTATTGTAAATGGGAAGCTGATATTTCGCGTATAAAAAACGCATATGTCATCTGCAGTTCTCATAGTTTGTGTGTTTTTTCTTTTGTTACGATCAAATTGTTGTTCTTTTGTTGAAACTACTTCTTTTCGTTGAAACCCAGTGCTTTGTTCTTTATTATTTGGGTAAGCTACTCTTGGTGATCAATCCCTTTACCTAAAAAAAGTGGTTTTCAATAGTGGACAACGGAACAAGATAAGTAGCCCTTTTTGCCAATTGAAAAACCCGCTTCTTCGACAGCCGCTAGTAGTGTTTTTTTGTTACTATTTTAAATTCATCATTCCATTCCTTTCCACTTTCCGTTCACTTTCATTAGCTTTGGGCCTTTATTGTTGTTATTGTTAACAGTTTGCTGTACTTTTTGGCTAATACAAAAATAAGATTGGCAAGAAAACAAACCAGATATTCATACTACTTCATCAACTGCTTGTGTTAGGTTAAACTCGTTTGTTGTTTGTTGATTTTTGGTTCTGCTGAAGTAATTGGCTCTTTTTTCCAGTTGATGTACCAAAACTTGATAATCAATGCTGACCAAAAGAGAATCTGCGGGTAGATCCCAAAGTTTGGCTTCTGCCACCTTATTAAGTGAAGATCATTCTTATGATACTGTTGATGTGAATAACTTATATGAATCAGTGTTGAAAATCATTTTGTTGGAATACATCAATGAAGCTCGATTCCATACTCCAATAGTAAAACCTCAGTCTCCATCCAAATCTTCAGATTCCCCTTCTAGTAGTTCAACTAGTTTAACTTCTTCTTCCAAAATCTTGAGAAATTCTAAAATCAGTTCAAATGATAATGAATTAAAACTTCCTCCAAATCTTTTGTCGAGTTTAGAAACTCGTTTAAATCTAATTGCAATGAAAAAAAGAGGTAAAGATTATGATGACTTAACAAGACGTTCTTTGCTTCGATTATATAGTGAATTATTGGATCCAAATGTAAAACAAGAAATATCTCGTATTAATAAACCAGAATATTTAGTCATGAAATTCGTCTCTTCTGCTAATAAAGAGGTGGTTAAAATGGGTACTATTCCTCAACATGAAATAAGTGATATCGTTTTCAAACAAGCTGAAGTTTTTGTCCAAATTTTAATTTCTCTCATTCCTAAGGATAAAAATAGTGATGCAATCATTAATAAATTAAAAGAACATAAAGAATCTTTAAAACCTTCTAAATCAAACAATTCAAAATCAGTCTCAACTGACTCGGTGTCATCCTCAGTTTCGTACGTGAAACCTTCTTTCAGAGTATCAGATATGGAAGAAGCAATGATTGATCTAATTAAAAGCATTTTCGATATCGATCAAGTAAAACTTCAACAAGATATCTTCAAATTAAAAGACTTGTCACAAGAAAAAACATTGCATCAAGATATTAAACAAATTCTTTTCTACCTCAATAAAGATTTGGGTCAATATAATCGTAAAAGTTTCCTAACAGAGATTGCTTATAATAATTGGAAATCCCGTGAAGCTGCTTCGTGTGAAAGTTTGAAAAACAAGTATCCTATACCTGCTTCCTTAAAGCTCTTGGAAACTCCTCCTCTCCCGCCCGGTTGTGATTTTTATATTTTTCCTAAAAACAATGTCACTAAAAATTACTATGTCAATTTGACTAAATTATGTTTAAATCAAACTATTAAAAATAGAAAATTAGAATTTGATTCAGCTCTGGAAAAACCCTTACTTTCAAAACAAGCAAATAATTTACTCCATCTATGTGCTCGTTTCTGGAGAATTGATTTTCCAACTAGAGCTACTGCTCTTTACACTGCATGCCATTTGACTGGTATCTTAAAGGATAACTTATCACAGGAATCAAATTCCGACCAGAAAGACCTTGGTCCTATTGATTTAGATACTACGACAACTATGCTTCATACCTGTAAAAAAATTGTTGAAGATAATGGAAAACTTGATTGGGAGGAAAAGACAGAATGGACTTTGAAAGACCAAGAGGACTGGGTCAAAAATTTGACCTACACATATAATGAGGTCTTTTTCTCAATAAAAGAAAATTTAACCATGATATTCAACAAAACAGTCAAACCAAAATTTGGCCCTTATCTTATGTTTTTAGGGGATTATTTGGAGTCCGACACTTTGTTTCATAAAGTTGAAGAAACAGGATTACCCAAGAAATGGGAGAAGAAGCTTTCCAAAACTTTATTGAGAATCTCAGAAACAAGGTATGCCGAATTATTAGCCAATTTACCAAGAGATGATACTCTCGATATTGTACATATCTTGAATATTTCGGATAGCATAGTTGGTGATACTAAGTTATTGCAAAAAAGATACAAAAACCCCCTTTTGGGATTCTTGAATGTCAGTAGAACCGTTGCAGCAGTTCTTACAGGCATGTTCGCATTGGATTCAAAAAATATCTTGAAGCATATTCACGCTTATGCTAAAAATCAAGGCAGACTATTAGCTTATTCTGATGCCATTGAAGCTTATAAATCATTGTCCGAAATAAGGTATATTTATAACCAAGTATCTGTCAGTAATAGTCCTTTCAAGTTCAATCTAGAGAAATTTTTCTATCCATTTTTGAAAGAATGGGTAGAAGAAAGTGGTGAAAAAATTAGTGCTATCATTAATAATGCCATCGAAAAAGATTCCTTCGAACCTATCGATCTCAATGATGATAATCGGAAATTTAGTTCTTCCGTTTTGGATATTTTTACTTTGGTTAAAGAATTCTTGAGAATTCTTAATCAACTTAATTGGTCTAATGAATTTCAATTGGCTCAAGCTTATACCTCTCTTTTGAAAAGTATATCAGATGGTGTTTTGACTTATTCATCGAAGATTTCTGATAAAATAATTAGAGAGTTAGATGAAGAAGAACAGAAAAAACTTTTGCAACAAGCTAGTGATGAAGTTGATAATAGAAAAAGTGGTAATTGGTTTGATGAGGTTAAGAACGTCGTTTCCAATATTCAAAACGGTAATAAATTAGAATTAGAAGAACCTTATAATTTCAAACCTGGAACATGTATTGCCTTGAACAACCTCGCAGCAATGATGGATCAACTAACTAAACTCGAAGATTTATTGGACCCTGTGCTGATTTCTAATACAGTTGCTGAATTTGATCCTTCTTTACAGAAAAAATACACTAGTCACATTTTCTCCTTGCGTTTGGTCAAAGCTGAAAACTTGAAATCGGCTAATGCTTCTTCAAATCTATCTAATATGCATCCATATATAACCATGATCGATACGATGGCCCGAAAGACCATAGGAAAAACAAGAGTGGTAAATAACACAAATAACCCTGATTGGGATGAAGAGTTTGAAGTAACACTCCCAGCTAATACTTCACTTACCATTTCCGTTACGGTCTGGGATGAACGAGTTGGAACGCACTCAATTTGTGGACGAGCATTATTACAGTTGGACCCCTTGAGATTCAAACATGATGGAATCCCTCAAGAGATCTATCTCGACCTAGACTCTCAGGGAAGAGTGCTTGTTGAGATAGCTGTTGAAAGTGAAAGAGTTGATGCTATTTTTGTTATGGGAAGAGCACATAGAAGCTTGAAACGTGCACAAGAAAGAGCTATAAAATTAATCGTGGAGAAATTTTCTAGATTTATTCATTACTGTTTTTCGAGGAGTAACCTTAAATCTATTTGTGGTAATAATGGACAATTGAAGCCTACTCAAGACCAAATGGATGATGCCATGATGCCTTTGTATAATTACTTAAACATGAATTTGCAAGTATTGGCTGAGTTTCTCACGAAAAGTCTATTACTAAAAGTCATGCTTGCAGCTTGGATAGTTGTTGTTTCAAGTGCAGATGCTCTATTATTACCTAAACTTGCCTCAGCTAAAACATTTCATTTGTCAAGTATTGGTTCTAAATTGAAACCAGAATCTACTGGTGGCTGGCAATCAGCTGTCAGCTCTGCTATGGCAAATGTTACTAATTCTATGGGTATAAGTGGCTTTGGAAAATCTTTGACCAGTAATGAACTTGAAACTGTATTCTCATGGCTTAACTTTTTGTGCTTCGACTTTTTTCATAATGATGGAAATGGTCCTCCGGTTCGAGACTTGAAGAATGAACAATATCAAGCGTTGTTATTAGTTCCAGTGTACTATGACAGAGATGTTGACTTCTTACAACAGGAAGTTGAGAGATTATCGCCTGCTTTTATCAAAACGTTACGCGACCGAAACAATTTTGATAATGAACCTTCTCTTGCGGCCCCTCAAAGAAGAAATAGTAGGGCTGGCTCTATAATACGGAATAAAACTATTTTGGCAAATGCCACGGCCAAGTCCAGAGCCCAAGCTGATAAAGAAGCTCGTGAGGCGAGATCTGATCCGACCGCTGCTCAAACTTTGGCTGAAGATATGATATTAAGGATTTTGTTGATCAAGGACGAGAAGTCATACGTTGCACGAAGGTTGGAACAGCGTGAAAAGCTTGCCCATAGTATCGCTACTGAGAGGTTAGCGAAGGCAGCAGCTGAAGGTAGATTTAATAGACGATAAGACTTATAATACAATTTAACTTTTATAGACAACACCTTAGTTTTAATCTCATTGAACAATCTACAATTTACGCTTTTTCAAAGTATCTTAAAAATTTGCATTAAATTAAATTAACAAAAAAGCAAGCAAGTATAAATTATGAAAATTAAGCTAGCATCAATGATATGAGAATAATCAGATTGAGCCGTTTCTGTTTTTGTAGAAAGAATAAAATATAAACATCAGGAATAATAACAACATGAGAGAATGATCGTTAAACACAACTTATAAAAATACAGGTTGAAAAAAAAAAACAGGGATTTATTGGGTCTTTTGAATCTCAGCAGATGCTGCATTTGCTGTGGATGCACTTGAAGGCTCGGTTTCATTTTTTATTGCAGAATCTGAAGTATTAGAAGTCGATGAAGGATCAGTGGCAGCATTGCTCAGAGCCGTTGAAGGAGGGACTTGTGGTTCGTTTTGTTTATCTTCGTTAGCCATGGTGACATCTTCTTGATTTACAGTATCATCTGCAGTTGTGTCATTGGCTTCTTGGTGGATAGTTGTATCGTTATGTTCCTGAACGACAGTTGAGTCAGCATCGATTGTTGCGTCAGGATTTGACTTTGCTGGAGGAGCCAAGTGCTTGTCAGCTGGTTTTTCTTCCTTGCTTTCTCCGGTATCAGTTTCCTTCTTATTGTCATCTTCAACATTTGACTCTTCCAATGGAGCTGTCCCCAGAGATTCTGGAACTTTTTCCGAGTTTGCTGTTACTTCTGCCTTAGTATCTGCATCTGCTTCTCCTTCGGTTTTAGCATCGACTTTCATTTCTGCTTTTTCGGCTTCGGCCTCGGCTTCTGCATCTCTCATTTCAATATCTGCTTGAGCTACTTCAAAACTTTTATATGATTTGACTCCATCTTTGAATAAAATGTCAATTTTCTCTTCAATTTTGCTGGTATTCGCATCTTCTTCTAATCCCAGTTTCCATCCAAACTCTTCGCTATCAATCAATTGTTTCAAGTGATTGACCTTGTCCTCTTTTGTTCTATGATCTTCACGTGGTTTACTATAAACAGAGTTAGCGGTAAATTCATCATGTGCTCCAGCCTCAAAGAATAAGCGATATGAATTCTCACAGATGGAAACCCTCAAACCAGCAGAAACTCGGCCATCGCATTGATCTTCATCAACGTTATCAAGGAAGGATTTAGCAAATGGCATATTGATTTTCGACGCAGGTACACCTTCAGTTGGATGAGACATGACATAACTAGTGACATAGTAGTTGTATTCTTCTTCAGCATTCTCATGATCATTGATGGTTAAATCATCAATACTGACGAATTGAATATTGACGGTAGAATCAGACTCTTTGTAGGCGATCTTAAACATATTTTCATCATTTGACATTAAAGATCTGACTTGCATCCTATATAAGATTTGATCTTTTGCAGTAGAAACTGGGTTAGCTCTGTCGTTTTCATATAAGACAATCATTTCAGAAGTTTTCGAGTCAGTAATCATTGAATGCATGTATTTCACCATCGCTTGAACAACTTTGTCAACAGTATAGATTTTATAAGCTTTGTTTCTGTAACCTTGACGTAAAGTCTCTTCGAACCATTGATGTTCAATATCACCTTCCATTAACTTTTCTGATAAGCTCAATACTTGTTTATAGCAATCTTTGTTACCCACAATTTCAATTCCCATTTCTTCAAGTTGGTGAGATAACAAATTCAAATCTTTTGCAAACTGAGGATTTTTACGAGATTTAATTTCCTTTCCGACAACTTCGTTCATCCCTTTAATTTCTTCTAATCTTTCATAAAGAGTTCTTAAATGACGGAAAAAAACATAAACCGTTGTGTTACAAAACAAATTAAATTTATCACGTCTTTCTTGTTTGGAAGCATCTTGACTATCAGAACCAGAGTTGGCATTGGTTGCTTTAATCCATAATTCACTTGATTTTTCCACAAGGTCAATAACTTCTTGATCTTCAGATTCACTTGAATTATGCGATGGTGATTCAGCACGATCATCCTTTTTGGATTTCGATTGCTTCTTTAAAACATCACGTAATAAATCATTTTCACGATGACGTTTCTTTGAGACGGATGTTGGTTCATCGGGTGTTTCAGATTCTTGAGCAGGATCACCATTTGAGATTGGTTCTTCATGAGCTTCTTCATTACTTCTAGCCGCCATTGCCTTGCTAATAACATCGTTTGGAACATTGAAAAATAAAGAAATAAAGTACTTGAAGAAAGCACTAAGTTTTTCACGGTCATTGGCAGAATAGTTTGAGGAGCGGAAAATGAAAACTTCTGCTAATCTAACAATATCATATAATACATCATAGTCAGTAAATTTATAGTTCAATTGTTCTTGTGGCTTTGGTGTCAAAGGATGTAACCTTTTGTTTTGTTGTTCGACCTTGACAGTACTTATTTCACTAACCAATTGCTTGGCAGTTAACAATTTCTTATCAGCTTGCTTGAAAGTTAATCCTAAATGATCCAAAGATTTATAGAAAACTTTTTGTTCCATTTCTCTCCAGACTTTGTTCCATTCTCTTTGAGATCTTTTCCATTCTTCATCTTTTTGTTTCAATCTTTTCAAAACAACCGGCACAGCGACAGCAGGGTTTTCATGTAAAGCGTCGATAACTTCAAAACCTCTATCTTTATCATATATTTTACGGATAACCTTTTTGTAGATTGTGGTAGAGTTATGGCCCAAACCTTGTGGTAGTTTGAAGTTGGCTTTTTGTTCCGGAGTCATATTAGCAATTCTATTAGCAATAGTTTCCAAAGTTTGAATTGTTTTCAAATTAGTTTCCATGTGATAATCAAATTCTAATCTTTCTTCTTCGATTTTGAAAAGAATTTCTTCATATTGGTTCTTACGATGAGCAATAAAACCAGAATCTTCAGATGCCCAAGTAGGATGGCCAACCCATTCATCATTAAGAACTTCCCAGCACATTTCATCTCTACCAGAACAAGGCATATAAGTTTCAGCCTTTGGCAACTGTCTATAAGAAGGACCGTATGCTTTACATAAAGATAACTCCAATTGATGTTTTCTAAATGTAATATTTTCGATACTTTGAGGTTTATCTTCGTAACCAACAAACATTTTAAACCAAGTTATCAAATCCGGGTGACCTTCGCCGATAAATGACTCTACTCTCTCAATTAAAGTCTCTTTATCAAGAATGTCTAGAGTGAATAAATTCAAAATTTTCAAGAACTCATTATAAGTTTGTTTATTACCGATTGCTTTTTTAACTTTATCGAAAAAGCTTATTTCTTCAGAAAGCGAAGAAGATTTAACAGAAGTTGATGGAGGGATTGGCTCAGGGATTCCCGGAACCAAAGTTGGATTAGTAACAGTGCCAACGGTTTCAACTTTGGTAGAAGCACCTGGAGTAGTCAATTTGCCTGGTTTGGCAGTTGATTGGACACCAGTACGCAAAGTAGAATATTGGGCTTCTTGATTATAATTAGCATCATAACTTTGCTCATGAGAGACCGAACCTTTCTTCTTCTTTTCAAGATAATCTGGAATTTGTTGCATTTCAAGGTTTTGAGCAGGATAACCAATTGGAGCAGGTTGAGCTTGAAATTGGTTTTCAACTCCACCTGGAGCAGTACCTGTGGGAGGTTGAAAATTACCAACTGGCGGTAATTGAGCAGAACCATTTGCGTAATATACATGTTCTTGACCAACTTGTGGTTGAGTAGGTATTTGTTGAGCTTGTTGTTGAAGGTAACCTTGTTGATTACTGGTGTCCGGTAAAAATTGTTTGAAATCGTCTAACAAATCTGGTGAATTTGCGAATAAAACAGTTACTTGATCATAAACTTCACCAATTGGTTTTTGCTCACGTTGATAAGTTTGTAGTATCTCTAAAAATTGTTTATAAATATCTGGTTGATTAGCAAATCTGGTTTTAATTTTGTTAACATAAGAAATAGCATGGTTGAATTCTATTTGGCCACCATTTTGTTGTTGTTCATCTTGAGCAAGTTGCTGTTCACCTTGTGGGTGTTGTTGTTCCGGACTATATTGATGACCAGTAGATCCATGTTGTAATTGAGGGGATTCTTGAGAATGAGTAACTTGTTGTTGATTTTGAGATTCACCACTAGCATTTCCCCAACGTTGAGCATACGAGCCATTAAGATTTGGTCTAGTAGTAGTACCGCTTGGAGTAGTGACTCGGATTGGGTTTGGATCAGAGGGATCTAAAGAACATTCAATTTTATAACCAGGAGGTAAGAATGTATTAAACCCTTGAATCAAGTTAGGGTGACCTCTAAACAAGGTAGAAACTCTATCAATCACACCGGGTGTATCAATGCTATAAATTTAGTTAGTAGCTTTCAATTTTTACAGGGCACATAACAGATACTTCTCACATCTAATAAAATCTTTGTTGTTTGATACCTTGCACGCCAATTGAGGGAAAATGTGCGAGCGGAATAATTGGAGGACCTGTGAGGAAAAAAAAAACCTATTCAGGACGAAAGGTTGGATTTCGCTAGCAACATTTCTGGTATGCCTCAATTTTAGTTGAACCCCATTGATTGGTTACCTAGAAAAAATCACTTTAGATGTGGGCTTTAGGCTGAGATACTCAAATTAGATGAATTATCTGTAACGATTCGAAATGAACATACCTTTGAGACTTAAAGTCTTTCATTATATCTAGAAAATTATTGTAAACATCAGCTTGATTATAGAATTGGACCTTGACTTGATCCAAATACGACAAAGCATCTTTAACATTCAATGGTCTGTAAACATTAGTAGTACTAGAACGGTTCAAGACACCTTGAGGAATGGGAGGTTGGGCGGCCACCACTGCTGCAGCTTGTTGTTGCTGTTGAACTTGTTGTTGTTGGGCTTGGGCTTGGGCTTGGGCCTGTTGGTGAGCTTGGGCCTGTTGGTGAGCTTGGGCCTGTTGTTCAGCAGAAACACCTTGGGGTTGTGACACTGAAGGAGCAGTTGCAAGTGGTGGGGCCGAAGATGTAGGAGTAGCAAGAGATGCATTAACTGAATTTGGAGTTGGAGCTATGGATGAAGGAGGAGGTAATTGTTGAGATTGGCCGGGAATATTAACACCTGAATGTCTTCTTATACCTTGATTATGTCTTGATTGATCGTGGGACTAGATAAAGTTAGTAACTTTGACAATGATAAGGATATAATTAAGATACATACATGAATGGAATCATTTCCTGGATTGATTGATGGAATAGTAAATCCATGACCAGGTTGTGGATGGCCTGCACCATTACCTAGGCTAGGAAGACTTGGTAAAGGATAAAAAGATTGACCGCCTATAAATAAGTTAGTAAACCGAACTGTCAACTAATCGATTACTGTATACATACCCGCTTCTAAAGTTGCAGGAGGTGGTAATACTGGAGGATGCTGACGACCACTAAATAAAATGTTAGTATTAAACCCAAACTAAGAAAATGAAAACAGTACATACTTGAATGGTTGACCTAGAGGACGTTGTTGATTATTCCATAAATCTTGTTGATTCGTCATTTTCAAATTGGTGGATTGTTGAATATATTTCAAAGATGCTTATCGAAGGATAGCTATTTTTTTTCCAATTGGGTAAAAAAATTATCAGTACAAGCACCTAGCGAATCAAAAGTCAATTCAAATGGTAGATCAGTTGAAAGAGAGTAAATGCTAAACCAATGAACCAAGTTAATACACGAGTGAATTCAATACTTGGAGAAACTGATCAAGTCGATGGGGAAATTGAAAAAAAAAAGAAAAACTAAGAGAAAAAGGTACACTTCAAATGAAAAAACAACGGGGGAAAAGGTTATTCAATCACTCAGTCACTTAACCAGTAAGAAATGTCTTCCAGGTACTCAATGTAATCTAAATAAACCCACTTGTTGAATAAAGATTGAAGAATTATTGGGAAGAAGTGTAATAAAAAATTAACCGCTCACTCTGTCTATATGAGAGACCATACTATTTACGTTTCGCTGAAAGCGACGGGTAACCTTTTGCTTCGTGGGTGCTCTGGTTTATGTGCAGTTTCACATTTCTGGTGCACGGAAGTTTTATGGTGTACTGATGTTTTGTTCTTTTTTTGAATGTACGGGTGTGTTGATTCTTGAACGAAATTCCAAACTTATTAAGTTTTTCAAAAAGAATCGATTACTACATCAATAACAGAAACTAGAGAACCAGAGATGAACGCACCAGATAGATTTGAACTATTCATATTACCGGACGGGGTAGATAAGTATGTATTTGATAGGGTGAAGTGTTTTGACTGAGTACTAACCTGATTAGAATTAAGATAACACCGGATACAAAAGTGCCCAATGCAGCATTAATCAGAATAGAAAGAGAAGATCATACCTTGGCTAATCTATTAAGAGCACAATTGTTAAAGGATGAAAGGGTGATTTTCGCTGCTTATAAAGTAGAGCATCCATTATTTGCTAATTTTATTTTGAGAATACAAACTGAAGATGATTATAGTCCAAAAGATGCATTGAAGAATGCATGTTCTGGATTAATTAGTGAATTAGATGTTATTAAAACTAAATTCAAAGATGAATGGGCTCTTAAGTCATTATTAAATAATAATGATGAAGATATGTAATACTTAAAAGATATTGATAATAATAATGCTTGTATATTAGAAAAAGTTTTTTATAATTTAAATATATATAATATTTTTGTTTAAAAATCATTAAAAGGTATAGAAAACAAAAGACTTTTTTTTTTTTGAATTGAAAATATTTATGCAAAGGAATCAAAATCGTTAAATTTTTTTAAACTTCTGGGAAGGCTTTTCTTTTAATTGCATCTTTAATTATTGATATTTTATTTAAACAATCAGGAACTTCAGATGAAGGGAAATTACCTTGTTTTAAAATTAAAATTAAAGGATGAGTTTCAGTTAAACGATTTGGAGAAATATGAGTAATTGCCAAACCTAATTTTGAAATACAAATTTTATGATGATCTTTAAAATTAAATTGAAAATTACCATTTGTCATTTCAAACATAATATAATCTGAAGTTCTTGTATAACGTCTTAAGAAAATTTCTTCACTTTTTTCTTCATTTTCACTAACTTTTGATAAATTACTATTCATATATTTAGCGAAAAAATCAACAATTTCTAATTGTCTTTTTGTTTGACTTGGTGGATGACTTATTGAATTTTCAATGCATGTCCATCCTTCATTTTCATTAATAATTAATTCTAAAAATTTATCTTGATTATGTAATTTTAAAATTGAATTATCATCATTAAATAAAACTCCAATATCATCATTATTTAATTGATACAGAAATCCATATTTATTTGAATAATCAACCCATTTACTAATTAATGTTGGATTTTCACAACTTGGTAATTCAATTGTTTCTAATCTATCAAATTTTGAATAATCTAATCTTCTAATATTATGATACGTTTCATAACAAACTTGATCTAAATTTTTAATTAAATTAGAATATTTATTATTAAAATTAACTCTTTTTTTACCATTATTCATTGTTGTTGGATCAATTTCTTGATATTTATTTCTAGTATCACCAGGAGATAATGATTGAGGTAATAAAGTTTTTGGTTGTTCAGAATGTAAATCAGATCTTAAAATTTCTACTGGATTTTTAATTTTTGGAGTATAAATTCCGGCATTAATTTTAGTATTATTAAAATTAATTGATGATTGAGCTTTTGAAATTGATGATAAATTTTCTGGAGTATTTGTTAAACTTATTATATTAGTTTTATCAGGGAAAGGTCCTTTAAACCAATCAAATTCTAAAATTTCATTAATTGTTGGCCTTTCTAAAGGATTTAAAGTTAATAATTTTTTAATTAAATGTTTGGCTTCATTTGAAATTGGTTTATCAATTGGGAAATTATAATCAGTTTTTTTAATTCTTTCATAAATAACTTGAACATCTTTTGCTTGAAATGGAGGTTTACCGCATAATAATGCATACATCATAATCCCAATTGCCCAAATATCAACTTCAAAACTATGACCAGTTTGTTTACCACCTAAAACTTCTGGAGCAATATAATTTGGAGTACCACAAATAGTATATTTTCTTGAATCAGTTGAAGGTAAAACTGAAGCTAATCCAAAATCTCCAATTTTTAAATTCATTTCTGGATCGAAAAAAATATTACCTAATTTTAAATCTCGATGAATAACTCTTCTTGAATGTAAATATTTAATGGCACCAACTATTTGAACCATGAAATATCTAACTTCTGGTTCACTAACTCTTTTTCTGGTTTTCAATAATTCCATTAATGATTGATTTGGACAAATTTCTAATAATATATAAACATTAACATCATCTTCAAAACAATCAATGAAATTAACAATATTCGAATGTTTTAAAGATTTATGAATTTTAATTTCTGATAATAATTTAGTTTTAGTTTTTTCATTTTTAATTGAAGCTTTAGCAACAGTTTTAGCAGCATAAATTTTACCAGAAGAATCTTTCATCTGAAAACAACGAGCGAACCCACCTTCCCCTAAAAAGAGACCACGACGATAATCTCTACCATTTCTAGTACGAACAATTGATGGAGGAGTTTTACATAAAGCAGATAATTTTTCCTTCTTTTTTTTAGCCTTTTGTTGTTGTTGATGTTGTTGTTGTTCTTCGAGTTCATCTAGTTGATGTTCTTTTGAACGTCTTATTGGTTTAATCGGAGTGACATTATTGGATCTGGCGTTAAGCGTACCATTATTCAAAGGTTGTAAAGGCTGTAAATTATGACGAACAGCAGACATTGACGATTAGAGATACGTAAGGTAAAGGAAAGAAGATAAAAGTAAAAAAGATAAAAAAGATACAAGTAAGAAGATAAAAGTAAAGATAAAAGGTTAAGAGTAATGAAAAGTTACTAATCCATAAGATTCATAGATGGATATATACTTATTTGTGGAAGTTTTCAATGACTTTTTTTTTTTTGTTTGTTTGACCTTTTTGTATATTAAAAAGGTTTAATAAATCTTTTTGTATTTGTTTTTCTTTCTTAACTAGTAATGTTTAGTAGGAACCAACTAAACCCAATATTGTTTAGTATTTATTTGTTTGTATTATGATAATTTTATTACTTAAAACTAATATTTTCATTTAGATCAATTTTGGTAGAAGTAACAAACAAATAAAACAAAAAAAAAAAAAATTTGTTGATAGATTGTCTTTAATGAGGATTATTTACAAATAAACTTAATTGGGTAAAGTAACAACCAATACCGTTTCTTTTCTACGACGCACACTCTGGGCTACTTTTATCTGGCAAATGGCTTACTGGAATTATGTAACACTGTTTGCCAGTGGTGTTAATCCTTAGGGAGGTTGGTGGTGGGCTTGGTCACGTGAATATCTTTAAATCGATGTTTTGATTCCATCCAAATGAATTCAGTAAACCCTTTTTCCAGGTAAATAGATCTCATCGTTTCATCTGGAGGATTGCGAAGATGTTCTACAAATGGTCAGCTTTCATTAGTAAGAAAGTTTAATTGTATATTTTGTAACTGTAGTATTGCCCGGGTAGTTTCCCAGCTCATCGTATAAGGTATTCACAAAGAGGGAAAAATGATCAGCGGATTGTACGCTACATCGTTGGCTTGGTGTATGCGTTCTATAGCTCCCAATCAGATAGCACATCCGTATGTGTATATGTATAGGTCTGTGTATATGTATAGGTCTGTGTATATGTATAGGTCTGTGTATATGTATAGGTCTGTGTATATGTATGTCTGTGTATATGTATATCTGAAATATATACCTTTCTATGATTGTGAACTGTTGTCACGTGAGACGTCATGTGACTATTCTCCCGGTGCACTACCCTCGGAATAAGTATTTTTTCTGTTTTAAAAGTTTATATTATGTCCATCTACTTGAACGATTCTAAACCATTCTTTAGGCTATTCTTAGACTAATTTGTTAGGCTAAAGACCGGCTAAGAGATTGTATATTGACCAGTATGAGCTCTTCGGACGATGAGGTTGTTCTTTCTAAAAGAGCAAGACCAGCTAAAAACTCGTATCAGGAATCAGATGAAGAAGATGATACTCCGTTAGCAGACATCTCTAATGGTAATTTAAAAGAAGAAAGTGGTAAAAAAAGAAAATCTTCAAGTAAGAATTCATCAAAACCTAAAAAACAAAAAGTTAAAAAGGAGAAAAAGGAGAAAAAGGAGAAAAAGGAAAAGCATAAGAAAAGTAAACTGAAAACAGAAGTCAAATCTGAAGCCAGTGAAAGTTTGCAAACTCCAGAAAGTTCACCAATTAAAAAAAAAGCTGAAAAAGAGGAACTGAAAAGTGAAAAGGAAGAAGATGATGAAGATGATGATAAATTTAAATGGTGGGAAGATGATACTTATAATGATACTAATATAAATGGTAACGGAGAGAAAAAATGGGATACTTTAGAACATAATGGTGTAATCTTCCCACCCCCTTATGAACCATTACCATCATACGTTAAATTATATTATGATGGGAAACCAGTTAATTTACCATTAGAAGCAGAAGAAGTTGCCGGATTTTTCGCTGCAATGTTAGATAGCGATCATACAAAAAATCCAGTTTTCCAACAAAATTTCTTCAAAGATTTCTTAATAGTCTTAAAAGAAAACGGAGGATCAAATGTTGAAATTACTGATTTTAATAGATTAGATTTTACTAAAATGTTTGATTATTTTGTTAAATTAAGAGAAGAGAAAAAATCAATGTCTAGAGAAGATAAAAAAAGAATAAAAGAAGAACGGGATAAATTTGAAGAACCTTTTAAAACTTGTTTACTTAATGGAAGAAAAGAACAAGTTGGTAATTATAAAGTTGAACCTCCTGGATTATTCAGGGGTAGAGGTGCTCATCCTAAAACTGGTAGATTGAAAAAAAGAGTTTTACCAGAAGATATTACTCTTAATTTAGGTATTAATGTTAAAATACCTGAACCACCACAAGGTCATAAATGGGGGGAAATTAGACATGATAATACCGTTGCTTGGTTAGCGATGTGGAGAGAAAATATCTCTGATTCATTTAAATACGTTAAATTTGCTGCTACCTCATCCATAAAGGGTTTATCAGATTTCAAAAAATTTGAAACCGCAAGAAATTTGAAATATCATATTGACGCAATTAGAAATGATTATACTAAGCTATTAAAAGATCAATTAATGCAAAATAGACAAATGGCTACTGCTACTTATTTAATTGATATTTTTGCCTTGAGAGCTGGTGGTGAAAAGGGTGAAGATGAAGCTGACACTGTTGGTTGTTGTTCATTAAGATATGAGCATGTTACTTTAAAACCTCCAAATAAAGTGATTTTTGATTTTTTGGGTAAAGATTCAATTCGTTTTTATCAAGAAGTTGAAGTTGATAAACAAGTTTTCAAAAATTTAAGAATTTTTAAAAAATCTCCTAAACAACCCGGTGATGATTTATTTGATAGAATTACTCCTTCTATCTTAAATAAACAATTCCAAACTTATATGAAAGGTTTAACTGCTAAAGTTTTCCGTACTTATAATGCTAGTAAAACCATGCAGGATCAATTAGATTTAATTAAAAATGAAGGTACTGTTGCTGAAAAAGTTACAAAATTTAATGCTGCTAATAGAACGGTTGCAATTTTATGTAATCACCAGCGTACGGTTAGTAAAACTCACTCAACTTCGATTGCCAAAATACAGGATCGTATTTTGGAATTAAAATGGCAAAAGAATCGTTTGAAAAAAATTATTTTGTTAATTAATCCTGATGAAAAATCGAAAAATAGTAAATTTTTCAAAGGTATTAATGAATTGAATAAAACTCAAATTAAAAATGTTCATAAAATCGTTATTGAAAGAATGATTGATCAAGCCCAAAAGAAACGATTACGAGAAAAGGAAAAAGAATCTTTAACTGGTACTTGTGCTTTCACTGATGAAGATTTAAAGAAAAAATTAGAATCCATTAAAGAATTACAACAAGAATACGCTGAAGAATTAGCTTCTGGTGATCCAAAAATTCCAAAAGGTGCTTCAGTTGATAAATTGAAAAATCAAATTGAAAATTTAGAAAATAGAATCACCAACACTCAATTTCAATTGCAAGATAAAGAAGATAATTCAGAAGTATCCTTAGGGACATCTAAATTAAATTATATAGATCCAAGATTAATTGCAGTTTTTTCTAAGAAATTCGAAGTGCCAATTGAAAAACTTTTCTCAAAGACTTTAAGAGAAAAATTCAATTGGGCAATCGAGTCGGTTGATGAAAACTGGAGATTCTAGCACCACCAATATACATTCATACTAGTACAAAAGTCTAGACATTGACTTGAAGTTCTTTATTAAAGGAGTTCAACAAAGACGCGTAGATCTTTTTTTTAGCAGCTCATCCCTTTGCGACACGTAAAACTTTTTTTACTGCAATTTTTTGCTGCAACTCAAACACGCATCTATTGACAAAGGTTTGAGAATCAAAACAACACCATTCACTGTTTCAGCGAGTTGCAGTAACTAGAGCACGCATCAATGAAAGACAAATGGAGAATATGACCGAAGTTTGTGATAGGCAAGTGAAGAAATGGGTTTTATTGTGCGCCTTTAATAGAGAATTGTTGCCTTTAATAGAGAATTGTTCCTATTATCAATTACGACAATGGTAGAGAAGAAGCCTAGACTGGACGGATTAAACACTTGATTAGGTTTCAAGTCATGAACCTACCGAGACTTGACAAACCTTCTGACAAAAGTACGACAAGTAGACCCTAAGGATAGTAAGTGAGAGACAAGATATTTACTTTCGAGTTAGTGTCATGTTTGGAAAGTTTAAGTATGTAAAGGGTTGAAAACACACTCAGTAGATTGAGTAAAGATACTTGGGGGTATAAAATAAACAAAAAGCCATACTGGCACTTGCTTATGAAACGAATCTTTGCATTAGAATATTTTGATATTTGTTTCTTTTAATAATTCGTAAACTTGCGGGTTTAAATAAAGCTTATAATCCACCCTTTTCGATAAGTTGTTTATTCATGATTGTCAAAGTATAAAAATGCAAAAAATTTGGTTACTACTAACAATGGTAGTAATGATGACCCCTGGTTGTCTAGCTGAGAACAAACATCATCATCATAGATATCAATTAGCTACATCCACAACTTCAACTTTTGTTACTTCTACCATTGGTTCGACAGTTACTATGGCACCGGCTAAAAGAGATGATATGCCTGCATTACCCGAGGCAAGCACTTCGTATAGTTACAAGATAGAAGTACCTAATGGATCCAATTATCCTAAGAATCCATATGTATTAATAGAAAGTTTACCAGAAGATTTAGTTTTCATAGTGGTGGGGGCCATCATTGGGCTTTTAATTCTTTCCTTTTTCACTTATAGGGTTATAAGTTACTTATTATCAAATAAAACTGCCAAAAGTGATCGAGAATTATATTTCCATAATTTTTTCCTCGGTAGTGATTCAAGCAATGCCAGCTTTTTGAATGGAAGTAGTAATGGAATGACTAGTTCAGATTCCTCGATGTGGGAGAAAAACTCCAGCCACTTCACTTCTAATTCAAGTCTATATTTATTAAATAGACAAAGTTCTCTTTTGAATTTAAATTCTCCAAGTACTGGTCCAAATACTTCTCAACAAGGAAGATCTTATAGAGGAGCAATAAATAACCAAAATGCAAATAGTACTCCTGGCAATCGAGGATCCATGTTCATCAGTCCGATTCTCGATATAATGGTTAATTCAAAATCGAATTTGGAATTACCATTATATAATTCTAATAAGAGTTTAACTGATTTGAATCTGTACTCCATGATGAAATCAGATAATCTCCCTCCACCAAGAACTTCAACCATTCCTATGAGTCTTGCCCTTGATAATGGAACCAATGAAAGTATCAATTGGCAAACCTCGGTTGGTAACGGCTTTGACACTCCTACAATCGAGCCCGTGGCCGTCATGAATAGCACCGACCGTTTAATAGACTCCCCCCAGACCCAGGAACCACCCAAGATGAAGAGACCTCCTTCCCAATTCTTGGATGACTTGATCAATGACATACATACATAGCATTTATAGATTATAGACTTCGCATCACTAATACACTAATATCATTATCATAAGTAATCTGCATCATCAATACACTGATGTCATTATCTTCATAAGTAATCGCATCACTAATACACTAATATCATTAACTAAGTAATTTTGCAGCATTGAGGATGGGTCACGTGACGCACACTTGAAAAACCTCCATACACCTTATCGCAATCTTCCTTCCCCCCGCAATAATACCAGGCCCCGGTTAAAGCTAGGTGTTAAATGACCCCTTTACACCGAACAGTGAGAAGGACTTAATTGAAAAACTGTCAGTTTCACTTCTAATATCCTTTAGTTCTACCACTATTCTTTATACTATAAGTTATAACCAAACCACCATGTCATTATACCGAGTTAATAGCAGACAATTGATTAGAATTGGACAATTGACCAGAAGCAGATGTTTAAGCACCGGTAATAGATTATTTGCTAAGAACGATGAATCCACCATTGATTCGTATAGATTACCATCGCAAACTTCGATTAATGAATGGGAATTCAAATATGATTTCATTCCAAAAGTGGCGGAACCTAAGATTCCACCAATTACCCCGGAAGCGGTTAAACAAGATATTGCCCATGAACGTAAAGCCCGGGTTGAAAAAGAAATGTTTAATCAAGAAGGAGCATCATCAGTTAAAGTCGAAGGAAATGATGCTAAGGTTATGAGAGGAGGGGAGTTTGTTCAAGATGAACCAGAGTATTTACATGATCGAGAACTGAAACCAGTTGATGTTAGTTCAGGAATTCACGCTAATAAACCAACCAAACCCGCCAACCGGGATAGATACGTTCAAAGTTCATTAAATCCAGAAATTAATCAGTCAGACTTTGTTAGTTTGGGTGATAATCAAGTTGACCATAAAGTAAGTTCAACTAATGGACAAGCACAAGTTATCGAAGATATCGAACATGATGAAATTGAAAGTGGTAAAACGAAACAATCTCATGATGATCATCAACCAAAACCCAATGGTAATGGAGGTATATTAGCATTAGTGGGTATTGGAAGTGCTGTTGGTGGTTATTATTACTTTACCAAACCAGAAAAGAAATAGATTATATATACTTTACATAAGCTTTAATAAATTACTTTACATAATAAGTTACTTTAAAAATGCATTAAATAATAAACATAATAAATAGGAGATAAATATTTACATGAAATTTTATGAAAACAGAGGTTAATTTTATATAAATTCTTTAATAATGTTTAGAAGCTTCTTGACAAGCTTTTAATTGTTGTAAATAGTAGTCACAAATTTGCATATTACCATCGTTATCACCTAAACATCTAGTGAAATTCTTTGCATCAACATCACAAGATCTAGATTGTTCTTGATAATTGGATTGAGCAGGTTGTGCTGGAGGGGCTTCAGCTGGAGCACTAGATCCACCAAACATACTAGTAATACCGGCACCTAAAGTGTGACCAATAGTGGAACCAACAGCAACACCAGCAGCGGTAGAAGCCATTTGTCCAAATAACCCTGGACCTTGACTTTGTTGTTGAACTGGATGGGAGGCTGCTGATGGTGGATGAGCTGATGGATAGCTGGAGTGTGCTGGAGCAGCAGCAGTATGTGCTGATCTGGTTTGAGTTCTTGGGGCTGGAGCGGATCTTCTTTGTCTAGGCATTTTGTTGTAATGAATAATTTATTATCCTGGTAATTCCTGGTAATAACTAGCTTTATATAATGACTTGTAGTGGCGATAAAAATTTATTAGTAACAAAAAGAAACTGCTAGAAAATTCAATTGGTCAGGTAAATTCGGTCACGTGGACGTGGTCACGTGGACGTTTGCCTCCGTACATTTTATTCTGGTCACGTGGATTGTTTTCCACGCCAGGCCCGTACATCTCGGCTGTTAAGCTAGTACAACCAGTACAACCAGCACAACCACAACAAGTACAAAAAGCACCACAGTGGAAGGATGGCCGTTGTACCGTTGGCTCGGTGTTAATGGGTCAATGGATACCCTGCCATGTGTCCGGCTGGTCCTCACTGATAACACCGCTGGCCAACGAATCAGATTGATTGGCTGGATACTCCATACTCGGATTATCTTTTCGCAACAGTTTTTTTGTTCTTGTGGTGTCTGGGTTCTTTCTTTTTTTTTTTTTCTGTTGCTCTTCCAGTCTTAAGAGGAATAGCTTCTTTGATTCTCTTGATGGCTAAACTGGAACCATTGATGGGTCTTTTTCGTTAATTTGTGATACTTATTGATCTTCAGGTAAGCGGATGCATATGGTTTCGATTTTGAGTCATCAAGTATAAGGCTAGGGTTGTTCATTGCCGATAATTGTATAAATACCCCACCATTATCCTGTGAAGTTGTTATCTTTTGGTCTTTTCTCTCATATACAATGATTTCGTTAAGAGGATATCCGATTAAAAGTAGTGGACTACGATTTTTCAGTAGTTCGTCTAGTTTGAGACAACCCAACTATTATGAACTTCTTGAACTACCAGGTTCAGCCTCAATAAAAGATGTTAAGATGCAATTTAAAAAATTACTGAAGAAGTATCATCCAGATTTGAATAGTCATTTATCAGAAGACGAGAAAAAGGTGAATAGTGATAAGTTTGTTCAGATTGTATCAGCTTATGATACTTTGAAAGACATCAAAAAGAAGAAGAGTTACGATCAACAATTAAAGGGAACATCAATTCCAAATCATTCATTTTCAAGAAGAAACGAATGGCAGAATAAGTATTACGGTGAAGCAAAATACTATTCAAAATCAGGTCCTAGTGGACTAAATACAAAACGTCATCGAGTTTACCATTTTAACGACCAAGATAACAATTCAACATTTTCTGGTCGTCACAAAAATTATGGGGATAGATATGATGTACCTCATTTCAATTATAATGAACATTTACAAAGAAATTTAAAATTCGAACAAAGAATTATCAATCGTCAATTAACTGATGATGATCGGGAGAAAATCTTGAAACAATTATCAAAAACTGGTGATATATCAAATGTTAATGAAGAGTTAGTGACTAAACATTTGATGAGACAAATACATCATAGTTACAATCGGTCAAATAATCAAAATACTTTTGCTCCTCAATCTTCAACTCTGGGTACGTCTGCTAAAAACCCTTATATGTATCATGGACCTCAAAGTGAAGAAAGCGATGGAGTCATGCTTAGATCCTTGGTATTTGCTGGTGGTGTAGGTTCTCTTTTTCTCTTATACTCAACCTTACATGGTTAATCTTTCAATTCTCGGCGTTAACATATATTCGTATCAATATATATATATGTATATATAATAGATTAAGTGCAATTTTTTCTTTTTTTTTTTGCAACATCGGACGAATGTGTTGTAAGTGCATACGTTGTTTTTCCGGTGATACTAACTTGTTGTTCTTATCACCTTTGTAATCCCCATCTTCGGTATATCAAGCTTAAATAGGACGAGTTTTAACCGATAGGTTAATTTGGTTTTCGTTACAATTTCAAATAATCAAAATTTTTATTAGGAAAATTATATAAAAAAAGAGTATATGTATGAAGATCCACTATAGACAATCTAATTAAACAACAATTGATAAATCTAAAATGGAAGAAAGAAGGATGAAGGAATAAATAAATTAAGGAATGATAAATAATGCTTAAAGGAAATGAAATATTATAAAATTGATTAACGATCAACTTCACCAAAAACCAAATCCATAGTACCAATGATTGCAACGGCATCTGCTAATAAGTTACCTCTCGAAATATGATCAAAAGCACCTAAATGAGCAAAACCTGGAGCTCTGATTTTACATCTATAAGGTCTTTCAGTACCATCACTAACAACATAAACTGCCATTTCACCTTTTGGAGCTTCAATTGCAGTATAAGTTTCACCTTCTGGAACACAATAACCTTTAGTGAATAATAAGAAATGATGAATTAAAGCTTCCATATCTTCTTTCATAAGAGATCTTGGAGGAGGACTTATTTTAAAATCTTCAACTTTAACTGGACCTTCAGGCATATCATTAATACATTGTTCAATAATTCTTAAAGATTGTCTGAATTCACTCATTCTTACTAAATAACGGTCATAACAATCACCATTCATACCAACTGCAACATCAAAATCAACTAAATCATAAGCATCATAAGGTTGAGATTTTCTAATATCAAAAGGAATACCAGAACCCCTTAACATAACTCCTGATAATGAATAATTCATAGCATCATCAGCAGTAACAACCCCAACATCTTTGGTTCTTGCTTGCCAAATACGATTATCAGTAACCAATTCTTCAACTTCATCAATTCTATCACCAAATTGAGTGGCCCACATATAAATATCATCTAATAAACCAACTGGCAAATCTTGAGAAACCCCACCTGGTCTAACATAAGCTGAATGTAATCTTGCACCACTAACACGTTCATAAAATTCCATTAATTTTTCACGTTCTTCGAACCCCCAAAGGAAAGGAGTTAAACCACCAACATCCATAATATGTGATAAAACAGACATACAATGATTAAGAATTCTAGTAATTTCACCAAACATAGTTCTGATATATTTAGATCTTAATGGAACTTCAACGTTTAATAATTTTTCAACAGCTAAAGCAAAAACTAATTCATTTGTCATCATTGAAACATAATCCAATCTATCAAAATATGGTAAAGCTTGCATATAAGTTTTTGATTCAATTAATTTTTCAGTACCTCTATGTAATAAACCAACATGAGGATCAGCTCTGACAATTTCTTCCCCATGTAATTCTAAAATTAATCTTAACACACCATGAGCAGCTGGATGTTGAGGACCTAAATTAATAGTAAAATGTCTAATTTTAGTATTTTGTTTTTCTATTTGTTTTGGATCATCATCTCTACCCCAAATCATATCAACTTCATCCATGGCTTCGGTTAATGTGGTTTTACCCAAAACACTCCCTTCAGTAGAGTATCTTTGAGCCGGTCTACCTAAAGCATTGGTAAATGGTTTAACTGATTCTTCATGATCGGCTGCTTTTTTTGGTAAACTAGTTGAAAAAAATCTACTAGTAACTGGTATTTGATTAAATTTCGATACTAATCTAACCGAATTACTTATATTTTTAACTCTCAACATTCTTTTCTTAATACTATTATGCTGTTTTTTGCAATATCAATTTTAAACTTGATAATCAAATGAATGAATATATTGTCCGATACGTTCTCCGATTCCGAGCTTTGTTACTATCTTTTAACCTTGGAACAAGATCTTAATTGTTTTAAATCACAATAAGGATAGGGATGCCTTGTCAAAAGATACGTTGAACCTTGAATGCTTATATCAATTTCGTATGAAGAACGAAAGAAAGATGGAAGAAAAGGAAAAAAAAAAAAAACTTTGTTGGTGTAAGTAGTAAACTGTACTAACAAAACTGTAAACTCCTAACAAAATGAGATTTATTATAAAATGATGTTTGTTCATTGGATGATATTTCATCATGGGGAAAGATCCGTACAGCTTACATCTAAAACAGTTTTGGTCGTGTGTGCACCCGTGCGGTTGGTTAGCGCACTTATATCCATTTGAAGGATTCACAAGGTTGCAAAATGGTTGGTAAGCTGTTGGAAAAGAGTGCTGAAGCAAAGGAGTTTGGTGTGAGTGAGGAGGTGGTGTATAAGCAGGGTGGTAATAGGTTGGTAAGCATGGTTGGTGGGACAAGGTGGTAAGTACCATCTCATTAGACTAGCATCTGGAGTTTAGAACTTGCCTGCCCGATTGATTTGTCAGCCATGAGGTCAACTCCACACTATTGACTGAATCCTCCCAGGGCATAGAAGGAGGAGCCTTGGGAATTATAATGATGATAACTAATTGCAAATGCAAATGATAACTAATTGCAAATGCAAATGATAACTAATTGCAAGCACGATTGATTATAAATTCAAGTGCCCTTAAGTACGAATACATCAACCATTTTGTATATAAAGACCACGAATATTTGCAACCAATCCACTTTTTTTTTTTTGTCATTCATTCTATAATTATCATGTCACCTCCACAAATTAACAAACATCAAGTTACAAGCTACCATACCATTAAGGTCAACGAAACCGATGAGGTTTTCTATAGGAAAGCCGGGGACGAAAGCAAACCAAATTTATTATTATTACATGGGTTCCCAACGAGTTCAAGACAATATGAGCCATTGATCAACTTGTTGAACCCTTACTTTAATATTATTGCACCAGATCTTCCAAGTTACGGTTTGACTAAAGTTGGAGCTAATTATGAATACACTTTTGATAAGTTGGCGCAAACAATTGATGGTTTTTTGAAAACGATTGGGTTTGATAATTTTTTGGTTTATTTTTTCGACTATGGGGCCCCCGTGGCATTAAGATTATTAGTTTCTGGTAATTATAATATCAAAGGGTTGATTAGTCAAAACGGTAATGCTTACGAAATTGGAGTAACTGAACAATTTTGGAGTCCTTTCAAAATTGGATGGGATTTACTTGAATTGAAAGAAGCCAATTCTCCAAAATTTAATCAAAAAGATTTAGATGATCATGTTAAGGTTATTAAAAATGCCCTATTAGATACTAATTTTTGGAAAAGCCAATATTATAATGCTGAAAAACTCGAAACACTTGATCTCGATTTACCACTCATCGATTACCACTTGTTGATCAATAGCACCGAAGATCAAGATGAAGCTTTACAACGCCAAGTTGATTTGGCCTTTGATTATAGAAATAACATCAAGTTATATCCAAAAGCTCACGAATTTTTTAGAAAATTACAATTACCCACTTTGGCAGTATGGGGTAATAAAGATGACTGTTTTGATATTCAAGGTGCTTATTCTTTCAAAAAAGATGTTCCAAATACAAAAGTTGTTGAAATCGATGGAGGTCATTTCGTTGGCAACTCTCATACTCGTGAAGTTGCCCAGGCTATTCTTGATTTTGCTTTTGAAAACGGCTTATTGTGATTATTTGATATATAAGAGTATATATGAAGTAGGAAAATATAAAATATGAATATGTTTTATTGGTTAGGTTGTAGCCTTTCAATTCAAAAAGAAAACTGATATCCTTTAATCGGTCAACCACTCTTGAATGCGCTTCTGATGGCTTGTAGTTGTTCTTTAATTCATACAAAGCATGGAGAGGGAAGATTTGAAAAAAGGTGCAAAAAAGAATGCCTCTGCCCAGGATTGAACTGGGGACCTTCTGCGTGTAAAGCAGACATCATAACCACTAGACTACAAAGGCGCTTCGAACCGGCCAATTTTAGGAGTAACCCGAAAATTACCGACTGAGCCACACGCTCATTTCATAATTTTTGAAAATTTGGCTTCTTTAAACAGTTAAAATCGCTACTAGGAATTGAAAATGCATTAAAAAAGTTTTTTTCAATTTTCTCTAATTTCAATCTACCATTTTGTTAATCAGGTAATTCTGAGGTGGTCCTATAAGATCTGATTGCAAAATGGTAGATTAAAACCAGAGACAATTCTGCAAAAAACATTTTTTACACTTTTTTCCCAAAATATTTTTGATTTCTGACATTATTATCCAAAAGCCTGCTGCATTGACGCAAAAAACAACATTTTTGAATATTGCAGTTTACTAAGCTATGCTACTAGGTTGTCCTTCGTAACCGAAGGTGTAGTCTAAAGATCTCTCGATGTCGTACACTGAGGTAAAAGTATATACAAAGAAATTAGAGAAACATGATCATTTGATCCGGCAACGAAGACCATATGGAGTACAATCATATTAGCTATTCATAGTGATACCTTAATCATATCAATAGTCATTTCCGCGTCAGTGCTCTTTACGGTAACTGTGGGCTTAAGTGACTGCTTCATTGAATATAAGTCTTTGGCTACAGATTAGCATCTGGTTCTTATTATTAGTCGGAGACCGACTAATGTCTATTCCTGGTTGCCCGTACTTGAAGCTGTCTACCAACCGGTATATCTAATGGCATCATACGTATGTTCATAGAACCAGGAGAATTTACTTAACAACAACGAAGCCTCGATGTGTTTCCCTTCAGCTACAACATCAGTGCTTGTTAAGGGTCTACAATAATCGTATTGGATAGACCTTAGCTGGTAGTTGCAGCCAAGCGCGATTACCTAAGCAGGCCGCTTCCGCGGGTATTTAAATCGCCCACCACACGACCCGCCCACCAGAAAATCGATAAACCCACACCGCGGTGCAGGCACTACCGACGAACGAGAAAGAAAAAACAACATCGAGTTACACAAAAAGCCCATTGCGCGCAACACCAAAAAAAAAAAACAAGCAATAAATCGAACAGCCCTCGCACGACCTTGTCCATCCTGCCTTCCGAGTTTTGTGTAAAATTCAAATTGAATTGAGTCAAAAGAAGAGAATCCAGCACTTCTCCAAATAGTTATGATACTAAAATAAACTACTAGTGAAAATGTTTGAAATATTTAGATAAAATTATATATATGTAATAATTTCTTTATAGTATTGTATTTTTGGGGGTTATTTTGTATTTTTCTATAAATTTGTATAAATTTGTACTCTGTACTCTGTATTCTGTATTCTATTCCGTATTCTATTCTGTATTAATAATTGCATACCTCATCTTGATGAATTTTACAACTAAAAGAAAAAGAGAAGATATTGAACCAGATTCTAAAAAAACTAAAAATTATATAAATGATGAACAAAAAGAGTTATATACTACATCAAATGAATGGCCCGTTTATCAACATCCAGATGGTGGGATAATAAAGATAACTCCTTGGGGGATATTACGTCAGGTTAAAGATGAAAAAACTGGAGAATATAAGACTAATTTTGAAGATCAAAGTTTTGGAGACGTGATATTTCAACTGGAGAATTCCAATGAAATATACCATAATAATATCCCAACCACTCCACAATCATTATACCAAGATAAATCTCCGAGTGATGGAATTAAATTAAGTCCAAGTGATGAAGCTGAATTATACGTAATGGATGGGTATCAACAGCAACAGTATCAAACAGAACAAGAGCATTATTTAGGAATGGAAGATGAAGAAATGAATTAAGTAAAGTATATATATATATTAATAAATCTATTTTACACTAACTAATCCATTTTCATGAATGAGAAAACTTCGACTATCACCATTTATCTTTTGTTTGATGAATTTTTTATCAAATTCAATAACCAAATCATATAATTGAGTGTAATTAATGAAAATGTCCTTTAAGTTATCCTTTTTCAAATAATGTTGATAGTTGGATAAGGTTATATCTGCTCCGCTCCATTTATCAAATGAATTTAGATCAGGTATACAGTTTGATATAAATTGTTTCTCTATAGGGGTATATAAATTATCATTGGAAACAAAATTGTATCCTTGAATATTAACCTCTTCCAAATAGCTATCAATAGAAGCTAATGATTCCCGACGAGGGGTATTACTGAAAATCAGTTCACTGGAATTTTTAGAACTTGTAGATACATTGGTCGATATCGATGTTCTAGTACTATGGGTATTTGGTGAAATAGCAGCAGCAGCAGCTGAAGCTATTAACAATGCATTATTTCTCAGATTACTCCGATTAGGAATACTTTTCAATTTGGTAATCAGTCTCTGGTCAACTGGTTTACATAAATCCTTGCCAATACTCAAATTTCTAAACCAGTTTATCAATGAATGAAACGACCAAAACTGTAGTAACATTTGTTTACATTCAATTCTTAATCTTAAGCAATTCTTATACTTGGTCAAAGTCGATATCGGTTGATTGGTGGATTTGGTATCTTCCTTATATAACGCGCTTATTAGTTGATTTAACGAGGGCGCTTCACCAACTTTTAAATTATCCAATGTATAACTATTAATCAAATCAGATCGATACTTGTATAATTGCGAGTAACGGTATTCCTCATAATTGCTTGTTGGTTCCATCAACATTAAATTATTCTTCATTTCTTTATAGTAACTCGACAAATGCTTAAAACTCTTATTGGTTTTATAATTCCCCCATTTCTTCATAATCTTATCGCTGGCGGACGTCTTGAAATGGGCTAGTTCTTCACTGATCTCTCCCAGATTCAATCCTCCATATGCGTCTCCAGCAAACAAGTCATCTAGTTGTTCAATAACTACATCACTGGCACTTTTCCGTTGCTGGTAATCGTTATTCAAATTAATCGCCAAATCGTCCAACTGATTCTGTTCTCCATATAAACTAATAATCAAGGTTTTCAAATGACTCGAACAGTTTAAATCATAGAAGTTCAACTGGGTCGAATTCAATTCAAGTATAACCGGTTTCCAACTTCTTCTCGGATTAGCATGGTATGGAGTTAAAAACTCGGTTTTCGTTAAACAAAGCCCGTAGTACTGCAACGAAGGCTGGTAGTTTGGTAACTCTTCCTGAGGTGGTGTATACTCTGGCACCGACATGGTCTCCTTAGCTTACTGTCCAAATTTCTATAAATGATGCAAATTTCTGATATATAAACCCCAGTGCGAGAATTGCTGTCATACAATTTCTATAACAAAAAAGTGCTCTACTGTAAGCTGATGTAATAAGTTGGCTTAGCCAAAGGAGTTTACTAAAGAAAAAATGGCAGTACTGATAGAATCAGAAGGAGTTTGGTCTTTTTATATATTTTTATATATTTTTATATATTTTAAAATATATATTTTGCTCATGAGCTTTCTATTTATTTTTATATTTTTTGCCAAAAACATCGAGAATGACCCCACAGCAAATGGCCAAGTACTACTACGTTGTCTTTTCTTGTATCAGCTTTGTTGTATACCTGGGTATTACCTAGCCATTCATACCCCTATGTTTATTCAATATATACGGTATTGGTCTGGCATTACTAAGTTTACTGAGTTCTGATTTATGTCCAGACTCGACCGAAACGGATAGACTTACGAAAAATGACATAAAAGACCCGTGCATCCACTACTCGATTACTATAGGGACCCAAGTACCCAGGACAGCCGGCACTTGACAAGATATAGCGGTGCTACCAATGGGAGGAGTGGAATTAGTAATGCGGAAGTATAGCGATCAGTGCATGCTGATTTGTGTTTTGTATGGGATGCATTTTAGTTTGTGTAAGGGCATCTCGCAAAATTTGCAGTTATTTCAGGTCCGTTTGGAAAGAAAATCACTGATATTATCAATGAGCTCTTGTTTGGTGGACCCCTTTTTGATTTGGTTAGGGTACTTATTGATAAACTCTTTCAATTGGGCCACGGTGAAATAGTTCCATTCGTTTTTGTTCCAAGCCGTTAAAACAACGTCTTCAGTTAATTCTAATCTTGGCTTCTTGTTGGGTGGCATTGCATTATTTTGTTTAACGGTGTAAGTATTACCTATTTTATTGAGTTGGCTTTTGATAAAGTTGAATTCTTTAACGTTTTGAATATCGTTATTGAGAAAATTCCTTTTCTTCAACATGTCATCGTTATTTTGTAGTAATTTATCCTGGGGACTAATTGAGTTTTGTAGCAATTCGTATTTCAAAATCTTGTACCAGTAATTCAAAGTTGGATTTGGCCAATCGCTTGGTTTAAATGAACTAAGGTAATATTGATTGATGATTTTAATGAACTTTTCACTTAATGATTCATCGTTTTGTTTTTTCAAATATTCTTCCGTCATCACGTATTCCGGTAAGCATCTTATTTCATTGAGCCAAGGTTTTTTAATCAACAAAAACCCTTGTGGTTGATGGTTTGGTACTAGTGAGTAGAGATAGGGCGACGAATTTCTCTTGATACACCCAAAAACAATCATATACTTGTTCAATTTCAAACATGATTGGTATAACGAGGCAAACGTGGTGAATGAATTGGTGTAACCATAATCCAGAGAGCTGGTGGTACGACCGTTTTGAATATCGGCACTGACAAAGATGGAGTTTTTGCAATTGAAGTAATTTTCAAAATTGCCCATTTTTCTAAATCCAACCAATTTTAAATATGGGGTTTTAGTATATGGATGGTCGTCGCTTTCCACTTCACCTAACGAATCTTCGATTTCCTCTGTACCTCCATGATGAAATGCATAATTTTTCATAAACTTTAATTGATCTTCATCAAAATGTATTATAGTGTTATTATTGAGCTCATACCCTCTTCTTATTTTGGCAGAATCAATCTGGTCATCTTGTAAGTCTCCACTCGAATACTTAGTAGAAGTCTTAACAATCTTAGGTCCGGATTCACTAATATACATGTTTCGTGATCTAGTAATTGTTTCATGATCGTATAAGGTATACCCTTTTATGGAGCACCCAAACCTGCCACCCATTTCACCGTCACTTAAAATCAAATTACAGGCAAATTGAATCCGTTTGATTTCTTTTAATCTCAAAATGGAATCTCGAATTTGATTAGAAAATTCCTTCTTTACCAAAGAGATTCTGATGAGATTATTTATGTATCCAGTTTGTAAGAAAAGATCCTTGTAAACATCAATATTGAATTCTTTCGAAGTATCCATGAAAATTGGAATGATTTGATACTTGAATTGATCATAGTCGCTTAAAAAGGACCTTGTAGATTCTTTATTTTCAACTTTAGGACAATCGTTATCAGTGATCCAAACCAACTTCTTCACATTATACTGTTTACCTCTTTGGAACTCTCCCAAGATTGCCTGAAGAACCAAATCCAATCTTGGATTATCGTCAATGGGGAATTGACTGGTGAAATTTTCAAAATCATCAATTGTATCATCAATAATTGCATTCAACACCTTCATTGCCGACACATTGATATCATTCAATCTGAATAACTTGTTCAATCCACTTCGTTTACCCAACTTTCGATTGGTTTTAGCGCAATTGTAGAAATATATACCAACTCCATTATGAGGGCAGCTAATGATTAATTGAGAAATCAAATCCCCGATACTTTTCAAGATGTCAACCAAGTGACTTTTAACTGAGGGAGTCAACTCGATAAGAAAGACGATTCCTTCTCTGATCTCGTACTGTTTATCGGGCTGTTCGTCTTCCATGGTTGATAAAGAGAGAGAGAGAGAAAAAAAAAAAAAAAAAAAAAAAAAAAAGACAGCTTAAAGAAGACAGATCAGAAATTATACTACGCCAAACCAACAAGGATGTCAATCCACTTTATACTAGTACTCAATAGACAGGGGAAGACCCGGTTGGCCAAATGGTTTAATAATATATATACAGCCAAGGATAAGACGCGGTTTACCAATGAGATACACCGATTGATAAGTTCTCGAGATCTGAAATATCAATCAAATTTTGTCGAATATCAACTGAATAAATTAGTTTACCGAAGGTATGCTGGACTATATTTTATATCATCAATTGATTTGATTGATAGCGAATTAAGTTATTTAGAAAGTTTACATTTTTTCGTTGAGATATTAGATATTTATTTTAATAATGTTTGTGAATTGGATTTAGTATTTAATTTTTATAAATTATATATGATATTAGATGAAATTTATTTAGGAGGAGAATTACAAGAGATTCTGAAGCAGAAAATTTTGGATAGGTTACAGTATTTAGATAAACTTGATTAGGTAAAGTAATGAATATCATCATTAGTTAAGTCATTTGTAACAATTATACTAATTTCGGCCTCAACTTGTTCAATTGATAAATTATTCACGTTAATAATATTAACGTTTGGAGGTAAAATTTTTTCAAAACAGGATTTTACTTGGATTTGAAATTCTTTCAACTCGTAACGTTCTTCACCCCAACCTTTACGATTACTCAATTCTTGTAAATCAAGAGTTAAGAAAAGAGTGATATCTGGCTTGGGTAATCCTTTATCGGGAGAATATAACCAATTATAATCGTTCATTTCATTTGATGAATTTGATACCTTTGATTTTGCTAATGAATAAGCAATACCAGAGTAAATGTACCGATCCAAAATAACGAATTCTCCATTATTCAACTTGGAAATGATATCTTTAGCTAATTCCCATCTGTTAGCACTGAAGAGTAGATGGGCCGATTGGTCACTTAAATCATAACTCGAGTCCGTCAAGTATTTGTTAATGATTTGTCCAATTGGCGTTGATCTTTCGGGGAATTTGATGAGATGAGAGTTGGCAATCCGTTGATTGAGTAACGCTGCCTGAGTAGACTTCCCCGATCGATCGAGTCCTTCAATAAGTATTAGTTTCCCTCTCATCGGCTGGCCTTATTACGAAACACCCAAGGTTTGGAATGCCCATTGAGTAATTACAGTTTAATAAACTGGAGGGTAATTACAGTTTCACCCGGGTAATTCTCAGACTACTTATTTGCAGCACACCCTAGTCAGGTATAAATAGATATATATAAATAGATAAACTAGTCTAAACGGATGTAAATACGTGCCAATACGAGGTGTTCGACCATACGAGGTCAGAGGCATTCGATCAGAGGCATTCTACTATCCATACGAGTCCGGAGTTATTTCTTCCAACATGATACCGGACTTCAATTGATCATACCGGACTTCAATTGATCATACCGGACTTCAGCTGATTACACCGGACGTCTCTTACACCCATCTATTAATACATTCCAGTAAACCATCTCCGGCTCACATTATCGTCTACGGATGTCCAAGGGATTATGACCGAGAGAATCACGAAGCTTCATCAACCGGAGATACACCCTCAATTGCTCTATAATATCATCATACCCAGAACCATGGCCGGCATTCAAAACACCACCCAACATGTCCCCGCCATAGGCTATCTAGTTAAGTATACTGCCATACAAAACGACGCCAGTGGGATGATTTACTGAAGAAAAGAAGTAGAAATGTTTTCCCTTCAAGGAAAAGATTTCAATTTAAGTGAAGAGTCGTGCGGGCGGTAGAGACACGCCCGACACGTACTCTACTCTTTCTATTGCCTAGTACTCTATTTCTTACTCCAATACTCTATTTCCTACTCCAGTACTCTCTCCTACTCCAGTACTCCACTCAGTAGCCTCCATCAGTAGCCTCCATCAGTAGCCTCCATCAGTAGCATCCACTCAGTAGCCTCCCACTTTAGTAGGTGCTTCAGCATTTGGCACTACTCTTATTGGACCCGTAGTGGGAGGGACCGGTTTTGACCCGCGTCGACCCCCGGTGTTTGCTCGGACCAAAGAGAAAAAACACCCACCGGAACTCTTTCAACCAAAAAAAAAGACCCGTGCCGCGGGTTTTTGCTGCCCCCGCCAACGCGTAAGCTAATGGCACAATGACACCATCCCTTTATTGTGCGATACTGTACTGTAGCTACGCTAATACAGTATCTATATTGTACTGTGCTTGTAATCGGTTGTTCAAGGGTGTCTAATAATGACAACTCAACCGATTGTCTGAGGTTTAAGGTTTGGAAAATTTTTGTCTCCAGAACAAAAAGAAAAAAAAGACCCATGCCGCAGTAGAAAAGGGAAAAAAAGGTTCCCTGCGCCTATAAACTAGTTTAAAACAGCTTGCGGTTACCGCCTCTAAATCGAAACTCTGTTCTTTTCAATTAGTAGGTTTGTATTTATATTGGTATTTATATTGGTATTTGCTATTGGTATTTGATATTGGAGATATTGGTGCTATTGGGAAATGTCAGAGCTTGAATTATTAACGGTTGGATCCAATCCAAATCTTATGTTTTATGCATGGAGATTACAAGAAACAAAATCATGTAAATCAACAGTTGTTAATTCAACTATTGATTTGAATAATCCGAATATTGAATGGAAATCAAATAAATTGGCCTCCACCAGCTTTAGACCATCCAAATGTTATAATTCAATCAATGAAATTGAAGAAAATTCCAATAAATTTGATATCATAATAATTAACGTTTCTAATTTACAAGATTTTCAGATTGTTTGTAATAGTTTACTACCTTTTATTACCGATGATTCGATCATTATAATTGAATCAACCGGTTATATAAATTTAGAACCGTTTGTTCAATTAAGTTTCCCCAAATTTAAAAATTTATCAATTTGTTCAATAATGAATGAACTGGATATAAAACAGTTAAGTTCGAATTCATTTCAACATTTAATCAATAACAATGATCAAAGAATTTATTTGGGGACAACCACTAATCCTCAAATCAATACTTCGTCAAGTTTCACGAGATTTTATAAATTATTAACTTTAGTCCTGGAAGACTCAAATAAGATTATCAATTTATTAAAATCAACCCAGCCAAAGGAATTCATGACTTATCAATGGAAATTGGCGTTGCCTAGAATTGTTTTCAATCCTTTACAAATCGTTTTTGAAGAAGAATTCCCGGGAAATTTATCGAATCAAATCTTATGTAAACCTTTAATCACGGGGATTATCAATGAAATTTTTAAAATTATTAAAAAAATGGATTGCAAATTAGTTAAAGGCTCAGAAAATGAAAATAATTTATTGAAAAATTGGTCAAATAACTATCCAATCTTGAAAAATAATGACTCCTTTTTAAATTCTTCTACATTATTTTATAATTTTTATAAACAATATGATTTGGAAATTGATCTTTTATTATTACAGCCAATCTTATTAGCTGATGATCATGGTGTCAGAACCCCTTACTTGGAAAATTTATACTCAATGATGTGTCAATTAATTAAAATTAATCATAAATCCCTGAATTCAATTTTTTTCCAAAGAAAAGATGATTCGTTTAATAATGATTATAATGCCAAATTTAATCAATTGAACCTTTTAAGTAATGACATTTCTAAAAAAATTATGGAAAATGATAAATTAGATCAATTCTTAAAAGAGAAAAAAATTTTACAAAAACAAATTTTGGATGATATCTCTGCTAATCAAGACGTTTTGAAAAATTTAAATTCAAACGTTTCAAATCAAGAATCAAACATAAATTTCTTACAGCAAAAATTAAATGATTTAGATCTTAATTATCAAAATAAAGAGAAAAGCTTACAATCTTTGAAAGAAACTTCAAAAGAAAAAGAAGTTCAATCTTCAAAAGAAATTCAAAATACTGGCCCCAATATGCCAGGTGGTTTACCTCCTTCAAATCCTCCTTCGGCTTCTCGTCCAAGAGATTCAGTATTACCAAGTGACAATTTAGAAGATTTGGCTGATATTGCCTTATATGGTGCTCAATTAAACGGTGAACAACCTCAACAACCAAAACATATCCAAGAAAAAGAATTGGAATTACAAAAGAGAGAACAAGCTTTGCTTAATAAAGAATTACAACTCGAAAACCCTCCAATTCCAAATTACCGTCAAGGTAGCCAAGGAAGTGATTCAAGCTATCATAGCTTTGACCAAAATTATAATAATTATCAAAATCAAAATTTTGGTCAGCCTATAAATCAATCTATGAACAATATGAATCCTATGAATAATATGAATCAAAATTATAATCAAAATATGAATTATAACCAAAATATGAATTACAATCAAATGAATGGTCAAGCAAATGGAATGAACGGTGTAAATGGTGCAAATGGCTCAATGAATGGCCAGTTGAATGGCTCAATGAACGGCTCGATAAATGGCCAGATGAATGGTCAAATGACTGGTCAAAGCATGCAAAGCTTACCACATGGTTTGAGAAAACAATCTTCAAATAGTAACTTGCCCCACGCTCAATATCAAGGCTTTTCCCAACAAGGTTATCCCCAAGGATTTCCTCCTCAAGGATTCCCAGGTCCTCAAAATCAAGGCTTCCCTCCAGGTCTAGGTCAAGGCTTCCCTCCAGGTCAAGGCTTTCCTCCAGGTCAAGGCTTCCCTCCAGGTCAAGGCTTTCCTCAAGGGCCTCCTCTGAGACAGAGAGTAAGCTCCGTTCCTTCATCTAATAACTCCTACTTTGATTCGAACCCACAACACAATAATTATCCTCAGTACAATAATGGACCACCAATCACTTCCAAGAAGTCATACCGTAATTACCCCCAAATGGATGATACCTCATTACGTATTGATTACGGTGGAAGAGGTGGTATGCCAGTTACTTCAATGTCTTCTGCAAATAATCCAAATCCAAAATCAAAGCATAAATCAATGCTACCTTTGGGTTCAGGAGGATTGAATGGCAATGTGCCTGGGGTCAATAACGCTCCTCCTACTTTAAATCAAAGAAAATCAATGAACGGTGTGGCTCTTTTGAATCAAGCTGCGTCAACTAATCCTCTGTCTCGTCATTCTCCAGTTAATCACCATGCTCAACCTCAACAAATGCAGCCTCCTCAACAGCTGCAGCCTCAACCACAACCTCAACCACAACCTCAACCACAACAACTGCAGCCTCCTCAACAACTGCAGCCTCCTCAACAATACCTTCAACCTCCAAATTTGAATGGCTCAAACGCTTCCACCAACTCATCAAACAACTCAACTAACACAGGAAGCTCTCCTAAAACTAATGAATCCCCAGATATTTCAAACAATAGTATTAGAATAGACGTCCCAATAGGTGATGCAAAGCCTTTGGGTTCAGTTTCTGATTCAAATAAAAATAGCCAAGCAAATTCTAAAAAGAAAAAGGGTTTATTCGGTAGAAAACATTAATCCTTCTCTATAATTGTTTCTCTGTCTATAGTCTATAGTCTTTCCTATGTCATTCTTGTATTTTTATATATTTAATTACTAAAACATCCGTACACTTTATTTTTTCTTTCGTAGTTTTCTTCGCTTTACCCAATCACTTCTGCGAATTTCAATCAACTTAAAGACCAACCTTCCCGAGTTTGATAGTTTTGAACTAATTGTGGACATGGCAGGGAAAAGAACGTTCTACGCTGATGATGAAGAAACCATCACCAAGCCTGGATTTAACTCTAGGATTTCCGAAGAATTGAAAGAACAAGAATCGTCTCACGGTTCTATTTCATTTATTGAAGGTATGGGAATTAGATCGATACCAATATTAGAAAAATACAGTAACCAATTTAGATTATTCTTACATGATAAGATTGAAATTTACTCTGCTGAATTGGGTACCCAAAGATCTGCTTTCAATAATGAGTTAAATACCGTGAAGAAGAATTTTAATGAAATTATAACAGAACCAATATTGCCAAGTTTCATTTATATTTTAACTGCTTCATTAACGGGATCTATTCTTGTTAATAAAAGAGTATTGCCAATTAGATTCATAACTCCTTTACTTTTCGGTGGTGTTGCATTCAAATATTACATGCCAATATCTTTTGAAAATGCATCAAGTAGATTATTAACTATTGAAGAAAAAAACTACCCAGAGCTCCATAAACAACAAATTGAATTCAAAAACCAATATAGCCAATTGAAAAAAGATTTCAATAAGTCATTGGGTGATTCAGAAATTGAATTACAAAAAAATATTCATTCTACAAGAGAATCTATAATTGATTTTTTTTCTTCAAATGAAAAGAAATAAATGAATATATATCAAAGTTTTATATAAATGCAAATGTCTAAATATCAGAATAATATATGCAAATTTTAAGTACATAAAATTTGATAAGTAGTATAGCAAAACGCAATTGACCCAATGAAAACTAAGAAATAATCCAATAATCCCAAGTAATATTTCTTTCTAATTTCATTAGAGTCAGTATCATTTGAATAATTACAACAACTTTTCAAATGTAAGATTGGTGGATACATATAAACCAAGGGGATACATGCAAAACATCCAACAAAGGAAACAAACTTATCTAAATTTTGACCACCAACGAGAGCAATACTTGCAGTCATTAAAACGAAAAAACATCTTCCTAAATTTTTCAACCATTTAACAACCAATGACCGTTTACCACTTTTAGAAGGTGGGAATAATTTTTGCTCAATCAATCTGATTGCTGGGAATAATTGAATTGGGGTAGATAATAAAATTGCAAATGCGTAAAGGATTTGAATCATCATAATAAAAGGAGATTCATGGGGTAAGTTCAAGATAATAACTGTTTGAATATCTTCACCAAAAGTGATATAACCAAGAGCACCAATTAAAATGAAAATAAATGAAATAGTGGCAATTACTTTGAATAAAACTTTGGGAAAATGTAATGGATAAATCATTGATTCTTGAATTGGTATGATAAGCCCAATTCCTTCGAAAGCGAAAATTGCAACCCCAATAAATAATGAAAATCCTGATTGATTAAATATAAACTCAACATTATTACCTAATTGAAATTTATCTTTGAAAATAAGTTGATCTAATGTGAAATAAATAATGGTTAATAAACCGACAAAAATGAAAATATTTGCTAATAATGCAGCAATTGAAAGTTTTGTAATATCTCTAATTAAAGATAATGGTACTAATATTATTACTTGAAATAAAATAAACCAGAAAATATGGTAATCAAGGTTTGAAAAAGCCCTTAAATTTTCAGCAGTGAAAATTATATAAGCTGCAACAAATCCAATTTGAGAGATGACAATTGAAAATAAAATCAATCTTTGGAAGTTTTTACCATATAATTTCAAACCAATTTCACCAAAACCAGATACTTTAGTTGCAATCTTAGCATAAACTAAAATAAGATAGCACCAGAAAGATAAAAGACCGAAAAATGCTAAAACACCCGTTGAGAATAATAGCCCACCATTAGAAAAAGCTTTTGGTAAGAAAAGAACCCCAGTACCAATAAAAGCTTTCAATAATAAGAAGAAGGCCTTTGCATCACTGGCAGTCCCTCTTGGGTTCTTAGTATCCTTATTCGACCCTAATAAGGGGGACTCTTCATCAACTATGTCAGTTACATAATCCTTATAATGGCAAGCAATGTAGTCATCATCTTCTAAGTTTTCACCAGCAAAATGGCCATAAATACTAAGAAATTCAACAAAATTTTTAGTTAAAAAATTTGGATTTTTGGTCTGAAAGTTATTACCATTATTATTCACAATAAATTCTCTACGGAAACCTCCAGGAACATTCAAAGAGCTGGCAAATGATCCTCTTCTGCTAGATCTTTCCCAATCAGAAGATGATAAGCTGCGAGATCTTTTAACTGGTTTCATAGACTCATTACCCAAACGGTATAAGTCCCTGGTAATATCTCCTCCTTCAACTTCGAGAGGATTCTTCCCCGAATCATTTTGTAAATGCTTATTGATCTGCTCCAACATCTTTGGATCGTCAATCCCCGAAGCAAAATCAGTATCTCCTTCTTCATCAGTATGGAAACCAATCAGATTTTGACCACCTTTTGTTGATTCATGCGACGATTCAGTTTCCAAAGCGTCATCATCATACTTGCTCCCCAAGGATTTCTTGAGAAATGGTGCATTCATCGAAAATGAGTTGGATTTACTCCCAAATCTGTTGGGGGAGTTGGACATATGTGGTGATGCCGATAATGGCGATCTTGTCAATTTGGCAATGGACTTTCTTCTGCTTGCAGCATGATCGCCACCCGAATGGATACTCCGTGGTGAACTCATTTCTACTCTATCCAACCTACCGGATTTCTTTTCAAGTTGTTGTTTTCCCAAAAAACCTCTAATCTCAAATTGATAGGGTGCCAGTTCTAATAATATACTGAAACTGGTTATTCCGTCCTTTTGTGGTGTACGGGCGTCTTCGCCGGACGGCTTATCAGCAGCTTTTGCGGAATCTTTATAATTGACTACGAAAGGGATTAAAAAGGGATTGATAGAATATATAAGTTTTATTAGTTTTATTAGTTTTATATATATAGGAAACTATACGTAATGGGAATAAATGGTTCATAGTCATTAAAAGTATTAGAAGAATTGAATGAAAAAAAAAAGGAAAAATAATGTATTGATATACTTTTTGCAATTAAAATTTGAGTTAAAGATTGAGTTTTGCAGCAGCATCTGCATGTCCAAGCTTATAAGCTTTAGTATAGTAAGTTTTTGGGTCACCATGGCCTAAACCTTGTTCGGTTAATTCACCCATTGCAAAGTAAGCTTCTGGGGTTTGGAATTCTCTTACTGCTCTTTGACACCACATAAAAGCCTTTTGAGGAGCTGGGGAAGGAATATGTTTACTCATACCTTGACTACCTTGTAAGCACCATCTGCATAAACCTAACATTGCGTCTGGGTGTCTTTTAAAAGGTAAAGGAGAGGTTGATGCTTTAATATACCATTGGATTGATTTATTTGCATTTCTTTGTCTGTTTAATTCACCATATTCATAAACAGAACCTAATTTAACTTGAGATAATAAGCAATTCATTTTAGCAGCTTTATTATAATAAGTTAAACTTTTGGCATAATTAACCGGAGCTTTTTCTAAAGCTCTTTGAACAAATGGTTCATCAGGGGTCAAGTCTCCTGGATAAATACCTTCATAGATTTTACCTAATTCATGAGTTGCTAAACCAACAACTTCTTCTAATTCTTCAAAATCATCATCACTTAATTCAATGTCTTTTGAATTCAAATCAATATTTGATAAATCGTATAAATAATTGAAAAATTTATTGGATCTAACACTTTGTTCAGTTAAATATAACATGGCAATCTTATAAATAGCTCTATTATATCCTAATCTTGCAGATTCTTTATAATTACCTAAAGCTTCACTAAATTTATCGTCAAATTCATATTCAAAGATTTCACCTAATCTATGATGAGCTTTGCTATTACTTGGGTTCAATTCAATACTCTTTTCCAAATATTCGATAGCTTGAGGAATATCTTTGTGAATTCCAAAATCTTGATTAAATGAAGATAAATAATCGTTTTTCAATAAACATCCATAAATAAAACAAACTTCTGAATATACATCAGGGTTACTATTTGCTTTGTTATCAAATTCCTTAATCATTTTCAATAAATGGGTAACTGATGATTTAACAAATAATGATTTATTTGGTTGAGTTTGTTCCATTGATATTGGTTCACCTTTAATATTAATATATGCATATAATTTATAATTAGTGGCAGTTATCAACATTTTAATCCATTTTAATCTAAATTCCAAGCTTTTATTACCTGATGCAATTACTTTACGCAATTGAATAAAAGCATCCATTTTTTTACTAATAGTAGCATCATTGCTTTTCATATTTGACTGAGTTGGTGATCCTTGTGGTTGTTGAGGTGGTTGAACATTCATAATACTAGCATTACTCATATTACCAAATTGATTAAAATTATTAAACATATTTGGGGGCATCGTTAATCTATTATTAGCTTTCATGATTGGTGGAGGCCCTGCTGCATTAAATGAATCAAATCCTAATGAAGACCCATTTAACATCATTGATTTTCTCTTTAAATCTGTAGTTGTTATACTTTGGGTTTTTTGATGTCTATTATTCATTGAAGGTAAAGCATCTTGAGTTGATTGATTTGGTGGTGAATACTGTTGAGGAGATTCATATTCAGTATTATAATTCATTAATGGATTATTGAATCCAAATGATGGATCGATAATTGGAGAACTACTACTTGTAGATTGAGATACAAGTGGTGGTGGTGGTGGTTGAGCTTTTTCAACAAATGGTTTAGTATTTCTTTTATCTTTCCTACTTCTTGTCATTTTATCTTTAAATCTTCTTGATCTTGATTTCTTTTTAGGAACATCATCCAGTTTTTTATAATTAACGAACACATCATCAGAATTATTACCAATTGCTTGTGATTGTCTTTTCGATCTTTCATTTGCAGAGCCAACGTGAAATTTACTTGATGATCCACTTTGGAAAGAATCGTATGACATTGTGGAAGAAGTTGAACCATGTCTTTCCAAGCCAGATTCATCGTTCGACTCATGCAATGGAATAGCTTCATGTTGATTAAAGGCTGGAGCCGGTGGAGGAGAAGGTAAATCTTTACTGATTTGAGAACTAAAAGATTGATCAATGACATTGGAAAGATCACTATATTCAGAGCTTGGTTCTCTCTCATTAGGTCTTTTCTTAACTGGAGAATCTTCATCATCATCAAAAAAATATTTACTATAATCAGAAATAATTCTTTCACCTTCTTTATCTTCCAAACCTAAATCAGCCAAACCAAATGCAATAGATTTATCAGGAGACATTGAATCTTGATTATTATTAATCATTGTTTTATCAAGATCAATGTTTGATTTTTCACTTTGTACAATTGTTTGTTCATTAAAATCATCATCTTTAGCATTATTTTTAGCAAAAGATGATAAATCCAAAGAGTTAGATCTAACTGAATTGACTTTAGCTTTTAATTTTGAATCTTCTGAATCAGTTTGTAAAATAGACAGGGGCACAGAGGGAAATCTATTTGATTTGAGATTAGACTTCCTAGTTTGCTGTAAAAGACCATTATTTTCATCATCGGAATTTTTATAAGAAGAAACGAAACTTTTATTAGTTGGGGAACCTTGTTGTGAAGGAGTTGGTTGCTGTTGTTGTTGTTGGGCCAAATCTAAGTTTGACATTGTCATTCCATTTCCATTTGGAGACATTTGTTGTTGAAGAGCCATAAACATTTGTTGTAATTGCATTTGCTGCATTTGTAACATTTGAAATTGCATTGCTGGTGGCATCATATTAATATTCATTCCATTCATCATACCTCCATTCATCATACCTCCATTCATCATGCCCATATTGTTCATCCCCATCATTGGGTTCATCCCACCCATCATTGGGTTCATCATTTGACGACCATAGGGGCTACCAGGAAGCATTGAGTGTCTTTGAGCTTGAGCTTGAGCTTGTTGCTGTTGTTGCTGTTGAGCCATAGCCATAGAAGCATAGTATTGACGCCATTGTGCTTCATAAGGATGAGATTGGGGCTGTCTTGGAACACTCATTGTTGAAGAGGTATCAGCAGAGGTATCCGCTTCACTTGAAGAATAATCTTCATCTTCCAGATCATCCAGATCTTTCAAAGAAGATTCTTTCACTGGATGACCATTATTTTGAGCATAGTTTTTATAAGCTTGAGAGAATCTTTGAGCAGGAGGTAAAGTCGACTGATCCGGGGTGGAAGGATTCAAAGTTTGGTAAGTATTTTGAGGATGCTGAAGATTAGAAGAAGACGACGAAGGAGATTGATTAATTGAAGCTTGAGAAGAATTATTATTAGCACTCAAGGAAGATTGAGAAGCATTATTACCAACGTTGTTCTTTGGATCCATACTATTTAAATCGGGGGGAGGAATCCGATTTAATTTTTTAGCAGAATTAGGGCTATTATTATGCAGTTGTAAATTAGGAGAAGTTTTATTTTTAGGAGAAGCAGACCCAGCTCTTAAATAGTTCGATAAATCCGCAGAAGAGGATTTTCTATGATGATTTGCTGGAGCTATTGGTTGTTGAGGAGGGAAATTATAATCAATTGCTGGTCTTAGAGGAGTTGGAATATGTTTAGCAACAAATGAATTATCGGTGTAAGGATACGTATTCATTTTATTATTGGTATCACCGGAGGAATAGGAGGAGTCTGAAGTACTCAGAGAGAATTCACTACCTTCAGTAAAAGACGAAGATGAATTATGAGAGCGATGGTGAGTTGGAGCTGGTTTTTCCAAAATTTTATTGAAGGTGTGGTTATTTTCCAGTGATTTCAATTTAGTGAATATTCCCATATTCCCAAATTAGCTTCAACCAAACAACAAGGTACTAGGTAACTTCAATAATGCAAACGAATGGAGTGAAAGCGAGTGAAGAAGTTTTTTTTTTTTAAGGCTTTTTTTTTTTTTTTTGTTAAAGGTGAAGCTTTAGCCTTTAAATGCAAATTTCTTCTCAATTGATGAATGCAAGATAAAAGGCAGAACCAAAGTGCTTTGACATCCAAAGGGAAAAGAGAAGTAAGTAGTTGATGATACCACAATTATTTCAAATAAATTTGATCAAAATTTGAAGGGATGATGATATAATAACCGAAACGAATAGAGATATAAAGAAGAGGAAAAAGAAAAAAACGGATATGGAATTCTTTTACAAAGCAAAACAAAAGTCAATCTCTAATGAATAAGGAGAGGGTTATAACCAAAAAAAAAGAAAAAGCAAAGACTAATAATAACTCGGTATCGAAGGAAAAGACACTAACTACTTAAGTTATGGGCTCGGAACAGTAAAATTCAGGTATTATGCCTTATGAAATGGTCTTCACAACAAAATTTTATATTGCACTGAAATCTTCCCTCGTCCGGTTAACTCAAAGATCAGCAGTAGGACTACTCTGTTGGAATATTTTGTCAAAAGGACAGGAGATGAGTAGATCTGCTTATTAAGACGACGGTACTAAAAAAAAAAAACTTCAACAGCGAAAAAAAAAAAAAAAAAAATCACAACAAATAAATAAATAAGCACTAATTATAGACTTAATTACATACTTAATTTTTCAATTGCAGAGTACAGACTTACATAGTTAGTTACCTGATGTAGGGCTAATTAACAAGAGATGTTGATGGTAGATTGTTAATTTCTGAAGACCATTATTTCCGAATAGGAATAAACTAACAACAAGAGCAGGAGAAAAAAGACATGATCGTTAGACATTGTTGCGTAACCTGAATTGATTTGAAGCATCGGTGGAATAGCAAAACAATTCAAGGAGGCATTGATCCCTCCGAAGCTTCAAAAGGTAAAGTGATTAGCTGAGAGATCTGGGAGGAAAAAGAGCCATTACACGGGGCCAGCTGGGGGTTGCAATTAGCTTGCCCCTTTCGGGGTTGTTGTAAACAGTTTGAGCTGAGACAAAGCTTTTAAGCCTACGGCAAACCTAATTGGGGCTGCAAGGCGAAGTTGTCAAGGTAGTCCAACTTTGTGCGTACTGCTCGAGGAACCCACTGAAACTACTGAAATGGTCGAGGGAATTACATATTTTCACCAAAGGGTCCAGTCTGAAGGATTCTGCTGCGGTGGTGGTGGGGGTTCTGGTGGTGATGGTGGTGATGGTGGTGATGGTGGTGATGGTGGTGATGGCTTTGATGGCTCTGGTAATGAGTCTGGTGCTAGCTCGTCCCGATGGTCTGGTGCTGGTGCTATTAATAGAGTTTTGAACACGAGCCAACTAGTGCTGGTAGTAACGTAGCACTAAAATTCCCATCCCTTCTTGACGAGCAGAGGTTTACGAAGACCACCCTGTCTGGGCTGAAGTGAAGGGGAGAAAGTAGACTAAGCAACTGGTAGGGGTGAGCAATCGGTGTTCCTGAAATACAGCAAAGGATAGTGAAATGATCCTTTTGTTTTGAGCATTTCTATTTGGAGAGATTCAAGAAAATCCTCAAGAAAACATCCGCAATTGCTCTTGTAAAGCCAATTGCTCTTGCAAAGCGTCTTAAAGTGTCTGGAGGTGCTTTAAAGTATGGGGAAACACCTTCATGGCAAGTCCTGCTCCATCGCTTGGGGCTTGGGGCCTGGAATGGCAATAAACTCAGATTAGTCCTCTTCCTCTTTGGGGAAGTAACGTGAGCTGATCAGAACCAACACGGCATGCGTGTCGCGTGCTTATGTAAGTGCGCGACAGCAAGGGCAAGTATCAAAAGACTTACTAATGTCAGATGAGCGAAGCTGGAGATTGACTAAAGGTCTTTAACCAAACATGTCTATTCAAGCAAGTGCTGTTACATATACTAAGGCAGGCCCAGACTTGGCCAAGGTGTTGACTAATACCAAGTTCGATATTGATTTAAGCAAGATCAAGCCAACCCAGGTGGTGGTGAAGGCATTGGGGACTCCGATAAATCCATCGGACGTAGTTCAAGTATTGGGAGTCTACCCATCACCACCTAAATTTCAGCAATTGGGTAATGATTCTGATGTGAAGTACGCCATAGGTGGGAACGAAGGGGTTTTCAAGGTTGTTGCTGTTGGTAATGATGTTGCTGATTATAAAGTTGGAGATTGGGTGATTCCTAAGTTGCCTAGTTTTGGAACTTGGAGAACCCATGCAATTGCTGATGTTACTGAGGATCCATTCATTAAAGTATCAAGTGACGATGATTCTGCGATTGATTTGAATGAAGCTGCCACCATTTCAATCAATCCAAGTACTGCTTTTCAATTAATAGAAACTTATAATGATTGGAAACAAGGAGATTGGATCATAGCTAATGCAGGAAACTCCCAAGTTAATCAATACCTTATTCAAATTGCGAAAATTTACAGTATCAACACTATCTTAATTATCAGATCGGGTAAACAAAATGAAACAGAATTGAAAAATGAATTGAAAAAATTAGGTGCTACCTTAGTTTTCAATGACGAAGAGATTAAAGCACCAAATTTTATCAAAGAATTACCGGAATTAACCTCAAATGGTAATGTGAGGTTGGCCCTCAATAGTGTTGGGGATGAAACGGTGGCCATATTAATCGATGCTTTGTCTCAAGATGGTACCTTGATCACTTATGGAGCTTCTGGTGGTAATAAGAAAATCTCCTATGATTCAACCGCTCAGTTATTTAAAAACATCACCACTAAAGCTTACTGGTTGACTAAAAATACCAAGGCAAACCCTCAACTGAAAGTTGACACCATTAACAAGTTATTAAAACTTTATCAAAACAAGGTTATTCAATCCCCAACTTTCAATAAAGCCAAGTTCGACCAATCTCAAGACTTGGCACAACTTGTATTGCATAGTATCAGTTCTACGACTGGGAAACAAGTGATTGTATATGAATAAATAAAGCTATTTACCGTGTCTATCGAGAGCCTTTGAAAAAGAAAAGAAAAAAAAAAAAAAAAATTATGTATCGCTATAAATATTGTAGGTTACTGGTGAAGTGTTGTAGATTAGTTACTGGAAATACATTGCAGATTAGTTGCTGGCAGTAGTAGGACCGAAATCGAGCCAATTCCAGTTGTCTCGATTATTTTCATCAAAATCTTGGTGGTCGAGCAATTCATCCCCGGCACTATTACCAGCTTGGAAATTATAAAAATTACTAGAGTTCAAATCTGGTTCCATTGGAGTAAAATCATTATTAGGTTCGTTACCAATTGTAAAAGAATCAGTTTGAAATAAATTCATATTTAAAAGTTTGTCAATTTCATCAATGTTATTACTTGTTGAGTTTTGGGGTAAGTGATTATTTAAATCAGTATGGATTAAAGGAGAGTTAGCATTTGGCAGCTTTTCAAAATCTAAAAATGCAGGTTGATTATTTGTATTCATATCATTGAATAATGAAGTATTTTTATTCAGTATCATTTTATCAATTGATTTCTTCAAATTTTTATTAGAAGAATTTTTTGCTGGATTGATTGAGTTATTCAATGGTCTCAATATACCATGTAATTTATAAAATAATCCACATGCATTACATAGTAAATCACCATTATTTGATTTCCTCCATAATGGAGTGGTCTTAGTTTGACAATTAGTGCATTGTAGTTGTTTCTTTGGTTGATTATGATCAATGGGGGAGGTTTTATAGGTTTTGGAAGGTGAATAGGATGGTTTAGTGGTGGCACCATTATTATTATTATTATTATTATTATTATTATTATTATGATTATTATTATGATTATTATTATTGTTAAAACCTTGTTTTAACGTTGATTCAAGGGAACTTATATATGAACTTAAGAAATTATTATTGTTATTCTTACTATTAGTATTACTCATGCTTGTAGGATTGAAATCGTTTGATTTAATTGATTTATTTGATTCGGGCGTATGAAATTGTGGATTAGTGTTTGAAAATCGATTCATATCGTTATTCCCATACTCCTCCTGACTTATTTTCCTTATATGGGCAACGTAATCAAACTCATCCAAGTTTGGATCATTCAAGTTCTTGATTCCACTTTCCTTTGGTGGCATTGATTGTTTTAAAGACGACATGAATTTCTGTTGATGGGATGCCAATAATTTTTTATTTTGAATTCTCCATGCAATATTGGATATTCTTTGATGATGAGGTAAATAATGTTTATGTTGATACATCTTATAGATATCTAGGGAACTATTATCTTTATCATTAACTAATTCACCAACATTAAAGGAATTTGATGTATTTGATTTATTAGAGTTATTATTGTTATTACCAGAATAAGTGATTTTGGAATTAGCGGTATTGGTCAATTTTCGATTCATTTTATTAGTGGATTTATTTGTGGGTTTACTAATAGAATTAGAACGTGAATGTCCTTGTTTAAGTCCCATTTTCTTGCTTGTTGGTGATAACTGGTAGTTTTTCGAGTAAGTTGGAGCCATGATCAATCTTTAATGATCTAATTTATCTAAGGGGGGGCAGTAGTGCTTTGTAGAAAAAGAAAAGTGAAAACAAAAGGAAAGATTTCAACCTTAACGTTACTTAATCCGAATAATTTAAAAGGTTCCTACCTTTATATGGTCTCTTTAAATGAATAACCAATAAAGAAAAAAAAGTAGAAGAAAGATTTCTGGTGGAGAGTATCAAATCTTTTGATGTTGCGAGGATTATTGTTCCTTTGATTATACCAATTTTCTCCTGTAATTTATTATTAATTTGTCAGATAAGCCCGTGTATTGTGTGTTTCTAGATCCTCTACCATAAACTTTGATAAGATCCTTCCACAACGCTATCTACCAAACTAAATCTACGTGGTTGATAGCTAATTTTGTCTGTTTAACAGTATCCATTCATAATCTTTCTAATTCAATGACTCAGACTGGGGGCCGTTAGGCCTGAACCGGACTTGTCGTTTGTTTAGGCAACCCCACTGTATAACACCCGTACCTTTGGTGTTTGGGTTTTTTGTTTTTTAAAAACGGTAAGTACACCACGGCACAGAAAAGGGAGGTGAAAATTTTAATCTAGAGACATTAATGGGAAGGGAAGTACTCTAGAGTCATGGCCGATAAACAGAGGGATATAAACTTGTACAACTTACAGCGGTCAAAGTACCTTAGCGTTGGGGATCCCAACACAAGCAGAAACGAATTCGTAACGTCGATTAAAAGAGATACATACAGTTCGTTAGCACAGCACGATAACTTATTGCTATATAATTCGGTGGCTCTTAATAGGCCCATGGAGTTAACTAGAATAGAAATGATCAAGAAAATGGTGTCTCCCTTGGATAAGTAGCTTATTCCAAGAGAGGGGCTTGTTCTTCGTCGACAACAACCGAACGGCGAGGACCAACAAAGGCTGCAAGAATACTAGCAACGAATAATAACCCACTAATGACAAAGGCAAAAATCCATTGCAAGGCAAAGGCCCTAGTGAAAAGTTGGCCCAAGCCCAAACCAAAAGTTAATACACTAGTGGAAAGACCAACGGCGTAATCGTTGTATAACCAGACAAAGTTCAATCCAAATAATAAGAAGTCCCAAATCAAGACATTACTAACAATTCTACCAACAAACTTATGGACATTGAATAAGACAGCCCCGTTCCAGAAAATTGCATAGACTAACCAGGATAATGGCAATGCCGTGGTAGGCAAATGAATCAATATCCAATTAGTTAATGGTTTGATGGAGTTTGTCTTATGAATGTAATACAATTGTAAAACATTGATAAAGTTAATAATCAATATCAATTCACTCCAGAAAAAGTGCTTTTTAACAAATAAGATGGTCCAGAAAAATGATCCCAAATTGAATACCGTGAAATGCCATCCAATTTTATTGGTGATATTAATACGATCATTATGGTTTTCTAATTGGGGCAAGAATATTTGAGTGACGAATAAAATTTGGTGAATATATAAAACAATCCAAAATACTAATGTAACAATTATATTCCCACTAAATGGAGTATTGGCAACGTTATATGGATTATGATGATCATATGGACTACGTCCAACGAAATATCTAGTATTTGCGTATATAGACAATGCAAGCGAGATGATCGTCGATACTTTATGAGTGTTAATTTGGTCAGCCATCTTGTAGTTTCTGTCTTGTTTTTTTGGCTTTCAGAATCATTAAATTATATAGCAAAAGTACATCTATTTATACTTTCAAGAAGTACCCCCAATTAATGTAGATTGCTAAATGGCATATGCGGAAATGATTCCCCGTAAAACTATGGTGTACGGCTCACCGATCCACTTTTTTTGCAGCTGCTACTGAGGGACTACAAGGTTGCAATGACGAGATGATGGTGTTACACGGGATACCAGGATGACAGTCATCAAGTTTTGCAAAATTTTCATCTTTCCATCACATTAGGGGAGTATGGGCAAAACATGGATTCATTCGGGTTACATAACTATACATTTAACAGGCACCACGGTAAGATCTCTTATGTTTATGGTGTCCAGTACCTTCTTTATCTAATTCGATAGTTTGCAAGTCTTTGACGTCAGTGGCACCATTTGATACAATTGATAATAACAAGTCGTAAATTACTTTTTTATCAACTTCTTCACCGGTGTTTTTAGCTTCAACAGCTGAACGAACGGTTTCGGTAGATCTGACAAGTAATTCAACTGTAGCAATGATGTCACTTGATAATTTTTCTAACAAGTTTAATCCAAAATCTTCTCTTACCACAACTCTTAAAATTTCTTTATCCTGTTCATCGGGAGTTAAGTGATAATTGGGCACAATAAAACCTTTATTTCTTAGTAATAAGGAAACAATTGATTGAGGGATTTCTGGGAATTTAGAACGGAATTCTTTAGAAAATCTAAAGGCAACAACCGGTAATCCAGGATAGAAATTTTCATTTCTAGTTGATTCATCTTTATGAGAATGATTTATATCATGACTTCTAGTATAAATTTTAGATCTTTCTTCAATTGAAGGAATTTTTTTATGAATAACCGAAAGAACTTCGAAAAAAGTTGAATCTTGTAAAATATTCGATAATAATCTAGCATTTTGAACTGCACTATTAAAAATCTTAGTATAACCTTCATGACCGTAAGTTAAAAAATTATAATATTGATGAATAACTGGGAATCCAGGTCTAGAAAAATTCAAATTAAAAGTTTCTTCCACCCCACCCAAATAATCTAATTTGAATCTCAAAGACTCTGGCAAATATTCAAGGTCTCTCCAAATAATCCAACCTAAACCGGCAGTGGTTAATCCGAATTTATGGCCAGAAGTATTAATTGAAATCACACGATCAACTTCAAAATCCCATCTTAAATGAGGAAAGATAAAAGGAGCAACGAAACCTCCACTGGCACCATCAACATGAATTTTAATATCTAAACCACGTTCTTTTTCAATTTCATCTAAAATTTTTGAAATTTTTTCAACTGGTTCAAAAGCACCAGTGAAAGTAGATCCTAAAATTACAAAAATCCCAATTGTATTTTCATCAATATTCTTCTTGATTTCATCCGTATCGATTAAATGATGGGATTTTTCAGTAATTCTAATAGTTCGATTTTCAACATCAAAATATCTTGCAAATTTTTCTAAAGCAACCTGTGCACACGATGCCATTAAGATATTTGGACTACTAATTGATTTATTTTCAGCAATTCTCTTTTCTTGCCATTTCTTCTTCATTGCCAACCCACCTAATAAGATAGCTTCAGAAGATCCGGTGGTGGCAGTACCAACAGTGGTTGCAACATGGGTTTGAGTGCCAGCATCAAGTTTACTTGGCGCATGCCATAAGTTACTCAAGATTGAAATACATCTTTGTTGGTATTCCAATAACGTTGGATATTCATCGTTATCAGCCAAATTCTTAACGAGATTCTCACTAATCAATTTCAAAGGAGTTTCATCAACTTGAGTATTAACAAACGAGGCCAAATTCAAGGTAGTGTTACCATCCAATGCCAATTCCTCTTTCAAGTACTTATAAACCAAACTTGAATTGGAAGATTTTAAAGGAATTTCATACTTTGGTACTGCAACATTCGATTGATATTTGGAAATAAACTCTTCATGCTCAGTCAATTCTGTCTTGCCAGATTGAGCCAAATACTTTCTTTCGATTTTTTCTGCGTTTATGTGTTTAGATAATGTCATTGTTGAAATTGGGTTAACGTAGATGTCAATTGATATAGGTGAAAAATTTAAGTCTATTTATACTTTTAAAAGGGGGCTAGTTTTTTTTTTTGCTGCCGTTTTCCCATACTAAGTCCGCATCCTGGTTTTTAGCAATTGAAGCCGGCTTCAATTGTATATTATGGTATATTTGAGTGGGTTCGTGTACTTCGTGTACTTCGTGTACCTGGTGTACTTCATAAGGTGGCTTATTGCAAAAAAAAATCAATTGTATTGAAATTGGAGCTGGTTCCCATTGAAATTTGAAACCTGCAATGGGCAAATCGGTAATTTCGGTCTTAGATCATCTAACTCACCACAACCAATTGGCTAATGACAAGGCATGGGCTTCACATGCCACAATTGACCTTGATCAACACGTTTGTCCTGCCATGCTTGATCGGCACAACCCGCTATCCGATTGCTCAGACGTAAATCAACTAACAGTACTAAATCAACTAACAAGGCACAAGTTAACTAACAGGGTATAATTAAATTGTCTCCAAACTCGCTTATATTTAGACAATTGCAAAGGACAAGCTTTTTCCCCTACTTCAATTATACGATGCTGCCAACTTAACTAGGATTGTGTCAATGTGAGTAAAGATAGTGCCCAATAATTTGCAGCCTTTCTCCAACCTTTCATGGAGAGGGCCCGTTCGAGCTATTCTACACTAGCTACGCCCAGGTCACAAGCTCAATTGGCCGCCGGCTCCACCCATCAGTTCTCTTCTCCTCCCAGCAGGTCCAATTAGGTATCCAATTACACCTTGACTGGGTTTAATTCGATTGCTAAGTCGGCTGATCGAATACACCAGTACCTTTGGGTGGAAACACTACTTTTTTTTTTCAAAAGAAAGAAAAAAATTTTTAGTCGACGAACTCGGTTGGCGCACTACAGTAGTACTCCAGTTTCAAAAGCATAGTCAAAAGGTCAAAAAATGTTTATACATTATTGTTTATTATATAAGATTTATGGACATTTGAGAATTTCGTACTTCATTATCACCTAATGCTAAATTACTTTTTAGATTGTGTTTTATTTATAATAGATAAAGATTCAAAAGCCAAAATTCAATTATTCAACATCATCGAATTTTTCAGTAGTTAATTCTGGAATATCTTCATCGTTACCGGCTGAAGCACCAGCAGCAGCACGTAATTCAGCAGGAGTTTTACCAGCTTGTAATTGTTCAGCTAATTTTCTTAAAATTTCTAAGTTTTCAGCCCCTAATTGAGGTAAGATTTGAGGAATCAATTGAGTAACGTCTTTTTCTTGTGGGTAACCAGTAAAGGCAAAAGTGTTATGTTGATGAGCAGCTTGAACACCAACTCTGTTGAAATGTAAAACTTTACCATCTTCTTTGAAAAAATTGGCTTCTTCAATACCTTCAACTTTTTCGGATTTCAATTTACCTAAAGCTTCAATCAATTTGGTATCATCTTGTTCAGTTCTAACGTTCTTCTTGGCTTTGACTCTGGCACCACCGACTTTCTTTGGACCGGCTTTTTGTAATTTGGCTAATTTTTCTGGATCAACTGGCATGTTTATCGTTTAATAGATTATTTGGAAGAAAGAAGAATTTTTCAAATTACTTGGTGGTTTTTCAACTAACTTTTTTTTTTTTCAACAAAATTATGAGTTGGTGCTTTTAGTTCCAGGCGCACGACCCTCGCTCACTCTGGTCAATTCTCCCGTTGACACAGTTCTTGGTCACGTGCCATTGCTTTGTACTTTTTTTTTATTGCAAAGATTAATAGATAAGAACGGTACCAACTAATGGTTTCTTGTAGTAATGTTGGTGATTCATAACGGTATCAGAAGGTTGAATGAGTATTTACCATCAACAAACCATTGGTTGATCTTGTTGGCCTCAATTCCCGTTGCTTTAGCCTCCGGAACGCTATTTGTTTACTCGGTATACGGGACCCAGTTAGCTGAAAAATGCCATCTTAACTCGACTCAGGCTTCAAATTTGAATATCAGTGCTACCATTGGAACCGCATTGGGTGGTTGTATTCTGGGGGTCATCACTGATTACTATGGTACCCAAATTCCAATTTTGGCTAGTTTTTTATCCTTATCAATTGGTTATAAATTACTTCATTATGAATTTAATTTAGGGGTTGATTCAAGTATCGGGTTACTTTTATTTGCTATGTTTTTGATTGGTAATGGTTCGGTTTCTGGTTACTTCAGCTCGTTGAAAGCAGTTGCAATTTATTTCCCAAATTATAAAGCCACTGCTCAAAGTATCACCATTGCTTCATTTGCCATTTCGAGTTTAATATTCCTGTTTATCTGTTCTAAAATATTTAAAGCTGATGTTTCCAAATTTCTTTATTTTTTATTTGTTTCATCTGGGTTTATGTACTTACTAGGATTTATCTTTATTAGAATAGACGGGATCATTGATCAATCTCCTAAACCAATATCGTCTAATCAAGCTGAACCTGAACCAATTGAAGAGCAACCGCTACTCAGTATCCCTTCTAAACCTAGTTCAAATCTCCATGATTTATCTTTAAAAGAATCGTTATTACATCCAATTTTTTGGATCCATTACTTAATCTTATCGATTATTCAAGGTTTGGGTCAAATGTATATTTATGGCGTTGGTTATGTCATTAAAGCAATTCATTTCCACTATACTTATTATCATAATGATCCTTCCTATCAACCTTCGTTAATTGAATTACAAGCATTGCATGTTTCTTTGATTGCAATCACTTCTTTCATAGGTAGGTTAACCCTGGGCCCACAAGCTGATTTCTTGGTTAATAAATTGAAATATCAACGTCATTGGATTTTGATTTTGGGACTAATCATAATGCTATCCGGTCATTTCTTGTTAACTCTTCTGACTGATTTAATTTCAGAAAATCTATACCACGTTAATATCCTTTTGTCAATCTCCTCTTGTTTGATTGGTTATGCTTATGGTTTTAGTTTCACTTGTTATCCTTCAATTATTTCTGATCTTTTCAATATGCAAAATTATAGTTTCCTTTGGGGGGTCATGTATACAAGTACTACTTTTGGTTTAACCATAATGACAAAGATATTTGGAATCATTTACGATTCAAATAGTAACCAGTATGATGATAATACTCATGAGTACTTTTGTGATAAAGGATCAGGATGCTATAATCTTACTTTCAAAATAACTAGTTCATTTTGTTTATTAGCAGGATCTATTATTTTACTGTACATTTTCTATAGAAGAACTCATACATAGAACGACTTTCAACAAATTTGGTATTATAAACTATATACTTGGTACATAAGATTTGAAAAAAGTATTTAGACCGAAAAATTTAAGTAATCCTTTATGAAGAATTGAAAAATAAAAAATGATATACCGAAAATAAAATAATTTTTTGAATCAGAAATAAAAACGTCCTTAAACCTTCTAATGGCAAATGAATACCAGATGCATTTGCCTTTTGTAAAGTTATTTAGTCAACTTACAATAAGGCAACGGCAAGAGCACCTAAGGCAGCACCGAATGGAGCAATTTTACCGGCGGCACCAGCTTCGTAAGAAGAAACTTCAGCTGGAGTACTACTTTCACCAGCAAGAGTAGAAGTAGATTGTTCAGTAACGGTTGATTCGGTGTCTGGGGTCTTAGAGGTTGGAGCAACTGGAGATGATTTTGGAGCTTCTGAGGTCTTGCAAACTTCTTCGGTACAGGTTTCAGTTTCAGTCTTAGAAGTTGGAGCAACTGGAGATGATTTTGGAGCTTCTGAGGTCTTGCAAACTTCTTCAGTACAAGTTTCAGTTTCAGTCTTAGAACTTGGAGCAACTGGTGGAACTTCAGAAGTCTTGCAAACTTCTTCAGTACAAGTAGCTGGAGTGCTACTTTCTGGACAGTAAGTAGTTAAATCAGTTTTGGTGGAAGAGACAGTGACTTCATCTTCTGGACAAATAGTAGTAGTTGAAACAACTGGGCTACAAGATTTGTGTTCATCACATTGGGTAACAGTAACAATTGAAGTGTAAGAAGAAGTAACAGTTGAGTTACCTGGAACTGGAACTGCAGGAGCAGAAGTTTCAACTGGAGGAGAAGAAACTGGAGCAGAAGATGGAGTAGCGGTTTCGGTAACAACTGGACCACTAACGGTTTGAGGTGGAGCAGTAACGGTAACAACACTTTGGGTTTCACTTTCTGGAACAGTGGTTACAGTGGTGGAGGTACTGGTAACAACAGAGGTTTTACCACCTTCAATCTTGGTAAGAATGAATGGAATAACCAATGGAAGAAGAGCTAAACCATCTTCTAAATCGGAATCAGAAGAAAGAGAAGTCCAGTCTAAGTCTCTGTTATCTAATTCGTTATCTCTTTTGTAACCACCTTTGAAACCAGCGACTTTTTCTAAGTTGTCAGCTGGGTAAGCGTTAACACTAGCAACAAGAAGAGAAGCAACAGCTAATAATTTGGAGTATTGCATTTTTTATTTAATAAGCGAATGTATAAGTTGGATTATAAGTAATAATAACTTGATTGATGATTTAATAAAAAAAAAGATGTCCACTTTCAGGGATTCTACATGCATATTTATACAACATTTTTCAAGGTTAAACTTGTAAGACATAAACCCGGCCTTGCTGTATTCACTTTTCAATCTGTTCAAACAATAATCTTTGCAACTTATTGACTGATGAAGAATTTTTCGAGTCCCAATTGGGAAATGCACCATACAATCTTAAAAGTTAAAAAGAGCATAAGAACAATGTTTTAAGCCAACCCGAAGCAGAAGATCTCCGCAAGAAGTCATGTATTCAGCATGTTTTGACCCTAATCTGTAAGATTCTTATTTTTAATCAAAGCTTTGAATGCGAGATTTCTATTGTTGCAAAAATCCTCTTATTGTACTTAATTTTCCTTTTGGTAAATTAACGCGAGTCTTGGTTAGCAAACAAAATAAAGAACCCTTTATTCGAGTTATTGTTCCTGGATTATAAACAAGCATTCAAACATCTACTTGACTCTTGACTACTTTGGAGAAGCGTATTGTCAACCTGGACTCGGTGTTGTCTTTTAAGTTGTTGATTCTCGTTCTGGTAACTGATGTACTCAAAAGGAATCTACTGGAAATTGTTGAAAAGCTTTTCAATAGTTGAAAGGACAGTGGAACTGATTTGTTGAAAAGCTTTTCAATAGTTGAAAGGACAGTGGAACTGATTTGTTGAAAGCTAACTTTATTCATTTTATTGTGATAAGCTATTACTTCTTGGACAAGAATATTAACTGATTTTGTCGGGTTGGTCATGGACATCCACAAGAGGTAGGTGGAATTTCGGGTCCATTAAATTGGTGCAAAAAATACATCAAAATTTCACATTGACCAACTAATGCTGACTACACGGAATCAGAAACACCAAGCCTCTTATTCCCCTGAGGTATAGCTGCCACCTCATGTATGCACTGCTCTTCTAATGTGATTGTCGCTTCTGCTCGGCATATCTACGACCATCGTTAGTAGCCAGCACCGGGGTAAAGCCTTTATAATACGGGTTCTATTATATGGGTATTCTCACGTGACTCTTTGTTTGTTTTTTTTTTTTTTTGTTTTTTTTTTTAAGTCTTTTTTTTTTCGTTTTGTTAGCGGTTCATCTCTTTGGAAGTCCGTTCTTGTTATTTTTGCAATTACTATTTACAAACTTCTATTTACAAACAACTAATCCAGCAATGAGCAATCGACCCGTCTCTGTTGAGGATATCATTGAGGGATCCAGAAATGACAATAACCTATTATCGAAACCCAAATTTCTCTCAAAACAACAACGGGAAAAGTTTGCTTCTTTAAAACAGGAGAAAGAATTGACTAAAAAACGATATTCGAAATCAAAACCAGTAAAGAGAATAAGGTACGAAGAAGAAGAGGGTGACGAGGATGAATTGAAGCTCGACAAGAAGGCAAGAGTGAAGAAAACCCAAAAATTCAGTTTCGATTGGGATGCTCACGAGGATACTTCTACTGATTTCAATCCTCTCGTAGCTTACGAACAGCCAGAAGATGATTTGGGTTATTTGGGTAAACACTGGTCTGAAAAGAAGTTGGAGGATATGGACGCAAGAGATTGGAGAATATTCAAAGATGATTATAATATTACTGCAAAGGGAGGAGGTGAAATATCCAATCCACTCAGATCATGGCAAGAATCTGGTATAGATATTCGAATTTTAGATATTTTAACTAAAAAATTGGGTTACAGTGAACCTACTCCGATTCAAAGATCTGCCATACCGTTGGGTCTACAACCAAGAGATTTAGTAGGTATAGCTGAAACTGGGTCTGGTAAGACTATTGCATTTTTGATACCTCTATTAAATTATATACTTAATATTGATCCGGATTATTTGAAATTTGATTATGCTAAAGAAATCAATATAAATAAGCCTCTAGGTTTGATATTGGCTCCTACTAGAGAATTGGCAATTCAAATATCTCAAGAAATTGAGAAATTTACTTCATATTTAAATTATAATGTTGTTACTATTATTGGGGGCCATAAGTATGAAGAAACGATTCATTCTATTGATTCGGGTGTTGACATTGTGGTGGCAACACCGGGCAGATTAATTGATTCATTAGAAAGAGGTATTATTAATTTAGATTTATGTTATTTTTTCACGATGGATGAAGCAGATAGAATGATAGATATGGGATTTGAAAAATCTTTAAATAATATATTGGACTATTTACCTTTGAACCCAATCAATAATAACTTTAAAATAGACCAAAGAATTACCTTAATGTTTACTGCCACCATAACTCCACCAATTGAAAAAATCACTAAAAATTATTTAATTAATCCAGCATATTTAACAATTGGTAATCCGAATAACTTGATAGATAATATCGAACAAAAATTTGAGTTTTTCGAAAATTCAAATAACAATGATGAAATTGACGATAAAAAATTTGATAAAATTTTTGAACAAATTAAGAAGACTAATTCAAAAATTATAATTTTTGCAAATTTTAAGAAAACTTGTGAACTATTAGCATTAAAGTTATCGAGTAAAGGCATTGAAGATCATATTGTCATTCATGGTTCTAAATCACAAGAGCTGAGAGAAGTAGCCATTGAAAACTTTAGATCAAATAAAGTTAACATACTAATTGCTACAGACGTTGCAGCTCGTGGTCTTGATGTTCCGAATGTTGGACTTGTAATCAATTATCAAATGTCGAAAAAATTCGAAGAATATATCCATAGAATTGGTAGAACTGGTAGAGCCGGTAATCAAGGTAAAAGTTATACCATCATAGATTATAACGATGTTGATATATTCTTACCATTGAAAAAATTCCTATCGAGAGGAGGTAAAAAATGTCCTGAATGGTTATTAAGAAACCTTAATACCCAGGTACTTAAGGGTTGATTAATCATCGTCACTTGAATAGTTTAATAATGAGTTAATGTTTTTATTTTGTACTTGAGTAGTTTTCAATTTGCTTAAAATCGATAAATCTGTATTTCCAAAAATTGAATTCAGAGAATCATTAGTTATTTGTTTTTGTTCATGGTATTGACCCCCTTCTTCTTCGCCTTCACTTTCAACTTCTTGGACTGTCACTTTATTATCTTTTGACTTATCATTGAGTAGTTTTTTAACTGTATTCAAAGCTTCATCTTCCAAAGCGTTTTGTTTTTGTTTTTGAGAATTTGGGTCAGGGTCTTCATTTGCCCATTTGATATTTAGGATATCATCGCCTACAATTGATTGATTCTGCATTGCTTCTTTCGCAAACTGAGCTTGATATTCCAGTTTATAAGTGATAAAAGCACAATTTTTATTGAACAAAATTTTAATTTTTTCAATATTACCAAACTCTTCAAAATGCTTAGTTAGAATATTTTGAATATTGGAGTTATTGGTTTTGGTTAAGCCGCCAATATATAAAGTTTTGTTGATTTTCTTGAATGAACCAACTCCACTCATATCATCTTTATATTCACTTGTTTTATCTCGACCAAAACAATCTTGAGTCGGTATAAAATAATCTTCACTGGTTGGTAATCGATGTAAATAGGGACAATTCTTACCCAAATAACAGCATCCTCTTGCGAAAAACAAACATATGTAGTTTGAATGTTTAGCTTTAGTATAGCCTGAATCCTTTTTAATGTTTACTCTAAAGTTCAGCTTAGTATATGGATTTGACGACGAATCTCCTCCACTCCACTTCAAATACCAAACATTGAACACACTTCCCGTTTGTGGGGGTTTATCATCATCTGGTATTGATTCTGGATCAACTTGAAGTCTCGCTGGTTTGGGTTTGTTGGTGGATTTCACAACCTTATTTGATTTAGACATTCTTGATGATCATCTCGTCGAAAGAAGAGTAGTACGGTTCCAGACTTTTTTTTTTTTTCGGAGTCTTCGAGCAATGCGTTGCAAAATCGCTGCAAAAGCAAATATATAGTGAACAGTGAGTTCAAGTCATTCAATACTTACAATAGTCTAGTTAAGAATATAGAAATATTAAATATATTAAATATATTAAATAGTAAAAACCTATGAATACAAAAGAAAATCTTTATGTAAAAATTTGTTTATTTTTTGGTCATTAAGGAAAAATGTTAGTTAAAAGGCAAGCCGAAGTGAAGAAATGAAAAAGGACATTAAAGGATAGCATTACATCACCCTTACATAAGGTTGAAGATGAAGGAAGCACCAATGACACCAGCAACGGCAATAGCCTTCTTCCAAGAGCCGGTTTCCAAGGCAGCAGCACCTGAGGAGGAGGAGGAGGAAGAAGATGAATCGGAGGAGGAACCAGATCCAGAGGAACCGGAACCGGAACCAGAAGATGAGGAACCAGATCCAGAAGATGAGGAGCCAGAGGCTGAGGAGCCAGAAGAACCAGAAGAACCAGATCCCGAAGCGGAAGAACCGGAACCAGAGGCAGAAGCACCACCAGAACCAGATTCAGAGGCTGCGGCAGAAGAAACAGCAGAAGAAACGTTAATCAAAGCACCAGAAGTAGCAGTAGATCTAGCATTAGAAGCACCGGAAGCAACACCAGAAGTTAAACTACCCATAGCAGAACTAGCACCGGCAGCACCAGAAGTAGCAGAACCAAGAGCACCGGCAGCACCAGAAGTAGCAGAACCAAGAGCAGCACCGGCACCAGAAGTAGCGGAACCGAGAGCAGCACCGGCACCAGAAGTAGCAGAACCAAGAGCACCACCAACAGCAGAACCAGCAGCAGAACGGGCACCACCAATAGCAGAAGAGGCATCACCAGCGTAGTTGACGGCAGAGTTACCAGCAGAGACAGCGTAGTTAATAGCGTTCATTATAAGTTGTGGGGATGTATATTAGTCTATTGGTTAAAAGTAATCAATTGAATGATGATGAATAAAATTAAATCAGAAGAAACCAGGAATGAAAAGACTACTTATATATAGTTAGAGTCAAGTGAAAAAACCAGCATGATATTTTTGCAAAAATGAATGCAAATTCCAAATCAATAAGAAAAAAAATGGGGGAATGGACCCAAAAAAAAAAGAAACGAACTGAATTGAATAAACTACTACTTGGTGTATAGCCTTGACTTATGTAATGGAGCTTGAAATAAAACAATAAAATAAACAAACCTCCATCAATAAACAAACTGCTGAACTAATTTTACAAGCTTTAAATTTTAGTTGACTTAGCAATTCGTGTAATTTGTGTAAAGTATAGAAAAAAAAAATAAAATAAATTGGTTAAACAAGTTGCCTGAATCTGAAATTGTTAACAATCCTCGAGAATATTCGACATAAACAAGAGAGCAAGGCTATCGGTAGTGTGACTGGAATCAGCAAGTCTCGACAAGGTTGTATTGAAATTACAGTTTGAGCCTGGGAGTAATTCAAGGCACTGGGTCATAGAACAAAATTTAAGCCATCATGATTTCAATTAATATGTTTGAATAGGTAATTTTTTGTTTGATAGATTCTGGTACCTTAATTTACCAGCCAACCGATTCAGTTTGATCGATGCTGGTTGATTTTCTTGAATCAAAACTTTAAGTATGGGGCTGTGATAATAGACTTTTGTCCGAATTCAGTAAAGTGGTTGCAGGGTTCAAAATAGTGGTGCATACACTGCCGCTTAGGTAAGCGCTTAGGTAAGCGGGAAAGCAAAGATCTTGTGACCTTAGTGGAGGTCGGTTGCTCTAGTTGAACTGGAAGGTTAAGCTAGTGATGCTAGTTGTGTAGTTGACCTACGGTAGATGAACCCATTTGTGTAGTGGGCAAGGTTGCTGGGTTACAATTGGGTGGGTAGTAGTTCTATACTTAGTAAAGTATAGTTTTGCACAATTGTAACATTTATTGAGACTTGTGATGAAAATTTTATAAAGTTGGACTGATTTTGGCTGAAAAATGATCGAAATTGTGATAAATGTGAAATTTTCAACCCGCCTTGTAATAATTGCTTTTGGGGTATCCATATTTCATCTGGTATCAAGCCTTGCACTATTGGAGTATTACAAGTTGGAGATGTAGGTATATGCAGTGGTGGTTGCAAATGAAACACCCGTACATCATCATCATAATAATACATTGGTTAATGCACACCCTGTGTCCGACCTTAAAGGGTAATTGCAACCAAGAAGTCTACCATGTAATCATTATATATATATATAATCACTATAAAAAATCATTTGCATAATAGTTTATATGATAATTTATATAATAATTTATATAATAATTTATATAATAATTTATATATTAATCTATTTAATCACTTCATTTAATCATGATTTATCATTTATTGGAATCGAACGATTTGATTAGTAGATATTTCCGCGCACGTACCTTCCCGATATGGTAGCACGATCCGACTATCTATCAACGAAATTTCCCGCTATAAATACTCAGCGAAGCCCTCTAGCCCAAGACGTTTGAAAGATTAACAAAAACTATTAATAATGTGTGGTACTAATACTTCTTCAAGTACTTCAAGCTGTTGCGGTTCTTCATGCAAATGTGGATCATCTTGCCAATGCGCCAGTTGTAACACTACTAAATTATAATCTACAAAGATAATAACTCAAATACTTCATAATTTAAATACAATAAATATAATAAATAAAATAAACTAATTATTTACTTTCTTGGTGATAATTGTAAAGTTTCCTTTTTAATGGCTTCACCTAATCTTGAATCAACTTTACCAAACATTTCAAAAACACGATCTTGAATATGAGCATCAGCAGCTTGAACATGAACAGCAATATTATGAGCCAAATGAGCTTGTTGGTTTGGATAACGACCCAAAACTTTATATAATTCACGAGGTTGTATGAAATCCCCTTCTTCAGCTTTCCAATGGAATGGACAAGCCGCACCTTGCCAAACTTCTTGATCTTCTTGTAAATTGAAATTTTTAAATTCAATTGGATGAGAAGTAGCCAAATAGTTTGGATGTTCACCTAAATTACCATTAACAGTCATTGCCCCATCTCTCATATGAGGATTGAAAACACGACCAGTAACTGGACAATTAACTGGAATTTGAGTATAATTAGTTCCCAATCTATGACGATGAGTATCAGCATAACTAAATAATCTAGATTGTAAAACTGGATCAGCAGAAGGTTCCATATAAGGAACAGTATGAGCTGGAGAAAATGCAGCTTGTTCAACTTCGGCAAAATAATTCTTTGGATTTTCATTCAATTGAAATTTACCAAATCTTCTTAATGGATAATCTTTATGAGGCCAAACTTTAGTTAAATCAAAAACAGAAAATGGGGCATTTTTAGCTTGTTCAGGAGTCATAGTTTGAATATAACAAGTCCAGGAAGGTCCATTTCCTTTAGCAATGTTTTTAAATAAATCTTCTTGAGCAACATCAGGATTAGATCCACTCAATTCTCCAGCTTCCTCATTATTTAAAGTACGAATACCTTGATCACTAATAAAATGAACTTGAACATAATGCCATTCTCCACGTTTATTTGACCATTTATAAGTATGACCAGAATAACCATTCATTTCACGATAACTTGCTGGAGTACCACGGTCAGAAAATAAAATCATCACTTGATGAACGGACTCTTGATTAGAAGTCAAATAATCCCAAAACATATTAGCATCCTTTAAATGAGTTTGAGGATTTCTCTTTTGAGTGTGAATGAAATGGGGGAATTTAGATGGATCACGAATGAAAAAAATTGGAGTATTATTATAAACCAAATCCAAATTACCTTCTTCAGTATAAAACTTAGTAGCAAAACCTCTTGGATCTCTAGCAGTGTCAGCACTTCCCATTTCCCCACCAACAGTGGAAAATCTGGTGAAAACTTTGGTTTTTTTACCAACAGTATCTAAAAAGGCAGCACCACAAATATCAGTAATATCATCAGTCACTTCAAAAACACCGTAAGCACCACTACCTTTGGCATGAACAACACGTTCAGGAATACGTTCACGATCAAAATGAGCTAAAGAATCAATCAAATTGAAATCTTGTAATAATAAAGGTCCATGTTTACCTACTCTTTGAGTAGCAAAAGCATCGGGAACTGGACAACCGTTGGAATTAGTAAATTCTGGAGCCATTTTGTAAGTAATATAAAGTTATAAAAAATTAATAATTCAAATTTTGGAAAGAACTTCAATTGGGTGATTCTCCGTTTATATATGATAACGTTTAATTTTCAGTGTGAAAGTAAGCGGGGTGGGATTGTGAGACAAGTCCAGACCGAATCCAGTATTAATAACCGTCATCCACACCAAACCGTCTAACCACTGCTACTTCAACAATCTACACCAGCTACACCAGCTACACCAGCTACACCAGCTACCCCAGCTGCACCAGCTACACCAACACCAACACCAACACCATCCACACCAACACCTTCATCTACACCAACCCCAGCGACTCCCACCATTTACCCTGTCAAACTCCGTCTGCTTAGCATTTGATCCTCTGTGATTGGCTGCTGCCCTCCCTGATGGCTGAACCGTGGAGAGTCAACGGAAAAAAAACCTCTGATTTTAGACCGAGGAACTGATAAAGGATACATGGAACTAGGAACAATTGGCCAGAGTGAGGAATCTGACACTGAGTGCTCCACGGCTTTCACATGATTGCTTTTTACAGTAAGCGGTTCCCCTCGCCGACCACCGATATCACCGAGTACAAGATCCGTACATATACAGAATTTTTTATACACCCGTACATATACATTTTTATACACCCGTACATATACAGAATTTTTTATACACCCGTACATATACATTTTTTATACACCCGTACATACATATTTTTACAGCGGCTAGCCCAGCGATTAGCTGCAATTTATCAACTCTTCTTCTTCTTCAACTCTTCTTCTTCTTCAACTCTTCTTCTTCATCAACTCTTCTTCTTCTTCTTCATCAGCTCTTGATCAGCTCTCTCCAGGCTTTGAACTCTTGTGTAAGTAAATCACCATTACGTAATTTCTTGTTGGTTTCATAATCAACCTCTATCAATGATAGACTTCTGGAACCAGGATCATAACTTAACTTATAACTTTTAGACTCATCATTATGATCGATTTCATTATTGATCCATTCAATCACTGCACCATACCACTTGATTGCATTTATGAAAACAATCTTATTAGGATTGGTCTGATTAATTGGATTCTCTTTCATTAAAATTGGTATTTCATCAGTTTTAAATACCTCAACACTTCTCAATATTAAATTTTCATCTCTAAATCCATATATGATCTTACGAATTCCAATTAAAAAACTTTGTGCCCATGTTTTAAATAATTTTTTTTCAAAATTAACAACTTGTCCATTATGTTCAATTACTTTACTTGTTTTCAATTCGACATAATGTCCACTTATATTCTTTGAGTTTCCTGGTATATAATCATAAACACAATCCACTTCTCCTGCTAACAAAATCCCCGTTTGTCCAACTCCACTTGAAACAACACTAATATACTGTTCATAATTATTAACAACTTTCTTACTTCTTTTATCTATGGTGGATCTACTACATTCAGACCATGGCTTAGGTAATGTACTTATGGCTTCAAACTTATATCCACTATATTCACATCTTTCTGCATATTCATCTTTTGATGTTGGTTTTTGAAAATCAAATTCATCATTATTCTTCATAAATAATTGTCCATCATATCCACTTATATAAAATTCAAATCCATCTTTTAAATTATATGGTAAAGTTAATAATTTCGTTAATATTCCTCGAAAGGTTATTATATCAATTGATTTAAGCTTTTCTTGTTGATTTTTTTCATATTGAATTATTGATTTTAATAAAGCTCCAAAATCAGCTACATTCTGTTCTGCAGGTATCTTCTTGAATTTTGAATACCCTGCTCCTAAATCAATCTGTGAATCAATTGAATTATCTGGTAAATAATAATATGGTAATGCTTCCTTTTTCAGCACTTCCTCATCGTATTGCCATTCTCCGTCAATATCTCTTGAAAATGAATAAAGCTCCTTGGGCTGTTTCAATGCAGTGGTCTTACTCCGTGAATTCAATGGAAAGGTCTTCATCATCTTGGGCGTGCTAAATGAATTCAAATAAATACAATTCAGTATAAATAAAATATAAATGGTAAGCTTGATGAGCTCAATTTTTTTCTTTGGAATGAAAAAAAATAAAAAAATACTACTCCTGCATAAATTGGTGTGAGTAAAACATTATCAAAATTGATTATATCATTTTGAAAGAGGTTTCGTCTGTTTTATCAATCATATCCAGATAGGATGCTACTAATATGGTCATGTCTCTTACCTTTGGCACTAGCTCATAATACCACCTCTTCATCACCTATTTCGAGCCTGTCCTATACTTGCTCACCTGTTTCATGTCCAAATAATTTACAATCTATTTGTATTTCTAATACTTGTGATTTAACAACTAGTTCAAATATCTTTAACTCATTTTCCTTACCAACCTCTCCATCCACAGAAACTGAAGAAATAGTAGAAATTATACCTTCTCCAATAGAACATGAACTAAGTCCTACTTCAAATCTGAATACCACTCAAAATCATGATTTCACCACTACTATAGCAAATGATGAAATCCCAAAAGAAACTCCGAAAGAAATTAACGAAGAAGAAATAACAAGCATAGAATTTAATGCAATCACAGAAGAAACTCTAATAGAAGATATTCAATCCGATGATTATGATGACTCTAGAAATGATACTATAGAAGACTCAATCGACGAGTGTCACTTTATGTCTTTTGAAGAATGGAAACGTCAAAAAGAAGTTAAATCAAATGAAAGTGAAAACATTCAACAACAACAACAGCAACAACAACAACAACAACAACAGCAACTGAATCAACAACAACAACAAAATCCACCGGAATTTGAAAATATGTCCCAGTCAAACTTAACCGATTTGGCCCTTTTCCCTAATAATAATAAAACTACAAACTCAACTGATCCAAAAATAGAGATAGAAGACAATGGTAAATTATATAAAGATAAATTTAATTACGCATCAATCGATTGTGCTGCAACCGTTGTTAAAACAAATACCCATGCAAAAGGTGCGTCATCGATCCTAACAGAAAATAAAGATTCATATCTATTAAATCAATGTTCATCACCGAATAAGTTCGTCATTATTGAATTATGTCAAGACATTCTAGTCAATAGTGTTGTAATTGGTAATTACGAATTCTTCAGCTCAATGTTTCATGATGTTAGAATTTCCGTCAGTGATAGATTCCCCGTAACAAACGGTTGGAAAGTATTGGGCGATTTTGAAGCCGAAAATATAAGAGATGTTCAACAATTCAATATTGAAAATCCTTTGATTTGGGCCCGCTACTTAAAATTAGAAATATTAAGCCATTATGGTAATGAATTCTATTGTCCAATATCAATAATAAGAGTTCATGGGACAACCATGATGCAAGAATTCAAGTTAGCAGAAGAAGAAGAAGAAATTAAAGTTTTAAATGATTTTAAAGTACAAAGTGAAGAAATTGTTAATTCAACTACAAGTACTTCATCTTCTTTCGAGAATGACGATGAATGTAAAGTAATTATTCCTTATCTTGGTTTAAACCAATTTTTAAATGAAATCAACTCAACGAGTGATTACTGTAAGGCTTCAGATGACTATGAAAGCCCGGAATCTTCATCTTCAATTGCTCCAACTGCCAAAACAACTCAAGAATCTATTTATAAAAATATCATGAAAAGGTTATCATTACTTGAATCAAATGCAAGCTTATCTTTGCTATATATCGAAGAACAAAGCAAACTATTATCAACGGCTTTCACAAACTTGGAAAAAAAACAATCAAATAAATTTGATACTTTAATCAATAACTTTAATAAAACTATCAATAATCAACTAAATCACTTCAAAAAAGCATACATAACTATTCAGAATGATGCGATTGCTTTATTCAAACTACAAGAACGGAACCATCAAACTTTAATTAACGATGCAAATAAAAAATTGTCAATATTAACTGATGATTTGAAATTTCAAAGAAAGGTTTCTATTTTTAATACAATCATAATTTTGTGTTTACTAGTCTATGTTATAATTACCAGAGACGCTTATATTGATGATCAATCGTATTTCTATGATGAGATAAGTGACTTAGAAGATGAACCTTTCTCTCCTATCACTGAAAATGGGAATATTGATGATGAACCAAGAATTAGTCTTCTGAAAGAGGAACAGGTCAATGAGAATAATAACCTAGGCGTCATTAGTTCAAATGAAGACATAGTTGAAAAGAGCTTTAACAAAACCATGCAAAATCACAAGCAATTCAAATATCCCGTTGGATTTAGTCATAAACTTCAGAGATTCAATAATGATTTCAGCCAAAATATCAAGAAGCTTAAAAACTCAAAACCCAAAAAATAGTAATTTAATTCTCATATTCTTTGTATCAGTTGCATACTCGTACTCTTTATATTCATTCTTTTCGTTACATTTAATTTGCATGAATCTCACATTTTACATTAATAATTCAACTTAATATTAATTAATATATAATATATACAAAATATTAAAACTATATACACTTAAAAATTTGGAAAATAGCCTGATAGAAACGGCTAAATCCATCACAATTCAAAACTATAAACAAGGAGAAAGTAACAAAAAATATATTGGGAGAAATGAATAAAAATTATTGGGAAACTTCAACAGTCAATCATATCAGTCATTGAATATAGTTGGAAGATAACGGCAAACGTCAAATTTATTCTTAGTTTCATAAATATCAGAAGCTAGAAACTTCTTCTCTGTCGGCCCTCTTCTAATTTTTATATCTTTTAGATTCACTGAAACTACCGAATCTTGATTTGCTACTACCATCTCTTTGGTTATATCTGGATGAATCTCTATCAAAACCTCTATCAAAACCACGATCATTAAAGCTTCTATTATTGAAGCCTCTATCCTTGTAGCCTCTGTCAAAACCACGATCATTAAAGCCTCTATCATTGAGACCTCTGTCAGAACCACGACTATTGAAACCTCTATCATTGAATCTTGAGCCACCACGTCTATCGTTAAAGTCTCTATTATTGGATCTGTAACCACTTCTACCGAAACCGGAACCACTTCTGTTTTTACTGGAACCGCGAGGCTTGAAGGCAGGATCGTTAGGAGACATATTAGGCGGGAGAGCCATGATAGAACTTATATCGTTATAAGAAAGCCCTAATCCAGAAATTAATCTTCTTCCAGCAGGAAATTTATATTCAGGATCCTTCAAGAATTCTCTCATAAGAGAGACAATATCATCGAATACGGCTCTCAAGTTGAATTTATAACTAGCGGCTTGGGATCTATAGAACGAAATTAATGAGGTTCCATATTCTTCGAATTCGTCTTCGAACATGTTAATTTTTTCTTTAAATTCTTGATCATCTGTTTCAAAATCTTCATACTTTTCAACTTGATTGAAAGTGATTCCAGTTTGATCTTCTAACATACGAATATAATTAGATTCACAAGGAGAACTAAAGATAATGGCTTTACCTTTAGCACCGGCTCTTGCAGTTCTACCAACTTTATGGACATAGTCAGCCAAGTCGATAGATGGAGCGAATTGAACAACATGAGAAACATCTTTAAAATCTAAACCTCTAGCGGCAACATCAGTACAAACTAAAACCCCAGATTCAAGTTGACGGAAGCTCTTGACAGCCCTGTCTCTACGAGATTGTGTCATTTTACCGTGCAAAGGAGTAACAAAGCTTCGACGTTTTTGGAAATCGAAAAGCTTATTCTTGATGGCTCTATTTATAGTAGAAGTACACCATTCGACACCAGCAATAGTTGGAATAAAGAAGATAGCCTTAAAATTTTTGTTCTTATTTAAATTTTTCAAGATAAATGACATGGCACCAATTTGAGATTGATAAATATTGTCAGTCTTAACTAAAGTTTGATGAATATTCTTATGAGCTTCTGGTTCATCTTTATCAACACAATCAATAAATCTGTAGTTATTAGAAATGGTATTACGTGCAAATTTATCAACATTTTTATCAACAGTAGCACTAAACAAAACTGATTTAAGTGGAGTATCTGGAACCAAAGCGTCTTTACGGACCCCTCTTAAAATACTATCAATGCTATTCAAATGTTCTTCGAAACCTTGATCCAATAATCTATCAGCTTCGTCATAAATTCTATATTTGATATCACTACAAGCTTTAGCGAACCCACGAGTATTTTCCAAACAGTCTAACAATCTACCAGGAGTAGCAATAACAATAGCTGGGATATCACGAGGTGAGATAACAGTTTTACGACCCCCAATCAAGGTTTGATAAGAAATATTCTTTCTTTGGTTACCTCTTAATTTAGAGATAAGTTTATGGAATTCACTTTCAATTTGTAAAGCCAAATCCCTAGTAGGGGCAACAACAATAGCTTGTACTTTATTATCTCTTATTTGTGCAGCATTTTCACTGGTTAGACAAGTATGTAAAGTTGGAATGATAAAAGCCAAAGTTTTACCAGTCCCTGTTTTAGCACGGCAAACAATACCTTTTTCTTCTCTCAACATCGGTAAGATAGATCTCTGTTGAACTGGAGTCAAGTCTTTATAACCAATACCAACATGAGTTAAAGGAGTGACAACATGTTTGTTAATTTCTGGATGTTCAGCAACTTCAAGGAATGTTGATGGAAGTATATCGGAAACTGCACTCTCTTCTTCACTAGCTTCATCCTTACCTTCAGCCAAACCGTTCACATCCTTAGCATTTGCTAAGACATTTGCAGCAGCTGGAATAGTCTCGTTACGATAAATAACGGCTGATGAAAATGGTCTAATTGGTCTGATGGTCAAAACCGAACGAGCAGCAGCCAGACTGACAACCAGTCTGGACAAAAGCGTCTTTGAAAAAGCCCGGATTAAGGCCATACTGTAATGAATAAACGTAGTAAAAGACCTATAAAGAAGAAGACTCTGAATATACTAGGTTATCTAAATTTTTCAAAATGGGCCATCTCGTTCTTCACAATATCCGGTTACCACCTCTTACCTAAGCGGGCAATTTCCGAGGGAGCAAAGGCGGTCAAGCTGACTACATACGAGGGTTCATCGACCGGAAGTCTGCAAAATGGGACATAAGTCCCAAGGCTAGCCCATTTGTCAAGGAGAGACAAATCAAAGGGTTTAGAACGACTTTGGGCAATGACTATAGCAGTGGGCGTGTTCAATGCTGAGACTGGCTCTTTGGAAAGAACAGCTGAAACCATCTGGTTTTAGTGGTACCAGGTTGTCACTTTATAATCGAAGCGAACGAACGAAAAAACAAAAAAGTACGAAATGGCTACTATCTATCTTTTACATTTACATAATATCTAGAGATGAGTCAATACGAACCTAACGTGGCTCCTGCCAAATCGTTTATTTCCAAAATCAATTCCAAGTTTTCGAATCTTTCGATATCTTCAGGGATTCAAAATATTCATTCTGATAAAGATGGTAGTAGCAATGACGACACCTTGATTCATAATGCATTTGTTAAATTCTTTGAATCCAGAGGAGAACCTTATCCCGAATGGTTAGGAGTGAAAAAAGCCAACCAAGATCCCAGATCACAGCAATCCTATTCAAGAAGTACTTACCAACATAATTCTGAATTTCAACCAGTTCGTACTCAATATAATACCGGTGCTTACAATCAACAGCAGTACCAACCCCAACAATACCAACCTCAACAGGGCCAGCCTCAACAGCAGTACCAGCAGTATGATCAAGAGAGCCAAGGTGGAGCTGAGGTGGGGCGTAAGCAATCTTCATACACCCCAAGGTCTTCTAGTAAATTGTTTGATTTATATAATAAATCGAGACAACAAGCAGTTCCAGGATCAGGATATAACGCTCAATCTGCTCCGGCTCCGGCTAGAAGTAATACGTCTGGGGCCCATTCCTCGAGACTAAGAGAAAGAATGATGAATCAATCGCCAAGTATGAACAATCTTAGTCAAGCTGCAGGTAACTCTACTTCTGCGAATAATAGCTCTGGTAGCAAAGCAACTTGGGGTAGAAGAGGATAATTCTTCTTTTTTGATTATTACATTTTATTTGATTCAGTTCTTCTCGTCTACGTACGTTTAATTTAAGGATAAAACCTGTATATTTTCATATATATGTTACTAAACGTTACTTCATTAAATATTATTCAACTTTTTGAAATTGTACTCCCAATGATTCCGTCCTCTAATGAACCAATCAGGTAAATTGTTATCTGGCGGTAATTTGAGTTTTATTATCCCCACATTACCATATTTCACCGGGAATTTATGAAGGTTTTTATAGTACTTGTAATCATAAGTATCTCTAATATTTTGTATTTCAGCAGGTGATAAATCTTCGAATCTGTTCTTCTTTGATTCCTTTTCTCTGAGGAGTCTTGGTGTGTTCTCAAATGACCATCTTGATGAGAATGATGATGGTGTGGTAGGGCTCTGGTTACGAAAACTTTTATTTTGACTCTTGATGAATTTAGAATCTATTGAAGACCTTCTTCTCTCATAATTACCTCTGGCGGCATTCAATAGTATATCATTGGTGAAACTGCTATTCCTACTGCTTCTTGAGTAGTTGGGAGAAGTTCCAGGAATTCTATTTCTTTCGTCGTCTATTGAATGCAGCTTTTCATGTTTTTTGATCTCAACTAATTTCAATAAATTAGCAGGGATTTGAGGCGAGGAAGATAAGAAATCTTCATCAATGTCGTCATCGTCAAGACTTTGAACGTCGTCCCGGTCTTCATCCCAACTGGGTGAACCATCATCAATCGATCTATTACGCGACAAAGTTCTATTCAACTCGGGACTTCTTTGATAAGCAGGTGACAGCAGTAGCATTTCATTTTCTTGTTGCTTTTTAAGTTTCGACAGCTCTTGTTGTTTCTTTAATTGGTGATTCAATTGATCAATCTCATAAGGTATCAACTCAGTTTGAATCAATTCTAAGAAATTTTGAGCATAATAATTACTCTTACTAGAATTACCAGTATAAATACGGTACTCATTCACAATTGAATTCAAATTCCATTTTTGTATTTTCCTTAATATCCCTACTAAAGTCAGAGTCAGATCAACTAGGAGTAGATTGTGTTTAGTTTTGTTAAATAATATTTCAAATGCTCCTAAAATCAAATTTTTCTCAATTAACATCCATTGATCACTTTTACTCTTGGAATTATCCAATGATACTAAATCGATGGAATGGGAGTTTGAGTCCTTTTCATCTCCATTTTCCGATTGGGTCTTGGAGCTGGACGATGTCAGGTCTCCATTCAAACTATTTGTTTCATCTTCATCATGATCTTTATTAGAGCTCGAACTTTCTCCAGTATGGTAATGGTTAGTGATTTTTAACCCTCCCAATCTGAACAATTCAACGTTATTCGATTCAATAAAATTTCGAAGGGTCCTGGGAGGTTTTTCAGCATCCAACAAAACAAGCGATTTTAATTGAAGTGTCTCTAGAAAAGGAAAATGGTCTGCTTCAAGTTTTGAACAACGATAAACCCCAGGCTCAACCATGCCAAAGTTATCGGGTGGAACTAACATATTGCTTTTGGTATAATAGGCTATCTTCAATATAAATGGCTGATATTTCACATAATTTTTCAAATCAAAAATTATCATATACTGTTTTTTTTAGTGAGCGCACTAACAAATTTTCACTACAGATACTTCAAAGTACGTTAATAATATATAATAGTTTATATGAAGAGAAAAGTCAAAAAGAAATGAATACCTAACCTCTAATAACCAAGTCATCAGGAATACCTTCGTATTCTGAGTAACCCAAGGCCAAGTTAATGTTTTGTAAGCATTGAGTGGAAGCACCTTTCAATAAATTATCAATGGTTGCAACTATAACGACTCTATTTTCTTTAGAGTTAACAGCAAAACCTCCAATAACAACACCATGTTTACCACTGATATCTTTAACCAAAGGAGCTTCACCAGTGACAGTGATCAATTGTTCACCTTGATATCTATCTTGGTAAATGTTTCTAATCTCACGAGAAGTTAAAGAACCAGGTTTGATTGGAATGGAAATGGTATGAGAAATACCTTGAAACCATTGAGCAACATGAGGAGTGAAGGCAATTTCTAAACCTAATTGGTTACTGATTTCTTTTTCGTGGACATGGTCAGTTAATGAATAAGGAACTAAGTTATTAGATAAGAATTTTACATCGTTCTTTGGAGATGGTTTAGTACCAGCACCAGAGTAACCAGAGACACCAAAAACGGTTGGGATACCAGTGATATGATCGACTAAAGGAGCAATCGCACATTGGGCAGCAGTAGCATAACAACCAGGATTTGAAATTTTTTTGGCATGAACGATATCTTGACGGTTATTTAATTCAGGCAAACCATAAACCCATTCTCCAGTAGTATCGAATCTATAATCAGCAGATAAATCAATGATCTTTGAGTGCGATGAGTTAACTGATTCAATAGCATCAACAAAAGGTTTACAAACACCATTTGGTAATGCCATCACCCACATATCAACTTTTTGTTCAGCTTCTAATTTTTTAATATCTTCAATCTGTAAGTTTGAATAGACAATGTTATCTTTATTATAACCTTTTAATTTTTGGCCAGCCAATTCACGAGAAGAAACATGAGATAATTCTAAGTAAGGGTGTCTATCAATTAAACTAATTAAGTTTTGACCAGTGTAACCTCTTGCACCAATTAAAGCAACCTTAGCCTTTTTAGTATTAGATCCATGACGAATAGGAGGATTTGGGTTAGATGTAGTTGAAGGTTCAAAAGCAGTACGAGAAGTATGTAAACCTCTCTTTTGAGTTTGAGAATTGAAAACACCGGATTCTTTAGAAGATGATAATGAGGATCCGATATTAGAAGAGTCAAAATCTTTAATTAATTCAGAAACTTCTTCGGTATTCAAACCGTACCAGAATAGAATTTCACCATTTTTAGCAAATGAACCATCGGATTTTGAAAAATACCAAGATAAATTAGAATCATTTTCGTTAACAATCCAACATAAAGATTTGAAATCTTTTTTCAACGAATTGAAAATATTATCGGTAACATTATTGAACCAACCAGTTTTAGAAGATAAGAATTTATCTAATTTTGGAATTTTATGATTATCTTCGATAACGATGGCCAAAACTTCCAAAGGAGCATCACCATAAGATTTGAAAGAGATTGATTCTAAATATTTTAAATAAGAAGCAACAGATAATTTACCAGATTTGATTTCAGGATCTCTTAATAAAGCAGATCTCAATAAATCAGGGTTACTAAAATCTTTCAAAGAGGTACGGTTGATTAATTTATAACCTCTTCTGATTAAGGTACCAGCACCAGAATCGGTGAATAATTCTTTTTGTAAATCATTAACGTCAATAATAGCAACAGAAGAAGATCTTGGTAAATGTTGTAATAAATCATGAATTTCTTTAATTTTCAATTTAGTACCATATTTAACCCAGCTCTCTTTCATTAAATCATCAAATTCTTCATCTAAATTAATAACACTAACTTTTTCACCAGTGTTACCATTTATTATACCACCTTTTTCATTAAGATAAACGATTTTCAAAGGTTCAAATTCTCTTGCCAATTCACCAGCGGCAACATCGGCATTAACATTCAATAATTGACCAGAAGGTGTTTCAGCTAAAGAAGTTAAAATTGGTAAGTATCCAGAGTCAATAGCAGCTTCAACAGGACTTTTATTAACGGAATTAACTTTACCAACTAATTGATATTTATCTTTATCCAAGTAATCAGCACCAAAGACACCAGCAGTAATTGGTCTAGCATGAACTCCCATTTTCTCCAATGCAGTGACTAACCTTAAATTTTGTTCCAAGAAACATTTTCTAACAACCTCCATAGTTTTTGGATCAGTGATTCTAATTCCATCAATATATTGGGGTTCAACTCCTTCATTTTCTAGTAATTCATTGATTTGAGGACCAGTACCGTGTAAAATAATTGGATATAAACCAACGTGGTATAAAAACGCTAAACATGAAGCTAATTCAGGTAATTGTTGAGTTATAATAGCACCACCAACTTTAATAACAGCAAATTGCTGTTGAGAAACAGAAGTAAAGTATTTTAAATATTGTTCAACCTCTCTTTTTGAACCAATGTTATTCAAAAGTTGGACAACAGTAGATCTGGTCGAAGCAGCAGTTTGAGAAGAGTTAAACTTACGTTGGAATTCAATTTGATTTGAATTTTTTTTCAAACTGGTTATCGAACCAACTATTTGCGGTTTGCTAAAAGCTCTCAAGCTTTTAGAAACAATCGATGTCTTAGTACTTAATCTCAACATATCGAACTTGCTCTATGAATATGGAGATACCAACCCTAAATCAATATACCAAGTAATAATCCAGAAAGAAAAAGAAGAGAAAGTGAAAATTTTAAAAAAATTGATATTAATTTACGTTGAGTCAGAAAAAATTTTTTCAATTAGGCAACACAACCACCAACCAAAATTAAGCGCGGTCTTTTATCGCTGGGTCTAATTTTTTTTTTTTTTTTTTTTTTTTTTCAGGTGCAACGATGAATGAGTAATTTTACAGCTTTGAAATTGCCTCAAAATTTGACCTTCTACAATAAACTAAGGGACCATGGGTTGAGTTATTTTGAATAATCCCTCAGTGGCTACAGTGTCAGAGTCTAAGCACAATTGTAATGAAAAGAATGTGGAAAAAAAGGGAAAGAAAAGGTGGTAAAGAAGTAAAAAAAAGTAAAAAAGTGAAAGAAATAATCTCTAGAGTTCTCCAGTATCTCTAAAAAGCCAACTAATTAGTGGATGATATATTTCGTAGTTCAGCTTGACTAGCTCGTGTAGAGATGAAATCAATTTCATTGACTCGGGATGTACGTATTTAAAGGTAGGGGTTAGCTTAGAGTAGTCTTTACTGAGGCAAATCGACTTGAAGCTAGATTTCATGATTCTTTCGGCATGGGAACTTCTTGCAGAAACTCGTTTCTTCAAAAAAGTTCCAAGAGTAGGGTACCGAAACAAACAATACGAAAACCTATCAAGGAACTGATCAATGACTAGATCTGTGTTTGTCAAGTTTGCTTCAAAACCTTTAATTAAATATTCACCCATGCCTTGAACTTCACAGACCAAGAGGTTTCTGCGATTTACTTCGAAGTTTGCAACAAACATAAGAATATAATTGGATTTGATTAGGCTTTCAAAGTTCACTAGCAATTTGATCAAATCATCTTTAAACAAGTGAAGCACTTCGTTATTTTCCAACTGGCTATCAATGATTTTCTCATCCAATGATTTCCCATCATCGTGAGTGACAAATGAGACGAGTAATTTCCTAAGAAATTCCAAGCTTTTGGATTGGAATATCATCGGATCAGTTTGAAAGTTCGGTAGATGGTATGATGCTTGAATCATCTTCAAATAATCAAACTTGAAACTTGAATTGGATTTCCAATAAAGATCTGGATAGTATTTATAATAAAATTTATAAAAAATGGGATACCTGAAAGTTGGTGAATTAGTCCCCATTTCGATTCTATAGCTTTCATTTGAAATAAACGTGAAAATATTTTCAAACCTAAAATAGTCTTTTATATTATCAAATTTGCAGTATTCATACCATTTTCTGAAAAGCGTGGACTCTATTTCACAATAAAGGAGTATGATTTGTGATTTTACTCCCTGAATGTACTCTTGTGCTCTATCGCTACTATCACTATAGTAAGGGTCATATTCCTCTTCTCGATCAAGGTCAATTAATTCATCAACCATTTTAGATAAGTCGCTTTCCAACCGATTTATTAAGCTTCCATCAATCCAGTTGAGGCTGGCAAACTCTCTTAGCGCTTTTAATAATATCAAATGCAATCTAAAATAATCGATGGTTTCAGAATACGTAGCCATTTCAATATGCTCCTCATCAATATAGTCTTTTAATCTAATAAATGTCTGATGAACATCTTGTAAAAGATTCTTGGCCTCTGCATCCCTATAGCATGTATCACTAAAGTAGCAAAAGTGATATAGTCTCGTGAATACTCGGCATAAGATTGGATGGAATTTGTTTGATAAAATTCCAAATTCTTTAACTTTTTGTAAATCTTCATATTCATCAATGATATCGGTTAAGCCCAAAGCTATTAAGTCTTGGTGGTCGTCAATATGAGCTTTAGCATTTGGAAGTTTTGCTTTCAACCCTGCTTGGATCACTTGCGGAATATTGTACGCATGCTTCTTTTCTAATTGTCTAGATCTAAACTTGTCAACATGAAACCTTCTCCAGGCCAATTGATTAATAGCAGGAGGAATAAAAAATTTTTTGGAGCCAAGTTGGATTAGGTTTACATTTTCATCAACATATTCTTCACTGTATTTGTTTTCTAAAAGACCAGAATCCGCCTTCATTAGTGGAAGTACTGGAAAAACTTTAGATTCCATAGTTCTTTGAATAGATTGAATAAAATCCCCTTGGTGTATACCTATATCTGTCCACTCCTTAATATCAGCTTCATTATTACTCAATTTTGTTAAAAAAGTATCTTTTGCTAACAAGTCTTTCTTATTTTGTTCAATTCCTTCAACAGCAACATCTTTCTCCTCCAAATCAAGGACTTCTAGTTGTTTGTTTATAATATCTAATGCCTCATTTGCAATCGATACACAATTACTCAAATGAACGGATTTAAATATTTGGAAAACATAGTGATAAAATTTCCAAATTTTACCTAATTTCAACCTCTCGATACTTATAGGATTTAATATCTTCTCATAAGATAAATTGAGAAATTCATCTAATGAATAAATTAACCAATGGGCCAATTTAAAAGTTAAAAACGGTAATGAATTTGAAATTATACCATGTCCATCGATTCGTGTATAGTTATGATTAAACGCACTATACAATTGATCATGAAATATTGATGAATTGATATTAGAGTTCATACCTGAGTGTTGACCCAATTTAATTGAATCTTTCAAATCCGATATTAAAATAAATGCAAATTTGAAATTCTTGTAGTGATTGTAATTATCCAAATCGGGCAAATTGATAAATCGTAAGATTCTCGAAATAAGGATAGAAATTTCTGAACCATCTTTCAATAAAGATATATTTCTCCTATAAGAACTATTTAGTAGTGTATCAAAGGGGTGGAACTTTCTAAATTTTGCAACATCTTTGAAAAAAAGATTTTTTTTAATATTTTTCTGAATTAAAATAACCCTGGCTAAGCTTTCATGGGGTATTTTGTCACAATCTTTCTTGATATAAGAATCGCCAACCGATATCTCATCTTTGATTAGAAAACAAGTGGTAAACTTGCGGTGTTTTTCAAAAGATAGCCTCGCCTTATTCTTAACATCATCCAAAAACTTGTTTCTTCTTTCATTGGCTAACTCTAAGCTCTTGTTCAATTTCAGAGAGTTTTTCTCAATCAATACTTCCTGGCGACGTTTGACCTCATTAATTCTTTCATTGATCAACTGTTGCTTCTGTCTCAATCTCAAAGACTTGTCCTCAAGCTGCTGTTGTTTTCTAAGTTTGTGAGTGTTATCAGACTTTACCGAAGTAGAATGATCCAATTTTGATTTAACTGGGGTTATATTCTTCAAGATATGGAATGGAATGTCAAATGGGATTGAAGAGCTAGGTGTTACATCTGATGACTGATTTGGTTCCTGAAAAATTGCTTCAAATTTAGATTCACAGTCATCATCATCTTCATTTTGAGAGTCATCTTCATTCAAGATTGAATTCTTGAATGCTAATGTAGAACTATCATTTTGGGAAGCTGATTCATTCAGGCTTGAATCCTTCATATTTGCTTCATAAAGACTGTAATTTTTCTTTTTCCCAAAAGAATTGAAGCACTGAAAATAAAAGTTTAGACAATTTCAAGACAGCAAGAAGGTTAATAGCCAAATAAGTAGCAATATGTATTTTATAACCGTTGATAAGGGATGATTATCCCTTTTTATGGGGTATTTGCGACACAATCCAGCCATCAAAACAAAAGACCCGGACACCGAGACATTAAATTTATTCTATTTTACAATTATAATTAGCAGCAATTGACTTACAAAGATTACAATCAACTCAAAAAGATTCAAAAAGATGAAATAAATATAATGGATTAAAGGATTAATAATACTCTAGAAGAAAAAGAAAAAAAGAGGAAAGTCTATTATACAGTGAAAATGCTTCTTGGGATAACAAGAGATTAGGAAAAGATGAAAATGATTATGAACAGGAATTATTGAAAAAACAAATTGTTTTATGAACAGATTGAATGAACAGATTAAATGAACAGATGAGCAGATATGAAATGAAGATATTAGTTTTCTTGTGAAGGTTGTTTCTTTTTGCTTTTCCAAATTTTACCAAATTTGAAAATGGTGCCGGAATTTTCTGAGGAAAGGTTTGCCATTGAGCTTTCTGGTCTAACAGGAGTTACCACATTATCGAAAGCGTTTGATTGTTGATTGATCAAGCTACCACTTCTATTTCTATTTTGAGGGTTACTATTTGATCTTGGGAAAGATAAATTTGGTTGAGTAGTAGGGGTACTACCTGCAGAATGACTTGGTGAATAAGAATTTGGAGATTTACCGGTATGAATTTTAAGATGACCTAATAAATTTGAAATTGAGGAAGATTGGGTTACTGATTTATCAAAAGAAGATAATTGAGGAGATGTTGAAGAAGACGCAGGAGGAGGAGGTTTTTCATTTGGAATTAATTTTGGAGAAGAAGAGTAACGAGAAAAATCATTATCTTCATCTCCAAAAATTATATCATTATGATCATGAGGAGAATTTGAGAATTTGATTGATTTTTTCTTTAGGTTTGAAGATAAATCGATTGGAGAATTTGATAATTTAGGAGAAGAAGATGAAGAAGCCTTGGGGATGAAGTTTGGAGGAGATATTGATTGATTATGTAAAGAATTAGGGGACACTGGAGATAAATGATGATCATGTATATTTGATTTTGATGATTTTTGACAACAGTTAGGTAATGAATTAGAATCTTGTAAAGAGTCTAATTTTAATGAACGATTTTTTTTAATAAAACTTAAATAAGCATTTTCTTTAATAATTTGTAAGATTTCATTTTTAGCTCTCATTAATTTTATTGGATTGTGAATTTTATTATCATCATCATCATCTTTATGATCTTCATCCAAGATTTCTTTAGAAGATTTTTGACTGATGTTAATTTGTTCAGGAGAATCATGATAAATATAATTATTTAAAATTAGGTCCCATTGATTAGTTAATAATTGACGTTCTTCAAAAGTTAATTTTTTCGTTGGATTATTTGGATTTTCGGGCGAGCTGTCTAAATGACTATCATCATCTGATATTGATATTATTGATTTATTTTGGTCATCGTCATCATCATCGGATAAATTTGATTCTCTTAAAGAATCCCAGGCTTGATTCATCATACTTGAATTTGGGGTTGGATTATTGATTGCCCGAATCGAAGCAAACTCATCTTCATTACCTAAATCATCGATTGTAGACACAAATACCAGAGTTGGTTCATGATCTTCTGATTTTATGGAGTTTGAAGATTTTTTCCTTTGATGATATCGACTTCTATTTTTATTTTTAAATTTTTTAGTTGGATAAGGTAAATTATCTAAAGATTTATCTAAGGATCGATTTAAAAAACTATTTGAATAATGCAATGGGGAAGGACTGGTTAACTTTAAAGTTTCTAAATGATTAGGGAAAATTTTATCATAATAATATTCATACTTGAATATTTCAATGACAAACGATAAATTCTCTTGGGTATGTAAAGTAGCCATGTATTTTTCAAAATTATTAACCATTTGTTTCCTATTTGCGCTTAATGGTTGATTAATTGCATCATGGAAACAATCGTCTAATAATTCTTCTAATGAAGGTACCGTGGTTTCACTTCCTCCCCCACTGGGTAATATAGTGGACACCGACCCGGCCATTGATGCTCCCGATGAATTCACTGACTTTTCAGACATAAAACTATTCCCAAGTTGTCCATTTTTATCTGGAACTGGACTCGTTGATGGACTATTACTATAAGATGAATTAGAAGAGTAATTATACTGACTATTAAGTGACGTGGGTGGGGCCTTTTTCGGTATAGGTGCTTGATAGTTAAATCCAGATGGATAAGACATGTTCAGACCTGTCTTTATAGAACTAGTAGCTGTCTAGTCTTGGATAAAGTTGGAATAGTAGTTTAAGTTTTAAGGTGATGGAAGGGAANAAAAAAAAAAAGAAAGAAACAAAAAAAAAAAAAAAGAAAATTTAAAGAATTTGCCTAACAAAACAAAAAAAAAAACCAGCAAAAAGAAATAAGAAGTACGGTTTTTTGGGGGTTTTCCAACGCTTTCCACTAGTGGTTTTATCAATGGGCCAGGATGGGTTACTAAAGGAAAGAAAGTCACTGGCATAACAGTAACAAAGAGAGTCAAGGGTTTAAATATTAGGGTAGTATTACCAGGAAATGGGCTCACCGGTCTCGTCTAATATGCATGGGTAATTAATGGGATGTTTGGATGTAAACATTTCACTAAATAAGTTTCCATTGCATTGAGACATCTTCTAGAAACTGGAGACCGTTGGACTCCATGATTACGAGTGTTGCTATGGCCACTTGCCTTCTTTCTTGTGGTTTGGTGGTTTGGTGGTTTGGTGGTTTGGTGGTTTGGGGGCCAGGCCCCCAAACCAACGGTTGGGCTGAAGGGCCTGGGGGTGGCTTACCCATCCTGGTGCACGGAACGGTGGGGCACACTTCCGAGTCACAACGGTATTAACGGTAACACTGCAGGGGACTACTGGACCGGGGTCCTTGCGACGGTTCCACCCATTCGTCAATATGGGTGGATACGACTTGGTTGTAGGATGGCCTGGTTGTGGAGATGGTGGTTGGTGGTAGTTGATGCTATGGCTGGTTGGGGCTGGAGATCTTCATGGCCACTTTGCATTTCTTGCATCAACGGTGTCGTTTGGATTCTTCTTCGCTACAACCTCCCGTCACAAATCGCTTTGCTCCATTGCAATGGAATCCTGCCAACCAGCCCGGGATCTTACCCCTAAGCATGCAGTGGCATCTTGCCAATCATGCAATTGGCTCATGCGAGGTTTGATTGTTGCAAATAGGCCTACGCGAGGTGGGTATACCACCACAAGCTGAACTGGCAAGAGTGAGAATGGTCTGATACGGCAGCGACAATGCACACCTGAGCAGCTGACCGGATGGGGGCCTCTGTCACCGTTAAGACGAATCCGTTGATGGATGCCCGGTTTGTCTTATTGGTTGTGGTGTACGGAGCGTTCTTTTGGTATCATTGTACTATTCCGAATCGGGCTCTCCCGTGCACGCTCTGCCAACCGTTCTACTCGATCACCATGCTTGATCAGATCATCTAGTTATACGAATCGGTTATGAATATGTGTATATGGTTATAAACATAGGTAGCCTTCAATATATAAATATACGCTTATCACAGTGGATGGTTATATAAGTATATCGCGATAACCCTTTTCCCTCCCGGTCTTCTCCTGCATACAACCCCCCGCTATCAAAAAGTATACGGGGTGAAGTGAATACTACATTTGCTTTCCACAGTTTCTTTATCATTAAGCTGCTTAATATTAGTTTATTATCCAAGATATTGTTTGTTACTGTTATTGGGGGTTTTAAATTGTTAATTTAGCTATTTCTGCTGCTTATTTTTTCGCTATTTTTCCATTTTTTGCCGCCCTTTTAATAACCGCCGGAGAATGCTACTGAAATCGTTATTCAAACAGGCTAGGCTGGTTAATGTCAACCCGGTACTCGGTAGAATTGGAAGCAATGGCGGGGTTAATCTTGAATCAACAAGATACATTTCCCGTAAACTGTTTGCCACTTCATCATCTATCGATAATGATGCTGATTATGAAATTGATTTGATTTCTTTAAGAAAGACCAAAAAAAATGATCTCTCTACTAAACCAATTGCTAAGTCAACGGTATTGAAGTCAATTAACGAAATTAAATCAGATCCTTTGGATTTTAAAGCTTATCGCAGATCAGATGAACAAGGGTATTTGGAATTTGTTCAAAATTATAAGATTGAATTAACCGAATTCTTGAATTTCATTCGTAAATCTTATAATAATAAAATAAAGGATTTTAAACAATTGACACCTGTGGAATTATCGAACAGTGCCTTGATTTTCAAAAACTTGTTCTTAAAGGGTAAGTTAAATCCAACCATTAATAAGTATAATTCTTCTAGTTATCAAAAAATGATTACAAGATTGCTAAAGTATACTACTCATGATGATAAATTCCATATTAACTTATCGGATTCTTTATTACCTTTTGTTAATAGTGACGTGGATTTAACCTTGATATATTCAAAAGGTATTTTGAATTATTTACCGGAATTGAAAGATTTATTTGGTTATAAAAAGCTTACTGGAATTGATCAAGTCATTCTGGAGGTTAATAATCAAATTAACATCCTAAATGAATCTTTAATGAAGTCAAAGGAGTTGGAGAATTATGATTTGGTTTTTTTCAAAAACTTTATTAACCTTCAAAGATACTCAAACTTGAATGAAATCCTAAGTTCGTGTGATTTGTCCACTTCTGACTTGGAATTCATCTTGAATGATTCAGATAATTTGATTATCAATAACCGAATCAAATACAATTCCGGAGAAGATTCCAAAATTTATTCAACTTTATTAGAGTTAAATGGCCATATTAATTTCTTCATCTTAAGTTCTGCTAAAAAATTTGAAAATTTCCCGCAATTCTTGGAAGAATTGTACAACGCTTCTTCAAATTCAAATGATTTAATCTCCAAGGAAATTTATTCAACTATTGTCGAAAAATTATTACCTTTACTTTGTAATTCCACAATCAATATCAGCGATATTGAAATTTTGAAACCAGTCGTTAATGAAGAATATTCCAAAGATACCTTGATTATTTCCGACAATAATCGTGTAAATTTTGAATTAAAAACTAGTGAATTGGTGGGATTGCATGATTGTATCGGTTTATTAAACCATTTTAAAAATTATATCGGTGGTAGCTTAAACATTTCTCCAATTAAAATAGAATCTCACTTGGTTAGTTATATCAATGAATATACCGATCCAAAAGTTTGTTCTCCTATTGTGTTATCGAAATTAGAAGACTTTCAATTATCTTTAAGAGAATATCTTCTGATTATTAATTGGAAACTGAATACTTTGGATTCTCTCTTATCGAATCAAGCCTGGCAAGCAGCGCTTGATTGGTATTCCGGTAGACATTATCAAATAGATGATGATATGATGGCCGTTTATGACTATACGGATTATATCAAAAATTTTGAACCTAAAGATGTGAAATATGATGAATTGTTGGTAAACTTACAACAGGAAATAAAATTATTAAAATCAAACCAATTGAATAATTTGCCGTTTGAATGCTTCAAAGTTGATGAAATTAAATCGATTTTATCAAATCTATTACCATCCTCAACTCGTTTAAATCAATTGAAGAATTCATTACCTGCTTCTGGTTCAAATGCTAAATTCTTGGATCAAGTCTTATTATCTCCTCCTCCAGCCCCTCCCTCTCAATCGTATACTCAGGTTCCTGATGATCTTGAATTGGATAAATTCATTAATGAATTAACCATTTTAAAGAAAGACGTATTGAAGAAGCCTTATAAATCATTTACTTCTTCTGCTTTGAACAAATTTATTGATGAGAAAATTGATGAAGTTTTCAACTCAAAATTTCATGGCCCAAAGATTTTCAAACCAGTTAACTCTACTGAGTTTGGTATTCATCGTGGTAATGTTTATCAATTCGTCAGATTAAGTAAAAGATTAACAAGATTATTTGAAGTGAATGGTGGGAATACTGAAGTCTTGGATTTTTTGATCCATAGTCAATCTGTATTCAATGATATGGAAGCTAAAATTAGGGAGAAAAAATTGGCTAAATTGGCAACTAAGGCAACTACCAAGGAAAACGACAAGCCTTATGTTCAAATTCCTGATGATTTGGAATTACATAAATTCACGAAAGAATTGGAAATTTTCAAAAATGATGAATTAAGATCTTCTTTCAAGAACTTCAGTCCTGACAAGATCAATTCTTTATTAGATAAAAGAATCAATGAAATTTACAATGATTTACCAAACACCAATCCTGCTTCAAGGTTATCAAAGGAAAATGTTTTTGAATTCATGAGATTAAGTAAAAGAATAACAAGGTTATTCGATATGAATGGTGGTAATACTCAAGTTTTGGATAGTGTAATTCAAAGTCAATCAGTTCTTGATAGTGTTGAAGCAAAAATTGCCCAGAAGAAGAAGGAAAAAGAATTGAAAGCTTCTAAAAGAGACACATATGAAACTAAGCCTTATACTCAAATTCCTGATGATTTGGAATTACACAATTTCATTAATGAATTGGAAATTTTGAAAAATGATGAACTAAAAGCATCGTTTGGTAATTTCTCAGCAGAAAAAATAAATTCATTGCTAGATAAAAGGATCAATGAGATTTATAATGACTTGCCAAATACTAACCCAGTATCCAGATTGTCTAAAGAAAATATTTATGGATTCATGAGATTAAGCAAAAGATTAACTAGGCTATTCAACATCAATAATGGGAATACAGCCATATTAGATACCTTACTCAAAAACCAATCGATTTTGAATAACGTTGAAAGAAAAATAGCTGAGAAAAACGTCTCAGAGAAGCCTACTGTTAAGCCATATGTCCAAATTCCTGATGATTTGGAATTACATAAATTCACGAAAGAATTGGAAATTTTCAAAAATGATGAATTAAAATCTTCTTTCAAGAACTTCAGTCCTGACAAGATCAATGCCTTATTAGATAAAAGAATCAATGAAATTTACAATGACTTACCAAATACCAATCTCGCATCTAGGTTATCAAAGGACAATGTTTACGACTTTATGAGATTAAGTAAACGATTGACAAGACTTTTTGATGTAAATGGGGGTCATACAGGAGTTTTAGATACATTACTTCAAAGTCAATCAGTTTTTGATAATGTTGATTCAATGATTAAGAAAAGAAGATTGTCATCTACAAATATTTCTGCTGTACCAGCCAGTCCATTACCTTATAAGCAAGTTCCTGATGACTTCATGCTAGAGGAATACATGGTTGACTTATTACAACTAAGAAGTGAATTGGGCGATGATTTCAAAAAATTTGAAACTGACAAAATTATGCAGCAATTAAGAAATATGATTGATAACGTGAAGAAATATAACTTGGACAAACGAATTACTTTTTCTAAATTGTACCGTAATTTGTCATTATTATTTAAACATAATGGCCAGCAATCTTTCATTCTTGATAATGTTTTGATCAATGCTCAGACTTACTCAGACTTTGAAAGCAGTTTAGCCAACAGACGCTTGAATAACACCATTGAAACACAACCTGAAGAATTATCGAAACCAAAAGAGTCAAAAGATCGTCTTCAAATCCCAACGGATGAAGAGTACACTAATAAATTTAATATGGAAGAATTTATTAATAACCCTCCAAACAAGAAGACTCAATATAATGATTCTGAGTATCTTATTTCCTTATTGGCTAAGAACGGTGAGCCATCAGAATTGGATAATGAAGACTTGTTAAAATCTGAGTTGGCTTTCAAAGACGCCGTTTCGAATGCTTTAAATAATAAAGCTAGTAAATCTGAAGAAAACCCTGAAGAGTTTGATGAATTAGTAAATTTAACTGCAGAAAAAGTTCGTGAAAACTATAAAAACAAATCAAAGCCTGAGAAAGAAGTTGGTGAAAAGAAGGCAAATGTTGACAAGGAAACTTTACAAGATTTTTTACAGAATGCCAAAAAGGAAAATGAATTAGCTAAGGAAAGAAGATTTCGTGAGTCCAAAGCTTACGAATGGAGTAAAAGCTTGTGTAATTCAAATCGTACATTAGAAAGTCACAATTTTTTCAATCCCTTATTATCAATTAGCAAATCGAAGGATTCTGAAGATTTATTATTTCCCGATGCCAACAAGATCAATCGAAACGGCGAGCGTAAATATCTCATTTTAACTCCCAATGGAAGTAAAGTTGTTATGAACGAAAATCCTTTTGGTCCTTATCATGCCGACGAGGATATATTTTCAGTGTTGAATAAATTTTCTGAAGATGATTTCAAAAGATTATGCAAAGTTATTAAAAGATACCAAAGCAAAAACTGGAAGTTAATTGGCGGTGGTGGTAAAGAAAAGATTTTAGTTTTCACCAGAGTTAAATTCGATAAGAAGAAATTTGTTTTAACTAAACTTAAAACTGCTTTCGCCACAGCTGGTGTTGTTTTCATTACGTTATTTGGTCTTAATTACTGGTCAGGGAACTTGGATCATGTGCAACGCAATGAAAGAATAACTCCACCCCCACCAAATCCAGCAGAGGAGACAAAGGTTCCTCAATCAGCTAGCTCAATGGCCAATAAGACCAACGAAGCAAATGGTGCTTCTGAAAAGCCTTTATGGTCCGGATTATTCTGGAAGTAATCGGGCCCCTACCGTTAGCACTTCACTGGGATGAAGTATAATTATCGTTTAAGTTTTTGTTTATGTTTTATTGGAATATTATTTATTACGTTATAAGTAAGTGTAGAATATGACTTTATTTAATGCTGCGAAAAAAAAAAAACTTTTTTGAAAAAGTTAACCTAATGTAACGATAAGAAATTGAACTAAACTAATATACAAGGGCCAAAACAAAGCCTTTAATAAAACTAATCTTTCATTTCTGCTTCTTTGGTAGGTAAGTCCTTCATATCCTTGTGAATGTGAATGTACTTCATGATGGTGACTCCTCCGTGGGTACCATTCCAGAGTCTCAATCTTTCAACCGTTTGTTTATCACTCAAATCAGGCAACTTGTATCCGGTATCGTATATGTGTTGGTCGTGCTTTCTCTTCTCTTCCAAGATATTCTGTCTTGCTGTTGCTGGTCTTCCAGGTCTTCTTTCCTCTTGTAGTTCTTTTATTTCATCATCGTCTTTACTAATATAACTTTCAACGAAATCCTTCATATCTTGCAAGCCGAAAGTCACCTTCTCTGGTTCCTCGTTCACTTTTTCTTGAAGATGGACAATGAATCTCAACTCGTTGTCCTTTTGTTCTTGATGCTTCATCTTTTTGGCTGTAATCTTTTGGTCTCTTAAGGTTGCACGATTCAATTGTTTAAACTTACGACCCTTGATATGCATTTGTCCCGTGGATTTCGCAAGGTTCTTGTTGACCTTGTTCAAGTTCTTGATTATAGGCATCTTATCTCTGTACTAATCTTCCCTATAGCTATTCACACAAGCTTATCCTAACTATGGTCTTCCCCAGCTCATCTTCAAACGAAGAGAAGAGAAAAAAAAAAAAAAAAAAAAAAAAAAAGATTTCACTGGCATTTTCCTGCACACAATGGTCACGCGACCAACCGCACAAAAAAGGAAGTTTTTATGCGAAAAAAAGCGGTCGTGCAAATCGGCCAATTCTAATAACGAAGACTTAATTTTTTTTTTCATGGAAAGCTGTGGACTTAATTAAAAAAATCATAGAACAGGTCTAGGAAAGCTGCAACCAATACTGGAAAAATAGGATTTTTGAAGCAAGCTAGTTAAGATACGATGATCAAGTATACCGAAGAGCAATTATTCGAAGTTCAAGAACAAGCTTATAACCCCAAACCAGAAATTTTGGATGCTTTCAATGCATTAGTTGAATCGGTAAGAGAACACAATGAATTGAAGGCTGCTTTCAAGAGAAGTAACGGGGATACTTATATTGATGAACACGGTAATGAAAGATCTTACCGTCACATGAATAGAAGAAGACCATCTCGTACTGGGGTTAATCCAAATTTGAAGAAAAAACCAGCTGAAGTTGTTAAAGTTGACGAGGATGGATGGGCAACTTTCACTAAGGCCAAAAAATCTTTTGGTGCTGAAGATGGAACTGACGAAAGAGATCAATTCAGGGAAAGTGTTAAAGACAGTGGTGCTGCAGTTAAAATCAAACCAAATAATAAAAACTTGGGTTCTTCTAAAGCCGTTGATCCAAGAGACGCAATTGCTGATAAGCAAACAACTACTTTCAATGCTTTTGAAGCTTTAGGTGCTGATGATGACGACGAATAAACAATTCTTATTTAAGTTAGTGACTTAACCGTGGAAGATCCTTAATTTCCACTGGTTACTCTCATTTCTTATGTATAATTCTTATATTATAATAAACTTTTGATGATAAATGTTTGTAGTACTTACATTTAGGTAATAAATTGTATTTTGTTTCTTTGAAAGTAAGTCTATGGCAAGAAGAAGTAAAAGTTGACCTAAAAAAGTTGCAAAAAAAAAACAAAAATATGAAAACGAATAAAGTTGCCAATCAAAAATGTTGCTAATTAAAGAAGAAACACATCTTCATGAACGTCATAGGATAAAAGATGTGGGAAAGAAAAACAAACAAGAAAAAAGGAAAAACATAGAATAAAACATCACCATTAAACAACGAGTGCTGAATCATCATCACTATCTAAATCTCCAAGAATTGAATCAACATCAGCAGTGGCCATTTGTTTAGACAAAATTGATCCAGGAGTAGTAGAAACAGATTCTCCTCCGTTATTTATATTACCATTACCATTAGAATTACCGTTACCATTACTACCATGAGAACTTTGTGCGAAATTAGCCAGAGGCTTCTTCAAGATATTATTACCCTTATGTTCCATCATTATATCTTTAAGATCCGCAACTTTTGGCGAGTTGAAATATTTAGTTTCAAGAGTGAATATTGAGCCATTGGTAAAGTCACTCCCAATTGTAGTATTTGCATTATTCCCATTGAGCTTAGATGAAGGATATTGGTTATGGATTAAGCCGGAATGAATTGAAGTAATATCATTTGCATTACCTAAACCTAAACCATTTGAATGACTATGGTTTCTGGCTGATATATCAGATTCTGTGATATCTGCAGTCTCCGATGAAATCTCCGATGTTTCATCAATATTTAAATTATTAATATCAAGATGTGGTCTATCAGGACCTTTGAATTTAGCCATATCTAAAATTAATAATCTTTGAGGGTTTATCCATCTTGCAGTAAAAGGACTCAATGTAACAAATTCTTGTAATGATTTTTTATTGGAATTGAATTTCACTCCTCCATTTTCATCTTGATGACTATTGGAATTACCTCTGGTTAAAATTTCTTGATTTAGAGACTCATCATCTTCCAAGTCGCCAATCCATAAATTGTTCAATTGACGATATTGAATATCAATTAATAAATTAGAATAAAATTGGGATTTCAATGGATCTTGTTCAATTTGTTTTGAATATTGACTTCCTAAGAATTGAGTTGAATAATGCATAATAATATAAGCAATAGTGTCTTTGGTCTTAGAAACTTGTGAATATGATGATTGATTTAAAGATAATTGCCAATGATAGAAAAATGGTATAAAGTTACTAATAAAGTTAATACCTAAAATTGAAACCAAATTTTTTAAAGTGTCAACTAGAGAACGTGATAATTCAATACTAATCAAGTCATCCGATTTTTGATCGAAAAATCTGTTTATATGGACTAATAAATGATTGATAAAGTTTTCCCCATCGGAAATATATTGATTATAATCAGGAGATAAAAATTTTGAAGCATCAGGTAATGATTTTTCAGTACTGAGAACATCATTTGTTTTGAATTCATCATCAGCACTTATTAATTCATTATTAATGAAAAAACGGAATACTTTTAAATATTTGAGTTGGATTAAATTAATTTGATCGTTTGTCAATGAATATTTATCACCTTGTTTTAAAGAAGTAAATTCAGTAAGAGGTGACAATAATGCTAAACTGATTTCCCAATGTTCTAAATTAGCATGATTACGATTAATAGTACTTGATTTATCTTTTAAAATACCAAGGAAAATTGAAATATTTTCTAATAAAGTATCAACTAGTTTAGTTACTCTTTCAGCTTTGATATCATCCATAGTTAAGTCCAAAGAGTCGAGTAAAGAGTCAATTTTAATCAAGATTTCTTGAAGCGAATCGGGAACTTGATCATAATAATATATATGGCTTGATAAATTACAAATTGAATTGGAATAGATTAATGATAAAGTAGAGACTTCATCATCCGATAAATAATCGGCTTGGACTAAATGTAAATGGGATTGCAATAATAATAATTGTTGAATGACATCCGAAATGGACAAACCAATCATATTGACGTCAGAAGAAACCAAACCAAGAATATGACTTGAGTATTGTAATTGAACCTCATAATTTGATTTCTCTGAAGAAGCTTGATGAGTGATTGTTGAAAGCTTTGATAATAAAGTAGATAAAGTAACAAATCTTAATTGAACCGGGATCCAAGTTGTACACATTTCCAAAAAAGTTGATTTCCAATTTTGATCGTGAGTAGATTGAGTTTTAACCACGGCTTTTGTTGCTTCAGTGATTTGACTTGTTAATGAGGTATTGAACAACGTTCTTAAGCCTCTAAAAGATTCTTCATTCAAATCCGATAGAGTAACCGAATCATTTTCAAAATCCTCATCAATAATTTTATTAACTTGAGCAACACTTTTACCCAGAGTAGTTTTAGTCAAGATATGAGCTTTAGTATTATCGGCATCAGCGTCAACATTGACGTTACTATTTAGTCTTGATAATAAGTTTTTCTCTGAATTATTATGATGAATATTTTCAATTAAAATTGGAATGCATAAACCAATGAATTTTTTCAGAAGTTTTGAATTAAACCCTATACAACCGAAAACGTGTCTTGAAGCCATTAAAGCAATCATTTTCCATTCCAACTTATTTGGTCCTTCAACTTTCAGAGAAGATTCACCGGTTTGAATCAAAGACTCCGATAATTTAGTAAAAGAATCAACAAATTCTTGATCACCAGTAAATAACCCACCGTCCAACTTGGAACAGAATACTGCATAAGTAGAAAGACATGACCTAGATAATGATAAATCCTTAGTAGATAAGGCCGACAGTAAAATTGAACATACATGACTAGCGAAAACATTTAAATTATCATAACATTTTTCAATAAGCGCCAGTACAATACTCAAAGTGACTTGTAAGTTACCAGCACGAGATCTATAAGTATCCGATTGGGCCTTACGATCTAAGAAAATCATCACTTTTTCTAACTTTATTCGACGAGTTGATGCATAATACAAAAGATAACTAAGTTCTGACAGATTTGGCTTCTTATCAACACCTTTCCCTGGAGGATAACATTGTAAAATGAGTTTCTGATGCTTGGAATGGAATATCCTCATCTTAACTTGTTTTAATTCGATTATTTATTCTCTTACTATACTTATTTAATCGATCTTTCGCTTAACCGCCGCTTCAATTCTTAAGCAATTGTCAAGCACTAGGATCTCAATAAAACTGCCCGCTAGTATACCGCAATTTCCACTCCTGATATACCCCTATTTCAAGTGTATACAACGATGCAACTAAACAATTAAAAGGTGCTGTTAACTTTTAAGCGGTAACCGCTCTTATAAGCAACTCTCGATAGTTTTTCCAGTTTTTCTAGTGAGTTTTTGAGGTGTTGTTCCTTTGGTCTTTGTTTTTTTTTTTTTTTTTGTTTTTTTATTGAATTTTTTTTTGTTTTGAGTGGAGATTGCGATTACTCGAGCTTCTGATAATGGAAGCTTGAAGTTAAAAACAGTTGGAGTTTAACAGTTGGGGCGGGAAGGCAGAACAGTGAGTCGTGGTGGGAAGGCAGAACTTACAGGTTTACTGGGAAGTCTACGGATTGGTGGAGCCAATTGCACATGAATGCAAAGAGGGTATAGATGCGCAGAAGCGAGGTCTGTCGCTTGGGATTGAATGTGTTTTTGGCATGTTTGTTTACTCAGTTCGTGGGAGGTCTATTCAAGGGCCCGCTTGTAGAATTATAGGTTGACTTGTAGGTCCCTCTGGAGGGTTGTAGGACTTGTTAGCAGGCGATGAGGGACTAATTCGGGTCAAAAAAAAAAAAAAGATACTATCGAAAAAGAGGAATCTACGGCAGTAGCCAGAATTCAGCAAGATGCCACCGATATACGTTAAGGGAGGTGTATGGACAAACGTGGAGGATGAGATCTTGAAAGCAGCGGTGTCCAAATATGGACTAAACCAATGGGCAAGGGTTGCATCCCTTTTGAGTAAGAAATCTGCCAAACAAGCAAAGGCCAGATGGAGTGAATGGCTTAATCCGAATATAAATAAATCAGACTGGACCAGGGAAGACGACGAACGGTTGTTGAGTTTGGCCAAGCTCTTGCCCAACCAATGGCGTAGTATAGCTCCGTTATTGGGTCGGACGGCTACTCATTGTGTTGAAAGATATCAAAAGTTACTTGAAGACGCTTCGGGGGTTACTGATAAAAATGATTTGTCGCTAGCAGGTCCTGGGATTGAATCATTACCGGCAGCCGGGAATAATATTGGCGATGTCAATATAAACCCTGAATCCAAGCCCTCTCGTCCTGACTTAGAAGATATGGACGACGAGGACCGGGAAATGTTATCGGAAGCAAAAGCCCGTTTAGCCAATACCCAAGGGAAAAAGGCCAAAAGAAAAGCTCGTGAAAGAATGTTGGAGGAAAGTAAACGTATATCTTTACTACAGAAGAGGAGAGAGCTCAAGGCAGCTGGTATAAAAGTAAGTTTGGTATCTAAAAATAAACAAAAACGTAAAGAATTTGATTATAATGCTGATATTCCTCACGAACATACACCGCAAGCTGGTATTTACGATACTTCAGAGGAATCAAAGTTGAATGTTCGTGAAAGAGCCAAATTCGATAAATTGGTCAAGAACGACGGTATAAGTTTAAAAGAAGTGGATGATAAACATAAAAGAGAGAAAAATCAAGAATTAAAGGAAAAGAGAGATTGGGAAAAACGTCAAAAACAAGAATTAGAAGCTGCTGCAGAGATATTCAATCAAAATGAGGAAAGACTTTTGAAAAAACGTAAACTTGATCTACCGGAGGTAAATAAAGAAGTTTCACAACAGGACGATATAGATGATCGAATTTTGAATAAAACAAAAGAATTAATCTCTAAAACTAACCAAAAATCAACTCTTTTGTTGAATAACGATTCACCCCAATCGGTATCTTCAAATAAACCTTCCAAACCAAAGGCATCTAATTCTAAATTAAAGAAATCATTACGTGATTTCATTCAGTCGAGTTTGAAAACGTTACCTGCACCGAGAAACAAACCCTCGGTGATTGTTCCTTCTTTTGACCCTCTGGAAGAACCGGTCATTGAAGAAACTCAAATATTGGATGTTGACTCGAGATACGAAGACGAAGGCGAAAGATTAAGAAACTTGGAGATTTCTCGTCAAGTTGATGAAATCAAACTGCAACTTCGAAGATCTCTGGCCATCCAGAAAAATTTAAGCGTGCCTCATCCATCACAAATACAACATGAACTAACCTCATCTTCACTACTCGATAGATTGATCCATAAAGAATTGATCGACCTCGTCAATTCTGACTATACTAAATATGAAGATAGTTCTTACCCATCTAATTTGATACCGGATCTTGACGAAATCTCTTATGATCAAGTTCAGGCCGAAATTAAGGAAGAATTAGAAAAGCCCAAGCCATCACATAAGGTTTCGCCTCTCTTAGATAATTATTCGCTCCCTCGAGATTTCGAAACTGCTGAAACAGTAATCAGTACTTTACATTCACTCCATACAACAAATCAGAAATTGCTTTCCCAACTTGATTTCTCGTCTTACGAAAGAAATGTCGACCAATTGGTGAGTGAAATCGTGTCGGACTCCCACGAATTAGCCCTGTCTGCTATCGATTATAATACTTACGCGTCCATTGCTGCCCAAGAGCAAAAAGCCATGGATGTTTGCTTACAGAGAAAACATTCTTTAGTTGATGACTTGGTTCAAGCAGAACAGCAAATACAGCACCGTGTAAGACTGCTCAAGAATGGTACTTTTTCAAGCTAATGATCCTACGACACCTTTATTTATAGATTAGAATTGTATATAAAGAAAGATTATAGTAATCAACAATATTCAAAAGCTCTTATAGTATTGTAAAGATGTACAACGGATATATAGACTGCGTAACGTTATCTTTTGGGCTCGCAATTATTAATGATTGGAAAAAGAAAAAGATTGTGATTCCAGTTTACATTTCAGCAAACTAGAATTAACACTCTTCAAATCAGTTTTCATGAACTAAAATAGATAACATGAACAGTAACTTGATTGATATCAAATTTCGTATTACCAATCCAATTGATATCTCTCAATGTTTGGCTGAAGTCATCAAAAGAGATTATTTCCAAGCTGCGAGTATATTTTCATCAGATTTGAATGAAATCGGTCAATTACGTCAGAAGGTCGAGTCATTGAAGGACCATGAAGTTAAGCCCGAAGGTGAATCCACTCTTATTCGATACTATGCTACCTTGGATACCCTCGAGAAAAAGTTCCCTGATGATCAGATTGAATTTCAATGGTATGGTACTTTAGGGTATAGTCCCATTGGGCCATATGGTTTAAGATCGATCGTATACGAGCAACTCAATGTCCTTTATCAATTGGGTAGCTTATTATCTCAGCTTGGAATCTCCCAGTCTCGACATACTGACGAAGGCTTGAAAAAATCATGCTTATACTTTCAACAAGCAGCCGGTTGTTTTCAATTACTAAATGATCAAGTCTTGAATAATACAGGTAAGTTGACCAACAATGGGGCCATAAGACTTCCAGAGGACTTTCTGCAGTCTACATTAGAGTTCTGCCAGTATTTAATGTTAGCACAGGCTCAAGAAGCTATTTGGCAAAAGGCCATTGGCAATCCTGATTTGAAAAATTCGGTAATTTCGAAGCTTTCTTACCAAACTTCTGAATATTATTCCATTGCAATGAAAAAGGGAATTGAATCTTCCACTATTAAACAAGATTGGATTAATCATACGACGGTGAAATACAATCATTTCAAGGCAGCTTCCCATCTTCGAACATCGTATATTTGTCAAGAAGCATTTAAGTATGGAGAGCAAGTTGCTCATTTAAAAGCTGCTTCAAATTATTGCGCAAATGGTATGAAATACCAGAGATACGTTGCTGAATTTGTTGTTGAGGATTTACAAGGGTTACAAGAAACGGTTACCACTCTTTTACGAACTGCCGAAAAAGATAACGACTTGATTTATTTGAAAGTAGTACCAGCTGAAAAAGATTTATCACCACATCAAGGAGTGTCTATGGTTAAATCATTAGTTCCTGATTTGAACCACCCGGTAAACATATTTGAAGAATTGATACCTTATGTAATAATTCAAATCTGTCAAGCATTTAGAGAAAGACAGGATAGTTATGTGAAGGATCAATTGATATTCCCTATCCAAGCATTGAGTAAAATGATTAACACATTTATTACTGAACGGGGACTACCAGCATCGATAGACTCAATTCAGAAACCCGATGGGCTACCTGAATCGATAATCCAGCATTCAAGAGAAATACTGAACCATGGAGGATTGGAAACAATTGATCATGAATTGAGCGAAATGAATCGATTGGGGATCATCTGCATTCAGATTTTACAAGGGTGCCAAGAACGATTGAAAAAGGACGCTGACGAAGATAACATATTAAGATCGGAAAAGGGAGAAAGATGGAATAGAAAGCCTTCACAAGTTGCCGCAGCTCCTTTAGTTGGCAGAATCAAGACTATGGGCGGCTACCTAAGTCAAGCTAAAACTGGTGATCAAGTCATTCTTCAAGAATATGAAGAGATTAAAGAACACCTCAAGATATATTGTTTGGGATATGATGAGTTGATTAAGTATATACCATCAACAAACTTTATTGAAATGAATCAAGAAGTAAATCTGATAATTTTGCAGTTAAGAGACTGTTTGGGAGAAATGGATATAAGTTTTGAAACAAGGAGTCAATTTATTCAAGGTTTAGAATTAAAGGCGAGAGATAATAATATCTTACCGATAATTTTAGAAAGTTACAAGAAGGACCGATCAAATTTTACCAATCTGGAAGGGTATATAGACCCAAAGTTGTTTGAGCCATTTTATGAGAAGCATTTGAAAATGTTTGAAGCTGATTTCAAGTATTTACAAGATGAAAAATCCAAGCAGAAAACCCTTGAAGATAAAATACATGTTTTAAACGAAAAATTCAAGGTGGCTATTGAGTACCATCAAATAAAATCCCAAGCTGATAGACAAACCATTTTACAAAGTTTAGAAAGAGCATACACCAAGTATTTACAGTTACTTTCTGATTTAAATGAAGGAACTCATTTTTACTCTGAATTAATCAAGAATGGTAATAACTTACTTCGAGAATGTGATGAGTATATCAACCAGAGAAGAATAGAGGGCCGCCAGCTAGAAGAGAAATTGAGCTACTCACTCGACTACACCGAGGGCCAGGACACGAACCAACTAAACGGATTAAGGGACGAAGTAAGTGGAACTTGGGACCCAAGTATGGGTGTAAAATTTAGTTAAATGGATGTTTTTTTTCATAGTGCGATATACCTGTAGGAACAAAAACCAAAAAAAAAAAAAAAAAAATTAGTGAAAAAGAGAATCCTGGATGAGCTAACCATGTTAAATGATATCGAGATACTTTAGATTTTTCAAGAACCGAATCATGACCAAACCAAAGAAGAACATTATAAGCATTATCGGGACCACCGGGGTCGGGAAGTCGCAATTCAGTATCGAGTTAGCCAAGAAGATCAATGGAGAAATCATTAATGCTGATTCGATGCAAGTTTATAAAGATTTACCAATAATAACGAATAAGCATCCGATTGAAGAACGAGAAGGGATAGCGCATCATGTCATGGACCATGTGAACTGGAACGAGGATTATTTCATTCATCGATTCAAGAAGGAAGCACAGGAGGCCATTGACGATATCCATTCAAGAGGCAAGGTTCCGATTGTTATTGGAGGGACTCATTATTACTTACAAAATCTTTTATTTAATAACAAGACGGTGGGGGAGAAAGAGCCCGAGAATAAAAGAAAATTGAGCCAAGATGAGTTGAAAGTATTGGACGGACCCGTTGAAGTATTATTTGAAACGTTGAATGAGATTGATCCCATAATTGGAAGAAAGTTCCATCCATCAGACCAGCGGAAGTTGAGGAGGGCATTAGAGATCTATTATACCACTGGCCAGCGGCCCAGCGACTTGTATAAGGAGCAGAAGCTCGACGAGTTGGAGGATTCGTCCTTGAAGTATAATACGTTATTTTTCTGGGTTTATTCTGATTATGAAGTTTTAAAAGAACGATTAGATGCCCGAGTGGATACGATGATGGAGCTTGGTGCAATTGCAGAAATCCGTCAGATGTACGAGTATTACCATCGTGAAAACTTGCAAAATTGTACCAGTGGGATTTGGCAAGTGATTGGATTTAAAGAATTTTTACCGTGGTTAGAAAAGGGACAAGCGGGAGATTTCGACGAAGGGATAGAGCGAATGAAGATCCGGACTCGGCAGTATGCCAAATCGCAAATCAAGTGGATCAAAAAGCTCTTAGCGGTTGAATTAAACAAAGAGTCTCGATTTGGCTATAAATACGGAGGCAAACTCTATTTACTAGATGCAACTAGCTTAGCAGAATGGTCGACTAAAGTTGCCGATATTGGCTCATCTATAGCTGGAGACTTCATAGCCAAGGGACCCACCAAAGTGCTGTATGCCCAAGCCCCGGAACATTTGATGAGTATTTTCCCTAACCAACATTTTTTGCAAAATTTCAAGAGTAATAAGACTCTTGAAGGGGTCAGTAATTGGCAGCACTTTGAGTGTGAGGTGTGCAAGGACAAGCACGGCCACCCCTTGGTGGCGGTTGGCGAAGACAACTTTGCCATTCACCTCAACAGCCGGAGACACAAGAAGGCCGTTGGCTACATGGAGAGAAAGCGGAAGCACGAAGAAATGGTTGAAAAATACAAGAAACCAAAAGTTTTGCAGCCCTAAACCTGCGGTTACCCGGATTGTTTTCACAGTTATTTTTTTTTCAGTTTTTTTTTTTTTCAGTTTTTTTTTTTTTTCACTCGTTTGTATAAAAACGAGCGGTTTTTCAGCGAAAAACCTAAATTTGTTCTTCTTCTTTACTGATACGCTTCCCATTCACTGCACCATTCTTTATCGTGAATGACTGGAGGGGAAAGGGAAGCAAGAAGAACTCGAACGACGACTCATACCAAGTACGCCGCAGCCCATGGTGTATTTGGATTCTGCGTCCTCGAAACATGGTTGTGAAAGACCTTTGTGAAAGCTTAACCTTTGTAAAAGTTTAAATATGAAGATACGACATAAAATAGTTAGATAAAATAGTAGCTCAATAGTAGCTAAATATGAAGACACGACATGCTATAAAAAATAGCTAATGATACGACAGCAGCGGAAATGTAGAAAAGGGCGGACGCTGAAAAATGCCATCGGAAGCCAAATTAAATTACTGCCATCAGAAATTACTGCCATCAGAAGCCAAATTAGATACTGCCATCAGAAGCCAAATTAGCCAACCGCTGCCTCACCAATGCATGCAGTATTAAAAGCGAATAAACGTATTCGATTGCTTAGGGCTTACACATTAAATATTCTAAATCGTAAGGCATTAAAAAATAGGAGAAAAAAGAAAAACACTGAGAGAACTGAACCCAAATTATAAACTAGTAAGAAGTTAATTTAATAAGAATAAGTTAATTTAATAAGAATAAATTAATTTAATAAGAATAAATTAATTTAATAAGAATAAATCAATTTAATAAGAATAAATCAATTTAATAAGAATAAATCAAATTAATAAGAATAAATCAATTTAAGAATAAATCAAATTAATAAGAATAATTAATTTAATAGAGATAAATCAAATTGATTTAATTTTTCTTCGATTTGTAATAGCTTAGTATCTAATAGGCAAATTGACCGATCTTGTTGTAATTGTAAATTATTCAAATCATGTTGAGAACACCAACCGCTCTCCATTAATCTTTTTTTAGTTAGTTCGAATATCTCAATGGTATTTTTTTTCGATTGTTTTAGATAATTTGAATAATTGAATAAGTCTTGGGGGATTAATAATTCATTGATGGAATTCACATTATCGTCTTCGATACTTTCGAAAAAACATTGTTCTAAATCACTCAAATTCTTCCTCAGTTGTTGTAAGTTTTCCGAGATGGTGATTATTGGACTATTGATTGGCGGAGTGGTGGGTGTGAGGTAACTATTTGTTCTAGATCGATTTTTCAAGCTTTCGATGGTGGATGTTGATGAAAACTCTTTTTCATCGGTTTGTAATGGACTGAGTATGGGTCTTTGTTGTTTCAAACTCAATTTTCTTATACCATTCTTGATGGTTTTTTTAATGGTGGAAGGAGTGGATGACGTATTACTAGTGATTCGATTCAATGAGGTATTACTTGATGATTTATTCAAGGTCACCGAATCATTAGTCGATGCATCTTCTATCGAGGGGAAATGAATTAAGTTATTTATACTGGGAGAGTCTAATTCATAAGTAGAGTATGACGGATTAGTGAAGAAATTCACTTGTTCTTGATTCAAATTCTTCAAATCAACACTGGAGCTCTTCAACGAGTTCGAATAAAAATCATCTTCTAATTCATCCGGTAATGGTGGAAGTAACACTTCTCCATTAACAGAACCCACTGGTAAGCTTCCGGTGGGCTCTTTTTCTTCAACAAGTATACCTAAGCCATTCATTATGGTGGTCCGTCCTACAAAAGCCAAAAGGCAAAAGCCCGGGAATATCTCGATATATATTGATACCAGTCCCAATCAACACACAAATTGAAAGTGAAAAATTAGCTTTTCGTACAGTAACACCAGAACAAACAAAAAAAAAAAAAAAAAGAAAAAAAGAAAGCATCGGTAAACCTTTATTTGTGTCTGAAATAAAGCCTATTCTGCGACTCATCACTTGTCTAATTTAGGTCAATGTTACCTGTAATATTGTTACCTGTAATATTACCTGTAATATTGTTACCTGTAATATTGTCACCTGTAGCATTAGTTACCAGTATTATTAGCGAGCGCACTACGATGTGAGAGGTATTATTCGTAGTCTGGCTGGGTCGCGGCACGCCCGAGTCTCGATCGCGGTCGGTGGCACTAAACGCACTGCACCTTTGCTGCGTACAATTAGCAGATCTAGACTAAGCTCTACAGAAGGTATATATAGAAGGCATCTCACAAGAGCCCTAATCCATGTACATTAAGCATAGGCTAATCCTATATCCAGTAACAATACTTGTCTGTACTTACTGTACTTATACTATACTGTACTTATACTATACTGTACTTATACTATACTGTACTTATACTATACTGTACTTATACTCTACTACTGTACTTATACTATACTATACTTATCCTCTACTACTGTACTATGCTATGCCTCGGATAGCGAGTTTATTTTGTAGTTCCAGTAGTTGGTGCGGATTGGGTCGTAGTGCTGCAACGACCTGTAGACTTGCACTGCTTTTGCCGGCTGGTATATTCTGGCTAGCATTTCTAGCGCATAGGAGCATTTTATTTTGTCAGCCTTGATGTCAGCAAGCTCTAGACAAAAGGGTTCCAATTGCTCGATTGGCTGGTGGTAATGTTTATATAGGCCCAATAAGTAATTCCAGCTCGATGGGTTTTGGGGTATTTGTCCAATTTTCTCCTTGACGTATTGGACTTCGTCTTGAAAAACTGGGTTCCCGTTACTCATTAGAAAAAAACGGTGAGTCCAGGCACTGTTATTTCTTATATCTATTTCAATACACTTGTTAACAAACTCAATCTCTTTGGCGTCTTGGTAGAGTTCAAATCTCTCTACCAACCATTTTCTATACAGCCACACATGGTGGTTTTTCAAGTCCTCTTCTAGCATGGCGTTCATCACCGGATACTCTCGGTGCGCAGGGTACGCTTGACTCTCACTGATTTTCTCAATTATCATTTGACGGTAGTTCCATATCTGATAGTTTTTTTCATTTTCCAATGCTATGGCTTCACACCAGTCCAACTCTTCTATCAAGCTCTTCTTCAAGTTAACCACAATGTTGTAGCGGTAGTTCCATAACGTGTAATGCGAGGCTAGTTTCTCGATCCCCCGTTCAACCAACGCCAATGCCCGCTCGCTATACTCTTTCTTCTTCATCATTGCGAGGAGGGTGCCCATTAACCGCTTGTATTCGTCGCTGTATAGGATCTGGCAGAGTTGCGGTGTTTCGTCGTTGAGCGACTCAACCCCAACGTCGTCGTAGTTGTATTCCATCTTGTCCTTGCAATGCTGGTCTGGCACAATGACCGGGTTTTATACAAATCAGTGGTTTCAAATGGGTTTTCCTGTTTGGCCTCTCGCAATGACATTTTTTTATTTAGATTTATTTTTTTTTTTGTTTTTTTTCTTTTTTGTTTTTTCACTAAACCTCCTTTTATCCCCAGGATGCCGGTACAATTGGGGAAAGCTCCCATATCTGATAAGGATTTGGTGATCGCGGCCATAGTGGGCTCTACGCTAACCTTTCTCCTCCTCACGTTCTTATACTACCCCAAAAAGTCCCAAGTGCCCCTCGCAGTAACCCTCTTTATTGCCACTAACATGCTATCCAGAGCTAAGATATTCGGCAGATTGTATGATAAACTCACTCAACCATCACTAAAACTCCCGTCATTACAAGGTGGGAACTATCACCGGTTTGCTCAGCTAAACCAACTGTCGCAAGTCGAACTCCTCACGGCTATTAAATCACTCCAGTCGTATGCAACAAACTCAAAAAAATCAAATGATCGAAGGAAAAAATTGTTCAAGTTAATGTCCTGGAGACAACAAAAACTATGCCAGGACGTCGGATACCTTCAGAAATTAAATAAAATCGATCAGTCAATTGCTTCAAATCAAAAAATCTTGAATAAAATCGCCGATTCCGCCATCGACGTCTACGGATTATCGTTCCGGGACTTTGATTTACTAAAAAACTCCTCGTCCTCAAACGTCTCTTCCTCCAATTACAGAGTTGTCGAGACTTTGGGCCACTACGTCAGGGACTGGAGCCTGTCCACGGAATTGTCGCCGTTACTTGCGTACATCAACTCGCAATTGTCCTCAGTAATCCCCCGGAATCACTCAAACACCTGCATTATCATCCCCGGATCCGGCTTGGGCAGATTGGCCCATGAAGTTGCAAAATCAAACGACTGGGGGGCAGTCCACGCTGTCGAGTATAGCGGATTAATGCATATTTGTAACGAGTTCATCTATAATAACAAATCCAATCTTGAATTGTTCCCGCATATTCACTCCTGCTCTAATTTCACTAGTACTAAATCTCAGTTCAGACCAATCGCCATCGATTCAAACGTAGCCAAACCGGCTAATCTTCATCTACACCATCAGGACTTCCGCTACTTTCAAATCCCCAATCTCGACCAATTCGATACCGTGGTCATAGTATCCGCCTTCTTTATCGATACCGCAGAAAACTTGATTGATTACTTTGATACAATTAACCACCTAACTACTCCGTCTCGTAATAACAAGAATTTGAAAAAAGGGTTTTGGATCAATATAGGCCCGCTAAAATACGGCAGCGCCGCTCAAGCTGAACTCAACTCGGAGGAAATTACAAAAATCCGAAAGAAAATCGGCTGGAATGATCTTCATCATGATGTCACCTTAAACAATAAAGAATCTCCTTTGGTTGGTTATATCACCGATAAAGACAGTTTGTGGCAAGGTTACTATGGTTTAACTAGATGGACTTCTGCTAGATGCGAAAATCATTAACTTATATATATATATATTTTTCTTATTTATTATACAAATCTATTTAGCAATATCAGTACCTTTATTAATTTGGATTTTCTTATCTTGACCTCCACTTATGATACCAATTTTTGCATCCCATTCAACATCAAATACCTTATCTTGACCTTTAGTAGCATTTTCTCTTGTTATGGTATATAATGAATTTTCTGCTCTAATATCCCATACTTTAACAGTTCCGTCATGAGATGCAGATGCAAACATATTATGATTATCGGGACATGCACTTAATCCAACAACAAAATTAGTATGTCCAACTAATTTTGATGATGTTTGTTCAGTTTTCCCGGCCTCAATTCTTGGATCATGTAAATTTATATGACGTGCTGATGATCCTGATGCTAATAAATTAACTTGGGGTAATTGCAATACACACAATAAAGAATATCCGGTGGTTCTAGTATCAACACATCTTGATGTAACTAAATCCCATGTTTTAATAGTATGATCTTGTGATACGGAATATCCAACACTATCATCTCTAATATCAAATATAGCTTGTTCAACTGGTTGAGAATGTCCTTCTAATATTGCCAATGGTGATCTACGTCTAATACTAGAATCTTTAACTGCCATTTTTCTTCTTTTCTTTGATGATGATGAAATAACATTAGAATCATATTGAAATGGTTCAATTGGAGTCATATCTTTATAAGTGGTTGACCAAACTCCAACACAATTATCATAACCTGCTGATAAAATACGACGCGTAGCTTGATTAACTGCTAATGAAACAACGGGTGCTTTATGTCCTTCCAAAATTGCTAATGTTCTACCTTCTTTTGGTTCATCTTCATCTTCAGAATCAGATTCATTATCTTCACCAGTTATATTATCATCATTTGGTGTTTTCCATAATCTAACTTGTCTATCATTACCAGCAGATACAACTCTAGTTGGTGATACCCAATCAACGGCTCTGATCGATCCAGAATGTCCAACAAATTGTCTTTCAACATTTCCTGACATATTATATGTTCTTACAATCCCATCATATGAACCAGAAAGTATTTTAGGGGATGTTATAGACATATTTGATGTTGTGACTGCTGCTGAATATGGATTAATACTACTAATTGAAGAAATCCAATCATCATTATTGAAGGATGCTAAAAATGAAGGTGGTAAAACTGCACGAGTGTATTCTAAATTTAAAAAGGCTTCACTTGATAAACCATTTTTGATTAAATAATCATCGATTGAAGTTCTTAACAAAACCCCGTCAATCAAAAAATCAAAGGGTATTGGCTTGGCTTCATCGCTTTCACCATTTTTCCCTAATAAATGATTAACAATTTCAGACAAACCATATCTTTTCAATGATATTGGAACAAATAATGGGGTATCCGACACTTGCAATGACTCATCTTCTTCCTTGGTGAAAAACTTGATTTTCACTTGAGATTTATCGTCAGACATGGTATATTTCTCTATTCTCTACCCTTGTTTAACCTTTCAAAGTAGTTGATCTTGTTTGAAAAAAAAAAAAAAAAACCGAAAAAATTATTCCTCATCTCCATCGCAAAATGCAGCCCTCTGTGCACGTGACCAGCTTCTCTCCCCATACAAAACACAACCACTAACTGTGAACTGCAATAAAGCAAGGTTGGCCATCAAATACTTGACGTGTATACTTGGATCGGCTTCCTTGTTTTCTTCTGCAAAGCAGAGCGGACATCTTTGAACTGCTACTTGTTCAATGGCATTTTTTTTGCTTTTTTTGCATCAATCGATACAAAAATCTACATTCTCTAAATGTGAACATTTATCTATTGAGTAGCTATTAAAACCTCAAGGATACATTTAGCAGGCTCCTGCTATTGAAGGGGCGTAATATAGGCATCGATGCTCTTTTGGCAACCCTGCCAATAAAAGTGGCCGTTCTAATTCCAGCATTAGCACCTTCTCTCAATCCTAGATCAGTAGGACGAGACTTTGCCTTCCGGACTCGAGAAGTAACCCGGGACTGTCTTATTTTACTTATCGAATTGTTTCCTCCTTTCTCGCCTGAGAGGAAAGCTCCTGGATCCAGAATATACCCTTTTGTGAATAATGATTTCAATGCCCGTTTGATTCTTCTCCATCTCCGTTTCCGAGTTATTCGTGGAGGTGGGAGTGATCTCATTCTTTCAGCAACTCAAACGTTGAAGGCTAACTAGCTTTGCAAAAATACTTGGTTTGGTTGCAAACTCAATTGGAGTATTCGATTGTCTTTGTACTTACTCTTACTGATGCTGCCATTTGTACTTTATCTTGTTCCTTCCGATGGAACTCCCCCACCACCCAACACTCTCTCAGCCCTTCCCAGCCCATCCTATGACCTATATGTTAACCTAAGACATCTAGTCCGCGGTGTTCTCGCAGCAGCCCGTAAGCTTAGAATTTCTGATATTCTTTGGGCGATCTCCTTACACTACATTGTAGAGCTACAGCAGTACTGACACTAGTCCTGGTCCTACTGGTGTTCTATTCGCTTTCTACCGCACTCCTAGCATTCATCAGTGGTATTACCAGCAGTATTATCAGTGCTTGAAGGAGAGGCCCGAGTCGAGTAAAGCGCACGAAGTCAATTAAAAAAACACCATACAAAAAAAAAAAAAAAAAAAAAAAAAATTTCACCTCATCGACTCAAAAATGAAAAATTATAAAGTCAATGGAAAAGGACTAAATCTTAGATCGTAAAGCTTCCTTCTCTTTTTTTGGTTTGGTTCTTGGGATTTAATCAACAACCCTCCCCCACTTACTTTCACTTCTTCTAATTAGAGAAAATAGAATAGAACACAATGGTTTCTCCATCCGATGTCCCAGTTGAAGTTTCAAAAGTCTTTGATACCATTTTGGTTCTTGACTTTGGTTCCCAATACTCTCATTTGATTACTCGTCGTTTAAGAGAATTCAATGTTTACGCTGAAATGTTACCATGTACTCAAAAGATTTCCGAATTGAACTGGAAACCAAAGGGGGTTATCTTATCTGGTGGTCCATACTCAGTTTATGCTGAAGATGCTCCTCATGTCGATCATGATGTTTTCAAATTAGATGTTCCAATCTTGGGTATTTGTTATGGTATGCAAGAATTGGCTTGGATTAATGGTAAAGGTGTTGCCAGAGGTGATAAAAGAGAATATGGTCCAGCCACTTTAAACGTTGAAGATCAATCTTGTTCTCTTTTCAAAGGAGTTGATAACTCTCAAGTTTGGATGTCTCACGGTGACAAATTACATGCTTTACCAACTGGTTTCAAAATCGTCGCCACTTCCGAAAATTCTCCATACTGTGCTATTGCTCATGAAAAGGAAAATATTTTTGGTATTCAATTCCACCCAGAAGTTACTCATTCTGCTCAAGGTAAAATTTTATTGAAAAATTTTGCTGTTGATATTTGTCAAGCTAATACTAATTGGTCTATGGAAAATTTCATCGATACTGAAATTGCTAGAATCCAAAAATTAGTTGGTCCAACTGCTGAAGTTATCGGTGCTGTTTCTGGTGGTGTTGATTCTACTGTTGGTGCTAAAATTATGAAAGAAGCAATTGGTGATCGTTTCCATGCTATTTATGTTGATAACGGTGTTATGAGAAAAAATGAAACTGAAACCGTCTATAAAACTTTAACTGAAGGTTTAGGTATTAATTTAACCGTTGTTGATGCTTCTGATTTATTCTTAGGTAGATTAAAAGGTGTTACTGATCCAGAAAAGAAAAGAAAAATCATTGGTAATACTTTCATTCATGTTTTCGAAGATGAAGCCGCTAAAATTAAACCTGCTTCTGGTCAAGAAATTGAATATTTATTACAAGGTACTTTATACCCTGACGTCATTGAATCTATTTCTTTCAAAGGTCCTTCTCAAACTATTAAAACTCATCATAACGTTGGTGGTTTATTAGAAAATATGAAATTGAAATTAATTGAACCTTTAAGAGAATTATTCAAAGATGAAGTCCGTCATTTAGGTGAACTTTTAGGTGTTCCTCATGACTTAGTCTGGAGACATCCTTTCCCAGGTCCTGGTTTAGCCATTAGAGTTCTTGGTGAAGTTACTAAAGAACAAGTTAAAATTGCTCGTGAAGCTGATGCAATCTTCATTGAAGAAATTAAAAAAGCTGGTTTATATAAACAAATCTCTCAAGCTTTTGCTGCTTTATTACCTGTCAAATCCGTTGGTGTTATGGGTGATCAAAGAACTTATGAACAAGTCATTGCATTAAGAGCTATCGAAACTACCGATTTTATGACTGCAGACTGGTTCATCTTCGAAGCTGCTTTCTTGAAGAAAGTCGCCTCTAGAATTGTTAACGAAGTTGATGGTGTTGCTCGTGTCACCTACGATATTACCTCTAAACCTCCAGCTACCGTTGAATGGGAATAATCTCATTGTGGTGATCTTCTATCTGTTTCTTTTTTTTATACATTAGTCGTTATAGTATATTCTATGTACAATATTAATTAAAACCTTGTCAAAGTAATCTATTTTAGCAGTTGTCTTGTAACATACGCAACTAGTAGATCTACATCGTGCGATATACTCAATAAGAATTCTTCATCAGGGTTCTTTAATTGATAGTCATCACTTTGAATATATGGCTTCCCCCGTCCATTATAAAATCGATACCAATCCTTGAATTGAAACTCGCTCTGATCCTCAATATCCAACGACTTAAAAGCAGCTTCTTTCGCAGCCCAACTACCTGAAAGTATCAGAGTGCACCTTCTGAGATCATTGGCTTCAGCCGCTTCTTCAAAACTCGGTAGTTCCCTCTTAGGATGTAATATTCTTTGTGATAATCTTTTTGCAAAATCAGAGTTTACCTGCTTTTCATGCTTCAAAAGTAATTGCTGAAATCGGCTAGTCTTCAAAAGATCAACTCCTATTCCTAAAACGACCCCAACTTTGCCCATTGCTAGATTCCAAAACCATTAAGATGCTCTTAACGTGAGTAATCATTTGATGACTCTTTCGAGATGAAGCTAATTTTTTTTTTTGTGCACCTGCGATTCCGCTGAAATCTGAAAAATTTGAAGACCGTCAAATTAACCATTAAACTTGATTCTTCTATAAGCTTTTATTCAAAAACTTCCAGGGAACGTAGAGAATGGCGTCTTCGATCACCGGGCCTGTCCCATTACCAAATTCTAGATATGACTTGTCTACTTACTGGGGAAGAGTCAAGCATTGTGCTGAGATTTCTGACCCCACCATGTTATTAAACACTTCTACTGATGTTGAAAATGCTAAAAGAACAATTTGGGATTATCGTAATGGTGTTACTAATGAGTTATCGCCATTCTTTTGGAGAGCTAAAAAAATTTTGGACTCAACTTTACATCCAGATACCGGTGAAACTGTTCTTTTGCCATTTAGAATGAGTTCTTGTGTATTATCTAATTTGGTTGTTACTGCTGGTATGTTAACTCCAAACTTAGGTACTGCCGGTACTTTATTTTGGCAAGTTGCTAACCAATCTTTAAATGTGGCTATCAATATTTCTAATGCTAATAAATCCCATCCTTTAACTACTACACAGATAGCTACTAACTATACCATGGCAGTTACTGCCTCTTGTTCTGTTGCATTAGGTTTAAATTCCATTGTTCCAAGATTGAAGTCCCTAACACCTAACACCAAAATGATCTTGGGTCGTTTGGTTCCATTCGCAGCCGTTGTTTCAGCTGGTATTGCCAACGTTTTTTTGATGAGAAGCGAAGAATTAAAGAAAGGTATCACTGTTTTTGATGAAGATGGTGAAGATAAAGGTACCTCTAAGACCGCTGCCTTATATGCTGTTGGTGAAACCGCTGCTAGCCGTGTCATCAATGCTACTCCAATTATGGTTGTTCCTCCTTTGCTTTTGGTTAAGTTGCAAAAAACTAGACTTTTGAAAGGTAAGCCAAGATCAATTGAAACTTTAGCTAATATTGGGTTAATCTTCGCTACCTCTTTGGTTGCATTACCGTTTGCATTAGCTGTCTTCCCACAACGTCAACAAATTGGTGTTACCAGTTTGGAAGAAAAATTCCATAACTTGAAGGACAAGGATGGTAAAAAAATTGAATACTTGGAATTTAACAGAGGTATTTAAGTTTAAGTTTGTAAATAGTTATATATAGAATACAATTTCGCTGTTTTACTTTACAATACATGCTGTAGTTTTCTATTAATTTTAAAGAAAGAATAAATGCTAATTATTCAAGTAAGTTTACAAAATTGGATTACCAAAACTTCCACCCACTAACATTTTGAACACCCAAGGCTTGTATTATTTCTTCTCTATCCTTGAACTTAGTAAAAGCAATCTCAGAGAAAACTTCTTCTCTCTTGTCTTCTTGAACATTTTCATAATACAATGCCCCAACCCCTTTACCTCCTAAAGAAGTTCTGTAAGTTTCGAAACCGTTAGCTTCAAATTCTTCAAGAGAATTGTCAAGTTCTGCTTTGGACACATCCTCATTCAATAAGGTGATGGCACATCCTCCCCCACCTGCCCCGGTAAGTTTTGTAGCACCAATTCTATGACTGTCACCTATTATCTTAATTTTTTCGAGCGATGGATGAGAGACACCCAAGGCAACTAAGAGACCGTGATTGATTTCAGTTAATTCCCTTAGTGTTCTTGTTTCTTCAGGGCCAAAGAAAGGTTTCACCATCACCTGATATGCCTCATTTGCCAAATGTTCCATAGCATCCAAAATAGATGCACTAGTCTTGCTGTACTTTGTATTAAGTGCTGAAACACCGGCTACCAAAGCAGCCGTACTACGGGGTATTTTAGTATTAGTAAGAAGTAAGCTGATAGGAGGGAAGTTTCTCATATTTGTACGGACTGATGGAGCAGCAGGGTTTTTCATTCTTTGAAACATAACTGCACCACCATGAGTTGCAACAGCGTTGTCGATACCTGAAGGGTTACCATGGAAACATTTCTCCCCCATTAGTGACCATTTATCTATGAACTCCTCATCTTCATGGTTTTTGGAAGTAGATTTAGCATCATAATCAACCGATGCTTTAGCTACATGCCCGCCGAGTATAGACATCGCTGATGCTAAACACACGGCAATTGCAGCAGACGAACCTAAACCAGCACCAATAGGTAAAGTTGATCTGACACTATAGAGCATCCCAGGAACATCTGCAGTACAAAGGATTGAATATAAATATAAGAAACAGTGACAGGTAACATAATGCAAACTAGAAGATAAATCACTTAAATTGTCACTCAAAAGATCAATTATTTCAGGAATAAGTTCTTCAGAAATTTGGGGCTTTCCCTCTTTAGCTTGAACGTATTCCTTTATTTTTGTCCATGGAATATCATTCTTGTTCCACGAGTGTGATAACCCAATATCTGGGAAGTCAAGCCTTATGATATTCGGATCTTCACTTGGTTTGACAAGAAGATATGCTCTCAAATCTAATGCAGCGGCAATAGCAGGCTTGGAATACACAGCAGAATGTTCTCCAAATAGAATGACTTTCCCTGGAGAGCTAACGAAAAAGGGCTTTGTTGACATTCCTAGAAGTATGTTGTTGTGGAAATGATGGGAGGTAAGGTTGTTGAAAGTGAACGATATTTGTTACTTTTATGAGAGACCGCGTCAACTGAAAAACTTGAAAAATTTATACGACAATACGAAAGTAACAGCTACAGATTGAAGATAGATAACGAAATGTGAATTCTAAATTATATAGTATACAAGAGTAGGGGTTTGGGATAGCTAATCGGTGTTGAAAAACTCCTTTAATTCACGGATTTCTTCAACAATTACTTTAGCCAATCTTGAGAACAGAACGTCCCCCTTTTCAATGATTTGAACTTCTTCAATTGAACTTGGAACGATTCTGGATGACAAGAACTTAGGATGTTTAATTAAGTTATTGATGCAGTCGACAAAATCATCTCTTTTGGCTTCGGTGTCTAAACCTGGTAATATGGGCATATCCACAGAATTTTGACCAGATGAATTTATACCAGGTAGTCTATCCTGGAGAGTTTCTAAGTATTCCTTAAAGTTTGATGATTGTAACATTTGGAAAACGAGTAAGATCTGGCTAGTTTCCGCAACTAAAGCAGAACTTATACTTATGGAAGATGAATCTTTAGCCCAGCTTTCAATACAAAACTCAATTTGCTTGCCAAAGGCTTGTAAAGCTAAACATAACTCAAGGATAACTTTTGGCCCCAATTTTGCCAATATGGTTATGTAAGTTGGGAGTATACCGTTTGTCCAAATCCTATGATACTGAGGAGCATTTGAAATACTTATCCCCCCATTTTTTATTGGTTGCGAAATAGAGCTTTGAACAAGCACAACCAAAAGACCAGTTGAAACAAAGTGTTCAGCAATAATATCAACAGTCAATAATTGTTGAATAAACATCAAACTCAACTGTGCAAAAATATGTTCATTGTTAACTTCAATCAAGTGAGAAAATGAATAAAGATTAAGCAATGACTTAATTGTTCCGTTTTCGATGACTAGGGATGCCATGGAATTTTGCAAAGATGGACTTGATTTCAAGCTCATGAACACCTTCAAAATCGAAAATAACAATTGTAAATCATCGAGTCTGTGTCCCAACTTATGAGAAATATGATTCTTATTGGTACGAGAGAGATAGACATCATTTTGTAGATCAATCAAGATATTTCTGGTACCTTTAGTGATCAAAAGGCCAAATAAATCATGGAACACACTAAAATATTCAATAATCAAAGTGAATTCATTTTTAATCAAATTCAATGAGATGTAAACCATTCGAAGTAATGACTTATAAGAGACTGATTCGCCTGTCAATTTATTCAAAAAATCCATTGTGGATGAAGACAACAATTCGGAAAGACATTTTATAATCTCAAATACATCTGTTGGATCTTTCTTGATTTCAGGAACATTATGGATGCTGTATAATAGGTAAAATGCCGTTTCAATACGTTCTTGATAAATCTCACGGAAAAATTCCGCTGGGATACCTTCAGTAACATTGATTGATAATAAGTTGGAGACAAACTTCAAATGGCCCGGTTTCAATTGACCTGGAGCCTTTTTACAAAAGGCAGTAAGTAGAGCACCTGATGATTTAGCAACGGCAATTTGGGCATTCATATACTGTAAATTAAGACTTGAAGCAATTAATTGATCTCTCATCAAAGGCCAATCTTTTTTCTCAGCAAAAAGTCTTTGCATCAAATTGAAATTATAAATGTCATGAAGTCCAAGTCTGTTTCTCTTTGGTAGAGCAGCTGTAAATTGAGAAAGACGTAATCCAGAAAATGTATTTTCAAATGATTCCTGGGCATGTAAATGTAATGATGGCTGGTAATCACTAATGGAGAAACGGTCTTCCAAAGAATCAATGAATTCATTGGAAGTGATGTATTCTATGATAAGACTTTTGCATTTATCGTTCTTTGTTGTGAATAAGAATAAAGAAAGAATTTCTGTAATCTTTGAGATTAATTTCAAGTTATAACAAAAAGACCTGTATCCTTCAGGCAGATCCAACGCTTTATTGGTGGTCCTTTTGCTTCTATCTATCAATTCTTTGATGAAATCAACGTCGTTTTCGCTTTCTCTTACGGTGGTCCAGGAGTTAAAAGCCAAAGCAATAGCATCAACAAGATGTAGACTAACATCAGTAGGATAATACTTCATGTCATTTACGTTTTTCTTCAACGTATTCAACAAAGAAATGGGCTTGACATCTTCTTTATCTTTTTTACCATTATTTGTAAATTCTCCAAAAACATCTCTACCACTTATAAAAAGTACCGAGAGACCTTCTTGATTACCATCCATGACTGCGCAAATGAAGTCGTATAATGAAATCTTCATTTTGTAGTCATCGAAAACATTATCAAGATCAGAGGATAAAGAATGCAACAAGATCTGTGCGTGATCACGACCTAAATGGGAAAGCAAAGATGGAATTGGTTCGTGTTCCCATTTACCAGTAGTTAAAGCAATTATTAAGTCTAATACATTTTTCCTCAAGCTTTCACGTTGGGCGTATGCTGTAACTAACAAAGGTAACTTAGAAAATAAATCTTTTTCAAAAGTAGACGGGAAGTAGCCCAATGCCGATCTTATAGTTATGATTTGTTGAGCAAAGGTGAGTCCACGATGAATCCAAGTTTCGTACCAAAATCCGGAAATATCACATAATTCGTATACATTGGAATTTTTTGTAATGGAATCAATCATTGATATGATTGGGAAAGAGGATCTGGAGTAATCGGAGTTGGTAACCAAAAATGAGTCAAGAATTTTCATTGATGCATCAGCGAAAACTTTTGTTACTTTTTCATTAGGAGCAGATTCTTCGTCAATACCATAGACATTGATTAAGATATTAGAGAAAATATCCAAGATCAATACACCTACTTCTAACTTTTGATAACCTTCATTGAAACGGCAATGAATGAAACTTTCAAAAACCAAAATCAAGTGACCCACGAATCTAGATAGAACAGCACTTTTAGACTTTATAGGGTAGTCCTCATCAAGAGACAAACAGTTTTGAACAAGAGAATCCACTAATCTTATTAAACCAGTGGTAAACTTATAGTCACCTTTAACCATTTCAATTGCACCAAAAATAGTTGCGGCAAATCCTTCTTTACCATTATCAGATAATAAAGACGATTTTGACAAGCATGGCCATATTCTATAGGATAAAAATGGCGTGACATTACTCAAAAGAGTGATTAGAGGTTCTAACATGTCAATATTACGAGAGTGCAAAGCTTGCTCGAATAATCTAATAATCACCTCGATAATGTCTGAATCATCAGTGAAAGCAGACATAGCTTCAAAAGCCAATTTCGCTTCATCTGGCGAATTGTCTTCAACAACTTTATTAAGCAAAGTCAATATATCGGTGATGAAATCAACCTTTTCTTTATCGGAAATATCGAAAATTTTAGACACATTCTGCAAAACACGTCCCAAGAAAGCCCAACCATTAAAGTTGTATAAGAAAGTAACCAAAACTTGATCTTGATTACCTGCTGGTAATAATTTACCTTTAGTATCCTTATTAAGAACCAAAGATAATTTTTGATTGACTTCGAAAGGTGGGAAAAGATCAATGGATTTGTTTAACTTTATCAAGTCAGTATTATCACTATCGATATCGTAAAGACTATTAAATTCACTTTTATTGAATAATGAAATATATGATCTTAATTCTTGAAACTCATGAAACGCAAAATTACCATTAATTGATGCAATTCTTAAATATGGAGATAATAATATAGGAAACTTTGCTCTTGACAAAATAATAATACTTTCAGCAGCTTCATTATCGAAAAATCTTTGGATCATACTATTTGGAGCATTTCTCAAAATTTGTGAAATGGTAGAGCAAATATCTGGGGTGGCAGATACCAAAGGTAAAATTGATAGAATAAGGGTAGATAATATTGATGCGTATATATTGTCGAATTTCAATAAATCATCGAGTTTTGATAAGTTGCTGAAAACATCGACAGTTGAAACACGATTACTTAAATGGTTGATTGATAAATTGATGTTCTCGAGTGAAATTTGTTCGATGAAGGATGTTAAAGATTTATTATTATTTTCCAAAGCGTCTTCTAAAATAATTTTCTTCTTTAATAAGATTATTCCCCAAGTAAATAATAAGATAGTATTTGAATTTTCAGAATCCAAAATCACTTCATTCATAAACTTGAAAGTTGATCCATCATTAAGGTACGAAATTAAATCTGAAGTATCAAGATCATTGTCAATGTCAAGAACCTGAATAGTTAACACGGTAACAATACCCTGTATTAATGCAAATGATTCTGTGAAGGAAATATGAGGGCCTAATGACAATAAAAAGTTGGTTGAGTTCATAAACTCAAACCACTTGAAAACAGTTTCTTTCTTCAAATTATTGGAAATCAATAATTCAACTAAAACTTTCAAAGATTCAATAATAAATAATATAGTTTCAGTATAAATAGTATCATCTAATTCGGAAGATATTCCAGTCAAGTAGCTTTTATTAATTATTGACTCTACCGACGAAGATAAACTGGAAATTAATTTTTCAATATAAGAGTCAGAAAGTATAATATCTTTACCCAAGTTTTGAACAATCGAAGAGACATTAGGGTTAAGTTTATTATTCAATAATTCAATGACCAATCGAAGAACAGTTCTTCTTTCCTTTAAGATTTTGCCGGTGTATAATAACAATCTCTCTTCTTCCAAGTACTTTTCACGATCATCGGGTAATTTTGATCTAAACTTTCCATAATTTGTCAACTTTCTTTCTGGGGTCTTAATGCAAGTTTGTCTGACAATTCTTAATACTTCTTTATTATCCAAATTCAATAATTGAGTCAATTTTTCAGCATCTTTCAAATTGCTATCAGTTATATCAGTATATATGGTGTTTCGAAGAGATAATTCTTTTCTTTTATAAGCTTCTTCTTCTTTAGTTTTTGAGAATGGTGCAGGGTTCAACAAAACTTCACTATTCTGCAATAAATATTGGTCCAAAGCTCCAACTATATAAGGATCGCAGAAGGATCTCAACAAGCTCAAGGCGCTATCGAAAGTCCATAATTGTGTAGTTTGAATTGGCCTTAAATTAGCCATCACTTCTGTTGTTTGTTGCTCTTTGCCTGCATTCTTTGCATCAATGGATGCCTTTGATCCAAATTGAAGAATCGACCCTGGCATTATCCTCAAGCTGGCTGCAAACAAAACTTCTCTGATCAATCAAGTTGTCTTATTGCACCTTGGTCTATAATAAAAGATGGAGCCGCTACCGTTTTCTCTTCTCTTCTTCAAAAATGAAAAAATGAAAAAAAAACCAAAACATTTCTTTGAGTGCGAAATTCTCGATCTACAACGTAGACTTCCTAATCCGGCAGTCTCTGGACAAACGAGTATATACATCTATGTACGGATGATTCTAAAGCTATACGAATATTCAATCAGTAGTACAGAAATAAGGCTTGTGGATCTCACTAGGAATTGGTGCGTCTGGTTGAACAGGGTTGTTCAAGAGTTTGGCAGTATTGAAACCAGAATCTAGAAAACCTGGCAGTTGGGAAATGGTTGAATTTTCAATCACAGGTAAGCCATCTCCTTTGACTTCACCGCTTATGAGTTTACCCCAGACCCGGTTACACTCCTGTATGATAGCCAAAGTTTCCTCTTGGTTTTTATAGGCTCCGTTGAATGCAAATTTATTGGCTGGTTTACCGTCAGGTTTCTTATAGTCTCTGAACCATTGTCTAGTGGTCTCCAACAAACCAGGGCATTTGACAAAAACGTCATGGATATCCAATACTTCATTACTGAGAGGGTCATGAACGTCAACGACAATTACCTTCCAATCAAGCTCCCCATCATCAATCAAGGCTATAGAACCCAATATTTTAACTTTTTTCACTTCTCCGGTTTGAATGATATTAGACCCAATCTCACAAACATCCAAAGGATCGTTGTCTCCAAAGATATCCCCTAATTCTTCATGGGCAGTGTTGGGGTCTTCCCAAGTTTGTGGGAAAGCCCCATAATTATGAATATATCCATGGTGAGGAAACAAATTCTTAACGAATCTTACTTGTCCCTTTTTGGTGTCTTGTACAATAGGATTACCAACTGCTTTGGTATCGATTTCGAATTTGGCGTTGGTCCAACGAGGTATTTCCACAATCATGTTTGCAGTCTTGGACTCTAAATCCAAATCAAGCGGTACGTCATGGAAATAAGACATGACTTGGTTGTCCCTGACAGCATACTTCTTGTAATCACCAGTGAACTTTGTTCCTTGATCACGGGATTCTATCTTCAAGGAAGAAGAACTCGATATTAATCGATTGGGACAAATATGTTGTTGAGTCAAACTCAACCTTGATCTAGCTGAAAGTAGGGATTGCGGTTGGCAGGTCATGGCTGTTTTGATGAATGGTGACACGCTAAACCTCAATGACTTAATCATATTGAAAAACAGAATCTCTCCAAATCTCAACTTGCAATGGGGTAATTGACTATCAGATGTGAGTGAATCGCCAGTGATAGTTTTTTTTTTTTTTGTTAGATTTTTGGTTGAGAAACTGTCCCGAGGTAAAACTACTGGCTGGTATAACGGTATTATGAATGATATTAGATTAGAACTTGAATAACAAGTTATAGAGATGATAAAGAACAACTATACAGAAAACTAGTAAAAGCAAGACCAAAACAGAACGTAGAAATCAAAAATCAAAGAAAAAGAATAGATATTAAGAAAAGACTTTCAAGTTAACAAAAATGAATTGGTATCAAACAATATATAAAACACAAGTGAAGAATATTAAAAAGTTAGGGTATTAGATGAGAGACATCGTAGTTTAAAATGGTGGAGGACCGGTATATATTGGTTTACCCTTTTTGTTGAAAGAACCATTTTCATCAGTGGTTTCAATGATTTTAGCATTTGCTTCAATTTCTTTTTTGGAGAAACCCATTGGATCAGCAGGAATCCATAACTTGAGTAATTGATCAGAAACAATAGGAGCATCAAAAGCATGTCTATCATCGACGATTTCGGTTTCAGTGTTATAGATTGCAGGTAACCATTGTTTAACATGTCTATAATTTAAGTAAACATCTGGTCTGAAGAACCTCACAAATGGGTTATCATTTTCGGTACTTTTAAAGTCACGATCTGCTAATAAAGGAACCAAAGTGTTAGTAGTCTCAGTTGAATTATATTCAATATCTGGACTTAATAAATCTTTTTTAACTTTCTCTTGAGCAATTTCGTCTTTTTCTAAATCATCGGTTAATTTTTCATATTCAGCTTTTTTATCACCAGATAATTTCAGTTTACGTAAGTCTTTTCTACGTTTTCTTTCTAAAATTTTTTCATTATAATCAGTTGGACCCCAGAATGAACTAGTTTCACTAACACCATCTAATGGTTTCATAACATCAATTGGAACAACTTTTAATAAATGATCAAATGCTTCATTTAAGTTAAGATGACAGAAGATTGTAAAACAAAGAGCAATGACTTGTAATACAATTGGACCCCAACCTTTACCAACAGCAAATAAACCAAGTAAACAAACTTGACCTAAATAGATACCAGTAAAAGTTTGAAATAATGCACGAGGATAATGAGCACCACGAGAATCAGAACCTTCAACAAAGACATAAGTTAAATTATGACAATAAGCAATGTAAATAAGGTAGAATGCAACAGTTGCAAATAATAAAATCATTGGAGAAATGATTGAATAGGCTAAAGTAATACAAACCAAATTAGTGAAAACTGGGAATGAAGTACCCCAAGCCATAACACCTAAACCAGAGAAACGACCCCATTTCTTACGTAAAGTTTTATCAAAAAGGGTACCCATGATATAGTATAAGAATAATCCAACAACTTGGAAAAGAGAACCACCAGCCACTGATAAACCTTGTAAAATAAGATAAGAAATATAGAAATTGGAAGCTTTTGGTAAATTAGAAGCTAATAAAGTCATTGCATTTTGAGGTTCTTGAATAATTTGAGTAACAGTTGATGATGCAGATGAAGAAATAGTAGTAACTAAAAACCCATTAATAATAAGGAAGGCAAAATAAGCAGTTTGAGTATATAATTCAATTTGTTGAACAGAAACACAACCAGCAACTTTGGCCATACCTCTAATGAAAATTGGTAAAAGAGCCATTAAAAGAGCTAACATAATGGTTGGTAATAAACCAGTAATGATACCTAATAATTGATGGGGCATATTTAAGATCCATTTCAACCAAGGTAATTTATTAGTTAAATAAGTGATATTTGAAATAACCCCAACAAAAGCAACTGGAATAGCCCAAAAGATAACTAAAGCAGTAACTGCAGAAGCAGCAATAAATCTTCTGGTAATACGTTCCCACCAGAAAAGACGTAAATTAGACCATTGAATATCACCAGGAGCTAACCCAGTATAAACGGGACCTAATCTCATTGGATTATGAGCAACAGTAGATTGGAAAGCTAATTGAGCAACGTATTGATTTTCAAATTCAACAAAAATTGAATTCTTTGGTTTTTCTCTACGGTATTTTTTTTGTAAATCCTTAACTTCAGCATCAATTTTTGGAATTTCTTCACGTAAATAGTTAATAGAGTCAATTTTTTTGGAGAAAAACCCACCTTCTTTTTGTCTAGGACGTTTATCTTCAGGAACATAAGAGTTGATATCATCAGGGTTTTCAATGGTGATATTTTTCTTTTCGGCTTTCAATTTGAATTGAACAGCTTTAGTTAAAAGTTGGTGTTCAGCTTTTTCTAATTGTAAAGCCAAATTTTCTCTTTGCTTAACTTTAGCTTCTAATTTACGAGCAGTACGAGCAACATAGATACGTTTAACCCCATTAAATAATTTGAAAAATTGTTTTTCATCCAAAAAGGAATCTGGAACACTTTGGAATAAGATTGTTCTTGAAGCCAATTGCTTAGCATAACGAGGACTGGATAAAACTGCAGTTCTAAAAGAATTGAAGAAAAACAATTCACGATAAATGATGTAAATCAAAGATCCATAAAAGGCCCAACCAACGAAAACATGAGCATAATAACGTTGTTGATGTTTAACGTTTGAAATTGATAATTGATCGAGACCAGTATTCCCGTTACCATTGGCAGCATTAATTGGTAAAAGAATAATCCAAGTAAGAAGACCAAACATGAAAAAAACGGCAAAAACAAGTATATAACGAAGGAAAAAGTAACCATCCAAACCACATTGTCTAATAATAAAAGAATGGGGTTTAGTTAATAAGATATAAATCCAACTAAAAGGATCTTTTGGCAAAGGATCTGGTTTTTTTTCATCATCAACCAAATCAAATGATGATTTTGGAGAATAAATACGTTTAAATTTTAATCTAAGAATAAGAAAACAAGTAACAAAACATCCACAAAGAATTAAATTGGCCACCAACGTTGAAATAACAGTGGAGGTAGAAGTACCGGCAGCTGAAGCAGCCATCTTTAATTACTATAGTTCTGAAGTTTAGAAAGAAAACGAGTAAGAAGAAAGTAAAGAGAAAGAAAAATGAAATGAAAATATTCGACAATCAAAGCAAAATTTCCCTACCAAAAAAAAAAAAAAAAAATACAACTATCAAGAACAGAAGAGTTACAGAAAAAGAAATGACAAACCGATCAACAAACAGTTCAATCTCTCAAAACAAAGAAAGAGCCCCGGGCCAAACAAAGAGTTAGACCTAGAACCAATTACCTTAACTGCTTGGGTGGATTGGAAAATTTTATATAATGTACGCTTGGTTAAAGCGAAAAAAGATTAGGTCAAATGAAACTTACATAAAGCTTGAGAAGGTTTATACTATTTTTGTATCAAGTGCTTCAAATACGCTAAGCATTCAAGCAAAAGGATCTATAAAATTTTTTGGCAATTTTTTTTCAACTCCGGTACTAAATCAGCAGCCACCCAGATATTCCAGCTATTGAAGCCATTATAACTACAAGTAGGGCCAACCGTTTGCAATATCTCTAGGATTCTTTGTGAAACTGTTTCATGTAGCCTGTGAGCTTAGGTAAGAATTCGCTTCAGCCTTATACCAGTTTTTCTTTTTGTTGTTTACTTTCTGCTTCTTTGGCAGGAGATGAGATTGAAAAGTTAGGGGGTCGTGCACGTGACATTCCTTTTGCAATCCAGTGAACAAGCTTTGTGGCTTTTGAAGAATTCCAGCTCCTGCTGGGAAGGTAAACAGACAGTGGGTGCCAGGGAGTCACGACGGTTGATAGGACGTTAGACGATCCCCGGGATTGACTGGTGCACCAGGCTGCTTGGAGGTTGGGGCGTGGAAGCGAAACTAAAGGAGATCACGTGACCTACCCGGATGGTATACCGATTGGTTGCAAATGTAGGCGAATGACAAGAGTAGATTACAAATGAGACGTTCATTAGAGGTACTTATAATCTTCACCAGGAAGAGTAGCTTATATAATGCGACAGCAAGAGGTTTTTGATTTTTCATTCACCAATAAACTGGTTCTGGTAGCGAATTCAAAAATATCATCGACCCCTTCCCCGGTCAACGAACTGCTTTCTAAGTACTGTTTGGCCCCGATTTCTTTGGCAGCTTGCTGGCCGGTGTCATACTGAACAAACCTAGTGCGATCCCTGGTGCTGGATCTCAAATCTTTCTTCAAACCAATTAATAAAAAGGGGGTATTAGCACAATATTTTTTCACCTCCTGAACCCATTTTGTTCTAGCGTTATCTAAAGAATCAGGAACATCGATAGCAAATCCAATTAATATGACGTGGGAGTTATGATAACTCAACGGCCTCAACCTTTCATATTCTTCTTGTCCTGCAGTATCCCATAATGCTAATTGGACTGCTTTACCATCAATTCGACAATCAGTTACATAATTCTCAAACACTGTAGGGTGATATTCGGTGGGAAACTCCCCAAGGGTAAAGACATATAATAATGACGTTTTCCCACATGCCCCATCACCTACAATCACAATCTTACGTCGTACTGGACCTTCCATTTTGATATTTTAATATGCGTATTGGATTTCTTTTTTTTTCAACTTGATCTCTGATTCTCAGTATGATTCATAATCTGACGTTATATGCTTCTATCTACTATCAAAGAACAGTTGGCTTTCTTTATCTTTCTGTTGTCTTAGTTGTCTTTGTCTTAGTTGTCTTTGTCTTAGTTGTCGTACTAGTCTTGTCTTCGCTGTCTTTTAGGTTCGTTCGATTCAAACGCCCGCTTCTAACTTGTATTCTCGTCTTATCCCCACCCTTAACCGAATGGCCATTGACTAGCTAATGTGAACTGGAGTCGACAGAGCCGTCTAAAAAGAGATTGCAGGTACTTATATATTTATCAACGGAAAAGCACTCAAAGTGAGTTTTTCCAATTGTCACGACGAAAAAAAAAAAAAAAAAAAGGAAAAAAAAAAATACGATAGTGTCACTATTATTTGAGTAATAATAGACATCACAAGAGAATCTAGATTCGGTACAAGCCTTCAGCAAACCGTTTTTATTAGACGACCATGGCAAGATTCGTGGAAGGCGGATGTTTTGCAGGGTTTTTTTGACATATTCAACTACGAATAGAGATTTAAACAACAGTCATAATTGAAAAAGTTTGAAAAAAAAAAAATAAATATTTCAAGAAAAAATGAATATAATTAAGCAGTAAATCACAAAATATAAAGAGGTTCTACTTAGTTCCATAACTGACGCAATCCACCACTGAAAGAGCCGTTTTGGCTACCGAGACTAGGATTGGTGGGTGGGGGAGGATTGTTTGCATTTGCATTTGTAGTAGATGCAAGATCGGCAAATCCTCTCATTAACGAATCACCAATGTTGGGATTAATAAAACCTGGAGGTGGCATAACTGGGCTCGTTTTGAGACCACCATCATTGATGATGCCGACTCGAATATGGGTCACGGTTCCCATGTCATCGTATACAAAATCAAATTGTAAGCCACTTCCAATCGTATTTCGGCATGCACTTAAAAACTGATGTAAGCTTATCAGGGTGTTACTCAATACATTCTTCGTAAGCTGGAATAATTTGAGACAAGGGGCAACTGAAAACTCTAATTGTCCCGTTTGCTCTAAGATCTTAAATGCTTCCCATGTAGCAGTTTGTAATTGCGAGTCGGTAATGATGTTGTTTGTGGGCTGACTTGTTGCATTTGCTCCTGGATTGGTTATATCTTGTCCCAAATTGCTATTCCATAAACTCAGTGGGTTGGGTGGTATAGAGGGTGTACTACTCCAGATGGAATTGTTACGTGAGTTACCAGTATTCCAAACACTCGATGCTCCAGTGTTACTGGTCATGTTAACTGGGTTATTGGTGAATGGATCATTGAACCCCGACCCAACCGCCGGCGCATTGGATCCAAATGGACTAAATCCACCAGTATTGAATCCCTTGTTAAGTGCATTGGCATTAGTCGGTGGCGGCGATGTAGCATGGGGTATATTGTTATTCAATAATGTATTAGATGTACCCCATGGAGATAATTGCGGTTGTGCTTGGTGCAATTGAGGACCGAAGTTGGTATGCTGTTGAAGTGGTGCAAACCCTCCATTTATTGGTGCATTATTCAAGTCATTATTCAACATTGGTTGACTAGTTGGCGAGATTAAGTTCGAAACTAAATTGTTCGTTCCTCCAGTACTCAATGGTTCAATCATATTGAATGATGATCCAGGTCTACTCAATTGCGGTTGATTCATTATTGGGGTGGAATTACCGGTGGATGTCGACGACATCGATCTTGGCTTGGCCTGGTAGAGTTGATCCAATATATGGTTTTTGGTTGGCGACGATTTAACTCTTAATTCATCTATAAGAACCTTCAGCGAATTATCCATTGGTGTTTGGGCAGTAAATTCAAGTGCTTTAGCTTCTGCTTCTGCTTCTGCAACTAGCTTCCGTTGCTCTTCTTCTTGTTCTGCCAAAGCTTTAGCCATCTCTTCCTCCTCTTCTTTCATCCTTTGTAAGCGTAAACGTTCTTCCTCCTTTTGTTTTTTTAATAAATCTTTCTGCTTTTTTTCTTCTTCTTTCTTCTTACGCTCTTCTTCAATCTTCTTACGTCTTTCTTCTTTTAATTTCTTTGATTCTTCTTCCTTTTTACGTTGAGCCTCAATTCTTTTTTGGTTTTCAGCTTCCTTTCTCTTTAATTCTTCGATTCGTTTACGTTTACCTTCTTCTCTCTTCAATCGAGCTTCTTCCTTCTTGCGTTTTTGTTCAGCTCTTAATTCTTCTTGTTTACGCTTCAATTCTTCTTCTTTTGCCTTTTCTTCTTCTTCTTTTCTTTTGCGTTCTTCTTCTTTGGCTAATTGCTGTAACCTTTTCTTTTCTTTGGCCTTTTCACGCTGTTTAAGCTTTTTATTTTCCCGTTCTTGTTTGGCATTCTCCTCTGCCTCTAACTCTTCAATAAGTTTTTGAGTCCTGTCTTTAGATAATTTTTCTTTATATGCTTCCTTCAATCTTTCTTGAAATAATTTGATAACTTGAATTAAAAATAAACGACGAATTTCCTGCATCTTCTCTTCTTCAGATATTTCTGATTCAGTATCACTGAGTTCTTCAACATCATCTTCCTCTTCCTCTTCGTCCTCTTCGTCGTCTTGTTCTTCATCATCTAATTCATCCTCGTCATCTACTTCTTCATCCTCTTCAGCCTCCTCTGCATCATGGAGATGATGGTCTATTTCGCCTTTTGTTTGACCGTTGAACTCCAATTCAGGGATATGGTCAATCTTATCGAATTGAGGCTTGACAACGGCTCCATTCTTTTGCTTTTCATTCAACAAAGATTTTACCTTCAGGTGGGCATATTCAATTAAGGCTTCCTTTTCATGATTGCTGAGATTGCCACCGCCTTTAATATTGGAAACTTGTTCTCTTAATAAATCTTCTCTTGCAGTTCTGGATTCAGAAAGTGATTCCATCATATCAATAAAAGAATTTCCATCCGTTTTCATAAACTCTTCAGCAAATTTAGATAACCCGTAGAAATTGTTTTGGTTTTCATCAAGATTTTTGTCAGGGGTTTTATTATGTTGATTCATTTCATCAGCAAAGATTTTAGAAAAATGACGAACAAACGACAATCTCTCTAATTCATTTTTACTAGCTGAAGGTTGTTCACGAATAGAAGCCTTTAAAGCTCCAGTTTTTTGCAATAACTGAATTTGCTTTTTGACACTTTCAAAATCAGGTAAACTTGAATTTTCCATATGCTTTGCATCAAAATAAGCTTTATGTTTCTTCAAAATTTCAAGTTGAGTGGCTTGATCTTTCGGATTCCCATTTTCAAGATGATCTTGCAATGATGTAATCAAAGATCTTTCTAGTTCCTCTAGCTCTTGTTGAGACTTGGGATCACTTGAAGATGGTTCTTGATAAACATTATGGTCGTTACTACTGTTATCATTATCTTCAAGCTCTTTTATCTTTTCAATGAAATTATCCACCAAATTCTGGTTTTCAGATTCATGATTATTCTCCAATGTATGGTCATGTTCATCCTCGTACTCATGTTCACTATAATGATCTTCATGATCGTGATCGTCCAGGCACTCGTTATCGTGATCATATTCATGATCATGGTCATGTTCGTGATCGTGATCGTGATCGTGATGGTGGTCATGATCATCATCAAATTCATATTCGTGGTCGTGATCATGGTCATGGTCATGATCGCAGCTGGAATGCGGGTATTCTCCCAGTAAGGCAAGATGTTTACGGAGCTCTTCTTCTTGGGCTCTAGCCTTTGCCAATTGGTATTGATGTTTATTTCTGAGTTGATTTAATTCACGTTGTTGTCTTTTCATCAACTTATGTTCTTCTTCTAGCATGTGAAACCCACCAAACAAAAGACCTGGCAAGGCATTTAGATCATTAATATCTCTTACTTCATGAATAAAATCAATGATATCATCGAAATGGTTATCGTAAATACTTTCCAATTCATCTTCAATCAAACTTTTTTGACGACCACAATAGGAACAAGTACAATGTTTGGAATTCATATTTAACTGTGAGCCATGAGCTGATGAGACATTATTGTTGTTATTAGCATGGTTGTTTTTGGCTGATCTAGCTTCATTTTTGAAAAGTTCTAGAATAGATTGTTTATCAATTTGGACCAACTCAAATTTTTGGGATTCATCTAAACTTTCCCAAAATTGCTTCAAATTCTCTTGTTCTTCTATGGTTGAATTATCCCAAATATTCGTTGCACCGAACCCTGAGGTTGGTTCGGAACGAGATTCCTGTTGTTCATCATCTAAACTTTCTACAATAACGTCTCCATTTGGAGCTTGCTTGATGACCCTGGAGGTTGGATAATCAACATCTGGATCATTTATAGTTGCTTGCACATCACGGGGATCATTCTGGGTACTTTTCGATTTATTTTTATTCTTCTTTTTCTTCTTTTTCCTATTACTTGAACTAGCAGTTGCAACTTGCAGAGATAATGGAGTATTCGATGCATTATTATAATCAAAATGTACATCAGCTCCATTCTTGAATTGGGCAGCCGCAGAATCATTCGTAGCTTCCGACATTATCTCTAAACTTCTTTATTAATGCTATTCTTGATTGGAAACCTGATTAAAGCGGTTAATCCTTATTTCGTCAAAATAACCTTCAAACCACTCAAAAACTTAATTTCAACGTGATGTTCTCAAGAACAAGAGTGCAAATAGGAAGTATAAAAGCCTGCTTGACAATTTCAATACAAAAACTTTAAGATTATAGATGCTCTTCTATAGAAATATCAAAGGTTCTCTTTTTTCATTAAGTTTTTCTTTTTTTTTTTTTCTTACTCTGACAAAAAGAACGGGAAAAATGAAGAACCGCACGTAAATCTTCGGGAAACCATAATCATTATACAATACCTGCACACAAAGCAGATCATCTCCACGAAATGAAGACTTGATTCAAGGTCTTGATCCAGTTGGGAGAGGACTTACTTGGAAGTGCTGATTGAGTGATACAGGGACAATTGGTACTACAGGGACAATTTGTTGAATGGTTTATTCAAAGTTAAACAAGAGAGAAAAGAGATGGACAAGGATCAATTATTATCCAATTTAGCTTTCAAAGCTTTATTTTCATCCACTACGGTTTCAACAAGGGAAGTTAAGTGGTCAATTTTTTCATAAAGCTCAATGAATTCCCATTTGATCCCCAACCTATTTGCCTTTTCGACGGGCTTGGCCACGGTATCGATTTGTTCATCTAAACCTTCTAAGTTATGTCTGAATTCAGGATCGAGTAATTCACCTTCTCTTTGATCCCTTAAAGCGGTGTTGACCTCACTGTTTCGTTCTTGGATACCTTCCCAGCCGCTATTGGCATCGACGTCATAACCGTCGGTTAAGTCCCATTCGGTGTCTAATTCATTAGCGTCATCTGGAACACCTTTGAAACGATTATATTGAATTCTTCTAGCATTAGATAATTCGTCAATGGTAATATAAGTTAACAAAGGAGAATAGATGACAAGCATGATGTAGTAGTTCATGCTTTTGAAAGCTCTTTTAGAGAGGACCCAAGAAAATGGAGTGATTAAGACTTCGATTAAGTTCAAAGGAGGAACGTATAAATCTTGATCTGGAGCTCTAATATATCTTAAAGTTTTTTGCGCAACCAAGGCAAAGTATTCATCGGTAGCGTTTTCAACAATTGACGCATAAGCAGTTGAATATAATGCAATCAAGATGTTCATTAAAATAACCAGGAGAACAAATGAATAAATGTAGTATAAAATTGAAGCATAGGGAGGAACTAATTTAGCCACATCATTAAAAGAAGAACCACCAATGACTGCTTTAATTAAAGAAATGAAGATTTTTTTGGTCGCTTCATTTTTACCATCTGAAGCATCTAAACCAAGGAAGCCCTGTAAGAAACCAACAATAACAACGAATAAAAGAACAAAGAATAATATTGATTCTTTCATCATGGTTTTGATAACGACAATCATGGCACCAACAAATTGTTCAGCATCTAAAAAGAGTAAAAGACGAGACCACATAAGGGGAGATGCACACGATAAGATACGGAAGGATATTTCGTCGTAACGTTGGCTAGTTAATCCTTTTGCATCCAAACTAGCAAAACGGAAACCAATGGAAACAATGATAATTGAATACATAATGGCGTTGAAAGCATTCCAAAAACCAATATAATTATAACCAACGTGATAGACTTTAATGATTTCATCTAAAACAGAACCTAAAGTGAACAAGTAGAAACAAATTTCAAATCCGTCTAAAGGAGTAGCCAATTGATGTCCATTAACAATGATTGAAAAAATTATCAAATAGATGATACTGAATCCGATTTCTAAAATGGATTGATAATATGGAGTTTTAATTCTTGCCGGATCAAAGTGAGTTTTAATTGAATGGGATGAAACCCCTTTATAACGAACATAAGAATGAGGATCGGTGGAACTTTGAACGATCCAACCTCTCCATAACCATTTAATACAACGCTGGTAACCACTGGACCCAATGACAATGGTCGAATGCATATCAACAGCCAATTCCAAAGCACTAACCGGATGACTATCAACTTCAGTTAAATTAATAGTATAACGATGGCATAACATACCTAAGAATAAATACTCATCGTCCTTAGTTTCTTCGATGATATTAGCAGCAATGGTTTGTGCAGCAATAGCCCTTAAAGAATAAAGTTCATTACTTGATAATTCGGTAGCTGATAATTGCCAATACCAGTCAGTAACTTTTAATAAAGCGAAAACTAATACTGCTCTATATTTATATGATGAAGTACCCTTTTCACCATTTCCTTTACCCCCTGCGGCTTTATAAACAATTTTCATGACATTTTCATTTAAAATTGGCGATAATGATGCAGTAACTTCATGAGTTGGGAAAACAATTGGAATAATTCGATCAATGAGTTTTTTTAAATTGATAGCAATACGCAAGGTTTGTCTTGAGTTGGGACAGTACTTATCATTGAAAGGAAACTCAGAACCCGAAGTAGGAACTGAGTCAATGGGACCACCAGTCTCTAAATCAGCAACGGAGGTCATTCTTGAAGAATTAATCAAGGTCAAAGTAGATAATGGATGAGGAAAATTAGTGACTTTATAAAAAAAAAAACACCTGGGAAAAAGGAGTGCTTTATCAAGAGTATATGATTGTTTCAAAATTACAAACCGATATACTATCAATGATTACGAGCCATTCAAACGGATAGATCAAGGTACAATGAGGAAAATCGAAATACAATTGGTTAGTGGGACTTTTTTTTTTTAATTTATCATGCAAGGAATGGACTGGGAACGTGATGAAATTTCATCTTTTTAACATCATTAATCAATTCTACTTGCAAAATAAAAATAAAAGAACCGCGTTATATTTCGTCAAGTTGATTAGATAACAACCATGGTGGGTTTGGTCCATGGAGGGTTATTTCTACAGTTCAAAGACCAATGGGTTGGGATCAACAGAGACGCGTAACATGAAATTTGGAAATCTTTTTACATCAGAATCTCATTTAGTTGCAATGTCAATTGAGATTTGGAACAAAGAAGTGCTGCTCGTGCTGTTGATATATTGGGAAGTCAGTAAGATGAGGTTTTGGTTCTGAGAAAGATTTGTGGTAATAATAACTGCATCATGAAGTATGTAATAATGAAAATCGGTACAGTTGCAATGACAATCGTTAATGAAGCTAGCAAGAATATTATTGGATATTTATTATAAAGAAAGACCAGCTTTCTATTTACAAAGTATTAGTAGATAGGAAACAGAAAGAAGAAGATTACCGAAAAGAATAGTTGAAACGAAGAAATAGATAAAAGGGACATTAGAAAAAGTACATTAAAAGGAAGTAAAGATTAGATATAGTCATATCTTGTAGTATAATTAAACCCGACTGGACTTTCCAAGCCACCAACCGATTGATCATCTTCACCAGAGATTGAGGAATCAGTAGCGTTAATGGTGACGGCAGTAGTTGATTTTTCAGTATTTGAATCAACATCGTCATTCTTAGACATCTTTTTAGATCCGAAGAAGCTAGAAACTTTTTCTTTGATGGAAGGTTTTTCAGTAGAAGCTGATTTATTTCTTAATGCTCTTAATTCAGTTAATGGGTATAAGTCATAAGTCCAAAAAGCCAATAATAAACCATACCAAAAGTGGAAAATCCATTCAAGAACTGAACTAACATTCTTCTTCTTTTTAACGTAGAAGACACAACAAATGATTGCCACGGTTAATGTAACGAATAACCAAATGATTTTCAAAACAAAAGAGATGGTAAATTTATTCCATCTTTCTCCATTAACGTATTTTCTATAATACTGACCCATAATATAATAATTGGTAAAATTAAGACCTAAACTAATCATAACTAAGATTGCAAAAGTTGCTAATAAGACCGCATAATGAGTGGAAGCACGTAATCCGGCACGAACGTAAACAGTACCACTAATAGCTTGGGCAATGAAGAACAATTGGGCAATACCCCCAACGATCAATGAAGCATAGGCCAAACGACGTTGTTGTTCAGGTTTAATGAATTTGATCAACTTACCAATTTTACGATGATAGTATTCTAAATACATTGAAGAACAAAAGACAACCGAATGAATAACTATAAAGGAAATGAAAAATCCTGGTTGTAAAATCATTCCGATTCTTTCTAAAGGTAATGGAACTTCAGTTTCACCATATTTAGGATATGGTTTAGCACCTTTTGCTAACCAAATACCCATTAAGCCAAAACATAAGGTATACCAACATATTAAACCAAATAAAGGAATAAAATAGAAATGGTTGAACCGAGAAGTAGCATTAATATAAACTTCTTTTAATTTTTGAAACATTATAATCTATGAATAAAGAATCAAAAACATACTTACAAAGGAAAGGGTCAATCCATATATATATATAATTCCCTTGACTACAAGCCATTTATTTGTTCAGAAGAAGCAAAATTCACATTTTTCAATCACAGGGTTACGACTTAACAATACCTTTGTGGAAACTCGTAAGAATGAACTAATATAAAGGGTAATATGCGTAAGAAAATGGTTCCAAAGGGGACTCTCTCTTATCATTGTTCAGTGTTCTAATTATAATTATTAATATTGATTTGAAATTGCCAAACATTGATTTTAACACCTTTGCAATAAGAACATAAGCTCAATGGGTTAAATTATTTCCTACGCACCTCCAAAAAAGTCAAACACAGGTCTATGGAATGCAAGGGTTTGGATGGAATTAAAGGCTCGTTATCAAACATATGCATCGTAAGCAACCAGTCATCTTTGTCTTTTTTGCAATATATCTTGTTTAAACTTTGGCTAAAGTAATTAATTTACCCTTTTAAAGTAACAGATGAATCTCATCGCGAAACTTTGTACTGCAAGAAAAAACCCTTCGAATCCTTAACAAGAAGGAGTTGTCACCGGAATCACAGAAGGGACAATAGCACGATCGACTAATTTAGACAATGGATATGGCAAACCATACAGGGTAGGTTCCTCCGGGCACGCGTAGACTATGAAGAGATTTTTATTCTCTTTTGTCTTTGCCTATTTAGTCGTATTAACAGATCATTATTTAACTGTTTTGAGTAATGCCTGTACTAAATCTAATTAAATTACCCTTTCGAATAAGTAAAACCCGAGTGATGAGCAGAGGTCCAGATTTTCTGAAGGAGTTATAACGTACTTTTTGCCCAATAAGTCTTAATAGTCTAGTACTTGACTTGACTCAACGCGTTTGACGGGTTTTAGTCAGTTGAAATAGTTAGTTTTAAACGATTTTTAAATTGATTGCGTTAATTTATGGCATCCAAGGCTTGGACATGCTCCATCAAGTTGAAATCGTACATTCTGGCCCAACCTACTAGTTGAGCCAAGTGAATATAGCTAACTAGAAGAGTAGAATCAACCCGGGATAAACTTGAGCATCACAAACTGGTTTAATTATACTGTTTTAGAGGTTTACGAAACAATCCATGTGGGTCATATGCATCCCATTTACCGTATTGAGGGTAGTTCATTCAATTAATTTTGTGATTATTGAATTATGTATGTAATTATGTATGTAGTTATGTATTTATCAAGAAACAAATCATCAACGATCAAGAGACGAATCAAACCCAACGGCTAAAGTTAATCCAACTACGATATCAAACATTCCTCTACTTCCCAAGATTTTAGAATCTTCGTAAACCGTTATCCAACCAAGCTTATTATCGTCTGGTAAATCATCATTAGGATTAACCATATAATATAATCCGTCTCCTCCCTTATAATAGTTACGAATTTCTGCGCCAGCTGCAATATCATTATCAACAGAATTGTGATTAATTTTTTTATCAAGTAATGTTTGTTGTTGTTGTTGTTGAAAACTAAGATGTTTGAATGATTTTAAAAGTCTTTTTCTAGTTTTATTTTCACAAGGTCTAAACATGGCTAGAACTGGTGGGAAATCCTTGGGATTATCATGTTCTTGTAAATAAACTTTACGAGGATCATTAGAATTAACCCTATACTTTAGATGTTGAGAGTCTTCAATATAATTTTGATGAAAATAAATATTTTTCTTACCAATGAATTTAAAGATTTCTTCATCGTCAACATTCTCTGGATTATCTTGATTCAATTTATTTTTTAAACGATTCATTTTACTTATTCTAACTCTTGGAATTGATCCAATATTCCATTTGGTATTATTAAAATCTTTTAATTCAAAATTCTTGAAATTTTCAACTTCGTTATATCGTTTATGACCTCCAATTTGATCAATTGGGATATATTTATAATCAAACTTCTTGGGAATTGATAATCCGTTGAATTTAGGTGCTTGATCAATATCTAATTTATGAATATGCTTAATTACATTATGGTGTAATTTACTCAGTCTTGAAATAGACAAAGTCATATATCCACCTTCTCGTTCTGATTTTTTGGTTATGATCATAATTGGTTCATTTTTTTCACCTTTGTTTTCTTCAAATTTACCTTGACTTAAATTTGGTATGGTTTCAACAGTATTAATATCCCGAAAAATTAAAGTATATCCATTTTTTTTCAGTTTATCTTGTTCATTTGGATATTTAACATCAACATAATAACCAGGAGCATTTCGACAATAAATATGTTTTAAACCAGGATTGGTGGTTAAGTATAAATTTTTGCCAAATTTCAAAATATGATATTTCCAAAATGGTGTTTCTGTTGTATTTATTGATGAGGTTGAGCTTCTTGGTATCGAGTCTTCACTTACTTTATAACTTTTAATGGATGAGGAGCTACTATTATTAAGGGCTAATCGACTTAATGATGAATTTAATGAAAATCTATTTCTTTTTAATCCTGCATCAGATTGTCGATTAGTACTACCTAATCTACCTAATGAAAATCTCTTCATTTTATTTTTCAAAGTTGCCGTTGATTTCATTGATGTTGTGGAAGGAATACGACTCAAATCTTCATTATTATTATTATTAGAGGTTGATTGATCAGTATGGCCATAACTGGAAATGATTGAATTATTATCGAATTCTTCATCATCTAAAGGTTTTGTTTGAGCATGACTACCAGCAGTATGTTCAGTGGTGTCGATTTGATAAAGATATTGTTTATTTGAATCCAAACCATGAGTATTTGGTTGAAAAACTGGTTTAGTATTGTCAGTATCTAATTGATCATTATTTTCTCTAGCGGTGGCAAAACTAGATGGGGTATTATCATTTTTATCAAAATCAACTTCGTGACTATTTGGATTTGGAGTAGCTATTGGGGTTGTTGTAGCAGTGGTATTTGAAACAACAGTCGGCATGTTTGAAGTTGGAGATGAACTTCTTATACTTTGATCTTCGTCTTCTTTTTCGTTATTTTGCAGTCCAATTGGTTGTAAGTTGGGATTGTCGACTCTAAACCGATTAGTAATTGGGGATTTTTCAATATATGAATCAATTGTTGATTCAATATCTGATGAATTACTTTCAGTCTCAACATCCTTAAGTATCGGAGGTTGTACAAATTCGTTTGCCATTCTGTCTCTATCTTATTGATTACTTGTTTTTTTAAAGGCTGTCACGAATCAATTATTGATTAGGTTTTCCACAAAATAATTAAACAAGGTTTTAATACGGTTTTTTAGTCTTATTTTGTTTATGTTTTTGCAAAAAAATTTACTTTTTCAAAGTTTTCAAATCTAAAGACCCAAAAAATACACAAGATTATATCAAGATTTATATAAATAAAGCTTTAATCTCGAATTAGAATGTAATTTGACGGTAGGATTGGGAATTAGGAAGGGAAACCCCAATAACAAAAAAACAAAAAACAACAACAACAAAAAGAAAAAGCAGAACTACTTGCAATTGAGAAAGGGATATTTGATTGTCTTGGAGACTATAAAACCCCTAAATGATTGGGCCAGTACAATTAGTCAACGAAAAACTTTCCAAGAAGCAAACGGTTGTTTTGTTATTCAAGCTTTCCAATTAACAACCTGATAAACTTTCAACAAAAAACAACACAATAAGGCAACTATTTCACTAAATATACAGCAAAAAACAATCAAATAGTCTAAAATTATACTTTTAGAATACGATCTTTATACTAGCAAGTGAAAACAATCGAATTGGAAACAAGTAGCTTGTAAAGGGCTAAACCAAAAGATTTTCAAACTTTTCAATTGTGCCTACGCTTTTTTAGTGTTGTTTTAGTCTCTGTTTTTTTTTTCTGTTTGTTAGTCCTTCACTTTTTCGGGCTTATAGGAGCATGCGATTGCTCCTTCTTCTGCCTTCGTCAAGCTTCGATTACAATTGTAAATGCTTCTGGCCTAGGGTATGTAGGAACGAACGTATGTATATGTAGTGATGCCAAATTAATTTATGAATTAATAATTTATTTCCACTAAGCGAGAAACAATTCAAATGAAAATAAATAAACATTTACCAAAGAACAATCAAGTTCTCCCTATTTACACGTCTGTACGTCAAATCCACTCACCTATGCCAATGACTATTGGTTGAAGCTGTCATCTTATGCGTGCCATGCTTACCAAGGATCTTATGCTGAAAGATCGTTACTTACAGTTGCATTCTATCGTGAAAAAGACAAAAAAAAACCCTCAGGTTGTTGGGTACGGGAGTGGCATAAGCCCTGGGAGTACTTCTAGCAACCTCTTCCTCCTTCTACTGGGTGATATAGCCACCTTTTGCAGCTACCCAGTCCTTCAGTTGGATCATTAGTCCCTCTGGAAGGGTCGTGCGTAAACTTTTCACCAGACGCGTTGGTGTCGAACTCGTTGACCATGTACTGGTAGGAACAGGGGAATTGGTAGTACTTGAAATACGTTGATTGGAGAGGGCTGATACACGTTCGGAGTCGACTGCTAACTAGATAAGAAGGTGTATACTTGTAGTATATTGGGGGGTTCAATAGATATAGATAGAGCCACCAAAGAATACAGAAAAAAAAAAAAGCGAAAACTGGTTTTCTCATCAAAAGTGAAATTTATCAACTTTGAAGCAGATCTTGTTTAGGATATCGATATTGATTGCTTTAACATGAGTGACATGAGTATTCAACATAATGGGGATTCGAGTGCCAATGCCAACGGTAACGGGAATCACCCTGATTCAATTGTTCCTGATAACGAAACTGAAGTATGTACATTTGGGTGAAAAATAATATTTGAAGTTTTGGGATTTTACTAACCAATAGCAATAGTCTCGTCAAGAATCAATAGAGCCAGCTGCTGCCAAAGGACAACAGCCGGCTACCATTACCACTGTAGGAGATGGCGCATCGGTGGTTGCCAATTCCAATGCAGAAACCACCACCAATATAGCTGAAAACAAGGCGAAGTACTTTGTTGAGTCTGATAAGCAAACGTTTGATATTGATGCCACGGTTAAGAGATTCAAATACTTATTGGGATTAACCGGGTTGTTCAAGCACTTTATTGACGCTAAAGTCGAAAAAGATGCAAATTTTGCTCAAGTGATTGAAAAAATCAATCAAGAAGAAAGTTCCAATAAGAAAAGAAGAAAAACTGAAAAGGAAGAAGATGCAGAATTATTACGTGATGAAGAAGATACTGCCAATATAACTGAGTTTAGTGAAAGTCCAAATTATATTCATGGAGAATTAAGACCGTATCAAATACAAGGTCTTAATTGGATGGTTTCACTTTACGAAAATGGAGTTAATGGGTTTCTTTTAGCAGATGAAATGGGTTTAGGTAAAACTTTGCAAACAATAAGTTTTCTAGGTTATTTGAGATACTTGAAAAACATAAATGGACCTCATTTAATTATAGTACCTAAATCAACTTTAGATAATTGGCTGAGGGAATTTGCTAAATGGACACCAGATGTTAGGGTTTTAGTATTACAAGGTGATAAAGATGAAAGAAATCAGTTAATTCAATCAAGATTAATGAATTGTGATTTTGATGTTGTGATAAGTTCTTATGAAATTGTTATTAGAGAAAAGTCTTCATTTAAAAAATTTAATTGGCAATACATTATAATTGATGAAGCTCATCGTATTAAAAATGAAGAAAGTTTATTGTCACAAATCATTCGTATGTTTCATCTGAAAAACCGTTTGTTAATAACTGGTACCCCTTTACAAAATAATTTACATGAATTATGGGCTTTATTAAATTTTATTTTACCAGATATTTTTGGTGAAAGTGATACTTTTGATGATTGGTTTACTAATGATAATGATGATAATATTATAACTCAATTACATAAAGTCTTAAAGCCTTTCTTATTACGTCGTATTAAAGCCGATGTTGAAAAGTCCTTATTGCCTAAAAAGGAATTGAATTTATACGTTAAAATGTCAGATATGCAAAGAAAATGGTATCAGAAAATTTTAGAAAAAGATATCGATGCAGTTAACGGTGCAAATGGTAAAAAGGAAAGTAAAACAAGATTATTGAATATTGTTATGCAATTGCGTAAATGTTGCAATCATCCTTATCTATTTGAGGGTGCTGAACCAGGTCCTCCTTTTACCACTGATGAACATTTAGTTTTCAACGCTCAAAAAATGATAATCTTGGATAAATTATTGAAAAAATTTCAACAAGAAGGTTCAAGAGTTTTAATATTTTCTCAGATGAGTAGAATGTTGGATATTTTGGAAGATTATTGTTATTTTAGAGAATTTGAATATTGTCGTATTGATGGTCAAACTGATCACGCTGATCGTATTAATGCAATTGATGAATATAATAAACCTGGTCTGGAAAAATTTGTATTTTTATTAACAACTAGAGCTGGTGGTTTAGGTATTAATTTAACTACTGCTGACATTGTTATTTTATTTGATAGTGACTGGAATCCTCAAGCTGATTTACAAGCAATGGATAGAGCTCATAGAATTGGACAAACAAAACAGGTTAAAGTTTTCAGATTTGTTACTGAAAATGCAATTGAAGAAAAAGTTTTAGAAAGAGCTACTCAAAAATTAAGATTAGATCAATTAGTTATTCAACAAGGAAGAAATAATGCTAACGTTAATAACAATCTTAGTAATTCAAAAGATGAATTATTAAATATGATTCAACATGGTGCAAATGAAATGTTTCAAAATGAAACCAAGAATGATGAAGATATTGATATTGAAACGTTATTAAGAGATAGTGAACAAAAAACCAGTGAATTAAATAAAAAATATGAATCATTAAATTTAAATGCATTACAAAATTTTAGTAATAACGATGAATCAGTTTATGAATGGAATGGAGAAAATTTTAAGAAGAAAGAAGCAAAAGCAATAAGTAATATTGGGCATGGATGGATTAATCCAGGTAAGAGAGAACGTAAAGAAAATTATTCAATTGATATGTACTATAAAGATGTATTAAATACTGGGGGAAGAACTGGGCCAGCCATTAAAAGTGGACCCAAACCACCAAAACAATTAAATATATATGATCATCAATTTTACCCCCATAAATTGATTGAATTATATGATTTAGAAAGAAATTATTATAAAAAACAGACCAAATATGTTGTACCATTAAAAGCAGGTAAAGAAGATACTTTAAAACAAAGACAATTAGAACAAAAGATTGAACAAGAAGAAATTGATAATTCAAGACCATTAACTGAAGAAGAAAAAGCTTTAAAAGAAGAATTATTAAAACAAGGATTTAATGAATGGAATAGAAGAGATTTCCAACATTTTATATCATTGAGTATAAAGTATGGAAGAAATTCAATTAAATTAATAAGTACTGAATTTGAAGATAAAAGTGAAGAAGAAATTAGAGAATACGCAAATAAATTCTGGACCAATTATGAAGAAATTGAAGGATATGAAAGATTTATAAATCAAATTGAAATGGGAGAAGAAAAAATATTAAAAGTTAAATTACAAAAAGAAAGTTTACGTCGAAAATTAAGTCAATATAAATATCCGTTACAAGAATTAGTTTTGAAAAATCCTCCAGCAACCACTAATAAGCGTATTTTCAGTGAAGAAGAAGATCGGTTTTTATTAGTACAGTTATATAAGTTTGGATTAGATAGACCAGATATTTATGATAGAATTAGAGATGCAATTCGAGAAAGTCCATTATTTGAATTTGATTTCTTCTTTCAACTGAGAAATAGTTCAGAATTATCAAGAAGATGTACCACGTTATTATCATGTATATTAAAAGAAATGCAACCACCAAACGTTGATAAACGAAAATTAGAAGAAACTTCAAATAATAATAAAAATAATAAAAAAATTAAAAAATAGCTTTTTAGTCTTGATTTAATAAATTTATAATATGATTTTCAAAACTTAATGGTGTAGTTTCGCTCATGTATCTATTAACAACGAAACCTTTTCTATTTATAAGAAATTTTTCAAAATTCCACCGTACTCCTTCAAAACCAATTGGTGTTTTACATTTTTTCTTCATAAATGTATATAATTTAGAAGCTTCTTTTCCATTGACATTAACTTTTTTCATTATTGGGAAGGTAACATTGAACTTTTTTCTGATGAACCTCGAAGTCTCTTCATCATTAAGTGGTTCTTGGTTTGCAAATTGATTGCAGGGGAAGGCCAATATTATTAATCCTTTATCAAGGTATTTCTGGTATAATTTTTGTAATTCAATGTATTGGGGTGTAAATCCACATAAACTAGCAACATTGACTATTAGTAGAACCTTGTTTCGATACTTGGACAAGGGAACTTGATTCCCTTGGCAATCTTCCACGGTCATGTCGTAGATAGTGTCGTCTGTCATTCTTGGTTGACAAGGAGTTAGTGATGCTTTGATTGAAAACTTCATTTCCATAGTACTGTATATTAATCTTTTTTCACTCCATCAGGCTATCCACGAGATTATACGGTTACAGGACATACAGGTATTTCGCAAGCACTATGAGCAGGGCCATACCTACCGTGACCATAATCCCGTTCTAACCGGCAGTACATACTACAGCATACCATATACGTAATATACATATGAACTGACCAGCCATATACTCTCAAACCATCCATTAGCTATTGTATACTAAGATATGGACTATGTATATACACCATTAACCCAGACGGTTATTCTATACTATAAGAGAACACACTGCTTCGAACTGTGCTATCTGAAGAGTGGAACTCTTATTGTACCGTACTATCTATCATTTATTGTACAACAGTATCATTTATTGTAGTGTACTATCTTTTATTATAGTGTACTATCTTATTGTAGTGTACTATCTTATTATAGTGTACTATCTTATTGTAGTGTACTATCTTTTATTGCAGTGTACCATACTATACTACACTACTATCATTCACCGTACTATACTATCATTCACCGTACTGTACTATAATATACTATACTATACTATCAAATTATACAAGGCTATCATTTACTGTACTAAACTATCATCTATTGTACAACACTATCATTCATTGTACTACTTTATCTTTCACTTTATCAATCATTGTACTACTTTATCTTTCACTTTATCAATCATTGTACTATCATTTAGTTGATCATTTATTATACAAGGTTATCATTCGCTTTATTACACTATCAGTATACCATACCATACAATTATACAGATCTTTTACTATTTCATCTCAAACCGTCTAACTTACTTCCTCAAGACTGTTATTCCCTTTAACCATTCCTATAATCATACTAATACTTCCATATACGCTATAACAAGAGATGAGTGCTTCAGCTGATACAATCTTATACTGTACATACTACAGCAGCTTCCGGGACACTCCCTGAATTGTACGCTGATTGTAATTGTACCGTGATTGTAACTGTACGGTGATTGTAATTGTACTGTGATTGTACGTAATGCCATTACCCCGTCACCTACTTATCCCCTGGCTCCCCACAGAACAAACACCGAGTCCATCACCCCATCTTAGTATATAACCAACCGATCGTACGATCACGTAGCGACGGTGCCTCCGTAAACCAGTGACTCCGGGTGTTTTCATTTTAACTCATTTTAGTGTCAGAAGGGCAAAAATTTTTATTTTTTTTTTTTTTTTACTTCATTATCACTTTTAATTCTACAACAAGCTTATCTTCTGGGATGAACCAAGGACAGGATGTCGTTTAAAGTAAACTGGAACTCGCTAGAAACCGACTCGTTGAGAAACTGGACTAAGGATCTACTCACCGACGCTTTGAATAGCGGGAAACGTCCTAATATATTAGCATCAAATATTCAAATAAAAGATTTAAATTTTGGATTGAGCCCTCCAAATTTTGAAATATTAGAGATTGGGGAGTTGGCTAAGGATCGATTCAGAGGGATATTTAAGATAAATTACGACGGAGACTTTCATTTGACCTTGCATACCAAGGTACAAGCCAACCCGTTGAAGATCTATAGTGACAACTCATTAGAGAAAGAAATCAATCAGGATTGCCATAATTTCACTACTCCGGACTTTTTATTGTCCAATGAAGCATTCAACATCCCGCTTGATTTGAAGTTAAGTGATATCAAGATCAATGGGATTGGGATTATTGTTTTTTCGAAAACAAAAGGATTGACTTTAGTTTTCCGAAACGATCCACTAGATTCGATTAAAGTCAGTTCTACCTTTGATACCGTACAAGTATTGGCTAACTACTTACAGAAACAAATAGAAAATCAAATACGAGACTTGTTTAGAGAAACCTTGCCAACGTTGATCCATAAACTATCGTTGAAATATACTCTTGTTAATGAATCCACCATCAACGATTTATATAAACAACAACAAAAGAAAGAAGAAGAAGTGAGAGAAAAAGATGCCGAGGATAGCGAGGATCTGGAAGATGATGAATTGTTAGAGTTCCAACAATCTTTTTCTCCAAATAACTTGATGAAAATATCCTCGATCTTCAATTCAAGAGAAAGCTTAAAATTAAATATTCCAAAATTCAAAAAAACTATTCAAAGATGTCATCTAGATAAATATTGTCAAGATATTTCCTTACCTAACTTGGTTAATTCATTATACACCAACTTGAACTTATCAAATCAAGATTTATTACTTAATAATCATAATTTGAATGGGATCCCCATCAATATGTTATTGGGCCATGATTATAACAAGGTCGATAATATTTTGAAAGAAATTAGTTTGATCCAATCAAATAATTATAATACTACCAATTCCAAAAATTCAATTCCCATCAGACCTAAGAGAAGAAAGATCAAAATCAAGAAGAACACCAATACAAAAGATCACCAGCCAGTTTCCTTACCTCCTCCTCCTCCTCCTTCTCCTAAGGAACACTTGGTCCACCCGGTACCAGTTAAGGGTAATGTGATTGGATTGGGCTTGGGCCATAATGAAGTTAAACCTTTCGAAGTCATCAACGACGTCAAGTTGGAAAAACATCAACCTTCTCCTAAATACAAACCAAGTGATAAACTACTAAATGAATTGAAAAACTACAATTCTTTCAATGATGATAAACTATTCAAACAAATTAAAAGTTATAATAACCAATTATTGAAGGAAAAACTAAATAGATCTCTTGGTTTGGACCTTCCTCCTCCTTACCAATCCTAGTTATGACTAATGTGCTAATGTGTTTTACTGTACGTTCTACTGTAGTATTCTGTACGCTTTAAGGTTGTCATTGTAGACCTAATCCTCAGTGTTTACGTTTTAATCGCATCAAATCGCTAAAAAAAGAAGTGAACATCAAGTAAAGAAAAAAAATGTTTTAAAAAAAACACCAAATCAAATATCAACTACTCTTCATTACTCGATCCAAGATGGCCTTTGGAAGCTTTGCTGATGTGTGTAATAGAACCGCGTTCCCGCTCTGCTCGGTGGTGGGTGCAGTCAACCAGTCATCCTATTTCACTCGGGGGATCGTTCCAACTTGTTATGCCAGATCAGTTGAATTGGCTAACACAATGATTTTTCAAATTGGTACCGCTTTTGTTCATTTTGGTGGGTTGGTAATCTTATTGATTATCATCTTCAACGTTCGTGCCAAGTACACCGCCATTGGTAGAACTGAAATGTTATATTTTTTCTACTTGTTCATTGCTCTAACTATAAGTTCTTTAGTGGTGGATTGTGGTGTTAGTCCTCCAAGTAGTGAAAGTTATGCTTATTTTGTAAGTTTACAAATTGGTTTTGCTAGTGCTGTTTGTTCTTGTCTTTTATATAATGGTTTACTTTGTTTCCAATTCTGGGAAGATGGCTCGAAAACTTCAATGTGGTCCGTGAGGTTAATTACCATCATTTGGGGGTTTATCAATTTTATCATTAGTTTAATCACTTTTAAGGGTTGGGATACTGCTTTGGATGATACTAAAACTGAAACCTTGTTCATCTTTACCTTTGTCATAAATGCAATCATTTTAGCTGCTTATGTCATTTCTCAAGTCATATTGGTGATTTTCGCTTTAGACTCTTACTGGCCCTTGGGTGCTATCATCTTAGGGCTATTCTTCTTTGCTGCTGGTCAAGTCTTAGTTTATGGTTTTAGTGATAAAATTTGTGAAGGGGCCACCCATTATATCGACGGGATCTTCGTGGCTTCAGTCGCTAATGTCTTCACCATCATGATGGTCTACAAATACTGGGATATGATCACTACTGATGATTTGGAATTCTCAGTTGCAAACGTGGAACATGGTGTTAATGCCTTTGGTGAAGACGAAAAAAGACAGTCAATGTTCTTTTAATCTCTTTCTTTGCATCTAAAACTTTTTCTTCCTTCTTTCCTATTCAATTAGTTATCATTTATTTATATATAATAGCGTCTTGAAACTCGGTTTCTGCGCCCTGGTCAACTGTACTTCTAGCTACTGTAATTACTCTTATTTGTTTATTTATTTATTTATATCTTTTTTTTTTTTTTTGTGGTGCACGGGTGGATTTGGGGTTGGAGATCACTGAGGAAGTCAGGAATGGGAAAACTTAAACGAATAAGTATAATCTTCTTTAAACCACCAGAAAGTATAAGACGACAATGTCTAATCCAGTCTCGAGTGGCTCCAACGGGGGCGGGCTTAACATCAGTTTCAATGATTCTGCTAATTCAAACGCTAGTAGTAGCGCTGGTACTAATCAGCCGCCCAAAAGTCCAAATGCTAATTTGAATGCTTCTACTAATTCGAGTTCAAGTAATAAAGAGATCATTAGTGATTTGAACCAATCTCAGGATTCAGAGTCGGCTAAGTTGTTGGAACTGGAAAGAATACAAGGGGTCTTGAATAGTGACGGGTCGTTGGATTTGCTTCTAAACCGCTTGAAACAAAGTATCACTACTGGAGATGAATTTGCTAAATATATAAAGAAAAGAGCGTTGATTGAAGATGATCATTATAACCAATTGAAGAAATTTGCTCTGATCACTAGAACTTCAATGAAGACATCTCAAAAAATTAAAAATGATTCTTTTAGTACTAAATTAGATCAAATTATTGAATTTGATGAAAAATTATTCAATGTTGGTTCTTCATACGTCAAGGCTTTAAACGTTATGTATGATGAGTTAAGTTCTTTATGTCAAACCATTAGTAGGTCAAGAAAATTGATCAAAGATGAAGGTAAAAGAAAAGAAAAAGAATGTATTGACTCTATAATGGCTGCTGAAAAGGCTAAACAAAAATATCATCATTTATGTGATGATTTAGAAAAATTGAAAACTTCTGATCCAAATAAGAAATCTTTTTCTTTGAAAAATAAGACGGTCGAACAACAAGAAGACGATTTACAAAGAAAAGTAGATTTGGCTGATCAAGATTATAAATCAAAAGTTAATACTTGCAAGAAATTAAAAGATGAAATGTTAATGATTCATAGACCAACTAATTCTAAAAAATTGAAAAATTTAATCTTGGAAACTGATATTGCCTTGAATGTTCAATTACAAAAATTCGCAACTTGGAATGAAACTTTAATTATGAATTCAGGGGTTTTAATCAGTCCTTTACAATCAAGTAAACAATCAATGAAAGCTTTGGCTTCCTCTATTGATAATGAAAAAGATTTATATCAATATTTAATTAAATTCGAAAAACAACCAACTAATAAATCATTAGTACCAGTTGATTACGTGGTTCATCCTTCTTTAGCAAGAAATCAAAAACCAATTTCAAATAAACCATTTTTAAATAATAACTTACAACCAAAACAAGCAAATAATACCTTACCTTCTCCAAATCGTAATCAAGATATGTCAAATAATACCTCCAATCAAACCAAACCAATTGCATCTCCAAATCCTTCATTTTACGAAAATAATCATAATTCCAACCATGATGATCAAAGTAATCTTACTTATAATTCATTAGATCCTGCTAGTAATGCAAATACTCCTGATTTAAATGGTCCTAAATCTTTGACAAGTCAAATGAATCATTTGTCCCAACCCACCTTTGGTGTATCGATTGAGGATGTTATACAATTTGCCGGTATAGACAACGTTCCCTTGGTTGTTAAAAAATGTATTGAAATCGTTGAATCTTATGGTTTGGATATCGAGGGAATCTATAGAACAAGTGGTAATAAAGCAACAGTACAACATTTAAGAGAATCTATCGATAATAAATTCACTAATTATCTTTTAATTGGCAGCAATATCGATCCTTCAAATATATTGGATGCAGATATCTATTGTGTTGCATCTTTATTGAAACTTTATTTGGCTTCTTTACCAGAACCATTATTAACAAGAGAATATTATCAATCTTTTATCGAAACCGTTAAAGCTTCTGATGAAACATATATCGCTAAAAAATTACATCATTTGGTCTTCAATTTACCAGATGGTGCATACTTCACTTTAAGGGCTTTGATTTTCCATCTCAATAAAGTTGCCGCTCATCAGCATCTAAATAGAATGTCAGCAAAATCTTTGGCCATCATTTGGGGACCGGCACTTTTAAATGATAATTCAATGAGCCCTCAAGATTTGAGCTATAAGAGTAAAGTCGTTGAAGAATTAATGTTGATTGCTAACGAAATTTTCGATACTGAAGATTAATTCAGTCTATATATTCTTTTATTTTTTTATTCCCCTTTTCTATTTTATATTCTTGTTTTCTGTTTGTTTCGTCTTTCTTCTCCTTTCCTTGTTCTTTTTCATTTCATTTTTCATTAAAGTTCCAGTTTTCACCTATATATATTTTACACTTTAATTAATAACTTTCTAAATAAACAAAAAAAATAAGTATATTACATTTATCAATACATTAAATAAGTTGGCTTATTATTATGTCCGTTCGAACTTTTATCCCTTCCGTTCTTTGAATTCCCATCACCGCTGTTGCCATTATTATTATTATTAATATTATTATTATTGTTGTTGTTGTTGTTGTTGTTGTTGTTGATGTTGTTGTTGTTGTTGTTGTTGTTGTTGTTGTTGTTGTTGTTGTTGTTATAATTATTACCATTATTGTTGATCTTCCCAAAATTGAATCTTGGTGGCTTGATCACTTTATTCATATTCTTCATTTTGAAGTTATTCTTATAAGCCGATTCTTTTTCTTGCTTTTTCTGTTCAAGTTCTTCAAGTTCTTTCTCTCGTTGCATCTTTTCTTCTTCTAATATCTTTACGTAATCTTCATCACTTATTCCTTCTAGTTTTCTCTTGATGTCTTTCAATTCTATTCTCAAAGTCTCGTGGAACTCGGGCGAGTCGATTATCTTTTCTTGGATATCCTTATCCACTATACTCAACAAACTATTCGTGTTATTACTATTAATACCTCTCTCCGTATTGCTTCTATCCTCATTCTTGCTTAAACGTTGATTAATAATCTCCCCTTGGATCAATGCTCCCATCTTCCCCTTATTCTTCATGAGTATCGAAGGATCATTTTTCACCTTGTTTTCAACCATTAGCCTTAACTTCAATAATAAATTGGAATGGGTTTCCGATTGCTTGAAATTTTCTAATAACTCCTTTCTTTGCTGATCAAATGATCCATTTTTTTTATAAACTGTAGTTAGGTTCTTATGGTCGGTTATTTTAACGGAGCCTTCTCTCAGGGTCCCATTCTCCTTAGTTTCTCTAGGAGCCATGTTCACAGTTGATATTTCAGAGTTATATATATGTATGTAATGGTTTTTTTTTTTTGTTACTTTATTCTCAAACTTCAGTGCATAAAAAACGGAATCAGAGCATATCAATATCTTGAAAAACACGATCTTCAAGCTATTTGACGAAGCGGATAGCTGCTATAAACGGAACACATGACTGAAGACATCGAGATAAACAAGAATGTCCTTAGCCTTGGGGATTCGCCTTTTGGGGCATCCCTGTTGGTGGTAACTGCATCACATTTGAGTCCTCTACATCCCAGATCGGATCAACATAAGAATCAGCATAAAAGGATTAAACCAAACTTAGCTCATCCTAAAGAAGAAATATTGTCTAGCTCTAATGAAGAGGAAATTAACCGTTTCATTGAATGTACTCTTCATGAAAAGCCGCTTGGTAGAAGTTATCAATCATGTTATCAAAATATTCGATGCCTTGCTTCTAGAGGCCGAACACAACAGACAATGATACTGGATAAACTTTACAATAGTGTTGAATCGTATTTCAAGGAAGTTGAACTTCTGAAATGGGTTGAAGTACTTCAAAATGATGAGCTAATTGAAATAGTTCAAAATCTAGTTTTACTATTCAGCAATTGGGATCGCAAATTGAAAACTCTATTTAAAGTATTCAGCTTCGTGGCTTCTTTCATAAGCCAAAAGAAAGGTGGTAATATAAAGGTTTTCGGCTTCGATCTTATATTGAAAAATTTTTACGATTGTAACGAAGGAAGCGAAGAGGAAAGGGCGAGAGAGGAGAAAATCATCCGTGCAACTTATGGTATTCTTCGGCTATATAGGCAATATGCTTGCATGAGAGGTGATTCTCCAATTGGAGATCTTGTGGAGAAGTATTTGATGTTCGTCAAGCAATTGGGTACTAATGGTAAACTCGTAAGTAAGTTAATTCATAAGTTTCGTGAAGAGGACTATCAAAGAATTTTAAGTACATGGGAGGGAAACTATATAAAGCATTGTCTTATTATTTTTTCGAGGGAAACCGACTTACTACACAAGTCTGGGTTAGATCTTAATGGAATCACCAAAGACATCTACCAATTGAAATTCAATTTAATATTCGAAGATTTTTCGGTATCATTAGATAAAGGATTGCCTGAGCTTATTGATAATGGTTCATACGAAGAAGTGACACATTTATCTAAAATGTGTGAAGAAGCTGATGAAAGATCCTCTTTAAACACACAAAAAACATTTGCATTTTCGTGGAGTAAGATTATTGGAGTAAGATTACAATCAATGATAGATGAGTACAAAGGATATGGGGTGACACAAGCAAATCCTTTGGCTTTAATAAACAACCTCACAAAATACATGGAAGACCAGCAGGAAAGTTTGAAACAGTTTCTCCCGGTGAAGCAGTCTCCAAGCTATACCCTTCAAAAAGTTGTGGAAAAGAGAGATTATTATGAAGAGTTCATTTTTGAATTCAGAACAGTTGTAAACAAATTTTTCATTGATAAAAATAACAATACTTTCATAATGCAACAATTATGTAAATTTTGTGATTTACATTTGAGATCGAGTAATTTATCAAAATCAAGTGAATTCATTAAAAGTTTTGCAACAATTTTCAAAAGTCTTGGTAATAAAACGGATTTTCTCACCTTATATAAAAGAGATTTATCAAAAAGATTATTACTCAATAGATATCGTGACTTGGAATTGGAAAAAGCTATGATAAATGAATGTGCTAGACACGTTGGTGATGATGATAGTATAGTTGAATTGAAAGGAATGTTTGATGATCTCGAGAGCTCGACAGCAAACTATAGTCATGTTGAATCGATCGATGATCAACTTGGTATTGAGTTCAATGCATTAGTTTTGAATAAGAAGAATTGGCCGGACGTACCCAAAAATGATTTCGAACTTAATATCCCTAATAAACTTCATAATGTGTTAAATGAGTTTGACAGCTATTTCAAAAACCAAGGAGAAAAAGCAAAGGGTAAGATACTTGATTGGACTAGTTATAATTTGCATCAATTGGTTTTGAGGGCATCTTTTAATCGAGGAGATAAGGACTTAGTAATCAATTTACTTCAGGCAGTCGTTTTATTACTATTTGAAACCGACGATCGCATTGAGTTTAATAAAATTGCATCTACCACTAATATAGAAGAAAGATTTTTGAAAAATGTTTTATCAAGCTTCTGTACAGAAAAGTATAAGATATTGATTCATGATCCAACGACTAATACTTACACTTATAATAGATTTTTCACTGACAAATCCGATCGAATCAAATTACCTCTATCTAGGGATAAAAATGCCGCTAAGAAGAATTCTAACGAAAGCATAATGAGCTTAGACGCTGAAAAGCTCTCCAAAAATCGAGAATCCGAATTCCGATGTACTATAATTAAAGTGATGAAAGCAGAAGAGAAAATCATGTACTCCGATCTTTTAGCCAAAACAATATCAATTGTTGAGAAAAGATCACCAGTGACAATTCAAGATATCAAGAAGCATATCGAAGTTTTGATCAATCAAGAATATATCGAAAGACAACCCGATGGCCAAACTTTAGTCTATATTCCTTGAAACTCAATCTCTACATCTTTATTATAAGTAAACGTTTATTATTCTTAGTTATGCGAATGAATAGACCGGAAATGAAATGAATTGATGGATAAATAGAAGTGTTTTAAATATACAATTTGATTAGATTGGAATATCTTCTGGATCTGGATTGTAAACCCAGTGTTCACCAAAAACTGGAATCTTAGAGTAGAAGGTGTTTTGGAATAATGGAATACCTTCAGTGAAGGTAGCAATACCACCAGCAACGGCACCTCCCCATAAGGCCAAGTTTGGAACGTAAGATTTAAGAAGAGGAATGTTTAAACCAGCAACTGATTTAACAGTTTTGTAAGCAGGACCTTTAACATACTGCAAAAGTTAGTATTGGTTGGTTCGGTGTTTTTCCCATCTCTCTATACATACTGAAACCATTTTGAATGTGTAACTACTTAGTCTTATCTTGTCTAGTAACTAAGTTTTGATATTTTCATCTCAGTTTCTAGCTCGCTCAGTGTGAAAATTTAGTATTCGGGTTCAGCTATTGGTTGAGAAGAGAATTGGGTTTCGCACACCACTATAAACTACCTACTATACTCTACAACTACTAATCTTTAATAAATAAATATGCATGTGTATTAAAAAAGCGTATGATTGAATAAGGCTAGTATCGAAATGAAAGGAACAAGTAGGATGGAATAAATAAGACTCGTGATGTTATCATAAGTGAAAAAAATAATAAAAAACAAAAAAAATTGAATTTTTGCAATTTTTATCAGATACGTTAACGATTCATAGGTTGCTTAACAAGCATCGGATTGCGAGAGAATGTAATCGACGGTTTGACCAACGGTTTTCAAGGAATCCGCTTCTTGGTCTGGGATTTGGATATTGAATTCATGTTCAACTTCCATGATCACTTCAACAACATCTAAAGAGTCCAAGCCCAAATCACCGATGTATGAGCTTTCGTCCTTGATTTCGGTGGCCTTGACTTTGTTGTAGCCTTCTAAAAGTTCCAAGATTCTTTCTCTGGCAATATCTTTAGTTAATGGGGGGAAACCGGCATAAGTACGAACAAATGATTGGTTTATGGTGGCTGGCGAAATCACCTGTTTTCTGGCAACTGGGGCCATTGGGGCTCTGACGGATCTTAATAAAGCTGTTCTAAACATCTTATAGCTAATGGTAGTTCAACTGGTCTTCAACTGAATTGACTAATGGCCATTATGATGTTTTTCAGTGGTTGAAAAGCACGAAAAAACCTTCGCTCAAGGTGGTTTTGGCGCGACATTTCACGGTGGAAGAACTACTTTTCGGTGATTCGCGACATTTGTGCTCCACGACATTTTGAACCATCCAAAAATTTTCACCTTTTTCAACCTTTTAAAGCATTACCTTATAGCGTTATTACCTTGATAACAGGAGGATGTTCAGATCTGTGTTGAAAAACATTAGGCCCGCGGTTGCCCCATCCGCTGGTTTGGCCAGAAGCACACCAATTAGCTCTTATCTCCAATCTATACGTACCAATATTCCAATAGTTAATACGATCTCCCAGCAGCAAAAAAGATATGCAACATTAAATCAAATAAGAAAAGGTAAGCATGACACTCCGGTGAAGGAGTCCAAGTCCAAGTCTCCAGATTTGGAGGAAAACCCATTCAAAAAGGGAGTTGTGGTGAGAGTTATGGTGTTGAAACCAAAGAAACCAAATTCGGCTCAAAGAAAATGTTGTCGTGTTAGATTAACTAACGGTAAAGTTGTTTCAGCATTAATTCCAGGTGAAGGTCATAATTTGCAAGAACATAATATTGTTATGATTAGAGGGGGTAGAGTGCAAGATTTACCGGGGGTCAAGTATCGTTGTGTTAGAGGAGTTTACGATTTAGCCGGGGTTGCTAATAGAGCTACTTCAAGATCTAAATATGGGGTTAAAATGCCTAAACAATAATCAAATTCATTAATGTATATATGTTATACTGTAAATAGAGTCTAATAAGAAACAGAAAAGAAAAGTATATGTATTAAACTCTACCAATATCGAATCTTTTACCGCTAGCGGTTTTTCTATTTTCAATAAGTTTACCATCATCATCAACATTTTCAGGTTTAGCTCTATTCAAAATCTTCAAAAACTCCTTCACTCTGAATCTCATTCTTGAATGCATGTAAGCTTTTGAACATTTAATGTGATAATGGAAGTAATTTCTAAAAAATTGAATATGAGAAATACAATTATCTCTTCTATCACCTTTAACAAGATGTCTTGGGAAAAGAACAAAAGTAACATAACCTTTGTTATCGTTGTTTTTATTGCTGACGACATTTTGAATATCTAAAGGAGGTTCCTTATGGGAATATAATACTTGGGGAGCAGTTTGAACTGATCTTTTTCTTGCATCAACAAATTCTTGTAAGAAAACTTTACCAAAAATTTTATCGGTTTCATCCTGGAAAATAGTAGAGAAAATAACAGTAACTCTATCAAAAGATGGCTTAATGTAGATACTTTCTTCAGATCCACGGTAATTGATCACTAAGATTGGTTCATTTGTTAATTCTAATTGGACATCTTCTGAATAAGTATTCAAATTAGCATATTTATTACTTAATTCATCAAATCTATTGAAAGCTTTTTCAAAAGCAGAAGCAATAGAGTGTCTTTTCAAAAATGATAATTCACTAATTAATTGTAATTTTGATTCTTCCGATTCATTAATTATATCATCAACATTTAAAACTAATGAATAATTATATCCCCCTTCAATATCATTATTGCTTAAAATTGTCAATGATTGAAAGTGGGAATATTTCCCGTTTAAGTATTCAATAACTCCGTATTTCACTAAATCTTCCCAACATTTCAAATATATTGAAATTAACAATATATTTTTATTATCTGGTAATGTGGAAATATGATAGGTTGTAAAATCAAAATCGGTGATTATTCTGTCTAACGATTTTGAATTCTCCGTTTCCGGGAATAACTTTTCGGTTAATGTTTTCTCAATCAACAAATTCTTCTGTTCAATTTGTAACATGACTCAATGATTTAATCAATTCAATTGATATGGTAATCGTTTTGCTCTTTTATCACCAGGGTTGACTACGTTTTTCTATTTTTTGCCTGAGTGTTGTTCAATAAACCACACCCGTACATCCGCATCATGTGACCATATTCAACATTTGCAAATTTCATTTTATTACAACTTTCTACAAAAGCTTTTTATCTAAATGTTTATAAGTATATATACTAGAGACATGTAATGTCGAAGCGCATAACAGGAATGCAAAGGTATGAACATGGATTTAGAGACAAAAAAAAAAGTATAAAAAAAAATGGAAAAAAAAGTGGAAAAAAAAAAAAAAACTATATATGAAAGGAGAAGAATCATTAAATCTTTAAAGTGATTCGATTAATGAGCTTCAGTAAGGAGGTTTAAACAATGTTCATCTAAATCTTCTATTTTGTTGAGGCAATCCACCTCTATGTAAGGCAGGAGCATTAACTTTATTTTTCAATAAGGTATGAACATTTTCTCTTGCATTTGGATTAGCACCAGCAAGAGGAATGGTACCTTTTTTAACATTCGATAAGTTTGGTTGTTTTTTATGACTATTAGATCTGGATAATTTCTTTTCTTTTTCTTCTTGTAATTCTTTAACTTTTTCGGTGACAATTTCACTCATTTTAGGATCAACATTACGATATTTAATTAACCAAGGGTGGTTTAATAAAGTATCATAAGAAGGTCTTAAATCGGGATTTTTATTCAAACAAGATTTGACAAATAATTGAGCTTCTTTTGAAAAACGTTTCGAATCTAATTTTGGAGGATCACCATCAACAATGGCACTTAGTTGACTGAAAATATTATCGTAAGTTTCTGCAGGATAAGGATAATGACCAGCAGCAATTTCTAAAATGGTTAAACCCAAGGACCAAATATCCGATTGAATTGAATAAGTAGAATCATCTGGATTAACCGACTTAATTCTTTCAGGAGCCATATAACTTTGACAACCAATATTAGTTTTAGCTAAAGAAGCAACTAAATTACCACTTACCCCAAAGTCACATAACTTAACTTTACCTAAGGTATTAATTAAGATATTTGTTGGTTTAACATCACGATGAATAATATTATGCGTGTCCTTTAATTCTTTTAAACCTCGAATGACACATTCGGTGATATAAGCCAAACAAGGTTCACTAGTAACACCAACGTCTTTGGTATAAATTTTATCTAAAGAACCACCATCCATATGTTCCATACACATATAAACTGCACCTTCAACGAAAAATGCCCCATAAAAATCAACAATGTAAGGAGAATCACATTTATGTAAGATTTCCAACTCCATTAAAATCTGAGTGAATTTGTTTTCATCCAATTCCAAACGAACTTCCTTCATGGCCATGGTTACGCCAGTTGGTTTATGTAAGACTTTGGAAACTGTACCATAATTACCGTGGCCTATTTCGTCCAAAAATTCCAATTCATCCAAAGAAATTCTAAATGACGAGCCGGACGAAAAATCAACCCCTTTTGAATGCAAAGAAGCTTTACCGGCAAAATTAAGCGATCCTGATTTGATATCAACGTATTTTGAATAATTTGCAAATAATCCGTGAAGTTGCTGTTTTTTCGAATCGGCACTATTCGATTGGTTTGAATTGGGTAATGGTTTCGAATCAAGATTTGTTTGAGAAGAATTTGAAGATGAAGAAACAGAAGAAATATCCGACGTATTCCCAGAGTTGTTCCCGGTTAAATCAGATAAATTCAACGACAAATTTTTTGGTTTTCTACGTTCAGATAATTTTCGGTTTAACCCAGAAGTTGCGACATCGTCATTACCGGAATTTGAGTCTTGTTGAGGGGATTGGTTTAAGTTTAAATCTGGCATTGATATCTTCATTCCTCTTCTTTGACTCAAAGAAGGTTTTTTGCTCAAGTCAAACGCTTGTGCTTTATCCGGACTAAAAGGTAATCGATTGATTGGGTTGGTTGGATTGGTTGGGGTTGTTGCGCCCGAAGGAAATTGGTAGCTTTGTTGACGAGGAGAATTAGGTAAGGGAGAAGGAATCAAATCCTTAGCGGCAGCGTCACTCTGAGAAAGTGATCTTTGAGAATAATCTGGATGTTGAGCAGAAGGTGACGTGTGGGCCGAGTGTTGAGGAGATTGTAACGATTGGCCCACGGTTTGGTCCAAGTTGGGGGCACTCATAGAACTAAAGTTATTAATGGGGGGAGAGTTGGCATTCGATGGCGGTGGTTTATTGATACGATTCTGTTGAAATGCTTTTATTCTAGCCTGAATATCACTAGATAATTGCCCATGACTAGATGAAATTGGTGGGGAATTCGACTCCTTAGGAGAATTGATCGAAAGCTGGTCAATGGCTGAAGTAACCGCATCCCGGTTATTGGAATTAGATGAACTCATCTTATATTTAGGACTAGCCGTATGATTATCGTTATTTTCGTTAGACATTGATCGTGAGAAAAGGGATTTTTCTATGGAAAGCCACGCTGGATTTCTATAATTGAAGTGAAAAATACAGAAAGTAGATAATAACGAACCTACTAAACCCACTATATGAACCCACTATAAGAAACCACTATAAGAAACCACTATAAGAAACCACTAATTAAACAAACAAAACCAAATGAACAAAAAAAAAACCAGTAAAAAAAAAAAAACCAAAAAAAAAAAAAACCAAAAAAAGACAGCAACGGTGCACACTAATTAATGTAAAAGGGGAAACGCAGCAGGATCAAGTAGCAAAAGTATTAGCCTGGAGAATCAGGAAACAATATAATTAACTAGAAAGTGGGAATGGTAAAACAGTAACGTAAGGAATGACTGACTGACTAGTTATAGCTATGATTCAAAGAAAAGAAAAGAAGTATTGGCCTGTTTTTTTTCCTTCCCTTTTTAAAGAAAGAGAAAAAAACTGAGAGGGTCGCCCGTTTGACTAACAAAAGGGAAAAAAACAAAAAAAAAAAAAACTTTTAAATTGGTAAAAGGGACGAAAACCAAAACAAAAATCTATTTTAAAAGCTGGAACAAACCCAAAGATTGCTTTGGTTTAGGGTTAGCTTAGAGGATTGTAGGGGGATGTAGAGGCTTATTGGGTGTTTCATCGCATCACGTAAAGCGGTCCCAGACAGTCTGGAGGACGAGTAGGAAGATCAGTTGATACTGCGCCTAGGAAAGAGTAGCCAGACAAGTAGCCAGTCCCGTGTGCCCTGATATGTCATCATACTACAGCTGGTACCTTACTTGTGCTTTTAGGTACCGCTAGGAACATTCTGGGTATACGAGAGTTGTCAAGCATCATATTGTTTTAGACTCGTCTGGATACTAATCCAATGAACAAACAAAACAACAAGTTGGTGGCAGAGGTCGTGTTGCCACTTGGAATACTTAGCAACCTGGCTCATCGATGAGCTTCCATCCAAGCAAGCTTTGCTCCAGCTGGTGCAAAGCGCTCCGATCAAGGTATCGGGCTTTCTGGGCTTGGACCGGATTTCATTTTTTGCAATTTCATCTACTCTTTGTATCGCTATTAGATCATAGATCTGGTATTGGCTCATGTCGCCAGAATGTCGCGGGGCTCGACCTTTTTGGGGGCGCGCGACATTGTTCCTCCCAACTTTGTCTTTTTTTTTAGCCGCCAACTCTTCTTCTTGTTTGTCTTCTTTCTTGTGTTCTTTCTTGTGGTCTTCTTTATCTTCTCTTCATGAACAATGATCGGTTGAGAATCCAGATCAACGACTACGATACGTATCAGTACCCGCCGCTGGCCTTGGACACCCTCAGAGACCGCGTCACCCAGGTGCCCATCATTAGAATCTTTGGCTCTTTGCAGTTGCCCCAGCTCTGCTATAATGTCTTGATCCACGTCCACAACTACTACCCGTACGTCTTTCTTGACTGCTTCGAGAAGGACCCGGAGCTCCTACACTCCCGCAGCCACCTCGACTCGCTTGTTGGCATGTTTGAATCAAAAATCGCCGAATCGTTCTCGAAGTCCCCCGCCGCTAAAACCGACCAGGACCACTTCCTCGACGGCGCTCCCAGTAAAAGAAAGTTCATCGCAGATGTCCAGGTGTGTAAAGGGAACTCGATCTATGGGTTCCAACTCGGTTGCAGGCTCTACTATAAAGTATCCTTCTTGTCCCCGCTATATAAAACGAGATTCACTAAACTCTTCAATGATGGTCTCGTTTATTCCAAAACCAAATCACTCATCTATGAGGCCCATCTTCCTTACACCCTCCAGTTTCTCACCGACTTCAATCTATACGGGTGCGATTGGCTAGAAGTTTCAAATTGCTATTTCAGATTACCGCTTATCAATCAAAATATAAACCTGGCGCAGAACTTGACCTCTTTGAAAAACTTCTTAAAACCTTGGATTTCCTCCAAGAATCTATTGGATCCCAAAAATTTCGAAAGAATCGGAAGATCGCTAATCGAAGCTGATATCTTATCTAATTTCATCTTGAATAGATCTTTGCTCCGGCCCCAACTCATCCATAATTCTTTTAACACTCCTTCCAAAACTGAAAATATCATTAGTTCTCTACAATACGTCCATAATGATATCTTATACCAATGCAATCTAAGAAACTTCGAATTCCCTAATAATCATGAATTTGATAAAACCTTTGGTGATCAGTCGTCCATTCATGAAAACCTCGACTTGTTAAACTACATGATCCAATTAAACGGTAGATCCCCTACAAGCCATCCAAACACCTACTATGATCAATACTTGAAAAAATCTCAACTCCATACTGAAAGTTTCCCGACTATCTTTGATTTGCTTGATCTTGATTTGAATCTAATGCATTCCCCTACAATGGATAATCTGTTTGACTATGATCGCTTATTCAATACTCAAGCTTCGGCTTCTCCTCATACTTCTCCAATAAAGGCGTCAAAGTTAGACAGTCTTTTGAAAATTAGCTTCAACTCTGATTTCTCAGATGAACTGCAAGTGGAAGATATACCCCTGCCAGTGGAAGATATACACCTGCCAGTGGAAGATATACACCTGCAAGAGGAAGAAATGCACCTGCCGGTTGAAGAAAATGAAGAAATCGAAGAAATCGAACAGCTCCCGTCACGTCACGAAAACTCGTTCTCCCAACTTGATGATTCTACAATCTTATATCAGCTTACTCAGAAAAAGAAAAGATCCCATTCACAAATCGACTCCAAATCTGAATCATTTCAAAAAACAAAAAAATCACCTTCGCAAAATGTAATTGATTTGAATTTCAAAGGTAGTCTTTTCGAAATTCCAGTTCCTCAAAGCTTACAGAAAGATAATTTGATCAACTCATTTCAAGATTTAGATATCTTGAAAATTAATTACCAAGATCCTTTTTATGATAACTCATCCGATTTACCCTCGAAACCGTTGATTTTTTCAAATAAAAAAATTACGATTCCTTTGAATAATAATCAATCTATTCAATCTAATTCAATTTCTGCTCAAATCTCCCACGAAGCTAGGAAAAAATCAAAATCAGTTCCAACAGTTAATAAAACATCCAATTGGCTCTATACCCTCGAACCTCCTTCAAGATTAAGTATGAAAAACTGGTTATCAGATGAAATTAAAAGAAAGTCTAAACGAAATAAGTTCAAATCGCAAATTGAACCAGGCATAACTCAATCAAATAACTATAAATATTCTTATAATTCTGGTAAGATTGATAGACAATCAAGTTCTTTCATTGCACTAACCAATTTTATATTGGAGATCCATGTTAACACCAATGATAACAATTTACCAAATCCTGAAATCGACCCAATAACAGCAATTTTTTATAAATTCATTGATTCAAATAATATGTTTGAGAATTTAGATAATCCAGTACCAACATTGGGGATATTAATCTTATCTGACTGTCCAAATCGATTCAACAAAGTTAATCCGTTTTTAAACAACGATGAACCAACAAAGGTGGAGGTTTTCGATAACGAATTACAGATGATCTTAAAGCTTATTCTGATTGTGGAATTATTTGATCCCGATATTTTATCGGGTTACGAGATTAATTCTTCAAGCTGGGGTTACATAGTGGAAAGGTTTAAATTAGTGTATGATATGAACTTACTATTTGAATTAAGCCGATGCAAATTTAAAAGTAATGGAAAATTCGGTGATCGGTGGGGGTTCCAACACACTTCCAATTTACAGATAAATGGAAGACATATGCTAAATATTTGGAGATCTTTAAAAGGCCTACAACTTACTAGTTATTCAATACAAAATGTTGCCTATCATTTACTTCATCAAACACTTCCAAATTTTTCAAACTTAAACCTCTCAGATTGGTTTGAAGGGAATTATAATCAAGTTCTCTTCGTCTTGAAATTTTACCAAAAAAAAATTTCGTTGACTTTGAAGATTTTGGATTTTCAAGAAATTATTCTTCAAAATATGGAACAGTCAAGGCTTATTGGTATTGATTTTAACTCGTCTTTTTACAGAGGTTCTCAATACAAAGTTGAGTCAATACTTGCAAGAATAAGTAAATCAGAAAACGTCTTGCTTAATTCGCCTTCCAAGCAGCAAGTGCATAATATGAGACCGATCGAGTGTATTCCTTTGATATTAGAGCCAGAATCGAATTTTTATAAATCTCCAATGATTGTGCTTGACTTTCAATCTTTATATCCTTCCATAATGATTGCTTTTAATTATTGCTTTTCGACGTTGGTTGGGAAATTGAACGGATTCAAAAACACCAAAAACAATATTGGATATTTAAAACATTTACATCTCGATCCCGGTATTGTGGATTTACTTCATCGTAATGATGGTTTAAATATTTCTCCCAATGGCTACGTTTTTGTAAAAAGCAATTTCAAAAAATCCATTTTAGCCAAAATGTTGGAAGAAATTCTCGATACAAGAATCAATATCAAATTAATGATGAAATTTTTTAAAGATGATAAAAATTTAATCAAACTATATAACTCACGTCAATTAGCTTTGAAATTAATTGCCAACGTGACTTACGGTTACACATCTGCAACTTTTAGTGGGAGAATGCCGAATTCAGACATAGCTGATGCAATTGTCTCTACAGGCCGTGAAATTTTATCTCAATCAATTGAGTTAATTGAAAACGCAAACTATGGTGCAAAAGTTATCTATGGGGATACAGATTCACTTTTTGTTTATTTACCTGGTAAATCAAAAGAAGAATCATTTAAAATCGGTGATTCACTTGCCAGGCTTATCACGAAAGAGTTCCCTGACCCAATAAAATTGAAATTTGAAAAAGTGTATCATCCTTGTGTTTTATTGGCTAAGAAGAGGTACGTTGGTTATAGCTATGAATATGAGGATCAAATTGAACCGAAATTTGATGCAAAGGGTATCGAAACTGTTCGAAGAGATGGAATCCCGGCACAACTGAAAATGGTTGAAAAGTGCTTGAGGATTTTATTCAATACAAAAAACTTATCCCAAGTGAAAAATTACACTTTGACCCAATTTCAAAAAATCTTATTTAACAAAGTTCCAATAAATGACTTTTGTTTTGCAAAAGCTGTAAGGTTGGGAACTTATAAAAACGATAAATACTTACCGCCTGGTGCGATAATTGCAACCAAAAACTTAATGAAAGATCCACGGAATGAGCCTCAATACAAAGAGAGGATTAAGTACGTTGTAATAAAAGATTCAACTAAGCCTAGAATAAAAGATCGATGTATAACTCCTGAAGAATTCATCGAATCTTTCAAAACAAAAAATTCATTTACTCTAGATTATGATTACTATATTACCAGGGTTTTGATCCCTCCATTAGAAAGAATCTTCAACTTGATCGGTGTTGACCTTCAATCATGGTACAAGGACTTACCCAAATTGAACAATTTCGCCATTAAAGAACGGGACATTTTGAATGTTTCTAATTTTATTAAATACAACTCATGCTTAAACTGTGGTGCTCAATTGAAGAATTTCAATGATTTGAATCATATTTGCTACGATTGTATAAAAAATGAATTATCGCTAATGACAAATGTCTCTGTTTCAACCAAAATGAGTCAATTTAAATTACTTCTGTTAGTGAAAAGTTGTTCTAACTGTATGTTGAACAACTCCTTACAGGTTGGAGTAAACAACAAAAATTTTGAAGACAATTGCAATAATAATGACTGCACGGTTTACTTCGATAAATTTAAAACCTTAAATACAATACAACTAGAGCACAAGGAGAAGGGCTTGATATTGGATGATCTTGAATGGTAAATATTCTATTCTTATAATTAGTTATTTTCTTTTTGCGTTTTTTTTTTTTTCGGTTCTAATAACTAAACCTTGACAATTTTGCATCATAGTTGACTTCGTTGTAGTCCCAATAGAAAGATAATTCGGATGTTGCATTACCAATTTTACATTGATCAGCGTAATTTACGCCTTTTAATCTATCGTGAACGTAGTTTTCAAAATGATGAAACTCACAAGAGAAACCAGGACCGGAAGAGCAATTTTTGATTGGTATTACTGCGTCATTGACAATGTATCTAACGTAACTAGAATCATCATTGCATTTATACTTTTCGGTGTAAACTCTTGCTCCTTGAGGGACCATCTCAGCATGATGATAAATGTTTGGATAAGGGATGTACTCTGGAGTTAAGTCATTTTCAGGTTGAAAAATGCCAACTGCTGCTAGGTAATTTTCAATATCAGTATCATGGGTAAAAGAAAGCCAAATTTTATTATTTGAATCTGAATCCTTCAATAAATTTAATGAAGCGTTGAAAAGGACGCTACCTATTGGTAATACTGCAGAGTTGCCATTACCGTCATAGTAGTATTGTGATAAGTCGATGTAGTATTCATTTTTAACTAATTCATCCTGAGTGAATAAATCACAAAATGGAGATGAACCTCTAACGTTAATTTCATAAGCACACCAGTCAAAGAGTAATTGAACATCATCAGTGGTCAAGTTCAAACCTTTGTTCTTTTCCAATAACCGTTTTTGAATATCTTTAAGGTAGTCAAGGTTATATTGATCGATAACGGTTTGCTTTTCCTCTGCATCCCAGGCCGAACACGAACTAGCAGGAGTCAAGGAATTTGCACCCATTTCATCATCCTCTGACAAAATGACCGTTTTAAAATGTTCGGGGTCATACTGGTCACCTAAAAAGCCTCTTATGAAATACTGAGATGTTTGCCAAACTCTTGTATTACTAGAAGTGAAAACCGGTAATACCTCTGACTGGTTATATAACGAGTTGTATCGTGCTCTAAAAGCAGCACCGTGTCTTAGAGCATCTGTAGTACCCGCATAAAGGCCATTGGAGTTTTCTGGAGTTGTTTCCATATCATAATACGAAGGGTCGGTTACAAAGTACTCATAATCGTTTAAAAACTGTAGAGGGCCTTGGAAAATATTGGCGTAGTTATTGAACTTGTCCATGATTCTTTCAAACTTCTGTCCCTTGTTTGTCGTTGGGAACCTCTCGCCGTGTCTATGAATCACTTGAACTTGTTCAATTGAACATTGAGATGGTATATCAGTCGATATTCCGCTACCGGTGGCTGAAATATACGGTCCTTGACCACCAAGATAACGCACAATATTGTATTGCTGGACTGAGGATTGTTCTGGAGTTGCCAACTGCTGAAATACAGTTTGCCCTGAGGCTATAAGACCCCCATTGATTAGCTTAGATACCGAAACCATCTTTAAAGTACCAAAATTATGCTAATGGTTCAATTCGCAGGAAACTTTTGACCCTTTATATCACTTTTCCCAAAAGTTTTCAGATAGAGCAATGCCGTTGTTTCGTAAATCCCTCGAAGACTAATACGGTAATAGAGCTGTAATGAGTTTACGAATTGTTGATTTAAAAGGCTTCATTTATTGAAAAGGCCTCTTTTTTTGCTCTTATATGCGCATAGACTGCAAAAATCACCAAAATTACTGAGATAAAGTATGGACTGGCAGATTATTCGTACAAGTTGAGCTGTTATAGAAAGGCAAGGCAGCCTACAGATCCAATGGAGGTTCTTTTATTTCTCTTGTTCACTCGTATTCTTCAGCATTCATGCTCCATAACAATTTTTCAGAAGCTCGTTAAAGTCTACAGCTCTCCCTGCACCCTTCTATTTCGCTCAGTCACCAAGACGTATTGGGGTTCTAATCCTCCATTCATCGATCATTGGTCATTCCATGACCAATGCATAACCATTGCATGTCCATGGAACATCCACTCTACGCTCATCTCGAGTCCATCTCATCGGTCTATTTATGTCTCATTCATGTCTCATTTGCACTCATTTCTCCTGCCATTGTGTCCTCTAATCTCATCTTTCCACTTAGTCCCCCATCCTTTACCCATTCTACTTCTACTCTTTCATACACCCCCTCCTACACTTTCTCCTACGCTTTCCCCTACGCTTTGTCTCTCTCTAGTGCCTAATCCTTAATTTTGTAGACGTGCGCAAAAATCAAAATGGCTAAAAAAAAATGTTAGCTCGCCGAATAAAAACGAGTTGTTTCGCCGGATCATCAAGAACTTCCTACTTCTTTTTGATACTCCAACCAAGTTGCAAGAACATAGCATCAAATTGACACCTTCCCCAGTCTCCACTCGATACCAGTTGTGTGTGATTCAGGACCGGATTATCCTAAGTACCCCAGGAACCCAACCCATCGACTCCAGAAGTTATTGTATAAACCAATTGTCTAATTTTTCTGTTTGATTTGTTTGTTCCACGCTGTTGAATCTTATTAAGCATCGGTTTAATCGGTTTTGTACACTTTTCTCTGACAAAGTCTTTCATTCACTTTCTCGCTATTCGAATCAAGTGAAGAGTTGGCTTACATTATTGTTGTTCTTTTGAAAAATCTGTTGAATTGGCTGTACAACCTTTGTTAAATAGGCTAATTATCTTGTGATTAGAAACATTTTATAGCATTCTTCCATATTCAAAGTCTTGCATCTTACCTAATCATCATGTCTGTTACCGCAAAAGACTCTAGCAAAGAGTCTCGTACTGTTAGTACCCAAGAAGTTATGTTTTATATTCCTAATCTAATCGGATACCTTCGTGTTGCAACTGCCATTATATCATTTGTTCTAATGCCAAAACATCCAATATGGACCTTGATTTTTTACGGAATTTCTGGTTTCTTGGATGCTTTTGATGGTTATGCTGCAAGAAAATTTAATCAAGGTACAAGATATGGTGCAGTTCTTGATATGGTAACCGATAGATGTGCAACCACTTCTTTAACTTGTTATTTATGTGTCATCTATCCATCTTACTGTTTCCTTTTCCAATTCTTAGTGTCTTTGGATTTGGCTTCTCATTATATGCATATGTATGCTATGATGTCAAGTGGTTCCTCATCTCATAAAAATGTCGATAAAAAACAATCTAAATTATTGGCTTTATATTATAACGATAGAACAGTTCTCTTCATCGTTTGTCTCGTTAATGAGTTATTCTATGTCGCCATTTACTTACATTATTTTGACTTCTTTTGGATTGGTACCGTTATTGCCTGGTTAAGTGCTCCAATTTGGTTTTTCAAACAAGTTGCTAACATTGTTCAATTAAAAGGTGCTGCTCTCATTTTAGCTAATATCGATGCTAGTGAAAGGTCAAATAAATCTGAATAATGGTTTTCTTAGTTCTGCTTTCTTGTTCTGTTTTCTTTTTTTGTTTCATAATCTTTTAAACCTAAATCTGGTTGTTTTAATTAATTTTAGTGTATTCATTTCATCTCCATTTTGTCTTGTTTTTAATATTCTTTCTGTTTTAATATAATTTTTTTACCCATTCTTTCATTTTATTAAAATACTCTAAATTTTAGCTACACGATCATACACATATATATATATACATATGCAACAATTAATATTTATTCTTTAATATTTACTCTTCTTCAATTATATGCTCAGGATTAACTATAAATCCATAGTCTGCCTCCTCAATAGCTCGTTTATTCAAAATTTTTAAACCAGACTTGCTATGTTCTCTAAATTCATCAACTGATTTAAGGTCTTTCATTTCATTAGAAAATTTAGAACACTCTTGTCCCATTTGCTCCTCCAATTCAAAACAAGCTCTTAATAATATTAAATTTAATGAATTTCTTGCTCTTGTTATACTCAAATATAAATATTTCAAAAAAGTATTAAATAATGCTTTTTTACTAAGTTTAAATCGATTCTTTTTTGCTTGAATCATCTTGTAACAACTATTGGCATATTCATAATATGCAACACAAATAAATTCTTGATTACCAACTCTCAAAGCTAATGGCATGAACTTATCCAATATTTCATATGCATCTTCACAATTATCCATGTTATTCAATATAGATATTAATAAAATCATTCCTTCAACTATAATTGTGAAAAATCCTAATTTTTTCCCTTGTTCGATTTGTTCAATCACTAGTGATATAGCTCTTGAATGAACTCCTGATATATTAAATATAGAACACTTGAGTAAGTTTAATCGAATTATTGTATAAACATTACTTTGAATCTTCATTTGTTGCGAATCAATTACACTTAAACTCTGGGAAATCAAACCTAGTGCTTGTGAATAATTACCTAATGCTGTTTGCACTTCTGTATTTAAATATATCAATTCTGTCTTCAATTCAATATCTTGGATTTCAATACTTAATAGAGTTTTCATAATTTTTTCAGCATATTTAAAACGACCCTTTCTTAAATCTATTTTAACCATCATTATTAAACTTCTAATTTGTAATGATTTAAATAATGATCGATCGCTATTTGTCTTTGGTTTTAAACTTTCAAGGTTTTTATATGCCTTTTCAGTTTGTCCTTTTAAATACAAAAGGTAGTTCTTCCGTATTTCAATCGATATTTCATCTCCTAATTTACCAACTTCTTTCGCATAGTCAAACGCTATATCGGAATATAAATCACTCAAATGTGGGATTCCAATTCTCGTCCATACCATAGCTGACATCTCGCAAGATTTAATGAACGTTGGCAATTCATCATTAATTGAAATATATGTCGCTTTTAATAGACTTTCAAGATACTTATTCATAGGCCCCCCGCTATGCATTATATGAGCTGTTTCAAAATGATAACTCATGGCATACAACAGCAAAGAAACTGTTTGTGATTTTTTAATTAAAAAATCAAGTAGATGCAGCTCATTATTATTCTGATAAAAATTTTGACTTTGCCATAATTCAGGTTTATTTCTAATGAAATTAAATAACCAGGATAAAATATAAGTTAATGTCGAGTTGTCTTTGTTTTCTCTTGCTACTGATATTGCTTCTTCAATTGCATCTAAGGCTTTCTCATCCTCTCCAAAATATTGATGTAGTGATGCTCTTGATATCAACGCAAAATGATAGAAATATTTAGAACTTTTTGATACCATATAGTCAAAGTATTGGTGCAACGACTGAAGTGCTCCGTGATAGTCTGAAGCATGTAAATTTTCTAAATATTTTAAATAATAATATGACGGTAAATCATTGAAATTTGCGTTTTGAATCAGACAGGTATTGGCATCCGGCGACGCCATCAATGCCATGATTTGCCTTAAAAATTTTGGAGTTTCCGTGCCATAGGTTTCAAGTAGTTTGACCTGCTTATCCAACAATGCTTGCATGTCATGTTTAGGTACTGGAATCAATCTTACATTTTGTTTCACTATCTCTTGGGAGCTTGTTGGTATACTAATTCCCAAGCTTTCTGCAAGTTGATGATTCAATACATCGAACAAGTGGTCGTCGTTTGAATTACTAGGCTGTGGTTGTGCCAGTGTAGAAAAGTCGAGTCTTGATCTTCTTGGAGATGGTTTCGGTTGTAAGTCCGTTTGATGGTTAATAATCCCACCTAATTTTAAAAATAGATCCCTGGAAGACTCTCTATATTCAACCAAAGACTCAAATAAAAGAAACTCTTCATCAAAATGTAGCAAACGGAAAGGAGTCACAATTTTTTGAATGAAGTCCCCAATAAAAGATCGAGGAGAGATAATCTTTTTCACGGTCAGGTTTGACGTTGATTCCGGCACTGTGACTGCCAATGGATTCAGCAATAAGGTGAAAGTATTCTTTATATAAGTATTAAGGCCTTCCACCGAGCTGACTCTCCATAATTCTTGTAGTAGGTTCTTCTGTAGTTCTGCGGCATCTTTTTCAGCGGCTAATTTCTGATCTTCTGGACAGTTGCAAACAATCACTTCTCTCAAGTGTTGACAAAGATCAACCAACTGGGGAACAATTATAAACTCCTTGTTTTCATCGATAAGCGGTTCATTCTCCAATAACTTGATCAATGCTAATAAAACCTGTTTCAGATGGTCTTCTGGAATGAATCCAGTGGCATAGAGAACAACGAGAAAAAGAAGAGCAATCTTATGGGGTGACAAATCCTCAGATAACAAGAGCTTTATTCGCTCACCATTCTTTGACATTATATATCAACGTGATATGCTCCCAGGCGCTCTTTATATAGGCTCCTATAAGATCAAAAATCATACTAAGTAAGCATAAATTCAAAACAAAAAAAATGAAAACGCGGAAGTAAATTCTACAGGATCAAGAGATCGAAAATTGTATATATTGAAATGTTGCAATAATTAAATGTCTATGCTACTCTACTCTACTCGTCGTCTGAATCATCGGCATCAAGTTGGGGCATTTCGAAATCAGAGCCGTCATCGTCTTCAACTGCTTGAGTAACAACCTGGGTTTCGGTGACTTTGGTTTCAATAACTGGTTTTTCAGTAGTGTCTTTTTCTGGTACTGGCTCCGATTTCAGGATTTCAGCTTTTGGTTGAGCAAATTGAATAATTTGATCTGGGTCGATTTGTGTATTAGTGAACAATTTGTCATGGTGAGTATCCTGCTTGATTTCAACCTCATCTCTTGGAATTTCAGGAGCTGATGTATCATCGTTTGCATTATACCCTGTACCAGAGATGCTGTTATCAACTTTAGGGCGTTTGACGTCGTTAGTTTCAGCATTATCTTCTGATTCACGCTTAGCTGCAGGTTTACCTTCATCTTGTTCTTGTTCTTCTTCATCTTGTTCTTCTTCTTCGTCATCCTCGATCTCGTCGATCACTTTAGGAATGAATTTAGGTAAAGGAGGAAATCTTGGGTTATTGAATACACTCAATAAAGGATCATCACCAATGATAGCTGATACCAAAGGTAAAAGCGAGACCTTTTCATTGGAAGGATACAACACGGAGTTGATGAGCAAGGTCTTTAATTCATTTGGAACTGAAGAATCGTAGTTGAGTTTTTGTATTTGGACGGCTTCGATTATGATATAACGCATGATTTTGTAATACTGAGTTGGAGGTAAGTTAACTTTAGTGATGATGGAACTAAGGAATTGGCGGACAGCTTTTATAGTGGCATCTGGAACAGAATCTTTGAACAAATGTTGATGAGATAAGATATCAGCCAATGGAACAGCTGATTGGTTTTTCTTCCCTTTCTTGTGTTTCTTACCATTTTGCTGTTGGTTTTGTTTGTTCTTTTTGGTATCACTACCTTGGCCGTTGTTAATGTATCTTGGTTCAACGAGGAAAAGAGCTACTTCGATAAATCTGATCAATACAGAATTATCATTGTATTCTTTAAGAAGACTCAAATATTTTTCAACACAGCTAAGTAATTCACACATGAATTCTTCATGAACCAATAATTCAGGATAGTTGATTTTTCTATTTTTGAAAGGGATCAAAGTTTCTAAGAATGATAAAATATTAGTAAGATGCAAGACCATATTCCCTTTGAAACTGAATGGAAGCGAGCTTAAAAGTTTGACTGAATTTCTTTGATTTATAACCAAAGAAGTCTCAATAAGTTTTCTCAATGCTTCGTCTCTGAGTTCTCTCTTAAAATGAACAAATCTAGTATTGATAGAACAAACAGCTTCATTCAAAATGACAATGTTACCAATTGGAATCTTGACACCAAATTGAGTTTCAGTGGTCAAGTATCCATTCAATAAATCCAATAAAGCTTCAATACGAGTAGAAATATGTAAAATAGATAAATAGTCATTGACATCAACTTTTAATGGTGGGAATAAGTTACTAGACTCGTCTGCATCTTGTGGTAAAGCTTTGAATATTTTCAAAAGATCGTCGTCTTCGTTGACATTCAAAAATTCTTTGTAAATGAATAAGACCTGAGCAATTTCTTTTATCAAATTATTCACGTCCAATAACCATTTGTCTTCTGGATCGGTCTTTTCAATTGCAGGTAATGTAGCAATTGTTTTCTTGATGATATCCTTTAAATTAGATGGAAAGGTGGTATAACCTTTATTGTTACAAATTTCCAATAATCTACCCTTTAACTTATTACCAAAAGGTCTAAAAGTAGTTGGGTGGTGTTTGATTAATTGATATAATGAGGTTGTAAGAAGATGAGGTTGAAAATCAATCTTTTCAATATAAAGACTAATGATGCTAGGCAACTTAGGAGTCAATATCTCTCTTGTTAATGTTGGTTTTCCTCTTATTTGATCACATAAATGATTCAAACAATCAACAGTTGAAGATAAAATCTTTGGATCAGTTCTCCCATTATGAGTTTCTAAAATAGTCAAAAGTTGATTAATAAAGTGGCTTCCGTCACTACTTAAAATGGCATAGTTCCTACTCAATACCTTAATGACATTGATACCACACCATCTGTTATAAACGTTGTTAGATCTAGCCAAATTTAAAGTACGCGATACAAGATGTTTTGAATCTGGCTTTGAAATGGTTTCGAGGAGTTGTTTATCATAGTGCAAAGTGTATAAAATAGGAACAACCGAGGAAGGAGAAGACTCCAATTCCTTCAAAATAACAGGTAATGGTAACAACATGTATTCACTTGTCTTGTTAGACCCACTGGTATGATTTTGAATGAATGTTTTTTGATTTTTCATTTTCCAGATGCCTCATCGCCCATACAAAGAGAAAAAAAAAAGTGAGAAAAACTACAAAAAAAATTATGATTTATGTATAGTTTGTAGAGAGCGTTTACTTAGCAACAGAGAAGTCTATATGTAAGAATGAACAGTTTTTAGATGTTTTAAAAAGAGCTTTGAGAAGTGACTTACTTCAAATGAAATGAAAGAAAAAGTTGTGATGAATCAACTGATAATATGTAGATGATATTTTTAATCTAAAAGACATCGTTAAGTAAGTTTTTGAAACCGAATGGTTCATATAAGGTACCTTCACCTTCAAAGAACTTAGACATTGATTCCACCCAGTGCAATCTCAATGAATGTAACATTGCGGAAGTACCTTCCATAAGAACCAAGATAACAACAGTTAAGGTAAACCACATAGCAAAGAGAACGACAGTCATGAATACACCGACGAACCCAGTTTTACCAAATGCAAGGGAAATGGTCATTGACCATAAGACAGTTGATAATTGAGCATGAGCCAAAGATAAAGCCCATAATCTTAAATATGATGCAGTATGGGAAACACAATTTAAACAAAATTCAATGGTATGAATAACTTGATGAATCATGATATCACCAAAAGTATGTTCTTCGTGTTCTTCATCATCATCACGTTGATTATCTTCAGTATTTTCTTCAGCAGAATCAGATTCATCATCACCATTTGCTAATTGTTGATATTGATGTTCTTTAGCTTCTCTATCAAACTTACGTTTAAAATAAAGAGGTTTAATTAATAATAAGCAAGGAACACAAATTAAAGCCAAAATCAATAAGAAAACTTGGATACCAGCTTGACCTGAATACAAAGGTTCTTCCACATTACCTGGAGATAAAAACATTGAAATTAACATATTTAATAAACCAGGAGGTTGTTTTTGAATAGCAAACCAATCAACAGACCATTTATAAACAATACAGAGAGCCAAATAACCAAAAATACCTTGCATGAATAATAAACCAGGGATAAAGTTACCAATGATATCAATAGCACTTTTAAAATAAAGATGATTGACTAATGAAAACAAATAAGAATAACTCATATGGGCATGACCCATTAAAACTGACAATTTCATTTTATAGGAATTAGTGAATAAAAGAGCATTTTCAGTACCATGCCAAGCAGGATCTAAACCAATTGGATAAACACCAGCTTGAGAGCCTTTAATAGTTTCACCAATTTCCCAACTTTCGGGCCATTCCCAACCTGATTTAAAAATACTCATTGATTTAGAAAACAAATCATTATATAAAAACCCGGTATACATTGAGAAGATACCCATTAATAATAAGATGTAACGACCGGTGAAAGCCATATCAAAAATTTCATCTCTTTTTAATTGACTAATTTTTTTTTCATTTAAAACCAAAGCCAAAGCAGCCAAAGTTAAAATGAAACCATGACCTAAATCACCAAACATAATAGCAAACATGAATGGGAAAGTAATGATGGTTGGTAAACCAGGATTAACTTCACGATAAGTAGCAATACCGTAAGCATCACAAATATTTTGGAAAGCTTCGGTGAATTTATTGGTACGATGGAAAGTAGGAGGAGTTCTTGTAGTTTCCAAGATATTTACAATCGTTGGAATAGCTTGAGAAGTATGAGATTGTTTAATGGTTAAACTTAAAGTATTAATTTCATCAGTTGGAATCCAACCTTCAGCAATTAAAGAACGACGGGTGTTATCATAATCGCAACGATTTAAAGCTTTATAAACTTCTTTTTCCCTGGCAATAACCTCCCACCATTTAGCTAAATCTTTTGAGATGGCAATTAATTCTGAAGTTAAAGCATGTTCAGTTTGATCTAAAACAGCATTAATATCATTTAATTTAACATTAACTTCATTCAATTGTTCTGATCTTAACAGTTTAGTAGAATCAACGTTATATAAATCAGCATCTAAAGATTCGGCGATTTTTTTAATACGTTGATAAACAATTGAACCATGAGAAAAGATAATAAAAGCATTTTTATCGACAAAATTTTTTGATTTTGGATCGTAGACTTGTTCAGGTAATTCTTCAGTATAATAGTATAAGTTACCTCTTAAAACTCTCCATAAGATTTGTTGTAAAGTTTGAACTTTGTCACGGTTAATAACCCCCGAAACAAATTGAGTACTATGTTCTTGTTCAATGATATGACCATGGCCTGATTCTAAATTAGCTAATAAAGCATCTGATTCATTTTGATTAGAAGAATCCGAAGGGTCTGAATTAACACTAAAGAAATTTTCAACCCCTTGAACGGTAAATTTTAATTGTTTTAAATTTTTTTGTTTGTCATATAATGATTGAGTAGCATCAATTAATTGAGAAACACGATCTTCTAATAATTGGGCATTTTCAGCATGTTCATCAATTTCTGATTGAGGAACCACGGATTTAAATTCATTTTCATATGGATATTGATTAACTGAAATTTCTCGTTCATCTAATTCATTTTTGAAAAAAACAAATTGACGTTCGATATTATCCAATCTTCTTAATTCTTGAACAAAAGATCTTTGAAAATCACTTACTTTTGAATTCAAATCTCTAAATTGAATAAGATTCAATTGCCCAATTTCATAAATAATATCCCTAGATACTTCAGCTGGTACATATAATTGAACCAAAGACATTTCCGCAGAGCCTATATTTGTTAGTATTCGGTATAAACCATCGTTTCTTTCCAATACATACGGAAAACAGCTTCTTCTTTCTCTGGCATCTTTCGACTGAAGCAACGACTGATTGTATCTCTCAAGATTTTGGTTTATAAGATAACTTGATGCTTTAATTAGGAGGATTAATTTTTCCTGTTGACTGGTTTTGGGTTTTTGGATTGTTGGTGCACGACTTTTTCCTCACGGGCACTCCCGAAAAGTAGTGTGACGGCGAATCAGGTTTTAGCAGCAATTACTATACTCTTTACTTGGATGGTATCATACTATACTCACTTGTAATGATATACTATACTCACTTGTAATGATATACTATACTCACTTGTAATGATATACTATACTCTACTATGATATACTATACCCTACTATGATATACTATACTCTACTATGATATACTATACTCACTTGTAAAAAATACTGCTGTGTAAAAATAAGGGGAGTGCTCAGAGACATTCTGTCAAGGTATACAGTGTTAGGATACAGTGTCAGGATACATCTAATAGAAAGCACATATCCTTAGAATGTTAATATATAAACTTCATTAGGCCAAAGTATTGCTAAGATTGTTAACTTATATTGGTGAGTACGCGTAGGCGTATCAATAGTAACCTTTTTTGTATAAGGTATACTTCTCTAGTAGGTTTGATCGATCCTAACAAGGATAAGTAAGGTTAATACAAATACCTAAATATAAGTAAAGATAAATTCTAATAAGATAATAATTAAATTGACTATAAGTTTCGATATCCATATAAAAGGGTTCAAATACACCGATAGTAAGAATACTAACTTCAAGGTAGTGTACCAACCGAAACGACTACCCTGGTGTATGGGTGTTTTCCGGGACTAAGTACGAAGAAGACTTAGTACTAAGAAGACTAAGTAGACAGACAGGTCTAAGTATACACAAGTGACTACATTGTCTCAGAGAGTTCACAAGCTCTGCTGGTATACAAAAAAAGTATAGTACGCTATGAGTAGACTGAGTAGACATGCAGTTTTGTAACCGTTGGCCATTAGCGAACGTTGTGTTCTCGAGACAAGACTCGATTTCCTATCCTAGACATCCCATCCATCCTACTTCCCATCCTGTCCCATGCTCGATTACATGTCATTCAAGTCAAGAGCAACTACTTTTATTTATGTTATGACATCAGCTTGTAGCCTTTGGCGACAAAGTGCAGCCCACCGATAAGCCAATACACTAAACTAATCTAAACTACTTTGAGTGAGCAATAAAAAATTAGTCAGGAAGCAGATTACAAAGCTAAGCTAAGCTCTGGATCTACAAATGTATATATGTATATGCACTCAAACCCGGTCCAGGTTGCAGTTTGGCTTAGTTATTGTTGGAGCAAAAGGATGTTGTAATACTTCTCGTGTAGCCAACAAAAACAACCGGGATCATGAACAATGCCCCAATCCTCCGAGGAAGTATATATTGACAAGATATTCTCGTCAACTCAACTGTAAGCTTCACTAGCATGTTCACTGGCATAATTCTTTGTGATGTCTACTTCGACCGGGAATTTTTTTTCGAATTTCCTGCTCTTCAAAAATGAAGCTAAACCAGCTAAAGTAACCGGAACCCCCGATTATATTGCCCAATATGTATATAAAGACATTTTAATAATAAAAAATGAAATTAAACAATATAATGAATTAACCGGATTACTTTCTTCCAATAGCTTCTATTATAAAATTTATAAGTTATTAGAAAATAATCACCAGGAAGAAATCCAGAATTTGAAAAAAAATCATAATTTTGATACTACCACTCAAAATATTAATTATCACCGTCAATTAATATCGATTTATAAAAAACATTTAAATGATTTACAAAATTTATTAGATACTCTTAATTATAATTATAACCATGGTGTTCATGAAAAAAAAATTGTCGAGTATCGTCAAAACGATAATCAAAGGAATAATTCGGTAACTTCTTTGAAATCAAGCAACTCAAGCAGACTCAGTCTATCAAACTCAGTAAGAAGCTCTTTTTCCAATCCGTCTTCAACCCTCGATGACTCCGACGCTCCTGATCACCTACTCGATCCAATTAGTTTCCAACTTTTTAACGAACCCGTGGTTACTCCCAGCGGAATCACCTACGAGAAATCAAATCTTTTGAACCACATCTCTCAAAAGGGTAAGTACGACCCTTTAACTAGAACCCCCTTGAAAGAAAATCAATTATATCCAAACTTGATTGCAAAAGATGCCGTTAACCAATACTTACAACAGAAACTAAATAAGGAGCCCATTTCCTAAATCACCCTGCATACTCGTCATTATACACACACACATACATATACATATACATATATACACATCAAACCTTAATACTGTAATTACTCTGCAAAGGCCCATCAATGTAATGAAAAGTAGTAGTTAACAAACAAGAATTGCAAAAAAAAAAAAATGCCATAAAAAAAAAAAAGTAAATGCAAATTGGACAACACACTACTCATCGAACGAAGTTGAAAAGATCAAAATTCGTCCCTCTAATTCATGCTTCATCTACATTACATTACTATACGAGCATGAGAAACTTGGTGGTCCTAAATAGAGGGTCGATAGCCCCGGAGTCTAGGACTTATCCTGACCTTTCCCTTGCGGATACTGTTTTCGATCCCGTTTCCGATACTATTACTTTTGCATTAACTTCTGCCGAATCCGGTACCATTGAAGTTCAACAATTTATGAAAACCGGTCAAGTCAATGTTTTAGCAAGCTTCACCATCTCAAACCCTGAAAGTAAAATACTTTCGTTTTCCCACTTTGTTGACTCCTGTCAATTGATTTTCGTCTTGGATAATGGTGATATTATTACCGCAACGTATGATCCTTCTCAAGTAGAATTTGATTTTGATACTACCACCATTGAAATCGTTGGATCTATCGATGTGGGGTTACAAGCAGCTAGTTGGTCTCCGGACGAAGAAACCTTGGCCATCTTGACCAACGAAAATAACTTGATTCTATTATCAAGATTATTCGAACCAATAAGTGAAAAGTTATTAAACCCAGATGATATTAAAATTACCGATTCAAAACACGTTTCTGTTGGTTGGGGTAAAAAAGAAACTCAATTCAAAGGTAAAGGTTTCAAGGCTTTGGAAAGAGAAAAAGAAGCAATTAAACATGCTGGTTTGGACTTAACCGGTACCGATGATTCAACTCAATTAAGAGATCCTACCGTTGGATTTGTCGAAAAAGGTACCATTTCTCCCTTCGATAATAATTCAGTTAAAATAAGTTGGAGAGGAGATTGTGAATATTTCTCGGTTACTACTAAAGAACCGGTTCTTGTTGAAGATACTCAAGATTTATACGATAGAAGAGTTATTCGTGTGTTCAATAGAGAAGGTCAATTGGATAGTGTTTCTGAAGCGGTTGATGGATTAGAACACAACTTATCTTGGAAACCTCAGGGTTCCCTAATCGCATCTACTCAAAGACATGTCGATGAACTCGGTGAAGATTCATTGGATCTTGTTTTTTACGAAAGAAATGGTTTAAGACATGGTGAATTCAATACTCGATTGAATCCAGAAACTGAAAATATTATCAATCTCGAATGGTCTTCTAATAGTGAAGTTCTCGCTTTTCAATTACATGATCGTGTTCAATTATGGACTTCCAAGAATTATCATTGGTATTTGAAACAAGAAATCTTTATCACTAATGTTGATCCTCTTAATCAAGTTTCTTTTATCAAATTCCATCCTGAAAAACCTTTGAATTTAATGATTGGTACCACTCACTCCGGTATTCAAATTATTGATTTAGCTTATAAAATTACTACTGGTCCTACTCAAATAGGTGATGATTTGGGTATGGTTCTTGTCACGGATGGTTCAACCGCTAAAATCACTCCTTTATCAATCGCCAATGTCCCTCCTCCAATCGCTTTTAGAGAAGTAGACATTCCAGGTAATATTAACGATTTAGCAGTGAGTAAATCAAATGAAAAATTTGCAATTTTAACCAGTGAGAATGAAATTTATTTAGCTGAATTATCCATTAGTGAAACCAAGAAACTTGGGCCTCTTAAACTCACTCATAAAATTGAATCAAACTCTTTAATTGAAAATACTGAATTCGCCAAGCAAGTAGCATTCATTAAAGATTCTATTATTGCAATTGTTTTGGACGGTCCTTCTTATTCTAGAATTGTCCTTTTCGATGTCCATGATGAACCCATGTTCTTGGATTCTATTGAAACAAGTCCAAAAATTGTTCTTTTGAAATCACAAGCTGATTTTAATGCCGTCGTTTTACAAGCTATTGACGGTACTGTTTACCAATTAAATGAAACTCATGACATTAAAGAAATTACTAAATTCCCTCAATTATGTCGTGATTTCGAAGTAACATCAGCCTCTACCTCTGATTTAAACGATGAGTTTGCAGAAGATCCTTCTAATGAATTAGTGGCCTTTGGTATTTCTACAAATGGTAAATTATTTGCAAATGGTAATCAAGTCGCCACTGCAGTTACCTCTTTGAAAATTACTGAATCTCATCTTCTTTTCACCAACGCTCATGCTCAATTATGTTTCATTCATTTGAAATCAGCTACTGGAAATTTTGAATATGACATTTTCCAAAATAAAGATAATGATACTTCAACCGATGAAAGAATAAGACAAATGGAAAGAGGTTCTATCTTAATTTCTACGATGCCTTCAAAATACTCAGTTGTTTTAGAAGCTCCTAGAGGTAACTTGGAAACTATTTGCCCAAGAATTATGGTTCTTTCTGCCGTTCGTAAGTTTATTGAAAGTAAAGATTATAAAGATGCCTTTTTAGCTTGTCGTACTCACAGAATTGACTTGGATATTTTACATGATTATGATCCTCAATTATTCACCTCCAACGTTGAGTTGTTTGTCAACCAAATTAAAAAAGTCGAACATTTGGATTTATTCGTTTCCTGTTTACATGAAGAAGATGTTGCCCAAACTAAATACAAAGACACTATCAAGGAAACAAGCATTAATGATGGTTTGGCTAGATTGGACATCAATGAAACTCCTCAAGAACAAGTAAATGAAATTCATGTTATGAATGCTCCTAGAAAAATCACTTTCAAAGAAGATAACAAACGTTTTGAAAACTCGAAGGTTAATAAGATTTGTGATGCTATTCTCGCAGTGCTTTTGAAACCAGAATATTCTAAACCTTATTTACAAACTATCATTACTGCTTACGCTTGTCAGAAACCACCAAATTTAAAAGAAGCTTTGAAATTAGTTGGTGGTTTCGAAAACCATGAAGAAGTTGAACAAGCTGTCACTCATCTTTGTTTCTTACAAGATGTCAACAAATTGTACAATACTGCACTTGGGTTATATGATATAAAGTTGGCATTATCAGTCGCCCAGCAATCCCAAAAGGATCCAAAAGAATACTTGCCTTTCTTACAAAACTTGCATATTCAACCACAATTAAGAAAACAATTCTTAGTTGATGACTATTTGAAGAATTATGAGCGAGCCTTGAATTGGTTACATGAATTAGGAGAAGAATGCTTCGAAGAATTTGACGATTACGTTATCGATCATGATTTGTATAAACATGCTTTGGGTATTTACAGATATGACAACAAAAGATCAAGAGATATATTGGGTCTTCATGCTCAATACTTGCACAATAATCATAACTATAATGAATCTGGTTTGGCATATGAATACTTGGGTGATTTCACTAATGCTTTAGAAAACTATATCATGGGTAAAAAATGGAAAGAAGCTATGGCTATCGTTCAGCAATCAGAATATTCCGAAAAATTGATCGAGTCTGCAGAAAGATTGGTATCATCATTAACCGATGAACATAAATATGCCGCTGCAGCTGAAATTGAATTCCATTTCTTGGGTAATATCGAGGAAGCAGTCAAGTTATACTGTAAAAACTATTATTATGAAGATGCAATTTTACTTGCCTGGAAAGAAAATAGATCCGAACTCGTCAAAGATATCGTTGATGTGCAACTTGGTGAAGGTTTTGGTACAATTGCCGAACTATTAGCTGATTGTAAAGGTCAAATGACTTCACAATTGAGAAGATTAAGGGAATTGAGAGCTAAAAAACAAGAAGACCCATATGCATTCTATGGGGTTCCAAACGATGAATTAGATACTCCTGATAATGTTTCTGTTGCAGCTTCTGAAACTTCTACCACACCTTCTTTCTTTACTAGATACACTGGTAAGACTTCAGGTACTGCAAAGACTGGGGCTTCCAGAAGAACAGCAAAGAATCGTAAGAGAGAAGAAAGAAAGAAAGCTAAGGGTAGAAAAGGTACAATCTACGAAGAAGAGTATCTTATCAGATCTGTTGGTCGTTTACTTGAAAGATTGGACCAAACCCAACCGGATGCTATTAGATTGATCGAAGCTTTGATAAGAAGACAAATGAAGGAACAAGCTTATCAAGTCCAAAAGAATTGGGTCGATCTTATTGATTTTATCAAGGAAAACATTGTTGAAATTCATAATATGAGTGAAAGGGACAGAGAAAGAATCGATGATAATGGTGAACTTTACTTGATTCCTGAAATCCCTGTTCCTACTATTAATGAGTTCCCAAAGAAAACTATTTTGGATTTTTAATGTTTTCTTTCTATCTCTTGCATATACTTTACTTCCTTGTTTCCTTACTCTTTAATTTTATTCATATACTATATTTATTTATTTAATCATCTTCAATTTTAACTCTTACATCATTTTGCAAAAACAGAAGAGGGTCGCTCTCTGATGTTAGTTGGCCAACTTCTTGTAGTATAAGTTTATCATAAAACCCAATGATGGCGTTCTTGATCGCATCAGTCACCGCCTGTTTTTTGGCCTTGCTATAACACATATACTTATGGGGCATGTTGGTCGCCTCACCTTTCCCCATACCGTCACAAACAGTACCATCCTGAAGAGTAACTCTCACCCTTGACATAAAGTGTACCGAGTGTCGTGCTTCTGAATTTTCTGTAGCTTGGTGACAAGACGCGTTCACCAAGATACATTCCAATATTTCTGAGGACCACCCATCATATCCAAACGTTTCATTGGCTAGATTAATTAGTATATGAGACAGAAAGCTAGAGTATTCAAATTTAACTCCAAAGAATCTTCTTCCGCCTCTTTTGGACTCTAAAGATTCAAGACGTGATTGAAGAGTACCAATCTTCTTCAATCCCCACTCGGTTGCTATAAAAGCACCAGCTGCTTTCTCTTCTTTCTCTTCTTCCTCGAAAATGGAAATATCAGGAAATAAAGTCGAATAACTCATATCATCGAATTCATCAGTATTAACCGCCTGCTGATGAGCGTTAAGCGTGGAACCATCCATTAAGGTAAACCCTACTTTCCAATACTCTACCAAACCTTGATTTTCTCATACCAGAGAATTCCCAAACCAATACCACCTCTATGTTTTCTCTTTAGATGATTGAAAGGTGTATTCAAAGGACTTCTGTAGCATTGATTTGTAAATCATCGAACGCGAAATCAAAAAGTTTGAACAATTTGAGACACTACACTCAAAACTTCGAGATTTAGAACGAAAAATTGGCCAGCGGTATGCTATTTGAATTGCAAGTCCTTAATTTACCAGCACAATTGAACTTCCAACCCAAGCGCCATGGAATATTTGAATAATATATTGTCACAGCAGAACCAGAAGGTTCAGCTGGTCGAGGAAGCTATTCCGACGCTTTGTAATAGGTTACAACACGCCAGTTTGTCCTCTGACAGAAGATCAGCCGTTTTAGGGTTGAAAAGTTTTAGTAGACAATATAGAGAATCGGTGACTGAATATGGGTTGAGAACATTAGTTGCCACCTTGAATAAAGATGCAGAGAATCCAGTTATAGTGAAGGCGGTTTTAGAAACGTTATTGATTTTATTTTTGAGAGGTGAAAGTGATGATGATATGACTAGAGGTTGGATATCCCAGCAGTCTAGGCTTCAAAATGGGAAATATCCTTCTCCAATTTTGATGGAAAATATTAGCGTTGATCAATTTTCCATGTGGATTGCAGATGAACTCACCAAATCTGAAGAATCTGTCAAATTATTGATAGATATTATACAAAATAATGAAGATTTTCATATAAGAATATATTCTTTGCAATTGTTGGAGTCTTTGGTTTCAACTAGAGCTATTCGGACGAAAGACTGCTTGTTGAATATTCCTACTGCTATATCCATCCTTGTCTCGTTATTGGATGACCCAAATGACCCGGTAAGGAATGAAGCTATTTTACTATTAATGGCTGTTGTAAATAATAATTTTAACATACAAAAGTTGGTTGCATTTGAAAATACATTCGATAGACTTTTTGATATTATAGATGAAGAAGGTGGGATACGAGGTTCTATATTAGTTCAAGATTGTTTGACTTTGGTCACAAATTTGCTCCAGTACAATGCATCAAATCAAAAATATTTCTTAGAGACCCAATGTGTTCCAAGGTTAGCTAAATTATTAGGTGAACCAGTGGATGAGCTTTTCGAGGATGGCCTAACGGATGAAAAGGGCTTCCCGATCCCTGTCCCTCCGATAGTTTGGACAGAACAAAGATTACAGAACATGACTATTGCACTTGAAATATGTAAAACATTCGTCTTGGAGGATAACGAGTTTCGTGAATTGAACCAACAAAATCTTTTCCGCTCCGGGGTTTTATTCACTGTCCTAAAATTAGTCTTCTCTCCTATCACAGCTAATGAAGTTAGATCAATTGCATTATATACTACCGGTGATATCATTGCTGGTAACTCAGAAATTCAATTAGAATTTTCACAAATTGATGTTCCATATATGGATCCATCATTACCCACTCAATTACAAGTTTTTGATAGACCTGCTCCAGTTACAATCGCCTTATTAAATTGGGCTTTATATATAAATTCAGTTCATACCTTCGAGATTAGATTAGCTGCTTCACACTGTTTACATTGCTATTTTGAAAATAATGCCGAATCAAAAGGTGCTTTCTTAAATGATCAAATAAAAGCTTACAATAACCCAAATTATTTTAATGAATTGGCAGAGCAAAATGACAAGAATGGTAGTTCACATCAAAATGGCCATAAAGATGAGAATTTAGCCGAGACTCCATTTGCCAATATATTTTCAACTTTGATGGATTATGATTCCGACATAAAACTCAATCCTTATAGATTATGGTTTTCTGCCGTTATACTTATGTACCTCTTTGAACAAAGTGAAGAAAACAAAGATTTATCTAGGAATGTTCAGACTGGTGATGCTGAGGCTGGTGAAGAAGTCATGAGTTGTATACAAGCCATTTCTGGCTTGCTTATTACATCATTAGACAATGGCGATCCTCGTATTTCAATTGGTTACTTGATGATTTTAACATATTGGTTTTATGAAGATACAAAAGCGGTGAATGACTTTTTAGCTGATGCATCAATATTAAGGTCTCTTTTGGCATTTCTTTCAAATAACTCCTCAGAATCAGCTATTTTAGTCCATGGTATGGTGTCTATTTTAGTTGGTGTTGTATATGAATTTTCTTCAAAAGAATCTCCACTTCCAAGACCTGATTTACACTCCTTATTGGTGAAGGCTTTAGGTAAGGATAATTACACCCTTAAAATCAAACAATTCAGAGATAATGACAAGTTTAAGAAATTGGCGGAGTCAGATATTCTTTTCGTTGGTAAAGATGATACTGGTTTGCCAGAGGTTTATTTTGATTCTTTGTACGTTACTTTAGTTCGTGAAAATTTTTATAGAATCAGAAGAGCTTTATTTCATGATCCAAATGCCGATCCTCAAGTTCGTTTATCTTACGAAGCTTATGAAGAATTAGAAAATAATTACTCCATTTTAAGAAATGATTTAGCCACAGAAAAGATGAAATCATTCGAAACAAAGGGCCAACTTCAGGAAAAGCTTGATGAACTTCAGAGTGAAGCAGATGATCTCAAGTCAAAATTAGAGTCGAGTGAAGAAAACTTAGCAAGCACTCAGGAAAAATTGAAGTCTTTGAATGAGCAACATCAGACAGTTTCTAAGCAGTTAAAAGATACTGAGACAGCTAAGACTAATTTCGAATCAAGCTCAAAAAAATACTTTCATGAGTTACAAGCAGCTTTGAAAAACCACACTTCTGTCTCCGAAATGATTAAACAGGTGGAGACCAAGTTGGACGAATCACAGAAGGCAAAAAGTAAAGCTGAAGATGGAATTAACAAAATGAGTAGAGAGTTATTCCATTTGAGTAAACAAAAGAAAGAGGTAGATAGCACCATCGAGAAACTTGAAAGAGAAATAAAGAATTTGAAAGATGAGATTCAAAAAATTACTAATAATTATGAATCTCGTATTCAAAAGCTTCAGCAATCTAATGACCAGTTCAAGAAAAACATTGATCAATTGAATAAGCAATTAAGTGAGTCAGCCCAAAATTTGAAACAACAAGAATCAAAAATTAAAGAACTCAATGACTCCTCTAAAGAATCTGAGGCTAACAATGAGCATTTGATGCTCAAATTGAGATCTGCTGCCTCGGCCTATCAGGAAATAAAAAATTCAAAACTTGATGCTGAAGACAAAGCTCAAAACTTGCAGAAGCTTGTTGAAGAGAAAACAGAGGAGGTTTCAGAATTAAGAACCAATCTAAAAAAGTTAAATGACGAGAAAGAAGTCTCTGATAAAGAGCTTGTGTCGATAAAAGACTCTTCGTCGTCGGAATTGATGCAAGTAAATGAAAAGGTTGTCGAATTAAACAACTCTAATGATGCTCTTAATGTCGAATTGTCTTCCTTGAAAGAAGAAACGAAAAATTTACAAACCCAGTTAAATGATGCAGAACAGAAATTTCAAAAGTTGGAAACTGATACGAATAACCAATACAAGGAGCTAGAATCACATAATAAAAAACTTGAGTCAGAGCTAGCTGACAACCAAAAAGAAAGAAGTACTTTGGATCAGAAATGTACCTCTATACAGAATGAATTCAAAGCCTACAAAGAAGAGCATGGCAATACGAAAGAAGTGTTGAGCAAATCCTTACAGGACAAAACTGAAGAGCACAATTCCACGAAGAAAAGGGTTGAAGAAATTTTGGCCCAACTTAGCAGCTTAAAAGAATCACATTCAAAAGAACTAGACGTCGTCATTGAAAAGTATGATTCCACTTCAAAAGATCTTGAGCTTAAAGTCAAAAGAATAAATGAGCTCGAACTTCTTGAAAAGAAATTGGAAGAAGCTGAACAGCAATTAAAACAGAGTGGACATAAAACCAATGAACAGGATGAAATGATCTCGAGGCTAGAAAAGGAAAAATCTGGGTTGGAACAAAAATTGACCGAAGAAACGAAAATGCTCAAGGATAAAGAAAGTCAGTTGAAGAAAGAAAAATCTGCTTTAGAGAACAAAATTGCTGATCTTCAAAATTCGCTTTCCAAGGCCGATTCCAAAGAGAAAAAGTTGATTAATGAACGTGATTCTAGTCGCCAAGACTTAGATACTTTTCAAAATGATATGGCCTATATGGAAGTTGATTTAAATGAACAAAAGCAAAAAGTCGAAGAGCTTGAAAAGAAACTATCTGAAGTTCAAGATAATCACGAATCATCCAGCAAAGAAATAGAGCAGCACAAGAAAACTTTGTCCGAAAAAGCCGCTGAACTCATAAATTTAAACAATTTGATCACCGAACTGAAAGATTCAGCTAAGAAATTGATCGATGAAAAAGAAGAATTGAAAAAGCAGCTCTCATCGTTTAGGTCGGAAAATGAAACAAAAGTGAATGCTCTCGAATCTCTGAGAAAGTCAATTGAAAGTGAAAAAGTAAAGTTGTCACAAGAGATTTCAGGATTGAAAAAAGAGATAGAGAAAATAAAGAATGAAAAGAATGGGTTGGATTCTGACCTTAAACAGGTAAAGAAAAATTATGAGGTTTTAAAAAATGAAAAGTCTAAAGTCGAAGCAGCCTTTTCTGAACAAAAGACCGAAATTGAGTCTATCATGAAAGAGAAAGCTGATTTGGAGGCCGACCTTGCCAAACTGAAAAATGATGTGAAAAGTCTTGAGAATTCAAAAACCGAGCTAGACTCGAAGCTCACCAAACTGAACGATGAAATCAGTGTCATCAAAAGAGAGAAATCAGATTTGGAGAATGATCTCAATAAGGTAAGGGAAGAAATGAAAAATTTGACAGAAGAGCATTCATCATTAAAGGATAACCTGAAAGAGACTGAGAGAAAACTCTCTTCATTCAAAACTTCAACGGAAGAACAGAATTCTGCAAGATCTCGGAAGATAGATGAGCTTGAAGCCTCATTGAAAGAAAAGACAACGAAAGCACAAACCCTTGATTCAACAATTTCAACTCTTAAGGCTGAACTCGATAAGAAGCAAAAGTTACATAATGAGGTACTTAGCGAGAAAGAAGCTAAGATTAAGCAACTTGAAACTGACTTGACAACTAAAACAAAAGAAGTTGAGAAAGAAAGGGCTATGTTGTCTGAAAACTCGGAGACTATCATTAAAGAATATAGTGATAAGATAAAACATTTAGAAGAAAACCTTATGGCTTCTAGGGAAGAAAACGAAAAGAAAGTGCAAAAATTATCTCAAGAAAAGCTGGATTTGGCTGACAAGATTGAAACTATCAGTCACCAGCAAAAAACTGATAAGGAGAAGCATATTGCATTTGAAGAAGAGTCCAAAAACAACAAAACAAAATTTGAAAAGGAGAAGGATGATTTGTTAAAACAACATCAAGACAAATCTCAAGAACTTGAAAGGAAAATTCAGAGATATGAGGCAGATAACTCTAAACTTGATAAAGAATCACAAACTTTTAAAAAGCTCGAAGAAGACTTGAAGAAAGAACTTTATTCTAAATCCTCCAAACTTGAAGAAATACAAAAGAGCTTGGATACAACTCAGAAAAATTTAGCATCAAAAAGTAAGGATCATGACACTTTAACTAGTGAATCCAATGCAAGTAAGCTGAAAATCGAGGATCTTGTCAAAGAATTAAGCTCGTTTAAGACTAATTTCGACAAACAAAACACAGATCATGAACAAGCTAAAAAAGACTTAGAAAAAACCAAATCGCTTTACGAGGAACAGCTCAAATTGACAAGTGATCTCACTAAATCTAAAGAAAGTAATAATTCCAATTTGGAGGAATTGAAAATCAAACTCGCTGAACTCAAGTCTAAAGAAACTGATTTGCGAAAAGAAAATGACTCTTTAGCTTCAGAAATCAAAACCTTGAAAGAAGAAGCTACCAAGAGTATTAATGCCTTTAAAGATCTTGAGTCGACTGTTAAAAAGCTCAAATCTGAGTTAGAAGAAAAGGCAAAAGATTCCCAACTTCTAAAGGAAGCGCAATCACAACTTGATCAATCAACTGAAAAAGCAGCTGAGTTGAATAGTTCGATCAATACTTTTAAGGAGAAAATAGCTGGCTTGGAAAAAGCAGTAGAAAAAGAGAAAGAGAACAATAAAGATTTATCTGAAAAGTTGAGTGATTCATCTGAATCTGCTAAAGAACTAGTTAAATCAAAAAACCTAGCAGAAACACTCGAAACAGAATTGAAAGATGTCAAGAATACAGTTTCTCAACTTACTAAAGACTTGGAATTGGCCCAAAAAGAAACTGAAACTAACAAAAAGACTTCTGAGAAGGAAATTGAATCATTCAGTGCTAAGATTTCAGAACTTGAAAAAAGTTCGGGCTCAGTAAGTAAATTGGAAAAAGAAAACCTTACGTTTAAAGAAGAAGTGGAAAAACTTCAGAAACTCAATGAGTCCAAGGAAAAGGAAATAAATGACTTAAAACTTGCTCGAGATTCTGCCTTGAAAGACGTTGGAGACAACTCCAGTAACATTGAACAACTAAAGAAATCGGAAGAAGATAAAGTGAAAGAACTTGAAGGTCTAAGAAAAGAATTGAGCGAGCTTAAAACTGTCCATGTGGCTAAACAGAAAGAATTTGATTCCCTGAAAGCTGAACATGATTCTAAATTGAAAGAAATGGACAACTTGCTCAAAGAAAATAAAGTGAAAGTTAGTGAATTGGAATCTTACAAAGCTGAATCAAATAAAAAAGAACAGGAACTTAAATCTCAGGTAGAAGAGTTGACCAAAAAGCTCAAGGATAAATCTTCCGATCTTGTCTCCAGAAGCGAGTTGGATGATCTCATGCTTTTAATGAGTGACATGGACGACAAGAATAAGAAGTATAAAAAACGTTTGAAGAGCCTTGGAGAAGAAGTTTCGAGTGATGAAGATGATGATGATGACGACGACGACGACGACGACGACGAAGATGAAGACAGTGAAGATGAAGATTAATACCTTACGTAACTCATTTGTATATATATCACCCTAAATTATCAACTTTTAGAATACTTCTTCATATAATAGAAACGCTTTTCGCATCAAAAAATACCTTGTAAAAGCCGTTAGCGATGAACGTCTCAATTGTTTTGATGGAAAAAAATTTTTGACGGTCCTGGTGGTTTTGTAGGATGATTTCAAAACCCCTGTTCACTTTCATTTGCCTATTCTTTGAGTCTTCGAGATCTTCTGCTTTAAATGATATTGTTAATAGATTCATACGACTCCTTCACAAATAATCTTGTTCGACTTATAAGCATTAATACTGGAAAAAAGGTTACTACAATTCATAATGATTCATTGAGTTCATCAGAATATGAAAATTTCTTCCAAAACGCATTACCAAAGTTTGAGTATGTCATAATAGGACCCGGTCCCGGGCATCCATCGATTCCAGGCGATGTTGGTATAATTAGTGCTTTATTTCAATATTTGAGTCGCAATGACCATTGGTCGATTCCAATTTTGGGAATTTGTCTCGGATTTCAATGTTTATGCTATCAATTTGGAAACGAAATAGAAAGATTGGATGATGTTAAGCATGGCCAAATCTATGATATCCATCCAGTAGATGGGAAAACTGATTTGTTTGCGGGTAGTGGGGATAGTTATAATTTTCCTAGTGTCCGTTATCATTCATTATACGTTGATATAGAGAAATTGAATGATAATATCTTGCCGTTAGCTGTATGCTATGAAGAAAACAATGACCTGAGCTCTAAACAGATACTTATGGCTGCAAGACATAAGTCATATCCTTTTTATGGTGTTCAGTATCATCCGGAATCAATATGCTCAAAAGATGGTGATAAGTTAGTCATGAATTTTGATAGAATAGCTGCTGACTACAACAAGAAACATCGTTTAGATTACTCGAAAGTATCCTCCACCGAAATTGAAAAAGCCATTGCAAAATTTACTTCGAGTCACCCCTTGAAAGACCCAGGTCTTATACCCAATGATGTAAACGAAGCCAAGAGAGGGTTGAATCTTATTGCAAAAAGGATACAATTTGCCGGCCCTATAGATCCTTTGAGCATCTGTGACTATATACATAATAAAACTCAAGATAATCAATTTTTTCTTTTAAATTCGGCCTCGATACCTGGCGATTGGTCCATTATTGGAATTCCTATCGAAACTCAATCAGAGGTGATCACACATTCTATAGATAATATTAACGAGATCGAAGTCCTGAAATTTGGCTCAATGGAAGCCAAGGAGACACAAGTCATTGAATCAGAGACAATATGGAATTTTATAGGAGCTAGAATTGGGCAAAATTATATACCTAGGGACAAGTTTAATTCGAAACTTGGCGAAACCTTCCATTCTAGAGACTTCCCATTTTTAGGAGGGTATATGGGGCTTTTTTCGTATGAAGAAGGACAACATCTTGTTATTGATAAGTTTAGTTCTCTTTGTAATGGCTCAACTCCAGATATGAAACTTATCTTTATTGAGAGGTTTTTGTTGGTTGATCATTTAACAAATGAAACTTTTATTTTTTCGATAAACAGTTCCCAAGATGACCTGACTTGGGCTCAAGAACTTAAAACTGAGCTCGAAATGGCAGAAAATGAAGGCAAACTCAAAGTCCATGCAGACTTAGTTCCACAGAGTGTGAAGGATTTATGTTATGTTGACGATCAGAACTCTATTTCATTTGACTTTCCTTCTAGGGAGGCATATAATGAACAATTTTCAAAATGCCAGGAGCTTCTACATTCCGGTGACTCTTATGAGTTATGCTTAACCACCCTGCTGAGAATACGAGTTCCTTCGTATATTCAACCATGGGAAATCTATAAAGTATTAATTTTGCATAAAAATCCGTCACCATTCTCTTGCTTCATGAGTTTCGATGACGTGGTTCTCATTTCATCATCACCGGAGAGATTTCTATCGTGGAAAGATGGATCTGATGGAAAGAAAAAGGTTGAACTTAGACCAATAAAGGGAACAGTCCGCAATACACCTGATGTCAGCATCGAAGATGCCACAAAAATATTGAAGACTGCCAAAGAAATGGGAGAAAATCTTATGATTGTCGATTTGATTAGACATGATTTACACGAATTCATCGACCATGTTGAAGTGACAAAGTTAATGACTGTTGAAGAGTACAAGACCGTATATCAATTGGTCAGTTTCATAAGTGGTAGTCTTGAAAACTCCAATTATCACGGAATAGATATTCTTCACAAATCCTTGCCTCCTGGCTCGATGACTGGTGCTCCTAAAAAACGATCAGTCGAACTTCTTCAAGATATTGAGAGTATCCAAACAAATGGTAATCCAGGTGGGAGAAGAGGCGTTTATAGTGGGGTCGCTGGATACTGGTCTGTCACTGATGATGCTGACTGGTCAGTGATTATTCGTTCTTTGTTTCACTATACCGATGATAAGAATAATAAACCTGGTTCGAACATCTGGAGAATCGGAGCAGGAGGAGCCATTACTGTTCTAAGTGATGCAGATGGTGAATGGGATGAAATGAAGGTCAAACTTACGAGTGCTTTACAGGTTTTTCAATAACTCTCAAAGCTATTTAATTATTCTATTTTTTGCATCCATTTTTCACGAAGCAAATTTCCGTAAACTCTGACAACCCAGTAAATCCCTTTTCCGAAATTTAATCAAATAATTATGCAGTAGCTTCTCTTTTGCCAATTTGTAGTGAATTGGAAGCAGATTTAGATATATTCAGTATAATACTATATCACGTGACCATTATCTCTTTAGTGTATGCTTTTACATGTTATCTTATATTTTTGCATGTTGCGTTTTGGGTTTTTTTTTTTTTTCCTATTTTTTTTTCGTTCGTTCGACGTTCGAAATGCAAGCAAAAAAGTCATTTTTCGGTGAAATTGATCCTTGTCAATCTTCTTTTCAACGATAATTAATTCAAACAAATGTCATTCTTTGGATTTGATCCTACAGCTCCACCTGGAGTTAAGCAGAGTGAAAATGAAGTATATGATTTTCAAGATACTTATGACGGTTTAGGTGATGGTTTAGATGAAACTGATGATGCTTTGAATGACGAAACCTTTGGAGTATCTAATATTGGAAAAGATTTTAGCTTTGGTTATGGTAATTCTCAATCTGAAGCTGCGTCGAAACCTATTCAACCTAGTGTTGCTCCAGCCCAAACTGTTAGTTATGCTCAAGCTGCATCTCAATCAAATAATGATGATGAATTTATGCAAGACTTATGGGGGACGTCCAATGCTCCAGTCCATCAAGCCAATCAGCAACAACCTGTTGCTGCTCCTTCTGGTGAGAAGAAGATTTTGTCTTTGGAAGAAATTGAATCCCAATTGACTTCAATCGATAAAGAGCAACACCAACAACCTCAACCGCAAGTTCCTCCTCAAGCTTACGGTTTCCCAGGACAATTCCCACCTCCCCAATTTGGTGGTTTCTTCCCTCCTCAAGGTGGTTTTATGCCTCCTCCAGGTCAATTTGGTCAATTTCCTCCCCAAGGTATGCCACCAATGCCAGGTCAATTCCCTCCTCATGGAATTCCTCCTCAAGCCCCTCAAATGGTTCCTCAACCTCAAATGCAACCAGGTATTCCTCAAGCCCATCAACAAATTCCTTCTCAGGCTCCTCAACAACAGGTTCCTCAACAACAATCTCAACAAGTGCCAGCTCAACAGCAACCAATCATTGCCCAAAAAGCCGTACCAGTTCAGCCAGTTAAGTCTATTCCTCAACAAAAGGTTGATTTATCTCAATTCCCTGTCTTAGGCTCTAAAGAAGCTCAAGTTGCTCCAGAGCCTGCTCAGCAACCACAACAACAACAATTTCAACCTGTTCCACCTGTTCAACAATCAGGCTTCCAACAGGTTCCAGACATTGCCGGCCCAATCCAGCAAGTACCACCACCACAACAACAACAACAACAACAGCAACAACAGCAACAACAACACTTCAATAGCCGTAACCACCAAAGTCCATCTCCTCAAGATTTGACTCCTGAACAACAAGAAAAGTTGGCTAAAAGACAAGAAAAGGTTGCAAGAATTATGAAGTATTCTGGTATCATGAATCCAAAGGATAAAGATTTTGTTACTCGTTTTCAATTATCTCAAATCGTTACTGAAGATCCATACAATGAAGACTTTTATGCTCAAGTTTTCAAAGTTATCCATCCAAAAGTTCAAGCTAACCCAATGCAACCTCAACAACAACCTCAGCAACAACATAATTCTATTGCTCAAGCTTACTTAGATCAAAGTGGTCATAGATTAGGTGGACGTCATAGAAGAGCTGATGTTGCTTTACAAAGAATGCAACAACAAGTTCAAAAAGCCGTTACTGTTGCTAAAGAAAGACCAAAATTGACTCAATATGCAAGAGAAGGAGCTTTAGGTAAGATTTCTTTTGGTAATGGTAAAAAACCAAGACAACAATTAGAAATTTTCAGTAAGGCTGCTCAAAGAGAGCTCGAAAAACAAGAAGCCGAAAATAAAGAAAATAATGAGGTTTCTAAAGGTGGTGATGATCTTAAAGCTGATGAAGTTGTTTCTAAAAAGGATAGATCACCATCTATTTCTGCTCCATCGAAACCTATTAAGAAATATACCAAGAAGGATATTATGAGTATTTTGGAAAACATCATTACTCATTTGATGGCTGCTGAAAGCGAATCAAGATTAACCCCAAATGTTGATACCACTCAATTATGGGAAGCATTACATGTTTTAGATCAAGCATCATCATCCGGAGATGAAGCTTCATTTGTGAATCCATTCATTCAATGTTTAAATCATAATAAAGCATTGAAAATATTACCACGTCTTTTCAAATTTTTAACAAGAGAACAAATTTTAACTATTGTTACTTTGGTTATGTCCAATTTAGAAAATTTACTGGTTATTAAGAATGCTTCCTATACTACTTATGAAAATAAAAAAGTTCCAGACTCAATCTTAAAATTAGTTGAAGCCTACTCTTTAACATTTTCAAAAGTATTGATGAATGCTGTTCAAGATTTCAAGTTCAATGAAATCATTGGTTTGTTGGTGATTTTGATTGAACATAATAACGTGTCATTTGTCTCCACCACTAAAATTGGGTTATCAATTTTAACTACCCTTTTATCCCGTGCAGAATTGATTAGAGGTGAAGGTACTATTTCAGCTACTGATTTATCGGAATGGACCTCCTGTTATGATGAGTTATTTACTTCATTAGAATCAAGAATCGCAGCCATTTTCCCTCCTCATCCTGAAGATATTGATGATGGTTCTTCTAGAGAAAATTACGTGTGGCAATTTTTAGCTACTTTATCCTTAGGTGGTAAATTGAGTCATCAAAGAATCATTGTTGATGAAGTCAGAGATGAAATTTTCGGTGTCATGAATAGAGCCAAAGCCATTGATAACTCTGACTTGGCTAATTTGTATAAGAAACAAAACTTATTGAATAATTTGAACATGTACTTGGTTGTCATGGGTTTGGTTGCCGATGAAAACGAAATTAAAGAATTACAATAAAGTTCTTAATGCATACAAATAGTGAATCTCTACCCATACTTGGTTTCGTTGTTGTGGCCACGTATGAGCACAAACTTCAGCAGTTTATTGCATTAAACTAATTAATTAAATTTTTAAAAAAAAAAAAGTTTGAAAAATTATAAAAGTTAAAAAAATTTGTTACTGTACTATAGATCAATATTCTAATGGAATACTTGCGATCAACAATTGCTGTAGTTTGTAAACGTAAACGTGATCAAATATCTCATCATTTAGCGTTTGGTGATTCTCCACTTGCTGCAATTCACCCCTTTGTGGGTTGCCCCAATTCAATCAGCTGTATAGTTACTTCGATCGCACCCAAATGCTGTTCTTCGGAACCGTCTGTAGTTCCTAATTAGCACTGACTTCCGGTTGCAATGTCCGAACCATTTTATCTCGGAGGGCGGAGTTATTCCCAATATGGAATGACCGACCGGTGGTTTCTTAACTTTACATTTCCGAAAAGGATGTAAGATTTGGCCGAAGCTCAGCAGCCATTCGAATCGATTATAAAAGCTGTTCAAATTGAAGTGGAGTTAGCAATTTCCAATACTCAACAGTTAAAATTACTAAAAAATTATAACTACCAGAAACTTATAACATAATACTTCCAAAAATGGCCAAACAATTCACTGCTGCTACCGATCCAGTTAACTTGGTACAAAAATTAAACAAGACCGGGTTAGATATCCTGAAACTCGTTGTTGGGGTTATGCTTATGACTACCGAAGGTAACTGGTTTGGATCGAATGGAGATATTGATGCAAATTTGGAACTTTTATATAAATGTTACCAAAGTGGATTGCGTACTTTCGATACTGCTGATACTTATTCAAATGGGAAATCTGAAGAATTACTCGGAATGTTTTTGAAAAAATACAAGATTCCTCGTCAAAATGTTGTGATTATGACAAAAGGCTATTTCCCAGTTTTGGACGACGTTAATGATTCCTCTGGGTTGACGAACGATGCAGATGCTCTTAAGATTATGAATAGAAAAGGACTCTCAAGAAAACATATTTTAGAAGCCGCCAAAGCTTCCTATGACCGTCTTGGAACTTATGCTGACATTTACCAAATCCACCGTTATGATCCAAATGTTTCTAATGAAGAAATTATGAAAGCCTTAAATGATGTTGTTGAAAAAGGTTATGCTACTTATATTGGGGCTTCAAGTATGAAAACTTATGAGTTTATTGATTTGCAATACACGGCAAAATTGAACGGATGGCATCAATTTGTTTCAATGCAAAGTTATTACAACTTATTATACCGTAACGATGAACATGAATTGAATCCTTGGTGTAAAAAACATGATATTGCTTTATTCCCATGGTCCCCAAATGCTAGAGGTCTTTTAGCAGTTCCTTGGGATTCCGAAGTGGCCAAGACCAAATTACAAAATGAGTTCATGACTCGTATTCTTGGAATTAGCCCATCTAGTGAATCTGATTGTGAAATTGCCAAAAGACTTGAATTGTTGGCCGAAAAGAAAAAAGGCTCCATGATGCAAGTTTCTCTTGCTTGGTTACTTGTTAAAGGTGCTAATCCAATCGTCGGTATTTCCAAACTTGAATACGTTGATGAAGTTGCTGGGGTTGTTGATGTCGAACTTACTGAAGAAGATATCAAGTATTTGGAAGAACCTTACGTCACCAAAGCTGATGCCCCCCTCTTAGACTAGTATTTCATAACTTATGAATATTATTCGCTTACTTATTTTACTTGTAAAATAGCAGAAGTATGTATTAAGGTATAAAAAATATATTAGGTATAAAATAGCTGCGAAAAAAAAAAAAATAAAAAAAAAAAAAAAAAAAAANCGAACTTACTGAAGAAGATATCAAGTATTTGGAAGAACCTTACGTCACCAAAGCTGATGCCCCCCTCTTAGACTAGTATTTCATAACTTATGAATGTAATTAGTAATTATCTCGTACTTGTAAAATAGCAGAAGTATGTATTAAGGTATAAAAAATATATTAGAAATTTATTAGCTGCGAAAAAAAAAAAAAAAAAAAAAAAAAAAAAAAAAAAAAAATATTATAAATTTGGATCGTAAAGTACATAATCTACTTGACTTGCAAGTAGCATTCAGGATTTGTGAAGTGCGTGTGCATAGTGAGTTCCGAGTCACACTGGGAATCGTAGGAACTGTCTTCTTGGTAGTTATGGATGATGCCCAATTCGCCCAGATAATCTTGGACATGGCCATTTGATTTTGGAATTTGGTGAGAAGTACTCATTACTGACGATGCATTGGATCCCAGTGAAGGTTTGCGGGATTTTATGGTGGGGGAATTAAGGCTTTCTGATTGGCCAGGCTTGAAAGGAGGCAAAAGATCGGTGGAAGAGTCATTCATAGAGGCATCAGTTGAAACAACGATGTTGAAAGGAATAAATCCAGATCTTCTTTTCTTATTACGGTTTGCAGGGAGTGTTGTTTGAGGAGAAACTTCACTATAATTGAACCTTGGAGTTGATTTTGTTTGAGGAGAAGATAACCTTGAGACCACTTCACGTTCTTGTTGTAATAAAGTCTTTAATTTTCTAATTTCGTCTTCATGTTTTTCAATTAAAAGTTTATGATCTTGAACCAAAGAAAGTAATTCGCTTCTGAAAAACTCTTTGCTATCACTGAATTCTAATTCTTCGTCTCCTGAGTCATCTATTGGGTCACTTATATCTTCACTCAACAGATGACAAGAATTGTGGGAATGTTCAATAGTAGTCAGTTTGCCAACGCTTTTAACTCGAGGTAGTGGAGAAGGACTTGCGGAAGTATTTATATGATCTTGAGAAGACTCTGAAGGAATGGGAGATGAAGTACTAATGAATCTTAAATTTGATTGTTTACCATGGGAGTAAGTTTTGAATATTTGAATGTTAGCGTCTATTATCGATCCGTCATCGGTATCGAAGAAATTCGAGCTTGCAGTTCTTGCGGTTCTTGCGGTTGGACTTAGCAAGTTTTTACTACTTATATCATCGTCAAAGGAAGAGCAGTCGATAAAGTCAAGTTTCCTTGGGGATTGAATAGAGCGTTTTGGATTCATCGGAGTAGAAGTAAATAATTGATTTTTAGGAGTTTCAAAATTCTGATAAGGAGCTATTAATTCACTCATATTAAAAGTATCACTTAATGGAGTGAGTGGAAGAGATTTATTTTCATTATTGGTAGAAATATCTGACAATTTATAGTCTTTGGTTGCAAATGATCTGCCAGGATTTAATTGGGGTTGACTTGAGGATGCGCCACTCGTGAGAGGACTTGGTTGAGGTTTGATTGATTGACAAGACGATTTTGAGTATTGACTTGGCGATTTTTGATGTTGACAAGAGGAAGCAACCGAGGATTTTGAGGGACAAGATTGGTGAATTAGCTTAAGCTTGGAGATGAAGCTAGTTGATTTTTTCAACTGCTTATTAGTCATATTAGTTTGGTTGTTAGGAGAGTTTAATGAAGAGTTGAAAGATGAGTCAGAATGGGTTTTCTGTAGATGATGATCTTGTTTCTTGGGTATTGGTGGCTGACTTGTTTGACATGACGATTTTTTATCTTTATTATGGTTTTTTGCCTTCTTAAAGATATTTATAAATGCCATTTTAGCATTTAAGTTTAAGGGATAGATCGGGATGACAAATAAAGAATTATTCAATTTATGGTCAAATTTTGAAATTGTCAATTTTTGAAATTGTCAATTTTTGAAATTGTCAATTTTTTTTAAGCAAGACAAAAAAGTAAGGAAATGACTTATTAATAAAGAGGAACCCTTTCAACATGAAGCAGATTACAAAATTGAAAAATAATAAACAATTAAGTACCGATGAAGAGAGGGACAGGTATAAAAATAAGGATTTCAGAGGCAAACAATAGTATGATCACTTAAATTATCTGCGGATTGTCTTGAAAGTTTAATTAGTAGCTTTAATAATAGCCTTTATCATTTGAGTAGTTTATTTCAATTATCTGTTTTAGAAATAGGAATCATTGTTAAAGATGAAATCAGTCCAAATTAGGAAATTTCTCGAGATGCAGCAGCCATCAAAACAAAACAACCTCAAAAGAATATAATAAAATAACATTGGAGAGATTCAGGACAATGATGTAGATTTACAGGGACACCACCCACACGATGAAGATGAACAAACCCCGTTTCTGGTCGCTATAATTCGACAAATACTTTGTCAATTCTGTTTACAATAAAACTGATTCTGGCAGGTGCGCGATACCATAGTTATTCTAAACACAAACTTGGTATCAGCAGCTGGGATTAAAAGTACGACAAACTGGCCATTCTCAGAATGCATGGGAAGAAAGAGAAACCCTTAGAGAAGTTTCACAAGTAGCTTGGTTTAAAGTGAATTTGTTGGATAATATTTTGCTCCGACACAAAATCCGTAATAAGATCTTAGGTATGCCTGCGCCTTAGCAGAGGATATACGTGCCGGCCCTCCCAACGGCCTAATTAAGCCATGGCTACCATAACAGTATCCATAACAATATCCATAACAGTCCATAACAGTCCATAACAGTCCATAAAATACAGTAGTACATGCACTAATATATAAATATATATATATTAATACATACAGTAATACGTACAGTAATACGTACAGTAATCCATAATCCATACAATAATCCATATAATAATCCATACAGTATACAATAGTCCATTATCTTGCGGTTATACGTACGGTACCCCATTATCATAATCAGCCATTACATTATCCCGGGCATTCACTTCGAAAACGCTTCCCAACTCAGCAACATTGTATGTTGTAGCCTTATGATGTTTACAGTTGGTGCTTTCGCGTTAAACCCGTACCACCACACTTTCAGTGTAGAACAAATGTATCAAGTATTGACAAACAAATGTATCAAGTATTGACAAACAAATGTATCAAGTATTGACAAACAAATGTATCAAGTATTGACAAACAAATGTATTAAGTATTGACAAACAAATGTATTGAGGATTGGGTACACAAGCAGGAGCGTGGAGGATGTGCCCTACATGTAGCACAGAACTTGTAGTGAAAAAAACTTGTACGTTGGTGTGCAGAAAGCTAAATTGAATAAAGTTTAAAGTAAGGTTGAACTGTATGAGAATTGTGATATTAAACTACGGTAACTAGAGTTTTCGGTAGCCTAGCAGGTGATGTCAGGCCAATTACATATCAACTAAGCTTGAAGGGAGCTCTCTGGCATCTTTTTGAGTTTTCCTGTGCTCGTTAGTCGGGCAGGTTAAAGAATACGAAACATGGGAACAGGAGGTGATGAGCAGATTGGGTACCAAGGATCTGGGTATGAGCAAGATATTAAAAGGCACTGAGGTTCAAGGGTTTACTGCAGTCGTATTATATTAAGAAGGAATCGAATCGAGAAGCAATAGCCAATAAATCAATAGTAAAAATTGGTTCGGTGTAATGGCATACAAATATGGTTAATATTCACGCTACAAAGATACTCCTGTTATTCCAGCATCTTTAAACTACAAAATAAGTTGTTAAGCAGTCACGGTACTTCCTACACTTCCAAGTATAGAATGCCCATCTGGCTGCAAATGGTCAAGGTGTGCGGGTGTACTTATATAAAAGAGGAAAGGCCATCACGGCACCTTACGGGAGTCTTTCGTAAACCTGGAATATTAAACAACCCGGTTTAAGAAGCAAGGTCATGGGACGAGGGATTGTTTAGCCTCCGGGTTCTCTCCTTTTACTCCTATATCTGTCGTATCTATCTTATATATAGATTATACCTATGTCTTGTCTATGTCTTGTCTATGTCTTGTTTATGCCTATGCCTATGCCTATGCCTATGTCTATGTCTATGTCTATGTCTATGCCTATGTCTATGCCTATGTCTATGTCTATGTCTATATCTTGTCTAGGTCTTGTCAATGTCTATGTCTTGTCAATGGCTATAACTATGGCTATAACTATGTCTATATCTATATCTTGTCTAGGTCTTGTCGATGTCTTGTCTATACCTATGTCTTCTCAAAAAAACCCAGTCACCAGCAGCATAACTACCAAGGTCTCTTGCAACCCTCACGCAGCTACTCATTTGTTAAAATTTTGTGATCCTCAATACAACCAATTGAATTAATTAACAATATTGGATTAAAACTGGGAGTTTTGAGTAAGTAACTTGTAGTTTTGGTTGGGTTTTTGAGGTTTTTTCAAATCAGTAATTAGAGATAAGTAAAAGTATTCCAGGTCTCTATCAAAAATGTCCAGGATAACTCCATCAACTACCATGTCTCAAGAGCTATATGACAAGCTCTATAATGATCAGATGGTGCTAACTCATGGGTATGTTCATGGACATATCCATAAACATAAGGATCATACCCATATACATGGACATATTCATAATCATGATCATAATCAAGAGAATCAGGAAAATGAAAAGGATGAGGCAGTACAAGAGCAGCAACTTACTAAAGCACCAGTACTAACTTCATCTCTGATTGATTCTTGTAAACAGTTGGAGGATGAACTAAATATATGTAATGAGATTTTCTGTGATGAGTTAGATGATTGCTATTTCCATTCATGTGATGATAATTTAATTGAAAATGATGATTGTAAAAATTGTGATTATAATGAACTTTCTTGTTGTGATGATGAATTAGACCAATCATTACTACCGCTGGCTTATGAAGAAGTATGCAATGATCCGTCATGTCTTGACTCAAATAGTTGTTGTCAAGATTCAATAAATCATCAAGATAATTTATGTGATTTACAATATCAGAAAAAACCAATTTTTGAAAACTTAATTGGTAATGTTCATAAAAATTTTGACTTAGAATCATCTTCTATTAAAAAAAGAAAATTGAATGATAACGATAATATTAAACTTCATTTCCCTCATCCCTGTCATCCAGATACTTCTCTAAATACAAATGATCATAATCTTCATCAATCTTGTTTCCATACTAGAATCCCAACAAATACAAGTGAAAAAATGATGTCCGATTTTGATTTTTATATTCAATTTAATAATTTTAAAAAAATTATGTCAAATAAAGATGAAAATTTATTAAATTTTAGTGAAAAACCTCTAGTGGTTCCAGAATTATTATCTCAACCAGAAAAACCAAACTTATCAACTTTTGCTTGTCGTTGGGATAATTGTTTTAAAAAAGTCACCGATGATACTTTAATGAACCATTTAATTAATGATCACATTGATCAAGACTATAATTCTCCCAATGCAAATCAATCGTTTCAATGTGAATGGAATGATTGTAATTATATGAATGAAGATTTAAACACCTTGATAACCCATTTGAATTGTCATCGTGGTAAACATGATATTAATAATTCTTTATATAAAAAGGAATCTCCGATTTTAACTCCAAATTCCATTTCAAAATCTTCGTTATCTTCTCCCGATAATAAAATTATTAAAAATGAATTTGATAATGATCGTGAATCATCTCCCTTCACAATAACTTCAATGAAGATATCTCCCAAAAAAAGTTCTTGTCGTTCAAATTGTTCTCATAAAATTGATGATAAGTTCACTTGTAAATGGCAAATTGGTACTAATTCAGATGGTTCTCCCATGTCGTGTGATAAAACTCATAATGATTCGGGTGACTTACAAAATCATCTAATGAATGATCATATTGGTAGTGGGAAATCTATTTATCATTGTAATTGGATTGATTGTGAACGTAATCATGGTAAACATTTTACTCAAAGACAAAAATTATTAAGACATATTCATATTCATACTAATTACAAACCGTGCAAATGTTCAGTCTGTGGTTCTTCTTTTGCTGTCGATTCAATGCTAAAACAACATATGAGAATTCATTCCGGTGAAAAACCTTTTAAATGTAATATTTGTGGTAAAAATTTCGCTACCAGTTCAAGTTTATCAATTCACAATAGAACCCATACTGGTGAAAAACCCCTTGTTTGCAAGTGGCCAAATTGTGGTAAAAGATTTAGTGAAAGCTCAAATTTAACTAAACATATGAAAATTCATACTAAATTATTCAAATGTGACCATTGTGGTGAGGAATTCGATAAAAAAATCGCCTTCACAAAACATTTGAAGCTCCACCAAATCGACTAATGCCTTCCTCCTATTTATTGTAATGAGTCAAAGGAATATTCCTCTTTAATATACATTATTTATTACCACTTTCTTTAATGGTGATCAATCTTATAGCTGTAGAATTGGTTGCAATTTTTTATAGAATATTCTTGAATAAAGACCCAAACATCCGCTTTTTTAAAAAATGAGCTCATGCACGTCCTTTCTTTTCCTTTTTTTTTTTTTTTTTTTTCTTTCTCTTTTGGTCAAATGAAAAATCAATCTCTTCAAAAGACCATTTCATTAGACTTTGTTTTAACCAAATATTATACACTATGAGACCAACTATAGCGTTAGGATATTTGAGAGTATCCATTCCCAAGAAGCCTCTCACCCCATATGCATTTCCTTCGTTGTCTTCAATCAGCATATCCGATTTACCAAATAATGGATTTGGTAAAAATAATTATAATATAAAGAAAACAAAATACGGACATTGGCCCGTTTATAGAGTCGTTCAAAATACTAGAGTTCTTACTGAAATCAAAAGAGTCGAAGGTGATGTTGAAGAATTCAAAAATGACTTGTTAGCCAAATTACCTCATATTCAAGATAAATACGTTACCGTTAATAAGAAAGCAGGACAGTTAAAGATTAAAGGAGATTTCATTGACTCTATAAAGGAAGTATTTGATGTCAATATTAACTAATTTGTTCTTTTGAAAAGAATTTTGTGATTCATGTATATATAGATTGTAAATATCAATAAAAATATAAAGTGTATATATATTACATGTAGAAAAATCTAAAGACCGAAAAGAAGAACCAATAAGTATAAAAAGCTAAGATAATACATAGGATGAAAAGGAATTTGCAAAAGCTAAATTGAAAATAATTAAAATTAAAAAAAAAAAAAAAAAAAAAAAAGAAAAAACGAATAGAATCGAATCGAAGCCATCTAGTGAAGTTATTGTAATTCAGAGCCTGCTTCTGACGATGGAGTACTGCCACCTTCGGATTCGAAAGCAACTTGTCTGATTTGAACTATCCATGGATCGTTTAATAATTCTGCAGCACTAGATCTCTTCTTTGGATCATGCTCCAAACATTTGGATAAGAATTTAATACCAGCTTCACTTAATTGATCTCGAGATGGTAGTTCGGGCTGATGACCGGCTGCAATATGATACATGATTGCCCATTCATTATCCAAATTGGCCCATGGTCTACGACCAGTGGCCATTTCTAATACACAGCATCCTAACGACCAAATATCAACAACTCCGTTTCTATCTGAATACTGTCCAGTAATGACTTCCGGTGACATATACATTGGAGTACCAGTCATCGAGTTAACATTATTGTGGTTACCGATGGCACGAGTTGAGCTGGAAAGTGATGATGATCCTCTTGTCTTACCGCTTGTTGCAATAACCTTGGCTGCACCAAAATCAACAAACTTAACAACACCATTTCTATCCAACAATATATTTTCTGGCTTGATATCACGATGAATGACCCCTTGGTGGTGTAAGAATGCAAGCCCTTCTAACATTTGTAAAGTATAAATTTGAATAACCATCTCGTCTTCAATTCTTCCGTGTGCTAATAAACCAGAAAGTGAGCCACCTTCACAAAATTCCATAAATATATAAACTTTATCACGATGAACTTCAACCCCATAGTATTGAACAACATTTGGATGGTTTAACATTTCTAGAATGGTCATTTCATCTTTAATTGATGGTACAATTTTGATAGATTGACTATCATGGAATCTTATTTCTTTAACCGCCATTAATCCACCAGTATCTAAATTAATTGCAAGGAAAACTTGACCAAATGAACCACCACCAACGAACGATTTCTTTTGCCATCTGATGGAAACACTTGAAAAAGATGATGCTAACAATGTAACAAATTGATATTCAGAGTCAGTAACATCTAAGACTCTTCCAACTGCATGTAATTGTTCCTCTAAATCTCTTCTAGAATCTTCAACTTGCTCAAGAGCTTTCATAACATCTTCTTGATAAGCTTTGATAATGTATTCATCATCAGCAGAATTCTCAATTCTATGCCTTTGTGAAGTCCACTTAAGTAAAGTTCTCTTTTCTGCTTCACTGGATCTTGCACCCATAATATCAAAATGTGAAATAAGCAAAGACATACAGCGTGCAACTTTCAATTTCATTCGATAAAATTGGTCGTTGCTTAATACTAAAACATTGAAACCCCTAGTCATATCCATAGCAAATTCCAATGCTAAAACACAATATCTAAAAGTTCTGCGATCAGTTGGAATACAATCATCACATATAAAACTCACCCATTCAATAGATAACTGAATAAGTTTCATGATCACTGTCGATTTTCTAGATGAATCAAGATTCTTAACAGTGTTCTTACCGTAGTCTCTCGCGTAAACAAAATAATTATTTATGAGTTCTTGATATCCACCTTCTGGAGCAGTTGCTTTACACTTCTCACGAACTGTTTTCACTGAATCTAAAACTGCCAAAGACATCTTGAAGAAAGCACGATTAATCTTGGTCAATTCATGGTGAACCCTGTCTAAAGAGCATCTTTGACCAATCTTTGGAATACGTCCGCCTATTAGCAATGCTTCATCAATGGCTTCTAAAAATCTTGCCCTTACAAAATGTAAGTGATAATGAGGTAATTTGGTTATAACCAACATTTCGCCAACTTTGACATCGGTAATTGGAACTTCATCTATATGCACATTAACAACTTCACCCTCCCAAACTATAGGTTTTGCAGGACAGAGGGCTATAACATAAGCTAAGTCACCTGGGTTAGAAGGTAATGACTGACGAGCTTGGTTGAAAAGGTGAGATGGCTCCATTGGTTTAGGAAATTCATCGCTCACCACTACTTCTTCTTTATCTTCATCTAACTGAACTAATTTTAATAAATCCGAAAATTCTAAACTTGACCCCGAAGAATCAATACCAACATAGGAACCATTCAAAATCTTAACTATTTCGTGTTCATTTCCAAGTAACTCAGGACTAGCAAAAAAATAAGTACCTTGAGTTTCAACAGTACCCGTATAAACTAAGAAATGGTTACTGGCTCTCAAATTTTCCAACAACATTTTAGTACGGTTACCAGGAGAGGTAGGAATGTCAAATACAAGAGCATTACTGAAGTCACGAGAAAGTTGGCCAGTAAATCTTGCCAATTTACGACGAATTTGAGCAAAGTTTTCAGTCGTCGAAGTATACCATCTAATTAAATCTGAAGCACCTTGACTTTGTGGTGGAGTGGTTCGAATTTGGTTGTTAAAATATGCAAATAATCTTTGAACTAACTTAGAAGTTAATAATGTAATATTCTCTGCGACAACTATAGACGCACCTTCAACAAAGCTACCTAATAATTTAAGATAATTCCAAGTATCCTCTAATTCATCTGGTTCTTTGAATGTCCTAAACGTAGTTGGTGACCTTGAACTGTCGATTAACTTACGATTGAGTAAGACAAGGAAATATCTCACACACAGTAAAAGAACATTATCAAAATCCAATGTTTCATTATCGAATGGGTCACTCAATACCCAAGTTTTAGTAGCATCGGGTTTACAATACTCCATTACACCCAGCTTGACTTCAAGGGCAATGGTTATATAAGACTTGAAATCATCTATCATTTGATCGATCATCATCAATGTAGGATTATGTAATTTCCTGGCATAAGTCAAGCGAACATTGATTATTTCTTTGATCAATCTCATGGGAATATAGCATAATTGAATTAAATCATGAATATAGTCCGGTAATTTCAAAATCTCAAATATATGACCCAACCTTATATAAGTGTCTTTTGATTTAACCATCCAAGGCGCTAATGGATTAAAAATACGGCTTTTAAAAATTGTTAAGACATCTTTCTCTTTCATTAAGCGTTCTGCTAAAGATTTATTATCTTCATCGAAAATTTTTTTGACTACTTTACGATTGGATTCATCCCCTTCAATTTCTTCATCTGACCCTGGTGAAGCTAACTTTGAATCAACGGGACTCTTTGTGATATCTAGTTCATCATTACCAATCCAAACACGAAGCGAGTTCGTAGCTCTCGCAATTGCGTCTGTAATTGACAACCACGCATTCAATGCGTCGATTCGATCTTGGAATTCAGCGTCACCACAGGCTGGCTTATCGCTTCTCATCTCTTTCATAGTCATCCATAATTCACAAGCCTTCTCATAACGATCGAGAATATCAACGACTTGTTTTCTAGGGGGATTATCGATTGGATCATCATAGTTTATTTCGTACTTCAAAACATCTTCAATAAGTTGATCAACCAAAGTACGGCGATAACTAACAATCTTTCTTTGATCATCTTCAGTTCTATTGAAAAGTTTAGCACGAACCCCGAACCAAATGTTTTTTTTCAGATGAGAGTATATAAAAGACTCTTGTCCATCTTCAGCATTGTTATTGTTTATTATTTTTGTCTTTTCAGACCTCACAACATCACCGGTTAACACAGAGGTAAGCATTGATTGCCACTCCAAACGTTCTATAACAGCAGGGTCATCAGAAGTTTCTCGACTAACTTGAGAAATGTTGCGATTATTTATGTTGATATTATTACTATTTTTCATGATTGAAAATGCAAGACTAAAATCAATTTGATATTTGTCATCATCTATATCAGCTAATAAATCGCTGTTACCGGCATTAAGAACGTCTTCTTCTTCGTCATAATCATCATTTGCATTTGAATCACCTTCTTTGAATTCTTCATCTGCTCCAGTGATACCTTTCGTATAATAATCATCCACGTATTGATTCTTGATCTTTTTTAAATATGCTTTTTCTTGAGCTAAATACTGATTGTTATTGTGTAAATTGTTAGATAATGTTTGAGTCAAAGATCTTGACCGTGATCTAGATCTAGTTGAATTTGATTGACCCGAAGCAGATCCCGGATTTCCACCTGCGTTTGCATTGCTGACTTGTTGATTTGATACAACTCCAGTATTTCCTTGTGATGAGCCCAACGCATAGTTCCCACTGCTAGGGTTATTTCCTGGGTTATTATTTGATGAAGAGTTAACGTTAGAGCTTGAAGGTTGGGTACTAAGATGAGGAAAATTAGATGTTGGAGTCACCACCTTCGGGGAATTTGAGGAACTGTTGTTACCTGAGCTTGGTAAAGATCCTAGGGTATTAGTTGAATTACTGCTATGATGCTTAAGATGAAGGGAATGTAATGCACTAGGGGTTGGATTAGAAGAAGTTTGCTGTTGATTTGTTATATGAGGATGATTATGAGAAAGGGGATTATGGATGGAATTTGTTGAAGATGGATTTCTTAGTAACGATGGCCTTCTCGCTGAAGCAGCATGATTTTGATTTGTAGAATGTATTGGAATTTGTTGAGCAGAAACTTGGTCTTTATGTCCACCTCCACTTGGGGAATGAGGATTCAGACTCATACGGAAATGGAATATATATTAATGGGCTGATAGCAAGGCTTGTTAATCAATTAATAGAACTATCCTGTTTCAAAATTCTATCTGTCAATTCTCAGCTGGACCCTTTCAAGAAGGAATACCTTGATTATATGAAAGGGCTTCAATTAAGTTATAGGAGGAAAATGTCAATTTTTCCAAATAAAAGTCGAAAACTAAAGACAAAAAAAAAAAAGTTGAAAAAGAAAAGAAAATTCAGTGAGAGGTGAAAACAAAAAAAAAGTCCTCCAAATTATTGCAGGCAATTCAAAGAAAAAACTGAGGAACAATGCACGAATCGACTGGTAGGGAGACAACAAGACAACAAAAAGGCACGATCTGTCATTGACAATAGAGTCCTATGAAGCCCATTTCTTCACTTCTTTACTTTTTCAATTGAAAGCCTCACGGACTCATGTTGGGTACAATGCCAGGTCTAAAACTTTTTTTAAAAGGATTGTGAAAATTCTGTAAACTTCACAACTTATAACGGAAGAAAATGGAAATACTGTATGAGACAAGTGTTCATTACCTTCACGGCAAAACATGGTCGATCAGCTGCGGTAAAGTGATTAATGATCCTTGTTAAAACGGAGATACCAGTTGTCTATTCGAAAGGATAATAAGTTCTTGGATTGATAGTATTTTTTTATTCAATATACAATTGCAAATGTAGTGCATGAAATTAAGCCAAATGGATTGAAGAAAGCCATACCTGAGACAAACCCAGTTAAACTTCTTCTCTAACCCTTCGATGATATGTTCTTCGGCAGTAATGATGCCGCAAGATGGATTCTTTCCTGAAAATTAAGATTATGAAGAAAGTTGTTAAACCAAAGAAACCAATCACAAAGACGTGAAGACTTGCCTCTTCGACCTTTAAACTATCACTGGTAGAAGTTACTATGACAAACAATTCCTTTTCCGAAGAAGGCTTGTATTAACCATGAGCAATTGGGTTAACATTTCTAATTTTGCCTCAGCCAACCAAGCCACTAGAAACATGCTAGGTCACCATCTTTAACTGTCAAAATGACAATATGACTGGTTCTGGACAATTTTGCAACTACTCCATTCGAATCAAGTCATTTTCAAGAAGTAAAACAGCTTCATTAGTAAAAGCATTTCCTGATTCCTTCAAATCGCTAATGAAAACTTTTGATTGGATCCACCAAACATAACTTATTATCTTATTCAAAAGAGATCCTCTCCTAGCACAACTTGGGCGTTGGAAGAAGGACTTCCTGGCGGTTAAGATTGAACTGCAAAAAAGTAACCGCTCACAAATAAATTTGCAAAACCCAGGCCCGTACCGCACGAAATCAAGATTCTTTCAAATCCTCGAGACGTGTATCAAGAGTTAGTTGATCCTACTATAGCCGTCCATAAGAGTTCCTGGTAGATGCCTAGATGTCTTTGTTTGAGATGATGCTGCAACGCCCAGCGTTTGCACATATCACCACATCAATACCAACACTTGACTCTATGATCCCGGTCGACTCATTGAGCTCGGGAATATTCGACTTGCAAAGCGTCCCCAGCTTAAATGCTGTTTATTCGATACTTTGTTCTATAATTGTATCGCATATATCGCATGATCCTTTGACGAATAAGGTTATAATAATAGATACGTTGAATACTTTCCCCTGGAAGCTTTTGAGCAAGCAATCTAAATACGAGTCTTCGTATCAAGGTCAAATCATATGGCATAGAATCAATCGATTTAGTAATCTTCTTCAGTTTTTCATAGCAGAAAATGGTATCCAGTCTGAAGTGGCTAAAGGGTCGACTCTAATCATCATCAATGATTTCCACGATTTGTTGGAATTGTACCGACTCGAAACCTGGTCCTGTTATAAAGAGAAACTACTCAAATCTCATATAACACGAAATAGCTCTGCTTTGAATAATCGGGAAAGGTTAGCGGAAGATGCTCAATTCAAGATTTCAGATCCAATTCCGTCTAACTCAGATTTGCTAAATATACATCCATCAACTAAAAGTGATGCACATATATATCAAATGTTTGACTCAATCTCTAAATTTTCTGTTCATTCAGATCTGCTTGTATTTTTGGTTGGAGCCTTGGCTACCAAATTCAAGAAGTACACTCTGCTCAAGACAAATTCACACCCACCGTCATCCACCACCAACTCTCAACTAACGTCATCGTCTGCTTATGAGAATTATGGTGGAAGAATGTATTTTCTACCGTCTCAGACTAGTGCAACTTTCCAAACTAAGAATGGATCAAACACGGTTGAATCTCTCTTAACTTCCCGCCTTATTTTTTATAAAGATTGGTTTAGTGAATCAAGAACTAAATTTCATGATTCTCAGCTCAAAATGGTTTTTGCAACACAGGTGACGAACTTTCGTGTCATAGGAATTAACGAACCGGTTTACTTTGATTATAACGACAAATCGGGTGACTCCATCTTCACCGATTTGTCCAACCATTCTCAGACTTCCTCCCATAGACCGTTATTATCTACCACCCAGTCTAGACCAACACCTAGGGCTAACAGCATGACCAGAGGCGACACCGTGGCTGACCTGAAGCAAGCAGACTCCCACTTCCCCGAGCATATTACATCAACCCCAAATTTCAGACCCCGGCAGCTTCCTTCGTCTCCAAACATGACATCCAGCCAAAGAAAAGAATTCTTCTCGAGTGACTGCGACCAAGAAACAACTGTTGGCGAAGCGAGAAATGGCACTGGTGAAGCGGATCACTCCTCCGACGACCTGGTCATTGAAGCCTCCGATAACGAGTCAGATCAGTCCATACTTCTTCTCCGTTAGTCTGTCAATGGTTTTTTGCAATATCAAAACCTGCACATACTTTTTTTTTTTTTTTTTTTTGCATTTTTTTTTTTTTTCAAGCATCTCATCTATCTTTTTTTCGAAATACCGAATTTAAGACTCTACTTATCAAAGTGAATCGAATAGACTATACCTCGATCACATAATGGCAACCCTTGTACCGCCACCATCCAAAAAACAAAAGAAAGAAGCACAACAGGTGCGTGATGTTGACTTGGTCCCGGAAGATTTGCCCAATGTTCTCATCAAGTTTCAAGCATCGGATACCGGAGAATCAGTAGGTGGATCAATTAGAGTCCCCGGTGGTATCAGTGAAAAGCAACTTGAACAACTTTTAAATCAGCTTAATGGTGAAACCGATGAGCCGGTTCCATATAGCTTTTCCCTTTTAAATAAGAAGAGTGAAGATGATACTGATCCCAAGCTTATTGATATTAATGATAATTTATATAATTCTGTTTTAAAACCAGGTATTAAAACCACCGAAGATTTCATGACTTTAGTGTATACTCCCAGAGCAGTTTTCAAAGTCAAGCCTATATCGAGGTCCAATGCTGCCATTGCAGGACATGGGTCCACCATATTGTGTTGTCAATTTGCACCTAATAACTCTGGAAGAATGTGCTCAGGTGCCGGAGATTCCACTGCTCGTATTTGGGATTGTAATACCCAAACTCCACTTGCAACTTTATCCGGACATACTAATTGGGTTCTTGTTGTTTCATATTCACCATGTGGAAGCATGATTGCCACCGGTTCTATGGATAACACCGTCAGATTATGGGATGCTGAACTGGGTAAGCCTTTGGGAGGGCCATTGCTTGGGCACGGGAAATGGATCTCCAGTTTGACCTGGGAACCATTGCACTTGGTTAAAAAGGGAGAAACACCCCGTTTGGGTTCCGGTTCTAAAGATGGAACCGTTAAAATTTGGGACACTTCAAGAAGAGTCTGTTTACTCACAATGAGTGGACATACCAACGCGGTTTCGTGTGTTAAATGGTCTGGTTCAAATATCTTATATAGTGGTTCTCATGATAAAACCATCAAAGCATGGGATATATCTGCCAATGGTAAATGTATACAAACATTGAAAAGTCATGCTCATTGGGTAAACCATTTATCTATTTCCACCGATTATGCTATGCGCAAAGGTGGGTTTAATTATGAATCAACTTTCAAAACACCAAAGGAATCAACCCCAGAAGAATTGAAGGCCAACGCTACTCAAGAATATGAAAAAGTTGCTAAATTAGGTGGTAATATTAATGAACGTATTGTCACTGCTAGTGATGATTTCACTATGTATTTGTGGGAACCTTTGAAATCTTCCAAACCGGTTTGCAGAATGACTGGTCATCAAAAACTCGTCAACCATGTTTCTTTCTCGCCTGATGGCCGTTATATAGTATCAAGCTCTTTTGATAACTCAATCAAAATATGGGATGGTTTAAAAGGTACCTTTATTGGTACTTTGAGAGGTCACGTTGCTCCAGTTTACCAAACTGCTTGGTCTGCTGATAACAGGCTCTTGGTCAGTTGCTCCAAAGATACTACATTGAAAATTTGGGATATCAAAACTAGAAAATTAAAAGTTGATCTACCCGGCCATTCTGACGAAGTTTACGCAGTAGACTGGAGTATCGATGGTAAAAAAGTCGCCAGTGGTGGTAAAGACAAAATGATCCGATTATGGTCTCATTAAATGTACATTAATTCTTTCACAGTCCAAAGATCCTGTACTTTGTTCAAAGATCTTATACTTTGTTCAAAGATCTTGTAGTTTGTCTCTCTGGCTGCAACGTAGACATCACTAAATTTTTATTAGACACCGCCGCTGAATCCTGCACACACCTCGCTCTTTCAACTTTTCAGAAATCAACGGGAGAAAAAAAGTTAGTACGGAACAGAAGGATATCTCTTCAGACTAGTTGTCTTTTTCAGATTAAGAATTTGGATTTAGCCATTAGGTACGAAGTCTTGTCGATTGGATTCGATTATTGGAAAGGTTATTGATCGATTACTTGAATCATGGCTATTGTGAAAAGAGGTGGTCGTAATAAAGCTAAGCAGCAACAAGCACCCGCCAAAAGTGGGATTAAAAAGGCCGAATTTGATCTTCATAAGAAGAAAGAAGTTGGTGTTTCTGATTTAACGTTGTTATCAAAGATTAGTGATGAAGCAATTAATGAAAATTTACATAAAAGATTCATGAATAGTACAATCTATACTTATATTGGACATGTGTTGATTTCGGTGAATCCATTTCAAGATTTAGGAATCTACACTTATGAAAATATGCAAAAATATAAGGGGAAGAATAGATTGGAGGTTCCTCCTCATGTTTTCGCTATTGCAGAAACCATGTATTATCATTTAAAATCATATGGTGAAAATCAGTGTGTAATTATTTCTGGTGAATCAGGTGCAGGTAAAACTGAAGCTGCTAAACAAATCATGCAATATATTGCTAATGTTTCTGTGGATGATCAGGCTGCAAGTGGTAATATCACAAGAATCAAAGATATGGTTTTAGCTACCAATCCTTTATTAGAATCATTTGGTTGTGCTAAAACTTTAAGAAATAATAATTCTTCAAGACACGGGAAATATCTTGAAATTCAGTTTGATCCTTCTAATTATCAACCAATTGCTGCTCATATTACCAATTACTTGTTGGAAAAACAAAGAGTTGTTTCTCAAATTACTAATGAACGTAATTTTCATATTTTTTATCAATTTACTAAACATTGTCCTCCTCAGTATAAACAACAGTTTGGTCTACAAGGACCAGAAACTTATATTTATACTTCGGCAGCAAAATGTATAAACGTGGATGGTGTTGATGATAATAAAGATTTCCAAGATACCTTGAGAGCGATGCAAACAATTGGACTTCAACAACATGAACAAGATAATATCTTTAAAATGTTGGCAGCCATCTTATGGATTGGTAATATTTCCTTTGTTGAAGATGAAAGTGGTAATGCTGCAATTAGAGATGAGAGTGTTACCAAATTTGTTGCTTATTTATTAGACGTTGATGCGGAAATTTTGAAGAAAAGTATAATAGAAAGAGTCATGCAAACTTCTCACGGTATGAGAAGAGGTTCAACTTATCATGTTCCTTTAAATATTGTTCAAGCTTCTTCTGTCCGTGATGCTTTGGCTAAAGGTATCTATAATAATCTTTTCGAATGGATTGTGGAAAGAGTTAATCTTTCTTTAGAAGCTCAAAATCAATCCGTTGAAAAAAAATCTATCGGTATTTTGGATATTTATGGTTTTGAAATTTTCGAACAAAATTCTTTTGAACAGATTTGTATTAATTATGTTAATGAAAAATTACAACAAATTTTTATCCAATTAACTTTGAAAGCTGAACAAGATGAATACGTTCAAGAACAAATCAAATGGACTCCGATTGATTATTTTAATAATAAAGTTGTTTGTGACTTAATCGAAGCCACAAGACCTCAACCAGGTTTATTTGCTGCTTTAAATGATTCAATTAAAACTGCTCATGCGGATTCTGACGCCGCTGATCAAGTTTTCGCTCAAAGATTAAGTATGGTTGGTGCAAGTAATCGCCATTTCGAAGACCGTAGAGGTAAATTTATTATTAAACACTATGCTGGGGACGTTACTTATGAAGTTGCTGGTATGACTGATAAAAATAAAGATAGTATGTTACGTGATTTATTAGAAGTCTTATCTACCTCTTCTAATCAATTTATAAGCGTATTATTTCCTCCAGAATTATTAGCTGCTTTGACTGATTCTAAAAAAAGACCAGAAACCGCATCAGATAAAATAAAAAGAAGTGCTAACTTATTGGTTGATACTTTATCTCAATGTCAACCTTCATATATCAGAACAATTAAACCAAATCAAACAAAAAGACCTAAAGAATATGATAATCATCAAGTTTTACATCAAGTCAAATATTTAGGGTTAAAAGAGAATGTTCGTATTAGAAGAGCTGGTTTTGCTTATCGTACTACTTTTGATAAGTTTGTCCAAAGATTTTATCTATTATCTCCTGCTACTGGTTATGCTGGTGATTATATTTGGCAAGGTGATGATATCACTGCAGTTAAAGAGATTTTGAGATCTTGTCATATCCCTGATTCTGAATTTCAAATGGGTACCACTAAAGTTTTTATTAAAACTCCAGAAACCTTGTTTGCTTTGGAAGATATGAGAGATAAATATTGGCATAACATGGCTGCAAGAATTCAAAGAGCTTGGAGACGTTATATTAAAAGAAAAGATGATGCTGCCAAAACCATCCAAAGAGCTTGGAGAGTTAAAAATCATGGTAATCAATTTGAACAGTTCCGTGATCAAGGTACTAAGTTACTTGGTGGTAGAAAAGAACGTCGTAGAATGTCCATGTTAGGTTCTCGTGCCTTTATGGGAGATTACCTTGGATGCAATGACTCCACTGGGTATGGTAAGTTTATTGTTAATCAAGCTGGTATTAGTGAACGAGTCAGCTTTTCTGCTAAAGGTGAAATTTTATTATCTAAATTTGGTAGATCATCTAAAAGATTACCAAGAATCTTCATCTTAACGAAAAACAGTCTTTATGTTGTTGCTGAAGTATTGGTTGAAAAACGTTTACAATTACAGAAAGAATTTGTCATCCCTATTGGTTCTTTAAATTATGTTGGATTGTCCCTGCACCAAGATAACTGGATTGCCTTGTCTTTGCATTCACCTACTCCAACCACCCCTGATATTTTTATTAATTTAGATTTCAAGACTGAATTATTGGCTCATTTAAAGAAGATTAACCCAGGATTGGTTATTAAGATTGGCCCAACTGTTGAATATCAAAAGAAACCAGGTAAATTTCACGTTGTAAAATTTGTTGTTGGAAATGATCCAACCATTCCGGAATACGGTGATCATTATAAATCCGGTACTGTCACTGTTAGACAAGGTTTGCCTCCATCTGCCTCTAATCCTAAGAGGCCAAGGGGAGTTAGCAGTAAAGTAGATTACAGTAAATACTATAATAGGGGTGCTAATAGAAGAGTAGCAAATAATTATTCGGCTCCTACTCCTGTTTCCAGACCAGGTATTCAACAACAACCTCAATCTTATATTCCACCTGCTCCTCAAATGCAACAACCTGTTGCACAACCCGTTGCACAACCTGTTGTAACCCCACCAGCTCAAAGACCAGCTCAACGTAAGGTTCCACCTCCAGCCCCAGCTTTCCCGCAACAACAAACCGCTCAACCACAACAAACTAGTAAGCCGGTTGCACCTCCACGTCCCCAAAAGAAGGCTGCTCCTACTCCCCCAGCGAAGAAGTCTGCTCCACCACCACCACCTCCTCCTCCAGCCCTCTCTTCCGCTCCTAAACCCAAGCATCCAACCTACAAAGCATTGTACGACTATGATGGGTCCGTCAGCGGCTCTGTTCCTCTTGTCAGGGACAATGTTGTCTATGTTGTAAGCACCAATGGTAAATGGGGGTTGGTCAAGGACTTGCAAGAAACACAAGAAGGTTGGGCTCCTTTAGACTACATGACTCCTTGCGACCCCCCTGCTAGTTTATTCGGTAATGGGTCCGCTGCCAAAGCAACTCCGCCACCAGCTCCACCAATGGCTGCTTCAGCTCAATCTACTGCCTCGGCCACCGCCAATGGTGGTGGTGCAGGCCTTGGTAATGGTTTGGCCGATGCCCTCAAGGCAAAGAAGACTGAAGAAACCACTTTGGCGGGCTCTTTAGCGGATGCCTTGAAGAAAAGACAAGGTGCCACTAGAGACGATAGTGATGAAGAAGATGCAGATGACGACGACGATTGGTGATTTCCCTTTCTTCATATGTTTCCTCTCCCATTACTTGTGTAAATTACAGTTTCAATACTATTATAGATATAGTCATATGTATATGTATATACATCTTATATATATATATATTTGCAGTTTGCGTTTCTTTGTCTCTTCCCTGCTCTATTCTTGTTCAAGTTTGTATTATTAAAAGTTCCAAAATCTTTATTCTACTTCCTCACAGAAGTGCCCTATGAATATAATCACTACTAAAAGCACTTTTGGAATAACCTTCTTTGTAATGCGCTGGCACATTCGTCTATGGTTTAAACTAAGATAAAGACTTTTGCATTAGTTACTATTTTTTCTTTCTATGAGAATAGTGTCACAGAATGTTTGACTGCTTGTGCGACAGAACAATCCTCTCTTTTTTTTTCCCGATCGATTCGTTGATTACCCGCTAGATGTATATAGATAGATATATGTTTATTCTGAAGCATTGGATTTGAATCGGAAGTTAGCTGAAGCAAAATGTCGAAGCTTAAGAATAGAAACAGTCTTTTATCGTCTCATAATAGGACGTCGTTCTCAAATAGTACGAAGGAAGAAATTCTTTCTATGAAATACCTGATGGAGAGACCTGATGCTGCATTATATCCATTGAATTATCAAGACGCCATGAAAAGTGGGGGTGATACGACGGTTGCTAATAAGAAGGATGATAATTCGGATTCCGTTAACATATACCCAGACTATGAACCTTGGAAAGACCATAATCATTTGCCGAGCGATAAGGCTGAATCGGAGAAAGAACGTATGAATAATGCTACTTTTTTGAATAAGGGATCTTTTGAAGCACCACAAGTGTCAAATGAATATTACTCTTCAAGAAATTTGATTCAGGCTACCATTTTTTCATCTACGGCCAACTGTAATAATATTTTGAAGGAATTATCGCAACATCTTACTAACGCATATAAAACAAGAGATGAAGTTATTAACAAGATCACTTATGAGTCTAATAGTTTCAAGATACCTCCTCGTGTGACCCTCACCACTCTGAAAAAGGAATCGTGGTTGAAAGATTTGGCAAATCCAAATATTCCTTTACTGAAAATTTCCAATAAACTTCCTCATGGAATCAAGAATAAAACTTTGGTTGATACTTTGAGCTCTAAAAATGTTCCAATTACAAGAGCAATTTGGTTCACGAAATGTACATTATATAGCGAGTTGATGATACTCAGAAGGAAAATCCAATCTAAACAACTGACTCATGCTAGCCCCCATCCCAATCCTCGTTTTGGCCAATCTCCAGAATATATCGAGTCCCAATGGTTACAAGAATGGACCCAGCAAGTGGTTGATTACGTATATAAATTCTCAAAAGAAATGTCTTATATAAACTCTCCAGAGAAAAAACAATTATTTAATTCAAAACTTGGCTATTTGCTTACTTATTTGAAAACTTTATACATTGAATGTTTGCTAGATAAAGAATATTTTATTTCTAATATATTGAGGTTTTTAAGAGATGGTCTACCTCTTGAACCTCAAAATATTTCTCAAATGTTAGCGGTAAATCGTTCGGATAATGATGAAAATATAAGTGATCTGTTTCCCATTGAAATTACAATTGATTATGGAAGAACTTTGGTTGCTTTAACTTTGGTGAAAATTTTCTGGAAAGAAATCCTTAAACTCGATTATTTATGTAAAGAATTAAGTGAACTTTTACTTTTTAATTATTATTTTATTCTGAAAGTACCGGCTCATTCAACAAAATCAAGTCATAAAACTAATGAAAAGACTGCATTACCTTCAAATTTAAAACAAAAAATCTTACTGCATATTTCTGATTCAGTCGAATATTTATTCAAATATAATACGAACGTGTTCATCATTCCTAATTATTGGATGTTGATAAATGAAGTACTCTATAATATACTTTTGGGTAGTCAATCTCTTAATACTAACGATCAGGATCGTGAAGAAATTGAAAGACAACTCAAATTGATAAATTATAGAAATGAAAGTTTGATGTTAAATATGAGACACTTATCTCAAACTTCTAATTCGATTGAAATGGCTCCACCTTCTTCCAATAATCGATTACCTGCTAAAAGAAATTCTTTTTTAAACGCATCAATTGGTGGTCTGCCATTCACAGTCTCTCCATCAACTTCAAATCTCAATAACCAAAATAACCATGCTATTCAAGAAAATCATGAAAGTGGAGATCATACATTTATAAATAGAAGAAATTATGATAGCTTGAAAATTATTGAACAATTCGATAGACTTCAATTAAATGATGAGCTTGCATCATACTTGAGACCCAAACCTGATAATTGGCCTAACTCAAATACTTGGAGATCTAATTTGAAGTTGACAATTTATTGGTGTATTACCAATAATAGAGATCATCGAAAATCAAGTGAAGAAATTTTAATTATCTGTAATTTTCTAAAAAGAAATGTTTTACAAAAACTAAGTGGTAAGAATACTAATAATTGGAAAGCTGAATTTGAAAATGAAATCATGGAAATTATTTACGAAGTTGTGGATAAACATGATGAAGAAGTTAATTATTATTACTTGTATGTTTTGATTAATGAATTATATCAATTAAAAGTTATTGCAATTTCATCATATTTGAGAAAATTAATTGCATCAGGAATTTTTTATATAACTCCAGGTACCAATACTGATTTACCGGAAGGATCTAAATACAATAGACAAGTTGATATCCATTTATCTATCCTTAGAAATCTTCCTGTTTTAAACAATAAACAGTGCAATAGCATTTTACAAAAGTGGACACCACAAGGGTTTAATTTCAATGAAAAATTTGAAAAGGGTAAACAGGTTTTGCAAGAACAAATCATCAATAAGTTATTGAATAATTCTTTTGATGATAATATTGAACAGAATATGGATTATATCAAGGAACTTAATGTTGGACTCAAGTTTATGCTTGTTAATTGGATTACCACTAATCTTAAAAATAGCATTAGTAATTCTCCAAGGTTGATACATGTAACTCCATCCATAATTGCTAATATCTATAATTTTTATTCACTTTGTGATAATTTAACAGTTTTTTTCAAAGTATTTGTCAGATTTATCTTAAGAAATGAAGGTAAAATTATTATTTTTTATCTTGACTCCTTATATTTTATTTCGAAATTGATTATAAGACATTTTAAACTTGTCAAGTTTATTGCCGGTAATAACTATGAGTCTGCTAATACAGGATATGATTTATTTAAATTAACCATTATTAATTATAAAGATCTTCAAAATCGTGATACTGACTACTTTAGATTTCATGACGTTTGGAATTTCATAAATAGGGCAGTTGAAAATTCCGAAGCTACATTCAATAATGGGACGTCAATTTCTAAAAATAATCCATTATATGCTAAAGAGATGGTTGACTCGCCAATGAAGATACACATGCAAGAAAATAATAAAGTCAATGAAAAATATAGTGCTGAGGATTTCAGAAATGATTTGGAGGTATTAATTGAGACACCTGCTAAACTAATGAGTCAAGATGAGATAAATGATGCCTTATCAGTTATAGAATCCATGAATGTTGATGTCAATGCATTCAAGGACTTGAAAAGGGCAAAAGAGTCTGTGATAATAATTTCTGAATTTATGTTGAAGAATGGAACGCATCTAAATGAACGTCAAGAAATAAGTTTGTTTAAATTGTTGATCAATTTGAGCAGAATTTTAGAAGCCGAACAACCCCTGTTATTCATGGATCAATTACAAACTCATATAATTGAATCAATTAAGGTGACAGAAGAGGTTCAACAACTTATCATTCATTTCAAAAAAATGCTCATCTATGAAGTTTTGCAAATACGTGACTTGATCATGATATTTCAAAAAGGCTTTGGTAATAAAGATACAGGGTTTCAAAAGAAATGTAATATACTTATCTATGACATTTTTTTCGAGACTCAAACTAGTTTGGAAAGACAATATTTACTTAATCATCAAATTTTATTTTTGGAAGTGCTTCGATATTTTTATAATATAAAAGATGGTACGTCTGAGCTATTAATTGCTTCTAAAGCTTTAAAGGAGGATCAAAAAGAATCGATTTATCAATCCTATATACTTGAGAATTATAAGCAAGGTGTCTATGCTGTTTTAAAAAATTCTTTTTTTTTGCATACTAAACTTACAATTGATACATTGACTAAGCAACTTGATACGGATAGTATCATTGATATATGTAACGACTTGTTATATCTGAAAGCAAATCCGATCTCTAGCAAAGAAGATACTTTCAAATTAATGAAGATAATCAGTGAGTTTAATCTTCCAATTGTTCAATGTTTATTAAAAGCAATTACTAGCAAAGAATTTCTGACGATCACAGAAGAAAATCTTCAAGAAACTATCGAACAATTTGTTGAAATGGTTCTAGATAATTTAAACTTTCAATTTCTTTCCTATAACTCTTATTTTGGTGAACTTTTCAATTATTTAAATTGGAGATATAAGGTGAAAGTTTTCAATACCCTTGAAAATCTATTTTTATGTAACACGGTATTCAATTTTTTCAGCGGAGAACCAACCGATCTTAATAAATCAGATGAAGATATTTATTTAAGAAGGAAAGGATCATCGATGAATTTATTACCAGTTTTCAAAGATTATTTCAAAAAATTCTCAGTATCCTCTATGGACGATATACCATCTTCATATAAATTTTTCCAAGACTTATCAAAGTTTTTACTTAAATTGGTACATGCAGTGAATTCTGATGTTGCTCTTGAAAATAAAAATAGTGGGTACTTGGGAGATAGTATATCAATTTTCTTGAGAATCTTGATAATTCATAAAATATCCTTAACTTCCATAATCGTTCGCCATGACGGGGAACAATTCACTTTTATCAAGAATTTAATCTCGTTACTCAACTCGAGGTTTTTATCGACTAAAAGTGAAAAGTTGAAAATTTTACTTTACGACTTGCTCTTGCTCATGAAAAGTTCCTTAACTACTGCATTAATCGACATTAATGATACAAGTTTGGGTGATAGTACGTCGCCGGCTTTGAATATCACTAATAACATGAGTCCTGCTCCCACCGACGAAACAATCAAGATGAATGTTGACGGTGTTCCAGTAAATGACCATCTCAATCAACCCCCATACTCAAAACCTTCCGCTTCTGGCTTACCTCTTGTTTCCTCAATGTTTAATCTCCCTGAACCAAATAATACTAATCCGTTCAAAGACTGTATAGATGACTCCAAGGTTGCCAGCTCAATCATGCTAGACGAACAAGAATTAACCCAAGATGGTGATATCCATAACGTGAACAACTCGGACCTTATCCTTGTATCCACTAGAAGAGACACTGTTTCTTTCTCAAGCGCATTTGGTCTCCTAGAAGGCAGTAACGTTCAACAACCAACCGCTTCTCGTCAATTCTCTTTGAAAAGTTATCAGCTCTTGGAAGAAGCAGGGAATGCCGTCAATGACGGCTGCATCAACCTCCTGCTTTTCGACGCATACACCACTAAAGAAAACATTCCTTAGAACCTTTGGGTATAGCATAAATAGTACTCTTGTAAATTTAAATTTTTTCAGTTGCAAAATATCTTACCCCATAGTAGAAAAAAAAAAAAAGTTTTTTTTTCGCTCGCTTCCCTATACTTTACCCTTTTGTCCCTTTATAATTTTGATGGAACACGTCAGGTTAAAAAAAGGTACAGAGCTTTGAAATTGTTTATATTTTCATTTAATTTTGAATCCATACGGTCTTTATTTTTTAATTGTGGTCAACTTAGCAAACCCACAAAAGCAGCAAGTTCTTTCTCGTCTAACCTAGTACTGCAGCACGAAGCGCAACCTCCATAATACGAACGGAAACTGTTTTGAATAGAAGATAAAATCTTTTTGAAAAACCTAGGAAAATGGGTTCGGATTTCGATAAAGAAAATAACTTTAATGGTTATAATCGAGGACCATCGATTCTTGTTGAAGAAATGAATGAAGAAGTGGTATCAGAAGGCTCTGACGTTGAGTCAGAAGAAGATCAGAAGATGATGGAGTCATCAATTGCATCAAAATCCCGTTACCAAAACGGTATTACTACTGCTACCAATGATAATGACTTGAAAGATTCTTTTAAACAGCCACCAGATTTAAGGTATCTAGCTAGTGCTAATTTTTCATCTGAGTCTTTGTCAGAACCGGAATCAAACTCTGTTGGACCTCCACCTCCATTAGCATTGAATTATTCTACATTCCTGAATATGAATGGATCTCCAATTACCCCAACTTATAATACGTTTTCTGCTAACACACCTTCAATGCCGTATAGTCCAGTTGGGCTTTCGAATGGTATGGGAGGAGCTCCTCTGCATCGTAGAAGATACTCTAACTCTTCTCTAACTAACTCTCCAATTACCCAACCCTCTGCATCGGCCAATTCTAGAGCTTCCCGTCCAAGACCAAAGTCTGCAATTTTCATGATGGACTCCAATCACTATCCAATTTCAGAACATGGTAGTCCCATCCAATCTCCGATACAGAATAATAATCCTAGAGCAAGAAACTCGATACACTTTTCGGGCCGAACTAATTATATACCTACTTCAAATGGATCCATCAGTAACCTTCCTTCCAGAAATAATTCACCCACTAGGTCTACGTCTCCTTCAAGATCTGGCCGTCAATTCAGATCAAAATCTCCAGTAAGAAGATCAAACTCGCCGGTGAAATACCTGCCTTTCAATTTCAAACCTCAAGAAGTTATGATGCATAATAATAATTCAAATGGATCCTTGTCAGTTAAGCCTGCTCATAGAAAAGGTCATAAATATAAACATTCTTCTGTTTCGATGAATTTATTTCAAGAACCACCGCCAGCTTTGGTGGTGAATAATCAACAAGCAGCAATTCCTGATCTGTACCCCATTCCTAATTTTACCGAATCTTTAGGCTCGATCAAACCCCATCAGAAACTTAAATTAGGACTTTCATCTTGCCATTTTTTCCTATCGGTTATTGTTTTCTTGGTTGGTTATCATTTTAAACTTCCTTCATTTTCAACTTTGGCCCATTTGGTTTTTTATGACTCTTTGGGCTCCCTTATCATTGTTTTCGTTGATATAATGTCCAACTTTGAGGTTTGGAATAATTCATCGATTGCATATCCGTTCGGTTTGGGTCGTTTGGAAGTCTTGGTAGGTTTTGCTCTTAGTGCTTCATTAATTATGGTGGGTTGTGATCTTGTAAGCCATTTTTTGGAAGAATTCGTTATTAACTGGGTGGTGGTGGATACTGATCAAAATGAACAACATCTGTCTCATCACATTCATGGAGATCATGATGGTGATGAAACAAATTGGATCATTTATCAATTTGTGTTATTTTTAGTGGTTGGGGTTACACTAATCACTTCAAAATATATATATTCTCTGGATAGAATTGGAGAAATGATTTCTTCAACTGATAACCAAACCCCTAATACTAACTCTAAAATTGATAAATTAACTAAAGGGAAAGGTGGTCTACTTGACGAAGATGATTCTAAGAAAGCTGAGCATGACTCCCTTTTCAGTAAGCTAGAAGGCTGGTGGTATTACTTATCCAAAAATCCAACTAGATTATTGACATTACTCTACGCCTTTTATTTAGTGGTATCTCCCCTTTTACCAGTGTCCGTTGTATCGGAAATTGGCTTCGACATCGATGAGGCTACTACTTTGGCTGTCGCTCTGCTTTTGTGTTTTAGTGGATGGAAGCTAGTCAAAGCTTTGGGCAGTATTCTTTTATTATCATACCCTCATTCGGATTATGATTATCATAATTTGAAATCATCCATCATCGACAAGATCTTAACTTTGGATTGCTATAAGCAAACCTATAATTTAGAGAAACTATTCATTACCAAATTCAACTACCAGCTCTTCGTCATTGGAATTAAAATTACAATGAAGAATGCTAACGTCGACGATGAGTCAAGATTAAGATTCGAAGTTAACAGACTTGTAAAATCTTGCTTGGAAAAAGCCGACTACACGGGGAAATCTAGCAACATCGAAATCACGATCGACACCACTCGTATCTAGCCCTCAAACCTTATATATTCGTATATATATCTATATATATTAGTTGTAAAATAGATTAAGTTATTGCAAATTCGTCTTCCGGAGTCTCAGTGCTCTTCCGGATTAGGTAATTCTATGACTAATTCTCTGACACCCGCGGTGTGAAAATTTTCAATGAAATCCCATTCTTTTTCTGGGAAAACTATTTAAACCAACTTTCTTGCAAATAACAACCCCGAAAGCTTTATAATTGGGTTATTAGCTTATCGATAAGTGATTGGAATATTTACTGCAAAGTGGACTAGTGAAATTATCAAAAGGTACAAGAAATTTCGTTATGATTAGATCAATTAGTGCTAAATGTTTAAGAACTAGATTAGTTGGTTCAAAGCAATGTTTCTCTACCACTACCAGAGTCTTTAATTCGTCTACTGGTATTCCCGATGCTACAGAAGAATCTCATACTGGTCAGTATATCAATACCATTACCAAGCCATACACTGCCACCACTTATGCTCGTCCTAATGTTGTTATCACCCATGGGAAAGGGTCACATTTGTATGATTTGGAAAATCGCCAATACATTGACTTTACTGCAGGTATTGCAGTAACGTGTTTGGGACATTCAGATCCTGAAATTACTAATATCATTAGTGAACAAGCCAAAACATTGATTCATTGTTCCAACTTATATTATAATCTTCCTGCTGGAGAATTACTGTCAAAGTTAGTTCATAAAACATTACAAGCTGGAGGAATGAAAGATGCACAAAGGGTGTTTTTATGTAACTCAGGTACTGAAGCCAATGAAGCTGCATTGAAGTTTGCCAGAAAACACGGTAAGAATATTAATGAAGAAAAAACTGAAATAATCACATTTAATAATTCATTCCACGGTAGATCAATGGGGGCATTATCAGTGACACCAAATCCTAAATATCAAGCACCTTTTGCTCCTTTGATTCCAGGAGTCCAAGTGGCTGATATTAATGATATCAAAAGCGTGGAAACGTTAATGAAAAAGGATAAAACCTGTGCCGTTATCATTGAACCAATTCAAGGTGAAGGTGGAGTTACCCCAGTTGATTCCGAATTCTTGGTTGCATTGAGAAAATTATGTGATGAAAATGATGTTGTATTAATCTATGACGAAATTCAATGTGGTTTAGGACGTACCGGTAAATTATGGGCACATTGTGATCTCCCACAGGAAGCTCATCCAGATATTTTAACCATGGCTAAAGCCTTGGGTAATGGTTTCCCAATTGGTGCAACCATGATCAGTGAAAAAATTGAAAAATCTTTAAATGTCGGTGATCATGGTACTACTTACGGTGGTAATCCATTGGGTGCTAAGATTGGTTCTTACGTTGTTGATAAAATAAGTAAACCAGAATTTTTGGAATCAGTTAATCAAAAGGCTGAAAAATTTAATAAAAAATTAACTGCAATCGCTGAAAATTATCCAAATATCATTACTTCAGTTAAAGGTAAAGGTTTATTGATGGGTCTTCAATTCAAAGAAAACGTCGATATCGCCAGTATCGTTTCCCAATGTAGACAGCACGGTTTACTTGTGATTACGGCTGGTATGAACGTCATTAGACTCGTTCCTGCTTTGAACATCCCGGATGACGTAATTCAAGATGGTCTCAACATTCTAAGCAAATGTCTTGACGATAGTTTGGCCAAATACAAAATTGAAGACCCCCTGACCAAAAACTAAACTTCTCTCATATTATAGACTCCAATATATGTATTTTAATCGTATTAAGTATCTTTTAATCGTATACTTTTAGTAAGTGAGAATTTTTTTGAACAAATTCTGCTATTGAAAGAAAAAAAAAAAAATTTAGAATTAAAAAAACTGAAAAAATTCATCGTTAGTCGAGTAATTAAACTGAATAACATCGAGTTATATTCGATTTGAAGAAGGGATTTGACTTTGATCCGGTACCACACCCTACCCTTGGCTGCATTGGTATACTTTTCCAGTTAAATCGGACACAAACGCTGATCAGATCGCGATTATCTATCTCTCGACTCATATATTCGGATCGATTAAATATAACACAATAATATTAACAGCATAGTTTGTTAGAATCAAAACAAGCAGTACAGCTATCTGGATATAAGCAGATGTTGTTTTTTTTGGTGGAACCAACAAGATTGAAAATAATTCTACAAAATGACAGTTCCATTCAGGATTCCTACTACTGATTTGGATTATTGTTTAGAACAACTTTTAGAACATAAACCTCCCAAGATTTTACCGTCAGATACTATTCAGCAATTATGTCATACTTTGAAAAGTCAGTTGTTGGCAGTCCCCAATATCATGCCACTCCAATCACCCATAACGGTAGTGGGGGACATTCATGGACAGTATCATGATCTTTTAGAGATTTTTCAAATTGGTGGATCACCACCTAATACCAATTATTTATTTCTAGGCGATTACGTTGATAGAGGATACTATTCTGTGGAAACAATTTCCTTGTTGATTGTTTTGAAATTAAGGTATCCTGAACGGATTTTTTTAATTCGTGGTAATCATGAATCGAGAACAATTACAACCAATTATGGGTTTTATTCTGAAGTTTTAAGTAAATATAATGGGTCTATTGAAGTTTGGTCCTATATAACCGATTTATTTGATTATTTACCATTGGGTGCTACTATAGATGGGAAAATTTTTGCTACTCATGGAGGATTATCACCAAGTTGTCAACAATTAGATCAAATTAGAACCGTTGATCGCTTAAAAGAAGTTCCTCACGATGGTATCATGGCAGACTTGGTCTGGTCTGACCCTGATCCAGAAATTATGGATTTTAAATTATCTCCAAGAGGTGCAGGTTATTTATTTGGCTATGATGTTATGCAAAAATTTTGTCATGATAATGATTTAGTACAATTAATTCGAGCCCATCAATTGTGTAATGAGGGCTACGTTAGTTATTGGCAAGGCAAGTGTCTAACAGTGTGGTCTGCTCCAAATTACTGCTATAGATGTGGTAATAAGGCTAGTGTTTTGGAAATTTTAAGCTCAAATTACCTGAGTAAAGAATCAGATTCTAATGGATTAAAAGGTAAAGTAAATAAACAAGGTGTGCTACCCGGTCAATACTTCAATGTTTTTGAAGCCTCTCCAGAAAATAACGAAGATACTTCCAGTGGTAAGAGTGTTAATGGTATCAATTCAATCGATAATAACACTGGTGAAAGAGACATTTTCCAAAGCTTCTTCCAGGAGAAACCCAATAGACAATACATTGACTATTTCTTATAGCCTTCTTCCATTATGACCCAATATTCATTCAGCATTCTTTTTGCATTATTCATGTCCCGTTTTTTTCATTCGTTGGCTTGTATTATTACTTTCATTTCATCTACACGCATATCTTAATTTCTTTTCATGTCGTTTCATTCATTAATATACAATTAAATAAAACTCTAACCGTAGTATAACTCAAAATTAAACCCATCATGTACCTCATAGTCATCTAACGATATATGATCCTTGAATACTTGATAACCTTTTTTCAAAACTAATTTCTCATGGGAAGTTCCAATTTGTAATCCAATAATCTTTTTCAAATCACCAATGGTATCCGAAGGAAGACACTTGACCTTGATCTTCTTCCCAAGCCTATCATTTGCTTCGACTTCTATCATACTCATCTTTTAACGTGATTATTATAAGAAAGTAATTGACTGTTTTCTGTGAAAAAAGTCAATTTTTCATAAAAATCTCGAAAAATTGTTTTTTTTGACTGATTTCTCACTTACTCATAACTTGAAATTGGTGCAAAAAACACCATTGGCCGCAAAACTTGATTTATTAGTAAATAATTACTTCGTTGAAGCCATTCCAATCGGCTGTATTGAAAGTTGCAATTAAAGCGTTGAATGTTTTATGGCTGTAGTGTACTACATTATCTCAAACAAAAATTTAATTTCATTGTCTATCTTCAGTATTAACTTGATGACTACGTTTACTCACATACTCGGTGATTATCTTCTAGCCTTAAATATGGTACTTAGCCGTTATGAAGTTCGAGAGAGAGAGACCTATTGGAGAACCAGAAGATTATTAAGGGGATACCTTGTCTTCATGGATGGCACCGACAATGAAAAAACGACCAAATTGAATTAAAGAATGTTGAATATAAATGTATTGGAAGTCATTCAAATATTCTTTCGTTGTACTTGCACAAGAATAGCTGTTTCAGTTGAATAAGCCCATGAAAGGTAAGAATCTATCTGGTTTTGTGATGTACAACCTCTTCAATATTTATAAGGGGCTATAGGTTAGCAAGATAATTTTCAGTGAAAAATTTTGTGGATACTTTGATCTGGCTTTGAATCTCTGCAAAGTCACTTATAAAGTGATATCTTGAGCAGTTAAATTCATACAAAAGCCGTACTATCAAATAAAACCTTTTTACTCCGGAATAATGCTTAGTAAGTTGTAAACTACTTCTTATGACGATGTAATTTAGTAAATCGAAACAACACAGACTCGTCATCTACAAATGATTAAATGTTTATCATGAGTCATTAGATATATAAAGTTCATCAGTGGTAGATGAAATAATGCAAAAAAAAAAAAAAAAAACGAATAGATGAAATAAAGGTGAAAATGCTAAAGGATTTTTTTTTGTTTGCAAAATCTATAGGTGAAAAATGCAATAATGAAGCAAAATCCAAGACCAAGTCCCGAGTTTTGATCATTAACGAATGAATGACCCGAATTGATTTGTTTATGGACGATAGAATCATTTTCGATGGATGGTTGAAAGGCACGAGCGTTTGCAGCCAACTTCTCTTGCTGATAGTTTCTACTTCTCTTTTGATTTTTGATTCCTTGAAGGCCCTGAGAAGAGCCAGTTTCGTTTGAGTTTGAAGTAGAAGAAGGAGTAGTTGTAGTATCATCCACAGAAACTTGACCAATTTCACACCAGCCATGGACTGGAATGCAATTAATATATTTACACCATTTACAGGTATCACCTAACGGTCTCAGCTTTTGGGTGAAAAAGTTTTTAGCCAACATAGCGTAATATAAGATGAATAAAACTAAAGCAACCACACGAGCGCTAAACCAACAGTAAACTCTTACTGGGATTTTATCTTCGAAATTATGCATAGGGTTCCAATTATTTAAGAATTGTTGCATGGTACCATCATGAGCGTTATAAGTAATGATACCATCTTGATAACAAAAGAAGGGATCAGGTAAAAGCAAGACTGCTAATAATAAACCACAAGCGAAACCACCAATATGACTAAAATTATCAAGTCCTGGCAAAAGACCCAAGACCAAGGAGATAATTATTTCACCAATCATTATAAAAATAAATAGAGCATAATGATTGGTACCATATAAATTATGATTTTTACGACCACTAAAAACAAAAAGAATTATATTAGTTGCCATAATACCAAATAAGGAACCCGAAGCACCAGTTGAAGCCATACCATTAGGAGAGAAATTAGCACCTAATAAAAACCCACCGATACCACTTGCAAGATAAATTACGAAATATTTGATAGAACCTATAGCTCTTTCTATAGTTGCACCCATGGTAACTTGAAGTAAAAGATTGAAAATGATATGTAAAAACCCAGCGTGTAAAAAAATTGGAGTTATAATTCTATACCATTGATCTGGTTGATAAGCATCATTATGGATAGGTAAACCATCAAGACCACATAATTCATTTAAGGAACAAACGTTTGTCTCGATCAGAGTTGAGTTTGGACAAGGGAAATTGATAGTTAAGTCGTCTGTAATATTAGTAATTTTATGCATACAAGGAACATAACGAGCACCCATATTAATTAAAACATAAGTTGAAGGACCTAACATTGGATTAAAGTAAGGTTTTGTTTGAAAAGCCGATCCGGTTAGACTGGACATTTTCACTAATTCAACTATGAAGACAATTACTTGAATCAAAGTAACAATCATTGTAAAATAAGGTAATTTGGTATAGTGAAATCTAGGATGTCTTCTAATTTGTTTTAAACGATTTTTTTCATTTTTTTTCAATTTTTCATGTTCTAATTGTTCAGCAGAAGGAGGAGGAAGGGGTAATTCTCTACTACCAGGATCGAATCTTTTATCAGGTATAGCTGGCTGAGCGAAAGGATTTGAAGGAGCAGCACTGTATCTTGGATCTGATTGAGGTAAATAACCACCATCATCACCAAAAGGATTTTGATTACGATTTAAACTCGATAATTCATAATCATTCACGTTGGCCGAAGAAGATTTTTTCAAAGGATTTGAAGTTGTAGAAGAATTTTTCAAAGGCAGATACGGTTGAGTGAAGGTGAAATTATTATTGGGAGGAGTATTAAAAGTGAAAGAGTCATCTACGTCGATATTATCATTTGGATGATGTTGATGATGATGATTTACCGAATCTGAAGAAGCATTTGCATTTGATAAGAATTCACTTCTAAAATTTGGACTATTCTGAGCACTCGAATGAGCACTATTTGCAAATTGGGGATTTGGTCCTTGAGGGAACTTGGTAAAGTTATTATACATATTAATTCATTGATTAGTTAAAGAAGAGATGGTTTGAGGTAAACAAAATGAACGATTATAAGTAATTGACAGATGATGACGAAGGGGGATACTATAATAATAGAAACGTAAACACTCGACAATAAGATGACGAAATAGTAGTTGGTGAAGTAATTGATGGAGAAAAAAAAAAGGCTATGATGTACCTTTTTGCCCCAAACGCGACCGTTTTCAATCAACAATATATAGATATATATAGATATATATAGATATATATAGATATATATAGATACATGAATAGATACATGAGTAGTAATGGATACAGATATATTAATGGATGAAGTAGATATACACTTATTTGAAGAGAGAATCATTTGATAAAGGATCAGCTTTTAAGACATTATTTCTCTTTTTAATTTTACTTTCTAAAGCAGCAGTATGTCTAGCTTTAGCTTGATCAGCAGCTTGTTGTTTAACTTGAGCTCTAATGAAATTAGGACTAACGTATTCTTTATTTTCATAAATTTTTGGACCACCAAAAGAGCCTTCTAAGATTGTAATTAAGGTTAAAACAAATCTAGGACCAATTTCAACGAGAGATAATTCATCATCGATATTAACATCCTTATTTTCTTTCAAGTTTTCGGTTTCATTAATTTGATAATTACGAACCCAAATTTTATTATCAACAATACTGAAAGTCATGACATGATCAATAAAAGGTTTTGATTTTCTTGCGTTTGGAGGAACCCCAAAACAATGAGTGAATAATTCTTTTAATAAACGATGATGATCCAGATTATTGAAAGATTTATCAAAACTTAAGATTGGTCTTGAACCTTTTAAACAATTACCAGTGAAATTCAACTCATCGTAAGTATGTAAATTTTGAATATGAAATTTTAAAGTAGGACCATTTGGTGGTTTCAGAATCCATAAATATAAATCTTGATGTTTTCTCAGCTCGAAAAAGAAAATGTTATTACAATTATATAATTCTGCAACTTCATTTAACTGGTATAAGTTTTTTTTGGAATCAAATTTTGGTTCTTTTCTGGCATGGGGTAATAATGATGTTAAATCATTAATAAGATGACGGTGACGATAAGTAACCCCACGAGACGAAATAACAAGAAGTCTTTGTCTGTTGATATGTTTGGTCTTATCCGATTGTTCTTTACTGCTTTTACCTTGCAAAGCTTTATAAATGGCCGACATCTTGATGAGTAGTAAGTATAAAAGGCGATGAGCTCCAGCTGAAAAATTTCTTTATATCAAGCACAACCTGATAAAAAACAAATACCCGTACACCAAAAATACCTTCATACGCTACCCGTACACCAAAAAACATCCACACCAATTCATTCTGGCTACCCTACAATACATAAAACTAACAATTGATACATAAATACATTACTATAACAACTATCTAACAACTATTGAACAACCGTCTAGTGTTTTTCATGTTTGGCCAAAAAATCCTTAACGAATTTTTCTTCATCGGCGCTGGCAGCATTGATAGCAGGATGGGCTGGTGGGCCCGGAGCCCATGGTTTTGGAACCACAGCAAGAGTAACAGCACCCAAGGTGGCAAGCGATAAGTAGTGAGCTGGAACAGATTTCCCGAGGATAGTGTAAGCAGCAGCCATCTTTAATTGTAAGAATAAGGTTGAATATAAAAGTTTTCATTTCAATGTTCGCTCGTTGATTTATTTAATTGGTGGAAGACAACACCGGTACCGCAGGGGGTAGTGTGGCGACCACGTATACTGAACCATGAACCATCATCATATCATGAACCATCATATATATCATGAAGTATCAGATATCATGAAGTATCATATATATCATGAAGTATCATATATATCATATATATCATATATATCATATATATCATATATATCATATATATCATATATCATCTATGATATGAAGTATATATCATATATCATCTTTGATATGAAGTATATCAGGAATGTAACTAGTATGTATTAGCGAAGAGAGAACAAGCTCTGAAGATCATACATTCCTGAGCAGTAATATAAACCATAAGTATAGCATACGCACATGTATATGGTCCATAAGTATAGGTATAAGTATAAAAGTGTATCTGATATGTAGAGTTACTAATGAGATCAGATCAACTGCAGAATACCATTCCCAAAACAGCACCGGTTAACTTGTTTAACGATTTACACGATCAGAGTTGAGATGCCAATTCACATTTTGGTTTAATACCTAATTAATTATGACCCGGTAATTGGACCGTGTCCGACAAGACTAAGCGATCCCAACCATCGCCAACACCACCCACACCACTCAAGGCCACCACCGCAGCCACCCCAGCGACCACCTCAACAACAACAACATCATCAACAACAACATCAACAACAAATCAACAACAAATCAACAACATCATCAACAACAACATCAACAACAGCTACACTGAATGGTACAATTGTATTTGTAAACAAAACTACCACGAGACAAAGAAAACAAACTTTTTCTTTTTTGTTTTTTTGTACAAATACAAAAAAAACAAAAAAAATGTTTTTCCAGTTTTTTTAGTTCTTCTCAAGATCATTTTTTTAACGTTTACGTTTTAAATTTTCAATTACCAGCGGCTAGCTATTTCTTCTTCAATTACCAGCGGTTAGCTATTTCTTCTTCATTCCTCTTGATCGTCTTCTGATCCCGCTGTCTTCTGGTCCATTGATCTGCTTCTGATCCATTGATCTTCTCCATTGATCGATTGATCTTTTCCCGATACCCGTCTGATAGCTGGAGTTGCTGGTCTATTAGTTGTCTGGTTACGATATCTCTGCTGAATACCTGTATCTGCTGAATATCTGCTGTACCTGCTGAATACCTGTACCTGCTGAATACCTGTACCTGCTGAATACCTGTACCTGCTGAATATCTGCTGTACCTGCTGTACCTGCTGAATATCTGCTGCACCTGCTGAATACCTGGTCTGACATCTGGTCAATACCCTGATACTTTGGCTTCTTACTTAACTTGCTTACCTTTACCTTGTCAGCATCTTGCATACACCATGTCTACCTCTACTGATTCAATTAATCAACCTACTAATCTCCAAGCCCCTTCTATCCCCACCAATGATAATACTAGCTCAATTCTAGGAAGCAATTCTAAATCAAATTACTCTGCTGAATTCGTGGAATCTTTAACCAGTCGTATTCAATCCCTTTTACCAAATCGAACCAATCATACTTTAGCCGAAGTTGAATTAAACCCCCAATATTTAATCACTAAAAAATTGATTCTTAAAAACTGTAAAAAAAATATACGGGGTGAAAGTAATAATAATTCAACCGACTCGGCTAATTTGGGAGCTCAATTAATTGTCAATGAAAACGTTGAAAAATCAAATATTAAATCGGATTTGGATGATATTGAAATTGTATCTAATGATTCAAATGAAAGTTCTAAAACTGAAGATATAGAATTCATTACTAATGTTTTCATTTCTTTATCTCATTTATTAGATTCAATTAATAATGATGATTTTGATTCTTCAAATGAATTTGATGAAAAATCTTTAAGTTCAATTCTTTTGATTTTAAGATTACTAACCGATCTTATTAAACATATTTGGAATCAAAATCAAAAAATTATTAAAACGGTGGAAGTTCAAGATCATTCAAAAACTTATCAAAATGATCTTTCCGATGATCAAACTATGAAAAATAATCATTCCGATTCAAATTCAACGGCTTCTTCGTCTTCGGATTCAAAAAGTGATGAATACGATACCGTCAATTTTGGTAGATCAGATATAAATACTTTAAAATTTTTAATTGTTAAACCTCCTTCAAGTTTAGATCCAAATCAAATTGAAAATATTTTGGATATTTTATCTTCTTTACTTTCTTCAAAATATATTAGAAAAATTGTTTCTTTAATTAAAAGGACTCCTTTTGAAAAATATCATATTGGTGATACTACTTCTTCAACAAATGCTACTTCTTCAATTAATACTTCAAATACTTCAACTACAGAAAAAATTGATCCTAACCATGATTTACCTTCTCTAACTCAATCAGTTAATCCAAATACTGCCACTGGTCAAGCTGATTTACAAAGTGTTTCTTCTGATGAAATAAATTTTTATATTGATGAAATTGATAATAATTTAGAAATGATTTTTAAATTTTTAGCCAGTTCAAACCCAATTCAATTTTATCAATTTTTAAATATTAGGGTTATTAGTTATGCTAAATTAGGGGAAAATATTCCATTACCAATTTTACAAAAATTTGTCCCACTTTATAAATACGTTTTTTTCAATGATCAAATTGCAAATAGTTTGGTTTCTGATGTTTATAATGCTTTACCTTTTATAAAATCAAATACTTGGAAACAAGTCTTATTAACTTTTTTCACTGATGGTATTAAAGATCAACATTTTGCTAGACCAGGTGATTATGATTCATTTGTTAAACCTTATTCAAAATTGGATGTTACTTTAAGAAATTTATTTGATTATATTTCAACAATTTTTGAAGATTCTCCAAATTCAGGAGTGGCTTCTTCCATTCAAAGTTTAATTTTAATTTTATGTGTTGGTGATTTTTTAGAATTAGATTCAAAACCAAATAAATTAAGAATTGCTTTTAATAAAAGATTAAAATATGTTACTTCAATTTTAAGAGATTCAAATAATTGTTCAAATTTAGAATGTTTCGAAAGTTTAATTAATATTTTCCATATGGCAGCTATTTTACCTCCAGAATTACATGCTCATCCTTTATATAAATTTGTTTTATTACATTTAGATGAAACTTATGAAAATTTAAATAAATTAGTCATTTGTTTTAATTCTGATGAAGCTTCTATTTTATATGATGATTTAGTGGTGAAATTTTATATTGCAGCCATTTTAATTAAACCCCAAACTTATTTAGATGTTATTGAAACAAAATTTCATGAAAATAAAGATAAAATTAAGGAAGTTAGAATTTTAGTTAAATTAATTAAAGGTTTAGCTGATCTGCCAATTACAAGAAATCCTTTTTTACAACTTATGAATCGATTATCAAATCATTTAAAATCAATGATTTTTGGTGCTTTTAAAATTTTATATCAAAATGAACAAAATTTAAAATTAAATAATAATGAAATTTTTTCTGGTGGTTCAAGTTCAATTAGTATTCATTCTGATAAATATAGTATGGATTCTGATCAAAAGTCTCGTTATTTCAATCAAATTACAAATAAAAAAACTAGTCTTGATCATTATTTAAATGAACTTAATAATCAAAATTCAAAAATTTATCCAGAATCAAATTATATTAATCATCAAACTGATGATTTATTGGCTAAAACAGTTACTAAAAATAATAATAACAATAATACTACATCAAATGCATCGGTGGCTCAACAAACTCTTTCTTCAAATGGTTCATCAACTTATTCTTCCAAACAAAAATTAATTTATCAAACCGAAGAAATTATGGGAGATATTTTTTCAATTTTTATTACTTGTCCAGAAAAATTTTTCCATGATTTTTCATTTTATAAAGATTTAGATTTTATTAATAATAAATCTTCTACCATTCAAACTTTAACTAATTTAGCTCATGAAATTGCTGGTCCAATTAAATTTGCCGTTCATGCAAAATCTTTAAATGAAAATTCTAATTTATTTGATAGTGCTTGTTCTTTAGCTTTAACATTAGTTGAAAGTGATTCGATGATTATTCAACAACGTAAAGCAAATAAAAATGATGAAAATAATAAATTAAGTGATTATGATTATTTAATTTATTCAAATTTTTTAATTTCAAATTTTATTATTGAAGCAGTTGCTGATTCTTCTTTACAATTTCATTTAACTGATCCAAAATTTAAATCTTGTTTTCTTTTTTTAAATCGTTTTTTACAATCTCGTGATAAATTTGTTGGTAAAGTTATGTCAAATCAAATTATTCAATCTGAATGTTCTCATTCTGATTGTTTTGCAGTTTGTCAAGGCATGGAAAAAGTTTTATTATTAGTTTTATGTACTCATGATATTCAATTTTATAGTATTGCTAAAACAACTATGAAATGGCATATTCATGAATTAAAATATGGTAATCATTTACCTCATTGTTTTTATGAAAATTTGAGAGAAACTTTTGAAAAAATTATTGATGATAATTCAGTTTTTACCGGATTTGTTTCTTTACATAAACGTTTTAGAAATATTTTAAGAGATGCTAAACCAACTAAATCTTTATATCATGTTTGGTTAGTAATTTATTTTAGATGGTTAGAATTATTAGATAATAAATTTGGGGTTGGTGATGATAGTTTAGTTTTCCGTCATTTCACCGGATTTTTAGTTTCTATTTCGGGTGCTTTCTTAAAAGAAGAATTTGCTAAAGATGATTCTGATGTTAAATATCGTGCTAAAAATTTTGTTTCAGAATTTTTAGATAAATGTATTAGCTTATTAACTTCAACTGATTTAGTTGTTAGAGTTGTTGTTAAAGATGCTTTATCAAATGAATCTCATTCTGCTGTTTATCATTTAATTTGTACTAAATTAATTCAAGGTGGTAATGAATATCTTGAAAATAAAATTATTACTGATGAAAGTATCCTTTATATTGAACAATGTATTGTTATTATTACTGCAATGATTATGGTTGATAATGATGGTGCATTTGTTCTTGTTTCTTTATTACCAGGAGTTTGTGAATTTTTCATTAGATTTATTATGTTGGTTCCAAATCCAGTTGATATTTTAAGATTAAAATTAAGATTTTGTAAATTAGGTTCAGCAATTGAAACTGATAAATTTAGAGTTGGTTTATCAGGAGCTTTTAGATTAAGAAATTTTTATGCTAAAGCTTCTGCTGATTGGTTAGAACAAGCAGTTTTTTATGATGAAATGAATCATGGTAAAGATAAAGAAAAAGATTCAAACGATTCTGATTCAATAATTTCCCCTTCTTCTTCATCTTTAAAATCAAATCGAGAATCAGAAATTGCTTATCTTAATATTGATTTAGCAAATGATTGTTCAAAAGCTTTAGCAATGCAATTAGAAGATATTGTTTTAGAAATTCCTGATGGTACTAAAGATAAAGATATTAGAAAATATAAAGATTTAGCATTTGGTAATTATTTTTCCCTTTTTTATAAAATTTTACAAAAATATGCTGTTTCAAATTTATCACCAAATTTAGCAAAATCAAAGTATAAAATTGGTTTAATTACTGATAATGTTTTAAAATGTATTTCTAATATTTTACAATTTGATACTGATATTGGAATGCAATTTGTTTTACCATTAGGTTATCATGAAAATAAAAAAATTCGTTCAATTTTTTTGGTTGTTTTCGCTAATATGTTAAAATCAAGAAAAATTAAAGAAGAACTGGAAGAATTTCCTGATGAAATTATTGAAAGACTTTCTGATTTATATGATGTTTTCGGTGCTACTGCTGAAGTTGCTTCTTCTTCTGAACATAATCTATTAGCTTCTTCATTATTTGGTATTTTCAGTTATACTAAAAAACTTGATAAATTATTCACTGTTTTATTAAATGATGAAATTAACGTTGTTTCAAGATCAACTGATATTTTCAGAAGAAATAGTACGTTAACAAGACTTTTATCAAATTTTGCTAAAGATTATGGTTTAGATTATTTATCAGTAACTTTACAACCATTTTTAGAAGAATTAATTCAAAATGAAATTTCATTTGAAGTTGAAAAGGCAAATGATCCAATTCAAACTGAATTATTTATGAAATATTTCACTAAATTAATTGATGTTATAATTGGTTCAACTCATCTTGTTCCTCCTTCATTTGAATATATTTGTTCTGAAATTTATAATAGTGTTAAACTTAAATTTAAAGATGCTGCGTTAGTGGCGGTTGGATCTTTTATTTTCCTTAGGTTTTTCTGTCCTGCTATTATTAGTCCAGAAACTTTTTTCAAATTAAGTGGAAGTAGTTCAAAAGTTAAAAGATCTTTAATGCAATTAGTTAAGGTTGTTCAAAATATGGCTAATGGTTCATTAGCTTTATTAAAATGGCCAGGATTAATTCATAAATCAGATGAATTAAATGAATTAAATAGAAAAATCTTTGTGTTTTTAGAAAATGTTTCAACTAAAAAATCTATTAATGATGATTATCCATTCCAAAGTATTGATACAAAACCAATTGCTGAATTAAGATATTTACATAAATTCTTATACACTTATTTCATTTATATTAAACATCAATATGTTTTAACTGATCCTTTAGTTAATATTTCTAATTTACATGAAAGGGTGGAAAATTTTAGAACTCTTGATCGTTTATTAAGAGTTATGGGTCAACCAAAAGCTTTGATTTCTTTACAAATTTCAAATTCTTTTAGAAATTTTGATCCAAATGGTAATGTTAATCATGGTCCCTTTAATGAATTCATGGCTAAAATGTCAACTAAAAATCATGAAGTTCCAATTGATTCTCCAGTTGTTCATAATTTTATTTTCCAAGATGGTACCCCAGTTGCTGTTATTAATTTTGGTAATTTAAAATATGTTAATTATGATGTCGATCTTTTGGTTTTCAAACTTTTGGAAATTTGCAGTCAAATTTGGGATAATAATTTTTATATGGTCTTTGATTTCACTGGTTTTACTTATGTTAAAAATTTGGGAGAAAAATATGTTACTTTATTAAGTACTTATGCTCCAAGTATTTTCCATAAAAAATGTAAAAGAACTTATTATTTCAATATTCCAAGACTTGAATATATAAGCATTTTAAAATCAATGAGAAAACTTAGACTTGAAAATAATGATTTTCCACCAAAAATTTATACTTATTCTCAAGTTGATGAACCAGAAATTATTAATAGTTTAGGTTTAGATGATCAAACTACCGGTATTTCTAAAGATACAAGAGTTGTTTTCAAAAATGTTAAACTTTATGATGAAGAAAAGGGTAGATTTCAAAAAGTTACTCTTAAAATTGGTAGACAATGGCTTCAAGTTTGTTCAGATTTTGTTGAATTTAGTGGTCCTTTATTTGCTACTAGTGGATTTTATCCAGTTGAAGTTTTAAAACTTTCCGATATAACTAAATGTGAAACTACAAATATTAGTGGTGAAGTTGATGAATTTACAATTTATGTAAATATTGGTACTGGTCATAAAGTTACTTTAAAATCAAGTGAACGTCCTGAAATCTTAAGATTTTTATATTTTACAACTTCTAGATTACCAAAACAACAATCTCTTGAAAGAAATAGAGAAGGTAGTGATACTGAAGAAGCAGGTACTAAGTATCATTGGTTTGCAAGACTTCATAATATTGCTTTCCATGGATTATTAGAATCAGATCCTGAAGTTAGATCATGTGCTTCATACTTGTTTGCTACTTTGTCAAAATATTTTGATTTTGATTTTGGTATCTCTCCTGATCATGCTAAAAATGTTTGTTATCCAATTGATACTACGGAATTTATTGTTGGAGTTTCAGATCATCTTTCTAAAAGTCTTGGTCCATTAACTTACAGATTCCTTAAAGCTTTTTTCAATAATTATGAAAAATTAAAACCTGAACATAGATTAAGTGCTATTATGTATATTTCTCCTTGGGTTGGAAATGTATGTGACAATATTTACTTAGATACAAATGATTCAGGTATTGAAAAAGTTTCAGAAATTATCAGACAATTTTGTCGTATCACTGCAGCAGAAGGTGAACATGTTACTTCTATGAATGAATTAGTTTGGAAAAAATTCTTTGGTGAAAGTAGACTTACTAAAATTTTGATTGAAGAAGTTATTGCATTTGCTGTTGATAATAAAAAAAGTGGTCCCGAATGGGCTTCTATTATTTCTATCATTGCTCCGTCAGTTGAAGTTTGTGGTGAGGTAACATCCAGATTGATTCAAGCAGTTGGTAATGCTAAAGTTACTGATTCAGTAATTGCTTCTCAAAGTAAATTATTAGAAATCCTGATTTTAGTCAAAATTTGTTCTTCCTTGTTTTTCAATTCTTATGTTTATTCTCATTTATACCTTGCTGATGTGTTTTTCGTTTGTACGCTTTTCATTGATAATCCTTCCTTGGAATTTGGTAGTGATTTACAAAATTTAGTTATTAATACTATTCAATCATTCCTTCACAAACCAGCTGTTACACCAGAAGAAGAAAAGAAAATTTCAGAAACAATCAATTATTTCAGTAGCCAAAGGGCTAGAATGTTGTTTGGTGTTAACAGAGAAAGAAGTGCAGTTGCTGATGCAAGTCAAATTTATAACAGAGCTGCTAGTTTTGAAATTCTTTGTGATTATTTGAATGAATTCATCTCGTGTGTTGGAAGCGCTGATGATAGATTCAGATGGAGATCTCGTTGGTGTTCTCGTGCTGTGGATGTTGTTTTCCAAACCAAATCAATGTTTCAAAATCGTGCTGTTTTGGTGTTTGGTATTTTATCTAAGAATGGTATAAGTGATTCTGCTTCCACTAGATTATTCAAGATGATGGGTAAACATGATAATATTTCTTTAGAATACATTACTAACCTGACTGTTTCCGTTGCAAGAATATTTGAAGGGGTTTCATCACAGTCAATTTATCCACCTTATATGCTTCTTATTTATACTTGTAATGCAATGATGCATTTTTCAGCCTTGTATCAACCAAATGCTGAATGCATTGCAAATATTTACTGCAAATTAATGAAACAAGGTCCAAATTATAGAGAAAGTGTCTTTAAAGCTAGATCAACCCTCGAACCGTTAGTTTCCGAATTTGAAAACACTCATGATATCTTTTTAACTAATGATAATTTTGAATTCCAAATCTTCCATTGTTTGATTCAAGGATTAAAAGTTGCTCATTTTAGACAAACATCTATGAATTGTTTGAAAAAAGTATTCGAAACAAGGCTCAAAGAACAACGTTCAGATTTCGAAAAAGATAATATCACTGTTCTCTACCTTTTCTTTATTTACTTGTTTTCTTCTCAAGATGCTTTTGAAAAATATTTGGCTGAGCTTGAACTTTCAGCCTATATTTCACATCATTCAAAGAAGTCCAAAACTCCAAAAATTTTTACTGCATTTGTTAGCTCTGATTCTGAAATATCAAAACTTTGCTTAGTGCAAGCAGCTTATCTTTTCAACGAAGACAACGTCGACCATGCTTTCAAGAATAAATTTTTGGACTTCTTCAGCTACTTATTCAAGAAGAAGAAGCAACTGAGTTTCTTAATTTACCACATTACAAAACCAACTTTTGAACAATTACTTATTAGCAGTAATTCTCTTGATACTGTTAGTAATATTTCCGAACTTCTGACTAAGATTTTTAATGATTCTCAATATGATCCAGAAATCAGTGTTCAACAAGAAGCTGATCTTTTATTCAAAAATGATCTATTAAATATTAGAGAAATCAAATCATTTTTACCTCAATCAGAATACTACAATGAACAATCAGTTCATGATTTGATTGCTTTGAAGGATATGATTCTGAGGGCTGCATATTCCTTTGTTGAAGGTTATAGATTAGAAGATTAGTTCATTGTTCAAACTTGAACTTCTCTTATTATCATTTTTTTTTTTTTAATTCAATTTTTTATGATCAACTTACATACAACTAGTCCTTTATACAATTTTTTTTTTTACCACCAACTTTTGATTACTGTTCTACTTATTTTTGTCTTTATGAATTCATGATTTGTTTGTTTGTTTGTTTGTTTGTGTTTGTTTGTTTGTTTGTTTGTTTGTATAATAGACTATATATTTCTATAATATAAGAACTTTTATAAGTTTAACTTGTAATGCAATGAAAAGAAATAAATCGAGAATTAAAATGATTTTTCAAAGTCTTTCTTCACCATTCTGAATAAAGCCATTGTGGCTCTAGCATCTTCAACTGATGAATGTGCCCCAGTCTGAATGGTTACATTCAAAAACCGCTCAGAAAGCATCTGTAAACCAGGTGCTTTTCCTTTTGAGACTTCTTTAAACCGACCATATTTCGAAGTATCCCGTATTTTGAATTTTGGATGAGATAAGAATAATGCTTCTAAATCATGATTCACTGAATGCCCTACTAAAATCTTATCTTTTAAAAGATCGGCCACTTTTTTTTGAGCTTCTTGAAAAGTAATGGCATCTTTCATATTGAAAGGACTAACTCCCGATACCCAAGTTCTCCAATCAGTAACCTTTTCACTTGGTTTGACAAAAGTGTCTAAGATCACAACCCCATAGAAATTAACAATAGATACTCTGGCCAAAGCCGATTCCTTTCCTTCTGGACCAACGCCTACAAACTCGCAATCCATCGATAAGTACTTCCCGGGTCCTTTCTTACGTTGATGCTTACTATTATTCGAAATCTTGATAGCCTGAGGCGTACGTGGTATATCACCGGCAGTTATTTCATTTTCTTTGGACCACAATGCAGCCTCAAGAGGTGAAAGTATCTCGTGATCGATGACTTTTACATCATTGGACTTACTTATAGCTGATGTTATCTTGGTTGATGCTGCTATATCTTTATGCTGTGTTTTTGGAGATTTCTTCTTCTTGATACCATTTTGCAGGCTCTTCTTTGACGACTGCTTGTTGAGTTTGGAGCTGAGAGCTTTCCAATTCAGGGAATAACTCATGCCGTTGTATTGTTAAAGAAAGGTCAATTTGGTGATGTCTGAAAAAAAAAAAAAGGGAAAAAAAAAAAAATAATCAAAGATGAGTTATGCGCTTCACAGTTGCAAATACAAAAACGATTACAATTTTGAAAAAATTGATGATTGTTGCAATTCTCATAGAGAACAGATCAAGTCATGTTGGACATATTATACACTTGCAAAACATACCTTATCTTATTGATGATATCTTCACATTCAGCTGCACTTACAGCTTCCAAATCATACTTTTTCTTAATAGCATTATCTTTTACGTTTGCTTCATTTTCAACTTCTTTTTTGATTACAATCTTGAAATGATTTGGGTTCTTGCTGTTCTTGTATTGTTTGAGCTTGGTAATTTGGGTGATATGGAAGGAACTTGTTTTCATCATCAGTTTGTTGTAGTAGTTGGAGTAATTATAATGATGCAAATAATGATGATGACCATGTGTATTTCCTCCATGACCTGTTTGATTACTTGAAGAAAAAGGGTTATCGACAGGGTTCTTTTTCCAGGTTGTGTCTTCTGTCGGGGTGAGATGAATGTAATCACCATCGATAATAAGTGATTTTTCTATTCTGTTTAAAAGAGTAGGTTTCTTTCTCCATACTTTCCACCTCATATATATATCGTTTAGACTCTTGGGAATTTGATAATCGCCACCAGTTATTATATCTTCAAGGTATTTGTTGGACTTAAGTTGGCGTTTGATGCTTTCAGCAGTGTTGGTATTAGTTCTTGTATTTGAGGACAATTTACTAGGATTAATTTTGCCAGAATCCACTTGAATATGGTCACTATTTTCCTCCATAACCTTCTTCATTGGCGGAGTTATTCCTGGCACACTCAATGAATTCGAAGGAGTAATTCCAGAACTCAACATTGAATCTTGACCCAAGGAATCTTGCTGTGAGACTCTCAAATGACTATTATCAGCGGGAATTAATTCTAGTAATTGTGTGTCTAGTTGAGATACCAAATCGGTAGGAGCCAATGGCTTCCTATACTTAATTGAAGTTGATGTCAAACTATCAGGTAATGTCCCGTGTAATAAGGTATGAGGTTTGTTAGTTTTATCATCAGAACCTGAAATCAAGGCTCTAAATTTATACTTGGATGGGTCTAGGTCATATTCAGCACAAAATTCAGAAGTCAAATTTTCAATTGTGGATGTCAAAGGAATGAAAAAATTAATACTTTCACTAGAATTTCCGAATGGAACTCCACTAATTTTGAGCTCAACAGTTTCTTCTTTCTCAAAAGCACTTCTTTTATTTTGTTCTTTCGAAGGGGTTGTCTCATTTTCAAGAATAGAATTGAACTTCTTTTGTCTTTCTTCAAAAGATACCAAGCTTTCCTTGAATTCTTTCGGCAAAGGTGTAATTTTGTTGTTTTTTGCAATTTCGCTATTATTTTCAATTTTACATATAGCTAAATCTCTTGGGTTGTTGTAAGAAGAAAGCAATCTTACCCGGTCAAGTATACCGAAGGATCCAAAGTTTTCACCGTCTTCATCCACCAATTCAAGTCTCCAATTATTAGGATTCATATAATGAGCACTTGTAGAAATATACTTGAAATCATCCAATTTTGAAAGTGAAAGTAATATATAACCAATACAATCAGGGATAGCCACATTATCATTCATGGTTATATCGATAATGATAGGTTTCAAATTAGGTGGAACAAAAATATTGATTTTAGCTTTACGAACATTTTCAGCGTCAATGTCCGAATCAACAAAAGAATAAAACTGTAAAGGATTTAAATTTGCAGACCTTGACCTCGATTGAAGTAATAAACTTAAATTTGAATTTCGAGGGGTTGGATCTGTATCTGGTTTGAATATTGGTTTTTTTTCAAATACAAATTGATTTTTCTTCTGTGATGAAACAAAAGACTTATTTGGAGTGACAGAAGCTGAATTAGGTTGTGTTTTAGAACCTTCTTGACTATTCTTGGGATTATTATTGAGGTTGGAGTTGTTAACATTAGTGCTAGAATTATTGTAGGTAGATGAAAGAAAATCATTTTGAGAAGCAAATGACTTACTTGATATTGCTGTTTTGGATAAGCTTTGACCATTATATGTATTAGAATTTGACTTTTGTTTTCTTCTTTTACTATTTTGTTTGAAAGATTTTACTGTATCTGTAGGATTTTCAAAAGAATAATTATCCACGACGCCGTTATAAGAGTCAAGCATTGAAGACGAATCTATCAAAGAGTCCGTTTCAATATCGGTGAATGCAGAATCCGTTGAAGATGTGTCATCGGCATCATCATAATCATAATCGTCATCGTCTTCATCATCATCATATTCATCAACATCCTCGTCGGAGTATTCTTCGAGATCAGAATCTTCGTTATTCTCAGCACCGTCATTCTTTGATGACTGCTCTACATTCTCAACCGTAGATTCGTCATGATCATCATTTTCAATTTCTTCAATTCGATTATTCTTATTATTATTGAGACTAAGTCTAAATTTCTTACGAATCAAAGGCCCGCCTTCATTTTTATTATTATTCGCTGGTTTAACAACGTTCCCAGTTTCAGAGACCGGCACATCAAAGTCACTATCAATAGTTAGAACATCGGCATTATCGTTTATGGAAGGCAACGATTCACCATCTTCAGAATGATAATCCAAAGGGGGGTTTGCATTTTCCTCTTTGATCAATTCTAAAGCTTTAGGGTTGGTCATGAAGTCTTGCTGAGTCTTAATCGAACCATCACTATCAAAATCACTATCCGAGTCACTATTATTATATTTTGCCTTTTGTTGGGGTTGGAAAAATTTCACAATTGAATTTGTCTTCTTATTTTTATTACCCCCTCTAATAGTCTTAGTATAAGAGAGTCCGAATTTATTACTTTGCTTGGATGAGCCATCACTGTTATCCTCAATTGGTTCAGGGCTTTTCAAACTGGATTGAGATGGCGGAGAAAGACGAAACTTGAAATGACTCGATGATTGATTATTCTGAATGGTATCAAGACTAGATGCAGATGTCTTACGTTGTTCGGTAATCTCATTGGAAGGTGGAGTGATGGTAGAGTTGTTTGACACACTTCGGCTGGATTCTTCTTTTATTGTCTTGGGACGAAGCCTCTTGGTCGACCTTCTTTTCTTATTATGAAGTTGATTTGGTTTCTTATGACTCATCAGGGCATGGTGATAACTGGAAGGCTGGTCATCGTCATTCAAGCCTTTCTTCACAGAACTATGGAATGCTATGGGTGGCGAATGCAGAAGCTGATCTCCAAGTTGAGCCAATACTCTCCCGTTGATCTCTTCATTCTCCCTTTCATCTTCTAGAATCAACGGTTTGATGATTCTTTTGGCATATTCGTCATTATCAGTAAGCGTTAGATACGATGCCCTGAACTGAGCTATCAAATGTGTAGTCTGATTGGGAAATGACATCTTTCTAGGATTAATCCTTATGCTACGTTTTATTTATGTCCTTGTTCAGACCTTCTTCTTCTCTCTCTCAATCAGATAACGCGCAGCAACCGTACTTGCATACCCTTATAACCCTCGGAAACTCAACACAATAGAGCCAGCTAATCAGTTCAGGAGGTTTTGGTGCTCAACTTTAAGCTTATCCTATCGACTTGACTTTATTTACTCCCGTCCCAATCGCTCGAATCAATCAAAACAAAAGACCCACACACCAGAAACTGAATAAAAAGGGCTACAAAAATAGAACAGCAGGAGGGGTTTTTGACAATTTCAGGCCTATCAAAAAGTTAAACAACTGAACTACTACTATCTTTTCATTGAAAGCATTGAAAGCAGCAGTCAATTGAACAAGCATTGCTTTTGAACATCACTCTGCATTCTTTGCCTGTTTTACAAGTCGTTGCTCCAGGATTGGGATTACTATAGGGGTGTTTTTATCATAAAATTGGCTAAGAGCGGCTATAGGTATTGCCACATTACAACTCCAAGCTTGATTTCACCATCAGTTCCAGTTAACTCTCAAGGTAAAAGTTGCTTGCGGGTTTCTTATCGAGGTTGGATTCTCACTTTTGCTGGTTTTAACCCACCCACAGCCAAGTTAATCATCGAGCTTGGATCAACTTGTTATTCTTGCAACTGAAACTAATTGCATGAATATCATGTACCACTGGACTTGATTTCACTTATCATATTGTTATCCATATTCCTTTTGTATTATCCTGATTTCATTTACTTGTGCCGGTCCAAGTGCTAGCCCTGCTTTCCGACATTTGTTAGTTAGATTCTCGTACGGTATAACCTACGAGTATTTCCTGTTTTTTTTTTTTTTTGTTTCTCTCCCTGTTAACATTTTTTTTTTGTTGTCTCCAGATTCTCATCTGGCATCAGCATCAACGTATTTGATCTTAATCCTAAATCACAAAGGGGAAAACAATAAGTTCCTCATCAGCTGTTTCTTATCAAACAAGTTTCAGTGCTGCTAAAAACATAAAACATTCAGAAAAGTTCTTATCTCATTTATATCTCTTTAGAGAATCATTGCCTATCTCAAATTTATGAAATGTCTATCCCTCACGACGAAAATCATACTAATTCGAGTCTACTGGATTTGTCAAATGATCTAGAAGATATTTATCGTAATTATGCATCTAGATTTGATCACTCAACTAGAAATCCCGACATTAACATTACAAACAATAATAGCGTGGAGACCCTCGATTCCCAAAAAAATCAATACATTAATCTGGCAATAGCCAAACGTCTTCAAAATAATGGCCCACTACCCCAAGCTCATATATCATCGAGGTTGTCATCTCTACAAGTTACCGAAGATGGTGAGTTGGTCGCGAGAAGTGCACCACAAACTCCAACTTCGTCGTCTTCATTTGATTTTACTCCCCATCCTCATAACGCACTCACTAGTTCTTCTTTGAATGTTTTATTAGACACTCCAACCACCGAATCAGAATTTAAAGATTTGATTGCATCCGCACCGATGGTTGAACGTTCTCCGGATTCTCCATTACCTTCCTACCGTCATCATCAACCCCCACCTCCCCCAACTTCGAACTCTGCAGTGCTCGATGCTAATCCCAGCCATGTCCCCGAACAGTCCTCACCATCAACTTTGGATGACACCCCAACAACAACTTACCCCATTGGTCGTGCCATCCGTGATGACGATAATGACTACGATAATGATGATGACGATGACGAAAATGACATTGAAAATAATGACAACTATGATTCCAATTCTGAAATTGATGATTCAGGTATTCCGGATTCTCTAATAAAAGAGAAAAATGACCATGAATGGGTTGAAAGAGGTGCTGCCGTTAGAAAAATTCCTGCAAATAATTCCAATGATAATGACAATGATGACGAATCAGCTCCCTCTTATAGAATCATAAGACGTACAGTTAAAGATTTCAAATTTGGGCGTTCTTTAGGTGAAGGTTCTTATTCTACCGTTGTTTTAGCAACTGATAAACATACTTCCAAACAATACGCAGTCAAAATATTAGATAAACGTCATATAATCAAAGAGAAGAAAGTCAAATATGTGAATATAGAAAAGCATGCCCTTAATCGTTTAAGTAACCGAATGGGGGTTATATCACTTTATTTTACATTTCAGGATAAGGCTTCATTGTATTTTGTTCTAGATTATGCATCCAATGGTGAACTTTTATCCCTTATCAAAAAGTATGGTACTTTAAGTGAAGAATGCACTCGTCATTTTGCAGCTCAAATTTTGGATGCAATTCAATATATGCATGATAATGGTGTCATTCATCGTGACATAAAACCAGAAAATATTTTATTAGATGACGAGTTAAGGGTTCAAATAACTGATTTTGGTACTGCTCGTTTATTAGAAAAGAAAAATGATGAAAGTGAAGATTATCCAGTTGATGTTCGAGCCAAATCTTTTGTTGGTACGGCTGAATATGTCTCTCCAGAGTTACTTGAAAATAAGTATTGTGGTAAACCAGGTGATATTTGGGCTTTTGGATGTATAGTATACCAAATGATTGCTGGTAAACCACCATTTAGAGCTGCAAACGAGTATCTTACATTTCAAAAAATTACTAAATTACAATATGCATTCAGTGCCGGTTTCCCAATGATTATAAGGGATTTAATCAAGCAAATATTAGTTTTGCAACCTTCAAGGAGAGCTACCATTAAAGATATTAAAGATCATTTTTTCTTTCAATCGATTAATTTTGATGACTTTGACCAAATTTGGTTATCTGAAGTACCTGAATTAGGTCCTTATAAGATGAATGCTAAATCCATGATGAAAGTTCCTGAGCTATCTAAGTCAGCATCTCAGTCACAGCTTAATTCCAAAAAAAATTATAATAATGGTAACGTTAGAAATAATGGTAATAATAGAAATAATACTGACAAGAGAGTTGTTAGCGAAGGGGTGGTAAATCATAATAAATTAGTAAACCCAGCATCTGTTGCTGCGTTTGTTCTTAAAAATGATAAACGGAATAATGCAGATGAAGAAGAAGAAGTTGATGGTGATTTACCCGATTTATCTAAAACTGCATCAAACTCTAGTTTTAACAATACATCACCAAGAAATACTATTAACCCACAACCTGATTATATTCCTGGTACAAACATTTTAAGACCTACAATTCCAACACGTACGTCATATTCAAGGGGTAGTGTCAGTAATCAGCTGCAAAATCCAAAAAGAGGAAGTGCATCAAAGCCCAAGTCAAGGGTTATGGAAGTTTCACCATTGAGCTCTTTAGAATCCACTTGGCAAGAATATCTTAACCACCCGGATGAAAGAATAATGAGGATTGGTCCAGTATTTGTTTATAAACAACCCACTGATTTATTTGAACGAAGAAACCGTGGTTTATTACATAATGCACCTTTGGGGCTTGCTAGTAAATTACAAGCCACTAATGGAACAATTAGAGGTAATGGAAGTTTGCTAACCCAGGTTGTCAATGGATCGAAGAGCGGATTAAGAAATCATAATGATAATCTGAATGATGAGAATTCTTTTGGTCTTGACGATGAAAATAATGCCATCACCAATCATATGGTATTTGACGAGGATACGGCAGCTGCTCCAGAAAGTCCTTCAAGAAGTGGGACATCGGAATCAACCCAAGAAGCACCCACCTCCAAAATTGGAAAATCTATATTCAAGAAGTTTTTATCCCATTCTATTACTAATGAGAAAAAAGACCATGGAACCGATGCAACTAACGGGGGTGACCATGGTGTTTCGGAAAACCCAAATGAGGGCCAAGATCCATTTGGAAGAGCCAGAACTTGTACTGTATTAATCACCACTCATGGAAGAGTACTAATATTTATTCGTGTGCAAGACGGCGATAGTAATGACTGTGAGAACTTCAAGTTGGTTAGTGAAATCAAGTTAAACTATCCATTCATCCAGTTTAAAGAAGTGGTATCGTCAACATCCGGAAGATTGAGCAAACAAGTTCCCACCACCGGACTATTCGCAATTGAGTCGATCTACACCACGTTCGTATTCGAAGTTGAAAGCTACGAAATCAACCAGTGGACAGAAGCATTAGCAAGGTCCAAAATCAACCAATTTGAACGAGACCGAGAAGGGGAATCCCAAAGATCAAGAAGTAATCTAGGTAACTCTTCCCCACGGTTAATGGATGCCCCTACGTTTACCAAATCGCCTACAAATACCATGAACCAAAGTAGAAGAATTAGTGATTCCAACTATACCGACAACACTTATTCCACCCCCAAGTCAACCAACAGCACTACACCACGTCAACGAGCAAGAACATCATCAGCCAATAACACCCCCAACGCAACCTCGATTCCTTCGCCAACCACCACCAGCACCCCAGGACAACCAGACAAGCCCCACGGCGGCATGCTCGCCAACCGCATCAAACAGCGGGCGTCCATCAAGCGCAAACCCCCACCACCAATCAAAGGGTCCTCGCTGGCGAACCGCAACCCCTCGGGCCCCGATCCCGACGACAACGTGATGCTCCATGCTGCCCAGTTGGCGGTGTCCGCCAGCGCTCACACCCCGTCCACCGACAACAGACGCTCCAGCTTCACCAAGGAAAACAACGCTGGCATAGCCAAAGTCGGCGCCAGTGTAGGAAGCACCGTCAACAAAATCGCCTACAAGTTCAACCAGCAGCCCACCCAGTCGCCCAAAATCACCTCCATGAACTCCAAGTTGCTTGCCAGAAGCCAGCGCAAAAAATAGACACTCGACCTCCTCGTCTCAGACCTTCATTCTTTCACTTCTACCCCTTCTCATAGATATGTATTTTGAATTTGCATCCTTTGTCCTTTTGTTTTCGCAGCTGTAGATCAACAACTAAAAAAAAAGAGCAGTCACACCCGGCACGTGACAATATCATTTTCGCAGTCTGGACCTGCACACAAATTCTCATAGTGCGAGTTTTGCTTCTCTGCAGGACATTCATTTTTTTTTCCTTTTTTTTTTTTTTTTTGTTTTTTTTCGCAAAGTTTTTTTTTTTTTGTGCGAGCGCAGGCTTTTATTTTGTGTAACAACCAATAATTAGTGGGACGAATTGTGATGATGGCTCTGGAATTCTTTCCGATTGGGCTCTACTCCTCTCTTTTCATAGTGGGAGACTTTTTTTTCACTTTTATAAAAAAATTTTCAGTTTATATTTTGCTTACTTACTACTTTCCTAGTATTGCATATCCATCATCACATAAAAATGGCTAAATTCATTAAATCTGGTAAAGTTGGTATGTATCGTTAAGTTCCCACCAAGGTATTCATAGTAGGGAGGAGTTGAAGAGAAGTCTTGAAGATTTGAAGATGTAATGAAGTATGGAAGTTTTGAGATGTATTGAAGAAGTATTGAAGAATGAGATGAGTAAACTAATGAATACGAAACAAGATCTAATACTAACTAATCATCTAGCTATTGTCGTTCGTGGTCGTTACGCCGGTAAAAAGGTTGTCATTGTCAAACCTCACGATGAAGGTACTAAAGCTCACCCATTTGCTCACGCCATTGTTGTTGGTGTTGAACGTAACCCATTAAAGGTTACTAAAGCTCATGATGCTAAAAAAGTTGCCAAAAGAACTAAAGTTAAGCCATTTGTCAAATTGGTTAACTACAACCACTTAATGCCAACCAGATACTCTTTAGATGTCGAATCTTTCAAAGCTGCCGTTACTCCAGAAGCCTTAGAAGAACCATCCCAAAGAGAAGAAGCTAAAAAAGTCGTTAAAAAGGCTTTAGAAGAAAAACACCAAGCTGGTAAGAATAAATGGTTCTTTACTAAATTGCACTTTTAATCTACTTGCTCTACCAATATATATATAATAAAATAACAATAATCATATAAAAAATTTATAAATTAATGGGTTTACATGTTTGTTTATTAGTGACTTTTCCTTTCTCTTCTATAGGATATTAATCCTTTTTAATCTACGCTTGCTTAGTTTCCATTCCTTGTAACCCCATGATTGTATGTCTTCTTGAAAAATTTATAAACTGCAAAAAAAAATAGGAAAAATCTGACCTAAACTGTGAAAAATGCTAGGGCAACCTGTAAACTCAAAGCTAACCTGCGCTTTCCGGGAAAACCCTATATGAAAAAAAATGGAAAAACCTGAATCATCAGATACTCTTTAGTCAACCAATTCAAGATGTCAGTGGAAGAAGGTCTTAGTAAATTGTCAGTGGAAGAACAGAAGAAGGTTGCAGAAGAAAAAGCTGCCGCCGATCAAAAAATCACTCCGTGGGAAGTGGAAGGAGCAGTAGTTGATGGGGTTAGTCAAGGGATCGATTATAATAAATTGATTGAACAATTTGGTACTAGAAAAATAACTGAAGAAACATTGAATAGATTTAAAGAAGTCACCGGACATGAACCACATCCATTTTTGAAAAGAGGAGTATTCTTTTCTGAACGTGATTTGGCTAAAATCTTAAAATTATATGAAGAAGGTAAACCATTTTTTTTATATACTGGTAGAGGTCCTTCGTCCGACTCGATGCATTTAGGCCATATGGTTCCATTTATTTTCACCAAATGGTTACAGGATGTGTTTGATGTACCATTAGTCATTGAATTAACTGATGATGAAAAATTCTTATTTAAACAAAAATTGACCATTCAAGATGTTAAAAAATTTGCTAAAGATAATGCAAAAGATATTATAGCCGTTGGGTTCAGACCAGAAAATACTTTCATCTTTTCCGATTTAGAGTATATGAATGGTGCGTTCTATGAAAACGTTGTTAGAACTTCAAGACAAATTACTACTTCAACTGCAAAAGCAGTTTTTGGCTTCCAAGATTCTGATTGTATTGGTAAAGTTCATTTTGCAAGTGTTCAAATTGCAACTGCATTCCCATCTTCTTTCCCAGAAGTTTTAAATTTACCTCCCAAAACTCCTTGTTTAATTCCTTGTGCCATTGATCAAGATCCTTATTTTAGAGTTTGTAGGGATGTTGCTGATAAATTGAAATTTTCAAAACCTTCTTTAATTCACGCTAAATTCTTCCCAGCTTTACAGGGGGCTTCCACTAAAATGTCCGCTTCAGATTCAACTACTTCAATCTTTATGGGTGACACTCCAAAACAAATTGAGAAGAAAATTAAAAAGTATGCCTTTTCTGGGGGTCAAGCTACTTTAGAAGATCATAAGAAATTCGGTGGTAATCCAGATGTTGATGTTGCTTATCAATACTTATCCTTTTTCAGTTACGATGATGAAAAATTGGCTAATTTAGCTTCTGGTTATAGATCCGGTGATATCTTATCAAGTGATATGAAAAAAGAATGTATTGAAGTTGTTCAAGAATATGTTAAAGCTTATCAAGAAAGAAGAAGTCAAATCGATCAAAACGTGGTGGATTCTTTCATGAAACCTCATAGATTGGTCTATGGCCAACAAGAAAGATTGGTTCCTATTAAAAAAAAGGATTAGATTAGATCATTACATTATAAATCATGTACATTAATATATATATATATACAACTTTTTTTTTTCAGAGTATTTCTTTTATATTAGCTAAAACAAACATCAATTTTTCAAAATCGTCATCCTTTACCTCATCTCCTTTACCAAACCATCTCGATCCGATTGATAATATCAAATTTTTGGGATTCGCCAGTAGTAATATCAATTTTCCTATTTGACTGGCTATGATTTGTATCTTCAAATTACTAGAGTCTCCCACCAATATGATTGGCTCGACCCCCAACCCTTCCTCACTACTATCAATTGAGTTGGTGGTTGAACTAATGGCTGCTTTCGAAGATATCGGAATATCAAACGTTGTATCGATTATTCCATTTGTATGAACATTTAGTATAATTTTATCGCTAAGCTCTATTTTGTGAAACGTGAACTCCACGTCCGACTCCTGGGGGTACTTCTTAACCAATACCTTGCTGAACTGGGGCAATGCAGCGTCCATTCCTGTCTAAGTTAGAAGAAGTTGTTCTCTTACTGGATTTTGAATTCGAAATCAGTGATTTTTTTTTTCATCTAATTATTCCTGGTGCACGGGTTAGTGGCCGATGGCCGCAAAAAAGTGCCGTCACCCAACTAAAGTCAGCCGATACTTCGTCTTATCAAGTTATAACTCGATGTCTGTCAAAAAAGCATACTGAACCGGGAATAAGTCTCCTGTGACATATTTAGCAAATGGGGGCAAGTAGCCAAAAAATGATAAACTATCTGTACTTTCGTTAGATCAAAAGTTAATATGCGTTTATAGGTAGACAGAAAGATGTTCGTAGAAGCTTGATCCTCCATCAGCGAACTGGCCTTATGTCTTGCAATAACTGACGTGGCCAATAGACATATCGAAAGATTTAATCCTCCCCAACCCCCAACACGTACACGCCAGTAACTCGAACACAGCTTCCAATCAACAGCTTGACCTGCACCTGTTTCAAAACGAAAGGCTTATTAGACAGCCTTTGATCTATGCCAGCCTTAGGCCGAACCCCGGATATACTCTACGAGCCCTCTCCCAGAACATTTTCAAGCCTGTTCTGCCTCGACTAACCTTTGCAACACCATGGCCGGAAGTCGGACCACCGCAACCGATTTTGGTAGTTTTGGCAGCCTTTCCTTTGTTCAGCTAACGGCTCGCAACGACGTCCTCTGCTATTTGTTGGTGCAGTTCGAGCGAGACACCGATTGCAAACCTCGTACCAGGTTAGGCAAATGTCCCGTAATGTCTGCCGGAGTCTCCTTACTGAGAATCGAGTAACTGTAGTATAAATAAGGCATCAGATCTCAATGGTCAGACCGTTTTCTTTCTTTTTTTGTCAAGAAGGAACGACTGAAAAAAAAAAAAGAAAAGCTCTTTGTCAGCATTTTTCATTATACTCTACTAATAACTACTATTATCAGTACGTTATAACAATATAGAAGAACAAGATGACTAGCAGTGTATTTACTCCGGTTCCAGAAGCCTTGGAAGCTTTCAAAAAAGGTGAGTTTTTGATTGTTATGGACGATGAAGACCGTGAAAACGAAGGGGACTTGATCTGTTCAGCAGAATTGGTTACTCAAGAAAAGATGGCCTTTCTTATTCGTTATTCTTCAGGGTATGTCTGTATTCCTTTATCTACTGAAAGAGCCGATGCTTTACAGTTGCCTCCAATGATTGCTAATCAAACCGATAGACACGGTACTGCTTATACTGTTACTTGTGATTATGCTCATGGAACTACTACTGGGATTTCTGCTTACGATAGAGCCTTGACTGCTTCTAAATTGGCCGATGCCTCGTCTGCACCAGCAGACTTCATTAGACCAGGACATATTTTGCCTTTGAGAGCTGTTCCTGGGTTGTTGAAGCAAAGAAGAGGACATACCGAAGCTGGGGTTCAATTATGTGAATTGACCGGCTTACAACCTGCTGCTGTCATTTGTGAAATGGTCAGAGATGATGATGGTTTAATGATGAGATTAGACGACTGTGTCGAGTTTTCCAAGAAACATGACATCAAAATTGTTAACATTAAACAGTTGGTGGAATACATATCTCAATAATTCAATTTTTCAAACCTTAATGACTCACGTTATTGCATAACGATTAACCTATGAACTTAATTAACTTATTTTTCTTAACTTAACTTAACTTAACTTAACTTAACTTAACTTAACTTATTTCTCAACTTAACTTATTTCTTTCAACTTAACTACATTAATTCTTTTGTTTATAGACTTTTCAATAGAACATTAAAAGAGCTTTCAACTCTTACTGTAAATTAAACTTATAATTTCTATTATACAATGCTTATTTCAAAATTAATTGGGCTTTTCTCTTACCAGAAACTTCATCCTTGATCGATTTAACGTATACACTAACTTTATCGAAAACTCCCAATTTTCTATTATTCCCACTAAAATCAGTAAATGTTAATTCAAAAGTATCTTCATTATATGATGCAGTATCCGCATCTCCCAACATGTCTAATTTGATTAAACCTTCAACCCCAAATTTTGGTACTAAAACAACTATACCGTTATTGAAACATTTTATAATGTAACCTTCTTGTTCAGATTCATTATTTCTCATCACTTGTCCCACATAATATTCAATACTTGCTCTACCGGCAAATTGAGCATTTCTATGACGTTTATTAATGTTTTTAACAATAAGTTCCATCTTATTTTTATCTCTATGACTTAAATCTAAATTTTCATATCCAATAGCACCAGCTAATTGTCTATGTGCAACAACATCACAATATCTTCTAATTGGAGAAGTGAAATGAGTATAAATATCAACCGCTAAACCATAATGTCTAAAATCTGGATATCCATATGATCCAGATGGGAAATATTCAGCTGCCATCATACATCTAGTGGACATAATACGTAATAAAGTATTAAAATATGGGTCCTTTGGATCATTACAACGATCTAATGAATCAGCTAATGCTTTAGAAGATTCTAATGATATATTCATACCAGATTTACGAACTCTCAACATTTCATTCAAAGTTTCAAAATTAGTAGATGGTGGTGCAGCATGTCTTCTTAACATTGCAGTTTGTGGATAAGCATCATAAATCTTTCTAGCAACTGATATGTTGGCAAACAACATAAACTCTTCAACCAAGGAATTAGTCTCAAGTAATTTCTTGATTTCAACTTCACCAGGATCAGAAGTTTCACTATCCATATGAACTTTAACTTCTGGTGATGCTAAATTAAGAGCACCAGCATCCAATCTTTTCTGCTTTAATTTTTTCGATAATTTTAATAAGATTCTCATTGATTGTGTTAATTCGTCATTTTGATTAGCATCATCAATTCTTATTTGGGCTTGTTCATAAGAAAATGCTTCTCTTGATTTAATTATTGATTTCATATAATCAACATTAACTATATTAGCATTATCATCTAATTCCCATATAACACTAAATGCAAATCTTTCAACATAAGGTTTTAATGAACACAAATTGGTACCCAATAACATTGGAAGCATATCAATTCTTTTATCGACAAGATAAACCGAAGTACCTCTAGCAGCACCTTCATTATCTAAAGCAGTATTTGGTTTAACGAAATGGGTGACATCTGCTATATGAACACCGACTTCATAATTACCATTTGGTAATTGTTTTGCATGCAAAGCATCATCGATATCAACACACCCAGGAGGATCAATAGAGCAAACTAATTTATCTCTTAAATCCTTACGTCTGGCTAATTGAGGATCACCATTATTGAGGTTTTCTGGTACTTTCCATTCAGAACCTTCAGATGGTAAACAATCTAAAACATTCTTAGCAAATGGTCTATATTCAACGTCATGTTCTAATAATAAAGCTTCAGTTTCTGCTTCTGCACTTTCAATTTCACCTAAACATCTAACAAAATGACCTTGAGGATATCTAGAGGTTGATTGCCATGAATCAACAGCAACCACAATTCTTTGACCCAAAAGCTCTTTTGCTTTTCTAGTACGTATTCTAATCTTAGGAAGTAACTTGTCCATTAAAATTACAAAACAAGTCTTGGAAGCATTACCACTGTCATTTTCCAAAGATACAGATGTTGGTGCAATTTGACCAACATAGTATCTCCAAGACCTTCTTACTATACCAACAACCTTAGCAGTTGGCTGTAATCTTTTCTGGATATTTTCTTCTGAACCAGAAGTGACTTTCAAAGCTTCTTGAGCCAATACCCTACGTTCCTTATCTGAAATGATTCCAGAACCTCCTTCTTGGTTGTCTGCTTCTTCGTCTGGATTATCACCGACATCAACATTGCTTTCCTCAATAATTGTGGTCGATGGTTCTCTCCATTTGTCTTTAGGTAATAATTCCACAATGACAGAATCACCATTGAATGCACGGTTCAAATTCTTAGTTCCAATAATCAATAAAGGTTTCTTAAAGGCTTGAGTTTGGACACTAGCCTCAAGGAAATTATAAGAGGAGACATTGAGAATACCTTGATATAACGTACCATTCTTAATACCACCCATGATTCTTGAATTGGAATAATATTCAGGATATGACATTTCCCGGGAACTAGTGGTTTTATCAAAGCTTTCATTTTCTGTTGGAACCAAGTCCCTCAAATCGTCTGCATTAGGTAAGGCATCAATATACTCATTCAATGATTTAGCAATAACGCCTTCACTTATAGCCTTATTTCGATTATCTTTATCATTACATAAAAATATTATATTAATCTTTGAATTTGAGTTATCTTTGTTAAGATGCTTCTGAAACCACTCAGCACATCTTCTGATAGCACGATCATTACGATCATTTATAGTTTCGTCTTTATGGCGTGACACATATGTCGATTCACTAAATTCATTATGGAAAACGACAAATCTTTTTTGGTCGGCTTTGACCAAAGCTCTGATTCTTTGGTATATTGGGAATGATCTATTTTTCACTTCATCTAAGACGGTTTGGGGGATTATTACATCATAAAAACAATCAGGATTCTCTAATAAATCAATAGCATGTAAAATGATATTAGTATCTAACAAAATATAATGAGAACCAAACTCTTTAATTTTCAAAGGAGTTTCTGAAAGGACAAATACCGGTAATTCACCTTGAGCATTAGGTTTTAGTAAATCATGACATTTGTTACATAATTTTGAATAACATGGAATATCATCTCTCAAGTAATGCTCTCTAACGATTTTGGTGGCAGTCCCGTTTCTTGATCTAACAAACACTTTCGAAGTGGCAGTCAAACCACTTGAAAGTCTTTTTCTTTGAGTCAACATTCCAATTGGTGAATGAATAGAGAATCTGTTAGACTTAAAAGACGTACTAAGTTAAGCTGCTCATCATTACAAATTTTCTCTTTTTTTTTCAGTGCAGTTTTCCGACTGGTTTTGTATGTGGTTCACGTGCGAAAATAACTTCCGGTATTGAATATATTTATTTACCTACTCATAATCACTAGATAAACTATATTAAAAGGGATAGGCGGATGAATAAGTACATTTCTATATGTAATTCATCGTAAATAAACTGAAGAAAGTGATAAGCTGACGAAAAGTTTATTCGGCTGAATAAAAAAAACGTTGAAAATGAATAAATTGCTGCAAAAGACAAATTCACTCAAGTAGCCCTAGTTGCCTTCATCGAGTAAAGAATATTGGTGTAGTAAGATACAGTCACCTCCACGCTCAGGATCTAAGCCATAGGTGTAGAATAGACCTTCTGAAGTAACAACGTTGATATGAATCAAGCTCATTGATAAAAATTCTTTGGGTGAACCCATGCCGCTATTTGATATTGAGTTGCTACTAGTGCTAGAAGATGAGCTTTTAAAAGCTTCATTATTCCCATTAGGATCTTCGTGACGCTTTGAATGAAGATATGACGGAGGAACCAAGTCTTTTTGAAGGTCGTTTGTCATTACGGCAATTGATTTAACATCTTTACCAATTGTATTAATTTTCAATGAAGCAAAATGACGAGTAGGCTCTAAAATTGATGAGAAACGAGAAGGTAAGAAATCACCCATTTTTTGAGCGGCTTTCCTTCCTAAAGTTTGAGAAGATCTTCTAATAAGTCTTGCCACGGACAAACGGTTTTGATCCACTATGGGTTCTGATTTGGGTTCTTTAGAAGATGGCTGATTCAGCAGATCGATACCATCATTACTCAAATTCGATGAGATACTGGTAAAAGAATTAGAAGATCCTTGAGAAAGCTTTCTTGATCTATTGGAAATAATTTCTAAATCATCATCTACATCATCTTCATCATCAACTTCATCGTCTTCTGCATCCGAATCATCACCATCATCTTGTATGAGGGCATCTTCATCTTCATCGTCGTCATCTTCGTTATTGTTATCGTTATCATTGTCATTATCATCATCTTTGTTATTTTCATTTGTTACAACTGAGTCAGTATCTTTAGAGCCTAGTGATGCGATATTTTTAGGAGTTGATTTTGGACTCTTTTTCGATTGTTTCAGATGCAGACTTTGAAGATCATCTTCATTCTCTTCGGCAATTGTTTCATATTCTGGATCTTTACGATGTTTTCTCTTTTTCATATTTCTTTTTTTACGATGCTTATTTTCCAAAGATTCATCTTCACCTAGTCTGAAAATATGAACGGTTTCACTTGAACTTGTTGCCACGACGTATTTATTATCAAAGCTAAAATTCAAAGAGTAAATTTTGGTTGGGTAAGTTCCTCTTCTAAACTGATAGAGTTTAACCCCCGATTCAACTGAAAAAACTCTAACAATGGTTCCTTTATCAGAAGCGGTAGCTAATAAAGTACCATCATTACTCAAAGTAATTGCTGCCAAAGAAGATTTATGAGCTTCAATGACCGATAAAGGTTGTAAAGAATCAAGATTGAATATAATGACATCACCCACTCTATTTGGACTATTACTAACTGATTGGATATTATTTTGTACCGAATTTGATCCACCATTAGTATTTATACCATTTACCAAAAGAGAATCATGAGTAATAGTTTTAGGAGGAGATGGATATGCTAAATAACTATTATGTTGAAGATTACATTCGGTATTTGATATTGCACAAAGACCATTAGTATTTGGACTTGTTTCAATGGTGTGTAGTAGATTCATAGTGGTAATATCATAAATATAAATTTGATCTTCTAACAAAACAATCATTTTTGATTTCGTCAACTTAACTTGTAAAATGGTTGAAGGAAATATTAAATCACAAATAGTAGATTGACGCTTGGTATTAATAATTTTTAACTTTCTTGGGGATGAGCTAATCTCATTACCCAACCCCACAACTGCTATTAATGAAGTACAATAAAGCATTTCAATTAGTCCAATCGATTCATTTTTTTTAAATTGATAACATTTTCGAAATGATGGAATACAATTGAAAATTTTATACCCACTATTCAATCCAACGGCTACACAAGTTGCATCCTGATTAAAAGTTATAAAATTAACTGAATCTTCACTTTGATTCACCATTCCTTTACTCTGGCTTTGTAATAATGGTGATGACCCATTACTACTATCACTTTCATAAGCATTCCCCATTCCTGAATGGTCATTCATCTGATTCACCAAATTGGACTGTAGTGAATTCATATGAGAAGCAGCACTTATCTGAGATTTGAGCATGGCTTATAAGTGCTAATTTATAAATGATAATGAATTCAATAAAAATAACTATTCTCTCCCTTATGAACACCGTATCGGTTTGAACGTCAAAGGGCACTGTTTCCTCCGTTTACTATGATCTGTCAATACTTGATCGTATAATCTTTATCAAGTTTTGATCGTTTTCTTCTTTATTTAGATTGAGTAACATTTTTTTTGGGCGTGGCCCATGCACTAATTGGCATTAGACTTGAGTTAAATAAGGATACTAAAAGCATACTACAAGGCTGTATACTACGCTGTATACTACATTGTATACTACGTTGTATACTAGGACTACACGGCTGTATACTAAAGACCACTAGTGAAGACATTGAGTAAACTAAGTATGTTTGACTAACCAGGAGGTGAAATTTTCAATCATTTCTGGAGTGGCTTCATGGCCAATGTCCTTTTGAACAAAGACCTCTGAATCTCTGTTGGTATTGAGATACATTTCCACCCATGAGCGACTCAATGAAGGTGGAACCAAAGTGTCGTCGTCACCAAAGCTTGCGAAAAGCTTGACCTTGTTGAAAGGGAAGTTTTCAAAGATATCGGTGTCCTCTTGACGAAGTAAATTGTGGAAGGCTTCCGGGTATTGCAGCTGTTGTTGCTGTTGGCTCAAAGGAATCTCTTCGTAATTGAAGTAAAACCATTTCTTATCAAAAGCAGCGTCACCTTGTTTGTTTCCCAATAACCTATTAAGTAATAAACTGGATAAGTCATTACAACCAACGACTGGATTAAGGATGTCAACAAGTTCCGGATACTTATTGGCAAATCTGATAACGGTATGGGCCCCCTGTGAATAACCACTGAGAATGTTATTGAACTTGATTTGGGCTTGTAATTGATACTTAATTTTGGGAGTTAAATGATACTCTAAATTTAAGTAACTAGGTAAGTAGTCCATAACTAATTTCAAATCATCGATTCCACCTCGAATCATGCTTATCATATCTACTCCATGGGTGTCGTTCCCAGATTTCCACGAGCGATTATGCTGTTCTTTGAGTAATCTTTCTCCATGATTTCTATTGTCAAAAGTTACGCATATTAATGGTACTGGATCATCCGGTTTCTTTTCGTAGTATTGCCTTAAGATATTATAAGCAATTGATTCAGTGAAATGATAATCTCCACCGCGATAATGGGCCAAGTATAATACATTAATTGGAATATCATTATTTTTCCCATCATCTCCCTGTTGAAATGAATGATCATTGATCAGCTGAAGATATGGTTTAAGACTGGACTCATTATACACGTAGGTTCTGACACCACCAATGAAGTACTCGTTTTTAGAGTAACTAGCTGGATCGAATTCAAAGCTCTTCATCTTGTAAAATTTAAAGAGTTGTAAAAAGAATTAAACTCAGTCAATTTTTAGGTGCACTTCAATTACAAACGAAAATTTATCAAAACTATAAAACTTAATATTAAATAATACACTCAGAAACTAAAATAAATAGAGATAATAATCATGCAGAGAATTTAGAAGTGAACGGTGGATTCTCAGAATCGCTGATTTTGGACTGTGGTCCTGGCTCGTGGTTTGGTCCTGCTTTGAAGATACCAGAATTGATGATTGCGTTTTGAGATGCAATCTTGGTATGTGCATTCAATTCCTTGTTGGTTAAAGAAGTTTTGACGTGGGTGGCAGACGCTTGCGAGCGGATAGAATCGGCTCTAATGGGTCTAGGGGTTGTTACCAGCTTGGGTTCGGATGTAAGTTTGGATATAGGACTTTTTTCATCATTCTCATCATCATTGTCGTCATCATTATCATCGTCATCGTCATCATCATCATCATCATCATCATCATCATCGTCGTCGTCGTCGTCGATTTCAACTTCTACTTTACCAACTTCACTGCTATTCTCACCTTCGTCAGCCATTAGCTCCTCTTCCTCGTCTTCTTCAATGTCATCGACTGGTTCACCCAATTTTTTCAGAACGAAATCAACAACTTCACGCCATGATCTCATTCCACCCATTGATATTTGACCATCTTCTACAAACTTCTCCACTGGTTTCAAAATACTCATGTTTGGATAACTTTCTTGTAGTAAACCCAATTGAATCTTAGTAATTGGATGAGCATACATTGCACTGGTTAATGCTAATGCTGCCACAATTGGTTTGGAAGATGCCAACGTATTTGTAATGACTGTTGAATCTTGTTTTTCGGGATTATCCAAAGTTAAATGAGTATTTGAAGCTGGCCAAATATGTAAAACATCAGTTAATAAATTATCAGCCAATCCATTAATCAATTTAGATAAAGTATTAGCAGATAATGGAGCAATCAATAAGACATCAGTCCATTTTTGAAGCTCGTAAGCCAAAACATATTGATTTAAAATTGAAGGAGTCAATTTGGTGAAATTTTTTGAATTATTTTTAAATTTATGTTCATCAATATTCCCAGTCAAATAGTGTTTTTCACCATCATCGTGAAACCAAACTTTAACCCCTAAAGTTTCAAACTTATGAAGTTTGTCATGCAAAAACCATTCTGCAGCCTTGGTCAAAATGACTTGAATTTCTAATTTGTCTTTGGTGTATAACTCAAATAATTTTTCAATTATAAGAAATATATTATGATGAATTGATATACAACCAGTTATACCAATTAGTAAATGTAATTTATCATCGGAATCTTCTGTCATTGGAGAAGTTGGAATTGAATCATTAGTTGTCACGTCTTTAGCAAAGGGAGAAATTACTTTTGGTGAGATTATCTTGGGAGAAGTTGTTTTACTGGATTTCCCACTATTAATATCTGATATAAGCGGAGTCTGGGAATGGGAATGGGCATAATCTTCATCTGATGGCAGGGTGGCTTTACCCGATCTATTGATTTGAAGAATCCCATGTTTATTAGGACTGAAAGGATCATCTCCAACCTCAAATGAAGGTCTCTTCTCTTCCAAAGATGAGTTTGACGGGGTCATTTCATAATCCTGTGGTGGTGATAAACAAGATTTCAAATTCGGATCCTTCTTAATTGACAATGAAGGTAATTGATCATCTTTCTTAGTAGTACCATTATTTTTCCCTTCCAATTCATTACCATGAGAATTCATAGTATGAGCTTTTAATTCCGGACTCTTCAACATTTGACATTTGGCATCAAGACTAGGCTTGGGCGAATGGCATGAAGAAGTGGGCTCTTGAAAGCTAATGTGTTTCCCAGTCAATACGGATTGTGATGGTTTATGTGGAATAGGAGTAGCAAGTCCGGAATACTCAGGAGACTCTGTACTAGACCTGCTATTATCATTCATCTCGCTACCACTATCGACTTCTTCAGTACTTCCCGGTCCTTTACTCATTCTGCTTGCTTTTAAACTTTCCAAGAAACAATTGTAGCAATTGTACTTTATACCTACTTTATATTGTTTCCACCCAACTTCAAATGAAATTTGTAAAAAATAATAATTAACAATAGTATTGGAATAAGGGTCCTCTTCCTCGATTCGTTATCGTATATATATCCCCGATGTTGCCTGTCTCTCTTCTGCTTTATCCCACCTTTACTGACCTCACACAACAGTATTAGTAAGGGTCTTTGTCACGTAACAGAGGTGTCAAACTCGTGATGTTACAATTTTTCCGTGAGCCTTTTTATCTAAACTGTAAACCCAGACACACACCCCTCGGAAATTGCAGGTTGGGTGCAATGCTAGCTGAAAAGTACTCTGGAGACTTAAATAAATAACAAATTAGAGGATGCTTCAGGGTATTTAGAGAGCCTGAACGACGTGGTGATAAGGAATAGGTGTTGGGCATATGTGAGAGAGGTTTTTTGGCTCTTCGTTTGTTTTTTTTGTTGAACAATCGATGATAGTAGAGTAGGTTTGTACCACCAGTGATTTAGGTTGGCATTGTGAGTGGATGGGTGGGTGATACGATTGCTGGTCTGACTCCACAAGCAGGTGGTTTGATGCTGTAATGTCGGAAGGGTACAAGACGGACAATAGGCCGATATCGTTATATGGGACTGGCGGTCAACGAGAACAAGTCGGGTGGAACCATGGTGAAGTGGAAGTTTCGTTGAGTCATGTTGGTGCCGATATTGTTGCAGGTACCAATGCTGGACGGTTTGACCTGGATATGCTTTCCAATAGCTTGTTCGAGTTCTTGGTATAAATATGGTGGTTTAACAAATTGGCATTACAATGGCGGATTTATTGGGTGAGATCTACTTTTAGGATGCTGGATTGGAAATCTATGCTAAATTACCGAAAAGCTTTCCAAAAGGTACAAAATGCCAATGGCTCAAGCCTCACCATCTGGGTTTGGCGATTAGTTTGATCAGGAAGTGACGTTTTTGTATTTTGGGAGGGTTTTGCTTGTTTTACTCTTAGTTAGAAGTCATCACGTTTGCCCAAGACCCTAAAACATCATGATGCAAAGAACAAGTCAATAAGGTTAGTCTGGCGTTGTTTTCGAGATGGCTTTTCTTTTTTTTTTTGATTGAATAGGCTTTGTTACCAGATCCAACCATTATATGAGTTTGTGAACATTTTGATTGAGATCCATATCTAATACGAACTCCATGCGAGGTCAAAGGGGTTGTCTAGCCGATGGGATAAATCAATTATGGTTTTCGCCTTCAATAGCAGTGATTATTGATTAGGTTAATGCTTTCTCTGGTACATCCGGTGTGGGATTGTTTGGCTCTTAGTGTTTCTATTACATATTTGACAAGACATCTTGACAGGCTTATATAAGAGGCACTATAATTCGAAGATGTTTTGTTTTTTTTTTTTCAGTATTCTTTTTGAAATTTATACATTATTGATTTAAATTACGGAGACCATGTCCGATTTAAAAGAACATTTAACATTTACCCCAATTGAATCTATTAAGCCTGGTGTTGATAGAGTAAGAAAAGGATTTCATTCAACTCAAAGATCCCATTCCCTTCAATTTAGATTAAATCAATTACGTAACTTTTATTTTGCTTTATCTGATAATATTGATGCTTTATCTGATGCTTTATTGGCAGATTTCCGCCGGTCGGTGGTCGAAACCAAGTTTTTAGAAATTGGTGGTGGATTAAAACAAGTTCTTCATATGATGTCAAAATTAGAGGAATTTGCCAAACCAGAAAAGGTTATTGATATTCCTTCAACCATGCAAAATCAACCAGTTTTCATTGAAAAAATACCCTTGGGGGTTATTCTTATTATTTCTCCATTCAATTTCCCACTTATCTTATCTATTGGTGCCATTGCTGGTGCCATTGCTGCTGGCAATGCAATTGTATTCAAACCTTCAGAATTAACTCCTCGTTGTTCAGAAATTTTCACCAAGATTTTATCAGATGCTTTAGATCCTGATTTTTTCTTTGCAGTTAATGGTGGCATTGAAGAAACAACCGAACTTTTAAATCAAAAATTCGATAAAATTATGTACACTGGTAATGCTCGTGTTGGTAAGATAATTGCTCAAAAAGCCGCTGAGACTTTAACTCCAGTTATATTAGAATTAGGTGGTAAATCTCCAGTTATAGTTTTAGATGATATTGAGCCAGAAAACATTCCAATGATTGCAAGAAGAATTGCTTGGGGTAGATTTATGAATTGTGGTCAAACATGTATTGCAGTCGATTATGTGTTGGCTCCAGAATCAATAAAAGATGCTTTAGTGAAAGAAATGGTAAGAATTATAAAAGAAGAATTTTACCCTCAGGTTAAATCAGGCCATGCTGATTATACTCATATTATTAGTCAACGTGCTTTTAACCGTATTACCGGAATGATTGATAATTCAAAAGGTAATATTGTTGTTGGAGGCGATCGTGATGAAAATACCTGTTATATTCATCCAACTATTATTGATAATATTGATTGGGACGATTCTACTATGGAGGATGAAATTTTTGGTCCTTTATTACCAGTTATTAGTTATACCGATTTGAAGAAGGAAATTAAAGAATTGACCTCCCGTCATGACTGTCCTTTAAATCAATACATTTTCACCAAGAATCCTAATCGAAGTGAAAATAAAGATCTTGATTTCATTTTGAAATCAGTTAGATCAGGTGCTGCCATGGTTAACGACGTTGTCATGACTGTAACCTTATCAAATGCTCCTTTTGGTGGTGTTGGTCAATCTGGTTATGGTTCGTACCACGGTAAATTCTCCTATCGTGCTTTCTCCCATGAAAGAACCTTCATTGAAGAAACTTTAGCCACTGATGGTCATTTGAGCTGGAGATATCCTTCAGTCACTGCCGAAAAGGAAAAACTCACCGCTAAAGATATTCCCAACGATATGGTTATCCCGTCCGAAAGCGTTTGGTTTAAAAGATACGATGACGTGCCTCCTGCTCCTAGAAATGACAAGAAATCCGGTGCCAACTCTTGGAACGACTTCATCTCCCGTTTATTCAAGTAACTTCTCTATTCTCTTGCTATATAAATTGACTGCAAAAATTATTGAGCCGTTTTTTTTCTAATACACAAATTATACATTGATCACAAACTTACCACCCACTAATAATCACATGGCAGGCCGTTTCCCACCTCTGCTGAGCTGCTAACTTCATTGCCGTCTTCTGCCCCGGTCCCATGGCCGGTATTCACTTTGTCTATCATGTGAAGATACCAGTCCGTACACCACACCCGGACACCCATAGTTAAATCAACAGAGCGGAGGGGTTTTCGATCTTCCTCCGTGTTTTGATGGATTTTTCTCTTTATTTTCATAAGAACGTGAGATTAAACTATTGCAAAAGGGATTTTTTTAGCGACCAAAAGACATTTAAAAGAAGCAATTGCCACATTTTTTCTTTTATTTTGAAATAGTATAATTGGATAGATCAATTGAAAATGGTTCCTCCAAGTTCTGACAAAAAGGTAAAGAGTGCTGCTGCTGCTGCTGCCACTGCTACTACGAATTCCAGTGCTTCTACCCAAACTGGATCGTCAGGATCTGTTAATACGTCGAAGCTTAGCGAGAAGTCCAATGGTCCATTGGTGTATACGCCTTTATCTGAGATTCCCAAAGGGGTTGAGAGATTGACCAGGGCATTTCACGAAAAGCAAAAGACCCATTCGATTCAGTTTAGATTGAATCAATTGAGAAACTTGTATTTTTTACTTAAGGATAATTCTGAAGCCTTGTGTGATGCCTTATCAAAAGATTTCAATAGGTCTCCTTCTGAGACCAGAAACTTGGAGCTTGCCGGGGCTACAAGTGAGCTTCTCCATGCCATGTCGAGTTTACATAAATGGGTTAAACCAGAAAAAGTGACTGATTTACCATTGACTGCAAGTTTGAATCCAGTTTATATTGAGAGAATACCTTTAGGGGTTGTTCTTATTATTTCTCCATTCAATTATCCATTTCTCTTATCGTTTAATTCGATTGCTGGTGCAATTGCTGGTGGGAATGCGGTTGTTTTCAAACCTTCGGAATCAACTCCTCATTATTCTCAACTTTTCACTTCTTTATTAACTCAAGCTTTAGATCCAGATATCTTTTACGCAGTTAATGGTGCCATTCCTGAAACCACGGTTGTTTTGGATCAAAAATTTGATAAAATCATGTACACTGGTAACAACACCGTGGGTACCATTGTTGCTAAGAAGGCTGCGGAAACTTTAACCCCTGTATTGTTAGAATTGGGTGGTAAATCTCCTGCTTTTATTTTGGACGATGTTAAAGATTCAGATTTAAAAGCCATTGCTAATAGAATTGTATGGGGTCGTTTTGCTAATGCCGGTCAAACTTGTGTTGCTGTTGATTATGTCTTGGTTCATGAATCGGTTAAACAAAAATTGATTAGCAAGATTGAATCAGTTATCAAGGAAGATTTTTATCCAAACTTGACTAAAGATGATCCTTCTTATACCCATTTGATTCACAATCGTGCTTTTAATAACTTATCCAAGATTCTTGACACCACTAAAGGTGATATCATTGTTGGTGGTGAAAGAGATTCGGCCTCTAATTATATTTCTCCAACCGTGGTTGATAACGTTGATTGGAATGATTCAACCATGCAACAAGAACTCTTCGGTCCTGTGTTACCAATAATAACCTATTCTAATTTAGCAGATGCAGTTACAGAAGTTGTTAGACGTCATGATACTCCTTTGGCTCAATACATCTTTACCAGTGGAGCCACCTCGCCCCAGAAAAATGAACAAGTTAACCTTATTTTCAAATCGATTAGATCAGGGGCCCTTTTGGTTAACGATGTCTTGATGCATGTTGCCTTGGCTAATGCTCCTTTTGGTGGTATTGGTCAATCCGGTTTGGGTGGTGGTTATCATGGATTCTTCTCATTCCGTACTTTTACCCATGAAAGAACGGTTATGGAAAATGACTTGAAAGTTGACTTTGCCCTCGCTTCTAGATACCCTCCTTATAGCTCAAACAAAGATGGGGCTGTTTCCGCTGCTCTCATTCCTTATAATGATGTCGCTTGGTTTAATAGAACTGATGATGTTAGAATTAATGGTCCTAACCCAATTTGGGGTTTCTTTCATACCATCGCTGGTGTCGGTGGCTTGGTAAGTGCTTTCATCAACTCTAGAAAAGCTTAGACGATTTCTTTTCCCCTTTTTTTTTTATAAACCCTTAGTGTTTAGTTCTATGAATAGTTTAATTGAATGTTTTATTAATGGAAAATTTATTGAAGTATTCTTCTCCAACCTTCTTTTTCACGTAACTGTACATGGCAAGCCGCAACCCAGCCACTCCGCTTGCTTAAAGAAAATTCTAGTATGCTGTCATACGTCGTCTGTGGACTTTTGAGAATTGGCTGCAAAAAACGTTCATACATTTTTTTTTTTGACTCTCCACAAATGTGATACTTATTAGTTTTCTCAGTTTGCAGCAAGTATTTTTAGTTATACAGTTTAAATTTGGAGCAGGGGAAGGCTATAGCCGTGGTTCCAGCTTCTTAAAATAGCTTTTTTTGCAATTCAACGAGTTTGCAACCATTTTTAGTCTACTTTGAATTGAAAGAACTTTAAAAAATGAAAGTATAAATAAGAAGAGATATCTGATCGTCCTTAGAGTGATTTTGCTACTTAACATTATCGTATCTAGCTGAAAAGCAGTTTAACTCTCATTGCTTTATCACTAGCTAATTCAAAATGACTTTTCCTACAGACTTTAAAGAATCACATTCGCTAGTCGAATCCAAACTACCCAATTCTAAAATTTCTGTTGAAAGATTAAGGTTGACCAAGTTTGTAAGCTCCCAAAATATAGATACTTTTCTCATCACCAATTGCAATCCAATCTTCTTATATTCAAGATCAAGCAAGAGCTGGTATAAACAAATCCGTCACACGCAAACTGTTGGTAAGACTTATTCAAAATTATTGAGCTACTCACATATCAATAATTATACCCGTTTATACAAGGTGTTCCAAAAAAGTATCTCCAAGAAGCATTTGAACAAACATCAATTCAAAGTCTTATCTGCATTTCCTCAAACGAAAAAGATTTACTTATCTTTTTCAATCTTGACTGAAGACGATGAGCTTATGTTATTAAGAACTATTATTTGTTGTCATAATGTCATCCCCCAAGTTCCAATCGAGCTTGAAGTTTTCGTTATCAGACCAAGCAAGCGTCTTGAAAGTCTTTTGTATAATGTTAACATCCAACACTTTCGTACTATTACCCTTCCTGGATGCTTAGATTTGGGATAATACGAAGTATACTTCTTTAATTCTACTTATTGTTTTAATATTATTGACTTGTTTATGCGATTATTGTAGTTTTGTAGAAATTTGACATCTTTTCAGCATAAATGTTGTAAATTATGCACACAAATTTTAGATTTTGCAATATTTGGCAATTTTTTGAAAATGTTTGCAAAAACCAACCCTACATAGTCTTAATAAAGATAGAGAAGTTTTCAAAGAGGAGAATGATACTCAAAGAGAAGAATGATACCCAACTAGGGGAATGTAAATCGCTTTGGGGACAATACCTTTAGAATATTTTCCAAGCAACAGAATTACAACTAAAGGTTAAAATATCTAAGAAAATACAAACTACAGCTCACAGCTCTTAATGACAGAAATCAGACAATTGTACTTACTGAAGATTTACGTTGTCACAACCGCAAAAAACTCTCCAGAAATATCTGACATACAATTAGCCAATAACTCCCCCTCAGTTTTTAAGGACTTTTATCTATAAGTTAAACTCAATTTATAGCCATCTTCTATATATATATATAGGTGTTTTGAAGATATAAATATACTACTCTAATATATATTTTTGCAACCATTGACTGTGCGCAAAGAAATTTAAACCTAGCCGTATTCGATTAAACTAATAATGTCTCCAACTAAGATTGCAGCTACCCAAGGTGATCCTGAACTGAAAATGTCAGCAAGAAAAGTTCTTAAGCATCTTATTGATTCCCGAGGACTTATTCCAACTCAATGCTATATACCAACCTTGCTGGAAAACCTAAAGAAGATGTTAGGGCTGGTTGTTGGAAATGGATATATTGTGTACATTCACGGATAACTTGAAAGGAAAACGAATTTTCGCTGCTATGTCAGGAGCAAGAGGCCATGCTCTTTTATGTCTTGATGGTGTGGTTTGCAAGTCAGGAGTCACTCGTGCCGGAGCTTCTGAAGCTGAATTTTGAAAGCTTATTAAAGAATCCCTTTTTCAAAGATTTGATTTCGGAAGAAGGTCAGCTTTTGAAATTCGGAGATCCCTTTCTTATCTTGAAGAAACTACTAGTGTTTATGCTTATGCCGATAAATTTTTCTCTATCTGTGGTGAATTTGTTGATGAAGAGCTTGGTGATCCAGAGATTATCGCCACATTTATTGGCGGCTTGAAGCCCTATATTAAAGCAGCTATTCGTGCTAAGGATGGCACTACTAGCAATCTTATGGAAACTGTTGGGTTAGCCAAAGATTTAGACACTTGGAATTCTCATTATACTTGTCTGGGAGAAGGAAATATATTGATCGTGATGAAACATCTTTTAGCAGAGACAATTGTAACAACAATGCTTCTTCTAGTAGATATAATAAGAAGTATAATTCTAAAGACCACGAACAAAGAAATGGTAAGAACAGTAGGCTTGGTTAATAAAACAGAATAAGTGGAAAAGTTACTGACATTACTGACTGATGATATGTTGTCTTATCATGACAAAACCTTTTTTTGAAGTTTATGCTGCTTAGTCGTGAAGCAATTGCTGAGACACTTGATTTGAATACTAGGCACTTCGTGATTAATGGCAGAATGCCCTTGGGTATAGTGTTGAGAATATATGTGACCTTATAACTGCTTCTTAATCTAGAAGCTGAAAACCATTGATTCTGATACTGATTGAGCAACTTCTTTTTAACTTGCCTGATAATAAATTACCAACATCGGTTAGAGAGAGATTGATTTATTATTTGGTTATCAGAAATACAACAAAAATTCATAGCCAACGATCAACGTAGATAAACTTCAACGCAGACGAAGAGAAGTAGGGATACAGATTCTAAAATTAACGAAACCAATAGCAACCAGATATCAGAATCTCTGTTTGAATCCGGAGGATATAACAAATCTTTCAACATTAGTGTGTTTGTAGAATCCTTTCTTGCGACTTTTGGGTGCAAAATTGACCTTGAGAATTTCGGTGACTATACCGTTGTAACAAATTCAAGCAATAAACGACACCGTATTGCTGCTAGTGATGATCAATTGATATATATAAGTATAGATTTTATAGTCGGATCTTGCGAGAGAGCCATAATTATCATTCGTCTAAGAGACTGATATCCGTAAAAGAAAATATATGAACAAATATATACTTTTACGGAAAGACAGTGCATCAAGAAAATCACCGCAATTGAACATTTGTAAAGACTGGATACATGATGTTCGAAAGACTCTTACAACAACGAATATATATTCATCTACTTATAAAGATCACGGATACCAGAGTCAATTTCAGAGAAACCACTTGATTTATACCTCTAACGAAAGAGTGAGATAGCATTTTTGCTTCGAACAAGATGTATCTTTGAATAATGCCTCTGAGGTCGTCGAAACCACCATATGATTACTAGCAACATGTTGTATCTACTGACAATTCTAAGTAATTAGATCGTTTTTTGAAAAACAACAAAAATATATTCATATACTTATTGAAATTAAAAGAAATAAACTAATGTATCCTTTCTGTGTTGTAGGCGACGAAAGGAAGCCAGTTTGAAAATTTAAAGAAAAAGATCAACTTTTCTATGTCCTAATTTACATATTTTCATATTGAACAGGGCAAATATTTCGTTATAAAATCTCCGATATAGTGTAACGGCTAGCACGGTTCGCTTTCACCGAGCAAACCCGGGTTCGACTCCCGGTATCGGAATTTATTTTTCTACATAGAGCATCTTTAACGCCTTGCTTACAGACTATCTTTTTACTGACGAAGAAGTTGTGCAGCGAGCTCATCTATTCATTTCTTTTTGACGTTAAAATAGTAAAAAACACTCTTGAAAAGCTCTTAAAAAATTTGTAAAGACGCCCGGTACATACAAGGGCCAGTCACCAAGTAGTAGCCATTATACCTTGTAGTTTCAACCGTATAAACGGTGTAGGTGGTCGTTTTTGCTTATTGCAAAAATGGTTGCACCAGATTTTTTTTTTTTTTTTTTTTGTTTTGTTAGCGTCTCATCGCAGATTTTTTTTTTTTCAAAATCAAAAGGTACAAAAAAAATGAAAAAAAGATCATTATACAACTTTTAGAAGCATAATATTCGATAGAACCTTTCGATAGTCTTGATTAAGATGGCAGATAATAATCCAGATGGTGGTTTATCGGCCGATGTCTTCATTATGGAAGACAAGTTGTCCAAGATAAGAAGTCAAATCAATTCTAAACTTGAAAATCAAAAGAATTTAGCCATTATATTATCAGCAGTTGAAGAAAATATGGAAGAACAAAAGAATGAAAAGACACCAGTTGCTTACTTCGTTTCATTCTTGTCTTTACTTGATCAGTGCATTAAAGGGGATAATATTGTCGATAAGAACTTGGCAGCCACAACAGCCTATTTCTTAGATATCATTTTCCCATTTACTCCAAAGCCGTTATTGAAAGGTAAATTTGCTGACATTTTAACTAAATTGGCTCCTCCATTGACCCACCCAGAATCCGAGGCTCCTCTTGTAAGATCAACCATTGGTGCTTTGGAAAGTTTATTATTAGCACAAGATCATCAACAATGGATTGCATCAGGTAACATTTCTCCTAAAAGAGCATTGGTAGGGTTATTAGAATTATCATTTGACCCAAGACCCAAAGTTAGAAGAAGAGCTCAAGAGGCTGTGAATAAGATCTTAACCAACCCTCCTGCGTCTCCTTCTCCTATCCATGTTGCTTCTCCAATTTGTGGGGAATTATCTTTACAAAGATTGGCTACTTTACTTGAAGAAAGAGGAAGTAAAAGAAGTAATAACAAGGAAGTCAATTCTTCCATGATTCATTGCTTGCAATTAATAACTTCTATAACATCTGCCAATGCTTGGCCTCAAGCACAAATTGAACCTTTATGTGATGTCTTATTGGAAATCTCTAAAACCTCAGATCAATTCTTGGTTTCATCGGCTTTTTCTGCCTTCGATGGTTTATTTTCGTCTATGTCTAATGTTATCGATGTTGAAAAATTCACTAAAGTTTTGGATATCATCTTTGATTTGAAACCTTCTATTAATGATGGCCACTTGGCAGCTTCTTGGTTAGCTGTTGTTGCTAAAGCTTTGGAAAGTTTTTCTACTTTAGAACCTAATACTTGTTTGTCCAAGATTCCAGCAGTTCTCCCAATTGTCTCCCAATACCTTTCTTCGGATTCGAGTGATATCTATATTTCTGCTTCCCAATGTTTAATTGCAATTGTTACTCAAACTATTCCTGATAATTACTTACTTCAGCCTACTGCAAATAACGGTATTTCTGCAGAGTTATACGAAACCGTTGATGAAACCATTACTTTTATTGCTGAACATGTTGAAAAAGAATTGTTATCAATTAAATACCAACACGCCACTAAAGAAATTCTCGAGCTTATTACCGCTGTCATCATGAAATTAAGATCTCGTTGTAATCCAGATTTCCTTGGAATATTAGAAACTGTTGGTGAATGGCGTACTAGTGAAACTGATAATTTTCCTCATAATAAGGAAGCTGAAGATGTTATTGCTGCTTCTATTTCAGCAATGGGTCCAGATACAGTTTTAGGAGTCTTACCATTGAATTTAACTGGTGGTACTCAACCAGGTAGAGCTTGGTTATTACCATTATTAAGAGATAACATCAGAGTTGCTGACTTAGAATATTACAAAAAGAATATCTTACCATTGGTTGATTTCTTCGAAACTAAAATTAATGATGCTCCAAATAAAGAAGCAATGCATATCAAAATTTTTCAAACCATCGTTGATCAAATATGGTCCATCTTACCTCCATTTTGTGATTTACCAAAAGATTTAATCACTAGTTTTGACGACTCTTTTGCAGCAAACTTATCTGATTTAATGTACGCTAGGGTTGAATTAAGAGTTCCAATTTGTCATGCTTTAAGACTTTTGGTTGAATCAAATATTGCTTATAGCGAAGGTGCTGTTGCTGATGATCTTCTTATTCAAGAACAAATTTCGATCGAAAGCTCGAAAAAACACCTTGAATATTTATCAACTAAAGCCTCCAACATGTTATCTGTTTTATTCAACGTCTTTTCATCTACTGTTCCAGAATCAAGAGGCTTCATTTTAGAAACCATCAATAGTTATTTGCAAATCATCTCTAAAAATGATTTGGAAGTCACTTTTAACAAAGTTTGTGGTTTATTAAAGAACTCTTTAGATCAGGAAGCAGAAAACCAAGCTAATAAGAAGGATGACACTCCTAAATTAAGTTCTACCATGATGGATCTTATTGTCGCTATGGCCAAATATGTTCCTGAATCATCTTATAATGCATTATTCTCCATTTTTTCATCTACTGTTTCTTTACCAAATGATGTTTTATTACAAAAAAGATCATACAGAATCATTGCTAAATTAGCAGAAACTGAAGAAGGAAGAAGATCCATTGTTCAATTTATTGGTGAAATTGAAAATGTTATTGTTCAAACTGTTGATATAACTCATAACTCCGCTAGACCTTCTAGATTAACAGCTGTCAACTTGGTAATGGATTTATTACCGGAGTCAGATTTGCATTTTATTCCATCCATTTTGCAAGAAATTATTATGTCAACTAAAGATGTTAATGAAAGATCTCGTGAATTATCATACCAAATTTTAATTAAGATGGGTCATAAGATGAATCAAGGTGGCCTCATAAGAAACAGTAGAGTACCAGGTTTTGGTGAAGATACTCCAGACTCTCAAGCTACTTTGATTGAATACTTCACTATGGTTAGTGCAGGTTTGGCTGCCCAATCTCCACATATGATCTCTGCAGCCATCACTGCCATTTCTTGTTTGATTTTCGAATTCAAGGACAATTTACCTGTTGAAACTTTAGTTGAAATATCTTCTACTGTTGAATTATTCTTAACTCATAACTCACGTGAAATTGCTAAGTCAGCAATTGGTTTTGTTAAAGTTGAAGTTCTTTCATTACCAGAAGATTTAGTTAGATCAAATTTGAAAGAATTATTAGGTAAATTAATGAGATGGTCACATGAACACAAAGGTCATTTCAAATCTAAAGTGAAGCATATTGTTGAAAGATTAATTAGGAAATTCGGGGTTGAAGAAGTCGAAGAAGCCATTCCTGAAGAAGATAGAAAATTAGTTGCCAATATTAAGAAAACTAGAAACAGAGCTAAAAAACAAAAAGAAGCTGATACCGAAGAAGGTACTGCAACTACCGATGGTCAAGGTAAAAAATTCGTTTCTGCATACGAAGAAGCCTTGTATGATTCAGACGTTTCTGATGATGATATGTCAGAAGATGAATCTACTAATAACAGACAAAAGGGTAAGAATAAAGCCGTTAACCAATTTATCATGGAGTCTGGTGATGAACCATTGAATTTGCTTGATCGTCAAACATTAGCTCATATTTCTTCTTCTAAACCAAAGAAATTCGGTAAACAAGACATGCCTAAAGAAAAAATTGCAACCAAAAATGGTAAATTGGTATTCAAGGATCTTGATAATGACAATGAAGATCCTTTGGCCAATAAAGGTTCTGGTATTGATGCCTACTTAGATGCTGTTAAACAAGCTCCAGTTAGAGGTCAAAGAAATAAATTGAAATTCAAAAAATCCAAGGATAACGAAGAAGATTGGTCTGATTCTGAAGATGAAAAACCACAACCAAGAAGCTCGAATAAACCTAAAGTCAATTCTAAATCTAGAATCTCCAAACCAAAACAAAAATTCAAAGCTAAGAAGAAGCTTTGATCTCCTTATTATCGTACATTTCCTTTCTATTGTATATTTATCTTCATTTTTTTATAGTAAAGAGTTTATATTAGTTTAATTGCAGCCAATTATGTCGTAGTGCGTAGATCAACTTGTGGTCGAAAAAATCAGTACAACTTTTGGTGAAAAAAAAAAAAAAAAGAAAAAAACATAGAGAAGACCATAACTTGATAAAGACCGTCCAGAGATTACACGAGATGACTGCTAAGAGCTCTATAATTGTTAGATTGGCTCGTTTTGGTAGAAGACACCAACCGCTTTACAATATTGTTGTTGCCAGAAGACAGGCAGCCAGAGATGCCTTACCTATTGAAGTATTAGGAACTTACGATCCAAAGCCAGTTCCATTATCCCCACAAGAAAAACAACAGAATGTCAAGCCTTATAAGAACATAGAGTTAGATTTCGATAGATCCAAGTACTGGCTAGGAGTTGGTGCTGACGTTAGTGACCGTGTCACCTTTTTATTTAAAAGAGCAGGTCTTTTGCCTGAGCAATGGCCAAGTCCTCAAAAATTATCACAGCATACTAAAAAGTCTACTACTAGACCATTAGAAGTAGTTGAAGAAGAAGCCCAAACCTTATTAAGACCAAGAGATTAGTAGCGTGCCAGTCTCATGATACATAAATAATGTCCTTTCCTTGTATATATATATTATCAATATCACAATTCATTTATTAATTTATATAAAATGATGAAAATAATTATTTAAAAAGCTTTGTGAATGTTTTTTTAAGCTTTTTAGGTATATTAGAAGCAGCTTGCCTGAAACGAATTTTTTTCTCTTGATTAGAATGTCCTTTAAAAGATTTACTAGCTTGTTGTATTCTTCTCTCTTGTAAACTAACAGAAACTCTTTTGTCATCTTTCTCTACATCACTTAGTTGTGAAGAGGAATCTTTGACCTTCAATTCATTCGAGAAATTTTGGTCTAGCTCACTCTCTTGAGCTTCATACCCCAGACAATCGATATCATTTATGTTTTCAACATGAACATAATTATCATTTGAAGACAGCGCTGAAACAGCTGGACACGAAGTTGATAATAGAGGAACATCAGTATCCCAATCTGAAAATATTCCAATATTAGTTCCACTTTTGACCAACTCCCGACGTTTAAGTTTATTCAACTCAATAGAATCAAATATGAAACGTGAGTTTCTCTTAAGCCCCAACTCTTCTTTATCCTCATCAGCTTTATGCAATTGTGGTTGGGAACGTCTTATGAACGAGGGTTCCACAGTATCAAGCTTCATTGGGCCAAATCTTGACATCCATGCTGGATGAGGATGATTTCCAATTGATTCTAAATCGGTTTTTCCTTCTTGTGATACGTATTGAGTTGCAACCTCATCATCAGTGATTTCAAGAGTTGGTTTATTTAGAAAATGCCTAAAATTTCCACTATCTAAGGTGAAGTTTTCAAAATTAGAGTTCTTAATAACTGTATGAGAAGAAGTGTTTTGTAAAGTAAGTTCATTTTCGTAAACGTTATTATAAGCATTTGAAAAGAGATGAAGGTTTTCAATATAACTATCTATAGAAAGAAAAGACCAAGGAGGAAATTCAGCAAGCCTTAAAATAAACTCTTGAAATATTGATTTCATATAAATTTTCTGATCAAAGTATGATGTATTCAATATATTTTGACTGAAAACGATTTGATCGAAGTTTTGTAGCCTTTTCACAAATATTTTTAGAAATTCGAAATCGTTTGTTAATGCTGAATGTTGTTTCAATACCTTTATTGTTAGATATTCGAAAATAAGAGACCACTGGTCAGAATTGGTTATAACTATTTCCATTGACTTGAATAATTCAGAAATGTTATATTTTAGATTATAAACGAGATGCTCATCTTTCAAGTTTGAGTGGTTATTTTCCAATTCCTCTTCATAGCTTGATATCGAGCCTTCAATTGAACGAATCAACATGAGAGTAGTTGCTCTATCGATCGAAACATTAATTGGTTCTTCGTAACTTGAGTGATTGCTTGTTCGATTAACGGAACAATTTACTGACAACTGAAATACTGTTTCAATTAGGTAATTGATCGTGTTTAAAGTTTGGTTTTTCGAAATGTTCAGTAAGCTATTGACGTTAGGGATTATCAACGATAAAATGATTTTCTTGAATTTAATCTTCAAAAAATGAAGAAATTCACATTGAGTAGTATAATCACAGCATTCATTTGCAAAAAGTAACAGTTCCTTAACCAAATCCTTTAACTGATCAAAGGATTCCTGGAAAGAGTATAAATAAATATCTGAATTTTCATTAAGCAATAACTCGATCTTTGCCATTCTAATCGAGATATTAGTATCCGGTCTCGTAAGACCTCTTCTGTTTGAAATCCAATTAGTGAAGCAAGTGAGATTGGAAAAAACTCTACCAGAACCATAAGTCGAATCTCTGCGCAGATCAAAAGTATCCAACCTAGAAGTTGTTTCGTTTAATAAGCTTTCTTCAGCCATGGTTAAAAGTAAACTAGGAATAAATGAAAAATTACTTTCACGAATCTTTGAATGTTTATTTAGCCTGGGAGGTGAAATCTGGGAAAAGGAAGAAGCGCTAGTATAACTCGAAGAACCGTACAATGTTTCAACCCCAATAATAGTATGGGGTCTGTTGGAGGTTAAATTGTAGGATTCGAAAGACCTTTTTTCATTTAGTGAATATCTTTGAATTTGTGGATGAGTCGAGAACTGTAAGACCCCAAGCATAATCTGAATCAACATGAACCGTCTGTAAATTGCCTATCTGTAAACCTTAACAACATTCATATTCAAATGAATACATACAGATACATATATATATATATAGATTCATACATAGATATAGTCTGATGAGGTTAAGTTTGGGCTGCGAAAAAAATGTTTCAGCTTTTTTTGTTGCAGCCAGCAAAGCGGTTTCAAACTAGTTTTATAGGAGCTTCAAACGTACGACAACTACAGTGGTAATACTAAAAGGAAATTTATACTATTAAACTAAACTAAGTGAGGATCTAATTTGCTTAATCGAATAAACCGAATCCCATGTCATCATCGGATTCTTCAGCTTCTTCAGCTGGAGCAGCTTCAGCAGCAGCATCAGAAGAACCAGCAGCGGCAGCAGCTGGAGCAGCAGCAGCGTAAGCTTCTGGGTTAGCTAATCTATCTTTGATAGCTTCTGAACCTTCGAAGGTGTAATCAGTAGCAATAGATAAAGCTAAGACATTCTTATAGTGGTTAACAACAGAGTGACCAACAGATGGTAAGGTTGGGTAACCAACAGCTAAAGAGATGGAAGCAATGGTGTTGATAGCGGAAACAAAGTGACCGACTAATTCATCATCAGTGATATCCAAGATAGAAGCTGGGAAAACTTGACCTTTATCGTAAACTTGGACAACAGTTAAACCATAAGTGAATGGAGAAATGTTTAACATGTTAAGTAAAGTAGCTTCAGAAGGACCAACTTTAGCATCTTTTTCAACAACTTTAACATCAGAAACAATTTCAATGGTACCTCTGGCAATCTTGGTTGGAACACCTAAGGCTTGGAAGAAAGAAGTTTTACCTGGTTCCATACCGGTGTTACCAGCTGGAATGAAAACATCTTTTGGAGCAACGGCACCAGCTTTAGCTGGAGCAGCAACAACATTAGAAACAACAACATCTCTAATAGATTTTAAGTCACTGTTGGTGAAAATAAAACCAACATTACCTTTAACAAAAGGTAATAATTTTTCATAATCTGGTAATTCAGATAAGAAACCTCTTAAAGCACGTCTAACCATGGTGTTTTTACCCATTAAAACGGTAGCTTCACCTCTTAAGGCTTTTCTAATTTCGTGCATTTGTTGAGAAGAGACATTGTCGACACCAACAATGAAGATTGATTGGTAGTCTTCCAATAATTGTCTTAATTTGCTGAAGTATTGAACTTTTTTATCACGAGTACCACCCATTTCGACTTGATTATATCTATTTGACGATAGGAATATTTAATGGTATTCAAATATGTCTTGATAAAGAAGAATAAATGAAAGGAAAATTGGAAGATTTTTCAACTTTCAAGTAGTGAAAATTGTGCGAGAAAAAAAAAACTCACCAAAAAATTTTGAAAAACAAAAAAGGGCTGCAGCCCTTGAAAAAAAGTATAGCACGTGATAGGTATTCAAAAATGTACGGATGCGAGACCGATATTTGCAACCATTGCAAGTTCTATTTTGATAACTCAACTTTTGTTGCTTCTAAATATACAAGGGTGCCATTAATAACTTAGATTTTATTGCTACTAAATATACAAGGGTTAACCATAATTTTTATTTTCGTAATCCGAGCTGACAAAGCTGAATTTCAAAAAGTATTTCCAAATACTTTCTAGTTTTTTCAATTCCTTACCGTCTTCGAATTTAGATTTGGTTGGTTTACCCAAGTTTCTTGCCAATTGCAACCACAGCGAAACGGTTAGGTCAGGTAAGTAGAAGGGTTCTTCATTACTTTTATATTCAATTTCATATTCGAAATGTTTATCACCTTTATTAACCGATTCCAAGTCAAGGTAATACTGAACGTATTTTTCAGGAGACAAGAATTGAGGAGTGTAAGCCGGACCCAATTTGTTATGTTTAGGGAATTGCGGAGGGAAAGTTTTATCGGGCTTCTTCTTTTTATGTTTCTTCTTTTTCTTTGAGATTTCAAAATCGTCGTCAACTTCAAGATTTTCAATTAAATGATCGATTTTCATGAAGAAGGAATCCCACGAGAACGGTTGGTTAAATTTAGAAACGTCGGAAATGTTATATTCCCATATTCTAAAACCTGGATTGAAAGTTGGTACGATACTTGAACCAACATGGGCTATACTATATCTTTCCAGGTTAGCACCCGACTTCTTCTTACCTTTGACTTTAGCGTATAAGTCTCTTCTTAAGGATTCCATATAACCAACTTTACCATTGGGGACCCCACCTTGAGTTTGGAAATTTTTCTTAATTTGATATTCCCCAAAAGAAGCAAAATAGTTGCTGTTATTATCTTCCACATCAATTTGTTCATCTTCCACATCAATTTGTTCATCTTCTTCCTCATCAAGAACCAAGTTTGATATTTTAAAATCTTTTTTAATTGATTTATAAGCTTTATTAGAGTCCAAAGGAATGAAATGGTCAATGTTCATGTGACCGTACAATCCACCAATGATGACGTCTCTATACTCATGGGTCCATGCCACGTATTTTCTCCAACAACTTATATCATAGTTTTTTTCATTTGGAGGTACATGGCCAGTTAACCAAACTTTCATATTTTGTTTTCTCAATTCTTTTAAAACATATCCCAACCATAAGAATAATTCGTGGCCCGGCTGTTTTTTCGAATCACAGTTATCGACCAAAGGATTTGATTTGAATAAATATAACGTGTTCAAAGAAATGACTGCCAAATTACCAGGAATGACTTCTTTGAAAAAATAAACCCCTTTATTGAAAACATGAAGCTGAGACTGTGGGATGAAATTTTTCCATATTTTATAAAACTCTCTAGTCTGTAAAGTAGAGCCATGGCTGAATAAGTTGTGTGGATAAACGTCATTATTACCAATTGAAGGAATAATTGGGATATGGGGGAAATGGTCAATCATCAAATCAGCAACCAATTGGTTCATATTGAAGATGTGATCCTCGGTTCTAGGATACCTACGGTCGTTATCATGTCTGATATTATCACCAGTCCAAACAATAAAGTCGATTTTATCGGCCAAGTTGTCTGAGATCCATTCAATGGTCTTATTCATCAAAAGCATTGGAGAATCACACCCTAATATCGCATCCCCATACTTCCCAGCTTTAACCGAGTCGGATTTAGACCCCGAATGGCATTGTTCCGAAGGTGACGATCCCACCACGTAATACGGATCAGGATGTAAGTCTGTAATGTGTAAGAACCTACCGTGGACCTTTTTCCCATTAATTTCAACCATTGGTTTATTCGTTAATCCCAACTGGCCAACTTTGGCATCTTCCCGGTAGAGTACCGCGATTTCATTGGTGTATTGGTTCCTGGTGACGTTCAATAGGATGTATATCGCAATGAGTCCACCAACCAACTTTCCGATCATAGTGGGCACTGTTAAACATCTGACATTCAATCTTATATGGGGTTCTGGGGCTGTTGAAAATTTCCCCTTATTATTTGCTTAGGTAATGCACACCCAGAGGATCACGTAAGCGTGCGGAAATGTACGCGCAGGACCACTCCTAACAGTAGGGCACGCCAGCGTAAACGCCAGCGTAAACACCAGCACACCCGGCACACCCACCCAAACATTGCAACTGGAGCTGGGGCCATGAACACCAATTAGCACCCCTTCACAGCCCAGAGGGAGATCCACAGGCCCATTAACCTCAGAAGGTAATTTACGGGCTAGGGTCTCTATATTACCTGATGGGTACTGCAGTAACAAACACGAAAACTTGCAACCAAAACTCACAAACGTCAAAATTACCCAAACCAGAAGCAATTATGAACCGCATGTAGAATGCTGAATATGAAATATCGAATCTGAAATAATGAATATGAAAGAGCGAATATGAAATATCGAATATAACAGGAAGAGAAGGAGAATAAGAGACCGTACGTAAATTATACGCGTTAGGAGGATATTTCAAAATAGTAATAGGGTTACTCAATTAGTACTCGCGATTTATTGTAATGAGATTGAACCTTAAACACGCAAAGAAGGCCTTTAGAAGTAAATGATACGTGATTAACACGAAAGGTGAAGATGTACCTGTATCCTTTTGTTTACTTGAAGAGTAGGTAATGTTTACAATTGATAAATTACTTACATTTAAATTAAACACGCATTTATTTGATCCCTTTAAATGGGTTTATAAATATGAAGAAAATCTCTTTTAAAAATTGATGGTACCTGGATCAAGAAACCTAACTTTATACTATCCTTAAGATTCTAACTATATTCGATCGTTATGTATTTGCAAACCCCCAAAAGACCCAATTTGCCATCTACACCAAGTTATAAATTACCACCGTTCTCATCGCTTTTATCAAAAGAATTACCACCACCAATAATCAAACCCAGATTACCCTCGATAGATACTTTACCAACACCAATCACCAATTACAAGTTTAATTCGATAACACCTCCGGAAGAAAGCGACGTGTCCAATGACTCGTTCAACGATACTTTTCAAGAATTGAAACCTAAGATTAAGAAAAGGAAAAGTTCTAATGATTCAGAAAAATCCTTCGCATTCATTTCTCACTCTCCAGCAACTTATCCGCTGCAAGAACCTTCAATTGATAATGCTCCTTTGGCAAGAAGGAAGAGAAGAAGAACCAGTCCTAACGAGTTATCCATCTTACAACAAGAATTCGAAAAGGGATCAACCCCCAATAAATTAAGAAGAATAGAAATCAGCAATAAAGTTAACATGTCAGAAAAAGCAGTGCAAATTTGGTTTCAAAATAAAAGACAATCTTTAAGAAAACAATCAAATCACGAAAAGGAAATCACAGAATTACCCCCAACCCCGGATACCTCTAATTATTTCCCAATAGTTGAATCAACCCCAACAAAACCGGCTTTTAATTCAAGCTCTACTCCCTTTACTAAACTTGACATTGATCCAATCGATACTTCTTCTCTCAATAATAACTTGGTTTTAAATAACACTAAAAAGAAACAACCAAACTCTCTCAACTCAATCAACTCTCAGACAATGACTTTCAAATTGGCTCCTGCTAAAGTTGCCACTCCAAATCTTTTAAATAAATTAAAATTAGAGGAAAGATCTCCTCTAAAAGAAATTAACCTTAATAAACCTAAAAAGGATAATGAATGTATAGAAAACTTATTATCCTTGAAAACAGGTAATTGGAAATAACTAGAAATGAATAAATGATTGTACGATACTATACCCTTTGTAAGGTTTGTAGATTTTTGCAACTTTGCCATTTTGGTGCTTTTTCGCGTTACGCGATGCTCCTTCAAGGCTTCTACAACAGGGTTGATCCTGCCCTGGAGGTCAAGTTGCTTGATCGCTGGTCCCAGCCAGATCAAGGTTTGCTGTTCACCTGTTAGTACGCGTGGAGAACCTAGTAAAACCAGTAAAGTTTGTAAATTGAACTGGTAGTCGAAATTAGTAGTTGAGATTTAATTTTTCATCGAGTTTTGATTTTAAAATTAAATCTCAACTACTAACTCTTTATCAATGTACGGAGATTTATCAAACAAACTAATACTAGACGCTAAAAGAAGCTCCAACTTATCGGAACTTCCACTATACCAAACCGACCTCATCAAAGATATCCTCAAGGAAATCCACGATCTAGATCGTGATATTGAGTATCTCCAAGAACAAGAATCAATTCAGAATTCATCATCATCATCCGAAGAAGAAATTAAAATCAACCAATGTCAGATCTTCGTAACCCACTTATGCTTAAGAAGGAACAAAAGATGCTTGCTAGCCTACCAATACTTGAGAGCATCTAAAATAGATGAGTTTTGCTGGCTAAACATCGACCCAATATCAAACTTGGACTCAAATTCAAAATTTAAATCTTCTACAAGCCAAAATTTAAACTTAGATAATCTAAGTCATAACGAATTGGAATACTTTAAAAACTATCAGGATCTACTCATCGACTATAAGTCAAATTTCCCCGATATCGATCTTTCTGGGGATTTGGAACCTCCAACAAATATCTTTGTAGACGTTCGTGTTTTGAAAGATGGCGGTGAAGTTCAAACTGAATACGGGGTATTCAACCTTATTAAAGATTCCCAATTCTACGTTCGTAAATCAGACGTTGAAAGATTGATTCAACAAGGTTACTTACAAGAAATTTGATTCTTAAGTACTTATATATTTAATTAGTTAATTTATTTAATTCTTTTAATTCATCTTTTAATCGTTTTTCTCCCAATTGGGTATTCTTTTGATCAACACTGAGTGGTAAGATCATTACATTATCTTCATTTTTATCGTATACTCCTATATTATCATCCATCAACTTAACTTCTTTTCTTAACCCTATGGCTATATCACTTATTAATCCGTAGATGTTCTTGGTTTGTTTCTCAAATTGCTCTTTGGTCTTATCGGAATTTTCATTAGAAGAATATGTCTCAAATAAACTAGATACGTTATCAAGTAGACTCACTACTTGACAGTCTATTTCGTATAGTGAATCAAGCCTTTTCTCTATGTATGTCATGGGTGTCTTGTTATTGTTTTGTATTATGTTGTAAGAAGAACTGGTAATTTTGAATATTAAAAAAGTGAGATTGAAGTGATTGAGAAATTATTATACTTTACTTAACCAATGATTGACCTAGGCCTTGCTAGGATATCAACACTACTTTCCCATCTCGGGAACCCTCACCATCTCTTCAAGTCCGTCCATATAGCTGGTACAAATGGTAAAGGATCAACGGTGGCTTATATCTCATCAATTTTAACCAACTCCAAGATAACTAATGGATGCTTCAATTCCCCCCATTTATTATACTACAATGATTGCATTTCAATTAATAATAAAGCTTATCCCTTACCAAAATTCAATAAAGTAAGCCAGTTGGTAAATAGTGAAAATGAAAAACATCAATTGAACTGTACCGAATTCGAAATACTAACGGCTACGGCTTTCAAAATTTTTCAAATTGAAAAAATTGAGTTTGCCATAATTGAAGTTGGTCTAGGCGGGAGATTGGACGCAACAAACGTGTTGACCCCTCTAAATGGTAACGGAGTGGTTGCTACTGGTATAACTAAGATTGGTTTCGACCATGAAGGGTTTTTAGGTAATACCTTAACTGCCATTGCTGGTGAAAAAGCCGGAATCATTAAAGAGCAAGTACCAGTGGTTGTTGATTCAACAAATCACCAGGATGCCCTAAACGTGATTGAAAAGAAGGCTCATGATTTGAATGCAAACTTATACTATACTAATAAATCTCTACAATTAGATTCACTCTTGAAAAAGTCTCCTTTGAAAGGTGACTACCAATATCAAAATTTAGGCATTGCATTGAAAATAATCGATCTAATCAAATCCCGGTTCCATTTACCAATACCCTCCAAGTCTATAGAGTTAGGCATTTCTAAAACAAATTGGCCCGGACGCTTGCAGTCTGTCGAAATACCCAACAAAGATTTGACCGTACTTATCGATGGTGCCCATAACGAAAGTGCTGCAATAGAATTGGGTAAATACCTTGCTAATCTCAGAGTTGCAAATCCTGGGATCATTCTTGTTGTTGCCTTGACAAAAGGTAAATCAATTGAAAATCTTTTAAAACATATAAGTGATAAAGATAATGACACCTTGATTCCAACCGGGTTTTCGACCCCAGATAACATGCCTTGGGTTTCGAGTTTCCCCATTGATGAACTACAACAACGGGCCCAATCCTACATAAATGACATTCGTCTCGTGGAACAAGACTTGGACTCTATCTTTAACTATATATGCCAACTCAGAAAAGATGGCGATAACCGCGAAGTCGTCATTTGTGGGAGTCTATACTTATGTTCTGATGTTCTTAGATATGTAAATTGAGAAGTAGTAAAAAAAATTTCACTAGATTCATTTGAGACGCGTAACCAATATCATCTTCTTAGTAGAGATAATGGCTCCATTATCAGATTTCGAGAAACAGCGTCAAGCGAATATCAAGAGGAATAAGGATCTTCTTCGACAATTGGAATTGGATTCATTAACGGATTCAATATCTCGGGATGCCAAAAATGCAATAGAAGCCTCGAAACCTCCAAGAAAGAAAACCAAGACTCAGGCATCTCAAAGAAAACCTAAAGGTGAACAAGTTCCTGAAAGAAGATCCCGAAGACTACGTGGGGTTAACTTGGATGACAAGGAGTCAAAAGAATACCAAGAACAATTGAAGAAAGAGGAAGAAGCCAGACAGAGAAGGCAAGAATTGCAAGAATTGAGACAAACCAGACTATACGGAGATTTCAAATTGATTGATTTGGTGACTGATAAACTGGGAGCTTTGAAAAATGAAGACAAAGTGATCAAGAAAGAATCAGTTAAACGTGAAGAAGATGAATCACCAGTTAAAGAAGAAGATGAAGAAGAAATTTCAAATGATGATGAAGTTCTTCAACTTTTGAAGCAATTAGGTGACAAGTTTTCTGCTGGGGATTTCTATGAAATTATCAAAAAAAAGTCAATCGATTATAACGATAAGGTCTTAGCTTCAAAGAGAAAAGAATTCGACAATTTGAAAGTATTCGAACGTTTTGACCCTCTAGATATTAGAATTACTCAGGAAAGAATCTCTTCGATTAATTTCCATCCTTCTAAAACTGACCGAGTCATCACTGCTGGTGATAAGGCTGGCCATGTCGGTATTTGGGCGGTAGATGCAAAATCAAACAATGAAGATGAACCAGTTATTACTACGTTAAAGCCTCATGGTAAAACAGTATCGAGAATCATTTCCAGGGGCCCAACTCAAATCTTGAGTTCTTCTTATGATGGATCAGTTCGCTTAATGGACTTGAATAAATTGAATTCGAATGATCTCATAAACGTTAGTCATCCGTACGATCTGAGCTTGAGCGATGTTGCAGTTTCAGATATTAATATATGCAAAGATGATGCAAATCTTTTATATTTAACTACCTTGAGTGGGAACTTCTACCAACATGATTTAAGAGTACCTTTTAAACAAATTGAGCCAAAATCATTTTTAAGATTACATGATAAAAAGATAGGTTCCTTTTCAATTAACCCAAATTCTTGTCATCAGATTGCAACGGCTTCCTTGGATAGAACTTTAAAAATTTGGGATTTGCGTAATGTTGGTAAATCAACATTTTCTGAACTCGATTTAGATGAACCTTCTCCCCATCCTTATGGTTCATATGCTTCCAGACTTTCGATTTCTTGTGTTGATTGGAATTCGGATAATAGATTGGTTTGTAATGGTTATGATGATACCATTAATTTGTTTGATTTTAGTGGCCAAGATGGAAGTGATAAAATAATTACTGAATGGTCAGATACTTATCAACCAGGGATCAAATCGGAAGATGAATCATTAGAAGAGATTCCTGAAAATTTCAAACCATTCACCAGGATAAAACATAATTGTCAAACTGGTCGCTGGGTTACAATTTTGAAAAGTAAATGGCAGGAATCTCCAATTGATGGAGTACAAAAATTTGCAATTGCAAATATGAATAGAGGAATTGATATTTACGATCAAAAGGGACAAATATTAGCTCATTTAAGTGATGCTGAAAAAGTTGGAGCAGTCCCAGCAGTAGTAGGTATGCATCCCACCCAAAATTGGGTAGTTGGAGGAAGTGCAAGCGGTAAGCTTTATTTATTCGAATAGATTCTACGTTATTAATAGCTTTAACTTATTATACATGTATGTTTATTTTATTTTTTTAATATCTCTTCCCAAAATTATAATTAAAAAGAATTAAAATACTTAAGCAGAAGAGGTCATGACTTGCCAGACTCTGATAACGTTATCAGTGTAACCAGCGAATAAGTTTTGACCGTCAGCAGACCAAGCCAAAGAGATAGCTTCTGGGTCTTTAGCTTTAGCACCAATAGCGAATTCTGGTTTTAATTCATCTAATAAAGTTCTTTCTTGTAAGTTGAAGATTTTAATACCAGAAGCGGTAGCGGCAGCTAACCAGTATCTGTTTGGAGAGAAAGCTAAAGCGTGAACTTCAGCAGCGGCGTTCAAGGTGTATAAGGTCTTGTTTGAGTTTAAGTCCCATAAGATGATAACACCGTCTTTACCAGCAGAAGCGTTTAAGGATCCATCTGGAGAGATAGTGATACAAGAAATGTAACCGGTGTGACCAATGAAGTCAGCGTTAACGGAGTAGTCGTTTAAAGACCAAGACTAAAAAACAAAGTTAGTAAATTGAAATTAAGAAATAATCAGTATAGCTTGAAATCAATTTGATTAGATATATCAGAGATCTTGGTGATAAAAAATGTGTCTCATTCGAAGCTGGCGAGCCCCGTCTGAAGTAGCAAATATAGTAAACATCATCTAGAAATCAAAATCAAATCAAGCAAAAAAAAATATTGAAAAAAAACATACCTTAACAGTTTTATCCCAAGAAGCAGAGATAACAGTAGATTGGTCATCAGATGGGGAGAATCTAACAGCAGAAACCCAGTCGGAGTGACCAGTCAAAGTTTGCATACATTCACCAATGGTGTTCCAAACTTTAACGGTTTTATCACGAGAAGCAGAGACAATTTGTCTTAAGTTCTTAGCGATAGAAACGGATAAGACATCACTGGTGTGACCAACAAATCTTTTGGTAGATTCACCAGATTCTAAATCCCATAATCTTAAAGTTTTATCCCAAGAAGCAGATAAAGCGTAAGCACCATCAGCAGAAATGGTAACATCTTGGACAATGTGAGAGTGACCTCTGAATGATTTTTGAGGAACACCGTATTGGTTATCTTCACCACCAGTTAATTTCCATCTAATTAAAGATTTATCTCTGGAACCAGATAATAATAAATCTGGGTTAGCTGGAGTGGTGGCTAAGGAAGTAACCCAACCGTTGTGACCTTCTAAGGTACCTCTTAAAACTAAAACTTCTTGATCAGCCATTGTGAATTGATATCTAATGTACTTGTGTGTTAAACAACTAAAGAAAAGAAGAGTTTTCTATACCTTTTTTTGAATTAAGTCCATAAACTAAAAATTTTTCACTCTAAGAGAAGATCCATACATTTTACTTTTGTGTAATATCATTTTCTTTCGCTTTTTTTTTTTTGCAATTGGGAAAATCCCGTTCTCAAATGTACCGCATTTCTGTACTCGGAACTACGCATCTCCTGGTGACTGTTTTCCATCCCGAGAACAACCCGTACACCTCTATAATGTACGGAGGTTTGTCTTTGATCACGTGAGAATCTTGCTTCTTTCTTTCCTGCATACAAATAAGGAGATTAACCCCAAAAGAATACGTACTCCAGTTTTCAGGAACCGTTGCAATTAATCGGTATAATTGACTAGCAGGATCGCTGAAGAAGTAGCTGGTCAGCATGGAGAGTGAGTTAATAATGGATGCTGGGACGCTTGGGTCTGCGCAGGACTTGAAAATTGCGGTTATCAGCGGAGGAACAGCAACGAATGAGTTGGTGGGACTATTCAGATCTTTGTCACCAAATATCACGTATATTTTGCCAATACTGGATAACGGAGGATCTACGTCGGAATTGATTCGAGTAATCGGTGGCCCAGCCATCGGGGATATAAGATCCAGACTAACCCGGTTGATTCCAAGTAAGCAGGAGGAGCTTCGAAAGCTTTTAAGCTTTAGGTTATCCTCAGATGCCAGCGAAGCCAAGACGCAATGGAATGAGATTGTCGATGGTACTCACCCGTTATGGGCAAAGATCAACTCTTCTACAAAAGAGATATTGAGGGCATTTTTCATTCATGTTCATGTTGAATTGTTGAAACGGTCCAAGCACCAATTTTCGATGCATAGTAATAAATTGTTTAGGTACGAATTGGCTAATGTTGGGAATCTTTTCTTAACCGGGGTTAGGCTATTTATAGGTTCGTTGGACTCGGCCATTGAATTATTCTCCAGACTAGTTGGTATTGATCCGGATGTAGAAGTACTTCCTTGCATAAATACTAATTTCACCTATCATATCAGTGCATTACTTGAGAATGGTTTGATAATAACAGGTCAATCGCAAATATCGCATCCTTCTCAAACAGATCCAACTATTGATAATTACCCACCGCCAATTGATAAGACCAGACCCTCTACTCCAACTGAAGATTTCTTAAGAACAAACTATTTTGGTGCTACTTTAAACGGGTTGCATTTAGAGATTCCTATAAATGAAGTTGCAATTGCAAATACTCAAAGAAGCGATGATCATTTAGAAAAGAAGAAAAGCATTGATTCTTACGTATCTGATGATTCAGATGAAGAATCAGGTAACGTACCGCAATACACTCATCCAGAATTGAAAAAATCACAATTACACTTTAACAAAACTGAAAATATAGAACCGTTACTATCACCAATTAAACGTATATTTTATATATCTCCTTACGGGGAAGAAATTTGTCCTACTGCTCACAACAGGGTCACTTCAAGTCTTTCAAACTCAGACGTCATCATCTATTCTATTGGCTCTTTAATGACAAGTATAGTGCCAGTTATCATTTTGAAAGGTATTGGTAGAGCCATTGCTAATGATATCTGTCAATTTCCTGGTTATAATAAGAGAAGAATTCTTTTACTTAATGGGTGTGCTGACCGTGAAACTTACGGAATGACTGCGAAAGACTATATCGAGGTTATTGTCAAATCAGCTACCTATTCCTTAAGTGGGACTAAGGGGGGACCATCGAATAATACTGCTGAGCCAGAGTGGAATAAAGTGGTATCTCATTTATGTTATATGAAAGATCCAAAGATAGAAGTGGATACAAACTTTTTGCAAAATGTTAAAAACATACAGTGCATCGAAGTTAATCGAGTTAGTCCTCAGTCGGACTATTATGACTTGGATGACCTCAATAATAAGATTAAGCAAATGATAACCCCATGAACTTCTACAAGGAAATAATGAACCTTTTAATTTTTATTTTGTTCTGTCTAATTAATACATAATATACGTCAATCTATTTAGATTTAATCATACCACATCTTAATTAATTCTTCGGAAACGGCTGATGGAGTTAAAACACCCAAGTCCGTAATCAATGCAGTGATATATTCATGAGGAGTGAAATCAATTAGTTGAGTCTTAAACAAATCGTCATCTTCATCGCCAGAGTTACTTTGTTCAACTAAGTTCAGTATGCCATCGGGTAAATCGTTTGGAGATAACGGGAAAAGCCTAACAAACTTATGAGATTCAGTGACAACGTAAAAAGGCTTATTGTTAGTTTTAGCCAAACACCCTATTTGGTAAGATCCAATATGATTAATTATACCACCACTTTCTGCTACCCCTTCAGCACCAACTAAAATTTTATCAACCTTATGTATAACGTATCCAACGGCATTATCAACAATAAGCTCAACCGGTATGTCTGCCTTTCTCAAAACTTCGGCCATATGGTACCCTTTACCAGTGGGTCTTGCTTCAGTAACAATTACTTTAAAACGTATTAATTTTTCAGATCTTGCCTTTAGTAACAATTGATGAACTACTCTTGAATATGAATGCACTAATATAATATCATCATCCTTAATGAATGGAACACCAAACTCAGCAGACTTAGATCTTGATTCCTTAGCTCTTTGAACAAATAATTGCCCATTTTCCACTAAATTTTTCCTACATGATTCCCAATCAGAATATAAGTTGGTATTTCTTAAAACGAATCTCATAAATAAATCACAACCAGCTGAAAGCGAAATTGCATTGGGAATCGATTTTTTCAAAGTTTCAATATTGGATTTCACTAAATTAATCAATTCTGATGATGTACTTGGTTGTTTGATTCTTAACATTGTAACTAACGACTCAATGGCCGCAATAGGCATGGTCAAATCTTGATCTTCCTCTAAGAACTTCAAGTAAGTTGCCTTAATATCGAAGCCTTCTTCAGCCATCTTGCTGTTTCTTTCTATATATACCTATTGTCTATCTAATCTAAGAAGAGTTCTTGATCTTATAGTGATATTTTTTTAAAAGTATGAGTGATGAAAGAAAAAAATTATACAAAAGGATATCCGACCACAAAACACATACAAACACGTGAGAATTCACTACCGGAAATCCCTCAGATGAGACAAATAAATAAGTTTTTTTTTAATTCAGAAAAAGTGAAATACTTTGATCTTGTAGTCTAATCAAATTGGTTTCAAAATGACTAAGGTTAAATCAGAGAATGACGGCTTGTTCGTCGCAGAAGAAGAAGAGGAAGAAGAAGTTCATTCAGAAACTGGGTCACCTGAAGTTTTTGAAGACGCAGGAGATCGTGAAAACCAAGATGAAGAACAAGAAGAAGAACAAGAAGAAGAACAAGAAGAAGACCCCGTAGTTAGTTCAATCCCTTTGGTATTGAACGGCTTATCGTCAAGAAATAGACAGTCTTTGCATATATTACAATACCTGGGAAGACCCAAGTCTCGCCCTTTTGGTAATGAAAGCTTGACTGCGTCAGTAAAGAAGGAGTCAAACTGTATAGAGGTCAAGGTGCCATTGGATACCCTGAAATTCTACGACAGAGCAAGATCAGAAGAATGGGGTGGAGACGTTGAAGAGCATGGTTTACAAGGGGTGCTAAATAAGACGGATGGTGGGTTATATGCCGCTAAGATCATTAAAGAGGGAGACCAAAGAAAGATTATCTTGATTCCTGTTGATAGTACAGCTCAATTAAGACCATCCTTTAAGTACATGGATGAAGTAGATGCTGCTTCACTTGTCCAGCGCAAGGCCGAAGCAGCCTCCGATACCAAGCCAACTGGGGTTCAAGTTTTACAAACCTCAGCCAAAGCCAACGCCAATGTAAATGCAGACGGGGTCGCTCATAATGCGTTGGGTGAGGCATTGAAACATATCAAAAAGTTTGATGAAGAAGAGTGGTCTCCTCTCAATTGGAGACTGACTGATGATTCGGCCACTGAGAACCTCCATAAAGAGCTTATGGAACAGGCTGAAGCAAAAGAATTAACAACCAAAACAACCATGTTTGAATATATTGACAAACTAACAGCAGATTGATTCATTGCTGTATCAATATCATCTTTGCATACTAATTTTTCTGTATATTATCTCTATTTACGTTTAGAATGAATTTTCTCTATTTTATCAGTTGTAGTTTGAAAAGCTTTTGGCCCTTTGGACTGGAAATGGCCCCAAAATTTAGTAGCTCATCCTCTTCGCTCACAAAAAAAAAAAATGTATGAAAAAAAAAAAAATATACCGATGAGTTTAGAGATCAAGTATTATTCTTTATTCAAGTTGGAACTCGACATACCATAACAGATGGAAGACGACGACGGATTGTTATTAAATTTCTCTACAGCGGAAGTTTCTGCTCCTGCTCCACAACGTTCTAAGATCACTGGTGGTAGATGGAAAGATCGTCGTAGAGCACAATTATTATCTCAAGGTCGAGATAAGAAACCTACTAGTGATTCTAATGCTATAGAAGTCGACAACTCAGTGTTTGAGCAAAGAAAGAAGAATGTTGAGTCTACTAACAGCAAGCCCAAAAGAGGGAACAATGCTAATAATAATTATGGTCCATCCAGCAAAAGGATAAGGTTTACTGAATCTAATGGTGAATTTGGTGGTAAGAATAATTCATATGTTTCATCTTTATTTACTTCTAATCAACAAAGCTCGACTTTGAAGGAAAGCTCACAATCCGAAAATACTACTTATTTACCATCCAATGCACCATTGAAGGATGCAACTACTTTTGACGGATTGGGATTGAACGACAAACTTACTAAACATTTAACCGATACATTGAGATTCAAGGCACCAACAAAAGTTCAAAGATCAGTCGTCCCTAATTTGTTATCAACAGAGAATGACCTTTTTGTCAAAGCTCAAACAGGTTCAGGTAAAACATTAGCTTTTCTTTTACCAATAATGCATAAGTTGATGTCAGAAAATACATCTAAAATTACTAGAGATTCAGGTTTATTTGGAATTATTCTAACCCCAACTAGGGAATTGGCTACTCAGATTTATGGAGTGATGGAAACTTTAGTCAGATGTCATCATCATATTGTTCCAGGTATAGTAATTGGGGGTGAAAAGAAAAAATCAGAGAAGGCTAGATTAAGAAAAGGTGTTAATATTTTGGTTGCTACTCCAGGGAGACTTGCTGATCATATGGAAAATACTTCATCATTTGACGTTAGTCAATTGAGATGGTTGATTTTAGATGAAGGTGACAGATTAGTTGAATTGGGATTCGAAGAAACAATTACAAAAATCACCAATAATATCACAAGAGAATCCAAAGTTATGGAAACAATGCACAAATGGCAAGGCTTGCCAAATAAAAGAGTCAATGTTCTTTGCTCTGCTACTATTCAAGATGATGTTAAAAAATTGGGTAGTATTGTTTTAAATAATCCAGAAATGATAAGTGTTAACAGTGGGGCTTTACCGGGTACTACCAGTTTTGACAATGAAATTGGAGATAGAAATGAAGACTCTTCTTATAATAATGCAACCGCTCCTGATCAATTAGTTCAAAGAGTCGTTGTTGTTCCTCCAAAATTAAGATTGGTTACCCTTGGTGGGATCTTAAAAAAAATTAGTAAAGACAACGATAATTTAAAGGACGGTTCCACTACAAGAACAATTGTGTTTTTCTCCTGTTCAGATTCTGTTGAATATCATTTCGATGTAATGACCAGGAATGGTAAAAAATTCAAAAAAATGAAGGACTCAGAGACCGATAAAATTCAATACATTGAAGTGCCCCACAATCAAGATGATGATTCTGAAGATGCAGAAGGAACCGTAAATCCAAGTATGTTGACCACGCCAATGATCGGCGATAATACCGTTACTTATAAACTTCATGGTTCGTTATCACAACAAGTTAGAACTTCAACTCTTCTGGCATTCATAAAGAATGATGGCATTAACTCATCCAAGCATGCTATTTTATTCTGTACCGATGTTGCATCCCGTGGTTTGGATTTACCAAACATCTCGAATGTCGTTGAGTTCGATCCACCATTCAGTGTTGAAGATCATTTACATCGTATTGGACGTTCTGCAAGATTGGGTCAAACTGGTTTTGCAACTCTTTTCCTTTTGCCAGGCCCTGAGGAAGGATACGTCGAAGGTAAAATCGAATCGGTTCATCCAAAGAAAGGTAATCTTAGAATCGTGAAATATGAAAACTTCTTGAAAGAAGGTTTTGCAGAAGAAGAGAGTGATGAAGGAAAAAAGGAAAAGAAGAATGGAAAACCGGACCCGAAACAAAAACAAGGTAAATGGGATATTCATGCAACAACTTGGCATTTAGACGTTGAAAGATGGTTATTAGAGGATACATCTGCTCATGATAAAGCAGTTCAAGCTTTTACATCACATATCAGAGCTTACGCAACTCATTTATCTTCAGAAAGACAATTTTTCAATGTAAAACTTTTACATTTTGGTCATTTAGCGAAAAGTTTTGGTTTAAGGGAAACACCCAAGAAGTTAGGTAAGACAATTGGGACAAACATTAATAAAGAAAGTACAGGGAAAACAAAAGTTAAGAAGGAAGACCCAAAGAAAAAAATGATGAGAATGGCTAGGATGGCTGTGAAATCAACTACTGACGAATTTAATTATTAATGACTTATTTTACTTGTATATTAAATTGATTATATAGCAAATAGATTTTAATTAGCATTCAAATGGGCATTTCTATAACCCGTATCTTGCCAAAGTCCGTGGTTTTCACCTAAAAGATAACCAATAGTACGTTTTTGGTAATAATCTCCCAAAATTTTTAAATTTTCTATAACATCGTCTAGTAATATTGCTTTACCAACTGCTATACCATCTCCTAAGCCAGGATGTTTAACATTCACAATGTGGAGATGGAAATGGTAATAGGAAGGTTGATAGTGGATAAAAATTCTTAATTCGTCCTTATTAATTGGGTATTTCTCGGTAGTAACTTTCAAGATTTGACTTTTAATGTTAGTAAGATATTCAACATGTGATTCATTTAAGTCTCTCACACTAGAAATATCCATTCGCTTAACTATGGCACATAAATATAAAGACTCCAAGTTAATTTTATCCCACTTCATATCTGGTAAAAGAACAAACCCGTTGGTTTTATCTTCATCATGATGGATAAATGTTTCAGCTTCTTTCCCTTCAAATAGAATGTTATACACCCATTTTATTCTGTCACCTTTCATCGTATCTATATACGGAATGACGTATTTGGTGTACATTTCAGGGGTTTCAAGAACATAATGATATTTTTGTTCACCATATTTTCTAATATGAGTTTCAGTAGCTGGATAGATGATGTTCAACTTAGCACCAGGAATTTCTGGTAACTTTTGGTTTAGAGAAGTCAAGGACCAGTAATAGATATCGTTGTGATTTATGATTTGAAGATCATGGATCAACGAATTGATATTTTCAACCGATTCATTCAAAAAATGGGATTTTTCAAGAGATACTATTGCATCTTTCGAGTCAATTGTACCCAATAAAACAATGGATTTGGTTTGAGGATCGGTTTTGAGGATCTTCGAGAAGGAAAACTGTTTCACAAGACTTGAAATGTCAGACATTTTATGGGATAAAGATACATATCCATATCTTCGAAGACCTCGATGAGAAGATGTCTCAAAGTAGCAGAAAAATAAACCCGTAAACCTTAAATTACTATACAGCCACCTATATATATACATATATAAACTTAATTATTTTTAGTAATAACACCATTGATGGCTTCGACTTCTTTGAAGAAAGGCTTTTCACCGATAGCTTCAACCTTGACGGAAATTTCAGTATCAAAGCCTTTTTGAGTATCAAATACGGCCTTCTCATCAGATGTTTTTGATTCGTAAGGTGTTCCATTGACAGTAGCGTTTTGGCTGCTGATTAAAGCCGCTTTCAATCCATATGAGTTCGCGGGGCCCCATGGCGAGTTATTCAGTTCCTTAGACTCTTCGCTAAGCTTCAAAGGATGAGAATTGTTAAAACTCTTTGAGAGAACAGTACGATTGGTTCCCAAATCACTGACTGTAAAATTAAAGCCATTAAAGCCCAACAAGTTCAAACAATTAGTCTGACTCTCAATATAAGAGCCGGTCCCCGGAGGCCCGGTTAAATACTTAGATTTTCTACTGAACTGATTTGAACTTGAGTTTGCTAAACTAGTAAAGTTAACAAGGTAAGCAGCAGTAGTGTTATCGACTAATGTGAAATTATATAAAGTCGATATGTTTGAATTAGTGAAGCTTTCAACTATTTGATTAGTAATAACGGGTTCATAAGGCGAATTAACAGGAGGTTCGATGACAACTCCGAAACCATTTTGATAAGACGATGAACTTAAAAGCTTACCTTTACCACCCAGGATTAAATCCGATTGCCAAACCAATAAATTACCCGATACAATCCAGGAATTACTGGAAATAGCACCAGTATTAGGAGTTACGGTACCAGCTATTTGTGAAGCAGAAACCGAGACTGGAGACGAAATGACGACGTCCAAAGTAACGGATGATCCCCATAATAAAGGTAAGATTGGGATTAAATCAATTTCATAGGCCAATCCACTGAAACTTCCCGTGTTTGCTAAGGGACTCCATAACTTATAAGTATCTTCCTTATCACTAATTCGGTGAGGGTGAAATAATGTTGGTTGAGGAATAATAGAAGCAATGAAAATATTATTTACAAAAACATTTAAGTAACGCAAGGGACCAGAACCTGGCTCAAAATAGCTTGATAGCTTGTTTCTGTAGTATGTTACTTCGTCATCCGTTGCAGATGCAAATAATTGTAATTTTGCAACCGTTGAGTTAGCTGGAAGTTGACCTACCTCGATTGAAAACCTTTCCTGAGGAAGTTTGACTCTTCCTAAAGGATATATTGAAGAAGCAGCACCGTTACTAGTGAAAATATCAGACTCCATTTTAACTGACAGGTCCTTATATAAAGTTAAACTCAAAGAAAAAGAAATTGAATTAGACGGAACACCTTCAAGTATAGCCACGGAAACAGTTTGATTAGATTCAAACAAATTGAGGTATTGAGAAACGTTCTTAGAAGCTGAAGTCCGAGTAATGGTATTTTCTTCAGAGAACGGAGTTGAAGTTCTCCATACGGGGAAATCCCCAATTGAAATTTCAGTAACAATTCCGGAGCCAGCATTGGAAGTATCTTGATTAGTGATATTCAAGGTTAAAAACCCACCATTACAGTCAAAAGTGGTTCCGTAGTAATCGGCAGTGATTCCATCTTGCAAAACAGATTGATTGAAAAGCAAGTAAGAAGCAACTTCAGATCCACTTGGAACCACATGGGGTGGAGTCACTTCAAAAACCTCGATTGTAGGAGAATCAAACGAGAACATAACATTGTACCCACCCCAGTTTTTGCAGAGGATGGAGTACCCCCAACCGGCAATCAATACGAAAGAGACCCATTTCATGAGATTTCTGAAAAGAGCAAGCTTATTGGAACGCTTGGGCAAGTCTTCCAACTCTATGCCCTTGATTAGAAGGTCTTTTTCGTTCATTTGATTAGACATTGTAGTTGATCTTGTTACTTGAAAGAAAACTAGGTTTTTTTTTTTTTCACTGCTATATATACAAACTTAGTATCCGAAGAAGCCCATTTCAGGACGCCTTTTCTGGCCCAGGTCCCCGAACTACCCTCATGAAGGTCTAGGGACCCACGGATGCAATGCTACATCGCTGTCTGCCGTTATTCCCTTTCATGTAATGGAGGTGAAATTTATTGCTGCAATTTACCGGAGTTTTCCATCGCGGAACTCCCGCGGGAGGGTTGCAACCGCGACATTGGCATGTCGTCTGCGACATTTGCCCAAATAAGAATAGTTTATCATGAATATGAATATAGTTGATAGGATATTCCTTCATCTTACAAGAAGCTTCATCAGTTAGTGTAAACTCGTACTAGAATGATGTGTAATTTAATAACTAAAGAAGTGTGAAGATTTCGCAGCCTTTTCAAATAGCGAAGAAAGAAAGCTAAATCTCTTTTTTGAAATCTTCCATATCTTTCTCCAGAAGGTTAAAGTTTTTCATAAATATTTTCATATCTTCAGAGCAGTCGTATTCCAGAATACGGTCATTTACCGAGGTGATATCAAGAAATACAGGAATACCATTAACAATTGCAAAACTATGGCCATGAATTTTGAGCTGAACTCCAAGTTTAGCCAGGTTCTTCATTTGTCGACAACCATTGATGATCGTTTCGCCAAAGAATAGTTTCTGTCCGCCTTCCACATGAGACGTCAAAGTGTAATACGCAAAGAGTTTTCTAAATTTCAAATCTAATGTAAAACTTCCATAGTAATAAAGTTTCTTCGTGTGGATTTTTTTAGCAGTAGTTTTATTTGAATTATACTTCTCAATGCGGCTGTAGCATACTGCTTCTCTAAGACATCTATCGATGCAACTTTTATGAAATTCAAAAGGAGTTTCTGCATGTCCTGCTTCCCGAGCAAGAAAGTCGGGGAAATACATTGTCATAACCACCGGCTCATTACGGTTTAAAGGTTTGAGTATTTTTTTAAAAAATGGAAAAACAGTGCAAAGTTTCCCAACCTCCATCTTAAACGACTGATCTTGTACGTAGTCAAACATTTTCATTGTTTCGCCTTCTCCTATTATATGGGTTGCGGCAATTTTTGCATCCGTTCCCGGAATCTGCTTGCATTTGTCTTCGATATATTTGGTAATTTCGGAAAAGTGTGGAGGTTTCAATTGAACGAGTTTGTTAAATTTATCAACCACTTTCTTTTCTTCTAATCTACTAGTTTCCGACTTTGAAATGGCACGGTAGATCCAAGCAATCAAACCACCCATAGTAGTGAAATCTTCATCCAGTCTTATTACTTTATAACGGAATGGAACAACAAAGTCTTCTGGGTTTGAATGACAACCAACCTGGAGTAACTCGTCTAGTTTGGTTTCGTCTATTTCTAAGAAAAGGGTGGTTCCGCCATTACTGACGATCCCCCGGGTAGTTTCGAGATTGATAAACTTTGTATAGACACCTTTAATTATCGACTCAAATTCAGAATTGAAAGGGACTTTTTTATTTGACAAAAACTTACTAAATTCGAGATCACTAATGTCAACAAACACCAACCCTTTTTTATTTGTCTCTGAAAAAAGCAAACAGGGCGATTCAGTAGAGTCAGTGGTTTTTCTTATTAAGAAATCAATGTTGGCAGAATCGAATAAACGCTTTAATGATTCCCCATAATATAAGAGAAATTGCCTGGAACATTCTGCTTTACTTGCACCAGCTCCAGAGAATGTCTCTGCGGCCGTATTTCTCGAGCGAGCTCCGAAGTTCCCTTCAAATTTGCTTTCGTAATATTTATGAAACAATTCTAAGTCTTTGAATGCTTCGTCGCCCAATTCACCAGTAAAAACCGGGGTTGGGAGTTTATCTGAGGCTTTAAGCCGAGTACCAGGCTCATCATTTTCATTTGAGTGGGTTTCTTGAGGGGTATCCTCATTGATTATAGAAGTAAGATTATAAAGCATTGCTACTTGATCTCTTGACCTGCTGCTCCCAGTAGAATCAAGAGAGAAACAGGGCTATTTATACTCTTTTGAAGTGGTTTAATATTTTGAAGTGGTGTTTTAATATTAAGGGGTTTTTATTGCAGCCAAAGCACTGCGAAAGCCGGGAAAATGTTTCAGATTTTGATCCTGTAACAAATTTATCTTCACGACAATCACTTCGTGCAAGCGGCTCTGTAGTGTTCTGTTATGTTTCCGTAGCATATGTGAGCCCATAAGATAATGTCCTGTTCCATGTATAGGTTATTGAAATGATTGAGGCTGCTTCAAAGTTCTTCACATTGTATTACTGAAACATCTTTCGTGACACTACATCTGTTGTAAGCCTGTTCTTCATTGCTTGGTTAGAAAGTTCAGATGTCTTCGTCGCCATTTCATACGTCTCCATTGCCTGAAAGTCCGCATGTCTCCTTGTATGGTTAGAAAGTTCACGTCTTCAGTATACATAAAACCACAACACAAATCACTGACGGTTACCACAAGAAATAATTCTCACCGACCTCGGGAATGATATAGAATAGCTGCAGAGAATAGCTTCGATCACCATACAATATGCCTCTAGGTGAAATCAGACTGTTGTATAAGTATACAACGGTTGCAAAAAGGGCGACACGGGTGTCGTTCGCGACATTTACTGAAGGTACGGATGTTTATCATTCACGTGACAACATTCGGCTCTTCGCACTACCTTTTGGTGATTTTTTTCGACCAGTTAGACGCTAAATAATTGGAGTATGTAATAATCAGGGTATATATCCAGTATAAGATTAAGCAAGCATGTCTAAATTTGTTCTTCCAACTGCATTAAAGGAAATAAGATTCCACTTATCACAAACTGGTGAAGCATCCATACCATTAAGGAAATTTTTAACTAATAATTATAATGGCTTGAAAACTCAACTGAATTATAAATTACCAATTTTAATTAGAGAATCATACGGGATTCCACCAAGCGTAACTGCTAGATTCGAAAGAGGTAGAGAAATCAAAAACAACTTGGATGGTTTAGACGAACAAGGTATTGAAAGTGCATTAAAAAATTTATTAAAAAATTAAAACATTACTAATAACTACTTTGTATATTTATTTATTTCATTCATTTATTCAATAAACAACTATTATTATTATATTGTTTTCATGATCCAAATTGATAAATCCCCCAGGCAAGACTGGCAGAATGGGATGTAAATAGTTGTTTAATGGGCTCTTTGGAACCACTGATTAACCCACTAGCAACAACAATTGGCATGAAATGTTCGGCACTAGGATGAGCTCGATAAAATAAAGATTCATGTTTGTTGGGGAGTTCTTTCAAGTTTTTCAATAACTCGTCATTGTTAACCAAAGTATCCCTTAACAAATTATCAAAAGGTTTTACGTATGGTAAGGTGATTCCTGGTTTCTGAAATGCACTTCTTACATCTCTCAAATTATGAACGGTCATACCGGAGCAAATAACCATTCCCTTTAAGTATCTCCCACGAGATTGATCCCAGATCAAATTATCTCTGAAGTAACTTAATGCTTCACCCAATTTGAAATTCAGCTCAATATCACCGCCGGTCAACGATACCTGAATCAATGAGGTCCCTGGCAAATCTTCTTCAACCTTATTACCATTAAGCGTGTTATAATTCAGAAATGCAACCTTGAAAGGTACCCAAACACCGTGATCAAGTCCTCGCTGAGTAAACTGAACATCAAACCCTTTTTCTTCAAGCTGCTGCTTCACAATGTTCCCAACTTTGTAATCAAACTTAGCATGGAACTCCTCTTTATACATATGCTGCGGGAACCCATAAAAATCATAATACAAATCATTTTCTTCCTTGTTCTTAGCTGGGGTCGCAATCTCAATGGACTTTCTTCCCATCGATTCGTAATGGGCCAGGACTACAATAATGTAATCCGGCTTATACTCCCTCTTGATCTTTTGGCCGAGTCGCTGCACCGTCTGATACGCTCCTCTGCTGCCAAAGGTGTTATCATCGTACATGAAGGTTGGTCCTCCATGACTGAAAAAGTATACCGGCAATGGACTGACGTTTTTCGTGATGGCTTTGGCTGGTCCACTCATCATATACACCACTGATACTAGAACCAATACAATTGAAACGACAAATCTCATAAAGATAAAAGAGAACTCTCGCTTTAAATGCTAATCCATGAGATAGTCGTAGCCTTTAATTGCAAAATTATACGATTTTTTTTTCGTTGTTCTTCGCTCTTTTAGTAATGCTTAGAAATACAACCTTCGCCATACTCAAGCCTAATGATAATGTCATGTTCGGATATGGATGAGTCAGCTACTTCAATGACAGTGGTTTTAGTAATGGCATAAACTGATGCAACAGTAGAAGGAAATAACTTCGGCGTTACCAGGCTCACAAGCAGATATTCCGCAAACCCCGTAGGGTCTCCAAAACCGTTATCACAGCCACCTGACGGTTTCAGACATAAAGTTTCTTCTTGCGAGCAGCTTCTCCAAATATGGGCAAATTGGTCATGATATCTGATCTGGCAACAGTGGACAGGCTAAAGCAATACCCCGTAGCTTACTTAATGATTAGTTAATCGGGAACCAGATCTTGCAATAAAGTAACCCAAAAATTTCGCAACAATTGCTGTGCAATACACGAGATCATACCAGTTGGCCCATATATATATCTTTGTAGGGTATCTTTAAGGCAGTTTTAAGTAGCTTAGACATTCTTTTGCAAGTAAAGTTTTAGGGAAAATGTTTTCGGCTAACCAGTACGATTCAGATAAGTATAACGAACAAGAAGACATGTTTGATGATTCATTTTTCGAAGCAAATCCTTCGGAACCAAGATCATTGATCCATGATAATCCAAACGACGATATGCACCCAAGTTCACAGTTTGGAAATCTTGGGAACTTGGATTTTTTCGGAGGCAATATGGTCAACCCATTTGGTGATATGGGGATGGGGATGAATATGAATATGAATATGATGGATTTTGATAGTGACGGAGACTTGAAGACTACCGAGTTGAAAGATCGCTATATTGTGGAAATGAAGGATATCGGGGGAATCGAAGGTAAAGAATTTAGTGTCGACTATCAAAAGGGTCTTAATCAAGTTATAGTCAATATGAATAAAACGGTGAAATCAGGTGGAAGCTTTAGTTCCAGCAGCTCTCAAAAGAGTGTTGGGTTTGATAAGCCAATTGATTATAATAACATTCATTCTGAAGTTCAAGGTGATTCTCTTGTTATAACCGTGCCCAAGACTGACGAATTCGCATCTCTCGAAGATGAAAATGACCATTCTTTTATCGAGGGTCTTGCTACGAATTCAAAAGATGGCAAAGACGATTACCAATCGGGTTACATTGAAGATGTTGAATCAGATGATGCAAATTAGATTATATAATGTATATTTGAAATGAATTAATGACAGAGATGATTTTTTAAATGCAAATGTAGTTAACCAATTAACCGGTCTTGATACCTGATCAAAGCTGGTGGTAAGATTGGATTGAAGACAACTCTTGTACCATCAGATAAGAAATATCTACTTTGTTCTTTTACTAGGTTACCTAATTGAATATTCTGTAATACTTTTTCACAAGATTTCACTTTATGATTGATCTCTCCACAAAATCCACATGATGGTGTCTTAATAATATTATCACTAGTAGTATCAGGGTTTATTTCTTCTTCTTCTTCTTCCCTTGTTTGAATAGTAGGGGCAAATTCTCTGACAACCAGACATTCATTATACATATCTTCGATAAATTGCCCCCATTCAAAATCAGCATAAAATTTCGAATTTGCAACACTGCCAACTAAAAATGCTCTTTCTGGTTTGGTTTTAATAAACTTAATACAATTATACTCTTGGTTTCTATTACATAATGATTCCATATGTGTTTGACAATACTTCCAAAAATAATGAACTATTATAGAATATTCCCTAGCAGTAATTTCTCCAGGCCAGGTCTCAACTGCTACCATGACTTCTTGAATTAATTCACTCTCAGAATAATGAAATTCGGAATTGAAAATTTTATAAATTCGGTTAATGAATGAGTGGATTCCTTTATCCCTTGGAAGTAACTGATTCACTCGAAAGTATATCCTCTTCCAAAGTATTGGCCTATTTTGCATTATTTGTGAATTACTGCAAGTCTCAATAAATCTGCTAAATTTTTCATCTTCAACTTTAACTGCAGCATTAACAAGCACATCATACAATAATACATCTGGTATCATGAATGTTCCCTTGTATGAACTCAAGTTGTTTAGCCATGCCTTATATCCCTTGATATTGGTAACTCGGGCCGCTGATGGGAAATTTTCTGGCATGAAATATGATGCATTAGGAGTACCTAAGTTATTAATATACGCTGCTTGACAATTCGATTCAAAGTCAGGATCTTCATCGTTGATAAATGGGGCATGTTTTTCGATATCAAAATCAATTATATGAGCTGCCACAATTAATGGATCGGAACTTCTTATATATGCTGAAATTTTGGCATTCACTAAATCGGAAAACCTAACATTACTATGTGACATATTTGGAGGGGTAAACGAAGGAGTACTTCTTCCTCCCATCAGTGATGCTGAACGACTCATTCTTGATATATATCCTTCAGTGGTCAACCAGGCTTTGAAAAAAAAAAATATTAATTGGAAAGACAAAAAAAAACGTCCTCCAAAAAAGCTTCAAATAGAGCTCATCTTAAATGGTTACATGAATAGAAACACGTCGGATAAAGAGTGGATCAAATTCTTTACTAAACTCGTCGTATTAGGGACATCTCTTCTTTGCATCATAACACAAAGTAATCAAATCGGTTCTTGAAATCTCCCGTTTATCACTCTTCTATTCTCTTCCATATACCAAAACAAAGCCAGAAAAAGCCAGCATGTATCAATTAAACATTCCATTGACTTCAAAGTTGTTCTTTCAATTAAGATTGGCCGTAAAACGAACCAAAAGATTTCATTGCCCTAAATCATAGTGATCTTCGCCTCGATGGGGTCGTGGAAACTGTCCGTAAATACCACAGCTACCCGATTGCAATTGGCAATATAAACAAACTCAATTGAATAAAACGATCTGACCCTAAAATCTTTCCTGCAATTTGTCGTCACTACAATTATTCAATCAAATATACTCCATCTTTAACAGATCGATATCTTCATTTTAGAAAAAAGGCTAAAAGATCAAAAAAAAAAAAAAAAATTACTGCGAAATTTTCACTTACCCTAATCTATTGTTAAGATCCCTGGTACCTTTCTCAAGATTCCAAAGATGTCGATAGTAAGAGGATTTGGTTAATTGGACGATCAGTTTTGTCAGTTTCCTGGGCCTCGATAGCTTTTACCGTATCGCTGCCATCGACTACTTCCCCAAAGACGGAGTGTTTATTATCTAACCAGGGGGCAGGTTGAGTAGTGATGAAAAATTGGGATGCATTAGAATCCGGACCTGAATTGGCCATACTTACCATGAATGGTTTAGAATGTTTGAGCATTGGGTTGAATTCATCCTTTAAGTTAGTTCCCCATATTGATTGACCTCCTGTGCCGTCACCTAGCGGATCCCCGGTTTGAATCATGAAATCTTTAATGACACGATGAAAGATAACGTTATTATAGTACTGATTCTGACATAGTTTCACAAAATTCTCGACGGTTCGTGGTACAAGACTGGGAAAAAGTTTAATTTTTATATCACCCAAACTAGTATGTAGTATTGCATTAGTTATTGTCTTGGACTTAGACTGATATTTGGATCTAGAAACATTTCCGAGCGAGTTAGTCAACGTAAAATCTCTTTTATCATCGGTTTGGGATTTATTATTGAAAACATATAGTTTATTAGAGTTAATTGCAGAGCACACTAATATAGGGTTTTTGGTTAGTTTTGAATCAATGAGGGAATTATTAGATGCAAGCATCGAGCTGGTCAATTGATGCATTGCTGATTTATTGAGAAGCCCAATGTTGTTAAATCTAATAACTTGGTCAATTTGGTCTTCTTGTCCCAAGACTTTGATTATTTTCATAGTTTGTAAGTTTAAAATCTTGATTCCAATTATTGAAGGGAAGATAAGAACTTTACCGGTATCGTCGAAAACCATGTTATGATGATTAAATAAAGTATTTAAGTTCTCAGAAATCATTTTCCTTTCGAAACTTAGAAGCTTAGGATTTAGATCTTCTTTCTCATGAATAGCTAATGATTGGTCGATTTTTGTTAATAGCTTTCCTGATTGGCAATTGAATATTCGTAAAACATTATCGGGTTGAGAAGCAGTGACCAAGAGATTGCTATCGGGCGATATGATCATATTGGATACTTTTGCTTTATTTTTTGCTATTTCGAATAAATTAGTTTCTGATTTGAGTTTAAAAGACACCGAAGCTGGTAATTCTCCTTGATCATTCCAAAACTCAACGATTCCTTTTATATCCGACGAAATGAAAAAGTTGTATTTGAAATTGAATATAAGGGAAGTTATCGGGAATCTATGAACTTCAATAGATCTTACGGTATTATCATTTTCGGGATCAATAAAATGAATGTTTCTAGTGCCTTTTTCGCTAATGGCAAGACATGCAGTCCCACCAGTGTTCTTGAACCAGCAACATGGTTGCTTTATTGTATCATTGGGGACAAATTCAAGCTTAATGGCTTGAATCATATCCAAGCTTCGAAGATCAAATATTTTAATGTTATCATCATCTTGAGCAATACTGGCTAGATAAGAATCATCATGGTTAACTATGAGTTGAACAATTGATTTTTCTGGATGAGCCGAAAACTGTTTAAGCAATTCTAATTGACCATCAATCTCTGTGCCCTCTTCATCAGGGATAGTACTTGAAGCAATTTGTTTTTTGAAAAATTTAACCGTACCATTTTTCAACCCCACAATTATGAGTTCATCATCCTGGGTCTTGGTCAATGTGCTAATATTTGATTCTTGTTCATATGAATACCTGTAGGATTCGTTCAATGGAAGATTTGACGCAAGCATCGACTCTGGGATAACTGATTTGATTGTTCTTCTCTTCTTTTTCACTGGCTTTGCATCTTGATTCTGCGGTTTCTCCTGGTCTGGAACAATCAATGACGGTCCAAAGACATCTTCTGAGTCAGAATCACTCGAGTCACTAGAGTCAGAATGTGACTTTTCTTCATTCTTAGAGCCCATGTCAGTTAACCAAGCTAGTTCTTCATGATTTGATTTTTTTTCTAATTTTTTTTTTTGTCAGTTTGTAGATCTTTTGTACCATGAGCACAGTTTTTACAACCGTATATTTATGACTACAAGATACTCAGAGATGTTGAAAATGCTGTTATTAAAAGAAGTTTACTATAAAAAAATGAAAATGCTATGTTCTGTGGGATTCTTACTATTTTTTGTGCCAAATCATTCCGCCTCACTGCTACTCATGTCGTCCTTGCCATCGTTATCGGCACCGTAGAGATCTCTTAAACTCATTGGTTTTCTCAGCGAGGAGTTATCGAAGGGCCGGTTGTATATCGGAGTTTTTTTATTATTATCTTCACCCATGTTTATGATTATGGGCCCTCCGGCAAAACGATATCGTTCACCATCACTATCGTCGTCATCATCATCATCGTCGTCGTCGTTGTCGTTGTCATTTTTGAAGTCATTACCAGTTCTGTTCTCGAGAGTCGATTGGGGTTGTTTGGATACATCCTTGTCCATATCAGGTGAAGTATCTGGGGAAATCGATGATTGTTTATTTGATTCTTCTTCTTCTTCCAACACCTCTTGTAGCTGATCTTCGAGATCTTTAAAGTCATCATCCATATCAATGTCTTCGGAAACCAGTTCTTTTTTCTTTGGCTTGAGTTCTTTTTTAGGAGGTTCATCTTTCTTCTTACCTCTGGGTCTACCAGGACCTCTAGGCTTGGATTGATGCAGCTGCAACTGTGGTTTAGACTGTGGTTTTGGTTCTGGTTTCTTTTCATCAGCATCACTTAAGTCAATTATTGGGAAATCAGTGTTATTGTTCTCGTCCAACCCCAAATCTTCAAAATCCGATTCACTAATAATATCATTCTTCGTTTCTGGCGTAGCAGTCGGAGGTCTCTTAGATGCTAAAGTCAATTCTTTTGCAGGTTCCACAATATGCTTACCCCTCCCGTCAACTGACCTGGCGTTCTGGCTCTTCAGGTCCTTCGTAGCTTTTGGAACCGGATTCGGCTTCATTTTCTTGGGCGATTCTTCCACTCGGGGCGAATCAATTGATAACGCCAGCAATTCTCCCAGCTGCTCTTGCTTATCCCATTGGGTGATCTGATCCTCCCACTTACTGGGATTTCTGGATTTGCTAACTCTAATAGTGCTATTCAACCGCCTAAGTTGCACCAGGCTTTTCTTCTGGTCACCTTCATCATTCAAATTGAAGGAAAGATAATAAGAATCTAATGCTGGGTTATTGGTCTTTCGGTGTCTCTGTGGTGCTCCTTCAAATATTATGGGCTTGCTGTTGTTATTGGAAAACGCCTGCAACAAACACTCCTTCTCTGTCTGATATAATCGAAGTGGTTTGGCTTGATCCATAGAATCAGGTATAAATCCATACCGGATAGCAAACGAGCTGTCCGATGATTCACTTCCGGTGTCCGCTAGTAACTGGGAGAGATCAATATCATACTCTCCATCTGCTATAGACATACTAGATGCAATTATTCCAACTTTCCACTAAGCTTCCTATAAAAAAAGCGTTGGTTTAATTAGACTTCCCTTCCACACTCTTTTTTTTCCTATGGTTGGGTGGGTTTTTCCTGCACTTTAACCGAAAATCACTAACTGGTGAAAAAAGCTATCAACAGATCAACAGATCAACTACTTGTTAGGCCCCAAAGACGATGGCTCCAATTCCCCAGGATAAGGTTGAGGAGATTGGTTTGCTACATCCCAAGGTGCTTCTACTTCTGGCGGGAGTGACCACCTCGCTTTTCATTTCGTATCGATTCTACAGACGGTATGTGCGTCGGATTCGTAACTATTTGGACTTGACACCGGATATTCTCGAAGGGAATCGACAATTATACGGGAAAGTGACTCGGGTAGGCGATGGTGATAACTTTAGGTTCTACCATACCCCTGGAGGGGTTTTCATGGGATGGGGCTGGTTGAGACAAGTCCCAACCAAGAGAAATGAGTTGAAAGATGAGACTTTGATGATACGACTTTGTGGTGTTGATGCTCCTGAAAGGGCCCATTGGGGGAAGCCGGCGCAACCTTTTTCCGAAGAGGCGTTGGGGTGGCTTCAGGACTATGTTTTCGGTCGGTACGTGGTGGTTACTCCGTATCTGATTGATCAGTACAAGCGGGTTGTTGCTCGGGCTCAGGTATGGAAATGGACCGGTAAGAAAGACGTGAGTGCAGAGATGTTGAAAACAGGTCTCGGTGTGGTGTATGAAGGGAAAGTAGGTGCTGAGTTTGGCGAACAGGAGTCCTGGTACCGAAGTTTAGAGGCTAGGGCCAAAAGATTCCGCCGGGGGGTTTGGTCATTGGGTAAGAATCTAACCACCCCAAGCGAATTCAAGAAAATACATTATCGTAACGATTGACTTATTGTTTATCTTTGTATATCGATATTAGCATTTACATACATATATATCTAATTGAATTGTTTGACTAATTCACAAACTTCTTGCGATAACTTTTCAGTATTTTGTTTGATGTCGGCTTCGGCGTAGACCCTAACTGCGTCTTCGGTACCAGAGGCTCTAACGAAAGATCTCCCGCTTGGATATTGAGCAACGAGTTCATCGATCTTATCTTGTAAACCAATTGGTTCAACCAAGGTTCTTTCGGCGTTAGTGGTCTTGAAAACGGTTCTATCCTTGACAATCACTTTAGCTAAACGGTTAGGTAAGTCGGTGTAGGCTTTATCCCAATCTTCAGGAGACAATTTCAAATAATGAACAATTATTAACACGGTCAATAAATCAGAAATGGCATCACCAACGGTTTGGTTAATCAATTTAGTAAACTGTTGCAAAACCTGAATGGCTTTGGATTCTTTATCATCATTAGATTGATACTTGAAGATCTTTTCTTCTGCACTTGGAGCAAAAATAACTGTACCATGACCATTGGCTTCGAAATAAATACCAACGTCATATTTTTCAGCCTCGTGATGTAAATGTTTAACCCCGGTAGGAGTACAGCGCACTGGGATTTTAAGAACATCTTCAACGTACTTGGTTGATGATCCATTGGCATAGGCAGTTTGAATAACGGCAATATCCAAGTTGAGTTTAGAAGTATCGACATCTTTTAACAATTGTTGTAAGAATAATGCAATCAAAGTAGCAATCTTATCCCCGTCTAATAATCTGAATTCGCCATTGGCGTTTTGATAATAGTGGATCAATCTATCGGCATCACCATCAAATGATGCATATAACTTATTTGGAACCGGAGTCTCAACATTCTTTGGTAATCTTTGATTGACCTTAACAAAATCAGCACCACAATCGAAATTTAATAAGTTTGGTTGATCATAATCATTGTTTACCAAATGGAAAGAGATCTCCTCAGTCAAATACTTGCTTAAAAGATCCTTAACCTTTGGTGCACCCACCCCATTAGCTGAATCAATAGTGATATCAATTTTTTCTTCGTTCAGTGATAATTTATAAATATTTTTGAAAGCTTCAGCCAATTTGTTGTAATAACCATCTTCAGAGAGCTCTCCGAAAGCAGAGTCGTTCGAAGTCCTTGTTAAGTAATGCAATTGAGGAGTTGTATTCAATCCATAATCTTTGAATGAAACATTTGGAATCGACTGAATACCATCAATAGTAGCTTGGGATAACGCTGGACTGGATTCTCTTGAATCCCTAGCAACAATAACATTGGCCTTCTCATTCAAGTCAATACCAAGCTCGTGGACGAGCTGTTCGATATTCAGCTTGATTTCTTCGTGGCTCGAGTTGGCTAACTTGGTAGCATGAACTTCCCATGAGGCCTCCAACATACTTCCTAAAGGATCAACCACCTTCACCCCATTATCTTCCGGTGGATTGTGCGAGGCAGTAATCATAACCCCAACAGTCTTTCCTTTCAAAAACTTGGAACGTAATGCTGATAAAATCCCTACCGTATAATTGACATAATCCAACTTGGAAGCATTCATTCTAAAGCCAGCAGTACCATAAGTGAACTTCACTCCTTCTGGCTTGCTGTGGCCTTGCAATCCTTTGGTCAACAATGCTTCAAGTTCTGACATATTCTATTTCGTTTTCAATATAAATTCCGATCAATTAAAAGTATTCGTTTCAATTTTAAAGCCAGATCAGTTGGTTTTTATAGACCACGAAGCTGTTTGCGAAAAGTAAACAAAAATTTAGTGAAAGAAAAAATTGATCTAAATTTAATTTAATACCCTTCCTTGACCTTTACAATAACCATGTCGACCGACAAGAAGACCGAGAAGAAGACTGACAAGTTTGCCAACTCTTCTTTCCATAGAGAGGGATTGAAACAGTCTCGTCTGGAGTACGTTCCAAAGCCACCTCCCAAGCCTAAAGCAGTGAAAGCCAGAGAATCTCAGTTCGTGAAAGAATTGGTTGAAACTGGGAAACCAAATTGGAAATTGGCACCAAAAGAAGTTAAGTCAAGGTACTATGGGATATATATGATACTATTGGGGCTTCCCATTTTCTTGGTGCTGTCAACTGTTCTTTATAGAAGGTTAGAAGGTAAGTCTACAAGGAAAGTTCAAGAGGGAGAAATCCTAGAAAATGGGGATGTTCGTAAATTTGATGAAGCTGAAAAATGGTCTACAGAAAAGAATAGTATTTTATATAAGATCTTTGGTAGAGACTTCTTTTTGGACGGTTTCACTAGTAAGACCATGGGAAATGCTACTGATAATGATAAGGATAAGAAATAAAATTAAGTAAACACAAGAATAAGAAATGAAAGTATGAAGCTTATTGATGATAGGCATCTTGTATATATTGTACATAGTAATAAACGCATGATTTTTGAAACATTATCTCCATGCACTCTTGGTGGTTGTTTTTTTAAGAGGTTGGATCAAGTGGACTTCGTCGAATCTTGACCCGATTGAGGAGTTGGGTCTTTCTGGGGAGGTGGATCGAATAGGTGAAAGTTGTCTGGTAGGTGATGATGATCTATAGGACAGAGAAGACGAGATTAAGGATGCCGATGGAGATATATTGCTTAACAGAGACATTCTTTGCTTGGCTTCCGGGGAGTTCTTCATATTATGTGAATATGAAAGATTAGGTGTATTCATCCCACTAAGTGATACCCCAGAGAGTCTGGATAATGAAATCGACGATCTTGCGTTAGAATCAACCGAGTTTGGGGAAGTTTTGACGGTATTTCTGACCTTTAAACTAGACTGATTTTGATTGAGTGTTGAATTTTTAGTATTCCTAGTTGTATTAGTTGAATCCTTCATAGGTTTTTTGAGAAGTGAGTTTCTTTTCATCGCAAATAGTGGAGGTTTTAATGTGCGTTGACTTTTAACTTCTATAGGTGTGTTTTTGGTGGGGCTGTAGTCTACCCTGCCGGTAATGTCCTTGGATGGTTTACGCTGAGGTGACTGGAAAACTGGATGATTTGGACTGATGCTTGGAATTCTCGAAGGCCTGGATGAATCTATATAACATTTTTTGATAACCGGTAAGCCAAGACTAGTGTAGTCGTCTCTTATTAGTGGAAGTTTGGTTGGTTTATGACGGGAGTTTTTCATTAAATAGTTGAATAATTCCTGGATGCTATACAGATTTCTAGCCAAGGTTGATCTTGACATCCTTGAGTCGCTAAATGACGACTCAAGATCATATGAAAGTTTTGGAGTTGCATGCACCAAAGTTGCTTCATCGTCTTCGTCATCGTCAATATCAACTCCTCCATTTAACCTCATTAAAGATTGCTTTAAATTTTTTCTTTTCATCTCTAAAAACTGATTCTGTTCACTATTAGGATTGCCATTTTTCTCATTGGCAAGAAAATCTCTAACCTTGTCCTTTTGTTCAATACTGAAAGGGGTAGACTTAGAAGATACCTGGTCGACACTGACACCTAAATCGATACCCAACGCACTTGGAGAAACCAGCTCACTTGGAGTTGAGCTTGAGCGAGAAGAAACGGTATTCAGTTGTGACTTTTGTGGTAAATCAATCAATATACTTCTTCGAGAACTAAATGACTTCCTTTCAAGTTTATCGTCGTTTTCATCGATAGTGCCAAGCGGATCCGACGAGGATGAATTCTTTTTACCAGAATTGAACATAGAAGATCTTCTTTTTACTGTTTGAAGTGTTCTAAGACCATTTTCATCCAATGAGTGATCATTGGAACTCAACTTATCTACAGATTTTGAAAGCCTGTGAGATGAGGAAGACAGAGGGGACGCATTCATGAGTGTATTATTAAGCAAGTCCCACTCAGGCAAAAGCTTTTCATTGAATAAAGGTACCAAGGAAGAATCAGTAATTGTTCCTTCAGTGAAAGCTTTATTAATCATAGTTATTGAGTTTGAACAGAGTTTATAAGCTGGACCTATTATATCCATAGCATCAGATGCATCAAGATCACCATCATTGGATGAGTTTTTCGATCTCAATCCTTCTCTTAATGTTTTACACTTGTAGGTAATTTCATTAATAAGATATTTGAAAATCTCATTCCATCTTTTATCTAAAGATTCATTTTTTAGATTTTCTAATTCTAGTTGCAAATAGTTCCAATTATCCATTAATTCGTTATAGGTTATTTGTATATTATTAGCAGTCTGGGGAGAAATCTTAAAGCATAAATGATTAAATTCGTTGATTTTCAAAGGCAAAAATTCTAAACTTACTTTCAAAGGCTTTATACGAGATTCAAGCATCAAGTAACCATTGTATAAGGATTCATCGAAGTCATTAAAAGTGGGTAGTCTCAAAGATTTTGTAGAAAAATTAGTATTAGAGTGACTTGATAAATCATTAATCTTCATCTTAGCAGTAATCTGGGCCAAGTCAAACTTAGGTAGAAGGCGATTTGGAGATGAGAGTTTTGATTCCAGAATTTTATGGAAACATTCAATACAGAGTAATATTTCATCTTTAAGTGATTTTATTATGGTTTCATTGATTTCCTTATAATTGATAGATATATCAACTTTTCTCTTGAGTAGGATCAAAGATTTTTTGACGTCAAGCTGTAAATCAGATGTTGTTTCTAATTTCGAGAGTAACCCTGATAAGTCTTGAGGGTCAATTGAGGATTCTGAGGAATCAATGACAGTTAATATTTCAGAAATCAATCCGTCAATTGATTCAGTATCTTCTATTAAATCTATCACATCGGATTTACCATCGTAGTACCACTCCAAGCCGTCATCATCGCACTTATTATTATAAACTTCTAAAGCCTGCTGAAAGTTCAATAAAAGGCCATATATTTCATCTGTTAACTTGTTGATTTTTAGTAGATCATGATGCAGAAGGTTAGGTTGAGGTTGGGGGATTTGTATTAGCTCTTGTATTACACCTAGTCTAGGAATATCAGTAAGGAACGATTTTAGGGAATTAAATCGATCATCACTTTTACTCATTTTTGCATAGTATCAATAATCTGAATATTGGGCAAAGAAAGCAAATTCTAGAAGATGAAATTTGATATCAGTTGGGTTGGGAAAATAATGTAGATGTGTCTTAATATATACTAATCGTAATGAGCAACTAAAAGGACTAACAACTGATATACCTAAGTTATGACTTGTTCTATTTCTAGTGTATTGAGCTAGGCAGTAGTAAAGTGGGAAGAATTAGGGAAATATTGATAAGCCGGAAAGCTTAATTAAAGAAATCAGAAGTGCTTAAATTTGTAAATTTTAAAGAAAGACTTTGATTAAAAACACACTTTGGCGTTGCAATTTGGAATTTCCTTTAACTTTATTTAGATATAACGTTATTGTTCTCGATGAGGTATTGAAGTATATTGGCAATTGCAACAGCAGGGAGAATGTAAGTTTTAGGCACTTTGGACGGAGATGCAATAATTTCAGTCTTTCTCGCTTGACCGTTTCAGTAAATCCAATGTATAAACAGAGTTTTATCAAGTCTGAATGTACTTCTTGCAACCTCTAACAGACTAATTATCGTAAAAAATGCACTCTTAAACCCTTGGTTAATCTTTCTTTGACAATGCAAACAACTCCTTGCTGCTATTTCTCTTTCAATTGTTCAATCTTTAACCCTCTTACACTTGATCGAATTTTTTGAATCAATCTTGAGCAGCAAGAGAAGCAAAGTTCCAAGCCAGAATTGATTGTTTCTTCACAATCAGTATTGGGATGTCCGAATGGGATAAGCAACAATGCTGTGCTTAAACGAATACCTTATGCTTTGAGTAAATAAAGCTGCCGAGTTCAAGATAGACGGTTAACCGCTGTTTGTTTATACTTTTTGATATACTTTCAGTAACAAATCAGGAAAACCTGGTGTCTGGGTGTTTGCTTGATTGTGTTCTACACGCCTCTTCTGCTCTTTTTATTTTTTTTTTTTCGGTTTTTTGATTCTCATCTCATCGGGGACTAAATCAATTTAAGAAGCTGGGAAGTTGTACGATTGAAGTAAATATTCATATACGATTTAGAGAATGGCTAAAGCACCAAAGAAGAAGTTCAGTACTGCTCCTAATCCTACTGGTGCAGGCACTGTGTCTGCCGAAAAGCATTTGAACTCGGTCTTCAAGTTCAATACTGATTTGGGTCAACATATTTTGAAAAATCCATTAGTTGCACAAGGGATTGTTGATAAGGCCGCTATTAAGCCAAGTGACACAGTTTTGGAAGTTGGTCCTGGTACTGGTAACTTGACTGTCAGAATTTTGGAGCAGGCCAGAAGAGTGATTGCTTCTGAAATGGATCCAAGAATGGCAGCCGAATTAACTAAAAGAGTTCATGGTACTCCAAATCAAAAAAAGTTGGAAATTTTACTAGGAGATTTCATGAAGACTGAATTGCCATATTTTGACGTTTGTATTTCAAATACTCCATATCAAATTTCGTCTCCACTTGTTTTCAAATTATTGAATCAACCAAGACCTCCTCGTGTTTCAATTCTTATGTTTCAAAGAGAGTTTGCTCTTAGATTATTAGCAAGGCCTGGTGACTCCTTATATTGTAGGTTATCGGCAAATGTTCAAATGTGGGCAAACGTCACTCATATCATGAAAGTTGGTAAAAATAATTTCCGTCCACCACCACAGGTTGAATCTTCGGTGGTAAGAATCGAAATTAAACAACCAAGACCAAATATCGATTTCAATGAATGGGATGGTTTATTAAGAATAGTGTTTGTTAGGAAAAACAAAACCATTGCTGCTGGTTTCAAATCAAACAATGTCATTGATATCTTGGAAAAAAATTATAAAACTTATTTAGCCACTACGAATGCCATGAACAATGATGACCTGATGATGGTTGATGATAAATCTTCCATGACTGATGTCGTGAAACAAAAAATCGATTTCGTTCTTAAAGAAACTGGCTTCTCTGATCAAAGAGCTGCTAAATTGGATCAAACTGATTTTTTGAAATTATTATACGCCTTTCATCAAGTTGGTATTCACTTTGCATAATTCAATATCTTCCATCGTTTATGATTATTTATTTCTTTTTGATGCTTTCTTCAATATGAATTCAGCATTCATTTTTAACTTCATTTTTGTCTTATTTTGTTAATCCCATTTCCCCTGTATAATATTTTCATACTTAATAAAACATCTACAATCTCGCTTAAAATAATAATAGTAATAATTAACTCTATACTCATGATATATTATCCACTATCTTCTTTTGGCAGGTTTGGCATTGGTATTCTTTTCAATGACTTCACCTACTCCACCCATATCTTCCAAAGTATCCTCGGCAATACTAACTTGTTCTCTTCTTTCCCAGAATCTTTCCTCACATAAATCGAATGCAGCTTTCTTCAAATACTTACCTCTGGCTTCCCTGTTACTTGAAATAGACCATTCAAGGAATTGAGCACCAGTACGGACATAGAATGATCTCAAAGTTTCAAATGGTTTAGGATGTGGTAACCATGGTCTTGGGTCAGGAATTTCATCTTCCTCCTCCTCAACTTCTTCCTCTTCTTCTTCTTCTTCCTCAACTTCTAATTTATTATCGGTTTCTTTTTCGTCATCATCATCGTCATCTTCATCGTCTTCATCGTCATCTTCATCGAATTCATCATCTGAGTTTTCATACTCTTGCTCTAATTCTTTCAAGTTCTCCCAGAAAACTTTAACACCATCAAGTTTTCCCAAATCTATAGAATAAAATGAATCCAAGTTAAACTCTTGTTCACCTCTTTCAAAAATACCACCATATATATAGAAAACATCATCTACTACACAGGTAGTGGCATTGAATCTTTCATGTGGTAACTTGTTAACAATTGGGTATTCAACTTTATCCTCGTTGCTCCGTTCTTCCTCTTCTTCGAGCTTTCTTAATTGTTCGATTTGTGAAATTTCTTCTTGCTCATCATCATCATTCAAATTAGCTTTGGCTAGAATGGAATTTAAAATATCTTCTAAATCTTCATCTCTTGTTTTTTCTTTAACATTTTCTTGTTTCTTCTTCCTTTGTGGTTTTAATGATAAATTATACCATCTATTTGTTTCGATTTGATACGAGTACAAGTTATTATAAAACTCAGAATCAATTTGTTCTTCACTCTCTTCAAAATCAAACACACCCCCAAATAAAATACCACGATTCTTATGGTAAACCATTGAGCAACCAACCCTTGGCAGTGGATTGAATCCTTGTTTACGTCTTCTCTCAACTCTAATACCTTTTGGATCAGCTTTCATTTTGACTAACCAGCAATCATTCAAAACTTTACCTTTTTGTAAACCTTTCTTTGCCTTCACTTTACAATAACCACCGTATATGACCGCCCCGTCTGCACAAGGAATCATTGAATGCCCTGATCTAGCATCTGGAATTGGGTGATTTGGTGGGAATTCAACTTGTTCCCACTTGTAGCTAGTAATATCAAATAACCACATATCATTTAAGTAAGTAGTCATGGTACCTAAATCACGGAAACCACCATGCATGATTATATAATTCTTCCAAACACACATTCTGTGACCTGATCTGGCAGATGGACCTCTTTTCTGATCAATTTTGGTCCATTCCTTGGTATCTGCATCCAAAATCCAAGTATCACCATAGTGGTAAAATGTCGATTGTTTGGGAGAGGAGAATTCACCACCAAACAATAATATTACACCAGATGGATGTGCACACATAGCATGGGATGACCGAGGCAATGGAGAATTCTTAGAAGATATCTTTCTCCAGGTGTCGTTATCAATTGTGTACGAATACAAGTCGTTATAGAAATGAGATGCTGATCCAACCATACATTCACCACCAAACAAAAATAATTCACGTTTATTATGAGCTGGGTTAGCAACCAAGGTAGGATTTAATCTTTTCGATGGTCTTTTGCAAACTTCAATGTTAACAGCCTCGAACTCTTCTTGTTCTTTAGCATATTGCTCTAAAATTTGATCGATATCTTCATCTTCTTCCTCTTCACCTGTTTTCTTTGCCTGTTTTTTCGACTTTGACTCGGCCTTTGACTGGTTTTTCTTTTGCTTTTCGGCAGCACGAGCTTTTTTACTTTCTTTAGACTTCTTATCTTTCTTTGCCATGGTCAAATTGGTGAAAACATCAACCTTCGTCGGTCGTATTCATTGATTTTTTTTTTTTTTAAAGCAGTGAAAAAGATGAGCTTAAACTGTAAAAACTTCAATTTTTACACCTTCAGAAAGATATTTCGCAACCAGTCAAGCTTAGATGAAAAGGAATATATGAGTGCAAAAGGACAGTTATATTGAATAGCTTTACGAATTATATCAGGCTTGATTTAAACTGAGAGTAAGATGATTTCGAAACGACACCGAGTGTAGAATCATAGGTTAGATAAAGGACAAATAATACAAGTCAATAACTTAAAGGTAGCATGAATTTTTATTAAGCTTGTCTAACTAATATACAAAAGAGTCTTCTTCTATTGAAAATAAAAAAAAAAAGAACTTTCCATTAAGCATTAGTTTGGTATTCCAATGCAGTTTTCGGATGTTTTACTGTCTCTAAACAGAAATTGTCTTCCAAATATTTAAACCTTCACCACCGGTGGAGACTAAACAACCAGGAATTTGTTTATGCCATCTAACATCTTTAACATCTCTTTGCCAGTGAACAAATAATAATTGAGGTGGGATGTCATGCAATTCTTGGGCTTCTTTTCTTTGTTGAGAGATTTCTTCATCATCAGCTTCAACAGCTAAATCCCATAAGGTGACGGTGTTATCTTCAGAAGAGACGGCAATAATAGATTCATCTAATGGGTTGAAGGATATAGAGGTAACTGGAGATTTGTGGAAATCATAGTTTGCAACTGGAGATGGAGTAGTTGGAGAGTTGAAGTTACGCAAATCCCAAACACTCCAAGTACCATCATCATGACCAGAAGCCAATAAATGATTGATTTTACTACACCAGGAAATAACGTTAACATCAGTATTGGAGGCTTGAACGGAAATAGCAGGTTGATGTTTTTTGGATCTAGTATCCCAGATACGAACGTAACCGTCACAACCAGCAGTGGCGAAAACAGTTGATTCACCAGTAGACCATTGGATATCTTCGATTGAGGATTGGGATGCAAAAAAGGGAGTTTTGTCGGTAACCCAATTAGAAGTGGTTCTGTTAGTTAAATGGATTCTACCAGAAACATCCCCCGATAATAAAGCACCAGTGTTAATTAAAGGAGACCAGTCTAAACCATAACCTTCAACATTACCGTGATTTCTGATGGTGTGGGCTGGTCTTTTAGCTGATTTAGGAATCATAAAACCTGGAGTATCGAATGCTTTATATTGGGGACTTAAATCATAAATGAAAACTTCACCACTTTCTGACATGGTAGCGGTTAAGTATTCACCAGTTTCAGCAGCATGTGGAGAAACTCTGATTCTATTAGTGGTATGCTTCAATGGAATGGTTTCAGAATCCATAATTGGGTCAGCGTCATTGTCATCATCTTCGTCTTCTTCGTCGTCTTCTTCATCATCTTCGTCTTTGACCAAAGTTTTGGCCAATGAAGAAAGTTTCATTGCAATCAATTCATTGTCTTTACTGCGAGAAGCTTGGGTTGCAGTGGTAACATAAACAGATGCTGGATAATTTCTTCTTTCATTTCCAAGATTATCTGGTAAGATATCAAGGGTCAAACATGGCCATGGTAAATTAACGTTATGTAACATTTCATACACAGAAGGATCAGCCTCCAAGACTTCATCAGGACCCAATGGCTTGGATTTGTGTGGTAAATAAATGGTTGGTTCTTGTTCTTGTTCTTGTTCTTGGTCTTTTCTTTCTAATTCTTCGAGTTTATTTTCACCATCTTCTTCCATTCTATCATCATCTTGTTCTTCATTTTCATTGGCAGAATCAAGTTCAATAATTTCACCATCACTTTCAAAATCATCCCCATAAGGATCTTCAAATTCTCCCATTTCAACCTCATCGCCATTATTTGTGGTATTGGCTTGAGGTAATGAGTCTCTTCCAGTCTTGGCCGAGCCAGAAGCGTCTGGGACCAAATCTTCGGATGCACTTCTTTTAGACATTCTTATCTATACCGTCGAAATTACTTAGTAGTGGAAACACTGGAAGAAAATATCAAATGGTAATTTATGATTTAAAGATTTTTCAAAAAAAAAAAAAAAAAAAAAAAAATTCTATCGCATCGTTTTTAATGCTCATCACGTGAGCCATCTTTAGTCGTGGTATGCAGGACGGACGAAATTGTCAAATATGTAACTAGGCATTCACATTTTCAATAAAGCATAACCTTCAGTGGCTATTTGAAAACTATCGAATTGATGGAGCGAAAAGCGTTTTTGGACCAGGAGCCACCACCAGGATATGTGGCAGGGATAGGAAGAGGTGCCACAGGGTTCACTACTAGTGCAGATTCTGGCCCAGTCAGGTTCCAGCCCAACTTGGATGATGAAGATGAAAATGGAGATAACGAAGATGAATTGAAGTTCCAGGATGACGATGAAGGTGGTATTCTAGGTCTGGAATTGAAAGACAAGGAGGATGACGAAGCAGACCGAATATACGAAGAAATTGATCGCAAAATGAATCTGAGAAATAAGAATAAGTCAACTGGAGATTTGGAACTATCTACATCGGAGACTTCTGATAAGATCAAAGGACAGTTCACTGATTTAAAGAGGGCACTTACCTCGGTGAATGATAATGAGTGGGCTAATATTCCAGAAGTTGGTGATATAACCAGGAGAAATAAACGAACACGACTCCTTGAACAACAACAACAGAGAACGTATGCCATGCCCGATTCTGTTATTGCAGGAGCTGGATCCATGGGATCTTTAAACTCCAACGATGAAGTTACTAATTTCCAGTCGATATCACAGGCTAAAGATCTTTTGCTTAGTAAACAATTAGATCAAATAGCAGGGACAAGTGATAATAATAATGAGAATATTGCAAAAGAATTGGAAGAGTTGCAAAACAATGACAGCAAAATACAAGATATTAAAAAGGGACGTTTGATTTTGGCTTCTTTGAGAAAGACAGAGCCTCGTAAATCCAACTCATGGATTGCTTCAGCAAGACTAGAAGAACAGGCAAATAACTATACTGCTGCTAAAAAATTCATTATTGAAGGTTGTCATAATGTGCCTCATAATCCCGACATCTGGTTAGAGAATATCAGAATCCACCAAAAGACGGCAGAGGGTACAAAATTTTGTAAAGCCATTGTCAATGAAGGTCTTAAATTCAATATTAAATCAGAAAAGCTTTGGCTTAAAGCTTTTGAGTTGGAAAACAAGACTGATGTAGTTTCAAGGAGAAAGATTTTGATGAAAGGTCTTGAATTTATACCTACAAATGTCGAATTATGGAAAAGCTTGGTCAATTTGGAGGACTCCAAAGAGGATGTTCAAAAATTATTAACCAAAGCGGTAGAACTTTGTCCTAAAGAGTGGGATTTCTGGTTAACTCTCATTAACTTATCGAACTATGACGATGCCAAATCGTTATTGAATAAGGCTAGAAAAGCATTAACTGATAATTACATGGTTTGGATCATAGCCTGTAAGTTAGAAGAACGTGAAAAGGATGATATACCAATGGAAAAGTTGAATAAATTACTCGCTAAAGGTTTCAAAGAACTAGAAAAGAATACAGTTGATAAATCCCATTTGTTATCTAAAGCTGGCTGGTTAAATCAAGCAATCGATGCTAATCTAGAGGGCTTCACTAAAACTTCATCTGCAATTGTAAAAGTTACTCTTGATTCTGATGGTAAAGAGAGTTTGGATGAGTGGCTCGATGATGCAGAAAAGCTTATCCTGAAAAAAGAGTTTAAAGTAGCACATTTCATATACGAGTACATCATTGATAAATTTCCAAACAACATCGAAAGTTGGTTAAGTCTCATCCTGTCAATGAAAAATAGCAAAGACTTCGATAAGTCTAAATTATTTGAATATTATTCAAAAGCAGTCAACTTGAACCAAGACAATGAATTGCTTCTGCTAATGTATGCAAAGGACAAATGGCTTCTTGGAAATGATGTTGAAGGTGCCCGTATGATTTTAAGCGACGCAAGCTCTAGATTACCTACTAGCGAAAACATATGGCTAGCCCGTATTAAATTAGAAGTTAAGAACCACAATTATCAAGAAGCTATGTCCATCTCAACAGATTCCATCGATAAAATACCAACTTCCTCTGCCCGTGTATGGTTCAAACATATTCATTTGATGAGGTTTTTAGCTCGAAAGAAAATTGTTACTTTGGAGGTACCAGATTTCCTATCGTTGACTACTCAAGCTTTGGACCTCTTTCCAGAAGAACCTAAGTTATACTTGCAGAAGAGTCTGGTACTAGTTGACTTTGACCTAATTAAGCAAGCTAGAGAAGTCCTCTCTACAGGAACCAAAAAATGTCCAAATTCTATAGAAATATGGATAAACTTGGCTTGGGTAGACGAAAAATATTTCAAAACAGTCATTAGAGCTAGGTCAGTTTTGGATACTGCAATTCTAAAAAATCCAACCAGTGATAAACTATGGGAAGCCAAAATCAAGTTGGAAAGAAGACAGAATGATAGGACAGCTGCACAACAAATTACAAACAAGGCTCATAAAATGTTCCCTAGCTCTTCATCAATATGGATACAGCATCTATCATTAATTCCCAAAATGTCCCAGAGAAAGAATGCTTTTCTAGACGCAATGAGAACTACCAATAATTCAACCAATATTTTACTTAGTATCGGAGTATTTTTTTGGTTGGATGGTAAATTTCTGAAAGCAAAGTCATGGTTTGAAAGAGCACTTACAAGCAATAAGCAAAGTGGTGAATCGTGGGGGTGGTTATATTGTTTTATTGATAAATATGGATCAGCACAAGAGAAGCTGGGCTTACTCCAAAACTTAAATAAAAATTATGATGATATAAACGATGGCGAAACTTGGAATCATGTAAATAAAGATTTAGATAATTTCGAGAAGACTCCCAAAGAGATTATTGAATTAGTTTCAGCAAAATTATTAGCAAAGAGTATTTGATGCTACATAAATCAGTTTATAGTGTATTATATTTTAATTATTAATGTACAATTTATGATAGAACGTAAGTTTCATAGATCTTTAAATTTAATGCACTTAAGAAGCAAGGGATTTGACCTTTTTCATTTACCCAATTACTGACTAAATCTTCACACAAGCTTTTGAATTCAAGATTACCATTTGCTTTCAAAGATTTTGAATTTAAGTCTAAAATTAAATAAGCATTACTAGGTGCAGAATTATCTTTATTTGACAAATATCTCGAGACCAACTTTATCCTTGATGAAAGATCATTTGGATTTATAGGGCTTGGAATGAATTCAATTGTATAACCGAAATATTTGGATATAATTGACAATATGTCCTTACTTTTATCTGCATAAATTGTTTTAAGTCTATGAATTTTTTTAGTTAATTGATCAACTTTAGTTTGTAAAATGGCCTTATCTTGTTCTTGACGGGCAAAGACTGACTTTGGAATCAAATCTATCGATTCATCATCTATACCTTCCACAAATTTTTTGATCAAATCTTGATTCTCTTTGATAAGTAAGTCCAAGGATTGTTGTTTCACTAATTGGTCTTTGCTGAATGGATTAGATTTCAATTGAACCATATGAATAGATTCTCTTTGAGATTCAACTTTTTCGTTACTTTGAATCTTATCGTTTAAACGATTGATTTCATCTTCTAGGTTTTTGACTTGAGTTTGAAGCTTAACATTCTCTCTATCCAAGGAAGTATTGATATTCATAGATTTTACTTCCATTGCATCGTCAACAATTCTAGGTCTTTTTTCTCCAATTGAAGATGAGGACTTTACAGCTTGTTTCTGTAATGAATCTATTTCTAATTTATATTGGTCAACCAATTTTTCAAGGTTTGATAAGTATTGGTTGGTTGCTTCTGAAGAAGGGTTATTATTTTCTTTTCTTTCATTTTCGATTTTACTGGCCTCAATACGGTCAAAATTTTTCAAAGAGTTCCTTAAGAATTCAATCTCTTTATTATTTAACATTTTTTGATCCTGAAGTTTTTTAATCTGTAAATCCTTTGACAAATTCAGTTCACTGAGTGAATCTATTTTGGGTAAGTATTCGTGTTGAATTTTACTATGAAGATTTTGAAGCTTATTTTCTGATTGAGTTAATTTAGTTTGAGTTTGGGAGTATTTATCGAATAAAACCAAATTGTTATTTTTCAAATCTTTCAACTTATTAACAAACTTCATAACAACCGATTCATTCGTATCATTATCTTCATGAGTTATATACTCGTTGATTATTTTAAAGTAATCATCAAATTTCGACTTCAATTCAGTATTTTCAACTGATAAACTCCAACATTTTTGTTCAAAGCTCTCTAAACGGGAAACTTTATTGGAAAGAGATATATTCTTCTGTTTCAACAATTCGGTTGAAGTCTTGTGTTGTAATAGCTTATCAACTTTTAATTGCAATTGGCTATTGGTTCTTTGCAAGTTATCATTTATGGTTTGTAATTCCAGACTCCTATCATTTGAAAGTTGATCTGCTGCCAAGTTCAAGTTATTGGAAAACTCATCATTGATTTCGGATAAACGTTTATTCTCAAGTTCAAGCGATTTAATCCTTCCATTCAATTGATCATTATTACTTAATTCGTAATTGAAATCTGACTTTATATGCTCATATTTGGCATTTATATTGTTCAACTTGAATTCAAGTTTATCATTCTTACTCAACAATCTAGAATTGCTTCCCTTCAATTCATCAATTTCTTGCGAAAGCTCTTGACGTTGTTGTTCAAAGATTTGTTTTTGATTTTCAACCTTATCTCGTAATTGTTCCCGTTCTTTATACAAAAACTCGACATTCTGTTCTAAACTCGATAAGTCTTCATTCTTTTTCGATATTATTTCTTCATATCTCTTCGATAAACTCTCTTTACTCTGTTCCAACAAACTCTTTTCCGATTTTGTTGACGAAAGTTGAAACTGTAGACTCGAGATAATCTGCTTCAAACCAAGAACCGATTCTTCATTAAAGACATCTCTGGGATGCTCAACAAATGGCGAGGATCCCGTGTCAGTCATTCTGGGCCCCTGTTCTATGCTCAATACCAGTTTGATTCGACTTCGTTGGTGGTCTGCTTGTTGTCTTACCCGCTATATTTACATGTTTTTTTTTTTTTTTTCAATTTTTTTTCTTTAAAAGAGGGCCTGAAATCACAGCAAAATCCGGCGATAGCTTGAGAAAAGATCAATTACTCTTTCTTTTCTACTTACTTCATAAAGAGAATACTTAAACTAGCACGATGTCCAAGATGTATGTATTGGCAGTCAGATACGTGTACTGGAATACCACTAACCAAAGAATTTAGCCCAAGAAACTTCAAATTATTAGAAGAATTAGAAAAAGGTGAAAAGGGACTTGGTGCCGAATCTATTTCATATGGATTAAGCAGCCAAGATGATATAACCATGACCAATTGGAATGGGACCATTTTAGGGCCACCACATTCCACCCACGAAAACAGAATCTACTCTTTAACCATTGTATGTGATGAAAGCTATCCCGATCAGCCACCAAAAGTTCAATTCATTTCTAAAATCAACTTACCTTGCGTTGATTCAAACGGTAAAGTTCTTGTTGAGGAATTCGATACATTAAAGAACTGGAGAAGATCATACACCATGGAAACTGTTTTGTTGGAGTTAAGAAAAAGCATGGCTTCTCCAGCAAATAAAAAGTTATCACAACCGGCAGAAGGTTCCACCTATTAGAAAGTTTTGAAGGGATGTTTTTTTATTGGCAAATCAGATACATATATACATTTACATACTATTCTTATGAATGCTGACTTCATTATGCATCGTTGTTTGAATATGCTTTCGTTAACTTCTTTTAGAACTGGTTTCTTGATTCTTTTCGTGAGTTTTATTTAATAGAAAGAAAATTGCCTGTTCTTCTCTATCTTTTTACTTCTCTATTTATATATCCTATAATTAATTAATTTTCACCTGGCTTCTGCTGTAGCATGCCATTCTTTCTCCATGAATTCTCTAAACTCTTTTTCGGCATTCATAAAGTCTTGCACTTCCTTCCCGTATCGCTGGTCGTCTTTCTTGATTTGAGAATTGGTTGAGGCATCAGTGATTTCGATGTTGATCCATTTGGACCCCTTGGTCTTCTTCCCATCCTTTTTTTGTACACTCGGCACTAAACACCTTTGGAAAACTCTTTTAAATGGTAAGCATATAATCTCTGGTGGGTTGTGATTCGAAGATACTTTGAATGTGCATTCATGTTGTACCAAGCTTCGTAGTTGGCATTGGTATTTCTCGGGGTTATTCAACTGCTCTTTATACTGACTTCGTATGTCTGCTCTTTTATACACTGGGGTAGGTGGTGCCATCTTGGGCTTACAAGCTAAAGACTTTATTCTTTTAGGTTTGGTCTTTTTTTTTTCCGTTTTGTCTTGATTCACACCCGTACATTTTACATTTACATACAAATATATAGCTTAACATCTAACATCAATACCTTTTCTCTTTTCTGCTTCTCTTAGTTCGAACATTACTTGGGCCCCGGTGAACAAGGCGATCAGGGACAATACGAAGAATTCGAATCCACGTAAAGTGCTAAACATTTCTTGTAGTAATGCAACGGTACCATCTTTACCCAAGCAGAAACCGAAAAGATTTGCAATCATCATCATCCAGATGTTTAATACAGCCCCAACGGCACAGACATGTCTGAACCACCATTCTTCTTTGAAGCGTTGGAAGTAGATTGTGGCCAAAATCTCTGGAAGCAAAAAGAAAACAACTAACCACCCCCACATTAATAATTTCAATTCAATATCGTGCCAAATGGCAACAAAAGAGAATACCAAGAGAGAATTAAGAATTCTGTATTTACCACCTCCACCAAGAGGAACGTAGATATATCTTATGATCCATCTGTTGTAGGAGCGATGCCATGCTCTCCAAAAAGCCAATGCAGAATAGTTATTATCCATACATCTAATCATATTTTCTGGAGGATCAATACCATCGAGTAAACTCCAGAATCTAAATAGTCTCCAAGGAATCAAGAGTTTCAACCAGATGATGTTTAAGTTAAATAACCCCAACATTGACATTTGGAAAGGGGTATTACCATCCCAAGCTTTTGTTTTAGAAACTGCAACCACATACATGAAATGTAAAAGAAATTCCATCACCAATACGCAAAACAAAAATCTGGCAAAATAAACAAAAATACGTTTATAATTTTTAACCGATGGTAATTGTTGGTAGTTTGATTGATAAATATAGTCGTTGAAAGTAACAATTGGGCCTGCTATAAACAATGGTGCATAAGTGATATAAGCAAGATAATTCACTACGTTATAATCACTGATTGGTAAAGGAGCTTTCAATCTTTCTCTGTCATCAAGAGTCGAAAGATTCAAAGAGCTAGATGAGTTGGTTAATTTACCTTCTTCATCTTTTGATGAATCCTTTGCTTCGGTTAATTTCTCAATATAATCGGCATTAAAAGATATCATTCTGAGCAAAGTGAAGTTATAGAAAACATCCCATCTTTCAATTATCCCTTTGAATCCATGATCAATAAAAGATATTCCAAATGGAACGTTATACATCTTATCGTTAATGAACAAAGTCAGTATACCATAGAACCAAGTCAACCCCAACGCGAGTTTATAATTAGGTACAAATTTTGAAATCAGATAATTAATCAAGACAAAAATCAAGATTCTTAAACTGTTAGTACCATGAGCTGCAAATAAAAAGATTAATCCAAATCCAAAATCAAAATATGTTCTCTTATTAATATGTAATAATGGGGTGGTTATACGTCTGATTGAATAATGAAGAAAAATCAACCCCATCAATAATGGGAAATTATCCCTGAAAAATCGATACTGCTGATCGGAATTATCAACTTTACGGCCAAATAACCATCCTTGACTTAATAATCGAGCAAATTTTGGATAATTCGGATTGGTTTCGTTCGACGCATCCATAGCAGTCTTATACATCAAGGGAACCGTCACCGCAAAAATAGCGATATAAACCTTAAACTCTAAAGTATTCCATTTAGATTTGGCATTGGCTTTATTTATCACCTGTTGTTTTTTAACTGGATTGGTTGGCGGATACAATCTTGTATCCAAGGTTTCAAGCGAGAAGAAATCGAGTATCGAATTGAGTAGCTCGGCCATTCTTCCAATTTGCTCTCTTCTGGTCTGTCAATTAATCAATTCGTTAAATGGTCTTCTTCTTAAGTCTTTGGATTGAAAACACGTTGAAATTTTGTGGGGCCTTCCCTTCAACTTCTTCGCACCCGTACACACAGTAGTGTATTTTCTCAGTTTTTTTTTTTTTTTTTTTTTCAATTTTCAACTTATAAAGAAACGAATTCAATAATTGAAGCAGATATTCAGATCAAGAGGATAATGGTTGAGAAAGATAAGTCTGAGGAGCTGGAAATATTCAGAAGAGCAAATCCAGCTGGGTGGACGCCCCCAAAGGCCCCGTACAATCCATATGATCCCACTGATTTAAGGCCTCCAGGAGGGTATCCATCAGAGTTTAAGATACCAGGAAATCAGCCCCTGGGATTTCTGTCGCTTCCCAAGAACCCTACGCAGTATAAAAAGGTTAACGAAACCATGAAAAGATTGAATTATACCCCAAGACCCATGTCTGAGTTATACCCAGGACAGTATAAGGTATTACGTAAGGTGGACACCAATCAAAGACTAAATACGGGTAGTAGATGGTTCGGGACCTTTATTGGAGGAGCCGTAGTCTTTTATTTTGCATTTTTCCATCGTTGGAATGATGGGAAGGAAAACGTCATGAGTGATTTTTACAGAGCAAGATTGAGGTTACAAGAAAGAATAATCGGGATAAGTGATCAAGAATATAACGATTTATACCATCCCAAAGACGCAGGGATTGTTGTGAAAAACGTTAGAGATACCGATTACATACCTGAAGATATGAGAAAAACCAAAGAAGGTCAATTTGCATTAAACCGTCCATCCCAAAGACACGTTTTGGAAGCACAAAGGATTCAACAAGAACAAGAGGAACAGATGTTGAGAGAATTCGATCAGCATAAGCAGTACGCTGAAACCTTACTAAAAGAATCCGAACCAGAAAAACCTAAAAAATGGTTCAAATGGTTTTAAGCATTATTTATTACTTTGTATATAGATTAAATAAATTCTGATTCAAAAAAAGGCTACCTGTATATATTGAACCCTAGCCATGAATCTTCACTAACAAAGGCTATTCAGTGAAATTGCAGTGACTTATCAAAAGAAACGACTGGGTTGGAATTGCGAAAATCTCAATGCGCAACCATTTCACCAGTTTGCAATCTTATCAGTAGAGGTATCGAATTAAGCATATATATAGAGGTGATATTCTCTTGCTAACCGTATATGAGTCTTTAATCTGGTCGTTGTTACGCGAAAGCCGTTTTCCTTCAACTTTGGTCCGTTATCCTTCAATTTGGTCTCATAGCGTTTTCGTTTGTACGAGTATCAAAGAAAAAAGTTTTGAAAACAAATACTTGTTCAAGATGATAAAGGAATCAATGTCTATAATAGATACCGTACTCAACGTATGGATACTTCTAATCAAGATCCTGGTACTTGTGGTGAGTCATACGATCCATAAGTTTTTCGGCATCAGGATTTTTCTTAAGAATTTTGAAGATGATAATGATTTTAAAACTTGTTCAGATAATGCCATATACGATAAGATTATCCATGCCAATGACATTAGTGAAATAGCCTCTATTCAAGGATACACCATTCGAGAACACGTTGTTGCCACTAAGGATGAATATTTGCTAGTAATTCATAAGTTGGAGAAACGAGATGGTGGAATAACTAATGCAAATGGGAAAATAGCGTATTTCCACCACGGTTTATTAACCAATTCGGAGCTTTTCATATTGGGGACTAAAAAGGAGAAAAGCTTACCGTTTTTACTTGTTGATTTGGGTTATGAAGTGTGGTTGGGTAATAATCGTGGGAATAAGTATTCAAGAAAGCATTTAAAATATTCAGTTTGTGATAAAAAATTTTGGAATTTTTCACTAGATGAATTTGCTCTTTATGATATACCAGATACAATTGATTATATATTATCACTTTACCCACCCCATTCAACATTAACTTATATTGGTTTTAGTCAAGGATGCTCTCAATTATTTGCCAGTCTTAGTTTAAAACCAGAGTTGAATTCAAAATTAAACATGTTTATTGCATTATCTCCAGCAGTTATTCCAAATAATTTAAAACATCCCATTTTCAGAATAATCGTTCGACAAGCAGCTAAAGATAATAATTTCTTGTATAGCTTGTTTGGTGAACGGGCATTGATGCCTTCGGTTTCCTTTTGGTCTTACGTCATGGGTTCAAGATTATATGAACGAGTCGTTGATAGTTCTTTAACTTACCTTTTTGGCTGGTCTGGAAATAACATTGGTGCTCTACAAAAAAGAATTGGCTACCCTCATATGTTCTCAAATGCTTCAGTTAAATGTTTAACTCATTGGTTTCAAATTATCAATTCAAAAAGATTCCAAATGTTTGATGAAACTTGTAAATTCGGTGTGACTAACTTGGCAGTCTTGTCATCAACCCTGAAATCAAAGTCCCATTGTGTGGCTCCGTTCCCTGTCTCTCATCATTTAAATCTTCCTATCATTTTAGTTTATGGTAATTCTGATATATTGGTTGATATCGAACTCACTAAAAAATTAATCACCGATCAAAATCCTAAAATGAAAAATAAATTGATTGATACCATCGAATGCTCTTCCTATGAACACATGGATCCTCTCTGGGCAAATGATGTCTATGAAAAAGTTTTCTCCAAAGTTATCAATGCAATGGAATCAATGCATAATAAACGTTTCCCTAATCGCTTGTCTATTGACAAGTATAACAATTCTAATTCCTCATTACACCTGAGTTCCAGTCACGTAGATAGCTTGTACTCATAACATATACATTTGCATATATTAAATAATCATAAATAAACATAACTGCTACGTCTAAGACTAATGATTGCAAAAACCCTAATGTATGGGTGTATGGGTGTTTTTGCCCATGCAACCGGGGGTTACCCGCAGCTAAGCTCTCGAGTATAAATACACTCGATGCCCTTCAATTTTTTACTGAAAAATTATTTCTTCTTTTTCCTTTAACGCAAATTTCACAGCCATTCACAACGTTATTGCATTCCTCTGAGGTTGAACCCACTATGGCGTTCTGACCCATGACCATTGGAGTATAGTTGTAGGAATATTCATTTCGGTGGGTATTCTTTGCAGAGTGGACTGGAGAATAATTTGGTTGATCTTGGGTGCATCGTCTCATCTGTTGAATAGCTCTGTCTATTTCTAAGGGATTGCCTTCGTGTGCCCGTATGGGAGGTGATGCAATGATCAGCTGTACATCTGATGTAGAAAGTGTTGTAATTTCGACTAATGCCTGGTATAAAGTGTAAAAGTTTTCAGGTTTAGGGTTCCTGTATATTGCGTGGAGTATCAGAAAGACTCAACTCGACTCGACTCAACAGCAAATGGAAAAGAATATCAGCTAAGTGTTGATAAGAGGTATCGGAACCATACAATGCAATCGAAGTACGATGAGGTTTAATTGGAGTTTGAATCTATTCGTGTTATTTTCCTTCTTAGCATTTCGATTATCCTTATGTGACGCTGTCGCTGAGATAAATAGCCAATTGACCTTGAATGGTACTTTCTCCAAAAATGAACAATCTGTTAATTGTGCTGACACTTACACTCTCCCAAAGGACCAGCAATGTCAGTTTGTGAAGGAACATTGCAGTTCCAGTGATCATTTGGTGAGTAAGATCAATTACCTTCAAATATATTATTGTCATTTCAATTCATTGCATTTTATTTCAATGATTCCCTTGGTAATTGGATTGATTACTTGTTTCATCAGTTTGGGTATTACAGCGAGTGACTTTTTATGTCCTAATCTTTACACCATCTCGAAGTTTTTGAAATTGAGTGATAATTTGGCCGGTCTTACGTTATTGGCTTTGGGAAATGGTGCCCCTGATGTTTTGAGTACTTATAAAGCAATTAACGTGGGCCTGACGGATTTGGCAATCTCTGAATTAATGGGCGCTTCATTATTCATAACTACTGTTATCATCGGATCAATGGCCATAATTAAACCATTTAGTGTTCCTAATGATCAATTTATCAGAGATGTTAGTTTTTACCTCGGGGTTTGTGTTCTAGTGTTTATTTCAATCCTTTGGGGTAAGTTAACTCTCATCAATTGTATCTTATTATTATCAACATATATCATTTATGTTGTTTTTGTCATTTCAAATCATACTTTACAAAAATTGAAAATCAAAAAGCAATTACTGATTTTAAGATCAAGAAGTAACTATACCCCCAATGTTTCGCATAACATTGAAGGTATTGATGACATATACCTCGATAATATAGCGAGCTTACCATCTATAGATGAATTGGATAATTTTGACGTTCATGACGTCGAATTTGATAATTTCTTGAAAACTCACGATCATGATGCAAATACTGAACATATCCCAGTACATACGGGTTCATACGCTTTGAAAACCTTGGTGAAAGAATTATCAAAACATGCCACTCATCATCATAAACAGATCTTGTTGGATGATAACCATCATAGACCTTTAACTGCCCCCGGTGGGTCGTCACGATTTGCCGCCCAACAATATTCAGATGAAGATATCTTCACTCCACACACACAACCTAATCCTTATAATGATGATCCTAGTCAATCCTTTGAGATTCCATCGCAAAACAACTCATCCAGCTTAGCCCATGTGGATAACTCAACAGGAAATTCAAATGTCCTACATTTAGTGATTCGTTTCTGGAAACTATTAACACCCGATTTTGATGAATTTTTCGAAGCTGACTTTTTTAATAAATGTAATTTCATTTTATGCTTCCCGGCATCAGTTTTATTGAAGTCCTGCACGCCAGTAAGAGATCAATTATTAGTTCATGCATTCTATTCTAAACCAGAAGATGAAAGTGAAGAAGATTTTGATTTCCGGTCCGATAAATTACTTTTCTTATTTCAAACTGTAATAGCCGTCAATTTCATCATTCTTAACATTTGGGGCCTTTCAGTATTAAACATTTGCATTTGTTTTGCCATATCGGGCGTAAGCTTTATTGGTACATATTCATTATACAGAATAAACCAACCTTCACAAATCATAAACTATATTGGTTCAGTGGTTGGTTTTATAACTTCTATCTCATGGATATCAATTTTTGCAACCGAAATCATTGGTATCTTAAAGGCATTTTCGGTGATCTTCCACTTAAGTGATTCCATATTGGGGATTACAGTGTTTGCATTAGGTAATTCGGTAGGTGATTTGATTTCCAATTTAACTATAACCAAAATGGGAATGCCTATTATGGCGTTCGGTGCATGTTTTGGGGGGCCATTACTCTCGCTTTGTTCATTAGGTTTAATTGGAATTATCATATTAAGTAATGATGGGACAATTACAATTGGAAATCTGAAAACACTAACAGTAACCAGTGGAGCACTTGTAATTAATGTTTTAATAATTTTAATAAGTGTTCCCAGAAATAGTTGGATGTTAGATCGCAAAATCGGCTCCTTACTAATTGTTAACTGGGTTTTATCTACAGCTATTTGTATAATATTAGAATTAATATAATAGAATTACAATATATATAAAATTTTATACAAAAACATTTTTATTAATTACCATACATATATACATATATATAAGGAAAACTTTAAACAACATTAGAAATCATTAAACCGTAACAAAAGAATATTCTTAATCTTTTTACAAAATTCTCTAATCAACTTCTTCCACGGTTGGACCACCTGGTGCATCAGCAGTACCACCTGGAGTAGATCCTGGGAATCCACCAGGGTTAGGACCTCCTGGAGGAGCACCACCTTCAGGAGCACCACCTGCAGCAGAATAAGCAGCACTAATAATTGGATTAGCAATACTTTCTAATTCCTTGTGTCTATCATTATATTCTTCGGTAGAGGCTGCTTGAGATTCATCTAACCAAGTAATAGTTTCTTCAACAGCCTTTGATAATTTTTCTTTATCATTTTCATTAATTTTATCCTTCATCTCACCATCGTTAATGGTAGTCTTCAAAGAATAAGCATAAGATTCCAAAGTATTCTTAGCTTGGATTCTAGCAGCTTCCTTTTCGTCTTCTTCTTTGAATTTTTCAGCTTCAGAAACCATTCTTTCGATATCTTCTTTAGATAATCTACCTTTATCATTAGTAATGGTAATCTTTTGAGTTTTACCAGTACCTTTTTCTAATGCAGAAACATTCAAGATACCATTTGCATCAACATCAAAGGTGACTTCAATTTGAGGAACACCTCTTGGAGCTGGAGGAATACCGGATAACTCGAATTTACCCAACAAGTTATTATCTTTAGTTCTAGCACGTTCACCTTCGAAAACTTGAATCAAAACACCAGGTTGATTATCAGCATAAGTTGAGAAAGTTTCGGATTTTTTAGTTGGAATAGTAGAGTTTCTTGGAATTAATTTAGTCATAACACCACCAGCAGTTTCAATACCCATAGATAATGGTGCAACATCCAATAATAATAAATCTTGAGTCTTGGAAGAAGTGTCACCAGTCAAGATGGCAGCTTGGACAGCAGCACCATAAGCAACAGCTTCATCGGGGTTAATTGATTTACAAGGTTCTTTACCATTAAAGAAATCAGAAACCAATTTTTGAATTTTTGGAATTCTAGTTGAACCACCAACCAAGACAATTTCATGAATTTGAGATTTATCAACTTTAGCATCCTTCAAGACTTTTTCAACAGGATCCATAGTAGATCTGAATAAGTCTTGACATAATTCTTCAAATCTAGCTCTGGTGATTGAGGTGTAGAAATCAATACCTTCGAAAAGAGAATCAATTTCAATAGAAGTTTGAGTGGAAGAAGATAATGAACGTTTAGCACGTTCACAAGCGGTTCTCAATCTTCTCAAAGATCTTTGGTTACCACTGATATCCTTCTTGTTCTTTCTCTTAAATTCTTGGATAAAGTGGTTAACCAATCTATGATCAAAATCTTCCCCACCCAAGTGAGTATCACCAGCAGTGGCTTTAACTTCAAAGATACCTTCATCGATGGCCAAAAGAGAAACATCAAAAGTACCACCACCTAAATCGAAAATCAAAACATTTTGTTCCGAAGAGGATTGACTTCTTTTATCTAAACCATATGCAATGGCAGCAGCAGTAGGTTCATTAATAATTCTCAAGACATTCAAACCAGCAATCAAACCAGCATCTTTAGTGGCTTGTCTTTGAGAATCATTGAAATAAGCAGGAACGGTAACAACCGCATCCTTAACTTCCCCACCCAAGTATCCTTCAGCAGTTTCCTTCATTTTAACCAAAACCATTGAACTGATTTCTTCAGGGGTGAAAACCTTAGTTTCTCCCTTGAATTCAACTTGGATATGAGGCTTACCTGATTTTTCAACAATCTTATAAGGGAACAATTTAACATCATTTTGAACTTCTGGGTCGTCAAATTTACGACCAATCAAACGCTTAGCATCGAAAACAGTATTGACTGGATTCATAGCTGCTTGATTCTTAGCTGCATCCCCAATTAATCTTTCAGAATCGGTGAATGCAACGTAAGATGGGGTTGTTCTATTACCTTGATCATTAGCAATGATTTCAACCCTGTCGTTAGTAAAATGGGCAACACAAGAGTAAGTAGTACCTAAATCAATACCAATAGCACCGGCCATTATGAATAAGTATTTATGTTAGATTGTAGTAATGAAAAGAGAAGCAAAACTAAATGAAGTGAAACATTTTCAGGTATATATATACTTTAACTACATCTGGGTATGGGGGGAAACAAAGAAGCTAATCGAATACCATCGAAGGAACCAATGAAAATAGTTGCTAAATTGCAACCCCTTATACTAATTGCCAAATTCCAGAATTTTCTCGCTATTTCCATGCAGGGTTGCAACTAAATGACTTTAGTGACAGATCCAGTTGCACTCTAAACAAACAACTCTACTACATCTACTATCTTCCAGAAGATACTGGACTGGCACAGAGGACCCACTGGCTGCTGGTGGTAGTTGCAAATGGAGGTCAAACGGATGGAGAAGAGCTATTAGCGGTTAGTTAGTGGCTGATGACATAAGCGATTACGTCAGCACAATTTTTTTAAAATGGTTCGATTAGTGCTTTACAATGGAAGGATATTAAGGTTAAGCAAATGGGTATAGGGATATGGCGGTTGGTACGGTATTCGCTAGCAATTAATGCTGCTTGACTAAATTCCGGCTAATGAACGAAAGGTTTTACTGGTGAGCGTTTTTGAGGTTACAAAGCACTAGCAAGTGGAAGTATAAATTAGCAATAATGATGTTGCAATTAATGCTAGGGATACTGCGTCTTTATGATCTCAGTTACGGCTCAAGATATAGAAGATGGCTTAAGAAGAAATGGCTTGAGCAGAAAATGGCTTGAGAAGACGGTTTAAGAAGTAGAAATGACAAGAAAGTTGAGGAACGTTCATTTTTTGCAACTTGTAGCATATAAGCACAAAAACAATCATATATTAAATCATATATTAAAACAATCATATAATAAATCATATATTAAAACAATCATATAAGCCAAACAATCATATAAGCCAAACAATCATATAATAAATCATATATTAAAACAATCATATAAGCCAAACANATCATATATTAAAACAATCATATAAGCCAAACAATCATATAAGCCAAACAATCATATAATAAATCATATATTAAAACAATCATATAAGCCAAACATAGACGACTAGGTAATCTTCTTTTCAGAAACATACCCGATTGCCGATAATCTTTCTGTTAAGCTGGGATGGGAAAGTTTATAGCAAGAATATAACCAATCAGGATCAGTAGAGGTTAAATTTTCTTTGTCTAATATTATGAGTGCTCGAGCTAGAGCATCCGAATAACCCAATTCTTTAGCGTATTCATCAGCTAAATACTCATTTCGTCTTGTTAATTGGTTAAGGGCAAGATTATTGAGTAATTCCACTGGCTGGATAAGCAGATTATAAATTGTGAAAGCGACCCAAGCTGCACGAACATTTCCAAAACCAAATTGGTTGTAAAAAGATTTGTTATTCAAGAAGAACAGAAATAAGTAGAAGTTAACCACCGATTGCACAAAGTCACCAATAAGAAGCTGCAGGATATGATTCAATTTCCAATGGCCAATTTCATGAGCCAATACTGCCACGATTTCATCAGTACTTGCTGATTCAATCAAGGTATCGTATAAGACAATCTGTTTACTCCATGGTAATCCCGAAAAGAAAGCATTAGAATGAGATGATTTAGATGAGCCATCTATAACGAATAAGTTGCTGGAAGGGAATTTAACTTTAGCAGTAAGTGCTTCCAATTCATTTCTCAATTCGCCATTTTCAAGCGAAGTCATTTTGTAAATCCAAGGTATAATAACAACGGGGATTACAGTGTAAAGGAAGATTAAAAACAAGAGCAAAAAGACACTTGAATAAAATACAAATTGCAGACCAAAATAGTCAATAACTTTTGAAATACCAGCCGCCACAATAGAATGGATGATACTTGAAAAAACAATTATTTTCAACTGATCAATCAAAAAGCTTTTGAGCGTATACTTATTGAAACCATGTTTTGCTTCAATGATAAAATTTGCATAGAGATCAAGGGGAAGAGACATGACGGTATTTAAGCTAAATTGGATATTTTCAAATATGACTGCTTGCAAAATCGTACCAACAAAGGATTTTGGTAGAAAAGGTGCAATATTTTTCAAAATTATTTCACTTAAATTCCAAATTTTAGGGAAAAGGTCATATTCCACATACAAAAGTTGTTTAGCAGCTTGGTACACGGTTTTGAAGAAAGACAACTTCAATCTATCCCGGGCGTAATTTTGAGATTTGATGAAAGTATCTTGGTCGACTTGAGCCTTCAATGCAGCTGGAGGTGACTTCTTGTTTAACGCCTTGAATTGTCGATAGTTAATATAACTATCGGCAAAATGGTATAACAAGACACCAGTAGTGAAGATGCCTTTCCAATTGATGGAGGGGCTATCGAAAAGCGATGGTAGCTACATCTCGTTAGTAAATATTCTCAGCTCTTCTGTTAAGGTAACATACTGATGAGAAAAAGGACATTGGATGATTGGTTAAAAATGGTTTCTGAAGAAAAATCAGCCTTTTATAAGCAAGCACTCCATAAGAAAACCCCCCTACCAGAGGTTCAATGTAGGAGGATGCCCACCAAAGCCCATTAGTTTATAGGCTGCAAAAGGGGATATCAAACTAAGTTTTCGTAAAGTTGAAGTATTTTTTTAATCCCTCCGGTAAAACATTCCTATTTAAAGAAGCCTTATCTTTTCAAAGGAAGTATGGCTGAAGAACACAGCACTCTCTATAAATTTTGCAGTTTCTTTCAAAAATGCTACCGGGTCGAGCATTAAGGTTAGAAGTGGTACGAGTCGAAAAAAAAAACTAGCATCCCGAGTCAGCCAACCGGGTCTCCTTTCAGCCCGAGTCAGCCCGAGTCATGTGACTGTCCCGCACCTTAGTTTCGTTGGTTTATCAATCCACTTTTTTCAAAAGACTTAGAATAGGATTACTTAACTACTTTTCTTCTTTAAATAACGATGCTTTCAATTATTAGACCAATCACTAGATCCAGTTTGATGAGACCAAGTGTCTTGGCCCGTCAATTCAAACCAATGATTCCAAGTGTTAGATATAACTCTACTAATTTCACTATCAATACCCAATCACACGTCTTTAAATATTTGAATGAAGGACCAAAATATCTTAAATTTACCGAAGAACATGAATGGTTAGCTGTTCATGAAGATGACACCGGGTTTGTTGGGATCACCACCTATGCCGCCGAAGCATTGGGAGATGCCACCTTTATCGAATTACCGGAAGTTGGAACCACGGTTGATATTGGAGAAAACATTGGATCAGTTGAAAGTGTTAAATCAGCAAGTGAAATCTATAGTCCAGTTCACGGAGAAATCATTGCGGTTAATGACATTTTGGAAAGTAAACCCCAACTAATTAATGATGATCCAATGGGGAACGGATGGATTGCCCAAATCAAATTATTAGAACCAACTACAGTTGAATCAAGTAAAGAATTGATGGATAGTGAACAATATGAAGATTCCTTAAAAGATGAATAGATTTATATAAGCTACATATGTAGAATACATATAACATATTTATTCGTATACAAATCATTTCAACCATCAATTGAAATTAAATAAAATTTGATTAAAAAAAAAACTAGACTAAAATTAAGAGAAATGAACAGCAATAGGAACTATAATAACAATAAGTATAATGATAACTGCCAATATAAGACACATTCTCATCTTCATATCTTTCCACCACATATCTTTTCTTACCCGATTAGCACCTCTTCTAAAACCTTGGGCGCTAATGGCTAAATTATCAGTTTTATTTTCAATCGAGTCCAAACGCTCCCCCCTTTCGGCAACCTTATTGATGTTATCCCTCATAACTCCCACCGTATCATCGATTTGCTAAATTCTGGTTAGTATTGCCTTACGCCTCCCCCCAAATACACCTTCTCAAATACATACTGCTTGAATGGCAGCAGTCCTGGAATTGGACTGTTCACCAGTGGTTTGGTTCGGAATATATGGATCGTATGGAACGGATGATGACATCTTGCTAATTGATTGGCCTAATAGCTTAAATAAGTCTGTTAAGTAAGTACTTGGTCTCTTTTTTTTATTGGTGATCTTTTTTTGTCTATCTTTTGTGGGTCTCAACCTGCACTTTTCCTACGCCTAACCTGCAAACCGTGTAAAGGGGTTTCTACTCCGACCACCCATATGGTCGTATAGATGTCTTTTCACATACATATCCATATGGATATATACATGTCTGTATATGAACCTCCAGGTATACCCAGGCATTTTGGTATATACTACAGTGCACCGGCCATTTAATATACCTAAATAGGTGATTGTGAAAATATCACCACAAAATCAAAAACAGTATATGATTTGCTTTGGTGTCCTTTTATTTAAAAATACCATTTTTTTTTTGTTTTGTTAGCGTTTTCTTAATCTCAAATTTTCATTTTTTTTCGATTTTTTCGACTTTTTTTTTTTTGACTTTTTAGGTGTTGTGTTTTTTTCAAATATTTAATTATCTCACTCTTTCTTTCTCTTCTTTCTCTTCTTCTTCTTCTTTTCCTTTTGTTTCTATATATTTCAATTCTTATATTCATATAATTATTATTTCATAATGGACGGTGGTATGTACCTTGAGCACGATTGATTGATTGATTCGCCGGGTTGAGTTCTGGCGGGTTTTTGGGCGGGTATTTTTGGGCGGTTAACTTTTGATTCAAACCTTGACTATTCAGCTGGGTTGATCAATTCAATGGTAGTCTTCTGCTAGAGTGATGGGTCAATTCTGGGTGGGTCATTACACGGTGAATTGGACAGCGTATCCTGTCGGTGATGATGGGCCAGTTGTTACTGGTCAAATCTTACAGGTCACATTCTACAGGTCACATTCTACAGGTCACATTCTACAGGTCACATTCTACACATTCTACACATTCTACAGGACATCCCTCATGGTCTAGGTTGGATTGGCCAGTGTTGGCTTATCGGACGTCTAGCAGTGTCGAGCGGGTGTCCTATCTGCAATTGACTGTGCTGGTTGTTTGCTGTACTGATAAAACCTTCGTTGGCTTTTTTCTTCCAATTTGTTCTTTTCCAGTGTTGAGTGCGCGCCCACTTTTTTTCCAGGTTCGTCGGTGAACCTTTTTTGCCCTCACTAAACTTTGTGTCGAGTTTTTATTATGAGTTTAGTTTCCGTTTCCGTTTTCGTTATTGGTTGACGAAGTTCAATTGATCAATCGTTTTTTTTTTTTTTTGTTTTTTTTTGTTACCTATACTAACCCATTTTATAGAAGAAGTTGCTGCTTTAGTTATCGATAACGGTTCTGGTATGTGTAAAGCCGGTTTTGCCGGTGATGACGCTCCTCGTGCCGTTTTCCCTTCCATCGTTGGTAGACCAAGACACCAAGGTATCATGGTTGGTATGGGTCAAAAAGACTCTTATGTTGGGGATGAAGCCCAATCTAAGAGAGGTATTTTAACCTTAAGATACCCAATTGAACACGGTATTGTTACCAATTGGGACGATATGGAAAAAATCTGGCACCACACTTTCTACAATGAATTGAGAGTTGCTCCAGAAGAACACCCAGTCTTATTAACTGAAGCTCCAATGAATCCAAAATCTAACAGAGAAAAGATGACTCAAATCATGTTTGAAACTTTTAACGTTCCAGCTTTCTACGTTTCTATTCAAGCTGTTTTATCTTTATACTCTTCTGGTAGAACCACTGGTATTGTTTTAGATTCTGGTGATGGTGTTACTCACGTTGTTCCAATTTATGCCGGTTTCTCCTTACCTCACGGTATCTTAAGAATTGACTTGGCTGGTAGAGATTTGACCGATTACTTGATGAAAATCTTATCTGAACGTGGTTACACTTTCTCCACTACCGCTGAACGTGAAATTGTCCGTGATATCAAAGAAAAATTATGTTACGTTGCTTTGGATTTCGAACAAGAAATGCAAACTTCTTCTCAATCTTCTGCTATTGAAAAATCTTATGAATTACCAGATGGTCAAGTTATTACCATTGGTAATGAAAGATTTAGAGCCTCTGAAGCTTTATTCAGACCTGCTGATTTGGGTTTGGAAGCTCATGGTATTGATCAAACCACTTATAACTCCATCATGAAATGTGATGTTGATGTCCGTAAAGAATTATACGGTAACATTGTTATGTCTGGTGGTACTACCATGTTCCCAGGTATTGCTGAACGTATGCAAAAAGAAATTACCGCTTTGGCTCCTTCTTCAATGAAGGTCAAAATTATCGCTCCTCCAGAAAGAAAATACTCTGTCTGGATTGGTGGTTCTATCTTGGCTTCCTTATCTACTTTCCAACAAATGTGGATCTCAAAACAAGAATACGACGAATCTGGACCTTCCATCGTTCACCACAAATGTTTCTAAGCTTAATCACTTTAGAAAATTATTTGTATCGTATCTCTTGTGCTTTTAAATATGTCTTTCTCTTTTTTTTTTGATTCCACTATACATTGTTTTGTTTATACGTTTTAGCTTTTTATATAAAAAATTAGCCTTTTTTTCTTTTTTATTTTTTTTTTATTTCTATACTTTTTTCTTATCTTTCAACCGTTTCTAGAAGAAAGAAAAAAAAAAAATAAATTAATTTGTTTGATTATGCTATAATATTTAAAAACTACTATTACTTATATTCAAAACTTCTTTAGTAAATCTTATAAAAGCTGTTTATTATGAATAAATAAATATTGAAAAATGGAAACGAAAAAGCAGAAGTTTTGAAAAGAAAAAAAAAGATAAAAAGTAGTATTGTAAATTTATTTAACTTCTAAATATGGGGTCTCCCCTTTAAGTCTTCCAACTACACAGCTCTTAGCGTATCTTGGTATGACATTATCTTCATGTAACATATCAAAACTCTCAGTAGCATCCTTACCGGCAAAGTTTATAATGGAATCTTCACCACCTGGGTGATCTTTCAAAAATGGGGTCAAGTCTAAAACTACGTTTTTAACAATCACCCAGCAGTCTTTAGCAGTGTTATGTTTGGCCACTTCATCTGCAGTGAATTCTTTTGATGGAATTTCGAAAGCCGTGAACTTGTCATCTTTCTTAGAGCTTGATGATGAGGAAGGTGGTGCTGATGGTGGTGCTGATGGTGGTGCCGATGGTGGTGCCGAAGGTGGTGCTGAGGACGAAGGTGGTGCTCCTTCTCCCCCATTACCCTCTTTATCAGTCCAGTCAATGGTGATTCTTTGAGGAAAAGCCGGGTCGATATGGAAACTGATTTGTTTCAATCTATTGATCGCAGTATTGCCATCATTTGATTCAATTGGGGCGGGTTTTGCAGCCTCAGCATTGGCCAAGTGATTGAAGAAGAAACTAGATGCTCCGTCAGCAGCCACTCGGCCATAAACAACACAAGCCAATAATGAGGAGCCCCCAAGTCTATTATGACCGTGGACACCTCCGGCTACTTCACCACAAGCATACAAACCTTCAAAAGGTTTGAAAGTCTCTTCATCAACTTGATATAAAACTTGGGCTTTATCGTTGATCTTAATACCACCCATAGTGAAGTGTAAAACTCTGGTAATGAAAGAAACATGGTAATTATCATTTGCTTCTATCTTGAAAGGAGTAGTTGGGAAAAACTTTTTACCAAACTCATCTTGAATTTCACCGGAAGCTGCTTTATTATAAGTTTCAAAAGTTTTCTTCAATTTATCAATGCCAATACCCATTTCTTTGGTTAACTCATCTCCAGTGACCGTCTTCATTAAGCTTCTTTGCTTATAATGCTTGATATGGAAAGCCAATTTTTCATCACTTTGGCTATTCAAAACAAGACGAAGTGGGCCATTACCGGCTTTCAACTGCTTTTCCATTTCACCACTAACATAATCACGAGTACCCAACTCATCAACAAAACGATCTCCGTGCTTATTTAAAATCACTCCACCTTCACCTCTTAAAGCTTCAGCACCTAAAAACAAAAACCTTGGTTGTTTTTTACCCAAAATAACATCCTCATCATTTAAATCAATTAAACCCGTTGGATGAACTTGAACTTTGTCCATATCAATCCCAATCCCTTGATTCTTCATAATGATTTTTTGTCCATCCCCAGTGGCATGATTACCATTGGTGGATGGCAAATCAATAATATCCGGACGGTATTTCCTCAAAAGAGAATTCTTCGTGAAATCAGCAGCATAACCACCAGTGGCCATAATTACTGGTCCGTTCAATTCCAGTTTCGTTTTCGTTTTCAAGTCCTTATATTTAACCCCTAAAACCTTAAAATCGTCCCCTTCCGCTTTCACCAAATCAATAACCTGAGTATTCTTCAATATCTTAACTCTGTCAGGTTCACTCTCAGACAAATTTTCTAAAGTCTCTAATAATTTATACGTAATTGCCATTCCTGGGAATTTGGCATCCTTACCACGGTGCGTTCTTGGTTGGGAGTGGCCTCCTAATCTTGATACAATACTCAAATCTAGTTTAAATACCTCTTGCAACCAATGAACAGCGTCAGCACTATTATAAACCAATACTTTAATCAATTCTGGGTTGGCTCGATCTTTAGCCGTGGCTAAAGTATCCTGATAGAATTGCTCAACGGAATCCTTAATTGACAAGTTAACTTGAGTCCTGGTTAAAGTACCATTGATCCCAGAAGTAGCCTTCCCACTATTACCACTTAAAAACCCTTGTTTATCCAACAACACAACATTTCCTCCCCTAAGATAAACTTGATGTGCAGCTGAAAGTCCGGCCAATCCTCCTCCAACAACTATAATCGGATTACGGGGGAATTCCTCTGGTGTAGACATGCTCGTATTACTTCTATTTGTATTATAAAAAGTCCTATAAACTATAGTATCGAAAATAGTCTATATAAACTATAGTATTGAAAACAGTCTAGTGTATCAATTTTACAGTGCAAAAGATTGCTTATATAGTCCCCCACATTATTGGCCCGATTGCAAACTGAGAACTGCCCTGACATTAAACAAAGCAAAAAAAAAAAAAAAATATCGAACAATTCCATAAATACTTCACGGAGTCAAACGACATTTCTCATTGCGGGGCAGATAAGCCCAAGGAGGTCTCGGAGTTTTGTTGAATGTCAAAATCAAGGGGACAAACTCGGTAGAATATCGAATAGAAAGACTGGAGGATCTTGGGGGAGCTTGGGAAGGCTAGTTGAGATGATAGGTTAGTAGTCCTCAACATGCGAAACGTATTGGAAAGCAAAGGAGATATCGTCGAAGTTAGATTCGTTTTGAAGTAAACGATCTTCATTTCGGATGAGTGAATTATGATCGAGATGATTCCAGGTGGTGGCGTCCCCATATAGCATGGCTGGGGCTTTAACAAACTGACCCGAGTCAGAACGACATCTTTTACAATTGTAGGTATCATGGGTATTGCATTGAGTATCCGGTTGATATTCAAATAACATTTTAAGACTGTCTCCACTAAAGATTCTCTCCACATCTTCCTTTTCATCAACCACGCAACTAGACAAGGACATTTTCATTGATTGACGTTGAAAGATTTTTTCTTCAATTGTACCAGTAGAAATGAATCGATAGATGAAACAATCTTTCTTTTGACCGTCTCTCCACACTCTTGCTAAAGCTTGTTGATCGGCAGCAGGGTTCCAGTCGGGATCGATCAATACTAAACGATTGGCACCAATTAAATTAATCCCGCAGCCACCGGCTTTTGACGATAATAAAAAGATGAATTCATTACCTTGTGGATCGTTGAAACGATCAACTAATTTTTGACGTTTATTGATATTCATTGTACCATCAAGTCTTAATGCCCCGTATCGTTTGTATCGACACATTTTTTCAATTAAATCAAGTGTTTTGGTATAATTTGAAATCAAGACGATTTTATCGTCCGTTTGTGTTTTTATTTGATGTAAAAATCTCTCTAGAACACTAAATTTCCCACTAAACCATGTTTGTATTTCTCTATTACGTCCACTGCCTTCATTAGAAGAAACGTAATCTTCGGGTAAAACATTTTCACTACCCAACAAATCCTCTGGAAGTGATAGTAAGTCAGGATGGTTGCAAAGTTTTTTCAACATATCAATGGCTTTTAATGGCTGCGAACCAACACCTTTCAATAATTTTTTGATTTCGGGTGACGTTATAAAATGTTCGTAAAGCTTTTTTTGCATTGGTGATAGTCCAACAAATACAACATATTCATATTTGAGTGGTAAATATTTTGATAGAATATCATTAGTTCTTCTAATAATGAATTTTGACACTAATTGTGATAATTCATTCAATTTTAAATCACCTTTTTCTTTCTCTTTATCAGTGGCATCAGCGTCTCGACCTCTTAAAATTGCATTTTCAAAATTTTTTCTGAAATCATTTCTAGTTCCTAAATAACCAGGATTTGCAAAATTTAATAATGAAAAATATTCTGATAAATCATTTTGAATTGGTGTACCCGATAAAATTACTCTTCGGTCACATCTTAAAGAATTAAGTGCAGTGAATGTTAAAGAGTCACCATTTTTCAAACGATGTCCTTCATCAGCCAACATCAAACCAACTTCTGTTCCTGCCAATTTATCAACGTTTCTTCTCAATGTTTCATAGGAAATAATAAGAACCGGTCTAACAATATTACGGCCCGATGCAACAGACCATTGCTGTAGAGCGCTTCCCAAATCTGAACTTTTAGTAGACTTCCCATCGACTGCCAATGGTGTTAATACTCCTTCTCCAAGCCATTTCACTATTTCGTTGGCCCAATTTCTTACTAATGAAGATGGACATACAATAATACATTTTTCAATGGTTTTTCTACCTCGAGGACTTTGTCTTAATAAAGTCCACATTAAAGCCAAACACTGCAAAGTTTTCCCCAACCCCATTTCATCTGCCATAATACACCCTTTAGCTCTAGCGTCGATCAAACCGGCAGTACACCTATATAAAAATTTGACTCCGGCGACTTGATGAGGTCTCAAAATTTTCGCTAGTTTAGGATCAATTACAACTGGTACATCAGGATACTTTGAAGCTACTTCATCAGGGTTTTTGCAAATCCCTAACATTTCGGCTAGTGATTTATGAGTCTTTCTTCTCTTTGTAGGTGGCTGTTCTTCCTCCTGTACTTCATCATTCTCGGGATTGGGGGTTGCTTCTTTAACCTCTTCTTCTATCTTTGGAATAACGTCCACGGTAGGGTCATATAATACAATTGCAAATTCACTAGTAGGATCATGTAGCGCTCTAGGAGGCAAAATCATTTTCCGTCTTGTACCTAGAGGTGGCGGGGGCCCTCTTGATGTATTTTCGAATTCTTCACGCTTCTCGCTATCTCTTGAAAATGGAATCGTGAAACTTCTTTTAAACTTCTTTTCAGTATTCACCACCGAATCTGAGTTGAATACGGATCTCGGTAATAACGCTCCCTTCTTTTTCACTCGAATAGCATTTCCTTCAGCATCGACTGCGGTTTCGAAACCATCATTTTCATTGGATCCATCCATAAGTGAATAATTCACAACTTTGGCTCTCGCCGCCCTTATAATTTTCTTTGAATCAACACTTCCAGCACCTATGGTATTAGATCTATCAGCAAAGGGAACCCTAAAGGGTTTGGCCAATCTATGTGCTCCATCTTTGATAGGTGGGGGTCGTTTATCTTTAGGTACACCGGCCCCAGACCCAAGCGGTGTGGTGAACTCTTTTAATAACTTTCTAGCCATGGAGTCTCCTAGTCTTGATCGTATAGGATAAAGAAGATGTAGTAAGCAGACGCGTTGAATCAAGATTACAAAAGTAAACAGAAAGTGTTGATGGTTTTTTTTGCGCATCTCCAACAAACGATAAGGGATAGTCATCGCTGAAAAACACTGGTTTTTTGTTCACCAGGCTGCTTCTTAAGGATATTGAGGGTAATTTGCAGGATGGACGAGATACTAGCAAAAGCCAGTAGCCAGGCGGTTACGTTTGCAATAAGATCGGGTATCTCTCTTGCTTCAGGGTTTGCCATTAAGACCGTTACGAAGTTTCTTGACAAGATTCCGGAGAATGAAAAACGAAAGATAATAAACGGTAGGAATAAGATCCAGACTAAGGTTAGCATCTTGTCGGTATCCATTGACTTGGTGAAGTTGGTTGCCGCTAGGGGGAATACCTCGTTAGGGTCAACTATTGAGTTGATTGATTCATTGAATGAGGAGATTGATTCATTTGATAAAGTGATGAACGATATAGTGCAGAACATAAGTAATATAAATGAGAAAGAGTCGATTCAAAAGGTTGAACGGATGATGAAGGATTTGCTAGAAAATATTAATGAAGCAATACCCTTAATTAACTTATCGCTTATTACTTGTGGGGTGAGTCTCGAAGGTAATTTACCGGATAATGTATCACCAGGAAGGTTATTACAGGCCAGTAACTACTTGATAAAATCCAATGAAGCTTTCGATAAGGCCAAAATTGAGACCAAGGTTGGGCCTATGTTCGACCTTGTATTTTATTCAATTTTCTACAATCCTAGTAGATTGAAGTATATTACCGAAGAAAACCCATCAAATTCTCAACAGGAGAACGATTTGCTTAGTATTTCATGGAAAGAAGACTTTGCTAGATGTCTGGGACAAATTGTAAGGACTATTGATGCTGATCGAAGCTATGCATATAAATTTCAAGTGACTGAAGATTTCAATGATGGAAGATACCACGAAGATGACGTCATGCCGATGGTAAAATCGTATAACATTAGTCTGGTTAAAAGGTTATTTTTCAGTGCCAGTGGTAAGTTATTACGTTTGGAAAGCCGTACTTCCCCAGTGTTAATTTTCAAAATTGTTGATGAGGCTACAGAAAAGGAAGAATGGGTTGCATTTGGAGAAGTTGGGAGTAACGAATTTGATGACGACGATGAAGAAGATGAGGATGAAGACGATGAAAAACAGCAGACAAATGAGGAAAACACGGTTAAAAATACGTCATTGTCATTATTAGAGTATTTGGTAAGATTAAGTACATTGCAGGAGCACGATTCGAAATCAATATTAGACATAAACGATGAGAGAATATCACTTTATCTAAAAGATGAAAGCACAAGTGCTAGCATGGCCAACCAAGGAATCATACCAAAATCTAAAAAGGTCCTCGAAGCTGAAAAGAAGAATAATGACAAGACTGAGAATATGCTTTCCATGAGCTCCAATGTAAATAGACTCGAGAATTTAAATTTACATAATTAGTTGCTAATAATATAAGGGAACCCAATCTTGGGGCATAAAGTTCGATTCTATTAAAAGAGCCCGGAGTATGCTAATATCAAAAAGAAAAAAGAAAAAAAAAAGGTAAAAAAATGACAAATAAATAAGAGTATGAATACCTAAATAAATAGAATAAAACAACAGTGAAGAAAATAAATAATAGTAATAATAGTAATAATAAACAAAAGAAAAAGCCTATACAAATATATAAAGACTATAAAATAAAAATAAATTTATCAAGCCTCTTTATCTTCGAATTTAACTGGCGACATCATCTCGTTAAAGAGAGGAGTTGGTAAATCAGTTAAATTTTGAGTGTAGAAAGAGTTTAAGTAGTTATTTGGGAGTGATTGATCATGCTGATTTGATAATTTATCCAAGTCACTAGTTTGAAGAGGCGAAAATTGTTGACTTAAAATTTTTTCTTGATTATTATTATTGAAACTTTCGTTATGATTCAACTTTTTCCTTTGGTAGCCATTTTGCAGTGGTTGTCTAGAAGGTAAAGAAGACGAATGTGCTGTAACCGAGGGGGATGATTCAATAACACTATTTTCTTTTCTTATATTTTTCAAGATATCATCATAACTATCTAATTTCAGATACGAGTTGAAATCAATTAAATTAGAGATATTATTGAATTGATTATTATTTTGTTTTTGATTATCCGAATGATATACTTGGTTTTGTAATTCTTTGAAGAAATCTTCATTATCATCTTTTTTCGAATCATTTGAAGGCATTGATAATTGTTGTTCATCACTTTCTTCTGCTAAATCAAAGGGAGGGAACGCTGAACTGTTTGATTGATTTGGAAGATTAAAGGAGTTATTGAAGATTTGAGAACCGTAGTCGATGTTATTTGATATATTTGAAGAATTCGAAGCGGTTGATAAAACGCTTTCCGGTCTCTTAGGCCGTATTGAAGAATGAGTTGCCGTATGTTGCGGAGGATGAGGATGATGGATTGGCTGGGATTGCGGGTGGGCATGGTGTTGAGGTTTCAAAGGTTTAGGATGATGAGTATTTTGAGTGTCGTTACTATTTGGGGTTGGAATCGACAGCATTGGTAAGGATTTACTATCATCAAAACTGCAACTACCCACCAAGGGGAAAAGAGGGAACATATTTTCCACCATATCCACGTCTTCAGAATCGGAGCCCAATATTTTTTCTGAATCAACTTGTTGTTGTTGTTGTTGCTGTTGCTGTTGTTGCTGTTGTTGTTGTTGAGGTAATTCTTGAGAGTTTTTATTGGCATTTCTATAAATAGGGTCATTAACTTCGTTATCATTATCGTAGAAATGTTGATTAGATTTATCATGAGATAAATGAGGCGGAGATAAGTTGTGATTTTTAATCGGATCATCTTTTAAACTTGAATCACTGAAATTATTTGATTGATGATTATTTGAGCTTGAAGGCGATACCCCCACGCTATTTAAGTTCAAGTTTAAGTTTGAGTTGGAGCTTTCAGGAACACTTGGAGAAAACAAATCAAATAACCCATTACCCGCTTCAAAAGGAACCACTACATCTTCAATAACGTAATTTGAACCAATATTAGCAAAAGCGTCATCTTTAACTGCGCCGTTATTTATAAGCTCCGAGTTATTATAATTGATTGAGTTGATCGAAGTCGAGGAAGAAGAAGTTCCATTAACTTGATTAATTTTAGTCAACGATTTCTTTTTCGACTTATCGGCGGCAGCGGCAATCTTCTTCGACAGATTGGAAGAGCAGGTACAATGGCTGTTTTTATGACAGAGACAAGACGCAAGATGCATTCCTGGAGATTTCCCCTTCTTCCCACACGTACAAGTAACATGACTATGTTTATGTTTCCGTTGTTCTCGACAATGCTGACACTGGGAAGCAGGACGACCCTTGGGCTTGATCATGGTCAAGGGTTGATCGGTGTGGGTGCATGTGGTCACCCTATGGCCTCTAATGCATCGTTCACACGCATACTTGACTCCGTTGATAAGCACCATCTTGACAACTAATCAATTTTCCTCGATATCTTACTATCTGTATCCTAATCACGATTTCGAGCTCTCTATCAACAGCACTATACCAATATCACTATACCAATATCACTATAC